TATTAATAGTTATAAAAGCTACGCATTAGTCTAATTTTAGCAGTACTATAAAAAATAAAAAATTATTACTTTCTATATGCCCCTATATTTGTTGCACCTGCTATAGCTACTTAATATAAGTTATTTTGCGCCTTTAAAGAAGGCGTATAAATACTAAGCTAAAAAGCTAATGCGCAATAGTATTAACTATATTACTAAAATTAAATTTTTACTATGCTTTAAACTAGCTTTTAATACTGCTATTATAAAAAGCAATATTTTAAGTAGCTTTAAAGGCGCTAGTCTAGTTCCTTTTAATTCTAAAGCTATAATATTAAAGCTTAATATCTAGTTACGTACTCTACTACTACCTACTATTAAAAACAGTTCTTAAAAGTTAAAAATACTAAGCAATACTTTAAAATTTAAGTCTTAATTAACGCTAGTTAAAATAAAAATTTAAAAGCACTTAAATAGTTTTTTTACTTTAATAGTTAAAGCTTTTAAAAAAGTTTTAAAAAGTGCAGCTATAGTCGCGCACAAGCTTATATTAGTATAAAAAAAAATTGCTAAGCTTTAAGTAGCTAATAAAGCCGCTACGCAATAAAAATTGCATAAAAAAAAGTAAGTATAAAAAAAAAAAATTTTTATAGTAAAAAATAGTTTTTAACTAACAATTTTAAAGGAGTTTAGAGCGCGTAGTAATAAAAAAAAAGTAAAAAAGTAAGTATATACTAAAGCAGGTAAGCTTTCTTAAAGGCGCTGTAAATATTATAGTAAAGCTAAATATAACGCGTAAATATGCAAGCAAAAAGTAAAAATAGTTTTTAAATAAATTAGCTTATTATAATTTACTGCTATAGTTTTTTACAGTGCTATACTATTGTGTATAGTACTAATTTTAGTAGGGTTTTAGCATTATAACTAATTTAATTAGGCGACTAACTCGCCCGTGTAATACGTTAGCATTTTAGCTATTTTATTTTAGCTTTAAAACTATTTATTTATTATTTTTAGTAATATTATTTATATATTAAATATCTAAATAACTAGGCCTAATTAGGCAATTCCTAGTAGGCTATTTTATAGAAAATATTATATAGTATTATATATAATTTTTTTATAATTTTCTATTTATAGAATTAGCTGTCTATTCAGCCTAGTAGCGCTGGTAGCCTAAGTAGCTAAAAATTCGCCAAAATTCGCCAGTTTCGCCAGTTTCGCAGGATTTTCGCAGCTTTTCGCAGCTTTTCAGTTTGAATTTTCCTGACGAACTCATCTTTTCCGCTCCATTGCCGGCGCCTCATTTGCCCTTAGACACCCGTTCTGTGCAGTCATTCGCTTGAGGTTGCAGGACATGACGTGCGATGACCTTTAAATGAGTAGAATCTGTATAATTTGTGCGATGTAGTCTTTTTTTTTTGACTCCGCACATGTCCTCCAGCCTCTCTTTATAGACCTCAAGATGTCCAGCCCTTCCGAGAACAAATACTCGCGAATAGTCTCCACAATCATTGAATGCGACTATATCTATAATAGGTAGCACGAGTGCTCTAGCAACAGGAAACTTATGCAAGAAAACCCCCGGGCGGACACTGCGGGGGAGCCGAGTCTCTACTGATCACATATCCCGAGGTCGCATAGCAGCATAACGAAAAGCAGGATCCGGATTTCAATCCTATTTTTACAGAAGTATAACAATCTTCATATCTCACATAACAAGAGAAATAGCTAACAACATGCAGCTCTATCTCATTCTCGCCAGTCTCGTCTCCATGGCCACCCCCGCAACGCCAACCTCTCTCCAGGACCGGATATACGCCAACGCCCAAAGAGACGACATAGACATTACCGCCCTTCCATTTCACGAAGAAGCACTAGACTACATCGCCGCACTCTCCCCCAACGCAAGCACCACGCCCGCATTCGATTTCACCAACGCCTCGCGCATAGACACGCACACCCATCCCGTCCCACCGTGGTTCCGCGTTCTCGAACCGCTGGGCGGAGGCCGCGAAACGCCATCATGGAATGCGAGCGCGCATCTGCAGTTCATGAGTGAGCATCAGATAGTCCATTCGGTCCTGACTGTCTCGACTCCGCAGGCCAACGCGTTCAACACCGAACTCGACCTTGCCTTGAGGAAAAAGAAGACCGTTGCGCTTGCACGGCTGCTTAATGAGTTTTCCGCTGAGCTGTGTAGGCTATATCCCACGCGGTTTAGCTGGTTGGCTATTACCCCGCTGCCGTATGTTGATGAGGCGGTTAGAGAGGTGCGGTATGCGCTGGAGTTGGGAGCCATTGGCGTAGGGATCTTGGCGAACCACGAAGGTTTATATCCTGGCGAGGGATCCTTCGATCCATTGTGGAAGAGTCTGCAAGAGAGAGCAGAAAGAAGTCATGATGGGAGAGAGGTGGTGTTTGTGCATCCTACTGAGCCGGTGATTAGGTTGGAAGAGGGGCGGCTGGTCAATTCGAAGCCATGTAGGTCAACTGCTATACTTGCTTTTTGCTAGATGCTAACATCCACCCAGCACCTCTACGCTCTGGTCTCGGTGAATTCTATTTTGAGACTGCTCGCGCTTTATCAAGTATTACGGCTAACCGCACCATCATCAAGTTTCCTAATCTGCACTGGCGTGTGTCTCACGGCGCAGGCGCTTTTCCTGACATATCGGAGCGCTTCCTTTTGGGATTTACAGATGTTCAGGAAGAAGCGAGGAAGGTATACCGCGAACGGTTCTGGTATGATAGTGCTGGACCTGTATGGCCGAAGCAGGTGAAGGGGTTGACGGAGGGTATGGGTGTTCCCGTGAGCCAATTCGTATTTGGGACAGTACGTGAAAACAAATACTACTGAAGAGGTATTATTCTTCCGCGGGTTCGTACTAATGGCCCATAGGACTATCCATACGGCATAGGATTCTGGGACGTGGACGTTAACATCGCAGGACTTGCAGATGCGGAGCTACTTTCATCAGAGGAGAAGGAGCAGGTCTTTTGGCGGAACGCGAGGGGCTTATGGGGAGGAAAGATACCAGATGTTTGATCGTATAGTCGGATCTTACTTGGTCTGCCTTTACTCATAGGCTTGAGCTCCAAAGTCATCAAGTTACCACATCTTGCTGCCCAGACTTTCGAATCCTTCTTGAAGCACTTTCCGCCCAGCAAGTTGATTAGCAAATTCAAGCTTCCGTTGAAGCGGCCAGTCTCCGCACTCGTTGAGCGCAAACAACATACCAGCAATGAAAGTGTCTCCCGCACCGATAGTATCAACCACCTCTTGCCCTTCACTCCCCGATTTCCACGCCTCAACATCCGCCCACACCTCACCATCTCCCTGTTCAACGGCCGCAGCACCGCCAGCCCCCCACGTACAACATAGCACCGCATCCTCTCTCGTCTCCGTCCGCTGTGCGTCCAGAAACGCTCTAGCACTCATATACCCATTTTTCCGCGCCCACAGCTTCGAGTAAAACACCACGTCGGCGTATCGAGCGACTTGCACCATTCCAGTGCGCTCCGGCTTCTCGCACTCGACACTGATCTGGAAATGCGGGAACTCTTTACGCAGAAACTGGACGCATTGCAGGGTGATGTCTGGAACGCGTCCTTCGAAGTGGAACCATGCTTTCGTCCACGGAGTGCCATCATCATTGATTGCCATGTGGGTGACTTTTGCAATAAATTCGTCCGCGGTCATCTCGGGTAGTTCATTTATACTGACTACAGTTCGTGAGAGGGTTTCCTGGCTTTGGATGATGTAGCTTGATGCTGTGTCTGTGTAGCCGGGGCGGAAGATGCTGGACTCGTCTAGATGGGCTTGCGGAAGGGAATCGCGCACGAAAGTGGTAGCGTTTGAACTCTTGTCTGGAAGGACGGACAAGAGGTACAGCTCAGTAGGCTTTTTCTTGGGCTTGGATGGTGTGGGATTATGCTCTAATAGTTGCGTCAACACCTCGAGCGTATTCGCGGGATTGCCTCCTCGTCGGCGGGTGAGTTCCTTCGCACGGAGTTTTTCATCTTCTATCGGGAAATGGGGTACGGTGAGAATGGTGTCAATGTAGACTACTCCCACGCAGACGATGCGATTGACGTCTTGGGCACTATCCGGCATTGAGGGGAGAAGGTTCGCGATTAAGTGATTTGAAATGAAAGCCGGTTCGCGTGAAGTCGAACGCGTCGCACAAAAGATTGTTCTTGTAAATGTGGGGTGTAGATGAGGCGTGCAAGATAACAGTAAGTACGGTGATGGATGTTTGATTAGCGAGCGCATAGAACAAGGCTAACGGAAAGTATCATTCCTCTGCTGCCCCAACCTCTGCAAAAAGGAGTGAATCCCATGGTATCTCAGAAATCAGACGCTCGAACGCCAGCAAGCCCAAAACGCAGAAGATGAAATAATTAGAAGAATTCCTTAATATGCCGAGCCCGTGTGTCGCTTCCCTTTGCCCTCATGCGTGTACTCATCCTGCTCTTGCACCGGGCTAACCGCCTGCAGCGGCGCCCCACCCTGGCCACCATACCACCCTGGCCCCCTATTGGCATTACCATACACGTTCTGCTGTCCTTCCAAATCACCAAAGGCCCTTGTTCTCGGCGTCATGGGCGACTTCATGCCACCGACGGTTCCTGGCGTACGCGGTAGCTGCTGCAGCTCCCACATATGCTGCCACTGCTCGTCGGCGGTCATTTCGTTATCATAGGGCGAAGAGTTCCATTTTTCTTTTTGGGCCTGCTTCTCCGCTCGCTTGGTGGCGTGGGCTTCTCTTGCAGCGGCAGTCGGAACGAGAGAATACACGCTCAAGACGAGGAAGAGGGCGTATATCGACCTGTCCGGTAATTAGCATGCGATGATCCCAGGAAAAGTGAAGGTAGAACAGCAGGACTTACAGCATGATAATACTAACAGCAAAACTGCTCTTTGCTTGCATGCAATAACTCCTAATCTGCTTATCTTCTACGATATTGCAGCTCTTAGTGATGTACCACGGCGCGCCCTTGTTCATGCGCTTTGGGTCGATGGTATCTGGCGAGGTTTGCATATGGATGCCGTATGCCCAAAGAATGAGCAGGGCGATGTGCAGGAGGAGCGACAGGATCGGGAGGAAGACGTTGACGAGACACATGGTGACTTTGATCAGCCAAAAGAACGTGCATACTACGCCGATGATGAGGTGGTATTGTGTGTTGCTGGACTTGTTAGCGTATATTCATGGAGAACCAGCACTTTGGACGTGTATCGTGATCCATCTCCCGCATTTCCAACTTCTTACACATCCAACGCAAGGAAGGATTGTACTCACAAACTACTCCAGACTGCTGGCGTATGGACCGGCCGGTAATTCGCATATGCATACACGATCGTCGACGGGTCCGAATTAAAACCCATGCGACCACCTTCATTCCATAGAATAGTCCTGTACAGATTCGGGCTTGCGATACCGAAGAGCGCGAGGTTGGCGACTGTGAACGGCAGCTCGAAGATGATGAGGAACCAGACGACCTTGGGCAGCCGCCATGTTCGCGGGATAAGGAAGAGACCCATTGTGCGATTGTGAAGTGCGAAGCTTAGTGGTGTGGAAATGTGGGTTGCGCTCAAGATGCCGACGAGCGAGGTTGGGACTACAAGCTCAGCACCGCCCGAGTCCGGATGAGAGAGAGAGAGATGCGGGGAAACCGAAAGTGCAGCTCAGGCGTGAGCGAGCGCAATATGGCCAGGCTGAATATGCGCGATGTCGATGTCGGCTCTGGGCAGCGTCCTTCGTTCCAGCGGAGGCTCTCGTCGTCGCTCGGTCACATAGATAACTCCAAGTCATCCGCACCAGCGCCGGGGGCCTCCACCCTCTTTAACGGCCGTCTGCCAGCCTGCCGCTGCCAATCCGCCAACTCGCATGCTGAGGGGCGAAAAGGCCCATCGCAGCCGCTGAGTGGCACACGCATGCTGCACGATCACACAGCTTGTAAGATGTGACGGCGAATCAGAGATGCAGGTCGGCTCGACGGACGGAAGCTAAGACGGCTGGTTCCTTGCGCCATCCCTGTAGGTTGTAGCGAGGAATGTGTGTTAATTAATATTGACGAATTAGGTAATTCAATTTGGGCCTTCATGTTAAGTCGATGGGTCTGATAAGGCGCATGGGGCGTGGTTGTACAGCATGTGAAGTCGCTTGCCGTGGGCTGAATTGCATGTACAACCGGTAGTTGTCGTCGAGGAATGGAGAGTTGTGCGATGCGTGTGAGAACTGTGGGGATGCAGGGATTTGGGTCGACATCACGGGATGGCAGGATTTAGGGCCTTTGTGGGCGCGTAAAGTTGAGTTATGGTGCGAGAATCGTAAATACAATAGCGCTTGCTGCGACGACGGAGAGACAACTACTGAGGTGACCTGACGCTCGACTGATCGTCTAGATCAGCAAGTCGTAATGGCATCTGCTACGAAACCGAGCTAGCTGGAACATGTCGAACTACTACCACCATTTTTCGCAAAACACTCGCTCAGGTTTGACACTCTTCTGCTCCTTGAGAAACTGCACAAGCTCATCAGTCATATCCGGCGGTCCGCATACGTAGAAGACGGATGCCTGCGCCTGCTTTGGATCTCCCACGGCATTCGACAGGGCAGACTCATCAATGCGGTGCGTCCAAGCGAGGACAGGCACCTCGGTGTCGGAGTCAAGCTTCGGGAGCGTCAGCGCCATGAGCGGGTTTATAGGCGCTTCGTTCTTCGTTCCCATATCAGAGCCATCCCAAGTCCCCGTGAAGAATAGCTCGAGTCGGTCTATCGTTGTTTCTGAGCGCGGTCTGCGGAACAGGTCTAGGATCTCGGGGAGGTAGAGGACTTCGGTGGGGCCCGTCTCGTGGGACGGGACTTTGGTCGAGTAGAGGACGCGGACTTGGAGGTTTGGGTAGGAGCGGTGTATGTAGGACAGCATGGACATGATGGGACTGTTGCGTTTTAGTCGTTGCAACCGTAGCTGGCTCTCCTACGAGCTGACTTACTTGATTCCAACTCCGCCTGCAATGAAGACGGCTCGCTTTATCCTCTTTGCGTCTAGCCCTAGTGGAGGCCACACAAAGCTGCCGCCCACGCGAACTTTGACCTCTTTCCCTTGTATCTCTTCCACCGGCTGCCACAACCACGCAGCCGGCGGGTTAGTAGGACTATCTTGAATCGCTAGCTCGAAGTACGGTCTGTGTTCCGGATCCGTCTGCGGCAGCGCATCGCGTGGTGAAGACGTGATGGTGAAGCCGCCTGCTTTCTCAACGTCAGGCACGAAGACATCGAGCCATTGGCCTGGGAGGAACTTGGCTCATCCATCAGCGCATGTCGAGAGCGGAGATGCATGCCGTCATACGTTGAAGCCGTTTTTGTCCCCGATGTCGAATCTGATTGTTTTGATTCGATCATTGACGGGCGTGATCTTCGAGACAATGGCAGTGTGCAGCTCCTTCTCGCGGGGTTCGGTCGCGGTTCGTTCCTGGTGGCTCAGGATGGCTTTGGCAGACCGTGTCTGTGGCATGCTGCTCAGCGCCTATGCGACAAGACAGGTCACAGGTCATAGGAAGCAAGAAGTATTCTTACGGTGAAAATCCCTGTGCGAAAGAGCACAGTGGAGTGAGGGGTTCCACGCTGATGCATGTTGCGGATCCATCGCCTGCGAGCTTGGACCCTGACGTGCTGCCGCGGTACACGACTGGGGCGCTAAGGAAGCATTCGGCTGCGTCTCTCGTCTCACCAACGTACTTCTTTTGGCTATCTAGTTTACTTGCTATACAGGGCACCGTCATGAGTATCGAAGAAGGCTCACACACTTTGGCGGACGGACACAAGTTGTACACCAAGACGTTCAAGGTTCGTGCAGAAAGATGGACCTCGAGTTGTATTGACGGTGGAGTAGACGGAAGGACCGGCTAAGGCACGGCTAGTTTTCATCCATGGATTCTCTGATGTGAGTGACCTCCCTAGGATTGATAGAGTGACTGCTAACTGATCTGTAGCATGGTGAGAGTCTTTAATTTTCTACAATAGGATTGTCTGACTTGTTCAAGTAAACGCCTACGGCAGCTTCTTTCCAACCCTGGCTTCGAAGGGCATCGAGGTCTATACGTTCGACCAAAGGTAAGACTAAACATGAACTCACGAGATTAAGCTCACATCGCCTAGAGGATGGGGCCGCTCAGTGACGAAGCCGTCTGAGCGAGGCCACACAGGTCCAACATCTCAAGTCCTCGAGGATATCACTTCTTTCATCAAGACAGTGATCCCGAGTCCCATTCCTCTGTTCTTGATGGGACACTCCATGGGCGGCGGTGAAGTGCTTTGCTATGCCGCCCAAGGACCGCGCGAGATCCGCCAGCACATCCGAGGCTACCTTCTGGAATCACCCTTTGTTGACTTCGACGCCAAGTCCAAGCCATCACCGTTCACCGTCTTTTTCGGGAGGCTAGCTGGAAAGCTGCTGCCGCATAGACAGCTGTTGAACAAGCTCGACCAAAACTTGCTCTCTCGGGATCCTGAGGTCTGCAAACAGTTCGACCAAGATGAGCTCTGCCATGATACTGGCACCTTGGAAGGACTGTCAGGACTGCTTGATAGAACCGGACAACTGGCAAGCGGGAAGGTCATCATCCCCGATGATGCAGGCGAAGGAGGAGTGACGAGGATCTGGATCGCGCATGGCGACAAGGACGGCATCACCGACTACCAGGCTTCCAAGCGACTGTCGGACGCGTTGCAAGTCAAGGACAAGGAGTTCAAGACCTACGCAGGATACTACCATCGATGTAAGGAATGGACCCCTCGTTTCCGCTGTGCTCAGAGCTGACATGAACAGTACACGATGAGCCGAGTCCTGAGAAGGAGGTGTTCATAGATGATGTCGCGAACTGGATCCTAGCTCGCTCAACGGAGCCAGTGCAAGGGGACAGTGCGAGGCCGAAGCTCTAAAGTCACACAGAACCTTGTTCTAACATATGCTTGCCCACGTAATGGTAGACTGTCTTGATGTCTTGATACGCGCGTCCCGTGAAACGTCTCAGCCCGCGAAACGCGCAAGCCTATAAGATGAAGATGACGCGACGCAGCCTGCTTGCATGACGCTATAGACCAATTGAAATGTGTGCATATCGGATTGTTCTTGTAGGATGCATTGCATGAAAAGATAAACGTAAACGTCCCATCCACGGCGGGCTGAACCGGAATTGGCCTTTTAGCCCCACATGGCGGCCGGCCCTCGTCGATGATGCGATCCAGGAACCGAAGCCATCAACCGCAGGGGAGGCTGAGAAAATCTTCGAGATAGTTATTCGAGCAGCAGACGCACTGGGTCTCTGCACGCCCTAGCGCGTGTTGCTGCCATTTACAGCCCCATGTTACTGCGCGCCCGCAGAGATGGCATGTCTGTCTTTAGCCAGGTCCGACGCGTCGTCTCCAGCTCGCCGCCGTATGGGCCACCTTCACCGCAAGCCCTGCATAGTGCTTTCGCATACTCCTACTCGACGCAAGCCTTGGTGCGACGACACGTCCTACGTTGCTCTTCCCGCCGCCCGCCCATCTCCCGACCACAGTTGCGCGTCCTCCGCACACAAACAAGGCCAAAAGGCGCTCAATACCCGCAAGCCTCGCCGCCGCTGCACAACTGGTCCTCGACAGTGCACCGTCTACGACACATTTCTCCTTCCGCCATGACGAGCCAGACGCAGACTCGCGGCCATGTGGGCCACTCCCACCACCATCACCATGATAACACCTTCTTGCTCTCCAAGAACAAGAACGATGCCGGCGTCCGCATCACCAGAATAGGCCTGTACGTCAACCTGGGCATGGCCGTCAGCAAAGGTTTTGGTGGCTACGTCTTCAATAGTCAGGGTGAGTTGCTGAATATGCCCCTGAGGCCACGTTGATTCATTAACATAATCATAGCACTCATCGCCGATGCCATACACAGTCTCACCGACTTGGTCAGCGACATCATGACCCTCGCAACTGTCGGCTGGTCACTCAAGCCGCCCTCAGAACGCTTTCCCAGTGGATACGGAAAGGTGGAGAGCCTCGGCTCGCTGGGCGTCAGTGGCATATTGCTGGCAGGAGGCTTCTTGATGGGCTGGTCGGCCTTGATTTCGCTGTGTCAGCAATTTTTCCCCCAAGCTGCAGAGGTCGCAGCTGGCTGGGGACTGTTGCCGCATAGTCACGGTCACCACCATGGCACCGACGGCTTGGGGCCGAACATCAATGCGGTGTGGCTTGCTGCAGGTTCAATTGCCATCAAGGAGTGGCTGTACAGAGCAAGTAGGTGGAATCACCTCTACTTCTGTAACCTCTGCTGACATACTTCTCAGCACTCAAGGTTGCCAAAGAACGCAAGTCGACCGTGCTTGCCTCAAACGCCTATCACCACCGGGTCGATTCCCTCACCGCTTTTGTAGCCCTCCTCCTCATCGCCGGATCGAACGTCCTGAACAATGCACAGTGGCTGGACCCGGTGGGCGGCTTGGTCATCTCCCTCATGGTTGTGCAGGCTGGCTGGGGCAATACTAAGGCTGCACTGCTGGAGTTGGCCGATATTGGTATCGACACGGAAATGAAAGACAATGTGCGGAAAGCAGCCACCAAGGCGCTAGAAGGCATAACCTCAGCATCTCAGCCGGTGAATCTCCGGGCTGTTCAGGGCGTCAAGGCCGGTCAGAACTATTTCATGGACGTCGAGCTCGGCGTCCCAGGAACCTGGACCGTTGAGCAAACTCGTGGTGTGGAGAGCTTGGTTCGAGAGCGCGTTGGCGCCAAGGTACGGGGAGTTAAGAAGGTTCGCGTGCGATTCGTGACCAACTCAGCAGACGAGCCAGACTTTCTGGATGAGTTTATCCCAGGCGACCCATCTGCTACATCAAGTCCAGAGTCAGAGGCAGCACACGACCACGACCACGATCATGATCACGGCCACAAGCATAGCGACGACACTACAAGGAGAAGGAAGTGATATTGTTCATACAAGTGTATATACAAAGTACACGGCGCTTTGGAGTTGGATAAAAGGATTCCCCAGCATACATGATCTTCAAAGTTTAACGCGCATTAGATATCGAACACAATCTACATCATCTGTCGTCTGAATTATTTGCTCCATTCATACTACTACTCGTTAACTCTCATCTTGATCGGCCCAAGTATCTTACACATCGGCGTTCGCTCCGATCCAAAAGGACGCCACGGTAAAGACAGCAGTCTATTTATCCGTCCACCAATCGCACAAAAGCGCATCGCCGGCAAAACAGGCGATGTAGCTACTCCACCGAAAGTGGGACCAAGTTAGCGCGCAGTGCCAAAGCAAGAGGCTCAACTCTCACGAGACCCTTCATAGTATTTATCCATGTCTCGGGTTTTCTTCGCTTCTTCCAGATTTCTTTTGGTCTCACTTCACCCAAATATCGACCATGGCTGATCATTTTCTGGGCTTCGACCTGAGCACACAGCAACTCAAGGGTGAGGATACCCCGCCATAGCTACCCCACCACCCTCCATCTGAACTGACGCGACCTGCTTGGCGTAGGCATTGTTGTCGGTTCCGACTTGAAACTCATCCACGAAGCCAAAGTCGATTTCGATGCCGAGCTCTCCAAATATGGCATCGAGAAAGGCGTTCTCACTAACCCTGAGGAGGGTGAAGTCTTCGCGCCTGTCGCGCTGTTCCTCGAGGCCATCGATCTCGTCCTGCAAAGACTAAAGGACCAGGGTGCGGACTTCTCCAAGGTGCAGGGCATATCCGGCGCAGGCATGCAGCATGGCACTGTATTCTGGAGTAAAGATGCGGAGACGCTACTTGGGAACTTGGACGGCGGCAAGACATTACTTGAGCAGTTGGAGGGCGGAGCAAAAGGAGAGAAAAAGGGCGCGTTCAGTCACCCTTTCAGTCCGAATTGGCAGGATGCGAGCACACAGAAGCAATGTGAGGGCTTCAACATTGCGCTCAAAGATCCGAAGAGCCTGGCAGAGGCTACAGGGAGTAGCGCACATCATGTACGTCTTCCACGGCTACTATGAAGCTCACGACACTGACTTTGTGACAGCGCTTCAGTGGCCCGCAAATCCAGCGCTTCCAGGAGAAGCATCCCGAAGCATATAAAGCCACCGCCCGCATCTCCCTCGTATCCTCGTTCCTCGCGTCCATCTTCCTCGGCAAAGTGGCCCCAATAGACATCAGCGACGTGTGTGGGGCAGACTTGTGGGATATCAAGAGTGGCCGCTGGCACGAGGATCTCCTCGCACTTGCCGCTGGAGGACGCTCAGGCGTCGAGGACCTCAAAGCCAAGCTGGGAGACGTACCAGAAGATGGTGGTGCGAGCTTCGGTACCGTCTCACCGTACTTCAGCAAAAGATATGGCTTTCCATCGTCGACGCAAATCATCGCTTTCACGGGCGACAACCCATCGACTATTCTTGCCCTGCCGCTTCGATCCTCCGATGCTATTGTCTCCTTGGGCACATCGACCACTTTCCTTATGTCGACACCACACTACAAACCAGACCCAGCATACCACTTCATGAACCACCCCACAACAGCGGGCTTGTACATGTTCATGTTGTGCTACAAGAACGGCGGTCTAGCGCGTGAACATATCCGCGACGACATCAACAACGTCTCTGGAACATCCGCATCCAAGACGTGGGATCAATTCAACGAGACAGCACTCAATACACCCGCTCTCGGGCAAAAAGACACAACAGACCCAATGCGTCTGGGCCTCTACTTCCCCCGCCCGGAAATCGTACCCAACGTCAAAGCAGGCACATGGCGCTACCTCTGGAAAAACGACACTCTCTCGCCCGTCTCCGAGGACAAAGAGTGGCCCACCCCACAAGCCGACGCCCGCGCAATCCTCGAGTCCCAATTTCTGTCTCTCCGCCTGCGTTCCCATTCACTAGTCGAGCCACAAGGCTCACTCCCCGCCCAACCGCGTCGCATATACATGGTCGGCGGCGGCGCTGTGAATCCCGCCATCGCCGACCTCGCCGGCCAAGTCCTCGGCGGGTCGGACGGCGTGTACAAGCTCGAGATTGGCGGGAATGCGTGCGCGTTGGGCGCCGCGTATAAAGCGGCTTGGGGCGTGCAGCGGGGCTCTGGAGAGGCGTTTGAAGACTATCTCGAGGCAAGGTGGCATGAAGAGGGCTTTGTGCAGAAGATTTGTCAGGGGTATAGGGAGGGGGTTTGGGAGCGGTATGGGGAAGCGCTTAAGGGGTTCCATGAGGTGGAGAGGCGGGCTATACAGGAGAAGGGGCAGTAGTTATTCTAGTAGGCTTTTGAAGTCCTCATGAGGTATTGGACCTAATCGTGTGTATGTGAGGTTATACAATACTTTCCCTGATACTCACTTATCTATGAGAAAATAATGCTTTCAACATGATTTCCCATACCATTGTTTATCTATCGGCATCGCATCCGGAATATCTGGAGAAGTAACAGGGGTCCTATCGCCAGAAGCCAATAACAAGGCTCATGAATAACACACGCGCCAAGTCCGCAAAATGCGCTAACGCCGATGTTTCTCGAACCTCGGACCTCTAGGCACCTCAGTCTCCAATTTGCCTTCTTCCCCCGTCGCCGTCACTCACTCGATCTCACCACACTCCCGTCTGCTCTCCGCCCTCAACCACCGTCTTCATCACCACCACCACATCAATCGAAATGGCTCGCCAGCGTGGAGGATCCGCCCCCCGCCGTCCTACGGCCGCTCCAGCAGCAAGGCCCGCTGCTCCAGCAGCAAGGCCCGCTGCTCCAGCACCCGCACCTGCGCGCCACTCGTCGACCGCCGCTGCGCCCCAACAGCATCAACAGCCGGCAGCGCCTGTCCAGCAGGCGGCACCAGCGGCTGCTACGCCCCAGGGCCCAGGACTGTTCGGCCAAATGGCGTCTACCGCCGCGTAAGTTCTCGACCCTCAGACGGATGTATAGATGAACAGCTCGCTAATTGTGATTGACTGTGCAGCGGTGTAGCAGTAGGATCATCCATCGGCCACGCAGTCGGCGGCTGGTTCAGCGGCGGCTCCTCGTCCGCGCCCGCCGAAGCCACACCGCAAAACACCGAGTTCGCCCAGCAACACCAGGGCGCTGCGGAGACGCAGACAATGCAGCAGAGCGGTGCGTGTGCGGGCGACGTCAACAACTTCCGCAAGTGCATGGATGAGAACCAGGGTAGCTTGACTATCTGTGGGTGGTATTTGGACCAGCTCAAGGCGTGTCAGGCGGCGGCTGGACAGTACTAGACTACATGAATGGACCAGCTCTATTTGTGGGCATTGAGCATCTAAGCGCGAGTCTTGCATCCGGAGTGGAGTTTTATATAAGAAACAATACTAGATCAGCATTGAATGACCACTTCGACTCATCAATAGCTCAAAAAAGCCCTCCTCTGCATATATTAGTCCTAGACATGGTATTAACTGAGCCCATCCATCGTTCCAAATTATCCACCAAAGTAAATTCCTCGCCGCAGCTTTTACATACCTTCTCACACCAGATCATTTTTAATCCAATCCATTCTGCCCACACCTACGCCAACACGAATTGTAGTACCCAGTTACATCTCCATCTTCCCTTTGCCTTTGCCTACATAGGGAGTGATCGGGGGAGGCATGGATGATGAATTGCCTTGCAGCAAGGTCTCCACCCCATTCACATTTACGTCCACGGCCACGCCCATTGGAACGTCTGTATGCGCGATCATGCCGCCGTACGCTGCTTCTTCAATTCCAGAATCGATCTTTTGCTTCTTTGTCAAGGAAGGACCGGGCTCGCTGGATGCATTCGGGTTGAAACCGGGTAGTAATTGAGAATTTACAGTTTGGTAAGTGAGGGCGGTGTCGGCGGAGGAGCGCAACAAGGAGCTACTTGGAGGGGCGTAGAGATCCGAGGTGGAACTAGTAATAGACGTGACGCCGTTGTTTGCATTCTCTGCTCGTCTTGTGGACAGTTCGCGCAAGGCAGCGATGTTTTGGGCGTGAAGCTGCGACTGTTGCTGTGCGTAGTACTGGGCTTCTTGATGGTGGGCGCGTGCCAGGTCTTGGGACTGCTGGTATTGCACCCCGGCAGGTACACCTTGCCGCTGATGCCGCATCAAGCGATGCCATTCTCGGTATTGCCGTAACTGCATTTCTCCGAAGTTGTGTTCAGATGGGGCTATGTGATTCCCCGTCATGGGTATGCCTTCTTTCGCCATGGTAAGCGCGTTGAGGACAACGGGGGACTGGGCGGCGGATGAGTTGCGGCGCGTTGGGTTGCTGGACTCTTCCCACTCGTGCGATGGGTATGTGTCGGTATCGAGCATTTTACTCAGCCTCGAGTTCATGTCTGTCTTCTTACGCTCTTCCTGCTCGACGTACGCATACCAGAACTGTATGAGTTCGTTGCGTAAATGGCGGAATTGCGCAACGTTTTCTTGCTCGCGGGCCACCCGAGCGCGATGCAGGAAGGTGTGTCGCCCGTTTCTGTATGTGATGTCCGGCACGATGTTCGACAACTTGCTGTAGAAGTCTTTGAACTCGGTGAACATCTCCCGGATAGGTGGTTTCTTGCAGACAGGCGCAGAGCTGCTAGCAGACATGCAGCGTGCCCAATCCGCAGTGTAGGCATCGAATGCTGCCATTCCGGGTAGCATCACGGGTAGATGAGTGAGAAACGGCGGCACGGAACATATTGGAGGCGGGTTGAGTGGTCCTTTGGTCGTTGAATGTGGGGGCCGTTGGACACTTAACATGGAGTTATGGTATGGTCTGCCGAAAAACACCCCGGCAAGATGTGGCTGGCGAACGTTCCGGAGTCGCTCAAATGGACTGACAATCAACTTTGCGTTGGTCATGATTTGCTCTTCCTGCCATTTAAAGTCTGCCAGGCAAAGCCGAACTTGGAGTTTACACAGATGATGTGATTTGGCTAGAATGCCTGACACCACGACAGATACATAGTCTAATAGGACGAATTAGCAGCATCAGTGAAGTATGGTAAAATGCTGACCTCTGATGTCATAGATCTCAACCTCCTCGTCCCAGGTCGAAGCCTGGGTCTGGTGCGGCGGGCATGACCAGTTTTCCAGCAATATGTCAACGGAATAGTTTTTGACAGCAGCCCAATCAAATGTCCTGAGAAACCTTTCCTTGGCCTCGTCGGCTTCGTCGGCCAGGAAATGAGAGGATCCGTCCGCCCTGCGAGGCTCCAATAGCCTTCTGCCGCACATGAACGTGCCGTCTTTGCGGACATCGATAGTAAACGTAGCAATGCTGTAGAGCAAATCCTTCACTTCGTGACAGATCTGGCGATTGACAAGCAGCAGGTCCACAAGTGGCGTAGGAAACACACTCCCGGGCCCTGGAGGAGCTACGTGGTGCGGATTGATAATGAGAGCGCGAGTCCGAGCTGTCATAAGGCCATTTGGAACGTGGGCAGCATCGAATTCGTCATCCAACCCGTCATGCAGGGCAGCCGTTGACGAGCCAATTGGCTTGGTAGGGAGCAGGTAGCGGAAGATCTCATGGCGCAGTTCTAGGGGAAGCTTGAGGAAGTAGCAGGGCGAATCTGGTAGCCCTTGGTGGTCCCCACAGAGCTCAAAGTACGGCCGCACCCATCTAAACAATCGTCCACATCTTTTGCCACCTGCATGCTGATGCTGACACCACCCTGCGAAGCTCTGCTGGTCGCGATGGTTACTGCATGTGGGCAAGTAGGTAGCTTGGGTATTCTGCTGCGACCTTTTTCCGATGCTGGCGCCGCAGCGTAGCTTCGTCTTCTTGTTGTACCCCGAGCACCGCTTCAGAAAGCCCTCGGGGTCTTTGGCGTCTTTGGGTTCGACGGATGCTGGAGCTTCTATGCGAGTCGGAGAAAGCTCTAGGCCGCTCACAGATTGCTCTGGGGAACTGCTCTCCTCGAGCCTGACGAATCCGAAGTGGATGGGTGTCGCAGATGCCATTCTGGCTATGGATTGTTTTATGGAGGGTTTCTGGAGGTGTGAGAAGTGAGTTGTAAAGCTCGCTCTCTACAATCGTATGGGCTGTGTTGCAACAATGAACGGTATGGTTATAGGAACCTGGGCTGAATCCCAAAACGTAATTCTGGATGCCACTGCTGGTCAGAGATTACTCTCTGCTGTCTCACATCACCGCACGAGGCCGCAGCGAAGTAGAGACAGAAGCTTCTGCGTAGATGAGAGCGGACACTTGGAGTTTATGGGTTGAAGGAAGGAAGAGTGCCCACGCGCAGCTGGCGCTGTTAGCAAACATGTAGTGTAACCTCGCTCGATGCACGCGCGTTGCACGGAGTCGAGCAGCTGAGGGAGGTTAAGGTAAGACTGTGCGCATAGCTGTATCGAGAGGAGGCCGGCAGCACGTCGTGGTCGATGCCATTGCGGCGTGAGGCATCGTTTGCCGCTTATGCACTTTGCCTTGATGCACTGTGCTGACCCCGCGTTCCTTCACGCTGGGACGCGCTCATGCCTGGGCAAATGCACAATCGGCGTTGCACTTTTCTTCTCTTCTGCACAAACAGGTTGGGACGTGCCAGTAGAGTTCTAAATTCATGCGATCACCGCAATGATCCACATAGTACGGTAACGCCTTGGCCAGATTGGTTTAGTCATGAGCCTTGGAGCTTCTTGGGACGGGATAGGAAACTAATCGGAAACCATTATTACATTGTAGAGTAGGAAAGCCAGCAGCCATCCAGCGGCCTACCAATGACTCTTGCCTGTGACCAGCCCAATAGTTCATTAAACAATATGCAACCCCTCGGAGCGCTTTCCCTTCTACTGGTGGTACTAAGAAGCGCCAGAGGGGAGGGCTGAGCGACAACTGATCTGCGACGCACCTCAGACGACTGACCGGACGCCGGCCGGTTATCTGGGCATTGCTTTTGTTCTCAACAATATACAAACGGAGGGCTGTACAGTTTCCAAGGCTGTGAGTGTGTCTCTGAATCAACGAATATGCCCCGTCATGTCAGAAGTAGTACTGCTCCACCACCTAGCCCCTTTGATCCACTGCTAACGTCCACTGCAGTCTGACCTAGCACCGCGCAAACCCGCCCTGGGGTCTCCATTCCTCGACGTCGTGTCCGATAGCTTGGATTCATCCTCCAGCTCCCCGCTCAGCCCGACTGAACTGCCACGGCCTGGCTATTCACGCCCTTACCAACATCGCATCATCCCACCGAGCATAAAGGGACATGGACGCTTGATAGTAGCACACCGGGTTGTCCCGTACTGGGTCGGAGTTCTCCTAGTTATCGGCGTATTCTCCTTTGGCGTTTTTTGTGCCATGGTGGTATCGGGGCATGCCAACAATGGGAAGTCGCACAGGGGAGGATAGCCTCAGGGAGGCATCAAGGCTATATACTTGTCAATATCTGACGCTGCGGAATCGCAGATGAAGCTTGGTGTGGTTATACCGACTGGACAGAGCAGTCTTACGGCTCGACGAATTGTATCCGGGCTTTTGGAGCATCCACTAGAAACCCATTGAACCTCACAAAGTATCAGTTGAGCAATTTATGAACTTTCAAGTGCCTAAGCAGGCAACACCAATTGCAACGTATCGACTTGGAGCATGCCGACCTTCATAAAGCTCAACCTTGGAAGTCCCCTGCTCGATTCGGTCGGTCTGTGGGGTACCTCGGCTCAACCGGCGACGCGCTTACCCTCTACCCAGGAGCACATAGTCCGACATATCAGGAAGGAAGCAACCACCTTCGCCTTGTAACCTCCTCATACTCGTCACAACCGCATCCTGCCACCGTCCCACCGCCAATGTCAACCACGACGCTCCAAACCACACCCCCTCCGACCGAGCACGTCCTCCTCTCCTACCCGGCCGACTATGTCCTCCTCGTCACCATAAACCGCGAGCGGCAGATGAACTCGATTCCCTTCGAGGGCCACCTCGAAATGGGGCAGGTGTTCGAATGGTTCGATCTCGAGCCGAATCTACGCGTCGCCATCATCACCGGCGCGGGCAAGAAGAGCTTCTGTGCGGGCCAGGATTTGATACAGTTGGGCAAGATCAGGAGTGGCCAGTTGAAGTTGAATCCAGCGCTAACAAGGCACCCACTCAGTGGATTTGGTGGCTTGAGTAGGAGAGCGGGAAAAAAGCCTGTCATAGCGGCTGTAAACGGATTAGCCCTGGGTGGTGGGTTTGAAATCGTGCTGGGTTGTGACTTGGTGGTCGCCAGCCCAGGCGCCATTTTCGGTCTGCCAGAAGCTCTCCGTGGTATCTTCGCAGGAGCAGGAGGTCCACCACGCCTCGTTCGCAATATCGGCTTACCCGTTGCCTCAGAGATGGCTTTGACGGGTAGGCCCATCACAGCACAGCGGGCCAAAGAGCTGAATCTCGTCAACCGGATATCACCCTCACAAGAAACCGTAGTTGAGGAAGCTCTGAAGCTAGCGAATGAGATTGCTGCAATTTCACCAGATGCGGCAATTGTCACCAGAGCAGCGTTGCGACAAGCATGGGAACACGGAAGCGTAGAGCGAGCTACTCAGATTACGATCGAGCAGTACGGTAATGCTTTACAAGCAGGCGAGAATGCATTGGAGGGCCTGAAAGCGTTTGCGGAGAAAAGGAAGCCGAGTTGGAAGCCATCGAAACTGTAGATTACATATGAAGGAAGCTCCCACTCTCACAGATGTCTACGCGCGTCATCTTGTGCATCCCTAGATTTGTGGAGTACAACTGCATTGAATTCTCTCGGCATGGTCCGCTCATGCATGCGTGGAGGGATTTGGATGGTCACGGCGAGTACTTCGGCGATTTCGATATACTTCAAACGACGTCAACAAACGGATTGCACACCCGCCGTCTTCCTAGCCAATTGAGCAAAGCGTATTGACCGCAGAGCTTCTTTACCAGTCCGAAGGGGTTAGATTAGTCTCCCGGAAGACTTCCAGGACCGAGCCGAACCCCTAGACCCCACCTCCCCCGCAATTGTGCATTCCAGCTACACTAGCGGTGAGCGTTGTAGGTTCCTCGGTAAGCGTTGCTAATACATATAGAGAACAAGAACCCTGACAGGTGACTCGACTTAATCGACATTCTAGACATTGTCGGCCTAAAACGATTCGAGCCAATCCTTATAAGTAGCCGTAACATCATCGGCTGCGATGGTCAACCGTGACGCCGCACCTCAGACGCAGAATATCCCCGTCGTCAAGCGCAAACGGCGTGCGTCCTGCCTTGGGGAACAGGAGAGACGGGAGCGGAAACGAGCCATTGATCGAGAAGCCCAGCGATCCCTCCGAGAAAAGACAAAGACACACATTGCCGACCTGGAGCGAACAATACAGATTCTCCGGGATCAAGATCGAAACGGAGCCACAGCCAACTTGCTGTCTGAGGTTGAAGGGCTACGATGTGAAAATGAGCGGTTACGAGACGTTATCGAGAGCGTGAAAGGCGTGGTCGGCACTGCCCCGGCGACTTCAGCCCATAAAAATGGTGGAGGAGGTTCACCAACCGCTGCCAGTGTCGGTACGCATGCATATCCAACATTAGCCTTTGAAACGATGCAAGACTAGGACCTGAGCATGGCGCTTACAACGCGGTAGGTGAGCGATCCCCTAAACCACGAGCGACATCCTTCAACAAGACCAACCCATCATTTCCTACTCCAACCATGTTGCCAAACGCTTTCGATTTCCACGAGCACGAGGAAAGCCCAACTATGCGACTCGACCTTGATGGCATGACTGTAATGACGGATGTCAATGCTAAGCCTACTGTAGAAAGTCCAAGTGTAGAGGAGCTAACTTGGAGCAATGATCCGGCGACCGCAACTTGGGTGCCCCTTATGGCAGAGGTCAGCCTTGCTAACCTTTCCTACACGCGCGACAGCTGACACGTTTAAGGTCTTCGGGCCTGAATGGCGTATTCCTTCGCCTTTTGTTTTACACATCGGCAGTCCAGACCCTCCAGTCTCCACCAGATCCAATACAGTATGCCCAGTCTGGAGGAAAACCAACCAGCTTTTCGGAAAGGTATTCTCATACCGCCCAGCAACAGATTACACCATACCCGCCCTTCTCAAGTCAGACCATGCGGAGGCGAGTCTGCTGTACCTTGGGATCAAGCAAGGGTGGGGTACATTACCTAACGATTGGAAGCAGAGCCCTGCACTCACAATCTTGAGAGAGGTTGATGACTTGTTGTTTTGCCATCTGCCAAATATAGCGAGGTTGGCATTCGCGTACAAGAGCTTCAAGCTGTTGAAGGTTAGCTACTTTACTCTGTGTGACATGATGACGTAGAGCAGCTACTAATATAAGAGCAGTATTACCTTGAGGGCTCGAAGGAACAATTAGACAAAGTCCCTGACTGGCTTCGTCCAAGGTACTTAATTATGCTCAAACCTCTAGAGTTTCGACCTTACTGACCCTCAACGCACACAGTTTGTCTCAGTCCAGCACCAAACACCCAGTGGCCATCGACTTCTTCGCCTGGCCCACGTTTCGCGACCGTTTGATCCGTAATCATGATTCTATTTTCCAGACGAGCGAACTCTATCGCCACTATTCCAAGTGCGTTAGCTTTGATTGGCCCTTCTCTTACGAGGACACTTTCTTCCACGACGAACTCACGGGTAATCACTATCCTAGCCCTCTGTTCGAGCGGTATCATGGAGACTTGAAGTCCTGGACTGTAGATCCAAAGTTCAAAGATAGATTTCCAGAGATGCTTGGAGATATCGAAGGGGATCGGAGGAGGTTCAGTGCAGTATATGTTGATTAGATAAAGCGGCGGTGGAAAGCATTCAAAACGGCGTGAATTATCCTCTCCAAATTCAGATCCCCAAAACAACCTAAGCACATCTTGGGAGGTATATGAGGCTCTTGTTGCCCTGAACAGTGCGAGATTTGTCAATACAGCATCAAAGCCGTAGTTAAACTACTTCGAGTAATCATCTTACATGTAAAAGCATGAGCAGGAAGAACTGTCACCCATAAAAGCATCGTCACTGTCAGGATATGGGGGATGATTCTGTATTCATAGTTTCTGCCGAACTAAACTATCCGCTGAGTGAATGATATAGCCGATCCCGGCACGGACCATCCGTCCTTGGCAGTATTCACGTGACAATCGCCCACGATCGCTTCCCGAGACAATCACACTACATCACTCAGCCCAGCTCTCGCATAAAGAGCTTGCACTAGATGTCCCGGTGCCGGCCTGAATCCCCGATTGCAGAGTGGACATACCGCCGAACGTACACTGCCAGTAAAATCTGCGATTGGAGCGTTGCGTTTACAAAGCGGACACTGAATTTCCAGCTCAAAGATTTCCGGATGCTTCGTAGCTCGAGCACGTACTCTCTCATCCGCATGGGCGTTGTACGCCTCTCGTTCCTTCACTGTCAGGTCGCTCTCAAGCCAGTAGATGTCGTAGAAGTGCATGCAAGCCCACTCTGGCGCACCACTCGGCTCGAGCACTGTGGCGTTTTCGATGCTGAAGCTACCATTGTTTCCCCACTGGGATCCCCAAGAGTTTAGAAATGTGAGTGAGCGTGGATCGCACTTTACTAGGACGACAGCATGGCCCCCTCCGTCTGTTAGGAAACGGTGTTGTGCCATGCGGGTCTCACTAAGAATTGAAGTGCGTGTGCTCGGTGTCTGGAAGTGCTCGGAGAAGGCTTCCCAACCGCTGATTGAGAGACGATAGGTAGCTAACACCGGCCGACGGTGCAATACCGCTTGTCGAGCGCCGTCTTGGTCTACCCGGCGGAAGCGGAGGGGACGATACCAACCGGCAGCCTTTTCCAAGACCTCTTCAACATTTCTCCCATCTGGCCCAGGGGGCAATTCCTTGAGAATCTGTGACCGAATTTTCGCGATGCTCGGACAGCCGCCGTCACGTTCAAAAATGCGAAGCATAGCCATATGAAGGACAGCTGCGATAGCATGGGCATAACATGTACTTGTCTGTCCCTGATCTGAAGGATTATTACGGGTCCGCATGTGCTCGTCGTTGATGTACGAGTCGAGATCCATCCGACCGAGGATGTCCAACAGTGCATCTGTCTCACGGAAGCGCGCAGATAGCAGCACGGAGCAGAATTCTTCCAGGGCATCTGAGCTGCATACTGCCGTGTACAGTGCACACTCGCCGGAGGAAGGTATCTCCCAGCCCATGGAGGACAACACTGGGATGGGATGTTGCGTGACAGCTGTCTTGGAAGCCATGTTGAAAAGAGTGTGTTCGCCAACGTAGCGGGAGCCTCTAGAGTGATCGTGAAGCTGGCGGCGAGGAATTGAGGTGTCAGCCGTCAGAAAGATGCTTGCTATGGTGACCTTCTCCTGCTTCAGCTCCTTCACTATTGGCAGTGGGTCCCCATCAGTCGACTCGCCATCGGATATCGTTACGAGTACACGTGCCTCGAGAGCTCTATGCTCACGAAACAGATTCAAAGCCTTAGTCATGGCCAGTTTCATTGGAGTCCAGCCGTATAAGTGCGGTTTCAACTCATCTAGCAGAGTGCGTCCTCGTGCATTCCGCTCAAGCGACGAATGATCCTGCACTCTTTCCAGCAAAAGAACTACATCCGCAACAGAACGTGCTGTAAGGTCTTTGAAATCCAACAGCCATTCGTCACAAATGCGGCGTGCGAGCTTCAGTGCCTCAGAATCTTCTACGGCATGATCTTTAGCCGTGTCTACGCCAATAAGTCCTACAACCCCGCCTACAACGGCCCCAGCGATCGTGCCGACGGGGCCAAACACACTGCCAACGGAAGCGCCGAGAAGAGGTCCATACATCTTTGCACCTGCACCGGCTATCTCCATATTCCTAAGCTTGTCAGGTGGTGGGATAGAATCGACAAATTCCTGAACCATGTCCGGGTTTCGCCGTAAATGTGCGTGAACGATGCGGGCCTGCTCTTCCGTGAGCTTTTCTTGGATGTACTTCGTTATATGCGGAACGTTCCTTTCATTCGCGAGGGCAACGAGGTGTTCATGCCCGGTGCGTACATCTCCCGGGCCATTTGTACCTTGCAAAAGCGCTTCGACGATGCCACACAGATCTACTACTGGAGCTTGCTTATTCTTCATTCCAAACGCGCCCACAAACATCAACGCATTCGGATTATGTCGCTGCTCTGCACGGGCGAGTTTGAGGGCGGCTCGGAGAACAGCGCGGAGTCGCTCAGTCGCTCTTCCGTCTCCTGTTCCTGTCTCCAAGACCTTGCGCATCGAGCCCGAGACATCTAGAAGGCATCCAACAATTGCTGTAGGAGGTTCGATCGTTGGAGTAGCTTTCGAAGAGCTGTTAGTTGCCATATCGAGGATTTGGGGTATAGTGAGGTAGTATTAATACAGCTGGAGTTCCGTTTGAGATAACTGCGGTCAAACCGCTTAAAGACGTTAATATGTCAGCATTGAACTTTGAGGCGTCTGTCGAGCAAAACAGGTTCTATAAATAATGCACATCAGCTTCAGCCTTGTCACCCCATAAAGTGGTCTAGATTCGCGTTGACCCCTCCTCGCTGGTTAAGGTTCAGGTCTCCGGTCAAGATTTCCGGTCAAGAACGGCTGACAAGCGTATTCGGTAATGTGTAGCGAACGGCCGCGCTCGGCGTAATTCGGATGGCGCTGAAGCCGGAAGATAACAGTGCAAGTTCGAAGAGGCTGGAATATAAGTCATCTTCACTATTTTGTTCCTTAGGTGAAAAGGGGAACTAGTTAACCGAGACTAGCAATATCCACCAGCTGAAACGTGAGTGCACCGCAGATTTGTGTCCAGCGCCTTCCGGTTTTTAAACAGTCATTTCCCTACTAGCACACATCCTCAATCTCGATGTCGCCTCCAGATCGTGGTCCCAAGTCTGACCGTAGCGTGCGGTTGAACAACTCTTTCAGCATCTCAAAGCATATGCCAGTAAGCGCCGCGTCATACCGTCCTTTGCTGAGCTCGTCGCGAATGAACGCATCTGCCACATATCAGTACCATGCCCCTATTGTATGAAAGATTGACGACTCACGTTGTGCCCAAGCCGGTTCATAGAACGAGAACGTAACACCCGCCTCGTGCAATGTCTTGCGAATCAAGTCACGCCCCTGAGGCGGTACGTGGTTGTCCATCTTGCCGAAGATCATGACTAATTCACCCTTGATGTCCCTAGCGCGAGCAAGAGAATCATCGTTCTTGCCGGCTCCAAGGGATTTACTGTGGATGTCCGTGGCAAAGTAGCAGATCGCAGAGACAACGCGGGGATCAAGAGCACATCGGTAGGCCAAATGGCCACCGAGGCACATGCCTAAAGAACAGTGAGTTCCATGACACTTCCCACAATGACGAGATGGAAAAAGTCTTTGACAGTTCCATAGGAAGAAGAAGACTTACCTGTAGCGCCCACTCGTCCATTGCATGTTGGTAGCTCAAGCAAGAGGTCAACCGCCAATCTCGCATCTTCATCATAAGCTTTGACTTTCTTCGCTATCTTCCACTCATTGCCTTTGTCGGTTCCGGGTCCATCATACGCAAGTGCCTCCGGTCCAGTGAACTCGTGATACGACGATGGAGCCGCGACGATGTATCCCTGCGACGCTATTTGTCGAGCGAAGCGGGCTACGGGTCCGGTGACTGCAAGTGTAAATCAGATCATACCGAGTTCATGGGAATTGACCAAAAATGGGGGAAAAAGGAAGGTATTAAGTATTGTAATTACATGTAACAGCACGTTATGAAAATGTGGGCGAGAAAGAGTACATGGGAAGTTGCATGATTAGAAAAGAAAGCGGAAAGAACGAGATCGTATAAGGACATAACATACCTTGGTAAATCTCACTAAACACAACAACGCCCGGAAACTTTGCCTTAGGGTAGTTTGCAAGAGTTGGGCTGAAGATGAAGATTCCTTGCTTGACATTAGCACTACCTTTGACACCCAATTGAAGCACCGCATACTCATATCCCCACCCGCCTGGGTAGGTACATCTTTGTGGGTTTCTTGGATCAGCATTGTATCTGATTTCGAGATGCAAGATCAAGTTGTGTAAATGAAATGCGAGTAGAAGCTTAGAGGTGGGGGTTGAAGAGGGGCAGTTTCCAGGTCACGTGTTAATTTGCGAACTTCAAGTCTGTGCAACTGCAATCAACTTCACAAACATATGGCAAGAGACATCACATTGTACGGTAAAGAAGACACAGGTTTGAAGTTTTTATCATCATCATTGGCCCGATCCCAGACACCGGCTAAAGGGTATCTCTGACGCTACATGTTTTTCCTACTCCTAGTGCGCGGAGGATCACTTCATTGGCATTGCAAATGTGATCCCGCTTTTCCTGTTCCAAATGCTTTAGATAACTTTTGTTGTCATGACAGGACGTGGGTGACGACACGTCGACATGCCCATATCTGTCTTTCCTTCAACTGCTCAAGTCTCGATGCGTTGATAGAAGAGAATGTACGCGACTTTGTTGTCACGTACGTTCTCTTTTGGCAGAGGCGTCCTCTTGCCAGCCGAATTAGGTGTTGCGGTCCCGTTGACGACACCGGTCCACTTCTTGGTGCTGTCCTTTTGTTTCTCAGTCCCATTCACCTGGCTCCAAGCTCCCTTGTCGGTCTCATTCTCCATATCGATCTGGGCAAAGAAGTTTTTCGTCTTGCCAGCATCATTCTTATGTTGCTCGAGGGCAGCGGCAAGAACTTTGGGGTCTTCCTCTGTACCGCCCTCGGCAACATCTTCAGCGCGGATCCGGCGGATAACAGTGTCATCCATGCGAATCCACTCCTTGCCTTCTTGTCGACGAAGATCTACGGTGTAGTGGCCACCGCTAGCGTTCTTTCCGTGATGGTAGACGACGCCAGTGAGCCTGTACCGTGGGAAGCCTCCTTGAGCTTGATAACTCCCACGTTTGTGTTGGGCGAACATTTCTTTTGGAATCTCCAACTCTAGAGGGTATCCAATCTTCTTCCAGATCTTTTGAGGCCCCCTCTCATCGTAGTGAAAGCGCTTCAAGTGTAAAATCAAGACTGGCGGAAGAGTCTCAATGTGCACTTGCTTGGTGGAAGCTCGCGCTCCACGAGCCGCGCCATCTAGTGTCTCCAGGCGCGTCAAGTTCCGGAGAGCATCCGAGATGTTGTTGATGTTTGGCTCCCCGATATCGAGCTGCAGAGGCTGGTATGGCTCCAACGTAACTGAAGCCTTCTCGCCCGGCCTCTTGTACTCGGATCGAAGCTTCCCACCAAATATCTTGGTGATTGGACTCTCGATCTCAATTGCGCCAGAGTTCTGGGTGACGGCTGTCTTTTGCTTTGCTCCAACTTCGTGCCAATCATTATCCACGGCGCCCAATGTAACGCTATCTGTGGCTTCATTTTGCTTTTCGTTCTTGATGATCTGAACGCACTCGTCGTGCAGTCCAGCGAGCAAGAAGCCCAGGAACTCTTCAGCATCTTCTTGTTGTCCCCGCTTCATGTTGTCGAAACGAGGGAGGCGCTTGATGACGTCATACACATACTCAGGCGTCAGGGGGTCGCCATACTGCTCCAGATCATTATCCTTCAAACGAAGGCGAAGTTGCTCGATAGAGGCAGCTGAGTCGATCGACTTGAAATCGCGCATAAACATGATCCTAGGTGGTGTCAGTGCGTAACAGTGATGGCTCGGGTGCTTGGACTTACATTGCATCAACAAGAGGCGTCTCGGACTTGAAGCTATGCACAGCGCGCTTCGCAACTTGATCTAAAAAGGTGTAAAAGGGAACGCAGAAAAGAAGTACTTGAAGAATCTAGTAGGCTGTTAGTATTATGCAATGATTGCCGTAGAGCGACACTTACTGAATTCATATAACACAAGTTGCCCGTATTTACAAGACCACGGGGCTCTAAGAAAGAAGCCTTCTTGTCCGAACCGACTGAGAAGGATGCAAGGACATCAGCAAGGGTATTACTCTTTGGTGCTGCCGGCCCGTTGACAGCGACGATACCGTTTGAGGTAGCCGGTGCTGGCGCTGGTGAGGCAGGGGCAGCCTTCGCCCGCAGTAGCTCTGCCCATGATTTGGGTGCTGTTGGTTTTTGGGGGGATGTCTTGGGTGCCTCCTCAGCACTTGCGCCCACGTCTGGTGCGCGTGTAGAAACCTCTTCTGCGCTCGTTGACCTTCCTTGGCCTGCCGGAGACTTGATTGATGGCTGTGTGGTAGACGCGGCGCTTGGTGCCTTGGCGGATCTGATAGGGATCAGGGGTACGACGGGCTTCGTTGTGTTTCGAGTGTGCTTTGTGACAGTAGCTGATGGTTGGGAGGGGGTTGGTGTAGCGGAAGGCGTTGTTGGCCCCATGTCGACTTCAGAGGGGGGGTGCGAGGTGGAGGGAGTGTCGACTTCGGTGTCCGAAGGCACAGCAATGGTAGACGTCTGTGATTCTTCCGGTTCTTCGGTTGGGGTTCTTTCGCCCTGGGAAAGCTGCTCCGTATCTGCCGGAGTAGCCTCTTCTACAATCTGCTCGCGTGAGGGTAGAGCGAGGCCCTCTTCTTCGGTTGACACGGGAGCCCTGCGTCGTCTCCTCCGCCGTGAAACGCGGGGCGGGAATTCTGCATCGGGTACGGACAGCCATGGTAAAGGCGGGTAGAAAGGCTTGAAACTCGTAGGCTGATGGGCGGGCGGGGTAGCGGCTGTGTCAGGCTTCAATCCAGCAACGGGTGGGGGACTGTCCACGGTCGTGTTTGTGAGCGAGGTTGAAGTAGACAAATGGGACTGTGAATGTGGCGAAGGCGTCGAAGGAGCAGGCTGGGGCTGGGGAGTCTGTATGCGCGCCATAGGTGGTGGTGTGTGAGAGTGCACAATGGGCGGCGTCTGGCCCATGGAAGCCGCCATCTGGGTCATATGGGGGTTCGAGGAGACAACAACAGGAGACGACTGAGGCTGGAATTGCCGCGGAGGCATCGCATACTGGGGCTGCGGCGTTTGGTATGGGTACCATTGCGCGTATGGGTTGTATGGCTGCGGGTAGTGGTGATAAGGCCCGTATGGGTTCTGGTGGACGGGCGATTGTGAGTTGTGGTAATAGGGTTGCTCAGCGCTTCGACGCCCAGGCATATAAGGGCCAGGCATAGTGACTATCAAGCGCGGAGTTCCCTCAGTTGGTCGTACGTATAAGTCGCGCGGTGCGCTAATGTGACGGTGAACTCTGTCGCGAAAGTTCGACAAGCGGCGGGGTGACTGACCGCGTGGTCATCGTAGGTTTAGGAGGACATGAGCGCAAGAAGGACCACACGCAAGTGCGAGCGCGGATGCGGAAATTTAGAAGTTGACGTTGATAATAACCTGAACGGCTCGTACCCAAACCCCCGAACAGAAGCCATGGATCCAGTTGCCTTGGCACACTACTCCCAACATGGCTAGCGCGCTCTGAGATTGCACGACATCTGAACAAGAGCGTAGGAGAGCAAATGCAGTCATGAAATCGACTAGAAGTCCAAGGCATTCATCTACCTGCCTAGAGAATCTCAATCTGTCTGAACCCAAATGCCACGATCCTGCCATGCTCGACACCGATACCACCTTCATTTAGATTTGCTTTTAGCTCACGATGAAGCCCATAGTGTTCCATCACTCGCGAAGATAGAGAAGGGGTACAGAGTTCTGGAACGGGGCCTTTGGAATTTCTAATGCTTGTACTAATAGCAGCTTGTGTAGTTCCACGTCCTTCTTGTCTGCCTCTATTGTACTAACCAAATAGCACCGCTATTACTTCATTCGATATACATGTTTTAGGTCTTTGACATATCAGGTCAGTCTAAGTTAATATTTTCCTATCAAAGTTCCTTTTCATTCAAGCGTATTGTTCCCATCGCCATCCCATATCTCTTAGTCCAAAACACGTCTCCCTCATCTCGATACATATATTTCCTCGCTTTATACGATAGCACTGCAGTGTTGCCATCTCATATAACTTATCAGTCAGATCTTCACCCCCAGTACGTTCTAACATAACTCCATGCTCCCTACATACTTACTCTTTTTCTCCTTTGCCAGGTATGTGTGACCGTCACAGCGTGATTATGGCCTCATGTCCCTATAATAGCCTATGTGCGTAGATAACGCGCGAATGGGAATTTCGACGGGACTTTATGCAATCGCCGCTGGTGTTCGGGAGGATTTCGGGTCGAATGAGTATGGGGCGTTGCCTTGCCTTTGACGGTTCGTAGAAGGATGAGCTTAGGAGACGCGTAGGTGTGGGAGGTGGCCATTCGTAACAGGTGAATGCAGCGCCACAGAGATAGCAGAGAAGAGCGATGACCATCTAGTACAGTATCAGCCCACGTCATTACCAAATCGTGTCGGTCTTTACTTACTGTTTATAGTAGTACTCCTTGTCGGCGAAGTCAAATCTACGGAAGTCGACTTGGATGTACCCCGATTGAGGTAGCTAAAAACGCAGCGCATACTGCGATGCGTTTGATGGGGTAATGAAGGGCTGAAGAGCAAGATTCTGCGGCTCGTAACCATGCAGTATGAGGACCACATACTCATTTGCTCATGTTAAACCTTTGAATCTTGGGTATGTCGGACAGACGCAACTGCGGATGCTTATAACTAACAAGTTTGTGTCTAGGTATGTTGCCGAATACAGGCTTTTGCGGAAGCCGGTGCAATCAAGTGAAAATAGGCTGAGGAATTCCATGAAGCTCCTACGCACTCTGAGTTTCTACGAGCAGTAGCCTCCCGTCTTAACTTTACCAGAACCGTGCTTGTCGCCGCCGGCGCGGTTGTTCTTCCGTCCGGCCTTGGCAGAAGCTCGAGGTTCACTAACAGGGCTGCGACTCTCTTTGCTCCCCACTCCATAGTAACCGATCTGTCCTCCGCCCACACGCCCTGCAGGCTCTGCCGCCATGGTCAATGTCCAGTCTTCCGACATCGTGGAAAAGGTGCATGTCAAGCATACCGATCTCGACGAGCAGACCCGCCAACTCATCCTGGAGTAGGATCTGGCCTTGTATCCTAAGGACATCTACCTTGGGGCCGACGAGGTCACACAAGAACCCTATGGAAAGATACCGACCGAGGATCTATTTTCTTTAAGGGCCAAGGACATCGTGAATGATATCCTGCCGACTCATCTCAACGGTGGGTGCAAAACCAGGACTATCGTACTCGGCAGCGACACGTGTGCTGGCGAGCATATGCACACTTCCCTTGCACTTACAAAGGCTAGGAACGACCCGATGCCCAAAAGTCCAGCTCAACTTCAACATCTGACGGATCTCCTTCAAGAGGACCCGCCTCCGGCTGATGCGTTGGGGTGCTCTTTCACCTATACTCTCAGACACCAAACATCGAGCTCGTTACATTCAATACAGCGACTGAGTACACAATCTCGTGCAGACTCTTTGCGCTAGATCTCGACTGGGACAAAGAAGACCCAGCACGCGTCGGATTCAGGGTCGAAAAGTACACGCCTGATCCATCTACGAACCCTGAAAAACTCAGCGATGAGCATGAGAGCAAGGGCAGACGGATGCTCGAAATTATGTCACAGTCGTTCGAGAAGACGCGCATGATGCGCATTTCGAGGCCGTTGAACCAAAAGCACAATTCAGTTGAGCACCATCTGCCTACCGCGACACTGAATCGAGACACTCTTCCACGCTTGGCGTATTCGCCAAACCTCCAAAAACCGAACTTATCGGCTATAAATACCTGCCATTGTATTCGCCTGGGATACTCAAGCTGGAGAGACCTAATAGACGTAACTGAGCATGTAGTCTCCAAGCTGCATTATACGACTACTAACATAATTCAGTTGAGCTCTATCAAACCATCGCGACTCCAGATCAAAATAGCTTTCCAAAGCTCTACGTATTCGTCAAACCTCCAGATACAAACTCTTCAGATATGAGCACCTTCCGTTGTATTTGCCTGACATACTCAAGCTTCAAAGCATACTAGAGGACTCAAGTAAGTATGTAGCCTCCAGGCTGCATCATACGAACTCGTCGGATAAGACCACTTGCCGTTGTGTTTGTCTAGCATACTCAAGAATTAGAGGTATAATCAACACAAGAGAGCGCGCGGTCCCCGTACTGCACTGCCATACGAATTCATTGGAAACAATTACATGTTGTTGTATTTGCCTAGCACATCCAAGCTACAAAGGCATCATCAGCGCAAGTGAGTATGTATCCTCTAAGCTGCATCATACGGTTAACAAACGCATGTTATCGACCTCCAATTTCGAGTAACTATCGCCAGACTACGAAGTCTACTTTATAATTCTCCTATATGCAAGATTCCCTTCCCTTCTTGAATAGGGAGAGCACGCTTTACCTTCCAAGCACGAGCTAGTAGAACTATGTGGTATCTAGTGCGGCTGCATCTAGAACAATTTCCCCTAATGACAGTCGACCATCAAAGTCTGTCATTCCTTGACCGAGCGCCTCTTCCCACTGCACTATCCCGTCAACTTAGCGCCTACAGTATCTTGTGCCCTTAGGCTCCTTTCAGAGCTGCCCTACTCCTGGCCCTTCCTCCCGGCTGTCAAATTTGCTATGAGAAGAGAGATCGTTGGATCATGCCTACATTCATGCTAGCATCTTCTAGAATGAAAGGATTTGAACAACATTTTACCACCTGCGATCTCCGCGACTCTTAATAATCTGGCATTTCGGGAACCGCTCCTTTTTCATGATTCTAGTTAAGCGTACCACAAGTGATGGAAGAGGCACGCCGCGAATATAATCAAGAGGCTCAAAACCAATAAACTCCTGTCCAAATCATTCTGCTCATAGAAAACGTCAGAGGTGTTCATGCGGCTAGCTCTTCGCAAGTCATAGCGCTGTTTAATTTCCTCAGCTTCAGCATTCCTGCCGAAGTTCTCGTAGTGCTCTTGCAAAAGGTGTGCACACACAAGTGTGTGTTCATCATGCTTCCCATTCTTCTTTTCATGATATTCCTGAAAATATTCGAGTGCGCTTTTCAATTTCAAAAAGGCGGTTTCGACTTCTGGCTCCAGACATGCAGAAGGCCCAAGCCGCAAGTGCGCATCGGCTACTCTACATTCGAGCTCCCAGACCCTTGTTTGGCTCCAAGGCCGATCTGGTGCATTGAACTCACTGCGCAGTCTTTTGAGCAGTCTCTCATATATTTTCAGTGCTTGTCGTGTAGACTGCAATTCGTGCATCTCGCAGAGAACGCCGGCAACTTGCTCTTCCACGTCCGCTACCCACTTATCTTCTCCGGATAACCATGACAGAATAGCGTTTTTAGCATGTTCCAAATGACTTTTCGCCACTCGAAGCTCTTCCGTCGCTTTGGGGGGCTGACAGGCTGCCTTGGCCTTGTGGATATTGGCCTCGGCAATGCATTTGAGTATTGCAAGTTTCTTTAGAACGCTTGATTCCAGTGGGGGTTGAGAATGCTGGTGGCCAAGGCTGATTGTGGGACCGCCATTTCTCATACGTATGCTAACCTCTGAGAGGCCCTTGAGGATCTGGACTGAGTTTTCAGGCTGTAATGCACGACTGTGCAAATTTGCTAGGTCAAGCAAGCACATCCATTCCTGCTCGCGATTACGTTGGGGCTGCGCTATACAACCAGCGTATACATCTTCCAATAATTTGCTCCTCGTTGCCCATGATTTTCTGTCTCTATTCGTAAGCGGGGGCAATGTGTATGCCACGCATAGATGGCGAATTAGACTCGAGCGGTTCTCTGCTCCCTTGTAGAGCTTCCTCGTGAACTCTAAGACACATGCTGCGTCGTTGTACCGACGCTCTTCCAGATATACTTGCGCAAACGTGATGACGGACTTCACCATTTCGTCTCTGCAGATGAAGCCAGTTGTAGCGAGTTGGTTGGGGTCCTTGTTGAGTTCTTTGACAAAGCCCAGAAAACGATCAAAGTGGGCCATAAAGGGTACTTTCCACAGGTACGAGGACCGGTAGATGTTCTCTACGTTTGCTTTTGTACGCCTATGCTCTTGGTAATGAAGAAGAAGCATAATCAATGCGATCTGGTAGAGGTCCATTAGAGTGTCCACTCCCATATTTTGGCGCACCCATCGCTGCATCGATTCCTGTATAATCTCATGCATGACGTAGTATTTCGTGTTGCTATCCCTTACCTTCAGGACAAGGGAGCAATTCTCTAAGTGGCCAAGCATCTCTCCAAGCCTCAACACCTTGTAATAGTTTTGATATATCAGCTGGAAAGCAATGTTGTCTTTGTCAAAACATGAAAGTTCACCCAGAAGTTTGAGTTCTGGGGTCGGCCAACTGTTGTGCGTCCGGTATGATATGTTCTGCCATGTCTCATTGGCATGAAAGGGCTCGAATGTAGAATATAGCTGAGGTTTGCCCTTGAACATTTCGTTTGGAAATCGAAAAGGGCTTCCATCCTTGCGAGCCGTTTTTATTCTATCGTACAGCTCGGGGACGGAATGGTTATTATGAGCTGCATAATCGGCAAAGGCCTTGGTGAAGGTAGGTGTGGAGAGGCTCATGAGTAAATCATCCATCTCCCTATCGTCGGGCAGTACATCTTGGTTGTGCCACTGGAATACTAGGCGGGAGTAGCTAGTTGGAAGCTGTCCAACGTGAAGGCGAGCCTTCTGACGTCCAGGGGGAATGATATATTCGAGGCCGTCCAATATGGCTCGGTCTTTTGTTGTAATCAGGATCTGGGCGTTATTTAGGTCGGTGTTCGTAGGGATGAGTCGAGCGACCTGGGCAGCCATTGTAGGTTTGTCCAAGCCGTCCAAAACCAAAATCCATGGCCCATTTCGCGCGTTCCCTAACCACTTCTGTAACGTTTCTAACAAGTCTTCAGAACTTCCGATAGCTAAAGAAACTACTCCGCCCATCTTGCCAATACTCTCTTCAAATCGAGTCTCTGTGCCGGCCTCTACCCAGAAAGTATGTCGTTTGTCTTGCTCCGAGTCAGTGTCTTGGATCCGCCTGACATATTCGTATGCCAGGTGTGATTTCCTGCGGTTGTTAGTTAGAGTCTACCAGGCCAAGAGGGGATCGAGCGTACCCCATTCCGCTCAAACCGTACAGGCCAACGCAACTGGACACACGGAAACGCTCGGTAATCCCTCTGTCCAATTCATGCCGTCCATAGAGCCTATTTTGTCTAAACTCGTTCATTTGTGAACAAAGACTCAACGTTGTTGCACAAGTTCGAATCTTTGCAGCGACCAGTGTAGCTGGCTTCGGCTCGTCGACAGACCACTCTTTCAGTTTGAGAACGTCCACTTGCCAGCCCTTCTTCCTGGAAATAGCTCTCTTCAGAGGGTTGTGTTCGTTGCTTAAATTATTGAGAGAGCGGGTGGCAGACTGCGCTACGCCCCAGAAATAGCTCTTGAGGTCTTCTGGTTTGAGGTGAGGATGTGCCATCTCATATAGATCCATGTGGACTTCCCAAACATATATTCGTTGAGCTCGCGCAAGCAGCATCTCGGAAACCAGGTCCAGAAGATGTAAGAAGCTTGATCCGGTGACCTCTCCTTCGCGTAGATGTCTGATCCATTCATGAACGATGACAGTGTTGTTGTTGAACGATCGATCGATCCGCAATCTTGATCGTGGCAAGCGCAATTCCGACTTCGAATCTAGCTGTGTGTTCTCGGCTCTGCGGGTCTTGAACATCGGGATTCCCTCCGGACTCCATCCAAACTTCCAAACTGTAGAAAGTTCTAGGAGGATACACCCAAGAGACCATACGTCAAATTGTCGTCCATGTTTCTGGATCTCATTGGTTATGAGGTACTCCGGTGGTTGGTAGTCGTACGTGCCAAAACCGTTGGAGGAGTTGTGGCTGGTACGGCTATTGTCTATCCCTTCTTTGAGGTGCGCCATTCCAAAATCACAGATCTTCCAGACAGCCGGGGGCCCGTCGAACAGCAAGATATTCTCAGGTTTCAGATCGTGATGATAAGCAGTTTTTCCATTGATCTCCTTGTGGATGTAGGCCACAGCTGTAACCAGGTTTTCGATGGTGTTCATGATGTAATTTTGGCGTGCTGTCACATGAGTAAGTCCATTGGGTGTGCTGTCTTGCTCCAACCAATTTTTCATGTTACATGCCTCTGTGTGCTCGAATAACATGTGAAAACAGGTAACTTCATTGCCGCGAATAGGATTCTCCCGCCCAGCAATGAAGCATGCAAAGAAAGTGACAATGTTTGGATGTGATCGCGCGCGAATAGTTCTGACTTCTCTCATAACTTTATCGATACTTTTCGAGGTTTCGAGCAATTCCATCTCCTTGTGCGTCACGACACTGTCCTAAGCACAATTTAGAAGTAGTCATTGGCAACATAATTGACTCGTAGGACTCACCTTATCGTACCCATCGTCTACGGTTAGCTTCAGGTGACCATGAGCCACTCTCACTTTGTAGACCTGAGCGTAACCCCCATGACCTACTGGATCAGGTTTGCCTATAAAAGGAAAACGGAACGATGTGACGGGAAACTGGGGCTCACGATCGCGGCGTAATACAGGGGGAATGTACCACTGTGTTTGAAAAAAGTCGTCCGCAAAGTCGCACAAATCCTTGCTGGCCTTCAATTGCTCCAGTGAGCAGTAGGGTTTGTCTCCTTCGCTGAGCTCCTCGAATATGTCATCCGTGACGGGATGGTCGCGTTTGTAAAGGGAAAGTATCACTTGCGATTGGTTAACCAGCAACAGGATTGCATAGAGCTTGCAGGCTCGAGTCTGCACCCATTCTTCGAGTTTCGGGAGTTTGATGCTTTTGACTAGTTCCTCCCTCCCGTCCTTTGTAAGACGCTCTAGATCGCTCTCTAGACTCAGTCTCAACTTCGATGGTTGGTTGGTTCTGTAAAGGTCTGCGATGAAGTCAAGCGAGATGTATTCTGCTGTTCGGTATTTCCGTTGGTAGTCGATGCGTTGCATCTCCTTCTTGTATCGTCCCATTTCGTCCTCCAGTTCCCGCTTTAGGTTGATGGTATCGCTGTTGAATAGGCCTTTTAGACCGTCAACTATGTTGTGTCCTTGTGATTGAAACATTCGAGCTTCTTTGGCGCATAAGACTTTGACTCAACCGGGCTGAGAGGAGCCGCAGCCTTGTTGGCTGCGAAGATCAGGCATTTAAATGTATTGGGCGAGGCAAGAGCGAGCCGCTCCTGCAACTTAGCGCCAGCCACACGGTTATGGGGGTGGTCAGACACTCAGCCTTGACTGCGATGTTGCATTAAAGCGTGCTGAGAGGGCGTCCTTCGCGGGTCGAAACGAAAGCCTCGCTGGGTTTCTATGCCTGACCCTCGAACCAAACCATGCGGCAGCTGCCGAGGCTAACCGTGTACGCCCTAGGCATATTGCCACCAGACAGGCCGTCATCCTGAAGACTTTTGACACGCTTGACATGCTTGATATGGATCATATGCACAAGCAGCATTCTCAAGGTCTTTCGCGTGCTGGACGCTTGACAAATCATATTGAAAACAGTCACCACGCTAAAATAAAAAAAGGAACCATATGCGCAGCCGGGGTATCTCCTAGATGCAACCAAACTCCATGTATAGCCAAAAGCCTAGTGGGGTATGCTATGCCGGCCCAAAAGATGCATACCCTGCAAGTACTTCATCCAGCGCCCAAGAAACTCAATGGGAAGGGTCGGCACAGCGCTGGGCGCAGGTAAATCTCAGCGAGCACCGTAACCTGAAAGGCATCAGGTCAGCGCGACACCACACCTATGCGACGTCTAGAAGAACTTACGTGCATTGGGCATACCACAAAGAATATTATGCTCAGACAGAGTATCGCTGATAGTGCGCGTCAGCGCAGCATCCCCAGCGCAGTCTTCGATCGCGGGAGCCGGGGTCGCCTGCGGCTGCGGCTGCGCTTGTTCTCTTGGTTGGAGGTGGCCATCTCTGGTGCTGTTAGAGGTTCGTTGGGATGTATCCTTTTTTGTATATGCTTGTTCAACGGTGTAAGGCCTACTTCACGTGTCATGAACTTGTTGGGCCGTGGTTGGAAAAGTAGAAGCAGTAGTGTACCCACTCGAGCATGCTGCCTGGTGTTGACGGCGGTATTTGCAACCCCACTGCGGCAAGAGTAAACACGCCTATTCCGCAGAGCACGCATTTTGCAGATCCGCGTTTGCCCTTATGCTGCTCTGCGTGTTTGTGGATGACTTCGAGCTTAGGTGTAGCTATGTGATCGGCCATGATCGGGGGGCTTTGGTGTACGTGGGTGCTGCACAACGATCATGCGCTCTGGCCAGGAATGGAGCTCATAGTCCCGAAGTTACATTAAAGTGAAGTTCAGACAAGTAGTGGTGAAGTGAAGCTTGCCAAAGCAGCCTTAGGGGGGGCGGGACAAGAGAGTGGGAAGCTTCGAGCATCGGCGAGGAGGGACGCAAGGACTCCCGTCTGATGCGCGGGGAACCAAACCGGAATTACCACAATCACCGCCGACGTTCAACAGTCAGCAGAGAAGAACATCAGCATCAGGTCAAGAAGGAACACAGCACTCTGAATCTCATCTTTTACTAATTCTTCCCTTACTGCTTCGTTTAGGCGAACAAGGTCGTCGACTCTCTTAAACCGAACTACAAAATGCGACGCCATCGCCTAACCTCAAGAACGTATGAGCAGTTGCTCCTTCGACTTTGGTAACTTCCGTTCTTCATCGTCGGGGATATAGATTTTCACCCGGTACCTCTGACCGCTCGAGGCATCAGGATCCATTTCATCAATCACGCCTGTCCACCACGTTCCTATGCTTGTTGTCAGAATCAAAAAGCTGCAGATCCTCAATACTTACTACCATCCAGTACCCAAACGGCTTCGCCAGCCTTGTAGTCCCCATCCTTTTGTTTCGCATTTGCAGGTGGGCCTGAGCCGGCCATTAGGCACTGACACCGTTCGGCTGGTACGGTGGGTGAAGATAAAACGAACAACGGCTTTGATCACTGACTTCGTGTGTAGCACCCTTCCAGGATATCGACAATAGAATCCTTGGGAAAAGGCCAGGCTGAGGCATAAACGGCGATACTGGTGCCTTCTTATAATGGGCTGATTGGTGAATTCCGCATGCCACGTCTCACCGGTATGGTAATATAAACGCATGCATGATAACATAGCCCCGCAGGAAGGCTGTGCCATTGTGTGTGAGAACCTTCTTTTAAATGCCCATGAGCCTCCCAGCAGCTGCTCAATTTAGAAGATCACATGCATTAAGACCTGACGCAATAACGAATTTCACCCTTAATACTACTGTTCGGGCACTGGCGCAACACCTTCGCTGAAGCATGGACCCTGTGTCATTTGCTGCCAGCCTTGTCACTTTGCTTGGCGTTGCTGGCAAAACTTCCGAGTTTGTCTACAACTTCATTCTTGACATTCGTGATGTGCCGAAGGAAATACGGTCGCAGGCTATCAAGTTACAATGTTTGCATCAAACTCTCACCGCGCTCTGGTCTCTATACGGCACCAGCAGCATGACTCCAGAGCTGCAACTCGATCCAGTCCTCGAGGACCATATTCGAATTTTCCTGAGCGAAATTCAAACGCTCGAAAATAAGATAAGGGAGAGGAGCACCAAACTGAGCGGTAGTCGAAGGCAGCATATGAAAGAGCGGCTGATCTGGCTTTCGTCGGATCGAGAACTACGCAAGTTCTATACCTCGCTAGACAATTGGTCTCAGATTTTCTCGACAGCAGTGTCTACAACTAATCTGTTGGTTATCCTACCAAGTCACATGTTTACTGTAGACTGATTCATATCCAGAAAGCTGTTGATGAAGATAAACGAACAAGTCTTACAGACGCGGTCAACTCCATCGATCGTCCATCCTCAACAGCGACAACTAGAAAACATGTTAAATACTGGTGGAAAATGTTTAGACCCCCAGGTCGGCACTCATCACTTAGGTGGGACTACACCATTCACGCTACAAAGAGTCGCGCCCCTGCCTAGCGCACTTCGTGCTTGCCTAAAACGGACTCGTGATCCCGTAGGTCTCAGAGTCCAACAATGGTACACATATACATCCAAGGTCTTTTTAGTAAATTGCCTTGTTGGTCCCTCAGTATTGAGATGCTGGTCAGAAGAAGGCAAATCAGTCTACAAGACAATGTCATTGAAGAACAGTGCATGTCTGGCATCTACCCTTCATATCCGCCGGTTCTTCCCAAGGCGGATTAGCCTCATGATAGCGTACCTTCTAGAAGGTCCAAAAGTCAGTTTTACTTGGAGTCTTGCAATAAACGGATTATTGAGACCGATTCACCCAGCATACCTGGCTTGCAAAAACGGAGATTGGCATATGTTGCGGAAAATGCTAGAGGATAAGCGAGTTAATATATTCGACACCACTGCGTATGGGACTTCATTACTACATGTATATACTGCAACCTTCATTAGAATTGCTCCAAGCTAAGATTTCCGATAGATAGCTGCACAAAGTGGGCATGATGAGATAGTCACCGGACTTCTCCATCAAGGCGCGAAAGTCGATGCCGAGAACGATTTCGGAGAGTATGTCCACGCCCAAAGGCCCCCACAGTGTGATGCAGTACTAACAATCAATGGTAGAACTCCATTGCAAGTAGCTATATGGAAGCCCCGAAACTATGCTATCGCAAGTTCTTTGCTCACCTTCGGCGCTGACCTCAACCATCAGGACATCACGGGTCGAACTGCACTTCACAGCTACTTCAACGACAGCGTCAGGGCACTCATAGAGTTCCACCAAGAAGACCTCGATAACACCACCCAAGACTCATCTGGAATGAGCATTGGGCATTACGTTGCTTGGAGCAAGAGCTCGTCGGTCATCGACCTTCGTCGGTGTTACCGAGCAAACCCCGCGTCGCTTGGTACAACTAATGATGAAGGCATGACGATACTGCATTACGCCTGCCAACGAGGAAATCTCGAAATCATCGAGTTTCTGCTAGGCGAAAACAACCCAGCTTTCTCGCAGGCTGACTGGCATGGTCGCACATTACTCCACTACGCCACGGAGAGTAGTCGTAGCGCGCAAACGATTGATATTCTCGTACAAGAAGGTTTCGATGTACATGCCGTCGATCACCGTGGCAGGACTGTACTCCACCATGCGGCGTCTGCGGGTAGTGTTGCCGCAGTAGAAAAGCTTCTTGAGTTGGGTGTCGATGCGGATCTGCATGTGCTGGATGCTGATGCTCGCACACCGTTACAGCTGGCGGCTTGTTGCGGAAGGGATGCGGTTATGGATGTGCTCAATCGAAGATGTGGTGTACTACAGGTTCCAGAGTTAGCTGAGGAGCGGGATGCGAGTGATACTGATGGGCAGAAGGCATGGGCGATGAATACGAAAGTCTTCATCAACCTGATATGGACTTTGTTAGACCTGAAATATGTTGGTGGCTGCATACTTCTGTGGCTTATATTTCAGATGTGGGCCCTTGTTGAGCGCAGATGGCGACCTATGTATTCAGTCAATGTATAGTTAGGTTGAGAGATTATCTCGTGGTGACAATTTTAAAACTTCGAGTATGGATGCTTTTTGTATAGTTCTATGTGTACTTTACGAGTAGATATGTTTATTTACGCTAGAAGCTTTAAGACAAATGTGTGACTATCCATTAAGAATCGTTCAGTATCAACTGTTACTTGTCATACTCCATGAGACATGTCTGCTTTATTGCTATACCTTATACCCTATCGAACTCCTCGCGTTTCTGGCTACAGCATACCATCAACGAACGCAAGGGCTAGATCTGCTGAGTTTGAGCAAGTAGTCAGCACCAGAAGCTCATATCAAGGCAATCCTCGACCAACGAACAACCAGCGCATCTGAAACCTCTTTCAAAGTAGCGAAAGAGGTCGATCACGACTGGAGGCAGAAACTGCCCAGAGATCTAGACGATAGTACCGCGAGATGCAGTGGCCGAGCTGATATCAAGGCGATTCTCGACCAACGAAACCGAAACCTTCGTCAAGACAGCGAAAGAGGTGGATATGTCGGATAAGACTCGGAGTGTCATCGTCACCGCTATTACAGAGCCTCGCTCAGATGAGCTGCCTCTATTCCCGAATCCACCACCAAGGCGCGAGCGAACCGGAAACGATATGTACAAGTCCACAGGGAAGTCGCCATGAGTTACAGAGCACGAGAATGAGTCAGTTACCCCCCACCCCGATTCATGCACTGCTGATCAAAGTAGGTAAGAGGATTTTCAAAGCGCCTACGCCCTAGTTGAGCAGGTAAGAGGATTTTCAAAGCGCCTGCGCCCTAGTTGAGCTATCGCTGGTTTCTGTGAAGTTGAGCAGGTACGAACACCGCAATTCTAAAACAGTTCCAATGAAGGTAGCAAATGGTATTATGCAGCCGGAGTGGTCGTTGCGGTGTCCCCAAGCGCCCGCTACCATGCTCTCGTCTAACGCACGTGTGTTCTACACTATACCTTCGGGCGCTCCTGCTAACCCTCGACAGAGCTCGATGCCTGCATTTGGGTACAAAGCCTAGCAGCACTGGTTCCGCCATTACAGCGATGAGCATGTCTTCCGCCTGCACGCTCACACGCGTTGCAGGGGATAGTGAGGTTACGGGCGGCAGACCACGCGAGCTCACCAGCAGAGCGATTCTAGCATATAGCCTAGAGATCCGCAAGTCAAGTACAATGCTTGGGACCGCGGAGGAGTTGAGTAAGAGCCCTCTGTCGATTTGTGTCGCCACGTGCTGGCCACTTGACTTTGTGTAGCGGCCACCTCAGCTGCAGCGAACTCATCAGCATCTAAATCTTCACCAAATTCTTCTGAATTGTGTTGAAACTGGAATGCCTTCACCGCAACCCTGCTAAGTCACGCAGCGACATTTGGAACGACAGTAGATATTCAATTGTAAGTGTGCGGCGAATGCGAACGAGATTATAGGTCTTGTAGCTAACTTTTTAGATTCTGTGCTAGAGCCTTACGTTGCCTTTGCATCAAGTCCACAAGCTAACCGGACCGTCGCAGACAACGTTACGTATAGTTAGCATTGACAACGAGCAAAGTCGGACGTTAGCTGTAGGACAGCCATGTTGTTAAATACAGCATTTGCTACGATGAGCGTTTGAACTCTTTGCGCGATGCGGTACTGAAACGCTATCCAGTCAGTTCGGCAGGTCAAGTCAAAGAGACGGTTGCAGTGGTAACTCGGATTTGAAAGTCCTCAAGGCTGCTCGGAAGCTCACTGAATAGAGGAAGAAGGATAGACTCGAGGAGCATGGCGTAGTCGTGATTATGTACTTTCAAGAGAATAGCAAGTGGCCAAGCATCCCTCTACCACCAAAGCAAACGTCTGTTTACACAAGCTAACTTGTTTCATTGTACCTCGTCTTCGCTATTCATGTTAAGTCTCTTCTCATCTCTTCATCTGTTGTCATAATTCCAGACGCGCTGCACTTGTTGTCCAAACACTGCAAATCAGTCGCATTGGTGGCATATCAAGAGGCGCAAAAACAGGCATTAAGATAAATACACTTACAAAAGCACTCGTTTCCAATCATGTTAGCAGTCTTTTCGACGATCTTCTTCGCCAGGTGACGGCGGTCGAGGTGGTTGCTCCTTCCTCGTGAACGCTCCTTCCTGCTCCGTGGATGACGTGACGCGCTAGCGTCCCTCACCAAAGAAGAGCTCGCTCGCCGAAGGATTTCTTCTTCTCTTCATCTTTCTATAACGGTTGCAGTCCGTTATAGCGCTCTAGCTCCCAGCTGCTGCGATTGAAGATCCAAGTCGCTCTTAACTGAGTGCCCTAGTGCGTGCTCTTAACTGAAGACGTCTAGATCAATCAACCAGGAAAATTCTACTTGCTACGGCAGTAGGGTGTGCCTGGAAGATTGCACGGTGATCAGTCTTCTGACTGTGACCCGTATCCCCTTTCCTCTATGTCTTCTCGAAAGATACAGTTGCCTGGCAAGCGTCAGCGCGAGGAGATCAGGGCTGGCAGAGAGCCCCAGACCGAGATAGAGAAGCACTATGTGCAGAGCTATCTAGATAGGCGCGCTGCACAGCGCTCGGCACAGACTGGCAGGGCGCGTAGCAGGTCCCGGTCACGAAGTCGACAGGCAGAGCGACATGGACGGCACTCACCATCTGACAGCAGGACTCGTGGCAGATCAAGGTCGCGGTCACCAATTAGAAGATCAGGGCGATACAGTACTCGCCCACGGTCACCAGTGAGGCAGTATGATTCCAGATCTCACCATTCGCCTCGTCGATCTCGAGGTGAGGGAAGGCGGACGTCTCCTCGCAGTGGCTACAGGTCTCGAGATGACTCCAGGAGGAGGACATCTCCTCGTGGCAGCTACCGGGCTCGAGATGAGACCAGGCAGAGGCCATCCCTTCGCGACGGTTGTCGTAATCGAGATGAGTCCAGGAGGAGGATATCTCCTCATGGCAGCTACCCGGCTCGAGATGAGCCCAGGTCTCGCTACTCTCCTCGTCAATCTCAAGATAAGTCCAGGAGAACGTCTCCTCACAGTGGCTACAGGTCTCGAGATGAGTCCAGGTCTCGCCATTCGCCTCGTCAACCTCGAAGTGAATCCAGGCGGAGGACACCGTCTCGCAGCGATTACCAGACTCGAGATGAGTCTACGTCCCGATACTCACCTCGTCGATCTCGGAACGAGTCCAGGGGGGCGTCTCCTCGCAGTGGCTACCGAACTCGAGATGATCCCAGGAGGACGCCTCCTCGCAGCAACTACCGAGCTCGTTCGCCTCTACGATACCCACATATTGACAGTTTCCAGCCAATCGATAGGTCAGTACGGCGATCCCAATCACCACGAGCCTCCTACCAGGACCGAGGCTCTGAAGCCACTCTGCCTCCGGGAACTTACGGAGGAATCCGTCGCCAGCGAGGAGCACGGTCACCGGTACGACGCGATGACTGATGGTCGTGTAGAAGGTACAGGCATTTGGGGAATTGGCATTGATTGGGTTGTCGTTTTGAATTTTGATGTCTTTCAGCATGTCCTGCTCCCAGCTGAGAAGGAAACAACGTACGGGGCCACACAATCACCGTCGAGGCAGGTAGATTGCGGGTACTCAGGCATAGCGACCACTGTTGATCGAGGCTAGCTTGTATTGGGGTTGCTATACTGTATCTGTACCTTTCAATGTAAAGAATCTGCACTTGTTGACTTTTGTACATGTCATAACCTCATTGCAAGGTCCATTTCCCGAACGTTTACTAGACTCCAGCATGAATCTTCTCGCACCACTGGTCCCCACAAATCAACTTCCTCTGCTGCTCCCCATCTCTGTTCCTACACATCTCAAACCCTCCAGTCGTAAAGTGCTCACTCATATGTGTCAGCCACTCATCCTTGGCCATCCTCTTCGACACGACGCCTAGCCTCTCCCAACAAATCGTGCACTGTCTGTAGACAACGTGCTTTCCATAACTCCCGCGCTCCCTTGCAGTTGAGGCCACATGCTGTTTGAATGAGAAGCGAAAATGCATACCCTGGCATCCAGTTGCCCGCGTAGGCGGCCGCGGTCCTTTAGGCTTCCACGGCGCCATTCTGAGTGTGCATGACGGGCATTTCCAATCTATACTACACGGTGTTGTATCGTCACGCTGTAGCGCGAGCGCTCCGGGACAGAAGTCCGGCCTATTGGCTGACGAGGGAAGACTCAGTGTTGTTCTAGCGATCGGAGCAGCCGTACTGAAGCGCTGATATTGTTGGGCCAACGACGAGATTGAATCGAGCTTTGAGCGGTCTGAAAGGTTAAGCAGAGATGCATAATCGATGACGGGATTCGCTGGATTGGATAGTAGGAACCCTTGAAGCTTCTGGATCATGTTTTGTTGCATGTTGATCAAAATACTGGTGAGTTGGCTTCTGGCAATTACTAGGTATCGAGGATATAGTCAGCATACCCACTTCTAAATTACAGTGATAACGCTCTGCATAATATTACTCACAGTCTCCTGCTGCGAATCGTGGCCCAACCCTGGCAAAGTCACGGTCGTATTCGTCCTGGATTTGTGGTGGCGCCAGCGCAACCGCATTTTGGAGCTTTTCCATCTCTTCCACTTTTCGGCGAGCCTTTTCTTCTTTCCGATTCTTTCGCATTGTCAAAAACGAGCTTGTGCTGCTGAAGGCACCGGTGATAGCTGCGATAAGGGCAACGACCTCTAAGCCGAACATATTTGGAACTGATTTGAAACAATAGATTTAAGCAGCGTCTACGCCTGGAAAACTCGTCGAGCTATCAGTAGTCGGTGCTCGAGCAGACTTGTGCTTGTCTTGAAGGGTAGGAATATTTGAGTGTTTTAAAAAAGCGAGCCACATGGGACAACTATATTAAAGCAAGCGGTTTCAGCCTTGTGCGCCTCACTACGTGGCAAGCGGGGTACTTTCAGCCATTGTGCGGATGTATTCCTATCTTCAGGCTCTCGGTTCAACAAGTGACTTTCGGAGTAGGCAGCCCGTGATTGGGGTGAACAGATCGGACATGGTGGTGACCCGCACGACTGTTGCGCTCTGCGCCCAGTCCAGTTCTCGATAGAGAGTAACGCCGATATGAGTGCTCAAACAAACGACGGTAAAGGCCCCTGCAGCTATATCAATTACCCATAACAACCATGGTATGCTCGACATGTTGCTCAGCCACAAAGACACTAACTATATCTCGCTACGTCGCTCTCTTCAGAAGCTCTAAACAAGGAAGTTTTTCAGACCACATAGTTGGATGTCGTGTGGCAATTAAAGAATTCTATTAGGCAGCTACACAGCGAGACACACGACGCACATTACGCACTGGCTCTCTTGGCTCTTGTTCTTCATATAGCTCCGAAGACAAGTTGCTATGTTCGCTCGTACCTCGCCGCACCAGCGTCGGCTTCCTCGACAGCTGAAGCGGTCTTCTTCTACGTGCCATGCATCCGAAAGGGATAAGCCTGCCTCCAGGCTCCTGTTCGGTCGTTTGCTGCGCTGGTGGCTCAAAGTCGCTTTCATCGACGATGATTGCGCACTCTACAGGGGTGGTGAAGTCCTGCTCCGCATACTCGGGCGAGGTAGCTGGCAACAAGTCTTTGCTGGAGCGACGTTCAAGCTCAACAATGCGATCTTGTAGCTCGGTGATGGGTTCCATGTACATCCGACACAATGGAGTCTCGACATACTCGTTGTCAGGCTTAGGCTCGACTTGTTCGTCGTGTTCTGGCTCATAGGATTGCTCGTATGACTGCTCGTACTCTGACTGTGATAAAAGTCCCTGAACAGACTCAAATTCCGAAGCGGGTAACGTCTCTGAGACCATGGTAATAGAGTCGACGGGAGCCGGTAGCTCAGCATGACTCGCTTTGAGCCACTCTTGAACCTCTACTGGTGGAGTCTCCTCTGGATCCCGCGAGTCCTGAGTGATCGCCGACGTTATAGACACCTCCCTTGACACTCGCTGTACAGAATCGACAACTGGTTCAGAGACGCAGTGCTCTTGAAGCTGAACACCAAGATCATCCGTGATCACATCGAGTTCTTCCACGAACCGAGTTTGCTCTTCTGAGAGCTCGGACAGCTGCCCGAGAGCCTGCTGCATCCAAATGTCTTCGCTGAACCCGTTTCCTTCGGTCCTTGAAGGCCCACTCTGACCAGATGAAAGCGAAACTGGAGGTACACCTTCCACCGGCGCGTTACGAAACACTTCCTCGTCTAGTGCGCTAGGCCGTGAATCGAGGTCGATGCCAAGATCGTCTGCAGCAGAGTTGACCAGTTCGACCAGCTCGGTGGCTGACTTGATGGACTCGCGCAGACTAGCCCGCGACTCGTTCATGTTGGGTCCGAGTTGTCCCGGAAATCTTACGTTCAGCTTCTCAGCCACCCGGGGCGGAATGTATAGACGGGGTGACTGCCACTCACGGGTATGTAACTTGCTAGCTGGTTGACATACGGGCTGGCGAACTGACTGGTGTATGCACGTAGGTCGACTCTGAGCGTGAGAAGGACTCGCGTAGACACTCCTAGTTTGGTATCGCTGAACGAGATCTTCAGACACGCTTTGCAGCTGTGTGATATTGGGCTTACTGTGCTTGAGATTGTTGATGACAGCCTGCAAGGAGTTGGTATGCTCTTCTAGAATGCTATCGACAAAGTACTCTAGATCTTTGGCAAATGTGTCCCCACATTTGTCAGCCGGCATGCACTCGGAATGATGTTTTCGACGCTTGGAGGGACGACCACAAGCGTCTTCATACTTTATGGAAGTGGACGAACTCGACGTCGATGAATCAGCTGCTGCTCTCTTTCGTGCTGGGCGATGATATAACGGTTCTGGTTCGGACGGAGGGACATTGTTTGAGCACTGACGACATTTCTTTCTGGACGCAAACTTGCGGTGTTCGTCCTTCCCCATGTACGAAAAGTGCCCACACGCGCGCCTGGTCCAGCTGCCAGGGTCATGGAGTGGCTTGAGGGCCCGCGACGTCCCGCGTGGTTTGATGCGTGCACCGGGAAAACCAAAGTCCTGTGTCTTGCGCCGGCCGTATGCAGCACGCCAGTCAATATGATCTGGTACCTCGATGGTATGATAGTCCGGTTGCACACCCACAGTGGCAATTGGGACCTGCGTAGAAGTAGTGCTGCGTCTGGAAGAGCCGTCATGACTGAGATCTCGCGTAGCAATGTCTTCGAGCCTTTTGCGAACATCGACTGTCTCGCCGAGATTGTCTCTGTAAGCGGCGGGATATCGTTTCGGAGCTGTGGCCCAAAAACTCCTCGGTCCCTCTCTTGTGATCCACCTAACGCGATCGTCTGAACCGTCCCATTCAGTCACAGGCGTACTGCTTGAGTTACGATGCCAGATTTGTTTGGGGGTAGACTGTTTGCCTTCCGCGAACCCTCTTCGAACATTCCGACAAGGTTTCGGACGCCGGCCTTGGGGGTGGATTTTGGGATCGTTCGATGCTGTGGCTTCTTCGGTCTCAGTAGCTGACAACGACTTGCGGGTATAACGACGCCTTACAGTCTCTTCAGAGGTTTGGCGTTGTTTGGTCCGCTTTGCGCCTTGAAGAGCGATCAGTGGCGCATTTGACACTTCATCCGACTTGGAGCTAGCCGCGGCCGCTCGTCGTTCAGCTCCATGGTCCTTCACGTTGCTTGCTGCGTCTGTGAGAAAATTCGCAGACGTTGTATGACTACTTGCTTCGCGCTCGACGTCGGAACCAACTCCTGGAACATCAGAAATAGGCGAGTCTTGGGAAACGGCAGTTGTCCTTGTGGTGACATCCGGAGCTGTCGATTTCGCTTGGGGCCGCACGAAAGGATTTACTCGCTGAGAATCGGTATGATCAGACTCTGGCGGAGGGCGCGACAGCGGCAAAGCACCATCTGAGTCTGTTTCTTCTGGTGCTTGTACCTTTGTCGGGCTTGACATGCTTGTGTATGGGGGTTGAGAGAGCGCAAGAGACTGCGGACGTTGTGCTTGGATCCTGCCTGACGCACCTTTAGCAATGGTAGCTGCCCCTGAAGGCGGGACCGGAGGAGCTGATTGGTGTTGGGAGGCTTTGTTCTCGAAGAATATCTTTGTAGCTTGTACTGAGACTGGCTTTCGTGGCTGTCGAGACGGCAGCAGTTGCGGCGGGGAATCTGATGTAGCGACTATTCGCTCGGGCTCAGGCGGTGTAGGTCGTGTCATGAACTGAAGAGACCCCGATGTTCGCTGTCGCCCTTCAGAACTTGATCCAGCTTGGGAAGGGGGTCCATCTGTGGTTTGCGTATGTTTCGGCTCTCGATATGGGTGTTCGACCTTGTCCAGAACTTGGCCGTAGGGATTCTTTCCCTGTAGATAAGCTGGTGATTTGTGTCCTGTGGAGGGTGGCCGAAACTCGCCCGACTGCTGCGGGAGGGCCAATGCTGGTTGATCAGTCCGGCGTCGAGCAGAAATCGACTGAGGCTGTGTCGGCTCGCCGATACATTGTTTTGGGATAGGGGTTTCGTACGGAGCTTGTCTCTTGTGTATAGTCGATGATTGCTGGGTCTGCCCGCAGGCTCCTGTGTTCGTCGAGCGGGATACAGAGCTTGACGTAGGTTGATCAAAACCGTGATGCATGTTTGCCGGCCAAGGGAATGCTTCACGGCTTTGTGAGCTACGTTGTGAGTGTTGTAGGCCGGCTAAAGTCTGTTCGCTGTAGAGAGGGAGTAGGACAGGGTGAGACAAGATAAAAGAAAGGAAGGTAGAGATAGAGTATGATAGGGCTATTAGTAGATTTGAGTACACTCAATCCGGGTGTGAGAGGCGAGAGAACAGCGAGATGAAGTGGATCAACAATGAACTGAAGTGTTTGGCATGGCTCGAGAAGCACCTTCTATCTTTTGCAGACGGAAAGCACGCGTGCTCCACCCGATACTATACATCACACGTGCTGCCTAGGGAACGCTATTTACACATTTACTTCAATGCCGCCTGCAGGCTCTCGAGGACCTAGACACTGTTAGTACTTCTTTTGTGAGCATACGCGGATGTCCTACCTCGAGTTCAATCTTGGCCTCGGCAATGTCGGTCTCGCTGCCGCTTCCGCTGGCAATCTTCTGAGCCTCAGCGATCTGGTTCCTGACGGCCTGTCACAACATTAGTTACGTCCCTTCAAACGTATTGCGCGCCTTCGTACCTCGGCGCTGAAGTCCTCCAGTGGGTAGCCCTCGACGGCGTTGATGCTGAGCACAGAGTTTGGCTGCACAACGGCGAATCCACCCGAGAGGAAGAACTGCTTGTTGCCGCCCTGCTCCTCGATGATCTCAACTAGGCCGGGCTTCAACTGCTCGATCGAGGCGACGTGGTTTGCCAAAACACCCATATCACCGGTTTCCGCGGGGAGGTTGACCTGGACGCTGCACAATGTCTGTCAGTAATCGCGCTTTGGTGATGCGGTATCGGTCGGGATCGCGGGAGACGTACACATCGTGTGACTTGAAGATGGACTGTGTGCGCTTCGTTAGCTTTCAGGCCCCAAGATGATCACCAATTGATCGTTCCCGATATCTGGCGCGGTTGCTGGTAATGCGTACCTGATGCGGAAGAGCTAGGGAGAGCTTGATCTTGTCCGAGGCGACCTCGGCGTAGCCTCTTCGCTGGAGGGGGCGGGCGATGGCGGCGGGCCTCGCGCGGAGGGCGGCTCTGGCAATGCGAAGGGAGCTCATGATGGACGGATTGGTGGGGAGGATGCAATTGCTGGTCTGCCGGAAGCTGTCGTGAATCTGCGAGGCCGAAGTTCTGCGCTTGGCAGATTAGCCGACAAGTGGCCGCCGGATCAGTTAGCGCGTGTCACAACATTGATGAATGATAGTGGAGAATAAAGAGATAGGACAAGATATTTATTCAAAATGCTCAGTGCCTTGATTGTATAGGCATGCATTAATTTTGTTGTTCTCTTTGTCCAGCTTGCTTTTTGTGGACAGTGGCTCCTGCTTGATCAAGTTCAAGATTCAAAGGTTGTGTCCAGGCTACTATGTACCTAATGTGAATCTGTAAGTATATAATTTGATTTGATTTGATTTGATAATCCGTGTCCTTTGTTCGGATAGCCTTCGTCTACTCCGGGGTATCTTTAATAACAAACGCCCAACGCAAGCCCTGAAAAGCTGTCTCGACTCCAAGTACTATACGCCACATAAAAGTCGATCGTCCACCTCCTCTTCGCAGCAGCTCAATCATCGTAGAACTGCTGCGGCGCAGCCATGCTCATTCTCAGCTGTCTCTCCCTCTGCTTTGCCTGCATCTCCAAAGTCTCCACCGCATAGCTCATCCTGTCCTTCTTTGCCCGCAAGGTTTTGAACCGCAGTTCCTGTTGTGCACTAACAGCCTTTCCCCCGCTTCGCTGAGATGCCTTGCTGCTTGGTCTTGTGCCAGACCCGCCTGTGCTGTCGCGTCCCAGTCGCCCGTCATTTAGGTCGCATTTCGCTATGAGGGATTGTTCTCGACGTTCGAGCTTGTCGAGGTAGTTTTCCACGCGCTTGAGGAGGTTGTCGACTTCAGGACGGATTTCTGAGAGAAGGGCAGACTGCGCGGTTTGGAGGTCGGATTCGGAGATGAGTTCGAAGTGCTGTGGAGAATTAGTTTCTGTTACAATATTTTCATGTACAAGGGAAAGTAAAAGCCAAAGAGACGTACCCGTGTCGTCTGAAGCACTTTGGCCAGTCTCGGGAAGTCGTTCACGCCTTCATCTAGAATGTTGATGGATGAATCGAGCAATTGCATGCTGTTGCGCAAAGAAGCCACACAGCCTTCGAGCGGTGAAGCCATGTTCCGAACCAGCCTTTCGCCTAGATTGACTGTCTGTAATTCGAGAATATTAATTAGGACGTGATGTCGCGGGGTCGCGACTCCTCATGGGTTCGTAAACAGTCGGTCTTTCCATTCGCCTTCGCCGATGCCAAGCACCCCGAAGTTCTGCAAGCCGAGCGGCCGGAGGTCAACTTCACCACGCCCATCCCTCATCGCAATTGCAACTCGAGCCATTGCCCGTCCATCGCAATCGATCATGTCTTTCCTCGGCAAGAAGTTTCCGGCGCCTGTCGGTATGTCAGCTGTGGCCGCGCAAGTAGCGGCGCTAGGAGATGAGAAGAATGCTAACGAAGCTCTTACAGCCCGCCCCATGTGGCCTTTCTACATCTCCGGTACGTCGAGAAGCCCGAGTGCGCGATTACAGAATCTTTGAATATGGGAAAGAGTGGCAATGGAGGCAATTGGGTCACATGAAGACGTATAACAGGGTCCAAGAATTGCATTGACAAGAGTTTCTAGGTCTCGTCATCCTCTACGGTGTAAACTCGGCCGCGAACGCCATGGCTACCGGTTCGTAATCTCTCAAACAGAGCGCTGAATCACCGGCATCTCCAAATGCCATGTTCGTAAGCTGACCAGTACAGCCGACGAGTACAAGAACGACCCGCGAAACCCTCTCGTCAAGAACCAGGGACCGAACGCCGCCCACTAGGGCTGAGGCGCGCAAGAAGAGGAGCGATGGCTGGAAAGACGAGCATCATGAGAGGCAATGTACAATAGCCGTGGGGGAGGAATGTCGAGAGAGCTCTCGATGAAGGATGGCTGTATAGACTTGAGCAAATAAGTGCGATGATCGAACGAATCTTTTTCTCCTCTTCTCTTTGCATGAACTTACCATATGGAGTCGTCAGAAAGATCCGGTCAGCATGGAAAGTTGTCCAGCCAACTACACTCGCAGCAGGCTCACGGACATGTTACGACTAGGGCGTAATCAGCGGGTTTAATGTCATTGGGCAAGGCATTGCTAAAGACCATGACGCAAGATGGAAACTTCTCTTGCAAGCCAATCCGGTTTCACGGAGCCCAAACGCACTACAAGTTGTGATTGAATACCTAGCATGGCACTGGCTGCCGGAAGATTAGCCCCTCAAAGGTAAACACAGTGTGAGCCATAGATGAAGTGCTTGTTGAAAGAAAGTTCAGATTCGTGTTGTATGCACTCTAGTGAATATTAATGTCCAGCTATTTACCTGCCCTGTGAGAGGTAGGTGGTTCGCCCACAAGACATGAATCAAGTTAGCCCAAGCCCAAAGCCTAAACGCACTTTATCATGGCAGACTGGATATAGGCAGAGTGAGGATGGGAAAGTCGGGCCATAGGGCGCGCTACGGGCACTGCTGTCCTGTCAGGTGCGGCGAGAGACGGACTGCCCATCTTGACATGCCGAACCAGGCCATGGAAGGCCTGATTCGGACAGCTGGAACATGGGCTCCAATGGCCTTGAGCGGTGCTTCTACCGGCAGAGGGCGTGCTGCAGCGAGCGGGCAAGAAGGTCGAGCGTCAGATATAGGAATGTATTTTGGGGTGAAGACATTGCATAAAGGGGCAGAGTCGGGGAGTACTGTCTCCAGGTGGCCTCGGCATGAGACGGCCAGCAGTCGACGGGACTTTGAAACGCGCTGGGGGATTTGGACAGAGCACATGCTGGTCTCAGGACGAGCACAAGCTTCAAGCTGTAACAGCACATACCTAGCAACTTGTCCGAACAATGATAGTCGCGGGTTGCTTGAGATTATTACACGGCCGCAAGCCGCAAGTGAAAGACATCGCTAGCGCGGGTGCCAAGGCAGTGGCTGTCCGGCCTCATCTGCTGCCACCTGCGTCTCCTCTCAGGTCCACACCCTCGTCCTCTCCCAGCACCACGACTGTTGTGTGCTTTCTCCCCTTGAGGCCCTGTTTTTGCTGTCTAGTAGCGTGCAGCTCCTTATTGTCCTTGGAGTATACGACTTTGCCGCTCGCCGTCCCCATACTCCCCATCTAGCTGTCCGCTGCCGTTGTCCGTTGGGCTGCTCATTCACGTTCACGCCCTGTAAGTCCAAACCAGCTCCTGGTCCCGCCCGCCCTGTGTGCTCGTCCTGCACGCCCTGCCCTATTTACACCCACCACGACCGCCTCTCCAACGCCTGCACTCCCTTACCTCACTTGTCACCTCGCTTTACCTGCTCCTTTAAGCGGGTCTCGGTTGCCCGCTCCGCTTACTCACCGCCTTGTTGGCAAAAGCCTCATACTGACCGGTACTCGCCCAGCAGCCCGAACCTCAGCACCACATCAACCACTGCAGCGTCTCCACCAACGCTCCACCACGCCCACAACCACAAAGACGACATCAACTGCAGGCCAGCCTCCTCAGGGCTGAACCCACCGCAAGCATGACGACAATGGTAGCTACGACCCCGCTCGCCGTCATGATCCAGCCTGGTTCATGGCCTGCAAGACACATGAGGCTGACTTTGGCAGGATCTCCGCGTCGGCAACAAATACAGAATCGGCCGCAAGATTGGAAGCGGTTCTTTCGGTGACATCTATCTTGGTGCGTTGTTGCTGGCAGCTACCCGTCAGTCTCACACCCCAGCTGACCATAGACAGGCACCAACATCATCTCGGGTGAGGAGATTGCTATCAAGCTCGAGAGCGTCAAGGCCAAGCACCCGCAGCTCGAATATGAAGCCCGCGTCTACAAATCCCTCGCTGGTGGTGTCGGCATCCCGTTTGTGCGCTGGTTCGGAACCGAGTGCGACTACAATGCCATGGTTTTGGACCTGCTCGGCCCTTCTTTGGAGGATCTCTTCAACTTCTGCAACCGCAAGTTCTCCCTGAAGACGGTCCTGCTCCTCGCCGACCAGCTCATCTCCCGCATCGAGTACATCCACGCCAAGTCCTTCATCCACCGTGATATCAAGCCGGACAACTTCCTCATGGGCATTGGCAAGCGCGGCAACCAGGTCAACGTGATTGATTTTGGTCTGGCCAAGAAGTACCGTGACCCCAAGACTCACTTCCACATCCCGTACAGAGAGAACAAGAACTTGACTGGTACCGCCCGCTATGCCAGCATCAACACCCACTTGGGTGTCGGTACGTGCTCACCCGCTCTGTTTGTCCTCCCGAGCTAACAACTGTAGAACAATCTCGCCGTGACGACATGGAGTCCCTCGGCTATGTCATGCTCTACTTCTGCCGCGGTTCCCTCCCCTGGCAGGGGCTGAAGGCGGCCACCAAGAAGCAGAAATACGACCGCATCATGGAGAAGAAGATGACGACGCCCACCGAGGTTCTCTGCCGTGGCTTCCCCAATGAGTTTGCCATTTACCTAAACTACACCCGCTCCCTGCGCTTCGACGACAAGCCGGACTACTCGTACCTCCGCAAGATCTTCCGCGACCTCTTCGTCCGCGAAGGCTTCCAGTACGACTACGTCTTCGACTGGACCGTCTACAAGTACCAGAAGAACGCCCAGGCCATCGCCCAGGCTGCCAACCAGGGCCAGGGCGAGGAAGACGACAAAGGCCGTGGGCGCCACGTCACCACCACAGCCGCTGCTAATGCTGGTACTGCGTCTGGTACCAAGCGCGGACCGGTCAATGCACGCCAGGAGGGCACCGGAATGTGAGTTCGACATATCTGATCCTCGTAAGGGACCCTCTCCTTTGCGTTTAGTATTCGATAACGCTTAGCGTGGGGGACGCCACAGACAGACTTTACTAACCTGTTTTCCTTGTTCAGGCAGCTTCGTTCGGCCAATAAGCGTGGCGGGGACCAGTATGCAGCTGGTGGCTACTGATTCTTGATGCGGCTTTCGATTCGTCATCTCAACTCTCTTGTGGACCGCGTCATTAGACTCGGCTCTGCACAACGAATGGGAAATGCGGCATTGCCGTCCTTGCAACATATTGGACGGCTGTCGCTCCTACTCGATCAGTTCACGGAATTCATTCGTCGGTTCCCGGTATAGGACCTAGCATGCACCTCGGTGTCTCGCAGTTGCTACGGCCCCGGGTTCTCGGCGACTGTTCTGTATCTCTGGAAGCTCGACCCACATGGTATCTCAGATTGGCACATCATCTCAACCGGCGGATCATCACTCAACACCTTGGTTTTCTGCCCGTCGCCAACGGATTATCTTGGGCGTCCTGCAAAGCTCGCTTTACTGGACAGCTATCCCGGATGATTACTGGTCTTTGTTTGGTTTCATGGCTCTCACCTCGTTTAATCACCCTTTTCTTTTTTGTTTTTTCCACGCGGTTCCTATAACATTTCTTTCGTGCGTTTCCCCCTTCGGACATGTCTGCCAGCTTGTGGGGATGTAAAGCTTAATCAAGGGGACGAACATATCTAAATTGTAACGGAGAGGGTGTAAGTGAAGCTAGGCTGGTAGACGGAAGGGGCAAGTGGCGGGCGGCTGGGTTGGCGACGGACTTCTTGTAAGGGGCTGCTTCCGGGGGAGTGGAGAGAAGATCTAGCTTGCTACCACTTGCGCTTGAGACGGGGATGTGCTGGACTGTGATGGTGGTTTACTTGCTGCTTTAGAAACATATACTCTCCTTCTCACCACTTGATCATGACATGACTTTTCCTCGTCGCCCAACACCCGTCTTAATCTTTAGGCTCGTCTATGACGACATGGCCAAAGTTAGCAATCTTGATTATGGGATCAGCTTCACATCCCTGTACTGCCAAAATGCGTCTAGTCACCTGATAGATGAGATGAAACTATTTCGCTAGGAACTGCCCGTCGTTGATGAGGCCCCAGTCGCGACACCAGGATAGACCTTGTCCAAGCCAAAGGAAGTCGCAAAGCGAAATACCAGGTCGAGAATTACTTCCCATGGGCGAATGCGTCTCGTAGATGCCTGACAGAATCTCCAGTCAAGTTTTCTCTTGCCATCCCGAGGGGAGGGCTGTTCTTGAACGATGGGGTACGATGTTATCCCGTGTTATGACTTTAAATGTATGGTGGTGAGCTTGGTAGCGGAAGTTTACTGTAACACAAGGCTGGAGAAATAATCAAAGGGCCACGGAGGAGGTTGCCTGTATGCATGTATTGTTTTTGAAGTGTGAATTAGCTGACGAGGGCACGGGGGATAGAAAGGGTTATGGAATATATATATATATATATATGGATTTCAAGTCTGCATTTTCAAATATGATGATTCTACAGGACCTTGTGATCTTGCTGTAGAGCCCAGGCACTTCAAAGCATGCAATACAATAGCAAAAAGCCTTATGCATATAGAAAAAGTTGCGTTTAAAAGATGACCGTTCACCCGACATTTGCATTTCTTTCGTTCCGTTGCTACTAATTAACCGTGTCTTCTTTAAAAGACTAAAAATACGTAAAGTACAATAAGCAAGCAAGTAAGCAAGCGAGTAATCGAGCTTTGGAGCCTCTCCCTCCCTTCTCCTCTCGCTCTCTATGCCAATTAGAGTAGACGATGTGTATGGATGTACCTGCCGTGCTGCAAAAAAGCTAGACTAAGGAGGTACATATTTATAGGGCTAGGCGGTGCTATACTCATAACCGTAAGCGTGTAGTGGGTGATAGGTTGCGGTGCGTTGAACGGCGCTTAGCCCAGTACGTAGTCCGATGGATATGGACCTCATCAAAGCAATGTAGCATCGTGGATATATCATTCGAGCGTGTTAATGGCGTCTACGAGTTCGTTTGTTTGCGTGTCTGGTGCGAGTAGCCAGGAAACAGGTCACCGAATCGACCAGAGAGTCGTCCGTGACTCCAAGTGCGATTCGTGTCGTAGGCAGGGGTTTTCGACTCTCCTCTTCAGACTCGGTCAAGGCAAACATGAAATTCCAAGATCGTGCATGTGTGCAGCACCTCGTCAAGTCTCATCACTCGTATTGGGGCTGGAAGACGGTTCGGCCTTCAATTGCGCTGCAGCCTCAGCCGCCGAGCTCCTTCTCCTCAACGCAGCCAGCTCCTTCCTCAGCTGCTCCATCTCCTGGTCTTTCTGGGTGAGCATGTCGTCCTTCTCCGAGACTTCCTGCTTCAGCTGCTTGATGTAATCGATAGCGCTTTCGACTTTGGCTGCCTTGGAATTATTCGACTGCTGGGCAAACGGCTCTGGGCTTTTGGCTTCCGTGGCACCGAGTAAGGGAGAAGGGAGGAGAGCCTGCATTTCCTGGAGGGCCATGTTGATGCGGTTTCGGCGGCCTTGTTCGGCGATTTTGTGCGAGGTGCGCTTCGACGTGAGGTTGGTGGATAGCGAGGTGGGGTAGACAACGCCTGGCACTGTGGTCCCGTCGAGGATGTTCTGGTAGTTGGACTTGGACGCAAGAAGAAGAGCGTGCGTGTTATCGACCGAACCTATTGCCAGTTAGACTAATACATGATCGACACGGAAGTACACTTACAGTTACTGCCTTCTGGAAGCAGAGGTTTTATGCTCGGTGAGATCTTGGGCCTCAGGGCAGGGCTAACCATGCTCGAGCTGACGCTGTTTCTCTTCTTCGGATTGCGCGCTAGCTTTATATCCCTCTTGCCATTGGTCATGGAGAAAGCTGGACTTGTGGGTGTAGAGGTAGGGTCAAGCATCGGACTGGGTCTGCCCGACATGGTTGCGCCAGGCGTGCTCAGAGGATTCAGCTTGGGCGTTTTCCGCGCAACCATGCACGGCGTATCAACGCCGTCATCGTGAACTGCTGTATTGTTTCTTGACAGCGATGGCCGATCCAGAGAGGCTTCCGGTAGAGTTAGATCCTCCAACATGGGCAGTGCCTCATGGGACCCACTGAAGTTGGGCGAAGGGTGGATGCGCATCAGGGACGCAGGAGTGGCAGGCGTCGTGCTTTGGCCATTTTGCTGGGCCCTGGTTGCAGGAGAGGCCGTTGATGATACCGGTTTAGGCGGGGGCCGCATTTCCGACAACAAAGGCTCTGGGGAGATGGAGTCGGTCTCTGAGGCGTCGCGGCTCCATGGTACATCCAGGCCGTTGGAAGACGGGCGGGTCTGGCGTGCCTCTTGCACCAGTTCGCTCACTTCCTTGGGTGGAATAAGCGAGGAAACGGTTGCTTTCCGCCGGTTTGGTTTCACGATGGGGGATTGTCGTACGCGGCCGTTGCCGTTCGCCGTTCGAGGAGGGTTCCTCTTGTTGGTGCTCCTCAGCCTCCTTCCCTGCTCTTGGTGGACCATTGCGGGCTCACCCAGCATCTCCATGTCCACATCGACGGGCGAGTGCCCTGTTGAGCTTCCTGAGGTGGTGGTTTGCGAGCGGTGAAGCGCATGCTGCTGACTTTGTGCATTGAGCGCCGGAGACGTGAGAGGGCTAAAGTAGGCTCCTGGGACGGTAAAGTCGGGTATCTGAAAGCGCGCATCGTGGGGTGTTACTGCTGGCGAAACTAGCGGGGTAAATGTCTATGTTGGTTAGTTGGAGTGCTTCACAGCCACTGCCGTCTCTCCACATACCTCGTCCTTGCGCATGTGGTATCTCTGGTCGAACAGCGTTTGCTGGGGGTCCATCTGCTGTAGATAGCGGTGCGGGTCGCCATGCATCTCTACGCTGTTGGGCGTAGGCGGGACGTGCTGGTGTGGGCGGTACATGTGCTCTTGGGCCTGGGGGAAGGTTGGCGTGTTGGCCTGGCTGTACTGTGCCATGGTGTAGTCGAAGAAGCCGTTCGTGGGCTGGCCCATCCCATGCGTCCCCGCCATATTCTGCGCCTGCTGCGCACCCCCGCCGCCATCGCGATGGTCCTGGGGTATTTGCGGGGTGAAGTGGCCCAGATGGTGGACGTCGAGAGAGTCGGCCAGGTCGGCCATCTGCTGGCCATCGTGCGCGGGCCAGTCCAGATCCAGGTGGTCGAAGTTGGCGGCGTCGAAGTCGATCAGGTTGCCAAAGTCGTGCTCCGTCGTCGCGTCCATGGCGTTGTAGTGCTCCCCGCTCGACCACATCTGCGCGTTCGTACTGTCCATGTCGCTTGCCGAGGCCCTGACCGTGAGGAGGGGTGCGACGGCCGATTTTCTGCGAGGGCAAATTTCTGGCGCAGGCTCACTGGCTGTGGGGCAGATTAGTAGTAGTCGCGGGATGGTGGCCGGTACCAGGAGTCCAAGACTAGTCCATGTGCGGTGTTTGTAGAGTAGATTCCATATCAAAAGGGCCTTTGAGCACGGCAGTCGATCTCTTCAGTACATCACTGAAGAGAGTGTCGTCGTCAAGACGAAGGCAAGGCAGGGCAAGGCAAGGCACTGCGGGAGGAGCTTCTCTTCTGGTGCAGGGTTGGGTGGGCCCCCACGGGATTTGATAAGACTCGAGTCTAGCAACAAAACTGCGGCTTGCAATGGCTTCCTTCGCTGCAATAACCTGCGCAATATACCGACAAAAGGGTCCACCTGACAGTTCTTCCTGACATTCTTATTCCCGATGACAGATGCACTGGTGTACCACGGGACTGTGAAGCAAGTCATTGCAGACGAAGGGTGGGCGGTCGCAGGATGCAAGAATGGCTGACTTTGAGAGCAGCTGGGCGACAGTCATTGGTGTCATTCACGTCTACAACCTACATAATAACCTATAACAGCCAATAGACCAACAAGCCATGCGACACTTGGAAAGGCAAAGATGGGCGTGTTCCTGTAGAGTCCAAACTAGTACCGCCAATAGCCAGCGTGCGCCTACATGCACTGCACCACCGGGAAGAACAGGGTAGCTGTAAACGAAAAGTCCCGCGCCGAGCGTTGCCCCCCCTTCGCTCTAACAGCCTATCGTATTATGCCATTCCATTTGCATCCATGCGCCGCCGGTTCGCTGCCCGTGCTCGCTCGCTGGCGACTGTCCAGGGTGTTTGTCCGTCTCCAGGGAGCTGGTAGTAGCCTGGTACGGACGTTGAGCGGATAGACAGACGTCGCCTGTCGGACAGACAGCGGTGCCTGTGCGACGTGATGGATGGATAGATGGATGGATAGATGGATGGATGGAGGGGTTTGCTGGCCTAGGCTGACCTGTCTCTCGTGCGACGCATGGCAATTATACAACAAGGCTGTTTTGTGGAGTGCAATATTGATATTCTTGTTAGGCTGGGTGGAGCGCGCCCTGTTAATCTCGTTTGGCGGGTGTGCAGCCACCTGCCCCTTTGAGCACACGCTTCTCTGCCCACTGCAGGTCCCGAGGTCCAACATGGTGAATGGATCCTCGCCAACAACTACAACAAACACTCCCTGCAATATATAAAAACACAGTCGAACATTGGTTGGATGAGAAGGCTTTTTCTCGTAATTGAAAAGTACCTAGCAAGGCAAATGAAAAGGCCGATGGAAAGAATACCCTGAACAAATCCCTGCTGCGCTGCCAACATCGAAATGGCTGCGAGCACCTCTTTTTCCCTAATTTAATTTACACATGGCTGAAAGTACATGACCGCCCATTCGATAGCTTGCTCCCACGGGACTGCTGCGCATCCTTGGGTATTATCAGCCTCGTTGAAACAGTAAAAGGAAACAGACTCTGCCGTAAAGCGCCCCGCAGAACGCCGCTACTCTGACATGACCATCTGCGCGATTGCACCTTGGTCGTTTACATTACGATGCAGCAGCCGTTACTTTGCTGCGGCGCATAGGGGTCGTCGCGCTTGTCGATCTGCATGGTAGGTCAGCACTGTGCTATGCCAATACGTCAATGCCGGTAGAAACTCACAGTTCCCCATCGTGATGGTACCATCCAGTCTTTTGGCTCCTTGTCCGTGAATGCAATGAGACTGCGAGCGCATGTTAGCCCACCATCCCTGTCACAACAAACATCCAGTGGGGGTCCTACTCTAGGGCAGCTTCCGATACTGGTATCCTGCGGCGCTCCAGATCTTCTCGCAGGCGCTGGTTCAGCTCCGTGAGGCGTCGCAGCTTGAGCTCGGCCATGCTCTGCTTCTTGCTCTTGCCATCGCCGCCAGTCCGTATCTCGTAGGGTGCAGCCGCCATCATGGCAGGCATCGTGCGCGGTCGAAAGGTGCCGTCAGGGAAAGGGATGAATTACTTCTAGGTGCGATAGCTAAGGGTGGCGTGGCGTGGTGTGGTGTGGGTTGCGCGAGGGTGCGACGTGCTCGGGCGGGCGGCGTGAGTGGTGGTGGTGATGAGGTGAGGGTTCCAAGGTTGGGCAGGGAGCGGAGGGCAGAGCTAAAGGAGCGGAGACGGCCAGCCGGGTGATCCTGCCGCCGTAAGTCAGGACGACGAGAGAAGAGTTGGCGATGGCGATGGCAAAGGACTGCTGCTGTGGGCGACGTGAAGCACAGCAGGGAGGTGGTTGGAAGAGCGAGGTTTGGGGGTTGTCCCCTTGGTCTGAGAGTCGGGCTGCGTCCGTTTGTGGTATGGTGCCAATTTACTCCCCTTCACCGACTCAGGCGTCCGTCGGCCCAATGAAGCTTGCGGTAGAGCTGGAGCACACCACGCTGAAAGGCCCTCCAGGCTGCAGTGTACTGTATTGTGTGTGATGTGACTTGCAGGCGTCGTCTTCTCTTGGATGCGTACCGACCAACAAGGCGCGCGTTGGCCTCGTCGGGCTGGGTCGTTGACGCGGTTCCATGGTTGCTCGCTTACCTAACCATAGCCCACTCACTATTTTACCTGTACCAGAACATCATTGTAAAGTTTTGCCCACTGCAACCCCAACCCTAGCCTTTCGCTGCGTCGCCTGCCCGCTCCTAAGCCCTCGCGACACAAGCAGTTGGATCTGCCCTTTCCAGCTGCCCAGCATGGCGCCTCCACCGCACTCCAAGCCGGAGAATACTCTGTGCGCCCCTCCTACAACCTCCCTCCACACCACGCCTGAGGACTGCCGACTAACATCACATAGCAAACGCGCCCAAGAACTCATCGGAGTCCAGCAGCAACAGGCTGCCCTCCAACTCCTCCACGAACATGTCACCTCGAAGCGCACCCGCAACAGCCCCATCGCCTCGCTCGAGCCCGTCATGGTCCTCTTTGTCGAGCTCTGCGTCGATCTTCGAAAAGGCAAACTCGCAAAGGATGGACTCTACCAGTACAAGAACACCGCCCAAAACACAAACGTCGGCACCATTGAGGTAGGGTCATGTTGTTATGAATAAAAGGAGCCGCGACTAACAGCGCACAGCTCGTCTTCAAGCGCTTCATCGAACTGGCTGAGCAAAAGGTCACCGAAGCCCAGGCCAAGGCCGACGAAGTGCAGTCCACACTCGAGACCAGCAGCGAGACCCAGAAGATCGATGATCTCGAGGCCTCGGAGACGCCAGAGTCGATTCTTCTGTCCACCGTCTCCGGCGAGCAGTCCCGCGACCGCACCGACCGCGCCATCGTTACCCCATGGCTAAAGTTCCTCTGGGAGACGTACCGAACCGTCCTGGACATCTTCAAGAACAACGCTCGTCTGGAGCTCATGTACCAGTCGACTGCCCACCAGGCCTTCCAGTTCTGCTCCAAGTACGCCCGCAAGACCGAGTTCCGCCGTCTCTGCGAGCTTCTACGAAACCATCTCCAGAATGCTGCCAAATTCTCCTCGCAGATGCATGCCATCAACCTGTCTGACCCCGACACCCTGCAACGCCATCTCGATACCCGCTTCCAGCAGTTGAACGTCGCTGTCGAACTGGAGCTCTGGCAGGAGGCCTTCAGGAGCGTCGAGGATATCCACACACTCCTCAGCTTGAGCAAGCGCCCGGCCAAGAACATCATGATGGCCAACTACTTTGAGAAGCTCACGCGCATCTTCTTGGTCAGCGAGAACTACCTCTTCCACGCCGCGGCATGGAGCCGATACTACAACCTCCTCCGCCAGTCCGCAGCGGCCGTTGCATCTGGACACAGCTCCAAGAAGGACAACCCGGCCGTCACCGAGGCTGACATGACCAAGGCTGCCTCCTTCGTCCTCCTTTCAGCACTCTCTATCCCCGTCATTAGCACGTCCCGTTCCCGAGGTGCTCTTGTCGACGTTGATGAGGCGAGGAAGAACAAGAACTCTCGCCTAACTAACCTGCTCGGCATGTCACAGGCTCCCACCCGTGCCATATTGTTCAAGGACGCCCTCAGCAAGGGCCTGCTCAAGCGTGCTCGCCCAGAGATTCGTGACTTGTACAACATCCTCGAGGTCGATTTCCACCCGCTTTCCATCTGCAAAAAGATCTCCCCCATCCTAGCCCAGATTGGTGCCGACGAAGGAATGCAAAAGTATGTTGGCCCACTACAACAGGTCATCCTCACGCGCCTCTTCCAGCAATTGTCTCAGGTCTACGATTCCGTGGAGATCAAGTTTGTGCTTGGTCTAGCACAGTTCCCTGAGCCCTTCCACGTCAGCGCCGGTACCATCGAGAAGTTCATCATGAACGGCTGCAAGAAAGGAGACCTGGCTATCCGAACTGATCACGCCACCGGCGTCCTCACTTTTGATTCCGACGTATTCTCATCGGCCAAAGCCATGCACCCAGGTTCCGGTGCGGGCTCAGCGGAGACCGAATCCCGCTCCGTGCAGCGTCTGCAGAGCACACCAGCAGAGATTGTCCGATCTCAGCTTACTCGCCTGGCGAAATCACTCTTCGTGACTTGCCAATACGTAGACCCCGCTTTCAATGCCGAGCGGATAAGGGCCAAGGAAGCTGCTCTCGCTCGAGCCAAGGAGGGCTCTGAGAAGGAGCACCAGGAGATCCTCGCTCGTCGCGACATCATCTCGCAGAAGAAGGAGGCCGCACAGAAGGCCCTCCAGGCCAAGGAAAATGAAGAGCAAACCAAGAGACTCGTTCGTCAACAGCAATTGAAGGAGGAGGAAACTAAGCGTTTGGCGGAAGATATACGTCAACGCGCAGAACAGCGCATCAAGCAGGAGCAACAGCGAATTCAACGCGAGGAAATTGAGAAGCAAATCAAGGAGCTCAAGCTGACCACCAAGGTGGATATCGAGATTCCGGATGATATCACCGATCTGGACTCCCAGAGGATTCGCATTCTGAAGCTCCAGGCTCTCGAGAAGGAAAAGAGTCTCCTCGGTGAACAGCTTCGCATTGCCGGCAAGAGGATCGACCATTTGGAGCGAGCCTATCGCAAGGAGGAGATCAAGCACCTCAAGACCGATTACGAGAAGCAGATGGAGGCCGACAAAGCCGCGTACGAGAAGGCCAGGACCGAGGAGCTAAAGGAGTCGGAAGAAAAACACAAGGAGGATGTTTCGCTGAAGCATCGTCTGTCAAGACTTGTATCACCCTACCAGCAATTCGTCGCTGACGTCAAGCAAGCGCGTAAGACTGAGTTCGAGAAGCGCCAAAAGATCGCACAGAAGGAACTTGAGAGCAAGAAGGCTGCACGCGTCAAGGAAGTCAAGGAGCGTGTGGCTAGGGAGAAGAGAGAACGGGAGGAGGCCGAGCGACGAGAGCGAGAGGAGGAGGAGCGCGAGAGGGAGGAAGCCGAGGCCAAAGCCAAGGCGGATGAAGAGAAGCGAGCAAGGTTGCTCGAGGAGAAGGCGAAGAGGGACGAAGAGCGAAAGTCAGTATCATCATTCTTGCCCATTGACCATGAATTAACCAGTACCAGGGCTCTTGAAGAAAAGTCACGCCTCCAACGCCAGCGAGAGGAGGAGGCTGAAGCCAAGATTGCAGCCAGGAAGGCAGGACTGGGCGGTAGCCGTGCTGTTCCAGACCGAACTATCTCGCGCGAGCCAGTTGCAGAGTCAGCCTCTGCTGGTGGCCCACCACGTCTTGCGCTCGCTGGCAGCAAGCCTACCTGGCGTGAGCGTGAGGCCATGAAGGCCGCTGGCCAGGCACCTCCTGCCGAGTCCACATCTCCTGCTCCCGCTGCTGCCGACGCTCCCGCTGCGCCGGCTGCTTCCGACGCGGAGCCCCCTAGGAGGTCTGGCTATGTCCCGCCCGCGATGCGCCAGGGTGGTGCTCCCGGAGGATGGCGCGAGCGTGAGGGGAGCGGCAGTGGCCGTGGACCTCCTGCTCGTCCCGAACGTACCGAATCTCCCGCTACTGGCGGCCGCTATGAGCCCCCTGCGCGTGGTGGACGATTCGCTGATCTGGGCGAAAGGAAGGCATCGCCTGCCAGCGGTGGCGGCTACGTTGCTCCAGGCCGTCGTGGTGACCGAGACGGTGCCCCGCCCCGTGAGCGTGAGGGTGACAGTGAGCGAGAGTCGAGGCCTACGACACAGGCGCCCACTGATGGAAAGTACAGGCCTGGTGCCTTCAAGCGTGGTCCCTAGAAGCGTCACGATGACATGAGCAACGGGTCTTTTACGTTTGACGATGGTTCAGCATTGGTTAACGAGAAAGGCCGACGGCATGGGGAGTTTGTGCACATTTTCTAGAGTTGGGCGGTAACGAACAAGCGCCCCATCAGGTGTAGTCTTTTACAATTGCATCTCTAAACATTCAAACGTCTGATACGTGCCCTTTTTCCTACTTTAGTGTATGTGGCTGCTTGTCTAGCAGCGGCTGATGGTGGTGAATCGCACATGGCATAGCGCTTGTATGCATACGAGAGGAATTCCATCAAGTTTCCGGTCAAAACGATACCAGTGCGTTGCGTCATGTTTGATTTCCTTGCGCATTGCAATAGACGCTTGCAGTGAAGAAAGACAAATCGCAATCAACATGTCTTGCGTGCTTACATACTTCCTGGCCGTTACCGTTCAGTGAACACATCGTCTACATTCCCAAGTCTGAACACAATCGCGGGCCGCACATCAGCCAAGTACAGCAGCAAATCGTGATGAGCTATGGCAGTCATAGCTTTGACTTGCATGCATCATGCTAAGCCTTTGTACACACCAATTAGGTAGACTGTCGCACCCCAAATAGGTAAACTGTCGGCTTACACATTAACGTACACTTGTCTCAATAGTAAGTCACCAAAACGTTTGCTTGATAAAGTCATCCCCAGACCCCACATTTTCACGCTTCGACACATTTGCCATATCCAACACCATGGAGCAGTTCCTAGATGGGCCTGCTCTGTCACCACCCAATGGCGTCAACTCAGATTTCGCTAAACCCGAGCATGGGAATGTTCTATGCGTTGGTGTTTTCAACGTGGGGATCATTTTGGTCGTGTCTGTGGTTCTAATTCGGCTTTATACGAGAATCTTTCTTATTAAAAGGTTCAGGGTCGAGGACTGTATGTGTTGCTAAGAGCTACCCCCCACGTTGTTGTTGTTGCAGTCACTGATGACTTGAGTTAGTCTTTATGATAGCAGCCCTGGTTAGTATTTTTGCAATTTGCGATGATAGCAGCCGCTAACTTGAACGATGTAGGCAATCTATGTTAGCTTCATATACGTTGGATGGACCAAGTTCCAATGTCCGGGAGGTTTTGTGCATCTGTGGAATATACGCGTACGGGAACTTCCACGCATATTTAAGGTGAGACGATTCGAAATCTAATTATTCAAACGACAGAAGAACTTACTAGTAAAAGGGCGTTAATCTAGGCAGCATACTATACTGCATAGTCATGCTACTTCTGAAGATTTCCATTTTCATCGACTGGATCCATATATTCGTACCACCACAGATTGTTCGCGGTGGCTTCTACTACGCCTGTGTAGGGAACATGGTCATGAACATTCTCTTCTATGTTGCTTGCCTGTTCGTGGAGATCTTTGCTTGTACGCCAAGGGACAAGATCTGGAATATCTTCCAACGCGGGACTTGTGTAAATATCTATCTCATCAACATTGCATCAAGTGTCTTCAACTTTGTGCTAGATGTTGCGATGCTGGGGATGCCACAGTACAAGATTTGGAAGTTACAGCTCTCCAAGAAGAGAAAGGTTGCCATCTCCCTGCTGTTTGCGATTGGAGCACTGTAAGTGTGCTTTGCTTGCGTGTAATGTATCACTAGCTAACGTACAAGAAGGGGTTGCATTTGCGGAGGATTGAGAATTGTCTACTCTATTCCTTACATGAAGTCTCCTGACAAGTCGTACTATCTCACTGCATTCGGACTCTTGGCTACAGGCGAGATGACGATAGGCTTCTTGGTTCTGTGCATTCCTTCAATGCCTAAACTTATCAAGGAAATGCCACGGCAGGACATTGTCCGAAAATTCCTCGGCCGGATCGGTCTCTCCTCTCTAGATCGGACCCCTAGATAGGGTTACTATTATGGATACGCCAGCGACCTCCCTACTAGGTATAGGAAAGGCAGTTCCTGCTAGGAATCGAGTTCATGGACTGTGCGCAGGTCTTTGGCTGTCCACTCTAAAGGAGTTTGGGGCGCGTAGTGATGGGAAGAAGGAGGCTCACGTTATCCATACTCTGGATCACCTGTGTCTAGCAGTAATCAAGATGAAACTGTCTCTCAAAAATAGCAAACACTGTTAAATTACTCTAGATTCGCGAGATCGTCATTATGCAGGTGTCAAACGTATGCACGTGCCTCCGAAGCCAAACGTTCGGGCCAACAGCTCGCGAACCCCCGCCATCCATCACCACCTTTCGCGCAACCTTCCCCTGCAAGCTCCAAGCCTCTAGAAGACACCCAAGATGCAGTCGCTACCAGATGCGCGATCGCAGTCCTTCGAGGAGCTCTATGGCCCTCCGGAGAACTTTCTAGAAATCGAGGTATGCAGCACCGAAAACACTCCTTCACTCATAGAGCCCCGTAGCCTTGCTTACCATTGTCGCGTGCCCAGGTTCGCAACCCAATGACACATGGTATGTTTAGTCAAGAGGCCAAAGCATACCGGAGTTGACGAGCGTACAGGCGTCGGGCGTGGCATGTACACGACCTACGAAATCGTAATGCGAACCAACATCCCCGCGTTCAAGCTCAAGTCGTCGTCGGTACGCCGCCGGTACAATGAATTCGAGGCCTTTCGCGACATACTAGAAAGAGAGTCGGCGCGTGTCACAATACCACCGCTGCCGGGCAAGGTGCTCACGAATCGCTTCTCCGACGATGTGATTGAGCATCGGAGGGAGGGGCTACAGCGGTTCTTGCAGATTGTGGTGGGGCATCCGCTGTTGCAGACGGGCAGCAAGGTGCTCGCGGCGTTCGTACAGGGTCAGTATATCGAATGTGTAGTTTGAACGAGGCTGATAATGGCAGATCCGAACTGGGACAGGCACGCGTGGTAGGGGGGTTCACAACGACACGCGAACTGGCACCGGCCAACATGATTGCACGTCGCTACAAAATCACATCGGATGGTTGAAAACGAGAGAAGGCGAGGGTTCCCTTTGGTTTGCGGCATTTTCCTGCGTTATGGAGCGATAGGGCGTTCTTGTCGATAATGTCATTCTGGGGATTTGTACGTCCCCGCGGTTCACAGATACGGATGATTGTTCATATTTTCAACATAATCACAGTGTTCAAAGGCTCTGTTGAGTGTTCGGACACGTCGACTCGACTCTGTGGACTTTATGCCGTGGCGCGAAGAATCCCAGCAATTCAGCACACGCTCAGGATCGCTTCCATGCCACCAAAGATAGACTGATGCGAGATGTACGCCACGTTACGTACAAGCCTTGTTAACGGCTTAACAACCGGCTTGAGCCCTTGTTGCTAAGTATTGCTAAGATTTGACATCATGCGCGGATAGCTCCTATCGAGCGCTAGTGATGTAATGAGGAAGGCGCGGGGTTGACGAGCAAAAACTTTTGGTCGGAGCTTAAACCCTGCATGTCCCACCTCGTTCGCTCGTTCGTTGGCTCTACACTTTTACACCCTTACTTTTGATCATCACCTTGAATAGGAGATTGTGTGCATCATGGGCGTTCCATCTACTCCGGCGTCAAATGCCATTATTTACCTCACTTATGGAGCTTTCTTGTGAGTGATGATTAGGGGTTGGGAGATGGGATGTGGGTAAGATGGCGTGAGGAAGCTAATGCATTCATCTAGAGTCGTCGGATGCTATATTGCATGGCGTCTGCGACATCAATCAAAGACTGAGTGGTTGTCGAGCAACCGTACACAGAAGGGTCAGAATACCGACAAGCCCGTTGCATCGGCTCCCCGTCCTTGCGCGACATCGTGTTGCTGCAGGCCTCTTACCACCAACGAACCATCACTAACGTTGCACAGGCGTTCCGCTCGCTCTCAATTTCATTGCCGCGTGTGAGTGCACCCGTGCATCAGCGCGTCTATGCGCGTGAAGAGCAGCGGCAGTACCGAAATCACGACATCCATGTCCCTCCACTTTGAAATGAGGAAATGTCATTGAAGATGCGCATATCATCCGTCAAGCGCTTGAAGTCCTTAGGTTCGTATTTGAGATCTCTCACAGAAGCTGCTTTCATGTCTGCTTTCTTGGACATCACTCGACCGTCCAAGTCAGCAACGTGAGGGCAGAATTTCTGTGCGGCTACACTGCGGGCGCGGAACCGAGACTGGTTTTGAGTGCTTCAGATGTCTTATCTGGGGTGCTCGGGCCTTGTCAAGGGGAAGCTGAGAAGTACCGTAAGAACTCGATCAAGATAATACTTGCGTGAGGAACGTGCTGCCGCTACTCCCCTTCCTACCCCCTTACTACTTCAGAATGCTGACCTAGGTCTTTCTTACCTACAGCTCTCGGGTCCGGAATTCTCCTCACGTATCCCCAGATTGCCACCATTGCCGGCGTTCAAGGATTGCTCGTCTATGCATTAGCCTCGTCGCTACCTCTTCTCATCTTCGGTGCGCTAGGACCGATCATTAGAAGAAAGTGCCCAGAAGGCTTCGTCTTGACGGAGTGGACGAGGCAGCGCTATGGCGTCGTTGGAGGCTTGCTATTAAGCGCATGCACTCTTATTTCCATGTTCTTGTACATGGTTTCTGAGATTTCGGCAATGAGGCAGATTGTCAATCTCCTGACGGGATTGAACGGCTTGCCGGTTGTGATTGTGCAGTGCGCTGTTACCACCATCTACACATGTAAGGGTGCATTAATTTGGAGTTAGTTGAGGCGATGCTGAAATGCGACATGTAGCGCTCGGCGGTTTCAAAGTCTCCATCGTAACAGACAACATCCAAGGTGCCATGGTCCTCGGCCTCATCCTTCTAGGCATCATCGCCGTTGGTGTAGAAACGCACATCGACCGCTCCTTGATCGACCAATCCGGATTCCTCAAGCCCTCGCTCCTAGGCTGGCAGCTCATTTACATCCTCCCTGTCGCCATTTTGACGAACGACTTCTTTTTGTCTGGATTCTGGATGCGCACATTCGCCTCGCGCACAGACAAAGACCTCTGGATTGGTGTCTCTCTCGCCAGTGTTGGTGTCCTCATCATTCTCACTCTGCTCGGCGTAGGTGGCATGCTAGCTGTATGGTCTGGTGCTTTCAAGACTGGTGATGACGTCTCTCTCTCCTTCTTCGCCCTGCTAAGCACACTTCCGACGTGGGTTATCGGCGTCATTCTCGTCATGGCCGTTTCCCTTTCCACTGCTGCATTCGACTCTCATCAGTCCGCCATGATCAGCACTGCCAGCAACGACTTGTTCCGCAACAAGCTCAACATCTGGATCATCCGCGCTCTCGTTGTTGCTATCATCTTCCCCGTTGTAGTCGTGGCGTTGCGCGCTCCGGATATCTTGCAGATCTTCCTGATCAGCGATCTTGTCAGCGCTGCGGTTGTGCCGTGTCTGGTCATCGGGTTGAGTGAGAGGTTCTACTGGTACCGCGGTTTCGACTTTGTGGTCGGCGCATTGGGAGGCATCTTCACCATCTTCCTGTTCGGCCTGGTCTTCTACGATGGCGATGCGAACAAGGCCAGTAAACTACTCATCGTCGAAACTCTATACGCTAATGATTGGAGCGTGTTTGGTTCGTCATCTGCCCGCTACTACCTTGATCCATAGCTAACGCATACGTAGGCGCGTTCATGGCCGCCCCCTTTGGAGGCTTGCTCTGGGCTTTCGGTGCCTGCGGTCTGCGCATAGGTTTCCTTTTCGTGTGGGCAAAGGTCAAGGGCCATCGTTTCACCGCGCTTGATCGGCCTATTCCTCGGCAGATTGCCCGCCCTGGTGCGTTTGATGAGCACGAGAACGATGCAGTGCTTGAGCACAGTGTTGCAGCGGGAGGGAAGGGCAAGTTCTTTTAGAGATCTGAACTATAGAAGCGTATAGAAGGTGGGCACGCATGATTTGGCGGTGGGAGAGATCTCGTGTGGATAGATGGGGGGAGGGGAAGTCGAAACAGTCACACTCAACGTGTACTGTGACATCTGTCGGATGAAGACGTATATATACACGAATGATGCGTATATATTTGTAGCTCAAATTGATATCAAAACATTCCTTTAAAAATCGTTGTAGGATGAGAAGTGCGCTCTGATGTGCGAATCTGTAATTGAAGCTCATTGTTCTTCGCAACTTGCTGCAAGCTAGCTTTCGGCCTGCTTTTTGGACAGAATATTCAGTGCTGTAGTCCGGCCATTCATCACGCTCGTTGAGAGGGAGTATAGGCGTTGTAGCATCTTCCATTAGCAAAACAAAAGAGTCCAGGGGGGCCAGTAACCAATAATAACAAATCTTCTCACACAAAATTAAAAAAAGGAAGGAAAAACAAAAAAAACACGCAAAGGTTTTTCTCACTAAAGGGGTCCACAAAGTACAGGGATCGAACAGCCGGCTACTTCAAGTTCGGATAACAGCAACACTCGATTAGACTCTAATCGGGGCTTCAATCTTTCACTTTACTCTGCCACCGGGTTACAGATCCCATGTTGATGTTTGGGGAATGTTGGGTATATATACAGCCTGTTTGAAGAGAATAGTTTTGATTATTTGTATTCTTCTGTGTGTGTTCATGACTAGGGTAGGGGCTTTACGGTGGGGTTGTGGGGCGACGATTAAAGGGGCTGCGTTTTGGAAATTTGAAAAACTAGAGTTAAGAGGATTTCCAAAACGCCTACGCCCTAGTTGAACTATCGCTGGTTGAAAGACGGGAGTTGAGGGCTAACGCTGTGTCGTCGTAATTGCTATTAACCACTAGTAGAATAATAACCTTAGGCAGAATACTGCAGCAGCTACGGGTGAATTACGGGCCACTACAAATTAAGTTAATAACGTTTGTTTGAGATAATCCTTCAAGCGCCCCTCTGACGTAGTTTACTTCGCTTTGCTCCTCTGCAATCGCTTCCTGCATTCTTATTTGCATACGGCGCCTCTAACCTACTGCGCATCAAAATTACCAGCTGTTGTCGCTGTGCTATTTGCATTGTGAAAACGGGCACTTTTAGGTGCTCGAAGCTAGCTCCTCGATTCCCGTGCACGCTCAAGCTCACTTCGTGCTTGCAATGTCTATGCTTAAGCTACCAGCTGAGCTCTTGCAACTAGTGATCGACATCGCTGTGCAACAAACTGAATTGCAACACGCTACCAAACTCCGGGAAACATGTCGTATGATGCCTTAAGACAGCTGTCGAACTACCAACCTGACAAGATCTAGGTCAATTCGACTCAATCGTCCAGAATTCAATCTTTCGCCTGCCGAAAGCGATTCTCCTTCAAAGAAAACTTGGCGAGGCTATGACACAAAGGCTTGTTCACTCAAAGATGTTGCTTGGAAACACGGATGAGCTAGTGCTTTGCTATGCTATCAAGTGCACAGCGGACGATCTCGCTAGCTACGCCAAGTCTGATCTCCGGAGTCGATACGTGCAAGCTCTCGAAACGTCCGCCGCGAGAACAATGATGTACTGGAAGCTTCTTGACTGCCTTACCGCGGAGAAACAAAAGTGCCTCCCACTTGCATCGATCAAGGACAATGCTCTCGTAGCAGCTATCGGGGCAGACGAGGATGTTGAGGTACGGAAACTCTTAGAAGACAGAGTCAACGCTGCTTCAAGTACGCCACTCTTTGGAGAGGCTCTAGCTACAGCGACGTCATCTGGATCTTTGACAATGGTACATCTCCTGCTTCACTACTGGGACTGGGAGACCCACGAACATCTTGCTGGACTTCGCCTCATGAATGCCGTCGAAGCTGCCGCCTCTGCTGGCCATGACCGTGTGCTGACCGAAATTCTCAATCACAAAAACCGCATCGCTAGGTCTACATACGATGACGCTGTTATCCGCATGGTCAGGAGCAACCAGGCAGCATCCGTTGGGCTGTTACTGAACTCCAGACGCGCAGACCTCACTCCGGCGGCCAAGGAAGAGTTTTGGCTACGTTTCATGCGAACGGCTGCAGAATGTGGTCAGTGGGCGTTGCTGCAAACATATTTGCCAAAGATCCAATTAGACATTGAAGAGGCCTTGCTTGTGAGAGCAATGAACGACGCATGCTTGGAAAACCACGAGCAAGCGTTCCATACCATCATGTCTCACCTGCCCGTCTACGACTCTACACGCTATGCGGACAGTCTCTTCTGGGCCGCCGGGTTTGGTAACACGGAAGTCATGAACAGCCTTTTGACATCCCTGCAATATGACCAACGCGCATTGCTTTTAGCTCTTGCCGGCGCCGTGTCTACAAAAGCATATGAAGCTGTCGTGTACTTACTCAAGGTTGCAGGTGTTAGCCTCATCAATGAAGACGTCCCAACGCGCTTCACGGATATCGCCCGTTTGTTGCTTCCAAAGGCTTTCACTCATGTGGTGGCACAGTCCGCCAAACCGCTCTCCGTGTCAACTCAAGTAGAGAACCTGCGCGCAGCCACTAGAGCAGGTAGGCTTGCCGACGTCATCACCATCTTGCAACATATCAAAGTCCACCATCCGAACGATAGCTTGGTCGGCGTTTCCGCTGCGTTTAGTGATGCAGCGAAGGCTAACCACCTCGATGTTCTTCTGTTCCTGTGCGAGAATTGGACGCCTCACCTAGTGACCTCTTGCGTGAAGTCGCCAGCTGTAGCACAGATTTTCATCAACTTTGGCTGGGACGTTTGTCAGACCGATCAAGGTTCGAAGTATCCGCGTCTTGGGTAAGCACATCAACAGACGCGCCACCAGCACAGCTAATGATGGTCAGGAGCTTCGTCTATGACGAGCATTTTGTTCGTTGGCTGCTGAGAAAGGGAGCCTCAGCCGACGCACGAGGGGAATTTGACGTCACAGCGGTGTCGGTAGCGATCTGCCGCGCTCCAATGTCCACAATCAGACTGTTGCTCGACCACAGCAGTAGCGGTATCCAGCATGGGCAGCTGCTCCATTTTGCTATGCAAAGAAGTGGTGAAGACAGCCTAGAGGTTGTCGAACTTTTGCTAAACTTGGGTTGTCCGATCGATAGCATCTGGTTCCGAAATGATGAGCGTTCATGGCTAGAGTGGGGAATAGGGGAAGCTGGAACAGCTTTATTCAATGCAGCTGAGCAGGGCAGAGACGACATTGTGGCGTATCTGCTTTCAAGAGGTGCTGATGCTACAATCGTCTCCAACAAAGGTCGCACAGCCCTGGATGTAGCGAGAAGCAACCAACGATTCGGGAGTGTACGGCTTCTGGGTGCGTAGGCTGGGAGATACTCAATCGTCACATCGCACGCGCACGCGCTCGTGTAGATGTAGCTCAGACTACCCAAATTCAATAATATTTACGGCTACTACTGACTGGCCCAGCTGTGCCCGTTCCACATAATCCACTTCTGTCCATTGAGAATCCACTGGTTGACAGGAGGGTTGGTTTGCGACTCAATGACAACATTGCTAATTGTTAGTTGATACCGCGTTTGTCCATTTTCAACAGCGACTCTCCATGCTGGAGCATTCTCGGGAACGTCTGTGATATCTCTATCCTCTACATAGGCCCGAGGCGATCCACTTCGCCCGTCGATAAAGACTGTCCCTAGATGTGTGTCGTTGTCGATGAGTGCTTGGTTCGACCACTCGTAGTGCCACTGAACACTAGCATGTTTAGCGATCTGACGCCGCGATACATGACACGCAGTTGCTCAGGAGCAGTAACGACGTTGTTGTTGAGCGTTGCGCAGACAATGTATGTCTTGCTCTCTGGTGGGAAAAGCTGTGGATTATCAAGACAGGTGCGGACGGCTTTGTTCGTCAATTCTTCAGCGAGCTTGACGAAAGATATGAAGCCCGTAATGCTTCCGGGGCGGTTGTTAGTACGGGGTACAGAATCAATGTAATCACAAACTTCTCCACACTCAAAGTACCTTCACAGAACTAGCGATAGCTCAACTAGGCCGTATGCGCTTTGGAAACCTTCTTACCTACTGTCGTCGATCTACCCACTAGTCAGTCAACATAACTAATAAACTTTCTTAAGAAAGAAGAGCACCGAAAATACAAACCCAAACCGGCTGGAGCTAGTAGGGGCCAATTTCAGGATATCAACTATGGTCATCAACAGCAACCGCTGACTAAGTTTATTTAAATCAGGTTAGGTCGTAGCCCCACCTACAGCTGATGACAGCCCTTGCCTTCTCAACGCCTTGCTCATGCTCCTTCATTCCGCCTTTCCGGGCCTTACAATAATGCCGACCTAAGTCTCAATCGATTTATTTGCTACCCAGGAGTGTTTCATACATTTGCGTTACTACCAAGGGCGTAGGCGCTTTGAAAATCCTCTTACCATGTCTCAGTGGTTATGTTCAGCCTGCTCCTCATATATTAACCACCTCTTCTCTCCATCCAACTATCTCCCTCAGGACAATGCACACAACCACCACCTAGCCTACAATCGAAAAAATCTAAACTCTATTGCGACGTGGATTTCATCCTCTTCATCTTGCGAGTTGTGCCAGTTTATATTGATCGGCTTCAAAAAGAAATACTTCAGCTACCTCGGGTCTCTAGACAGCAGTCAGATCCTCGAGTTCTTAACTAACAATTTCGAACCTGGGTCTCTGAAAGTACATACCTACGGCAAGGAAGACAGATTCAAGCCCGGGCCTAATGATGAGGGTGAATTGGATCCTCGACTTGGGATTTACTGTATTAGCATTGAAACTCCTCTAAGTCTGGATCATTTTTTGGAGGGCCAGAATGGCTTTGAAGTGTGCTTTAGCCTATGGGTCGATGATGGTGAGTGGAATTTTGTATGCTTGTATTTTAATTCCATGTCTTAATGTTGCCAAAACGCATAGAAGAGTGCGGCTTAAGTGATGAAATGAATAAACCGGGCTAACTACGTTTGTTTAGAGCATCCAGCGCATATCTCAGGGGATGTAGCTAGAAAGGAACTACTGCAAGATACTGGTACGCAGGATTCATTCGATCAAATTCAACTGTGGCTTGATGATTGCGTTAAAAACCACACTCAATGCGAGACGATGATTTCTGGGGAACAGCTGGACGAACTCCAAGGACCAGTACTACCAACAAGAATCCTTGACCTCGGAGGACCTATACAATCAATAAAATTGGTGGAAGGAGCCCATATCAGAAGTCATTATGCGGCACTCAGTCATTGCTGGGGACCACCAGACAAACGCCCCCTAGCAACAACGAAGAAGACATTGCAGGATCACTTCGAAGGCATTCCGTTCTCCAACCTTCCTCAAACTTTCAAGGATGCAATCATAACAGCTCGCCAGGTAGGACTGCAGTACTTGTGGATTGATTCGCTCTGTATCATCCAAGATGACGAGGACGACTGGCTTCGAGAAGCAGAAAGTATGGGTTTAATATATGCAAAAGCCCGTGTTACTATCGCCGCTGCTGATGCTACTGATTCTTCCAAGGGGTGTTTTGCAAAGGATAGGATAGCTCCGAACGTGAGGATTCAGCTTCCCTACATCTCGCCTTCGAGCGATAACAAGAACTCCGTCTTCACACTATCTTTAGGTGTATTGAGTCCGAACAACCGAACAATGACGATGCTGCCTCTGAGACAAAGAGCTTGGGTTGTCCAAGAGCGGATTCTAGCTCGGAGAACCATTACCTATGGAAACGGGGACATCTTCTGGAATTGCAGAGAGCTCGAAAACCTTATCGTTGGTCGTCAAGGACCCCCTTTTTTGGCTGGCCCAGATGGCGATCATTGGATCTCCGTCTTAATCAGCTACTGCAATTGCAGACTGACGCGCTACACCGACACCTTGATAGCACTTCAAGGCCTAGCAAACGAAATGAAGAAAGCCCTCGATGCGAACTACCATTTTGGAGTGTGGACTGATATGTTACCGGGCCTATTACTGTGGGCGAGAACTGACTCAATGCGGCGGAATGCTGATATGGAAGGTAGAGTGCCTTCTTGGAGTTGGGCGGCCATGATTGGGCCAAGAGACTTTTGGTACAGGCCTTCGACAAAGGACGTACGTTACTTGACAGAGGGAATTGAAATCAAAGGACAAAGACTAAATATTTCTGGGCCCCTCAAGAAAGGATACTCCTGTCAAAAGAAGCATGCAATCTCAACCAGTGAACACCAAGGGAAGCCGGCAATAGCATGGTATTGCAGTGATCTTTTTCATCTTGAGATGTCCGTTGAAGACTGCGACGAAGCACATTGTGGATATGCCGCGTTTGATCTGGGATACAGTCGAGAATTTTACTGTTTATTTGTGGCAAAAGGATGCCCTTTTGGGGTGGCTAGTGAGGGCTTTTCGTATACAGTGCTTCTCCTAGAGCCAATCGAGCTTGATGCTCTCGTTTTTCGGAGGATTGGACTCGGAGCGGTGGTAAAACAAGAACACATTGGTACTGCTAAGCACTCATCACTTACTATTATGTAAAGGGAGGAAGGCGACGACCAGTTTAACATTTCTTTTTTGTTAGATTCACTAGATATAAATGCAAACTATACTTGGTAGTTTCCTGCTAATGAAAATACCCCGTCTGATCAAGAGTCTTGTAAATGTGACAATGATGCTAGATAAAGCCTAGAAATCCAGCCACGTTTTGCTCTTTGCTCAGTGCATCCACTTCTTAAAACGCCTTCTCGGCTAGAAATAACTGACATTGTAGGTACCGACGAGTTTGCAGTTTCATGAGACACCAATGCGACAGGTGATAGTTTACTTGTCAAGAATCTGAACTGCATAATAGGCGACTAGGCTACCGTTCAGCTGAGGCAGATAAACTGTGTCGCAGCCTCATGTTGCTTGGATCCGTTCGTACATAACCATGCACAAAAAATTGGACACTATATTGAACGGAAATTAACATCATGGAGTTGAAGATGTTGTCTGCAAGAGTATACGAGATTGTGTGATGAATGTCGTCTTAGAATGAGTGGGTGCGTCATGCGGCGCGGGGCAGATCTGCAGGGTCCAGACGAAGCTTCGCGAAGTCGTGACACTTTTCGAAGGCATCAATCTTTGCAATACGTCTCACTGTCGCACTACAACCACGAGTTCAATTGAATATTATAGACCCTATAGGAAACTCTCCTCTTACACGACACTCTGCCCGCAACTCGCCACGATGCAGATGCCAGACGTCCCCATGAACGTCCCAATCGACGACCCGAACGCAGACACAGAATGGTATACTCCCTACCTCCCATACCGTATAAACCCTCACTAAGCGGCAAATTCTAGGAACGACATACTCCGCAAGCACGGCGTAATCCCCGAAAAGCCCCCGTCACCAACTCCTATGATCCAAGAAGCCATCGAAGAAGCCCGCAGACTCGCACACGACAACAGGCTAGAAGGCAAGGACTTGGATGAACTCGCGGAGCTGGAGGATGAAGAGGACGAGGATTTCCTCGAATCATACCGCAAGAAGCGCATGGCTGAGCTATCCACTACCACGGCCGCGAGCATCTACAACCAGGTCTACCACCTCCAGAAGCCCGACTACTCGAAAGACGTCACCGAGGCATCGCAAAAGGCACACGTTCTTGTCCTCTTGACGAGCTCACAGGGCACGAATACCGAGTCGAGGGTGCTGATTGAGATATGGCGAGAACTCGCCAAGAGATTCGGGGACGTCAAGTTCTGCCAGATGCGGGCGGATCTGTGCATTGAGGGGTATCCAGATAAGAACACACCGACTGTGTTGATATATAGGGACGGAGATATCAGAAGGCAGATTGTCACGCTGAGGGACTTGAGTGGGCCGCGAACCAGCGCGCAAGACGTGGAAAAACTGCTCGTGGACGTTGGCGCCGTCAAGGTGGGCGACTCGCGACTGCAGCAGCGGAGGAAGGAAGATGCAGAGGTCAACACGAGCTCGATACGGCAAGGCAAGACGGGTGGAGACGACGACGATAGCGATTGGGATTGAGAAGCTATGCGACCATTGTAGGCCTGATATGCGGCATGCGCGGTTCCTCTCCTCGGCGCATATTTGCGACTGAGGATGGAGAAATGAAGGGAAGAGACACTTTGGTCGAAGCAGCATCCGTCGTCAAGCTTCATATAGGCCGCGACGAGCAGGCCTGCGTTGAGTCTCGATCAGGGCGCTTGACCGTTCGCAAGTGTCGAACTCATTCTGTCTCCTCGAGACACGGAATTATCTGCAAAGCATTGAAAGCTGGTACGGAATCTTGGCCGTATGATCCGTACTGCGCAGTACATTTGTAGATGTAGTAGCTCGATGCACACGATACGCGCGCAAATGCTACCAACAAGACTTATTTATCCATCAACAGTACCGTCATCTGTTCACGTATACCCAACTTCCAAGCAATAAAGATAAACTCGTCAAGTCCATATCTTCCCAAATCCAAGTCGCGCACAAATACAAAGCGCAGCAAGTCGGTCAAGACCGGCATCTCACAGTCCCCCTCCTACATATGCACAGCATCCATGTTCCAAGCCCATTACCTCAACTCGTCTACCCTCTGCCAACCCCAGCGTATTTCACGCTGTTGACACACCGCCCACCGACACTCTCGCTCGCTGACTTTGCACCGCTTTAGGTAATCGGACCGGGGTTGACGTGCATGCTGTACTGCATATACATACTGCCTCGTATCTGAGAGTCTGCATTTCAAATTGGCTGCCCAAGGCGATACGAGTGTGGCTTGCAGAGTACATGTTGTCCCAAGGCAGCCTGCGTTAGTTTGTAAGTATACTGGTTTCTCCGGTGCACGTGCTCGGTTCGTATCTGAGCTTTGTCGGATAGAGAGCTCCGTGGTTGACTGGCCATAGTCGGTAGAAGAGGTTGTGCTTGAATCTTTCTAGCGTCGAATACAAGAGTAAGCTCTCGCGTTCATGGGGCATCAACTATCACAGATGTACTCCGCAAGACTATCTATTCTATCACCATGTACACCGCAACCTCGTATTAATTGATCGGGGACGACCGGTTAGGATTTGCCAACACTTGAATTTAAAACCAGTGCTAGTAAGTAATTGGGTATGTTCCTGATTAACATTGACCATTGAAACCAAACAATTGCGCGAAGGATCAATCAGGCCCTCCTGCATCTCGAGTCAACATCTCGATGACCAATTAGAAACATGAAACGTGCGAGGCAACCTCGTTACATCACCCCGCTCAAGCTCAATGTCAGAAACCATGGATACAGCATCCAGCTTGTGGTATTGCTGCTGTAATTTTGGCAATGGTGTATTGTCATGTAATTGAAAAGAACCGCAGATCATCGTCGAGTGGTTGAACTTGTAGGGATGCATGCTTGACCATGCAAATGCAAGGCCCCCATGATGTTGTCGCCGTGCCTAAGATCCCATGTGCTGAGAGTGTGTTGATTCCTTGCTTGACGCTCGAAGTGGGGTCGTTGTTGATATATGATAAACTCTCATAGGCTGGCATGTCGTTCAATTCCCCGCGAATAAACCCGCGATAGGAACCTTGGAAGTGCGGATGCGGACGGGGACGCTAGCAAGCAAGTTGTTGATCGCTTCAGTTCGGAGTCGAGTCCGAGAACCTTAATTTTCAGAACCCCTCAACAGTGCTTGCTGGATCAGCGTGGAATATCGTGCTGAGTGGATGTACTGCGACAAACTTGCTGCACAGTAGCATGGGTAGCCATGGAGCTTTCAACCTAAAACATGTCTGAAGTGCTGCGTACGGTATCTTGCATGGCCCTTGGGAAGCAGTTGATCTTGAGGTAGCCTGAACTCAAATATACCGTAAGCTCATACCTGTTTCTCAGGTAGAGACACTCAGGTGAAGAGGCTGCGTAGTTTACCCATAATAAGTTGAAAGTGCGTAGATGGACCTGTGGTGGGGGCGCTATAGTAATTGTGTCGCTGTGGTATATTGACAAATTGACTGGTTTGTTGCTCGTTATGGCGAGATGGTCGTCAACACGCAGAAGTCGGCACCTAATGGATGCGGTCATTCCGGACTGCTAAGCTTTACCAAGCTTTCGGATCAACAGGAGAGAGACGTCGCTTGTAAAAGGGATATTGATGACGTGGATGGTGCAAAATGAGTTACCCAAGGCTAACCCTGCAAGCAGCGGAAGTCGACGGGTTAGCAGCTATAGTCTGGTCGTGCTGATGATGGCCGACAAGCTTCCGAATGTTCCACAGGCGGCTGGGGGTTCATGTATGCCAGGAGTAATATGATGCCGGCTATCGATGTCGGCATTTCAAAGTCTGTTTTTCGGAGGTCCGGCACGCTCTGTTGGTGAGGAACTACAAGTTATCTTATTCGCTGCAGTAGACAAACATGAGCAGTGTCCAGGAGAAGTGAAGATCGCTAATATCGCCAAAACCTGAGCATTGGTCGCATCAATTTGATTGTGGTAATCTGATGTGTTGAATTGTCATGATCAGACATAGATATGAACACAACCATTGATCCATGGCGTTCGTCGTCGGAGATAAATAACGTTCCCTTGATATCCCATAATTCAAGAGCGCCTCATTTTGTGGGCCTGCTCATAGCCGCCTATGTGGAACTCCGGACATCGCAAAGCAGGCTTACCGGCCTAAAGACAATGCGGGAAAACTGGTAAAGGGTATTGGAAAGAAATGAAATCATATCCATGGTTGAAGATCAGATGAGTTCGTCCCCACCACACCGTCTCGACTCCTCGACTGCTTGCCATAAAGTGTCCTCTTCGAAAACGGGCCCGTGGCCGTCACACTTTGCTGCGCCTTTTACCCGCTCACAGACGTCGGTGATGTCGACTAAGCCTTGCTTGACGAGCGGATGCGACTGGATAAAGTCCCAGGCCTGAGCTGCGGGGATCTGCCTGCCCTTGGACGTGCGGCGAGAAGCGACTTGCTCCTTGTCAGCAGCGTTCATAACGCTGCCATTGGTGAGGGATTGGACGTTGTAGTCGTCGTCGTCGGCGTCGCTATCCTCGTCTAGAGGAAGGTGAGCGCCTGGCGAGGGATAGCTGGCGGATACTGGTCTCGATGCAGCAGGTGAGTGTCCAGAGGTAGCGCGTAGGATCTCGTTCTCCGTCCTGGCACGCTGCAGAGCGAGCTTTAACCGATCATTGTCTGACTGTAGAGAGTGCGTGCTCGACTCGAGAGCCGTGAGTTTCGTCTCGAGTTCGCGGACATGGCGCTCCTTGCGTTCACGGAAGGCGCGTTGACTAGACAGGCGTCAGCAATCATCCCGTGCCACCCGAGACGAGACGAGACGAGACGAGACACGTACGCTGCCCGATTCTGTGCCTTCCGCCTGCTCTGCGCGGGGGTGAGGCTTTCCTTCTCTTCGCTGCTGCTGCGCGTCTGGCTTGCGCGGCCGTCGTCTCCAATCCCCGAGTCTACGCTGCCAACAGGCATAGGTGTGTGTGCTACAGCGGCGTCGGGTGAGCCCTGCTGCGGGGTGGGCAGGCCGTGGAATGTAAAGGCATCGTAGGGGACGGGGAACAGAGTAGGGTCGAGAGGTTCCTGTGCAGTAGTCAGATTAGTCATTCGAAGGTTGTACCTCTCCCACGGCCGGAAGCGGGGCAGCGCGACATGGCACGTTTCGTTGAGCACCTACAACGCTGCGAATAGTGTCCGGGTCGACTCCGGAGTGGGGGAATGCACTCGGCGGCATGCCCAGAAAGTGGTGATAGGGCTGCTGCGGAGGCGCGCTGAAATAGCTGTAGTCCATGGCGACGTGAGGTTGCTGGCTGACGACGTGTAGTCGACCAAAGTTCACTTGCAGCTTGGGTCAGGAAGGCTTGGTACTGAAACGCCGTACGGCTTTGGACGGCAACGCTATGGCAAACTTGAAGCTGTCTGGGGGGTGGGAAACTCAATTATTTAACACGACAGCTGAAGATCTGGGCCTTATAGCCCAGCTTGAGGGTAGGGGTGCTGCTCAGATGTGCACGTTCACTCTCGCCAGCTGCTCTGACCCCATCCTCAAAAAGACGCACTAAAAACACCATGCAGGCCGCAGTGCATCGCCATCCTTGACCCTAGCAAAACGGCCTGGGGCCGACAGGCTGGCATTGGCACTCGTCTACCTATCTCGGTACTACCTTCACCACTGCAACGACAAGTTCTGGTGGGACCGCCTGCATGCACACGCTGCTGCATCCTGCTGTCCATTGCGTGGTCAAATGTCTCATACGTCCTCAATGGAGACATGCCTCGAGAAAGAACCTCTATCCCCTGGGACCGGGGGGACGACGCTGATGGAGCCTTTCGGGACGCTCTATCGGTATCCAGTCCTGACCGTCTCATCTCCGCGTTGCTGACTGCAGCTTCGCAATCATTCTTCTGTACATCTTCAACTCTCCATACAGATCTTTGTCAGTTGTGTACCCGCGTTCGTTAGCTGCTGAACAAGCTTCTTCGACCTCGCTACTGCACTCGAGGACAAGTGGGGAAACCTACGCTACTCTTGGTACAGAGACTACTGTAACATGGAGCGGCTCTATAGATCCGCAACATCCCTCAGCCTTGTCAACATCAGCATGGCCTCAGCCCAATCTTGGACCCAAGTCTCAGGGACTGGGACAGCTGAAGACTGGGACCACGGGGAAAGACAGCTTGAGCTGTCGATCAAGGTGGTCAGCACTATAGTAGCCCTACGGCAAATACGGTACACTGCACGCCAACCGACGACTTTGTGCCAGTATTGAGCGAGCCACGCCTTATGTCACCCTGTAAGTTACAGCTCTAACCCTTCGGTCCCAGATTCTACCCTGTACAACCCACCTATGCAGTACCACCTAGGCTTCAGTCACCGGCACGAGGCATTCGACGGAACATTGCTCCATGCCGCAGCAGGCTACCAATCACCCACTTATCCCGAACCATAGACCAATCGTTCATGGCTTTCGTCGAGTCGGAAGACGCCATGCTCCGAAACTCCTTTCGGTGGTTCCTTACTACTTCAACTATCTTCCCACTAGTCCGCTTCTAGACTTTATTAACTTCCGCTTCCAGCGCTCGCCTGTCACGTTTCCTTCACTGTCAGCTGCTTGGCAGGGTCTTGATGCATGAACATCCTCAGCCCTAGGGAAAACTTCTTCGCAATCCCGAACTCGCTTGTCAACGTGGACCCTGACCAGATCAGAATCCGGTACTCGTCACAAGGGATTTGGAAATGCTCTGCTGGCCATCGCCAGCCAGACGATCCGATTGGAACCTCGCAAAGAAGGGGCTGTCTCATTCATAGTAACCTGCGGACCCGCAGGACAGACTACGCATGCATGCATCCTAGATCAGACTAAACCTCTCTTCACTACGGACTCGACTCCCCGAGGCTCGATATATCTTGCACCGAGTGTTACCCAGACGAAGTACGACGTCTAGCAACGGTACCGCATAATCTCAGCGGAATTGTGAACCCCTGCCATTCACACTGTCGGCACAGTAGACGCAACGGAACCGCATGTTCTTAGAGGAATCGTGGACCCCTACTATTCACACTGTCGGCACAGTAGACGCAACATGCAACCCAGTCCACGTCGAGGCTTTTCATCGTTCTTAAAAAGGATCTTGTTTCCCCAATTTGACTCGACTACGCTACTGCATGCCACCGCATGAGTAAGATGTTTATCTTGGTATTAAGCACATTCACCAAGTTCAAAAGCTTTAGAGGACAGCGGTGAGAACAGTCATCCCCCAATTAGGAAGCCGGTCCGGCACACGACCCGTTCGTGGCGAGTATCACCAGTAGACGAAGCGTTGTCCCGATATCTGACCTTGGCGAACAGGCTTGTCCAAGCTACCACGTGTATGATTCGACGCCCACAACTTGGAAGACGTAACAAAAGCCGTACTAGGAGAATCATAAGTTGCAAACGACATGCTCGGCGATATATCCTCTTTCCACTCTGAGCAACGACCTCCGTTCGTGGGAATACAAGAAGTCCAATTAGATATAGACAATAGCGCAGGATGCGTCTTATCTCATCTCCTTGGCCATGTGTATATGCACAAAAAGACGGACAGCCCGCAGTACGGGAAACTAACGTTATACTACCCCCTAGTAAAGGCCAAGAGTATGCAAGTGGTCAGCATCCCCACGTGCCAGACTTTGGGCTCAATGCAAAGATGATTATTTATCCTGAATCGACGACTGCCTACCGCCTAAACACTACTGACCTTGCTGGACGTCTCCCGTCTCCACTACACATGACGGGAGCTACTAGTGTGCCGGGATGATCCCAGGCATGATTTTGCAATCGTTGCTAGACATGGTAATAAGATAGGTGGATATATACCAGGCATCCTCGTCAATACAGAGAAGAAGACTTTGCAGTGATGGCATAATTCACGAGAACAATGAGTAGTCGAGGTCGAGGGAGTGAACAGAATAGACATTAAGGATGCATTAGGGGTGGTGGCCATCATCCGCCACAAGCTACGTGGGTGAACATGGCCCATCTATTCAGGAAGTTTGTAGGAGGTACACATCATGGCCAACCAAGCAGATTGCCTCTGGCCTATGGAGGCTTCCAAGGGTATTGATAGCGACCTCCTGGACCGTAGTGGACATGCGGCTCAAAGTCCCTTGCAGAAAAGTATTAGCATCAAGCCAGGAATACTTTCACCAAAGCTTGTGCCATCTGCTCACTACTCTGACTTCTTGGCCAGCTGAGCCTGATTGCGCAGGTTCGGTGCAGTGGTGCTCTCGCCGCTGTTGTTCGTCTGCTCCATGTCTGCGGCCCACAGCGCAGCACCGACAGTGTTGGTGAAGGAGAAGAAGATGCCGGCAATGGGGACGAGCTCGAGTAGGACAGCAGGGATACCGAAGCTATGAGATATTAGTATATGCAAAGAAGAATAGTGATTGTATGACAAACCTCGCATATGCAGCCTTGCGCTGCTCAATAAAGTGCTCCTTCTCCTGCTTCTTCATCTGCTTGAGCTGGAAGTAGCGGGCATGCGCTGTAGGGCCAAACTTGCGTCCCTGGAGGATGACGAAGAGGACGGTACCAACGACGGGAATCAGGTTGAGCGGGAGGTACATGAAGTACCGGATGATGGCCTTGGGGGTGAACTTGGCAAAAGGCTTCGCGACCAGCTTGCCCAATTTCCCGACCGGATCGCTTCCGCGCTTGACCTCGCGCTCCGTAGCCACCAGCGAAGTCATGTTGCGAGACAGCAGGGTGCCGTCGAAGGTGTCAATGAGGGCATCGTCGATGAGGAAGTTCTTGCTCAGGACGTTGAAGATGGTGGAGGCCTCGCTGAGCACGAGCAGGACGGTTGTGAAGATGGCAAGCGGGTCGTTCACGAGGGTGAGCAGCGCGACCTGGGGCACATAGGTGACGGCAAACATCAACACGGTCACGCCCAGGCCGAGGGAGATGGTGGGGACGATCTTGGCGGCAAGAGGCTTCCATAGCGAGCGGTGGGTGAAGAAGTACATGATGCCCTAGCAGACATGTTAGTACCGTGCCATGTGTACATTATCGCGATGTCGCACTTTGAAGGGGTAGAGGTAGGCGGCCGAACGCAGAGCTTCGCTGGCGAGTTCCTTTGCGTGCTCAAAGTCCTCCCTCGCGACTTCCTTGACCCTGTCGGGCACTTGAATCCTGGCCTGTGACATGGCTGCAGCGGGTAGTTCCGGGCGAGTAGAGGATGGTAGAGTTTAGGGGCGCGAAGAGGAATTGCGAGAAAATTGTCAAGGTCAAGGCGGCAAAGGCGAAGTTGGCGGGGTGAAGCTCTGGCATTTTGGCCCTACGTCATCATGGGATTTCTGGCCCAAGCTTGGAAAATGGCATCTGGACAACATGGCAATTTTGTATTCTCCTGACGTAATCGGCGACGAGAGTGCACACCACACGGACGACGACGACGACGACGCAGCGCTCTGGCGAAACACACAGAAGACTTGGAGTGCATCGTCGCGCGATGGGTCGATTTCGAGACTCAGCGATGAGACGCGTAAAGACATTTCAGCCCTAACGGTACGTGTACGTTGGTACTTTGTACGTCACGATTCGTCATCCCAACTTCAGTTCCAACTTCAGCTCTTCCGCCATTACACCACCGCTGCAGGGGGGTTTGCACGATCAGGCCGAGCTCTCTGCAACCTAGCGGCTCCTAATGTGCCGCCACTGCGATTCTCCACCTATCCCGTCTGCGCAGGAATGAACTTCCAAGTTCGTGTTTGCCCTGCTCCGATGCGATCCAGCTCTAGATCCTCGTATCCAGGAACTCGACCCAGGCCTGCCTTGATTCACTGCCACACATGGCTGTGTCCTGCAATGATCCACAGCCGATCGGACCCCACACGCGCGTCAAGTGGCCATGAATTTGATGCAAGACGGAGCAAAGCAGGATCTGAAGTGGCGGGTTAAGCTTTGGCTTCTCCACCCCGTCTCCTACACGGGACCGTAGAATGACGCAGCGTCCTGCTCGTGCTAGACCCCGCCCTGCACCCATCTGGACGACTTACTAGCCCTATGCATTCAGCTATGCTTCGAGGGGCTCGGTGTCGACAGAGAGAGCGTAGCGGCTGGCGGACGTTGCGGAATGCCAGGCCCCCGCGAGCGCTGATGGGTTGGTAGGAAGTCCCGAGCTGTCACCGCAGAAGCTGTCTAACTTCCCACTTTGGCCCTTGCCGGTTCGCGGATATGACGTTTTGGAGGCCCGAGTGAGACAATTCGCGATTTTGCTGTTTGATTGCGGGGCTCGTCTTGGAACAAAGACGGTCGTGAAACAAGGATACACAGCAGGCGGCGCCTGCCCGTTTGTACACCTTCTCTTGATGGCGCCATAACTTCAGAGTGACGTAGCCGGGTCATTCCTGCCCCTCATGTATATATAAGAAGGCATGGACGCCCGTTGTTAGCCTTCTACTTCATCACACAAACCACAACCACCACTTCAACCACACTCCAACACTCAATCAACCTTTACCAACTTCACCAACCTCTACACACTTCAACTCACACATCATGGCTGGCACAATCGAGAAGATCAAGGCCAAGGTCGACCAGGCCCTCCACAAGGACAAGACCCATGGTAAGTTCAATCAACTCTTGACCCATTGTGCTCTCACTTACACTTTTCCAGACGACCCCACCCACAGCTCTCACACTGGCACTACAGGACACACTACCACTCCTGGCCACAGCACCACTGCTGGACACACTACCACCCCCGGACACAGCACCACTGCTGGACACGGCACAACTGCTGGACACGGCACCACGAGCGGCCTGACAGGCTCATCAACCACTGGCGGCTACGGCACTGCCGGCCACAGCGACCCTACCGGTCCCCACGACTCGAAGCTTGGCAACAAGGCCGACCCGAGGGTAGACTCTGACCGTTATGGTGCGGCAGGCAACACCTCAGGGGCTGGAGGCATTGGCACTGGCCAGTATGGCGAGGGTCACCACACCACTGGCACCGGCCTAGCCGGCCACTCAACGACTGGCGGCGGCTTGACTGGACCTGGACACACCACCACTGGCACCGGCCTGACTGGTCACTCAACCACCGGCCACACCACCACTGGCAGCGGACTGACAGGTTCCAACACCACTGGCGGTATCGGACATCGCTCCAACGATCCTACCGGTCCCCATGACAGCCACCTTGGCAACAAGGCTGATCCTCGTGTCGACTCAGACCGTTTCGGAGCCGCTGGCAACACTGCTGGCGCAGGTGGCTACGGAACTGGCCAGTATGGCGAGGGACATCACACTACCGGCCACACCGGTCACACCACTGGTACAACCGGCGGCACTGGACTCACTGGTGCTCTTGGTGGCCAGCATGATGTTACTGGCCCTCACGAGACCCGCACTGCGAACAAGCTAGACCCCCGCGTCGACGCTGACCGCTATGGTGCTGCTGGCAACACCACAGGCGCAGGAGGCTACTCCAACACCACCGGCGGAATTGGACACCGTTCCAATGATCCTACCGGCCCTCACGACAGCCATCTAGGCAACAAGGCCGACCCCCGTGTTGACTCGGATCGTATTGGTACTGCAGGTAACACTACAGGTGCTGGTGGATACGGCGCTGGACAGTACACTGAGGGCCATGGCACCGCCGGCCACTCAACCACCGGCCACGGTACTGCTGGTCACGGCACTGCCGGACACTCCACTACTGGTCACTCGACCACTGGCGGATACGGTAGCACCGGCAACACTGTTGGCAGCGGAAACTCCAACAAGACCGCTGGACCCCACGACAGCGACCTGCTCAACAAGCTCGACCCCCGCGTCGACTCCGACCTCAACGGCAGCAAGACTGTCGGAGGCAACAAGACTTACCAGTAAGCGTTGCGCGAGTCGGACAGGAATGAAGGAAGCGGATACGGAATGATTTATGATTACCCCGATTACCCAATGACTTGAATAGTCTTAGTTAGTTAATGAATGGAAGAATCTTGAACAACATATAACCAGCTTTTGTGAAGCATCCTCCTCACTTTTATAATCTGTCGTCTCTGTAGAAGAAACTTGCGAGTAATGCTAGTGCTAGAGTTAAGATGGTAATTCGCGGTGGTTCCGCGGACACTAACACTAGGAACTTACACCTCCTTCGTACAATTGGTCAATTAGGAGTATGCTGTACATTTAGGCAACAACATTCTACATGAGTAGGGAGGAACCTCAAATTGCTCTCAGGCAAACAATATATTTAGTCTCAAAACTCCTTCGCCACAGCTTATCAACCCCAACTTGATCTACAATGTCCTCTCCCCCCTCAACCTACACAGGCCCCTCGGTCCCCGACATGCTGGCCTCGCACTCTCTCGCCGAGAACATAATAAAATACGATGCCTACCCTGAAAGCGGGCGTATCCTGGATGACGGCGAGATGAACATGCTGCGCCGTTTTGTGCAGAATCCAGACGAGGAGAGGAGTAGGATACTCGAGGAGGAAGGGGTTGAGATGGGGACGGGGGAAGGGTTGGATAGGAGTTTGGTTGCGTTGATCGTGTTTCGGCATGCTGGTGGGGATGGAGGTGGGAAAGGGGGGGAGGGGGGGTTGCTGAGTGAGCGTGAGATTGAGGTTTTGAGGGGGTGGTTTGCGGAGCGGAATGTCTGAGTGGAAGGAGGGAGGGAAGTGTTGGGATTCATGGGTTGACAAAAGGTTTCCTCGGTATGTCAAGGTATACCAGTTGATTCATTCACTCTTCGAACCTAACTATCAATCGTTCTATCATGCGTCTTGAACATTCATCATGAAACCATTCTAAACCCCACTGCATCCAAGCAAAGACCCATCCATCAAACACCGTCATAAACATCTACCTGCCATCAACAGCCACGGACTTATAGCTGCGTCAACAGACCCTGGCTCTCGAGCAGCAGCACAATCTGATGCACCGCCGTCCGGACATTGCTCGTCGACAGATCAACGACCAAGTCGGCCTTGGCAGGCACCTCATACGGGTCATCGACACCCGTGAAGCCCTTGATCTCGCCGGCTCGCGCCGCCTTGTAGATGCCGCGCTTGTCCGTCTTCTCGGCATGCTCGAGCGGCGTCGCAACGTGGATGAGGTAGAAGGAGCCGTACTTCTCGACCGACTCGCGCGCCGCCTTCCTGCTGTCTTCAAACGGCGCGATGGGAGCGACAATCGCCGCGGCGCCCGCTTTGGTCAGCTCGGATGCGACGAAGGCAATGCGCGCGATGTTCTTGTTGCGGTCGGAGCGGCTGAAGCCTAGCTCGCTGCTGAGCTCAGAGCGCACCGTGTCGCCCAGGAGCAGCGAGACGGACCGCCCGCCTTGCTGGTTGAGCGTGACGTTTAGCGCGCGCGCGATGGCGTCTTTGCCGCTGTTCTGGTAGCCTGTGAGGAAGACGGTGAAGCCTTGTTGGCTGCGGGGTGGGTGGGATTCGCGCAGGACGCGGACGACTTCGGGGTACGAGAACCATTCGGGGATTTCCTGGCCGGTGCGGAGGCGTTTGCGGAGTTCTATTCAAACTTGTTGTTAGTAATCGAGGTTTTGCGGCGAAGAGTGGATGGTGGACATACCTGTTCCTGAGATGTCGAGCGTCTTGATGCCCTGCTCAACCTCGTTCTTGGGCTTGTACTCGTCCGAGTCGGGCAGATAGGTCATCTGCAAAAAGGGCACGACTTCAATGCCCAGCTCGTCCCTGTACTTCTCGACCGCGTCCTGGGCGTCGTACGGACCGTAAAAGTCGACGCCCTTGGAGTTCTTGCCGGGACCAGCGTGGTCACGACCAACAATGAAGTGGGTAGCACCGTGGTTCTTGCGGATGATGGCGTGCCAGATGGCCTCACGGGGACCAGCCATGCGCATGGCGAGCGGGAGCAGAGCAAGCACAGCCATGCCGTTGGGATAGCGGGGCATCAGCGCCTGGTACACACGCACACGGGTGAAGTGGTCGATGTCACCGGGCTTTGTGAGGCCCACGACGGGGTGGATGAGCACATTGGCCTGGCGGGCGCGGGCAGCGCGGACAGTCAGCTCGCGATGGGCGCGGTGCATAGGGTTCCTCGTCTGGAACGCAACGACCTTGGACCAGCCAAGCTTGTCAAAGTGCAGACGCAGCTCTGCGGGGGTATAGCGGAGGCCGACATAGTCGTAGTGCTCCAGCCTGTCAATGGCGTCGACCTTGCCGCCGACATAGAACTCCTTTGCGGACTCGAAGAGGTACTTGATGGCCGGGTGCTCTGCGTCGCCGCCAAACACCTCCTTGGCCTCCTTCTGCTTGTCGGGCTGGTATACGTCCTCGATGGTGATGATGGCGAGGTTGCGGTCGTCGCGGAAATCGCGCAGAGCGATGCGGGCTCCAGGCTGGACGCCGACCTCCTGGATCGTCTCCTTTGAAATATCGAGGGTGATTGGGATGGAGAACAGGTTACCATCGGCGAGGCGGTTATTGGCCACGACGCCGTCGTAGTCCTTCTGGTTCAGGAAACCTAGTGTAATGCATGTCAGGGCCAATCCATCCAGTGCAAACCAGCCAAACACGAGGGGCAGAAATGGCGTGCCCCTCTGCTAGTGCGGCGAAAATGACGACGTACCCTCCAACGGCGAAAAGCCACCGTTCAGAATGAGTTCCAAATCGCACAGCTGCCTCTCAGACAGGACAATCGCGGGGAGTGTCTCGGCCTCGTCGAAGAGCTCCTTGCGCCGGGGCGCATCGCGCGCGATCAGATCCTTGAGGATTCCGCCTTGTAGTTCACTCCAACGTCAGCGTCCATTCCACACCGTGTGTAGAAAATTTGTGATTTCGCTCACCATGCGGGGGGTTGGCCATTCTCGAGGAGGAAAAAGAGTGGAGGGGTGGTATTCGAAAGAGCTCGTATATCTTCTCAGAATCTCGAATGCGGTATCCTGTGTAATAATTTGAAAATATAAAATACTCTCGGGAGGAGAAGTTTCGTGTCACTCGAGGGTAAAGGCGCGTTCTACAGTCACAATCCGCAACCGGGCATGAGGCGGGTTTTATCTACGGCCAGGCCCTTTGGTTTAAAGCCTTTTGTTGACCCTCCACGGAGATTCCCTACTGCAAACTAGCGGGTAGTATGTATGGGTCGGCCAATCCTTGGAAGCGATTGCGCAATTGCCCGTGTTTGTCAGAGGTGGTCATACCCCTACGCTCGTTGGACCGTATACCCAGTCGTGACGTGGGAGTGGGAACGGCCAAGTCGAAAGAAAACTAATCGTGTGCGGTTTGTGGTAGTTTGTAGCGAGCACAGTATCCTTCGTCACATTGGTTGGTCACATTTTGGGGGTTGGTTTGTATTTTTAAGAATTGTTGTTTTCATTCAGTGAGCTTCAATGGCTCCCATATCGGTGGTATCTCGGCCCCGTTTAATGTACTTCATCAGAGTGTCATCTCTGTGGCAAATGCTGCTTGCCTGTGTCGTGTCCCAAACCCCCAAACGCCAATGCTAATAATGCTAATGCTAATCGAAGACGAACTACAAACAACGCGTGGAAAGACTATGCGTTCAGAGAGACTTTCTGGAGAGCGTTGGACAGGTCCTCGTTTTGTCGCTTCATCTCCTGCTCCTGGAGAAATTGGGCATACCGCGACTTGGGGTTGTGGATGCCGCACTCGGTCTTGTTCTTGCCTTTCCAGCGTCCAGCTCGCTCGTCTTCTCCTGCAGCCACTGGCTGAGTCGAGTGCCAGTCACCAACGCTCTTGTAGCCTCGCTTGAGAAGCTCGTTATATGGCACGTCATTGGCATCGACGTATTCCTTTACTTGAGCAAATGACCAGTTGGCCAGCGGGTTGATTTTGATGAGGCCAGCCTCGTTGACTTCAATAATGTCCAGATCACCGCGCTTGCCGCCTTGGCTGCGTCGTCGGCCGGTCAAGACAGCCTTGACTTGGAGGTCCGAGTAGGCCCGCTCAGCAGGCTCGACCTTGGCAACGTAGTCGTACAGCTCATCGTTGGTGTCCCAGAGCTTGTCGCCGTGCATTGCGGTGAAGTCGCTGACACTGTCGCAGCCGGCAGGCTTGTACACGTGAACGGGAGTGCCATATCGTCTGCGTACTCGGTCGACCAGATCATACGTCTCGTCGAAGTGGTAGAGTGTGTCCAGGAAGATCAAGTCGATGTTGTGCTTTAAGGGTCCCTCGAGCTTCGAGAGCATATCCACGGTCACGAGGCCGGTGAGACCAAAGGCGGTTGTCTGGAAAAGTCCAGGCAGAGATGTGATGCACCATCGGAGAATGTCTAGATAAAGTTAGTTGAAGCTCTCTTTCAAGCATACACAATCCTTACCCTGCGGTTCGAGCTTCTGCAGTTGAGCGTTGATGAACTTCAAGTGAGGCTTGGTGAAGTAGATGTCGGCCAGACCGGCTTCACTCGAGGCAGCCGAGACATAGCCAGATTCATCGCGGGGTGCCGACTGGATGTAGGAGTCGTCCTTGTCGAATACTGGGGACGACATCTTGTTCAGAGGGGGGCGGTTGGCACGTCGGTTTCTAGGTGTGGCACGTGCAGACAAGTCCTAAAGAAGAGGAAGGAGAAGATTGGAGGTGAAGGCTTTTGCAAAGGCTTTTGCAAAAAGAACTCTATTGTCACTTCGCAGCGTACTGGAGATCTGGAGGCAGAGAGTCGCACACGACGCCGAGTATATATTGGGCTCCGCCATCGGATTCGCTTTGTAACCCTCCTCCGCAAGGTGCAATTCCTGGGGGTGAAGACGTGCGATCACGCAATTCGCGCTAGCATCTGGAGGAGTAGCAAAACTCTTCCTTTCCGCTTTATGTAAGGCTGGCGCTCCAATCAGACGGCGGCAGTGTGAGATGCGAGATCTGGGGCCCGGGCTCGTCTATGCTTTGCGGTCCTTGCTGGTTGCAAATCCGTCCGGAAATATGGCATTTCGTCATCAACGGTGTCCGACCATTTGGGCGAAGTCGTACAGAAACATCACTCATGATGGATTCCATGAGCCTGATGGACCAAGCACAGCAAAGTGCTCAGCCATTTTTTGGTCGTCGCCAGACCCCAAGTGCCGTCTCGTTACACCGCCGTCTCTTGACGTTTTTGCCTCAGCCTCAGTCGCGCACTGGAGCCGCTAAGCGTCGCCTCGGTTCGTCGGCAAAACGGGTGGTCGGTAAGGCATCGGCGCCTCGCTGCTGCGAAGTTTTCAACATGCATCAGGCGGCTCCAAGGCTACCTGTGATTGATCGCTTAGCGCAGGATTCGAAGATGTGCTACCTAGGTATGTATATAGAGGCCACTTACCTTCATCCTGGCTCCGAAGAGAGTTGCTCTGGCAATCCGCATTGTACGATGCGGGGTCCTTCCACGCAGACAGACTTCTCTTTCAGCGGATTTGGCCGGTCTCGACCGGGCTTCTTCCGTTATCACATTGCGTTCTAGTGTCGTCGTGCCATGTCTTCTCTTGATGTTTCTCGTCGAGGAGGTTGTGATATATGGGCGTGGCGGCTTTCGTGCGGGGACGCTCTCTGCATCTTAACGAAAGCCATTAACCCCCCACGCGTTACCAGACCGAGAATAGCCGACGTGCTTGAATGCTCAACAACAATTGGATGTGAACCAGGACATCCATTTTCTAGTGTGGCAGATGCATCACGTACTGACTCTGTTCTGAACATGCTTTGTTGATCAATGTTTTATTCAGCATCGCACGACAGGGTATGAGTGGTGATGTGCGATTCTACGTACTCACGCTTCAGCCATCTTCTTCATCTCCTGCCTCTCTTCGGCACTCAACGTGCCCGCTTTAGCCGCTTCCTTCCACCTCTCCAGCTGTTCGTACTGCTCTGGCCCCAACGACGGCTTCAGCTGCTTGAGCAACTTGGGCGCGAACTTTCCCGTGGCATAAACAACACCAGTGTGCTGCCTGGCGAACAGAATGAGAGTAAGAGTCAAGAACAGCACAGGACCATCGGACTGCTTCTGCTTCTGCATCCTCCGAACCATGTCGCTCATGACCACCTTCTTTGCTTCTTCCACCCTCGAACTGTCAGGAGTTTCGATGCCTTGCTTCTTATTGAAGTTGCCGAGGGCAGCTAGAACACTGGTGGTCGTCGTCGTTTTCTCAGCTTTTAGAACAGTCTCTAGCCTTGAGATGTTCTTGCGCGTCTTGCGGCTCAGGACGAGGCCCTGTGACCGTGCCTTGGACACGGAATCTGGAAAGAGGTCCTTCTGTATGTAAGAAGTGAGGAGCTCCGCCAGTTGATCGTGCAGTTTCTGGTCCTGGACTGCGCCTAGACCTTCGTTGTAGACGTGGCATCGTGCGACAACGCGATCCAGCCAGAACGTCGAGAACTCGGATTCATTCTGAATCTCTTGCTTTGATATCGTGCTCCAGAATTGCTCGTCCAGTGCCTTCTCTAGGAGTTTGTCTTTGGCTAAAGCGCTCTGGAGAGGATGCTTGTTTGTGATCATTGCCGTGATATTGGATAGGCTGAACTTGACTTCCTTGCCAGGGCTGTCTTGGAGTTGTTGCCACTGCGCAGAAGCATCCAATGTTGCGTAACCGAGGAGGGCAGCTCGCTCTTCATCACGGTGGGTCGCAGTGACCATGAAGTCACCGATCCGGTATGGTTTCGGCTCGGATTCCTGTTCGAAAGTGACCAATATGTTTTGCTCGACCTTGTGCGCTATTCGGCCCCGTAAACCTTCAGGGAAGCCTTCGGCGATATGCTATTGAGGATGTTCGTCAGCCGTGAGAAATAGGGCGATAGCAGACATCAACCTACTGTGAGATCTACACAGCCTTCCTCCCGTAGTATCTGTACGCATTCCTTCTCAAGGTTCAATATTCGAATACTGGACACCGCGAATGCGTCCATAATTTGAACCTCAGACAGGTTCTGAACGTACCCATGAGCCTCTTCGCCAGTCGCAAATAGCTCAGGAAAGTCTTTCCAGAAACTCTGCAAGTTAAGGTACGCAAGTGCTCCAGACTGCAGATCGTCGATGATTGCGTCTCTTTTATGCTCCGTGAGTTGCTTCGGAACGCAGTGGATGTTGCCAGACTCTTCCTGAACATGGAACTGCTCCACTAGATTTTGCGAATCTAGCAGCGTTCTCAGAGTACGGAGCGTGAACCATGTCGGTGGGGTGCCTGGTAAGTTTGTGGGATCGAGGTCGATTGACCTAGACATGATTAACTACCAAAATGAGGAGTCAACTGGGATCCACATACTGCATTTCATTGAGCGATCTTTTGAGAAAAGTCATAATGGAATCCGCCAGCCTGTCTTCGTACGACTTGCTGCACACATAATCGTCAAAGTATACCAACTGCCCGTCCACGTCGCGTAAGAGGATATCGATGCTCTTGCTATCAATGTCGTTTTGCGTGGCAAAGTTTAGCTTGAGAACAATCCCATCCGAGAGGCAGCCATCTAGCTTTTTCCGAAGCGTGACTCGTTCATCAAGGGCAACTATGTCACTACTGTCAAAGCTGAGCAAGGCAAGGCCTGGGTGCGTGTCAACGAGCTGGCGCACAATATCCTGTTGTACATTGAGATCACGAGCCAAGGAAGATACTGGTATTCTTTGTGTTTCTAACACAGAGTCAGCCTCTCCTGTAAACGGCGCCAGAAGAGATTACCTCGAGTGATGCACTCCTTGAACGTAGTTTCAAGATGTCGGAGGGTTATGAAACCACTACCATCCGACGCAAGGACGAGCGAAGATACGGCGGTAGAATAGTCTTTAGGAGTAGTAAAGACTTGGAAAATCTCCTTTACATCCTCGCTGGAGAACATGGTAGTTGATATTCCAGACCCTGTGGTCAGAGTGGCGGGCGATGGAGCTGTGTAAAGTTAGCAAACAGAAATTCAGAGTGGCGCAACGGAATCAGTACTCAAGACTAAATGGCGAGAAGCTGTGATAAATGTTCTTTATCCGCCATCACTTTTAAGAGAAAGTGTTGAAAGCTTCTGTACCATGGTGCCGTGTATAAGGCAACTCTTGCTGATTGGCGGGGAGAGGCGGCACGCTGCGGCAGAATCGACGATGCTTGGCATTGAAACTCCATCGCTTCATCGCCGTCTGTGTCTCGACATTGTGCCCGTCAATCGCCATCATGTCTCAATTCCGCGCAGCAAAGCTCGATATCGGGTGCTTTACGAAGATCCGCAACATTCGCGACCACACGAAGCGGAAGGTGTTCGCTGAGAACGAGCCGGAAAGGTGCGCCCCCGATACGTTGACGATCACGCAGAGTAGGAAGCTGACTCCTATTGCGCATCCAGACAAGCCCTTCGATACATTATCCGAAATACTACTCTACCGCAACGAGTCCGCGCGCAAGCTCAGCTTCAGCTCTCACAGATGCACTGCTACACGAGATTCACACAGATCAAGAACAGGTGTATAATGGGAGGCAAAGGACGTGGTGTCTTCAGTGACTTCAGGCTTGGTAGAGTATGTTGCAACAGCGAGGACTCGGAAAAAGAAGAAGAATACGTCGAGGCTGACACTCGTATAGTACCAATTCAGGATAAACGCGCTTGCTGGAAACTTGCCTGGTGTGAAGAAGGCAAGCTGGTGAATACCGGAGGGCTGGGAGAGGCATGTGAAAAATCTGTATACTACTCCGGAGCGAAAGCCTGGCATTGGGCGGCGTTTATGCGCGTATTGTACAAATGGAATTATGACGACTCACCTCGCTTTTTGGGACTCGGGGGTGCTCTTTCTCTTTCCGATCCGACCACTCTCACCGCTCTCAGCAGGTACAAACGGCCGCACGGGCAAACAAACACGTTGCTGGTATTTAATACTCACCCAGCACTGCCTACACTTTTGAATTCGACTGCACTTGCAAATCAACTACAATAACACTCAGACTCATCAACATGTTCCGCCGCCAGGAAGACACGCTGGAGCCAGATCCGTCCTTCGCAGCCGACCTCAAGAAACTTGGGTGAGACTAGCACTGCGGCTTTTGCTTGTACCAAATTGACAGTTACAGCTTTTTCATCAACAGTGTCGGTCAAGTACGAATGATTGAGGCGCCAGAGAAGCCGTATCTATTCCACTCCACCAATAACGAGCGCGTCAATGAAGTCCTACGCGAGGCAATGCAAAGTAACTAGCTTTCAAACCGTCACAAACCATGGCTAACTTTTCCAGCATGCCTGCGCGAAGAATCAGAGAAGCGCCTGTCCGCTCTTGGGATCAGTCGCATCTATCTTCCAGAATTCAGTGCCACCAAACCCAACGGACCGCATGTCCCCATCCTTGCTCCTCCGCCTGAGATCTTGAGAAGGCGCAAGCGCGTCGTTGTGCTCGTCAACGACGCTCTTCAGGACTTGGGAATTTTAGCTTATGGACGGCTGCAGCATGAACTTGGTGTGAATGGCGGGTCTGTTGTGAACTTCGTGAAGGAAATGCTCAAACGTTCAGTCGACGAAATCAGTACCGAAAAGTACGAGAGCGTATTTGACGACGGCCACGGATACAAGGATAATGAGGACATTCCCGCCTTGGTGATCATGAATACAGGACAGCTGCTATACTCCCACAAGCACAACAAGACTATGACGATGCGTAGCTGGTCCGCAATGCCACGCAAGTCTGTGGTACACGACATGGTTCGAATTCACGAGGAAGAGAATCGTGTCAAGGGTCATCGGAACCCGAAGGAGCATATCAAGAGCGTCTTCGACGAGGTCTTGTATAATGCTGATCGTGTTGCGTCTGATGCGGAAATATACATTATCGCGATCGAAGATGGCACGGACAACGTTTTGAATGTGCTTGCCGAGGATTGTAAGTTTACCACGTTGTCTCACCCGCATGATCAAGAACTTACGAGGTTTAGTCGACAAGTACGGCTCCCGCATCACCGCAATGGCACTCATCCATTCCCTCATCGACGACTCGCAAATCAAGGACCCACGCCTTCGGGCCTTCCTCCACCAGCGCACCCGCCAATGGAAGTACAGTGACCTTACGTTTGATCCATTACACTGTACCAGTTTGCCGGATGACTACGAAGAAGACCTGGAGCACAAAGCATCCCGAGATGGTTCGTCGACTGCGAAGCCTACCATACATATCTCCTGGAGCGAAGACCTTCCAGAGCCCGGACACTTGTCAAGCATCACAAAGGCGCTGCATCGTCTCGCAGTCACCGTTACCACATCGAAGAAAGAAATCCCTACCCCGGTAGCATCAGATAGCGACATGGAATGGTCGTCGGGTCAGTCTGCCATCTGTCCAACCTTCGCGGGTGGAAATAACTACGTCGGAGAATGTATCTTCACCAACCCAGCTGTGCAGCGCACTATCTTGTCATTCTTTGAGGACGTTGCTCAAGATCCGGGGCACTACCGCAATGCCGACATCAAGATCTACACTGAAGCTCCTCAGCCCACGCCCGAGAATCCGCTTGTGCTGTCCGCCGATGACTCCACCGCTCTCGACTCCCCATCTCTTCCGGCAGAGATGACACTCGAGCAGGCCGAGCTCGATGACGCGCGGCAAAACCTCATTGATATGCGCATTGCTCTCGACGCGTGCCCCTTGAACGTCCAAGAACTTGAGAAAGGGCGCGAGAGGTTGATGAAGAAGATCCAGGACAAGGAGTTTGAGATCGAGGCTCTAGAGAAGAAAGCCCTTGCGAGCGGTGGCTTGAAGGCGGGCGAGGCCATGGAAAAGCGGGAGAACTGGAAGCCGCAGAAGGAAGGCCCGAAGGTCGCGTTTGCAGGGACAATGGTAGATAGCGAGTTACTCAAGGCTGCGGGTATGTTCGATACGGCGAAGCTGGAGTTGGAGAAGATTGATGAAGGTGACGATCAGAAGGCGTTCATTTGAGGGCTCGGGTGTGTAAATCAAGGTCACTTTCCGCGGTCATCACTTATGATCGTACGCAGGCGGGTTTACAAGGCGCTCATGGGACAAAATGATTAGGACACTCTACCTCATTATGGCTTTTCGGTCTTGCATCTGTAGGACTAATCTAAGGATCAAGCTTTCTAATACTGTAGAACCTTTCAATTATAGAAAGTCTATAACGTACTTCACGGGTGAGTTAGTCACTCTACTCTTGCAAGCACAAGTCAAGGGTAAGCGCCCACTTACGCACCTATGTCTGAGCTACGAACGATTCTCTTATAATCCTACCTAGATCATTGTGTTACTTACTTAGTCGATTACTACTATTTCTTTTGCACAACTTATTTGTTTGAAACGGACTACTTGAATATACTTGGGGGACATAGCTGTTGTGAGGAGTTAGAGGTATTGTGAGAGCCCTGACATTGCTAAGTCTCTTCCCAGGAACCAATAGCAGACTGTTGCTCAGAAAATCCTCATGTGTGCTTCGGTGATTACCAGAATACGGCCATTCCTGATGCGTAGCAAACTGATTTGAGATCCGAAAACCTATCTCTAGTGGGCTTTCACTGGACTCGTAAAACAAGTCTTGCATGGCCAATAGGAGGCCAATTCAACCATGTGTTTGTCGATAAGGCATGCAAATTAGAATAGGAGACGCTAGACTTACCATCCAGGGTACATCCAGGTTAGGCACCAACTGATCTTCAATCTAAGGAATTAGATGCATTGCAAACAGGACACTCTCCAGCTACATTCGTATCTTAAACATCAAGGGACAAAGGCAAGTCCCGCTGCTATCCACTTGCAGGCTGACAGAGTTATTAGTTTGGGCGTGCTAGCGCTAGTGCGCACCGCAGATAGTTACCCCTTACTTCGTGGTGAGGGTTACGGCGACAACGGGCATACACGGTTTGGCTGGCACAACCAGCCACAGTATGTTTGAGCCACAAGCTTGGCGCGTAGCTGATGACATCGTGAAAATTACGTTGGATGGTAATGAGCTAGCTGTATACAGAAGACGCTCCCCGGAGAAAGTACCAAGCGCCTTTCCAGATAAGTGCGTATAGAATAACGACTACGTAATTTTCGTATAGAGATAGCGCTATAGCTATAGAAAAGGTTGTAGAACACGACTCTCGTACAGTTCGGCAAAATAACAACGCATGCGTGGAAAAACAGATTAAGTCGAAGTACCTCTTAAATTTTGCGGCACGGCGGGGTTTGCGTGACCCATGGATGCACATTAGGTCGTTCCTGTTTATTTACCTACATAGTACCTACCTAGGTGCCCAGGTGGTGCCCTGCCGCTATTCCTAGGTTAGGCTAGCCTCGATTTGGCCGGATACTAGATATTTGGCTGACCTCCAACTCCAACCTCACGTCCATGAAACGCGCAATCTCTAGCTGCGACTTGGAGCCCGCGCTCGTTGAAGCAGCACCGCCTGCCAAACGCCGTAGACCCATCCCTCTCACGCGAAAGGCTCTCTCGCAGGTCCAGGTGCTGCAATGTGAGAGCACCGAGTCTGTCCACCACTGGGTCAGTTCTTCTCTCAACGACGACATGAGTATGGACCCGAACCAGCCGCACCCGCGACTGCTGGCCCAGACGATGCGACGAGCAAAAGCGCGATCGCGAACCCCGAGTCCCGTCAAGAAGCTGCCGCATTGTGCCACTCCTGAATACCGAAATGTGACTATGAAGCTGGCTTCACTCTTCATCGAGCGCCACCCTGAACTGCCTGCACATGTTGCCGCAAGCGTCGAACGCATATTGGGAACAGGTACAACGAAGGAGGCAAGCGGGCAAACGGGCGACGAGGATACAGCACGGGACGCAATCATGGCCAACCTCGCCGTGACATACAGGGCCCAATGTCGGTCGCTTGCTGGCGACTGCTCCGGCGAGGGCGAATGGCGAAGCGCTTTATTATCGATCCTAATGAGTCCACTCAGCATGCGCTGGTCGCCTGTGCTGAAGATAAGCGCGTCTGAGAAGCGTGAGTCTCAAGCTGCCTCTTTATACCCACGCCTGACATAATAGGGAAGCATGGAATAAATATCTGAAGCCTACCGTTCCGCAGTTGTCTACTCTAGATTCTAGGCCACTCGGTCCCATCGTCGTCCCACCACCGTTATCAGCAGCCCTCGGCGCAATGCCCACCCCAACTGCCAGGCCCTTCCAAGACGACCCCTCCGCTAGCAGCGCCGTATCTACAACAACAAGCGATTACTCTACATACTCCACAAACAGTGAAATACATCTCTCAACGCCTAAACCTGACATAACTGTTGGCCTAGAATCAGAGGCTATTAGAAATGCCGCCGACCTTTCGCACGACATTCTGCTACATCTACAGACTGGTCTAAACAACCCGTTTATCAGCGACCCGCACCAGGTGCCGCTCGGCTTGCGGTTTCCCTTCCTAATCGTTGAAGCTAAGGGTCTGAACACGGGCAGCAACCTAATACACGCGCAGAACCAAGCTGCGGTAGCTGCAGCATCGGCCTTCAATATCCTCAGCGATCTTGATGCGCTCATCCCCATTCCCGAAGTCGATGTCGAATCTCCCACTCCCACTATCATCTTTTCTCTCATAACTGAAGGGCCTACGCACGAATTGTGGGTGCACTACCAGACTGCAGATAAATATGACATGTCCTGTCTGCAGTCTTGGCGCACTACGCTGCCTGGTCATTCGGAAAAGCTCGTCGAGTGTCTAGGACGAGTGATGGAGTGGGGGGCAGGTGATTTCAGAAACGGTATTGTAGATAAGGTAGGCGCATTGTGGAAGAGTATGTTCGTGCCTGAAGCCGGGCAGCCCGATGAGCATCTGCCAAGTGGCAACCGCTCTTAAGTCGCATGTAACGAAGAGGTCCGTTACAACGCTCGCCCGATTAAAATGTCTATCAAGCCTATTATGCAGCTCTTATGGTAGGAAAGTACAACCTCTTCTACGCGGGGAATCAAGAAGGATGGTGGAGACAGAGTCGCAAAGACATCATTTTGTTTGGCAATAACAGCGGAGTTGCACCCTGTCTTGTAATATACTTTCAACAAAATCTGCATCGTTCCTTAGCTGTTCTGCATGTTGAGCTGAAGATGTATGGTCACTCGAATCTCTTCACTCAAGCTCCAAAATCGGTCTCGGAAATTTGCCTACCCTTCTTGCTCCTGCCACAAACCACCAGGCGATTCTTGATGATATATCAAGCACATCGTACCTATGCCATCCTTACCACATCTCAGCTCGCCGACTGGCAAACACACCGCTCACCCAAATAACATGAATTCCCTAATAAGCCCGTGTCAATTTCGGGAGAGCCGGACAAATGCATGCTTCATGTAGGTTCGCAGAATCCCGTAGCTGGCTCAACAGGCGTGGGCGCGGATTAGACATTTTGGGTTCTCTCTCCTAGTAGCACGTGGGTCATGCATCCAAAAATAAACGGTAAATACTATCGAAGAAGCGCCTACGCCTGGGGACTACTTGTTGAACTATCGCGAGTCTGAAGAGTTATACTTCGAGTGCGGACATTTTTGCCATTACCTTGAATTCTTATGTTTTACGCATCCCCGGCAGCCTCCAAACAGACTTGAACAACCCTGTCAGGATGGCTCAACATCAACATGTGATCGCCTCCCTCCACCACGACCTTCCTCAGGCTGGGCACACCCCGTTCCACCGCCTTGTCAAAGTACTCGTGCTGCTTCTCTGACGGCATAGCCAAGTCCTTATTTCCAATGATAACGGTAGTAGGCACCTTTTTCCACGCAGGAAATGTCAGTGGTTCAAAGAAGATCTTTGAAGAGATGGACATGCCCGCTGCAGCACTGTACTCCTGCTCCTCTGCGGGCAAAGCACCGAAGAGCACAGGGCCTGCGAGCTCCACGTCGAAGGGGTCGATGTGCGTAACGGGCAAGTGCGTCTTTGGGTCAATGGGGATGCTTGCGCCGACTAATTCTTCGATTGTCGGTCCAGGCTCAGCAAGCACTGAACTCAGCAAAACTAGATGCTTCAACTGTCCGCCGCTACTTGGGCCCTTTCGCTTCTGTCGCCTCTCCTCAGCAGTGATACCTTTGCATGCTTCGAACGCCACGGCGCTGCCGTAGCTGCACGCTACCAAGATGACATTGGATCCTTCTCGCAGGTCATCGAGAGGTCCGGAGACGACCTCTCGGACGTAGTTTGCGTCGTCGTACAGCCCTGGAGTCTTGCCTTTCTCTTTGAGCACAGGGTTCATGGAAGGCAGATCGAGTGCGCGCACGTAGTAGCCGCGGGCTTGCAGGAGGGGAATGACTTTGTGAAAGCAGGAGCTTGGATAGAAGGCGTCGGAGATGAAGAAGAATGATGTGTTGGAGGGCGACATGATGATTGTTTGGGGGTGGGAGAAGAGATGGAATTACTGTTCACGATTCAGCCGCACCGCACGTCTTCTGCGCTGTTATTTGAGTGTATTTTGGAGATGAGGGGAAGGCCTGGGAAGTCATGACATGTTTTCGATATGGAAGAGAGGATAAGCGAAGAGAGAGGCTTTTTCTAAGGCAACAGGCGTAAATTAGCGCCCCGCATGTGAACGAAAGGTTTAATAAACAACGCCCACGCCTCAGCAAAACCTGTTGAGCTATCGCTAGTCTGGGGAGTTGTGCTTCAAGTTAGTATGCTGACGTCAGCTCCTGGATAGCCTTGCTAACTGTATATAGACGGAGAAAACAATGATGAATTCTCCAGTAATTCCTGTAGTCGTATGAGGACATGGGTATCCGATGTTGTGGACGAACCTAAGGGTCGCAGTGGAGGTCGAGGCGTTGGAGTCGACGCCAAAAGCTCGGACTAGCGCATCCTTCTGCAAGCCTCAGCTGTTCATCCCTTCACTCTTCGTCGTTCGAACCGCATTCGTTGTTCGAACCATAGATCCCTTTAAACTTCTCCCACCCTCAGAACCCATTTCGTCCGTCGCTCTTATCGCACCATTCCTTCCTTTTCTCACTTGATTCAAGCAGTCAGACGCGGCGGTTCTACGGTCACCCACCCCCATCAACACAGAACTGCTACCTACGACGAAGCTATGCTACATAGTAAGGGCCGCTGTCCCTGGAGACTGCTAAGTACGCTTTGGTGGCGTGTTACTGTGGAAAGGAGCTCATCTGCAGCTGTCCATAGCCGGGTCAAGCCGCCATCGCATGTGCCTACTCTCTTACCCTGGCTTCCACAACGACTCGGCGTCTCCAGAGGCATGTGTCAATACACCAGCTCAATCCGCGGATGTTTCGTTGATGTTCAGTATCTGATTAGGCCTCTTCGCGTCCTTCCTGATTCGGTCCGCCCCCAGGTTTACAACGGCGGCTAAATGTGGCTAGCCCGCCTTTGGAGCTCCTTTTCTATCCCCAATTTTGACGACTCTCTCTTCAGTCGAATTCAAGTCGTTTCTGTTCCTCGTGGTACTCTCGAGTCCCTTTCATCTGCGTCAATACTAGTATGGCTTTTTCCTTTAGTCCCAAAACACCTATGCGATCAGATGGCCGTTGAGCTTGACGGCTCCACGCGCCCTGAAGACATGCTCATGTGGCCCCACGCCAGCAGATGCATATCCTGGGGTTGAGAGCTGCCCTACCCGCCCAACTACTAGCCCCGGTCTTCCGGCTTCCCTGTGACGCGAAACTCAAATTTCCCACCCCGGCTTGGGTTGTATCTCAATGTCAATCTTAACGGCAGACTACCTCTCCGCCATCAATGTAACAAAGCTGTAGCTTTCATTCGTTTGCAGTCAACGTCCAATCTGCCATCGTGTGATGCTATGCGCGAAGCCGACCGAGTCTACATACGCTAAGCTGTCGAAGACGATATGGGTACGAACACCGTCTGGTGTTACGGCGCTTCCCAGGAACCTGTTGTACTTCAGGGTTACACATCAACACACTCTGGGAGTTTCTCTCCGCGCATAGCACCATGAAGGCCCCCTGAAACGGCATACCTGGTAAAGGGTTCGACGATCACCTGGTTCAATCAACGTTATCGATAACCTCCGTCGGTCCGTTGCAGTATGCCAGTGCACATCTACCTTACGGGTCGGTTATCAACGTTTGGGATTGAGTGAGCAAGGCGCTGAGCACTCCCGAAATGCCGCTGAGCAGATGGGCTTGTATTACGCCTAAGAGTGCGTGATAATAGTTGCGCCCGAGTAATGGGCAACTAGAAAGCCACCTGTTAGTCCTTATCTACATGCTGTCTACAGTGTAAGATGTCTCGCCTCCGAGTGGCTCGCTTCCCGGGCCTGATGGCTTTAACCGTCCGTTTCCAGATCGCACCCGTCTCCAACCTTGTCAATCACCCCTTCGACTGTTCACGCCTTTGCGGCACAGGGGCCAATATGTCTTGTCGATATCGCACGCGGCCTACACTAGCAGTGCTACTGCGGTTCCTCGCCATAGAAGAAGCGCCACCGCCAGCGCGTGGGCATCGATATGTACCCTTGAGCCTGGAGATCTGCTACCTCTCACTCCTTCCCTCCTTTTTCTCACTGTCACATTCCTTTTGGGTGAGCCTCGTTACATTCTACAGTCGCTCCTTCTTCGCCAAGTTCGTCGCGTGGCCGAAAGTCTCTATTCTGCCTTCGTTTCCACTAACTTGATCATACCCACGCGGCGTGGCCTTGAGACATATATTTCTTGTGTCGCCACCTCTTCAGTTTGCCATCGAGTCTTTCAAACTCTACTCGACCTCGGCCGCATTCGAAGCCTCGTTCGTACCTGCATCTTAGCGTCCGCCACAGCCCCAGCCACGTAGCACAGCCTAGTCCGCCACTAGTGACATCGTAACAATGCGCGTCGCAAACATGCTACTTAAGACGACAGCGTCTCTGCTTTCTTTTTCTACAATTATCCACGCTGCTGCGATTCCTCAGACTACCGACGCTATGGCAACTGCTTCAGGTTACAAGAATGTTGCGTACTTTGTGAACTGGGTTTGTTCGCTTACACAAGATCTTCGTATGCACTACTAATCTTGGTTTAGGCTATTTACGGTCGCAACTACAACCCTCAAGATCTCCCGGCTGAGGAGCTTACACATGTGCTCTACGCCTTTGCCAACGTGCGGCCTGAATCTGGCGAAGTCTATCTTTCCGATGTGTGGTCCGACACTGACAAGCACTACGCGACTGACTCGTGGAATGATGTCGGCACCAATGTGTATGGATGCGCTAAGCAGCTGTTCCTCCTGAAGAAGCGCAACCGCAAGTTGAAGGTGTTGCTCTCCATTGGCGGGTGGACATACTCAGCAAACTTTGCACAGCCTGCATCCACGGCTGAGGGTCGCGCCAAGTTCGCAAGTAGTGCGGTTGAGATCTTGGCCAACCTTGGGTTCGATGGTGAGTTATTCCTAGCCATGACAGGCAGGATGCGACGATACTGACTAGATGAAGGCCTTGATGTCGACTGGGAGTACCCGCAAAATGATGCCCAGGCCAACGACATGGTGCTCCTCCTGGCGGAAACCCGTCGAGCCCTCAATGAATACTCTGCCCGCTACGCCAATGGCGAGCACCTGCTCCTGACCGTTGCCTCACCAGCCGGCCCCACTAACTACAACAAAATGAAGCTCAGCGCCATGGACCAGTACCTCGACTTCTGGAACCTCATGGCCTACGACTATGCCGGGTCCTTTTCCTCCGTCTCGGGCCACCAAGCCAACTGGCAGCCATCGCAGAACAACCCTACCAGCACGCCATTCAACACCGAACAAGCAGTCCGCGACTACCGTGCTGGTGGAGTACCTGCGAGCAAGATTGTTGTCGGCCTGCCGTTGTATGGACGTGGGTTTGCTAACACAGATGGGCCTGGTAAGCCCTTCTCTGGTAACGGCCAGGGTACTTGGGAGCCGGGTGTGTATGACTACAAAGTCCTGCCGCAGGCTGGTGCGACTGTCAATACCGACATGAGCGTCACGGCGAGCTACAGCTACGATGCCGGTCAGCGGCTCATGATTAGCTACGACACGCCTGAGATTATCACGAAGAAGACGCAATTCATTCGCGAGCAGGGCCTTGGTGGCGCCATGTACTGGGAGAGCTCGGGTGACAAGAAGGGCGATCAGAGTCTGATTTCCACTGTAAGTCCACGCATACCATACACCGTTCTTGAGAGGAGGTATTAGATTGCTAACTGTTCAATCCCAGTTTGTTAGGAATGTCGGCGGCATCGGCGCTCTGGACCAGAGCCCCAATATCCTCACCTTCCCGGCCTCAAAGTACCAGAACATGCGCGATGGGTTCCCCAACAACTAAGCTTGTACGTCTCCTCTAAGCCAGACTTGGGAGATATGAGCACCGTACCCTTCTTGTGCATCCTTTAGTCTGCCTTCCTTCTCTCCTACAGATCGGTCGTTTATAGATGTTGCTCTGTTATCTCTCATCTCTTTTATCAGATTTATCTTTACACTTTTCATTTCTTTTTCTTGTTGATCTTGATGATAGAGGGATGGAAGATATATGGTTTCGTAACGTAAATAAGAAATGGCTAGACGAATCTCACTTTACTTTACGGCAGAACATTGCTCGCACTTTGAGAATAAGGTCCCTTGATACTGATGAATGTGATGTGACGTGATGGATAGTATCGCGGTTTCTTCACCGTAAAGTTGCCACATGAGTTTCAAATATGCTTCGATTAATAAGTATGGGGCCATGTTGATGGAGGGGGTCCCCGTAACGTTGAGTGGGACCTTTCGCGGTCGAGTAGATACCAACGCCATGCGAACAAATGTTGCCTATTCCAACCTTATATGTTTACCGCAAGGCAGATTCATACTGTACATGGACTCGTAAATGATAGATATCTTACATCGTCCTCTCTACCTCTTCGGCCGCGCTCAGCTCGGCAACCTCGCCCTGGCCTGCACTTCCCATCCGCCTCTTCTTCAATACGTTCTCGATGAAGGCCTCGCCTGCCTTGTAACTCGAGCGCACGAGGGGCCCAGAGGCGCAGTATAAGAAGCCCATTTCTAGCGCTCGCTGGCGCCATAGTTCGAATTGGTTGGGGGTGATGTATTCGTGGACGGCCATGTGGCGCTTTGTGGGACGCATGTATTGGCCGAAGGTTACGACGTCGACGTGGTTTGCGCGCAGCTCTACGGGGAATGGTAAGTTTGTATGTTATATAGTAGGTAGCGGCTAGAACATACCTCGCATCGCATGCCGGAGCTGCTCTTCTGTTTCGCCCAGACCCAGCATGATGCTCGTCTTGGTGATGAGATCGGGCTGCGTTTCTTTCGCTATCCGCAGAACCTCAAGCGACTGCCTAAACTTGGCCCTTCTGTCGCGCACAAACGGAGTAAGTGCTTCGACAGTCTCGACGTTGTGCGCAAAGACATCCAGGCCGCTCTTCGCAACCACCTTGACCATCTCCATGTCGCCACCGTGATCGCCAACCAAGGCTTCCACCAACATGGTCGGCGCCTTCTGCTTGATCTTCATAATGGTTTCAGCGACGTGGCGCGCGCCGCCGTCAGCCAGGTCGTCGCGGTCCACGGCAGTAAGCACGACATACCCCAGACCCCACCGTCGCAGGGCTTCGGCCGTGTTCTCAGGCTCGTGGGGGTCGAGTGGTGGTGGTGCTTTGGACGTTTTTACAGAGCAGAAGCGACATCCTCTTGTGCATGTATCGCCCATAAGCATTATCGTCGCCGTCGCTGCGCTCTTGTCACTCCCTCCCCAGCAATCACTGATATTTGGGCATTTGGCCTCTTCGCAGACGGTATGGAGATTCAACCCCCGCAGATCCTTCTTGATTTTCTTGTAATTCTGATTCGAAGGAATGGGTGTTTTCAGCCACTCGGGCAACCGCGTAATGGTCTTTTTGCCCACCTGGGCGGTTTTGATTTCGTAGGCTTCCGATGGCGGGAGGGGCGCATTGGGATTTACAAAGTCGTTGAAGGAGGGGCCCGAGTTTAGGGTATCACTGAAGGATGTACGCGCTCGTGATCGCTTTGGTGGTTCGGGGGCAGCGGTCTGGGGAGTGTCGGAGGTTGTGGCAAAGGTGCGTAGGTGTTGGGACGAGGGTGTTCGTGAGCGTGGGAGAGACTGCAGAAGCAGGCATCGTGACCGGGGTAGCGAGGCTGCCATTATGAGAAGTGTGTATACAGACAACAGAGAAAAGAAAGGAACGAGAGTCAGCTTCTATTGTTGGGCGTCTGGTAGAGATTGAGGCTTGAATATCCGCATCTAGCCCGCAGAGTTGCGCTAAGGCGCTTGTTTGGCGTGTTTGCACATGCAGGCGCAACCCACACTTGCGGCACCCCTGCACTCCCGCTGGCTGTTCGAGGGCATCTTCAACGTCGCCATTACAGTGCCCTAGGCTTCCACCCTCCAGACTACGCTTACCTCGTTCTCGCCCGAATCCTCGAATACCAATTGCAGTGCCGGGCCCTGACACTGCCGCAACACCATTCGGGAAAGGCCACGTTTGGCGGAGCAAGTGCGGGATACTTTTAGGAATTGAGCGAGAGCGCGCGGCGGGAGCTCTACACCACACAAAATGGACAAGAAGCATGAGGATGTCGGCGGGGTGGCACAGATCGACAAGACGTCGGTATTCCAAGAGGGTACGCTGGCCTCACACATGCTGCCAATGGCGGGGAGCATTTGGCGGTATGGAAAGCTGACCTAGCACAGCGCGAGTCTTCAACCAGAGTCCTATTTCGCCCAGGAAATGCAGAGTGGTAGGTGGCTATTAGCAGATACAAGAACGGAACAGCTACTAAGTCTGGCAGATCTTGACCAAGCTGGCGTTGCTGCTCTTCACTGGCGAGAGCTGGGGACGACAAGAAGCCACCACGCTCTTCTTCGGCATTTCGAAGCTGTTCCAGAATAAGGATGCCTCTCTCCGCCAGATGGTCTACCTTGTCATCAAGGAGCTCGCTGGCTCTGCCGACGATGTCATCATGGTCACCTCCTCCATTATGAAGGATACGTCCGTGGGCAGCGACGTCGTATACCGCCCGAATGCAATCCGCGCCCTCTGCCGCGTTATTGATGCCTCCACCGTACAAGCCATCGAGCGCCTCGTCAAGACGTGCATAGTCGACAAGAACCCCTCGGTATCCTCCGCTGCGCTGGTCTCAGCGTACCACCTTCTCCCAGTCGCAAAGGATGTCGTCCGAAGATGGCAGTCGGAGGCAGCAGAAGCAGCGTCTGGAAGCAAGTCGGGAGGTGGATTCTTGGGCGGATTTGGAGGTGGTTCGCACACTGCTCTCCAGGCCAGCACAAACTACATGACACAGTACCATGCCATTGGTCTGCTGTACCAGATGCGGTCAGGCGACCGGATGAGCTTGGTCAAGATGGTGCAGCAATACTCGGCCGCGGGCGTCGTCAAGAGCCCTGCCGCTACTGTATTGCTGGTCAGGCTAGCAGCTAAGCTTGCTGAGGAGGACCCAAATCTGCGAAAGGTACGGTGGCGCTCGCGAATTGAAAGATCTGTACTAATAAAGTCCACAGCCTATGATGCAGCTCCTCGACAGCTGGTTGCGCCACAAGTCCGAAATGGTCAACTTCGAGGCTGCAAAGGCCATCTGCGACATGCGCGACGTTACCGACGGCGAGCTCGTACAAGCTGTTCACGTCTTGCAGCTCTTCCTTACTTCTCCTCGCGCTGTCACAAAGTTTGCTGCCCTCAGGATACTTTCGCAAATGGCTTCCTTCAAGCCGGACGCTGTGCGATCCTGCAACCAAGACATCGAATCGCTCATCACCAACTCGAACCGCAGCATTGCCACTTTCGCCATTACTACCCTGCTCAAGACCGGCAACGAGTCATCGGTCGACAGGCTGATGAAGCAAATTACTGGCTTCATGGCTGAGATCACTGACGAATTCAAGGTCACCATTGTCGAGGCTGTACGAACGTTGGCGCTGAAGTTCAAGGCCAAGCAGTCCGGTTTCCTTGCTTTCCTTAGCGGCATTCTGCGCGACGAAGGTGGCTACGAGTTCAAGCGATCCGTTGTCGAGGCCATCATGGATTTGATCCGATTCGTCCCAGAAGCCAAGGAGGATGCGCTAGCAACCCTATGCGAATTTATCGAGGACTGCGAGTTCACCAAGCTCGCCGTGAGGATTCTGTTCGTTCTTGGAAGAGAAGGTCCTTCAACGGCACACCCAACCAAGTACATCCGATACATCTATAACCGCGTCGTGCTGGAGAACGCCATTGTCAGAGCTGCGGCCACCTCTGCGCTCGCCAAGTTTGGTGTCGGCCAGAAGGATCCCGAGATCAAGAAGTCGGTCCATGTCCTCCTTACTCGATGTCTGGATGATGTTGATGACGAGGTTCGGGATCGTGCAGCGTTGAATCTCAGCTTAATGGACCAAGCCGACGACGACATGGCTGTCAGCTTCATTCGCAACGACTCCATGTTCTCGTTACCCGTTCTCGAACATCAGCTAGCCCTGTATGTCAGCTCCGACTCTCGCGACACCTTTGAAAGTGCATTCGACATCACCAAGATCCCCACCGTATCTCGGGAACAGGCAGATGCCGCAGACCTCACAAAGAAAACCGAAGGCGCTACTCCTACGCTCAAAGCTCCCAGTGCTGCCAAGGCACCGTCGAAAGCTGGCGCGGACGCTGCGGCGTCTGCGGCGACAAACGCGCAGAAGTACGCTGTGGAACTACAGAAGATTCCAGAACTCGCAGCGCATGGTGGCGTCCTCAAGTCGAGCGCTGTCGTCGAGCTCACCGAGTCAGAAACCGAATACGTCGTCACAGCCATCAAGCACATCTTCAAGGATCACGTTGTCCTCCAGTATGACATCAAGAACACATTGCCCGACACCGTACTGCTCGATGTCGAGATGGTCGTTTCACCCGAAGACGACGGTGATGTCCAGCTGGAAGAAGAGTTTGTTATTCCTGCACCAAAGCTCTCCACAAACGAACCTGGAACCGTCTACGTGTCTTTCAAGCGCCTGGAGACCGAGTCACAATTCATTGCCACTAGCTTTACCAATGTGTTGAAATTCACGAGTAAAGAGATCGACCCGAGTACCGGTGAGCCAGAGGATGGCGATGGGTACCCTGATGAGTATCAAGTTGAGGATCTGGACCTTAATGGCGCAGATTATATCGTTCCAGCATACGCTGGCAGCTTTGACAACGTTTGGGAGCAATCGAATGGGGATTCTGCAACCGAGACATTGCAGCTGGGCAATATCAAGAGCATAGCAGGTATATCTCCCTCTTACTGTCACACAATGGTCAGAGCACCACTAACATAACAACAGACGCAACAGAACAACTCACAAACACCCTCTCCCTACAGCCCCTCGAAGGCACAGACGTCACTCTCTCAGCCTCAACACATACTCTTAAGCTGTACGGCAAGACAATTTCAGGCGGAAAAGTTGCGGCGATGGTTAGGATGGCTTTCAGTGCAAAGACGGGTGTGACGATGAAGATTGATGTCCGCAGCGAGGAGGAGGGTGTCGCGGCGCTAGTAGTAGGTAGTGTTGCATGAAGGGAATTAAGAAGTTAAGCGTTTGGTTTAGAAGGAAAAGGATCAATTGGCTTGACAAGCATGTGGGAGTATCATGATATAGTTGAACTTTCAGTCTTACTCTATCTGCAATCTGCAGGCGCGATGTAGCGTTCAGCAGCTAGCTTTCTAAGTGCTTGATCGCCGCATTCACAACACTCTGTATCTGTTTCCATCTCTTCAGCAACGAGTCTTTCTGAGCTGGCTGTGCTACTCCCTCCCCTTCTTCCCTCGTCTGCACCTCCTCCACTTCCTCTATAACATCCACAATGTGCCGCGAATACCTTGTCAACACACCGACCAGGAAGCTATCCAGCCGTGCCTGATCTCTGCTCCCATCATCATCGCCCCCCACAAACGCAGCATAACGCTTTGAATCGAGAACAATAAGCCTGAGCACAGCCTGCGTGCGGTGACAAATAACCGGACTTCCTGTTGTCGATGCACTGGAAAGCGTATACGTCCCGTAAAACCCATCTTCCTTCAGCGCAGCGCTTTGCTCAGCACTCAAAAGTGGAAGCAAAAGCCCATCCAGCGGCACGGAATCATTTGCATTCCGCTCGAGCAAGAAGCCGTATTCCACAAGCAAGAAATCATTCGTATGCGGCCCGTAGCTGACGGAGACTTCTTCGCCCGCCGTGTACGCCCGGTCAGCGCTCACGCTGTACCCACTACTATTATGCGTAGGCTCGCACCCAACGTCTGAGTGATTGAAGTAGTCCATCACCGGACACATGGCGTAGCAGTCCGCCGCTGTGAGTTTAGCTTTGCGCTGCCTGGGGAGGCGCGGGTGCGCGTTGGGCAGGTCCGGATAGTCCCAGTAGAAAGTTCGCGTGTTGACTATCAGCCAGGTGTAGGTGAATGCTTCCTTTGAGATGCTGGGGATGCTGGTGTGCAGGTCTGCCCAGTCCTTTTCCAGGTTGGCGCGTTGAGTGGTGAGGAGTTTGGTCGCAGCGGGGGAAAGAAGGGATTGCAGTTGGGGCGGGTAATAGAGTGGCATTGTGTGCTTGAAGTCTGCCTCGCTGGGCCAGACGTCTTGCCATGGTTTGTACTCATTCTTACTGCTGGAGTCGGAGTACCAGAGTGCTAGGGCGGCGGCTAGTCTTCCATGCACTGTTGTGTGTTCTGGAAGTTTGAGGGCTTTTATTGATGGCAAGGCAATGTGCACTAACGATGTATTGCGCACGTCGACTAGACGGTCTCCTTTCTTGACGATTTAGTTTTTTTGGGAGGGGTAAGGGGAGATGGTGAGTACTGACTTTGATGTCTTGTGCTGCGACTATGCCCATTCCGCGACCGACGAATCGCGCTGGTGCCACACCGTTGATTGTGACGCCGTTCTCTTCGGCCCAGGTAACGAAGCGAGTGTGTTCCTCGCCTGGGTCGAGTGCTGTTGTCATGATTCTGCCTTTTCGTCTTTCTAGTTTGGGGATGAGAGTGATTTGTTTGAGATTTAGAACGGGGGAGTCGCCAAGCTCTAAGGTGGAATAATACGCCCGGCCAGGCCGAATAGTACAGTCTTTTACTTCCCGGAGTAGATGGTTGACACCAGGGAGTCCAAACGGAGGTGTTGTTGTAGTCTAGCCGACAGAGAGTATGAAAATTTTGATGTTCACAGAGAAGGCCGAACACAGTTGAGGTTGAGTGTATTTACCAAGTTTACACGTCGAAGAGGTAAATGTACTGATGACTCACCGATGTTCAGGGTAATTGCGTGCTATTAAAACACTGTCCCTAGAGTCGTCTTGAGGTGCAACTGCTGTGGCGGTGGTGGCGCAGGCATGTTATCGATAAGCATCATCATGTCGGTCGATTACATCCTGAATTCATACACCAGGCGGCTGCACTTGAGCGCATCATGGCGAAGCCTCGCATGCCACAGCTCTCGAAGCTGACGGCGCTGTCAGGCTCACGATATATACCGTCCCTACAATCCTTCCGCTGCTTCTCTGTCCTCAATCGGCCGTCGCCCAACTACGAGGGTCACATACCATTGACCCGCACTGAAAGATTGGGCCTCGCATTTGGCTCAGGGCTGTTGAGCTTTCTAGATCCGCGACGGGGTGGTACGCTCAGCTTCGATAGACGTGTCAATATGTGCTTACACCACGCAGACCTAATCGCATCCTTCGGCGAGGCCACCGCACAGCCATACTTCATATACAAGCTCCGCGACCGCATGCTTCTGAACCCCACGGGTCGACGAATACTGCGCGATAGACCGCGACTGACATCCTCGTCCCTCGATATCCCACGTCTTCGCAAACTCCCACAGAATACCCTAGGCTACGCATATGCCTTCTGGCTCGATCGAGAGGGTGTATCACCAGACACGCGAGCCGCGGTGAAATACATAGACGACGAAGAGTGCGCCTATGTCATGCAGCGGTACCGCGAATGCCACGACTTCTACCACGCGCTAGTTGGGCTCCCAGTCTTCCGTGAGGGAGAGGTTGCCCTGAAAGCATTCGAGTTTGCCAATACAGGCCTGCCAATGACCGGTCTAGCAGTGTTCAGCGCGTTCACGCTGAAGAAGGCTGAATGGAGACGATTCTGGGATATATATGGCCCATGGGCGGCAAGAAACGGGGCACGCAGCGACGATGTGATCAACGTCTACTGGGAAGAGGAGCTTGAGACGGATGTTGATGCGCTAAGAACCAGGTTGGGGATTGAGAAGCCGCCAGACCTCCGAGAAATGCGCAAAGTGCAACGAGACGCGCAAAAGAAGGCAAAGGAGGCCAAAGAGAGCATGGCACGGGCTGCCGTGTAATGCTCTGTCCATGTACAATTCTGTAACAACACTGAACTTTTTACTAGAGATCCGCGACTACCCCGTGATTCATAGGCGGACTACGAAGCGAAAAGCGGGGAACTACAGTCCGATCCTTGGCGCCCCAAGACTTCACCTCGCGCAGACATGATCTCCCCATGCAAATAATTCAACCTAGTCTTCCTTACCCTATGCCGTCATGTCTGAGAAGCGGAAATTTGACGCCTCGCCCGAGTCAGACCAGTCCCAACTTTACCCCCGCAAGCGCATTGCGATTGCTGTCAGTTGCGCCAGTACTGCAAGCATCTAGCCTAGACTGATGTTTCAAAACAGTGCAATGTTTGCAGATTCCGGAAGACACGCTGTGATGCAGTGAAACCATCTTGCGGCTTCTGTACTGACCTGGGCATCGAATGCACTTACCGAAAACCAACCGTAGGCGACCGGACCAAACCGGTTGATCCGCCGTCAGAAGCGTTTGCCAGCATTGAAAGACGATTAGAACAGCTTGAAGCTAAACTGGAGTCGACTCAACAGCTGGTGCACAACTCCGCGATGCTGTCTCCAAGCAATCATAGCGACATCAATCCCACACAACGGCCCCAATCACGGCACTCTAGCATGCACAGCAGTACCGCTAACCTCATCAAGAATTTTACCATATCCGCACCTTCTGTTGGATCCCCGGTAGCCTATGACTTTGCCTACCGACAAACAAGCACAGAGGGGACAACTCCAAGGCCTAGCTTGACTACTTTCCGTGCTCCATCGTACATCCACGTGGAAAGCTGGGACTACACGGCCGAATTCTACGACAATGAGATTTTGGCCGGCGAACAGCTGGCTGATCAATGCGATGAATCCGTCAACCACCCCATAGACCTGTCCAGGCGAATGTGCAGGCGCCTCCAGCAATCATTCGTTCAGAACTTCTTAAGATGGACACCCATCTTCGACCAACAAACTTGCATCAGCGCATTAGAGCAGGCAGAGACGAGTCGATTCGCATATTCGACGGCACCAGTATGCCTGGTCTATATGATTCTAGCTCTTGGCGCAATCTCGGACGATCTAAACGAGAGCCCCAACAATCTTACGCCAGGGTTGGATTACTTTGCGCGTGGCAGTCAAATACTTGAAAGCCTATCGCTTCGAACAGGAAGTTTGACCACCCTTCAATGCCGGATACTGCAGGCATCTTACTTCAAATTCGCTATCCGGCCTCTCCAGACCTGGAATTCTATTACTCAAGCAGGTCGGGACTGTATGCACATTCTGAGCTCAAAGGCGCTACGACGATTCAACCCCTCGGAACAGGAGGCATTCAACCGTGCTTTCTGGGCCTGCTCAACACTCTTACATGAGTGAATCATCCCCAGCCACCTCCTAAATATTAGTTTGGATCTTCTAACCCTTGTATAGACTTGAGGCTACTTCCAAGATGCACCCAATTGGTTTACGCCACTTTCACGAGCTCGTGCCATTGCCCCAGTTTGAAGAGGAAGACTCTGGGTTTTATTTCTTCTTGGCTCAAATTAGCCTGAGGAAATTTCTAACTCAAACACTCGAAGTCGTCGGCTACCTTACAGGACGTGTTATATTCGCCCCTGTCGTGATCGGGGAACTGCGAAAGCAAATTCAGGAATGGCACGATCACCTGCCTTCTGTCGTTCGGTTCCCGTTGGATGCAACACCACTCTTTGATTCTAGGAAGTCCTTCCTGAGGGGGCAGTACATAGCGTTGCACGTTGTTCTTGGGTGGCCCTCGGTTTTGAAGATCTTACAGGATAGCGAAAGCGACGTCACCATGCAGGATCAAGACACTCGGAGGGTCACGACAGATCATGCGCAGAGTTGCCTCAGCAGCAGCGCTCTAGTCCTAAGTATAGCCGAGGAGCAGCTCATGGGTCGTAAAATCGGGACACACTTCACAATTTACGCAACGTTTGCGTGTTTTGCGACGTTGCTGATCGTTTTCAACCACCCAGCCCTTGCATTTGCTGAGGAGACACGACAGGAGCAGCACATTCGCAACGGGTACGAGGTGTTGCGGCCGTGGGCTCATCTTCCGTTCGTACGTCGCGCTTTGGAAAGAGCACGCATTTTGATGCAGCAAGCTGGTCTCGCCCACATATTTCATGCACATGCGGATGAAAGTCCCCCGGCTTTGGCTGGGATCAGTCCAGAGGTCGTGCCGAGTCATGACTGGACATCCCCACACGGTACAAAGTAACGGTGAGACTCCGAAGAAAGACGCTTGCTGGAGATGGCCTTTTTTTCAACAGAAATTCTTCAGCCACGGGTGCTCGAGCAGCTGCTTTGCGGTCTTCCGGTCTTCGGGACTCCATTGTAGCATACATCTCACAAACTCCAGAAATTCTCTTTTTGCTTCTTGCTCGAGATTTTCCTCCAAGCTCTCCAGGGTCAACTCGGGTATCGGAACATCAGCGATCCAATTTCCTAATGAAGATATCGTTAGTCGTGGCAATACCTCGAGTTTGGGCGTTTAATAACGTGCCTTCTTTGTCGAAGAACTCCTTGCTTCGTGATCCTCGCTCTAACAAGTCTCCAGGAGGGGGCCCTAACATCGCCACCACCTCGGCCAAGTGACATTTTGTCATATACCGGCCGTCTTCTGGATGATTGCCGTGGAAAAGATGCTTGTCCTCATACAAGTCCCAGATCTGCAGTCCGTCAATATTAACCTGTAGCTTGAAGATCCGCGAGGACTCACCATGGCTCCAACATTCCACACGTCAGCAGGATAGCTCCATTCCGTCTGCAGCATAACTTCTGGACAACGATAAACGTTGGGCTGTGCGTCATGCACTTGTCGCTGATCCCCACGAACGGCGGAACCAAAGTCGCTCAGTACCACTTTTCCATACTCCTTGGGTAGACTAAATCCACGGGATGCATAGATAGTCTTACCATCGACAATCTTTCGGGGCGATGGGTGGGCTAGCTCGGCATCGACAAAGGCATCTAGGATGCTTTGATCTTCGATTTCTATCATGATGTTGTCCGCCTTGATGTCTGCGATCTTGTTAGCATACAGGGCGTAGAGTGTGAATTATGAAGCTCACCTGTATGCACTATGTTGCATTCCGAGTGGAGATAATCGAGCGCCAGTAGTACCTGTGGGAGAGTTGCTCTGAGCAGTTCGTCCGTAAATCGATGGGTGGGATTGCGGTTCAACAGATCTCTGAATGAATCCCACATTGGTTTTTGTACCAAACATCGATGGTCACCTCCTTGACGCGGGATGGTGAAGATGTCCAGAGCTGTTCTGACATGGCCGTAACCTGGGTGGGAAGCATTGCCCTTGCCGAGTATCTGGTATATGTTGTATTCCTCCTCATGCATGCCTTTTTCTCTAGTGAAGACTTTCAGAGTAGCATAGGCATGACGACTGTTAAATAGTCAGTATTTGCGGGTCGAACAATCAGGAGGTAATACTGGAGATCGCGTGCTAACCAAACTGTGGAGGAAACTCCAAAGCCTAATTTGCCTACAACTTGATATTTGGATGCGAACACGTCCCCGATATTAACGGGATAGTAGACGCCTTTTCTGAACTCATCAAGCTGCTCTTCTTCGAGTAATTTGCCATCACCAACGATGTCGAAACCGGCGGAGGGAAATCGGAGCTGAGGCCAAGGTTGCCGGCGGAACAATGACTTTGCAAGTTTGAACATCGAAGAGATAGATACTAACAGCAAAAATCAGGCCTAAACTGTTGCTGATGAATGCATGAGCGGTTTGCGTAAGAGAGGACTATGTGTGCGTTTGGAGGAGAATGGGGATGGACGTGTTACCAGGCGCGACAGGTCTAACTGTCTAACTAGCAGGGATGTTTCGCTTAATAGAGGTAAATGAGCATACATTCAGAATGTTGACAATACGTCGAGAGAAAGAGAATAGACGCGGTAATTCGATGCAAGGATGTGGGACCTTCTGCAGAGGGAGTCCATAGAAGATTCAATGCATCCATCTTCTGTGAATAAGTGAAGGAGCATACACGACTACCCTCCGACTCGCAACCTTTTTAGCACCTCTTGACTCTGTCCGCGAAATATGTAAGGGATGTATGTATTCACAAATATCGAGCTAAGCTACTACGGGAGTGAATAATATATGTAGTTCCCGGCATAGGCCATCCATGCTTGGCCTACACGTGACAACAGGGAACAATTCTCCAAGTATGTTGCAAGATGAAAGATACAGTCCCGTTCGCCACAAAATCAATGCATAAGTAACAGACCCTCACCTACCAAAGTCTCATGATACCACGTAGCCTTCCTCCATTGACGTTGCTTGAAAAATGATAACCCAAAAAATCATTGTCGGCGCCAAACAGAGAGAAAAGGCGCTCATCTTTGAAGCGCCTGTCCATTGATGACATCAGAGTGCTCCCAGACAGCGCCAAAAAACCGGCCTTGTCCCAGCGAGGAGACTGTCAATAGCGTTAGAGAGAACGAGTAGACAACGCAAATCGACAGAGCTCTATTCACAGAAACTCCTTACATATCAAACGCACACCATATTCAAGGTAGACCAGCTCAATAGACACATGGTATGCAATGATTATTAAACATTCATTACGTCTGCGCGATATATATACTACATCCACTCGTCACTCGTCCATAATGCACCTCGCAGCATTTACTGCTTAGGCGGCGTACCACGACCAAGTCCAAAGCACTCTGCCATGTTATAGAAGATATCAATGCTGTTGTATACACCGCCAAACAGCTCCTGGCAAGGGCCCATGGCGAATACAGGCACATCAGTGAGCGAGTGCACACCTTGGTCATCGCCAACAGGCAGAGTACCGTTGAGCAGTATACCCTTGCCACTTCCATCGCGGGGGTTGGCGTAGTTGTCCTTCGTGCCGTTCGCAGCGACCGCAGGGAGACGGGGACCATCCTTGTGGACACTCCAGTCCTCGCGGCGGTCGGGGTCGGCCATAAGACCTTGGAAAAGCGTGTACCGTGGGCTCCAGTTCGAGGGAAAATTGCTGTCTGTATACGTTAAATTGCCGGTGTTGATGTACTGCGAGAGGCCGGATTGCTCGTAGGTGCCAACGGCGTCGCGTTTTTTGCGGTCGACGTTCTGCGCGGCGAGGTAATGCGTGTCAACGGAGCCCATGACATCGAAACCATGGCCGTGATCGGCAGTAACGAGAATAAGAGTCTCCTTGAGGCAGTTTGTGGAGTTGAGATGTGCGATGGTCGCTTTGATCGTGTCGTCGAGCTCAAGAAGCTCACCGAGAGCACGATCATAGTCCAGCACGTGCATCATCTTATCTATCGACGCTGCTTCCGAGAGTAGAAAATATCCCTTGTCGCCAGAGCGTTCCTGAAGAATGTCGATGGCCTTGAGAGTCATTTCCTTGAGTCCGGGCTGGTCAAGCGCGGGTTTCTTATCACCAGCGGGGGACAACGACTGGTTTAGGTTCTGTCGGTAGACGTTACGGTCTAGCCATTTAGCCATGTTGGAGACGGTGAAGATACCGAGGGCCTTCTCGGAGTTCTTTGCGGACAGGAGAGAAGTGCGGTTTTGGATGATTTGGTACTTCTGCTTGGCGAACTCATCGTAGTAGTTCTTGTTCTGATAGGTCTTGCCACCGAGAGAAGGCGGGTAGAATTGCTCAGCACCACCACCGAAGATGACATCGATGGGGACATCGGTCCAGGTGTAGTTCTGAACACCGTTGAGGAGCTGGTCGACGATGGCCTCGTACGCGCCACGGTTACGGGTGTGGGCAACCAGAGCAGCAGGTGTGGCATCTGCAATGTATGCAGTGGAAACGATACCAATGTGCCCGCCAGTGAGGCGGTGGAATATTTCAGCAATGGTCTCAACTTTGGGATCGTCGAAAGGATTTATGGATGAGTCCGCGTAAACGTTCAAGCAGTTGACGGTGCTCTTGTGTCCCGTGTTGAGAGCAGCAGCGCTATTGGCAGAGTCGGTGATGAAGCTGTCAATAGAGTGGGTCATTTGGTGGCCGAGGACAGGGAACTTGTCCATAGCCAAAAGGGACTGGTACTTTCCGTTGATGCTCTTGTGTCCGATCAGGCGGGCGGCCGTGATCATGTTGGTCGTCATACCGTCACCAATGAAGAGGATGATGTTCTTGGCCTTGCGCTCCTCAGCCAAGTCGCGAATAGTCCAGGTAGCCTCGGTGGAGCTGCCATTGTTGTAGGTGAGCGTGGCAGTGTACTCGCCGGGCTCGTAGATGGCAACGCGGCGGTAAGCTTTGGACGCAACGTTGACCAAAGAGGGCTTCTTCGCGTCGCGAGCGAAGAGATCTGTTTCAATTAGCCATGGACGGTAGGTGGGAATAGTCTGCATACCTTCGAACCACGTGAAGTTCCACTTCTCCAACTTCGGCTCCTGGAGCTTGAAGTATTCTGTTACGGGCTTCGACGCCGCACCCTTCTTGCCAATTGTGAAAGTGAACTTTTCATCCAGAGGCAGTCCAATCGCTTCAGAGCCATTGACGGGCTGGTGGACTTCGAGACGGATGTCGAAGTACTGGCCGGCCAAAAAGTCAGCCCTGGAGGAATTGGTTAGCTATCGAGTTCTGGCAGTTTTATGACGTTTCATGGACGTTTTCTTTGGGACCGATAACGTACTGGTCCGGAGGAAAGACACATCCTAAGGCTGTGTTAGCATGTGCTCGCCATATTTCGACAGGGTTTAGTCGTACCAAGCGTTGGGCAAGCTCCTAGACGGCGGAACGTCTGCGCAGAGACAGCGTTCAGCAAAAGGGCTGCTGCCGCGACAATTGAGCATGTACACTTCATGGCGAACGGATCCAAGACTTGTCAGACACGCAAGGCTCACAAGGACGCGATGAACCGAAAACTTGGGAAGCTGTCTCCCCGGCCTTTATAAGCTCCAGGGCTTCGGACCTGCATACAAGCTCTATAACTAATACGGCAAGTCGGCAGCGCGTCAGGCTACCAGGATCCACGGCGAACCCCTCCAGCACGTCTCTGTATGCAGCATGCGGGTCGGTCGACATGCCTTTAGCCGTCCTCGTGCAATAACGCCGCGCTCTTACTGCTCGAGATGAACACTCCAGCTACCCGGACCAGTCCCATTTCCGCTGGCCTGGTCCGCGCCACGAGCCACTGTCATCATCGAGAGCGTGGAGGAGCTGCCTTATCGAGGATGGGACGCACGTTTACCTATACCTAGTGATGAGAGGGTAAGATATTGCCTTGGCGCAACGTGAACGAGGATAGGGTTGTCATTGGTCCTGTAGAGATAGTCGATTGGGTTGAGGGTGGACATCCCCGCAAGCGTACTTGGCAGCTTGGCAATGGGCAAACCCTTGCAGATGCTGTGTGCTTTATACGTTGCCACGTTCATTGGTGATATTGTTTATTGACTTGCAACGATGAAAAGTTATGCTAGCTGAAGCCTCAAACGATCGACGCGAACGTTACGAAGTCGCCCGTGCACGATCTTCGCGTGGTGATATCGTGGGAACTTGGCAGCCTTACAACGCTAACTTCCCACCCGCAGCTACGAGTGATTGACGTCTTCCTAAGGTGATCTATGCAATTTCAACGCTCGAACGGATCCTCTAACTGAGCTGTCGCGTGCCAACTCCAAAGCTCTGAAAGTGGCTTGGAGGGTTGGCCATTGTGGACTTAGGAGGTTCCGAAAGCTTAGAGACTCCTTGCATCAGATGCAACACTCAACTCTCCCCATGATTTCGGGAATTGCAGCGCGCACCAAGGATATCACAGATCTAGGATCTGAAACATCGATCCAGAGCATCATACCGACCTCCATGATCTCGAATCGTTCTTGTTGTACTTATCTAGCAGTATGCGCGTCATGGCTGGGATCAGAAGTGGCCGAAATACATTCTCATAACAGATTGGTACACTATGTTCAAACTGCTCTACAGAGATATGGGAGGGGTTTTATTTCTATAAGGAAGTTTATATTCGTTCAGACACCCAAGACCGGGAAATTCTCTCCGGACCGATTATCATAGCCTTCGGCAAAGGTTATTGATGTGCTGCAGGGCTTTGGATTTCCTACTTAGCTGTTTCCAATCATCTCCAGCACATGGATACGCATGTATAGCGCTTCTTAGCTGCTGCTGCTGGTGGCCGTACAGTACCAAATAGCGTTCCATTGCCAACTTTATGAGTTCAGCTGATTTTGCTAACCTTCTCCATTTTTGCTCTTCCAAATCTCTGCAAACTCTTCCCTGCCTCATCGTTGATGATTGCATTCAAGAATAGAATCGAATGGAACAAAGAAGAAAAAGGAGCAGATGAGGAAAATTCGCATGACAAGAGACACAAAGCCCAAACCAACAAAGCGGTCAATGAATTATCGTCTACGTACATGTAGCCAGTGCCGAATAATAATCAGTGTACCCCCAGGGAAATAAGATAAAAACGAAACCAACCCGTAACGTCTATGCAACAAGAAAACAAACTGGTACACAACAACAGAAATGACTAAACTCATATTCTAGCATCTAGCAACTATCTAGTCCTGCTTCTCAATGTGAATCGTTTTCAGGTAATCGCCACGCGCGTTTTCGCAGACAGCGGTGTAGTGGTTTTTTGGGTCGCCTTTGCTCGAATGTTCGCCCTCCCTAAGATCTCTGATTAGACCGTATCCGCGGTTTCTACCGAACTCTTTACTCACCGCATAATTACCTTTGTCGTTCCTGCCGGCAATGGATCCGTATTTTTTTCAACTGCTTTGCGAAAATCAGGCGCGCTGGTCATAACCGCTGACTCTGGTCGCGTCCACAGGTCTGTCTCAGTCGCAACGGCAAGTGCGACCTGCTTGCCACCTTTGAGCACAGTACCCAACAGTTTGGAGTTAACGACCCTATTCGAAGCCATGGTATTGAGGGGGAATGTATAAAGAAGTATATGGTAGCTGCAGCTTGCTTTAGAAGATATAAGAGGATTTGAGAAAGTGATGACTAGCTGGGGCAAATATGCCGGTGTTTGGATCTATTCGAGACTTGGTGAGCATTTCGCTGCTTCTTATAGGACGTCAAGTTCAGCATTGCCAGATTATCATGCGCTGAAGTGGTCCTTAGAGCATGCCATGAGCGCTTCCAGCTTAAATTAGCCTGCGCCGAGACGTTAGAACTTGATGACCGCCCACTCATGCACAGTAATGTTTTGCCGTATCATTAAAAAAGGTTAGCAACATTTTTGCGCGCGCATATCTTGACACAAGTAATACATTTGGCTGCATTGACTGGATTAATTAACGAAAGTACAATAGCAAGAGAGGCCTGGCATCTGACGAATGTGTTGGCGGTGTCGTAACGTATTGATAGGCATACTTCTACCGGTATTGGTTGGTTTGGCGCCGCTGCACCGCCAAGCCCTTGCCCAGCGTTTCGTATCTATCTTGTTCCGTCCCCGCGCGCTAATAGCGACGCGCAGACATTCTGCATCTCTTGAACCCGCTTCAATGCTTCATTTTAACAGGCAATAGATGTCCGGAGAATATGGCTGCGGCACTCAAGATTGGACAACGTTTGCGAGGGCGTCTAGGAACATATACCATTTTGAAGAGTGTACATGAGAATGTTTGGACTGCCAGGTAAGAACATACTTAGCAGCTGTTCAGTGATACTCACCTTAATAGCGGCACGGACGCAGGAACGGTCATCATCAAGACCGCACCGGTAAAGCGCCTTAAGAATGAACGGGAGATACTGGACATATTTCAGGGCTGCCCACATATTCGGCCATTGCTTGATCAAACCGAAGAACCTTCAGCTCTGGTGTTGAAGTTCCTTCAAGATAACTTACTCAAGGCGTCAAACACGAGAAAGTTGGACAAGCCAGAGATCAAGTTCGTTGCAAGAGGAGTCCTTGAGGCATTGAATGTGTTCCACCAAGCAGGTTATGTACATACAGGTAGGGTTAAGCATATTACATCTGCGAGAAAGCATCAGACGTAGCTGACCGATTTGCAGATATCAAGCCTGACAACATCCTCGTCAACTATGGCAACGAGACGGATCGTTTCAGCGATGTAGAGCTGGGTGATTGTGCAGACGCGTACCGTGTTGACCCAAACGCTGATCCGTTCGAGGTGGGCCACCTCATTGGCGCCGCGATTTTTCGCAGTCCTGAAGCAAATCTCCAACTCCGGTGGGGTACCGCTACGGATATTTGGTCATTTGGTGCCACAGTAAGTTCTTTGATAATCTAATGCGCTTGATCGCCACTTGGACTGATCAATCATACAGCTTATAAGTCTTATATGGGGTCAAGACTGGCATATCTTTATACCGGAGGGTTGTTCGGCGGATGACCCGGAACACCCAACCCAGGTGCTGGTTAAGCAAGCATCTATATTTGGCCCTTTTCCTTACAGTTATAAAGACATCGCCGATGAAGAGAGACAGGGTATTCTTGCAGCTATCAACAACCATATCAACGATAACGGACTGCGAAAACCGTTCTCAATGGCTGAAGATCCAGAGCTTACCGTGGAGGACAGAAATTTCATCTGCAAGATCATGAGGATGGACCCAAGGGATAGGCCCACGGCGAAGGAACTGCTGGAGGATCCGTGGTTTAACTGAACTCTTGACTAATCTGACAAGGCCTCAAGAATGCAGACGGAGCGTTGGACTCGTCACCCTAATAAGCGACAGAAATGTTGATGGATGTCAGAGCACCGAAAATGCCACGCAATTTGATACAACGCTCGGGGACGCACCACAATGGGGCATTTGTGAAGCGACAATGACCTGTTTCCATACTTCAAAGGCCGGACAGTTGTGCGAAAATAGAACGATATTCGACCAACCAGCCTCAGTTGCCTTTCAATTTTTTCGTAGCCAGAGTTGCATGGCTTTCGGTCAAATTAGTATAGGACCGCTTCATCATTTCTCTGTTCATCATCACTAGGCACTGGAATATATTTTTTACAGATTGTGGCGTTGTTGTAGGCATTCGCCGAATTCGTGGTCTCGAGGGAAAAAAGAGAGATTATTAAAATTTGACAGTATACATTAAACTGCGATAAGTATTAGTTTAGTATTGAAATCCTACCGGCCTCTGGGCCTCGAAGGATGATGTTCAACTTCTGTCTAGTGGCTTGAGAAGTCATGAGGTGGCGCAGGCTTGCACAGCCACAGCTCAGGACATCACGACCACAACTCAATGTTAGTCACTCAGGGCTAATAGGTCTGGAAGCTGAATTGGAAACTGGAGAGGTAAACATTGAGGTGTGAGTATATTGGCGTCTGATACTCGCCGAACACATCAAGGTCTTGCTCAATCGGTTTTAGCACGGTGATGTCGACGTCACCACTTTAGTCCCTTGAACTACTGTCAGGCACAAAGCCACCATTTTCCACCTACAATTCCATCATACCTCTCCATGCTCCCCGTGAAACGTTTTCTTTCGTCTCAGATTGCTCACCCTACACCTGTCAAACAAACTCTTCTTCGCCACGCAAGGATCAAGGTCACACAGAGCCGCACGGCCAAGCACGCGACACTTTCACGATCACAAGCACATGCGAAGATGGCACTAAAGAGATCCTCCAAAGCCGCCGATTTCGACTCCCATGCACACACAGCATCAAAAAGAACATCATACGAGCGTTCCGAGCTGGGTCACACAACAACCGAACGCGCAAAGCAAGTTGACCAGAATCTCCCGTACGACCAGCTCAAGGAAGCGCTCGAAGCTCAGGACGAGATCAAAGATGTCACTAAGGTGGCGCATTGGTTTCATCCAAAGGATCTCCGAATCCAAGACAATACCGCATTGCACCATGCCTCCCAGCTTGCCCAGAGCGCAAAAAAGCCCTTGATATGTCTCTACATCAACTGTGCTGCAGACGAATCGTGGCATGGCACGAGCCCTGCCCGTATTGATTTCATGTTCGAAGGACTGAATATCATGCAGAAAGAGCTAAAGGAGCTGAATATCCCGCTAGTGTTCCTGGAATGTGAGGACAGAAAGAAGATTGTGCCTACCGTAATCGAGTGGTTCAAGAAACAAAACGTCTCGCATGTGTTTGGAAACTACGAATACGAGATTGACGAAATGCGACGAGATATCAAACTCGTGCGAGAAGCTGGGGATGGGATTCATGTTAGCTTATACCACGACCAGACAGTCGTGGAGCCAGGGACGATGTTGACAGGCAGCGGGACACCGATGAAAGTCTTCACCCCATATTTCAAGCATTGGCTCGATGTTGTCAGATCCCAACCAGAGCTCCTAGATACTTCTCCGCCGCCCGCTCCAAACTCTTCTGCAGCAAAGAAAGAGCTGCAAGATCTCTTCGACACCCCAGCCCCGAAACCCGCTCAAGACAAACAATTCCAAAGCGAAGAAGCCCGCAAGCGCATTCGAAAACTCTGGCCCCCAGGCCACGCCGCTGGGAGCAAGCGGATGGATTCATTCTTGAAGCAAATTGACAAATACGCGGCCACGCGTAGCAACCCGGCAAAGAACAGCACATCCCGTATGTCCCCCTACTTCAGCGCAGGCATGTTTTCCGTGCGCGAAGCCCTACAAAAAGTCGTCGACTACAACAAAGGGAGCACCGACTTCACCGAAGCCAAAGCATCAAAAGGCGTATACGGCTGGGTGCGCGAAATCGTCTTCCGCGAGCTCTACCGCCAAACCACACTAACCACACCACACACATCCATGAATCTGCCACAAAACCTGAAATTCGACTCCGTAGAGTGGGAAGACGACGAGGAAGGGTGGGAAAAGTGGTACAAGGGGCAAACAGGCGAGCCCTTCATCGACGCCGGCATGCGTCAACTCAACCACGAAGCGTACATGCACAACCGCCTGCGCATGAATGTGTCCAGCTATCTCTACTGCAACTTACTGCTCGACTACCGCCGGGGGGAACGCTACTTTGCCGAAACGCTGATCGACTGGGACCTGTCTAATAACACGCAGGGCTGGGAGCCTTCGTACACGGTTTTCAATCCCGTCTCGCAGGCAGAGAAGAACGACCCGGAGGGCGAGTATATACGCAAGTGGGTCCCCGAGCTAGCTGGCGTGCAGGGCAAGGCTGTTTTCGCGCCGTATGAGAGGCTCAGTAAGGAAGAGTTTGAGAAGTTGGGGTACCCGAAGCCCCATGTGGATTGGAAGGTTACGAAGCAGCGGTGTACAGAGAGGTTTAAGAAGGGTATACGGGATGCTGAAGCGTAGATGGGAGAACGAAGGTTTATTTAGCGGAGGTAATATATCTGTACAAATACTAATCATAATTTAATCATAATACTAGAGTCTTTTTCCCTCGCCAACTATACGACTAATACTCTTGCAAACTGTAACATACTATCTCTTTAGTGATGAAACCAATTAAAAGACGGTGACGCCTTAATCTGTTGTAGTCTGGCTGTGTTCAAACCACTTCATCTTCATTTTTAGTTCCTACAGTAACGCGAATCATTGGGGTTGTCACTCTATACTTCTCCGTGTAGGAAAAAACAGGTGGCCTGTCAATACCGTTCAGAGCAAAGAGTGTATCCAGACAAAGGTCCATGTACATACATTCCTTACGCAATTGCTCCACTTACAACTTCTCCTTCCCCGCCACCCCCTCCCTGATATCCAACTGGCCCTCTCTCCTCTTCCCCTGCACAAACGGCACACCCTCACTAGTCTCGAGTTTGACCAAATTCGCCTTGCCCTTCACCAACTGCACCATCATATAATTACACAAGCACCTCAGCCCCAACTCCTCCCCCCGCTTAACAATCCACCCATTGATATAGTCAATCTCCGTCTGTCTACCGCTCCTCACATCCGCCAACATACTACTAATATTATCTTTCGTTAGCCTTGCTACTCCGACAACTTTGCTTTCAAGGCGTCCCGGATCGAAGCGCTGCGAGACGTTGGGTATGTACTGGAGTTCTGGCAGGGAGCGGATGACGAGTGAGATTTCAGAGAGTAAAAGGCGGAGCGTGCGGGTCAAGGCGTAGTTATACAGGACAGAGCCGTTGCGGGCGTCGAGGAGGACAGTAAGCGGATTGATGACGCAGTTTACAGCGAGTTTTTCAAGTTGCATTTGCAGTAAATCCGGTGGGGAGAAGGAGGCGGCTGAAAGGACGGGCGTTCGTAGAAGAGTGCGCAGGAGGTAACGCTGGTTCGGCGTCCAGTGGAAGTTTGTGGTTGCCGGGGTTGGGTATTCAGGGTTGAGTTCGGAGGGAGGGTCAGGGTATACGGGTGGCTCGCCTGGATTCGCCTGGAATTTCACCACCGGCTCGTAGGGAGCGTCGGCTTTGCGGTCTCGTTCATGGGGTAGAAGCCCTAGAGATATCGTTCCAAACCCGGCGTGGACAGTCGTGAACGCATCGTCCGGCGTGTTGTGCATGCCATGCGAGTTAACCCCAAGCATGTAGTGTGGTCTCGTGGCGGGGTCCGGAAAGATCTCTCTGTCTACTTCTTCCACGGTTCCTATCCCATTCTGCATGAATAATACGACAGAGTCCTTGTGCAGCCTGTGCTTCACGGCAGACAGGCTTTGTAACACAAATGGTGCTTTAGAGCATATGATCAGCGAATTGATCGGCTCCGTCGACTCTCCAGACAACGCTTGCGGGGCCTGCTCTTGTGACTCGGACGATGCCTCTGTCAAGTCTTGAGAAGCAATGTTCAACCCCACTTCCTTGCCGTGAAATCGTATGCGGGGTATAGCTATCTCGGCGTCGTACCCGTCGTGTATCTCAGCATCGCCGTCGGTGACCAATGTCAGCCTTTGCGAGGACTCGTTCCACTTGTTCAGCTTCTCCCAGTGGGAGAAGAGAAGCGTCACGGGCGGCGCATTCGGTATGCCGCGTAGGGCGTGCGCAACGAAGCTTCCCACATTGCCCACGCCCATGATGTGGATTCGACGATCGAGGACTGGTTTCGCGCGGTAGAAGTCGGCAGCGTCGCTAGAGGCTCTTGGGGCCACAGGTCCGTCGACAGCATCTTCGCTATATATTGTGAGCTTCCGCGTCGTACACTGTCCCAGAAAACGTACGTCTTTTCCGGACTCGCCTCAATCGGCGAAATGTTCTGATTCTTCCAGCCTGTCATGAAGCTTCTTGTCTGATAGTAAGCCACCCGGCTCGCGCAATTGCTACCGGGGCTGCATCGCGATTGTATGTGCAGTATCCGAGGCCGAAGCCTGGGTAAGAACTGTGAGACAGAGAAGGAAGACAGCTTGAAGTACAGTTCGTTACATGTGGGTGTATGTAGCCCAATTATTCACAGCTGAAGAAGCGCAGAAATGTAGGTTGCGACAGTGAGTGAATGACGCTATCAAATGTATCTCTCGGAGGTTTGAAAGTCGGAGCTAGGTGCGGCAAAACGCTCGGCCCGCAACTTTTTTGTAGAGCGCATCGTCTTCTTGAACTCCACTGCCTTTCTACGACAACTGCAGGAATAATTACAGGTTTATTCTTTCCTACGCGTCTACGGAGCACACAACTATGGACCCCCAAACCGACCTCCCCGACCTAGTAGAAGACCTCGAAGTCAACATCGACGAGCTCTCTTCCGCTCTCCAGCCTTTACTCGCAACACCGCTCCATACAACCGCATCCTCACAACCTCTTCTCGACAAAGCAAAGCTCTACGTACTCGCCGCATACTCGATCGAGTCATTACTCTTCAGCACACTACAGGCGAGCGGCGTGGATGCGAGAGAACATGCCGTCTTCCCCGAACTTGCGCGGTTGAAAGGCTACTTCAGCAAGATCAAAGAGGTCGAGGAGCGGGGCACACAACCCAAACAGCGGCTCGACGTGGGCGCGGCACAGAGATTCATTAAGCACGGTCTGGCCGGCAACGACAGGTATGATTTGGTCAGGGCGGAGAAAATGGCCAAGGAGAAGGCCAGAGCGGCATTGAAGGCCAAGCAGATCAACAAGAAGTTCGACGACGAAGGCGAGGAGAAGAGCGGGGTTGTGACGCCGAAGAAGAGGGGCGTGGAAGACGTTGCTGCCGACGAGCAGGTCGAAGACGAGGAGCTTGAAACCGACTCCTCCGCACAGCCAGCCGCGAAGAAAGCGCGCATACCCGCCGCAGACCCCATGGCCATCGACTCGGCGCCGTCATCAACCAAGAAGCAAGACCGCAAACAGCGGGGCAAAAACAAGGCCAAGCGCAGCGCAGACAACACAGACGCCGAAGAGCACGAAGGTTCGCTCGCGTCAGGCGACCCCAGTATCCAAAAGAAAGACAGGAAGAAGAGAGGCACGACCAAGAAGTCGAAAGGGGATGACAATCCAGAGGATACAACACAGCTAGTCGATGCGCCGTCGAGGGACGAGGAAGCCATCCTGCCGAACAAGGCGCCCAAGACAAGAAGTGAGACGTTCAACGCCCTTCTCGACGGCTCGTTGGCGGACAAGGGGAAGAAGGGGAAGAGTAAGGGCAAAGGAAAGGGGAAGTGAGCGTGGTAGACATGGTACTTGGACATGAGCATACTGGCCGAAAGGCGCTTGGAGGAGATTTGCAAGGCACGCACACGCTTCTATAAAGAAGAAGTTGAGTAAGATGTCAGCGCGGGTATAGAATGCCATTCAGGTGGCATGCGATCAAGTCCACGGACGTTGAGCGATGGCTTCAGTGCTCATATATCCCGTCCTGGAAGGTCAGACTTTCCGCCTAGACGGCTTGCACGATGGGAAATAGATCAGTCCCGTACTACTTAGTGGGAGCATCTGTGTGGCACAAGGCAGCTAGCTAGCTAGCTGTATCAGCAGTCCAGTAGTACCGCAAATAATACAACTATAATTCAAGACTTTCACAAGTCAAATCACGCATAACATACCAAAAACAAGATATAAACGTGAACCTTGTGTGTATATACATATACTCTTCTTATACTGATGATATCCACCTATCCTATCCTATCCTATCCCGTCCCTTCTTTGCCACTGATATAAATATAATACATTAAACGAGCAAAAAGCGCCAGCTCGGATTCCAGACTCTGATATTTCTACAACTCCATTACTCCTGGTATTTCCCTCCCCCCGGTCCACGAGCCCTGATAAGAAACAAAACGCTTGACATGCGCAGAGAAAGTGTGAGATATGTAAGTATGTAGCCCTTTTGCGCACCCTTGATAAATAATGCATGGAAATAGTTGAAAATAGTATGTCGTCAGGCAGAAAGGACCTCCAGTAGCCCAACTTCCCGGTTCCGTAGTGATGATGATATGTAAAATGAAGTGAATAATTGGGGTTTGGTGTAAAGAGCCACCGTATGAAGACGGCTGTCGTCGTTTTGGCCATGTCGAGATCACTCAAAAGCCCCCGGCATCGACCCTGGGATTTTCAAGCTCAGCCTCTCGTCCCTCTTCCTCACCGAAAGCGCAGGCGGGTTTGACATGGATCGCTGCCGCTGGAGTGTTGGTTTCTCAGTAACTCGTTTCGTATCCAGGCTCTTCCGGGCTTCGTCTTGGAGTTGTGCTTCGGCCTGTGAATCGAATATCGTCTCATTCGGGATGTTGGTGGAGATGACCGTCTTCCCGATGGATACGCGTTTCACAGCATCCTCGCCCTTGGTCTGGAACGGATCATCTTCACTCTTTCTCTCCTTGTCCACTACTGGTCCATGAATTGATAACGTGACATCCCTCGGCACCATAGCAGCCTCAATCTCCTCATTCGTCCTCTCATCTTTGCCTACTCCGTCCGAAAATGTCGGGCTCGGACTATCCCTCAAGGGCATAAAGCTCGGCACCACACCTCCTCCAATTCTTGTCCAGAACATGCGTTCGCGAAGTTTTACGCTCTCCTCCCACGCCGTCTTCTTTTCTTCTTCCGTCTCCGCTCGCCAGTGCCCTGCTGCTACCATGCGCAAGAAACCAATGTAGTCGCACGTCGCTCGAACCCTTCCCAAGCACCAATCGCAAAGCGGGTAGCGCTGTGATTCCTCGGTGTCAGCGGGCTTGAATCTGTATTTCCGCGCGTATTGGTCGCCTTTCCTGGTTTCACCGCATAGTGAGCAGGGGAAAATGGGAACACGGAATCTGGAGGTAGGCGCTGGGTTGGGCTCGACGACTAGCGAACCGGCGGTGATGCTATTTAGCACGGTGCGGCGGGCCATCCAGGATAGGCCGGGTGCTATGTCGAGACGTAGAGTCGGTTCGATATCCTCGGTCAGAGCGCGCTTGTAGAACTTCTCATCTTTGAGATTTGGCACAAAGACACTGGTGACTGATTGGGGTGAGATGTTTCCGATCGACGTGGGCGATTTGATAGATGATGGCAAAGAGGTAGTTGAGCTGTTTGTTAGCGATCCAAGGCCAAGTACGTTGAGACCCCCGTAGTTGCCGCTGGATGCACGACTGGATGGTGCAGAAGCTCGGGTATTGATTTTGAGCATATCCTGGAACTCTTTGAAAGTGGCAAGGTCATCCCGTAAGACAGGATGGATGAGGTGAGAGAAATGGAGCGGATGATCAGGGCTGATCTCGTCGGTTCCCGGCGTATTAGGCGTCAGATTCATAGCCTCGAACAACTTGCTCATCTTGTCTCCGGGTGTGAGGCCAGGAGTCGAGGGCGCAGTCGTCGTGGCAAGGGTGTTGCTTTCGTTGTCGTCGCTGTGCTGGCTCATCTTCTCCACAACGCTTTTGAGGTCCTGTAATTGCTCCTGCAGGGAATGCTGTAGCACTTCGGCGTCGCCCAGCTGTTGCTTGAGCTGCTCGCTACGCTTTTCAGAAGCTTCCGTCTCTTTCCGCGCAGAGGAAACCATGACGTTGGCCTCCTCGAACAAGGCAGCCGTCAGCGCTTCGACTTCGCTGTCCGTCTTCCGCTTGGCCTTCTCTGCGTCGGCCCTACGCTTCCGTTCCTCTTGCAGTTCGCTCGACATTTGCCTCTCCATCTTGTCGTACACGACCTTTTCTACAAGAAGACCTCTCGAAAGTTTGGCTTCATGCTCCCTGACCTGATTTTCTAACCGCACGAGGTGTTCCCTTGCGGCCTCCAACTCGTGCCTAGTCTGTTGCAGCGAATCGTCCAACATGGTCGAGTGATTGATGGCGTTGATGAGCTTCGTGCTGAGCGTAGACACTTCCTGGCTGAAGTCTGGATGCGAGTCTGACGTATCGTTTCGTGATAGAGGAGGTCGGGTAGCTGCGCGCGGGTCGGGAATAGTGTTCATACCATCGCTCTCTGATTGCGACGGCGGCTGAGCGGCTTGGGCGAGTTGGGGTACAGATATGGATCGGGTGACTTCTTTCCTCGTGGGCATGGGGGACAAGGAACGTAGGCGTGATGGAGTCATGGTACCTGAGCCATGGACCCAGGGAGCGGCGCTGTGCGCTATAAATCTACAAGTGAAATGCGCGTTAGCTAGAGGACTCGGAACGGGAAGCGACGGACGCGGTAAGGTCTTCGATGGTGACGCCCATGAGGGGTCTCGCCGACCGCATTGGGCTTCCGTCCTCATCATGGCTCCTTCCTTCCTCGATCATGGGTGACGTACGCAAACTCGGCCATTATTTCCTGCGAAATAGAAAAGGCTGCTCTCTAACTCGTCGCGAACATGAAACAATCGAAAAGGTACGGCGGATGATGTATGACGGAGTAGTATCCGTATCGAGAGGAGAGAGACAAAGGAGTGACGACAGCGGGAGGGACCGAGGGGGCTACACGGGGCGGGAGCACCACGAAGCGTTCAAATCAGCAAACACATTGGAATCAGGCGCTCTAACGAGAAGTGCGACTGTGGTGGAGAATGGAAGAACCGGACGGGAGTGTGGTAATATAGACAGAAGAAGGTGTGGGCTGGACGAGATGGACTGAACGAGCGGATCGTGAAGGTCGGGCGTACCGGAGCCATCGCGCTCGGTCGGGCGCTTACGCTTGGATCACTCGGGCGGCCGAGTGACGTTGACTGAGCCACCACGCTATCTCTCTCAACCATGCCTGTGAGGCTGCATCTGCATCGACGTCTACATCTGGACACACAGATCTGGATCACTGCCACGCGAGAAAGCGATCGTTCCGAGAGACCGCCTCGATGGCGCGTCGGCGATGCGAGGAATGTGCTTACTAGCCGTTGCTGGGGCTGAACTTCTGTACTTGGCAAACGAAACATACCCCTACTCAGCAGCATCATGTCTTTGCACCATAACACCTCGCGATGTTCTATAGAGTCAACACGTATACATGACAAGAAGCCTCACATCTCGCGGAGCCTCCGTCGGCCTGCCCGGTAAAGCGAAACATTTGAGACGAAACCGGTACTAGTACCAAGCTGTCAAATTCCATTTTGAGCCCAATGTCTCTGGCAGAAAGAAAATCTTCCTTGTCAGTACGGGACACCTAGTTTTTCACCAGTCTCACAGCTGTCACTCTCCTGTTTGGGTCGGCACAAGAGAAGTCGGTGGTTACACGTCTCACAGCTGCGAGGCCTCCATTGAGCTCAATGTCTCCAGCGACAAATAATCCTTCTTCTTTGTCCGCTTGGGAGATGTAGTCTGTGTCATACGTCTTACTACTATCACACCTCATTCTGGGCCTAACGCCAGTCACTATTCATCCTGTTATGCCAGTACAAGAGACTGGCTTGTCTCAGGTCTGGAACCTACAGGTCAAACACCGAGTTTTTTCGCTCTTAGCATTGAGCTAGTTTATAGGCACAAGCAGAGTCAAATGTGGAATGTATGATGCCCTCAAGAGACTGATGATGTTGATAATCTCACCCGTGCAAAGAAGAGGAAGACCACGTGTGAAATGGTAAAGGCATACGCAGAATCTGTTTCGACCCCTGACTGCTAAACGACTTTCTGTAGCTTACATCCCCATCCCCAAAAGGTTTGCTCATGGAACGCGACAAAGGAAAAGAAATGACAGACATTAGTGGATGAAGGCCTCCCACCGTCTTGTGACAGAAGCCCGTCCGCAAAGCCAAACCATCTCGCAAGACCAAACTCGGAACAAGATATATCTAGGCACCCATAAAAGCCTCCACCGTGCAACCCAAAGCAACATGGACGTCTCGAGATTGGAATTGATGCAACAACCGTGATTCGTAGCCCAGCCGTTAATCATAATTTCTTGCTTTCCCTTTCTTTTCGACGCCCGGATAGCATGTGTAAGATTGAAACTCCGCCTCTTGTTTCGCCCGCGAGCACGAGAGGCATACCAAGTGCATCAGATCGAACGCAATGGCGCCGTGGCAGTCATCGTAATATGTCGCGCAAACGGTGTGCTAAGAACAAAGACTAGGACAGGTTGGTGTACAAATGTCGAAAGGTATCTGGGTAGCCGAAAAGGTGGTAAACGAGATCGTGGGTTGGCGTCGCAAGGCGGATTCGGCGTCGGGATTCGGGGGAGGGCTTAGCGATGTGTCATCGGCTAACGACGCCCAAACCTGCTGCACAAGAAGTTCGTATTGATTCTGTAAGGGTGTAGCGGTGACTACTTCTAGGTTTTCTTGGTGCGAGGAGACGCTGGTCTACCGCCGCCAAGGCTGGGAACGTACTTTTGTTTCTTTTCGGCCGGTTTCAGAATCTAGGAGCAAAAGATTAGCATACGCGTAATGCAAGTCGGGAGCGCGGCAGAGGCTTACCTGGAAGGAGCATAGTAGACTCTCGTCGACGCTCATCATTGCACCCGCATTGTCGAATTCACCACAGTAATTCGGCGCGCTGAACAGGGTGACGAGTTGGCGCTTGGAGAAGAACTCGTAGCCATCTTCTACAACTTGATGGGCACGGCAAATGAGATCCATGTCGTGCTTCTGCAGGAAACGCGAGACTACGTCCGGTCCGAATGTGAAGCTCACACCTCTGTCGTTCTCGCTCCATCCAGTGATGTCCTTGTCAGGGTCGGACCATAGGAGATCGCAGAGTAGTCCACAATCCGGAATCTACATGCGTCAGTTTCTGCACTCGCAGCTCAAAAATGGCCAAGATCTAGTGCGGTGTACTCACATCCGTAGGTCGCATGACGCGCCTGATCTGCTCCATGGAGTTTAGGTCTGGGCTTAGGCCACCGTGCATGGTGAAGATTTTCTCGTCGATGATAGCGGCGATTGGCAAGCAGTTGAAGCAGTCGGTAAACGTCTTCCATAGCTTGATGTTGTATCTTCGCTTGCACTCGTCGTAGAAACCATAGATGCGGTTGATGGAGGCACACTCGTGGTTACCGCGGAGGACAAAGAAGTTCTCGGGATACTTGATTTTGTATGCAAGCAGGAGGCAGATGGTCTCGAGAGACTGCTTGCCACGATCGACGTAGTCACCTAGGAAGAGGTAGTTGGCCTCAGGGGGGAATCCGCCATACTCGAACAGTCGGAGTAGATCATAGTACTGGCCGTGGATGTCACCGCAAATCTAGCCAATAGGTTAGCAGCCTGTCCGAAGGCAATTCACGCGTCCTATGGCACTGCACGGGGTACACTGACCTTTATCGGCGCCTCGAGCTCGAGCAGGATGGGTTGTGAGATGAAGATCTCGCGTGCCTTGGTGCACAAGTAGCGAATCTCAGTTTCAAGTAGCTGAACCTGCTTGCCGGGTCTGCTACCGCGGACTTCAAGCAGTCTATCTATGATAGAGTCCAGGTCCACCTCGTTTTCTGCCATAGCTGTGGCTTGCTACGGGCGGTGCTGCCGGTGGCTGGAGGAGCAAGGAAAAACCTCGCGTGGGTAGGGTGAGGGAGGCGTGCGCGTCAAGTTGCAACTATTTTGTCCTGCACGATACACGTTAGCAAGGCTCGCTCGTTTCATCAGAAGAGTTGGGCAGCTTTCGTGTGACGCAACGAGTCCAACCTGGCCAACAGGAGCGTGCGCTGCAAGACGGCTCGGGCGATGCAAGGCGTCTAGGGCTGTCGCAAAAAACAAAAACATGAACGTACCTCTGGTCTCAGTGAGTCGGGCTAAAGGGGTCGCGGGGGGGTTGAGGGCGGTGGCAGTGTGGGTGATGGCTCAAAGCCCCTCAGAGATGCCTGGCGGCAGAGATGGGATCACGCGACGGTAAGGCCGGGTGTGTGAAGCGCTCGTCAATTGTGCACGTTGGGGTTGGAGGTGTTGGTGCGGGCTGCGTGGTGGGCAGTTGAGCGCGCGAGGGGAGCGGGGCGCTGGAGTTGTTGTGGCCGGAGCGAGCCTGTCGAGTGGGATGCTGAGAGTGACTTCACCGCCTGGTCTGGTGGGGACGGCGATGCTCGCGACTGAAGTTGCGGAGAGGACGTACGACTACTCGGAGCTGCAGAGCCAGAGCAGGGTAGGGCTAGAGGATGCGTTTAGCGGGAGCTGTCGTGAGGGCTGTGTTGCGAGTGCTGGAGGGTCGCGGCGCCTGAGTTTTTGAGGTTTCGACCTTACTTAGGGCACGGCTTGGCAAAAACGCTAGGCCCGGTTAGACGTCGCGGCCAAAGACAGAGGAGGAAATGGATGGAAAAGAGGTCCTTACGGGCTTTGGCAGTGTGTCAGTGAATAGCAGCTTGGAAGCATGTGTGCACAGTAATGCAGCGGCGCAGGCCTTGGAGTGAGCAGCCCTCTCTTCGCGCCATGGCAAACTTGCCGCTCGCTAGTAGGCTGCTCATTACAAAACGTCTTCACCCAACGCCTCCATTTCTGCCGACCATTTATAGCCCCCATTACAGTATGCATTGCACCTGTCACTAACTTGGTTTTCGCCAGCTCAGCTTCCCCCAATTCTATTTTGCAGTTCCCTAGTTTACTCTGAAGAACGAATTACTCCTCTTGTATGCGGAGGAGGGTATATAGCAGCAGCGGTTAAGGTGCCAGATCTAGGCTCGGGCGCTGCCTGTCATCAAACAACACGGAGGCTGATATGCGACATTTCCTGTTATGCGCCAGCAGTTGGAAGCTCAGTACACGGCCGCGATCTGGCCTTTTTACAGCATCTTGGGAAGTCGACTCACAATGCTGCTATGCTGATTCGTGGCGAGTCAGACTATATCCCGCAAGCAGCCGCAAGTAGTTGAACAGAGTCTCACGTGCACCACCTACCATTCTCATAGCCTTCATACAGCGAGTGCTGAGCGCCACAGAATCCAGACATCACGTCAGCCTTGTCGTCATTTTGTGGCACCAAGTGATTGCAACAAATCTCCTTCTCATATTGATGCACACATCTACCGAAAAGAGATACACTCCTCGTTATGCATGTAATCAACCAACGCCCCTCCTCTTCCATCTTGCCCTCTGCGCCAGAAAGACCATGTCGCATCTGAAGTGGAGAACATGGCCGTTACTCATTGCCTGAAGAACGCCGGGATATGATTGTAGTGCAAAACAACGCTTCTTCAATGAAAAGTGGACTGGTGATGCTAAACAAAACGGAAATGCAAGCACGCCGTCCTTTTGGGGGAAGTGGGGAATGCCGTCGACCGAAAATGAAAGAGATATTAGAGAGAAAAGACGTATCGACACAACGAGCTCCTTAAAGTCCGACATCCATCCAACGCCATGCAAAAAACTCTACAGAAAAGCAAGTAAAAGTGCCACGAGGCAATGACTAACAAGTACCAGAGCTATGGAAATGGCTCGTCGCAGAAATGAACTGTTCTTTCGGGGTATCGCAAAAGGGATTAGATCAAGGTGGTTTTGAATTCACCCAAGTGTACGGCCAGCAGAGACTATACTTTGGCTGGGTGTCCGAGGTAGTGTCGGTCGAATGGTTGGGGAGCTGTACCCACGATCCGAAGGAAAGCTGGTTACCGACGTTGTATCCCAGCTTTCGTCTCCTAAAGCGCTTAGCCATGTGTTGCCAAAGTCCTGTCGGAGAGCCTCGATTTTCTTCTTGTACAAATCGTTGCTGATGTCAAATTCGGCTTCTTGTGGCTCTGGCACCTTGCCCTTGGTTGTCGTGTCGATGGGTGGTAACTGTTGATGGCTTGTATGAGTGTCGTCAGTGACGGCTCGTTCATCTGGACCTGTCTTCTTTGTAGGATCTCCCGAGACTTGTCCATTCAAGGGCTCTTCGAAGCGAGGCTTGTCTCTCACCAGCGATGGGCTGGCAGGCCGCAGCATCTTGGGAGTTTGCCCAGGAGCCATGTCATCATAGGCGAGGCCAGTGAGACCAGACCCGGATGACTGTTGCGCCGCATCGCTCTGAGAAAGTTCAACAATTCTCCGCTTAGGCCCCTTCTTCTTCTTTTGTGATCCTAGCCCACTACGCCCACTCTTAGTGCGATGCAGTGAGTTTGTGCGTTTCAATGCCTCGGGTATATCAGACGGGGTGTCAACAGCTTTGACCACTTTCGGGGGAATGTGTGCTGGGGGAGGTATATCATCTTCGGGTGGAGGCTTGACCACAGGGACGCCCAGCAATTCGGGTGCTCGATCAACGAGCTGTTTCTTTTCGCCATTGGTGGGTCCCGTAGAGTCGATGACAATGTCCTCAAAATAGCCCGGCGTTTTACGGAAGAGGTTGAATATCGTTATCCGATAGGTGGCGTGTGTCTTGCAAAACGGGTTTCGGTACACGTAGATGTCAGAAATCTCAGGCACGCAAGTAAGACGTGCGACTTCCGTGGGGTCGGTCAACTTGTTATCCCTGAAATCGACGCGCTGGAGGGACAGCAGTCGCTCGATACCAGCCAATGATGTCAAGCGATTCGAACGAAGATTGAGGGTTGAGATTGCCGGTAGTGGGTTCCGTCCCAAGGAGTGCAGGCTTTCGATCATACAGTTAGAAAGATTCAAAGCGCGCAGACAGGTCAGGGTAGCTAAACTATCGGGAATCTCAGCAAAAAGATTGGCCGACAGGTCAAGAGACTGCAATGTATTTGCCAAGGGAGCAAGGCTAGTAGCCGAGATGTTAGTGAGAGCATTGTCAGCCAGGCTTAGATGTCGCAAGAAGCGCCATTTAGTTGTGGGAAACCAGCCCAGGGATAGAAGGTTGGAAGAACTGCCCCTTGGAGTAGTAGTCGACCGAATGCTGGAGCCTGAACTTCCAGAAGAGCGCCGGAAATTTGGTGCACTCGCGCTGTTCCTGTTGTAAACTTGAGTCGACCCGTGGCGAGAGCTGGCTGGTCTTGTTGGTGATGTACTGCGCTGGCGCTGATGAGTCTTCACATAATTGTCCCGTACCGATGCACCCCTCGGACTTGTGCTCTGTCTGCCAGGCGCAGTGGGAGACGATGGTGGCGAGTCTGATCTAGCCATCTGGGCATGCTTTCCAGAAGGACTTGCAGTAGTCCAGGGGGCGGAAGGTGAAGGGGGTGCTTTGGCAGATCGTCTGCGACGCTTGTCAATATCATCTAGTACGATGTTGATGATAAGATCAGCGGGGTCATCAACTCCTGCTCGCTTGACAGTGAGGCTGCGCAGGTTCTCGGCCAATCGGTCCCAACCGTAGAACTGGCGGAAGTCAACATCGTAAATTTCAAGAGCGGTAACGTTCTTGAATGCGAATAGAGGCACAGCGGTGTCGAACGGAAACTCCTCGTACCCCGCGATTAGACGAGCTTTGTGGTCTGGAGCGAGTCTCAAGCACGGTATCTTGGTAAATGCAGAGTAGAGATACCTCAGGTCTTCCTGGAGCTGTGCCTTCTGCTTTTCTGCCTTGGCTGCACTGTTGGATCCAAGACGAAGAGACGACCAAAGTGAGGACATGCCCGACATCACACTGCGAACGCTGGAGACTGAGTGTATTGAGTCGCGGTCAGAAGACTTGGTCTTGTTCCGCTGGGTGTTGCTGAGGAAGGACACGTAGTTTGTGGGTGAGGCATCAGTGTGTATGTTTTCAAGTCGCACGTTCATCGGGCCCACGGGTATGTTCAGGTCTTCAAAGCGCGAGAGCAAGTAGAATAGATGGTGGGGAGTCAGTGTGAGCTTCGCGGGCTTTATCGATTGTGACGTGAATGTCAGAGAGGGCAGCGACAGAGCTGCGGCCCAGACACTCGAAGAGGAGGAGGAAGGAGGACTGGTGGGGCCCGTGGGCGAAGAGGGAGAGGCTACGGTGCCTTGTCCATGTTTCGGTGCTTGTCGCTGTAATTGGAGAGCATTTGCAAGCGCTTTTTCATGGGTTCGTACAAAGTACGCCAAGTTCTAGGACAGAGTCAATGTATGTTTCAGCGCCCAGAAATGCGTCTTCATACTCTTATAAACAGCTGGCCATCCTCGGTGTCCATGATTTGAGACTAGCAGACAACGACTGCATGTAGGGCTCTGCGGTGGTGTATATCGGGGACGTGGACTCGGTCGAGGAAGAAGGCCCTCTGAAACTTTGTGTCGCGGGGTGTTTGCGAAGCGCCTCCGCCGTGAGACACGGCCGTCTAAGTGCTTGGACAGTCAGCAGCGAAGACAGCATAGAGCGAGCACATGGACAGTCATTGCGAGGAGTGATGTTTAAACATGGCAAAAAAACTCTTGGCGGTGGGGGATTGGAGAGACTCGACGTACAGTATAGGACTCCGTGCGGTGCCCTAGGCAAGCAGACCTGAGGGACGAGCAACGATGGCAGACGGGCAGATAATATGCAGCGGCAGCGTAGGGAAATGAGCCCACTGGTGGCAGGAGGTAGCACAGAACGAGCAGGCCCAAGAGGTGTGCTTCAGAGGTGGGCCAAAGAGAGGTGCAGCTGCGATATGCAGTAGACGGCCGAGGGCGCCCAGGATAGCGATACTGGCCGAAACAGGCCACCCGAAGCGCACAATCGCCGAGGGTGCAGGAGGTAAAATGAGAGACGGCGCCTTTTCGCGCAGGGGGGCGTGGTGTCGACAACAATAACAACAGCAGAAGAAAGGTGTACAGTATGAGAAGACAGGCCTGGTGGGGAGGCGGCCGTATGTCGAGAAATTAGATGCGGCTGCCAGCTTTAGGTCGCCCGGACGATCTGGAGGGGCTAGCGAGGCGGGCTTGCAAAGGCCAACGGCGTTTCCTGGCGTTTTCCTATGTGCTCGACCACTCTGCGCACTCTGTGAAGAGAAAGACGACCAGGGCCACGATGGACAATGTCGCGGTGAGGGATGGGCACACACACTCGCAGCCCAAAGGCAGACGACGGGTCAAGAGGGCATGGCATGGAGCGCTCGCTGGTCGACCAACCCACTTGGGACGAGACCCCTACGGCGCGTGATTGGCCAGATGGCCGTGGCGCTAGTGAATGCTCCTGCCCTGGCCCCTGTACCTTGGATCTCTCCCACGGCTACCAAAACATCGCTCGAGTACTGTATTATCGTTGCCCTCCATGCTCCTACTCCCTACTTGGCGAACGTCCCCCTGAGGTTAGGCACATGTTGGGCTTCGAATGCCTTTTCCGAATCAATCACTGTTCAGCTACAGCTACAGCTACAGCTGAGCAACGTAGAGAGCGTTTCCACAGTGCTTCCAGACTAACCATGCCGCACAGGAAGAGGTGCCACGAGCAAGGTCGTCTTGTGCTAGATAGACGCCTGCGACCATGGTTCTCGCGAAGATTGCGGCTTTGCCGAGCAGGGCCTGCAGAAACGCTAGCCACCATGAGACTCGACGCTTATTGCTCGGGCCAATATGGGACGAAAGCAACTCCCATCCTGCCCCGGCCTGACGCCATTCTGCTGCACACGACAAAGACATGTTGCTCCCCTCACCGCACGCTATCTTGCTGAAAGGGCTCCCTTTGCGCCTCGAGGCGGCGGAAATAGCAGAGCCCAGTAATGCTCTCTTACTTCGACTGGTTGGCCAAACACCACCGTCCAAGCTGTTGCAAGTCACACACAGCGTGCGTCGCGTCACATGAGAAAACGCTGAACGTGCGACCGCGCGCGCGAGGCCAACTTCGTGCATCTTCGACCCGCGTTTCCCATCACCAACCCTTAGCTTTACGCCCGCTGACGCCCGCAAGACAATACATTACCAAGTGCTCATCTGACTGCTGCTGCTAGCGAAAGACATGGCTATATTCTACACAAGCTGCGGCTATCGCGGGGCTGCAGGCTGATACGCACAGGGAGTGATACGAGGGCTTGGATATCAAGCACCAGTCGTAGCGCCCGAGTCTTGCGGTCCTTCTCCGCCAGCCGGAGCCATACAAAACAATCCTTGGCGTGAGAGTGTGGTGCACAGACCGGGTAGTCCAGCAAGGGTCCTTGCCCGCGGATTTGACGGCGTGGAATTAGCTGCGAGATGACATGTGCCAACAGCTTTCGGGAGCAAGACGTTGGGCACACAGAAGCGAATATCAAACGTCGAGCTGGTCTGTAGATCAGCCCATCTCCAGCTTCCAGGGGCTCAACAAACACTACGTTCAATTTAACGTCCATTCTTGCTCGCATCATCTTGCAATCCCCCACTTGCCTGTTCTGTGACGAACAGAATACAGCACTTGCGCATCCCTGCAAGCCGCATGGCCGACCCCTCAACACCATGCCCCACTATCGCAACTGCATACAACTACAACCACTTGGCAGCACCTCACGATGCAGCTGGCTGCCACACCTTCCGCTGGCCAGGTTCGCTGTCTGCCTGCATCAACTCACACCATTTTTCAACACGATCAGGCTACAAGTCAAGGATGATGAAACTGCATCAACCCAAGCATTGCAACGAAAGGCCAACAGTCGTCAATTTCACTGAGATTTGCTCTGCCGTGTAACGGGACGTGGCATGCATCGGCTTTGCTCGCTGCTCACCGCCAGATTTAACCGAGCAAGCGAACCGCCCAGTTGGCTCCGTGGGGTGCGCTACATCTGAGGCGTAACGCTTCAACCCGTGTAGCCTCATCGCTCTGTCAGCAGGGATAGGATACCAACACCATACACATCCCTGCTTGTGATGCAGGCTCGATACGAGATGCTACGCGGATGATGTATGGCTTAGCTCTGTGCCTCTGCGGAATCTTCACCCATATCGGAAGACCATGAGGGACAGTCGTCGAATGACCTTTTGGCGGTGAAGCCGTACTTTTCTTCAAGACTGCCCAGCGTGATACCAACCCAGCGGTTCTTTCTAGGCCACGGCCGGGATACTACCAACCAGACCACAGGTGTCGTCGAGGAAAGTTGACAATCCCTCGGTATTTGACATCATTGTGCATGCTGTGTTTCGAAGGGCTCCACATAGCCTATTTATTGGGTACTTTTCCATCACCAATCAGACGTAGATCATAAGTGGGCCAATCGGCTGCCAACTCGTCAGTATCCCAGCCTTGCCGATACTGTGTGATATTCGACTAAGAACCATTCGCAACTCCACACTAATGATACGCCAGTGGTGTCTAAGAGCAAGAGACGTTATATAAACTCTCCAGGACAGATTACAAAAATATACCCTAGAATCACCTACGGGGCTATCGCTAATTCTTTGGAGATACTTTGAGTGTAGAGATGTGTTTAAATTGAGTCTTCCACAATTCTTTGATTATTTACTTCGATACTAGAGAGCGTTGTAAAGAAAAGTTTTTTGTGCTTGCACACTTGCTTCCTCTTGGTGCCCATAGCCAGGATACGTTAATCATTCCCTAACTGCCCGTGTAGATAATCAGGCCACCGTTTCCATAGGCAGGGGCAAAACCTATTACCCGATCAGTGGTTGCTCTTCGTATTGTCTTTGAGCCACGAAGACTTACCAGAAGTATCTTGCTGGGGACGCGTGCAATGATCAATGGTCCACAATACACCCACAGCGACATGCTCACTATAGCCAAGCCTGTTAGCCACGTCCCTTTGTGATACCCTGGAGCATCAGATAAAACTCACCACCAGCTGCTTGCGCCGATCCCGTGGCCTTCAATTCTGACATTGCCTGTACTGCACATGATAATGGAGCGCTGTGAATCTGGGACCCCACACTGTCTCTGTCCCAGGCTTCTCAGGTAGTTGTAGCATGCAATTGCGTTGTTGACGTTGCCGTAGTTGTTGGAGCATCTGGGATCTACCAGGATCGACATCTCGTCACTGGCTGAAACAGAGTCAGATTCGTCTTGGTCTTCGACTGAGAATACATACGGACGTCAGGCTTTCCGAGAGAGTACAGGTACTCGGACGTCAGGCCGAGAGACTGTAGAGATGGCATGCCAGGACCGGGAATGACTTCAGGTACTTCTGCGCGGACTTCGACGGCAGCTGGGGCAGCAGACGCCAACGACACGAGTCCCATGACGAGGGCGGGAATTTGCTTGGTGGAAACCATTGTAAATGATATTGCTTGAGGGTATCGTTGCTGATATAGATTCATTATGGGAGGAGAGCTTGCACGTCTTTATACTTGATCGAACTTCAAAATGCCCCTTGAAGTTCGTCGTAAAACTGTACAATTAGTAAGTACCTCATGTCATTACGTCTTGTAGGATTCAGGAATGCGTTTACGAGGCAGAAAGCAATATACCTACGCTAACTACCAATGCACCGAAGCTGACTGCGTGAGCAATAAGCTCGTGACAATATACTTCGCTACGCAGTCTTGCGGTATAGTTTTACTCGTTTCGGTCGGGTCGTTCGGCCCATCGCTCTTCTTACAGAGCATTCATCTATTTCGCTTACGCGCCCCACTGTGACACCGCGACTGTGTAACACCACGACCAGGTCCTGTGAATGCGTGCAGCCCATGAAGGAGTACGATGACACAGAGAAGGTAAAGTATATTCATCCGCTTCGTATACGGCGCGCCTTACATGTTGGTAGTATCTGGAATAGGTAGGTAGATGTTGAGAAGCGTGGCGCACCTGCCGGGTACCTGTAAGCTTACCGGAAGCGAACTGTATAAAGCTGCATCTTGCGAGAAATAGAGCCTCCCGACCACCTGAGACAAGGCCTACCAAAGAAGACAATATCTAAGGAGCAATGTCAGCTCAACTCTGGGTGCAGCCAAGGCCTTGGTAGTCCGAGGAACGAAGTCACCAGATGACAGCTGAAGCAACGCCGTAGGCGGCCTTAGAGGGGCAAATTTCCATCAAGTTCAAAGTCTAAGGTCCTGAGAGAGTTTACCATAAGCCCCGTAAAAGAGCTTGTCAGACCCGTAGAGTTGTTGATGTGCAACATGAAGTTCTCGAAAGAGCTGGCTGACTTACTTATTCCAAGAGAGCTAGCAAGCGGTAGAAATGGTAAGATTGAGAGCTTCGGCCTTCTCAGGCCTTCTCCAATCAACGCTACAGGCTATTCTCGGACACGAGCCTGCTGTTCATCAAGTCAGGTCAACTTTACAATAGTGCTTATCCTTAGCCGTTTTTGTACGCGTTGCAAATGATGAGTTGAAAGAAGAACCGCATACGCCTTTGGGTGGACTCATCAGCATTCATCAGTCGAACCAGATCGAAAGAACTGTTCATGTCAGAAGTATGGCTACCATCTACCAGAACGCGGAGAAGGTTGGAATCTGGCCAGGTGGAGAGGACTTGACGAGAAAGATTGCGATGCGTCCTTCCATCAGGTTCGTCATATACGCTAGCAATCCTTCCTCTTCGCATCTCTCTGGTGGGAGAATACGGCCATGTTCCATTCGAATAATTCCCTGAAAGACCTGGTTTCGGAGCCGTTGGGTGATGTGGGAAGCCGACCTTTTCTTTAAGTTCATCATATTCTGTAGTGACTGCCGGATCCAATGGACACTTTTCGTCGTGCTACCTCCCTAGCACGAGAGAATTAGTAAGTATTCCTCGCGCCAGGAGATTCATATAGCCAATTCGTCTTTGCTAATGTTGTGTCAAATAGGTGCTGCCAACAGAGAAGACAAAGTCAACCCCAGAACTAAAGAAGGTGGCGAAGATCCCTCACAGCCGGCCTGTGAAAAATCCAACCTTTGGTAAAAGCGAAGAAGTCACTCCTCACTGACTTTAAGAGACGTCTTATTCCCTGTGCTATTCCCGCACCGAACTAGTGGAAATAGGAGGTTCCCTAGGTGTAGTTTCCACAAGTAAACGAGATGTATCCTGTCGTCCCGAGATATAGGTCTATGACCTAAAAGGAAAGAGATAGCAGATTGAAGGACAATTGAAGACTCGGGGTTGGGAACGGCCTTAAACCCACGGATATACAACTCTCAAACGCGAGGCTCGCATCGCGGAAAATCAAAAAGCATTACGTCACCCCCCATCTCTCGCTAACGACACAACGCGTCAAACTACCATACGCCACAGCTTTTTCGACAAATCATACCCTTGATGTTTTCATTTCGCCGGAAAAGGGCGAGTGGGCTCTAACCGGCGTATCGATGATGCTTCGGTTCGGGGCGCGAGACGGAGTTTTCGTCCACCAAAAGATGCTTAAACCCGGAATGGCATCAAGGCTTGTCAAAGCTTGTGTCCTGAGGCGACTCGCCGCGGAATACGAGTGTTTATATTTGCGGTCCTTCTCCGGAAATAGGAGTCGGTAACGCAGGTTGCCAGACAACAACAACATACCCTCCCTTCTTCTTGCCAGATTACACGGAAGATCTGCAGACGCGAATTGGGGCGAAACAATTCGAAGTACTAGTCATCGCAGCAACTACTCGCTCTCTGACCGCTTGTCTCACATCCCCTGCTACTATCACGATTCTCATACCCATCTATGGAGAATAAAAGACAAGCACAAGCGCGGAAACAATCACGGAGTCGCTCACGATCCCGTCCACGGCGATCTGATGGTCCACACCTACATCGAATACTCTCAAGCCAGTTCCCAGATGACCACTCCGTCTATCATCATGAAGACGGCGAGGGAGTACATGTCGATGACGATGCAAGATCACTTCACAAGACTGAAACTGAGCGACGAGAGATAGAAACATCGAGCAGCGACGATGACGATAGTTTGAATGACGTGGATGAAAAAGAAGAAGCATCAAACGAGAAGGACGATGCTGCGCATGCGGATGAGAGGACACGTGAGGAGATTAGAGGTGGCATCCCGAACGAGCATGATGTTGAAGCGTCAGCTCCAACGCTGGAGAAGAAGACAACGACGAGATCCACGAGAGACCCAAATCTTGTGAGTGCTCCAAGGGAGAGAGAACTTTGCTCGATCGCAGGATCCGCTAACAATAATAAGGTGACATGGGATTCGGTCGATGATCCTGCAAACCCGAAGAACTGGTCCACGAAGCGCAAGTGGGCTGCTACATTCATTGTATCTTCCTTCACGCTCGTTTCACCAATCTCATCTTCAATGATCGCACCTGCTCTTACATCGATCAGCGCCGAGTTCAACATCAAAAGCGACGTTGAAGCAGCTCTCACACTATCCATCTTCGTCCTGGCATATGCGATAGGACCGTTGTTTCTTGGACCGCTATCTGAGATCTACGGAAGAGTGCTTGTCCTGCAGCTTTCAAATCTGTTCTATCTGGCATGGAACTTGGGCTGTGGATTTGCACAGAGTTCTGGACAACTGATGGCGTTCCGGTTCTTCAGTGGTTTGGGCGGGTCGGCGCCATTAGCTATCGGTGGTGTGAGTACCTTCAGCTCTGTCTATTTCTCTCATCTCTGACTTTATAATGACTAGGGTCTTCTCAGCGATTGTTTCTTGCCCGAGCAGCGTGGCAGAGCGATCTCAATTTACAGTCTCGCACCCCTACTAGGACCAGCAATCGGACCTATAGCCGGGGGTTTCATCAGTGAAAACACTACATGGCGATGGTGTTTCTATGCCACAACCATCTTCACTGCTATTGTGCAGTGCTTCGGCTTTTTCTTCTTGCAAGAGACGTATGCGCCGAAACTGTTGGCTTGGAAGCGAGATAGAATGCGCAAAGAGACGGGCAATATGGAATTGTATACCGAATTTGATCGCCCTGATCGAACACTCGCCACTACGATCAAAGTCGCATTGCAGAGACCGTTCAAGCTACTAGGCACACAGCCGATTATTATCGTCCTCGCTTGTTACATGGCTTACCTCTATGGCCTTATGTATCTCATGTTGTCAACATTCCCCGGGCTTTGGACTATACGGTATGGCATGAGCGTCGGCATCGGCTCTCTCAATTTCATCTCAATGGGCTTGGGCTTCTTCCTCGGGACACAGATCACTGCTCCTCTCAATGATGCGCTCTACCGTCGTCTCAAGAAGCGCAATAACGGCGTGGGGAAACCAGAATTCCGCGTTCCACTCATGGTGCCGGCATCTCTACTCGTTCCCATCGGACTTTTCCTCTACGGCTGGAGCGCTCAAAAGCATACCCATTGGATCGTGCCAAACATCGGAGCGTGTATATTCTGTGGAGGAGTAATTGTGGGGTTCCAGTGCATCCAGACGTATCTGGTTGACTCGTACACAAGGTATGCTGCCAGCGCTATTGCGGCAGCAACGGTATTGAGGTCTTTGGCTGGATTCGGCTTCCCCCTATTCGCTCCAGCGATGTATAGAGCCTTGGATTTTGGTTGGGGAAACAGCTTGTTGGGTTTCGTTGCGATTGCGCTCGGTGTTCCGGCGCCATTCATGTTATGGAAGTTTGGCGCGACGCTGCGGGCAAAGAGTAAATTCGCCGCAGGGTAGCACATAAATACCACCGGAGGCTACTGGAGATAGGGTTGTGATGTACATTAATGTTTGGACATGTCCATGTTCTGGAATTGAGCATCATTGAGGCTCTTACTTGAACAAGCTACTTGCCTAAACCCCAGATATCAGGAATCTGTGCCCTTTCAGATTCAGTATTAAATTCTCCATTTCTTAGAATGTGCGAATTTGAGAGCAATTGGAGTATGTTGGGTGAATGGAAGGATACTTCGTAAGTCGATGCAGCGGTCAGTCGACGGTGGTCCAAGCTCTCAGAAGCTCAAGTTCACATCCCGAACCTTAAGAAAAGTCTCACGCAACATCAGTTCACCGCATTACGTCGCCAACACCCATTGAAGCCTCCCACTATTCGCACACATAATGTCTACGCCATGTAGATGTGCCTCTGGGGCTGCAAGAGCATTCAAAAGCAGCGCGGCACCCCGCATCGCGCACCGAACGTTTGCTTCATACAGCCCGAACTCAACACGGACTGCACCAGGAGGGACGACAGCATGTTTAAGGGAAGGACAGAAAGCTATTCTTGAGAGTGGGAAGGCGACAGGGGGCTTTCAAGGACAATTACGATCATTTTCGCAGTCAGCATCACGCAGCAAGCTCAAGACGATAGACCAGATCCGCGCGAGGAACAAGGGCGGAGTACGTTACATATATCCTCAATTAAGCTGTATCCCAGCTTTAGCCTCTAGGAGCATTTTTCAGGCGCTGACCTTGACCCCAGCCATTCAACCTCACAGCCGCCATCCTCTTCGTTGCAGCTGGCGGAGGACTATGGGCCTACTTCACATACGAAAAGGAGCGCATGGCGCGGAAGCGGATAGCGGACCAGACAAAGGGCATGGGCAAGCCTAAAGTCGGAGGGCCATTCCAACTCATTGACCAGAACGGGAACCCATTCGGAAGCGAAGACATGTTGGGCAAATACTCATTGGTACGCGGTGCCCTTCACATAACATCAAAGAAGCTAACACGAAAGTGCGCAGGTCTACTTCGGATTTACACACTGCCCCGACATCTGCCCCGACGAGCTCGACAAGATGGCTCTTATGTACGACAAGGTGACCGAGCAATGCGGAAAGGTGCTCCTCCCACTCATGGTCACTTGCGATCCGGCGCGCGACAACCCCAAGGTGCTCAAGGAGTACCTTGCAGAGTTCCACCCAGACTTTATTGGGTTGACGGGCGAATATGACAAGATCAAGGAGACGTGCAAGGCGTACAGGGTGTACTTTAGCACGCCGTCGAGTGTGAAGCCGGGACAAGATTATCTAGTCGACCATAGTATTTACTTCTATTTGATGGGTAAGTTAAGAATTGCTACTTTGTGGGGAATTCGGAAAGCTGACATCATGCGACAGACCCAGAAGGCGATTTCGTCGAAGCTATCGGACGCAACTTCACCGCCGACCAGGCCGCGAAGGTGATTTCAGATCACATCAAGGATTGGGAGAAGCCGCTCAAGAAGGAGAGTCGATGGCAATGAACGTCTCTGATTTATTAACATAGACCTTTAAAAGGGGATATACAGTGGATCAAGCTGGACTAGCCCGTTGTACTTTTTGTGTACTACTACGCACTTCTTGTAGATTGTAAGGCATATGTAGAATATTGTACAACTACTGCGTCACAACATACAGTTGTACATATCCTCTCCTGCGATGATCCTTCTTAGTTCGATCATGCTCTGAACGCCATATGGATGTGAGGCCCAAGTAACGATAGGCTGCTGTTGCTCGCCCTCATCATTACCGTACCCGGCTTTCACATGGACGAATGCACACTGCACTAAGCGCTAAACTCTCACAGCACTACCTTGAGAAGAGAAGCACCAGTCCAGGAGAATTGTTGTAAACAGGTGTCTTCCGTAGGCTATCTGACTGAATATGGAGCCTATCTAATTCTGGCGGTATACCTGAGTTGCTCCTGCCTCCGCTAGAGCTTCGGTACCTTTTACCTTCACCTCACTGGAAACGCGCACAGAAGCGGAGCTTAACACAGGGTGAAGTAGAATTGTCCTGCTTCGACTGTTGAATGACAATAAATAGCGCCCGATCATCACTCGCCTCCAATCTCGACCCAGAGCTACAGCTTTCTTCGCAACCCTTCGACCAAAGTGGCAGGTGCTGAAGACCGCCCACAATGCCTCCTAACACCGAAGATTTCGATCGCCACGTTGAGTCTTCCACTCAAAGGTACCCCAGAAGGTGAGTACCATCATCTATCGTGGCAGCGATCGACGGGCTCAAATATCAATTGGAAGTACCTTGATTAACAACAGGCAGGGGTGAGAGCATCGAGTATGAGAATTTCTACGACAGGCCTGCGCATGCTTCCACGAAAGGCGAAAAGGAACTCGACCCCGAGCGCACTCAGTTTGATAGCGAGTACCATGACGACTACGCCATGGACCCTTTCAAGCCCTTCGACAACCTGCCCGAGGAGAGCTCGAAGTTATTGACCTTCCGGGCCCTCTTTGTCGGTCTCTGCTGCGGCGCTCTCGTCAATGCTTCCAATGTCTACCTTGGACTTAGGACCGGGTGGACCTTCACAGCCAACCTCTTCGGTGTATGCTGCGCCCCCACAAAAGCTCAGGTTGCAGTAGCTAAAGACCATAGGCCATTGCCGGCTTCGCTATCCTCAAATCGTTCAGCACATTCCTTCCAGAGACGTCGTTCCTCGGTGGTAGCTTCGGTCCGCGGGAGAACAACATCTGTCAAACTACTGCCATGGCTAGCAGTGGTTTGACGCACGGTACGTAATGTCAATCTGCGTACTACAGGCAGCGCATACGCTGAATTGGTACTCCAATCCCTAGTGTTCATCTCCGCTTTTCCCGCGATGTACCAGCTGAAGTTGCTCGGTGAATCGCCTCAGCAAGACTACCTGAAGATCGTAGCTTTGACTGCGGTATCAGGATACTTTGGCTACTTCTTTGCTATACCGAGTAAGTTGTCTGCGGGAGGAAGCTAGATGAATGTCTCTAACACAAGTTCAAGTGCGCAGGTTCTTCATCGTGTACGTTGCACGCGAACTCCAATCGGTCTTCCCTACCGCTTCTGCCACGGCCATGACCATTCGGTTCATGCACCTAGCCACCACGGGTGAGGCGATTGCTAAGATGAAGATGACGGCCCTTTCCATTGCCTTTGGGGCTGCTCTGATTCTCCGTGTCGTCTCACAGTACGCATTAGGTATCCTATACGATTGGCACGTCTTCACCTGGATCTACATTTGGGGCAATTACAACAACGGTGCCCTTGCGGTAGAAAACTGGGGTTGGTACATTGAATGGACTCCCGCTTTTATCGGTTCCGGCATGCTTGTCGGCCTAAATGTATCCGCCTCATTCTTGGCTGGTTCAATCATCGCCTGGGGGAGTACGTAACGCTCACAGACAAAGTACAAGACGTTACTGACTTCGTACCTCAAAATTTAGTCATTGGACCTGCCCTGGTACACAACAATATGGCCTGGGGCATCGACTTGGGCAAAGGAGATCCAAAGTGGGAAGGACATATGACGTTTACATCTCTCGGGTTGGCGGCCTGCAATAAGGACCACCCCTCGCCTCGCTACTGGATCCTGTGGCCCGGCGTCCTTCTCTTGATCGCCGTCTCCTTCACCGAGCTGGCCCTCCAATGGCGTATACTGTACTTCGCCGGCAAAGCGCTTTGCCGCGGCCTGGCAACGGGCGTGTATACTCTTGGCCGTGCAATGGGGAAAGAGCTCAACGCCTTTCAGCACTTCGGTTCTCAATCTGATGAGGACTATGTGGAAGACTCTGCTACAGACGATGAGCAGGTCAAGATGTGGATGTGGCTCCCTGGCCTTGTCCTGTCTATCATCTGCATCTGCATTGTCCTGAAGGTCGAGTTCGATATGGTACGTACGATGGCGATGCAAATTGTCTTGGGCGGTTCTGGAGTACCTCCGTTATTCTCGAGATACTATGCGAGGTGTTTTCAGAGCAGGTTGGCTCAAGACGTTCCTCTACAAGTACTGTTTTCAAACGAGTGCTCTGCTAACGCCAATATAGCCAGTAGGAGTGTCCCTGTTGTCGCTCATACTCACAACCTTTTTCTCCTTCGTTTGTACACAGTGCACGGGCGTCACCGATATTACACCTCTCACTGCCGCTACCAAGGCCTCGCAACTCATCCTAGGTGGTGCTACCAGGAGTGAAGGCTGGGAGATTGCAAAGGCACAAAGGTTGAATTTAATCGGAGGCGCCATGTGTAGCATCGGTGCCAGTGAGACCGCCCACTTGACCAGCGACTTCCGCATAGGTTTCTTACTCCGTACACCTCCCAAGCTGCAGTGGTTCGCTCAGGGTCTTGGAACTCTCGCCGCGGTATTCCTCGCTCCTACAATGTTTTCGCTCTTTGCAAAGGCATATCCGTGTATCACCGACATTCATGCTGACACTTGCGCCTTCACTGTGCCTTCCGTGTCCGCATGGCGCGCGACCGCAATCGCCATTACAGATCCCACTTTGCCCATTCCGACGTCTTCCGGTATCTTCGCAATCATCTTCGCCATCCTCGGCTCTTTGATGGTCCTTGTCCGGCACTATCTGTGGGTCGGTAATTGGGCGTTCATGAAGAAGTACCATCCGAACTTCATGTGCATCGGCCTTGCCTTTGTACTTCCGCAGACGCAGTTCGGTCTTGCTATGACGATTGGTGCTACCATTACAGCAATCTGGCGGAAGAGGAATCCCGAGAACTTTGATATTTATGGGTATGCGATTGCGTCTGGGCTGATTGCTGGAGAGGGCATTGGTGGAGTTATCAATGCCATCTTCCAGGTAGCTGGGATCGGGGGCGATAAGTATGGTTCGAATGCTGGGTGCCCAATGTCTTGTAAGTAGGGGGTCCTCGAAGAGGAGCAAGGCAAGCCGAGGGGTTCGAGTCGTAATGGAGTGATGATTGTCGATGGTGAACAGGAGGTTCGCACAATACTAGGGTATTTACTACGTCTTATAATGAGTTGGAGAATTATACCTCATCTAATGAGTCGTAAGACCTTCGTTTCAAAATGCCCTAAGGAGTTTCAGGGGTTCTACACTTACAAGATATGTCTCAGAGCTCCATGACCACCCCTAAAACCGTACTTCGCTCATTTGATACCTACAGCTTTCAGGAACTCCTCTTTCTGATTCTTCCCCCGTTCTCCAGCCTCGAACCCCTTTACCACATCCGCCATCGTCTCAACCTCCCTAACCGCGCTCCCATGCGCAAAGTGCCAGAGCGTTTCTTCCTCATATCTAACCTGGAAAGCCTGCCAATTTTGCGCTTTGAGCGTGTTGACGTGTTCGTTCACTGCAGAGAAGGGGCCAGAGAAGATGAGGATGCCAGGGTAACCGGGTTTAGTGAGGCCAGACACGGGAGGGGATGCGGGGGGAGGGGAGAGAGCGAGTTTGCGTTTATTGGTGTTGAGGAGGTGGTGGAGCCATACAATGACTGTCTTGGACCGGTTATCAGTGCTATCGCGACTTGTCGAGGATATTTGGTCGCTGTGCTGGGTGGTGTTCGATTCGAGGACTTGTTGGAACGCTGCGATGATGGCGTCTAGGGCTTCTTCTCCGTCTGCCAGCCCAAGCTCTTTGATACCCGATCTCGTCTGATTCCGGATATCGGTCTTGGAAGCATTAGTTGCAGATATCACATCTGGAGAACCTGATTCTGGGTACGTCTCTGGTAGGCGGAGAAGGAGTGACGCAGCACCATCTAAGAATCTGAACTCGCGTGATTTGGCACTGTGGCTTGTTTGGTCTGGATACATGGCCTCTAGGAGCTCAAGCTCTGTATCGAGGCGAGAAGGTTCTTGCATGGACATGCTGGCTATTATTTTTCCTTTTTCCTTGTTTTAGTGGCATGGAGGAGATGGGTTTGGTGGATCGTGGTCTCGATGCGTAAGTGGACCGTGCACTGTGGTCCTCTAATGTACGACGTCTTACCACTTTGCATAGAATGGACCTCAGCAGGCGACTGCGTTTGGTTCTTATGGATACTCAGGCTACTTGTGCAACTCTGGCAGGACTCGCCTTGTGACCGGTACGCGAAGGCACAACTTCACTGCCTATTCTTTCTGTTGGATATGGCAAGGAGCTACAAGGCTGACAAGAAGAGGGAATCTTCGCTTGGGCAATTTATAATAATGCGATTCAATGCTAAGAGCTCGAAAAGGATGTTGCTAGTCTTTTGATACCTGCAGGCGTGGTGGTGCAAGCAGGAAGCGCTATATTTCGCTCATGTCTCATATTAAGCCGTCCAGATGGACAAGGAACGGATCGAACGGTGCCCACGACGTGAAGGAAGGAGACTTGTAAAGTAAATAAAAACGACGGGTACGACGATTGAAGTATCCGAGACACGTACTTTTTTCAGCAAACAGTCAATCAGTCACAGCGGTGCGGAGTCCGCTGCATCTGACGGCGGGCTGCGCGCGGGTGAAACTAATAAGCTCTCCTCTTTGGGTTAGGACGTGCAACTGTCGCGCTTCGTGTGTGCCCAGGTGTGCAGAAGAGTGCCAACCACCCCAAACCTAATCAATTGCCGCAAAGAAACGTTCCTCTGCCGCGTGCCCACGTCAGAGAAACCCCTAATTCCGAGATCCGTCCCCAAACCGAGTGCTGTGTGCCGTCTTGAGCTTCGTCCAGCCGTCACCTCCGCTCAGCATACCGAATCTCCCAGACACGCCCCGGCAACGCACTTTTCCAGGCACACGACGCCCACAACCCCTACGAAGACGCTACCCGACCGCACACGTTTCGATACCGCTCTTTCCGCGAATACCTTGCTCAATCGAACGGCTGGTGAGCCGTAATACCACACAATGAAGGCTGCTCCGCTTCTGGTGTCCTGGCACAACGAGAACGCTCCCATCTATTCAGCCCACTTCGAGCCCCATGGCAAGGGAAGACTGGCAACAGCAGGCGGGGACAACAATGTTCGGGTACGATATTGAAAAGGGAGCAAGTTTAGGCAACGCTAATAGATATGCATAGCTTTGGAACGTCGAATCCCAAGGCGAAGAGCGAAAGGTCACCTACCTCTCGACACTCGTAAAGCACACGCAAGCAGTAAATGTAGTGAGATGGTGTCCGCGAGGTTTGTTAGACCCGGTCCCCAAGCTATTCGTCGGTTGCTAACATCTGGCAGGGGAAGTACTCGCAAGCGCTGGCGACGATGGCAACGTCCTACTCTGGGTTCCTGCGGAGAACCAGACCACACACACCAACTTCGAAGAAGGCCTCGAAGACAAAGAGACATGGCGAGTCAAGGCCATGTGCAGATCGATAGGGTCAGAGATCTACGACCTGGCGTGGTCTCCAGACGGCGTCTTCTTTATCACAGGCAGTATGGACAACATTGCCCGCATATACAACGCTCAGACAGGTACAGCACCCCATGATTGAACACCACGGCTGGACAGCTACTCAATGAAATCCAGGAAGCATCGTGCGGCAGATTGCCGAGCACAACCACTATGTCCAAGGCGTAGCATGGGATCCAATGAACGAGTACATCGCGACCCAGTCATCAGACAGATCAGTGCACATCTACACGTTGAAGAACAAAGATGGCCAATTTTCACTAGCTCAGCATAGCAAGGTCACCAAGATGGATCTTCCCGCTCGACGAGTATCCTCCAACAGCCCTGCACCGCCCGACTTTGGTGGCCGGGCTTCCTTCGTTGCAGACTCTAGCATGGCAATCGGCTCGCCAGTACCGTCCATGCCCGGCACTCCGCAGTCACTAGCCCTTCCCATGATGCACCCTCCCCCGACATCACACAGTCGTCGATCGTCCTTTGGCTCTTCGCCATCGATGCGTCGCTCCGCCTCCCCGGCTCCATCCATGCCTTTACCCGCCGTCATGCCGAACTCGCCCAGCATTAGCAGCATCGGAACTCTGGGTGTCCGAAATGCACCCATTTACTTCAACGAAACTCTCACGTCGTTCTTCAGGCGCCTCACCTTTGCTCCAGATGGGAGTCTACTCTTCACTCCAGCTGGACAGTACAAGACACTCCACCCATCGATTGGCGAAGCGAAGCCAGCTGAAGATATCGCCAATACAGTCTACATCTACACTCGAGCTGGATTGAACAAACCCCCAGTTGCATACTTGCCCGGCCACAAGAAGCCCTCTGTGGCTGTACGTTGCTCACCAGTCTACTACACTTTACGACAGAATGCCCCGCAAACGAGGCAAATCACCATCGACACCTCCTCGATCGATGATGAGATGCCTTCCCTGCCAGAGCCCATCATGCCTTCGAAACCACCTACATCACACGCATCAATGGATCCGCCGCCCATCACCAGTGCACCGTCGCCGTCGCCAAGCGTGTCAGCACCGTCGCCAAAGCCTACTGAGGGTGACGTCTCAGGGCCGCCACCAGGCCCAACGTCTACTTTCAGTCTTCCATATCGCATGATCTATGCAGTCGCTACGCAAGATGCTATTCACATATATGACACCCAACAGCAGAAGCCACTGTGCATTGTTAGCAACCTGCACTTTGCTACCTTTACAGATATTACCTGGTAAGCAACAGGTTATCGTTTCCTGTATGACGTCGCTAATAAGCATGCAGGTCGAACGATGGATCCACACTACTTATGACATCTACAGATGGGTTCTGTTCAGCGATAACGTTCGCATCTGGTGAGCTTGGAGAAAAGTACACAGGACCGTTGGCCATCCAAAGTCGACAACACCACACACCTGCTGCAATCAACACAGCAGCATCTCTGGCGTCCAATCAATCTACTCCAACCCCGACGCCAACGACTGGAAGCATGTCAGGCTCAACAACCGCGACAGCAGCACCAATGCAGAGGCAGCCCTCTGCAGGATTTCCAGCTTCCCCAAGCTCATTCTTCCCCGTAAGACCGGGCAGTCCAGCCAGGAGTAACTCGGTTTCCAGTATCGCTACCGCCTCTTCCTTCGCCCCCGGCGCAGGTGATCCCGGCAACATGAACGCTCCAACTCCAGCTATGTCTTCCGTGCCCAGCTTGGCGGCAGCAAACTCAGGTCCCGTTCCAATGTGGACACCCCCACTTACACCGGCACATGGACAAGGTGGTAGTCACAGTGCTAGTAGTTCAGTTAGTGGTATTCCGAATATTGGCACTGGACGAAGGGAGAGCGAGAGAAGTGAAAGAAGCGAATCGGAGCGAGATGAAGCATTGTCTGGCTCGAAGAAACGAGAATTGCAGTCTGTTCCAGAGGTCGAGGAGAGCCGAGAAAGCAAGAGGAGGCGGATTGCGCCTACACCTATCACGATGACGGTGGAGGGCGACACTGCGATCGCGAGTACCGAGGAGAATTCCCCAGCGGCGCAGATACCTGATCAGCAATAGGCGTGTTTTCGGTTTTCTACTTCTTTCAGGTGTTGACTGTAGCACAATACTCTTTCTCCAGCATGGCGTTTAGGATACATGGTTATTGCCATGATAAGTACTACGGTTTCTTTCTGGGTGGGCGTTAGGGAAGCAGATATGCGCTATCACAGTGTTCGAGTCTTATAGCTGTATGAAGGTATGTATGTTCATTTTCAGAAGACAGGTTAAAGCCAATCCAGATTGCCTCAGTGCTCTCTTTTCTAGAAACTACGCACTATATGGTATGACTTGGACTGGCGTCCAACCGTTCTTTCTTTGCGAAATGTGGGACTGTCGCACAAGTGACCCAGTTCTTTATCGCCGGTGCAATCGGTGACGATCGTCCCAGGGTTGTGGCTCTTGGTCATTTGCCGCATCTGCCGCAATTTTGCAGAACTCTAGAAGCGTCCGGCGGAAGAAAGGCCCTACCTAGCCTCGCGTAGTTACATTAGGGCCTAATAGCTAGGCCCTAATACAAGCTCTTGCACGCCATCGCTTCTTACTCCCGTTGTACATTAGGCCCTAATACAAGCTCCTACACGCCGTCGCTTCTTACCCGCGGAGTTCCTCGTCTATAAATTCAAGCTGGAGCTCTCTTCTCTCCCCATGAACGTCTCCTTTGCGGGGTCTTTGCAGTACTTACAGAATCGGGTCAATATGGTCAACCTTCGTACCTTTACCTCTCTTACTTATTTAGCCCAAGTGGCTTTTCTGGGAGGCAATGCGCAAACCAATAGTTCCCAGCTTAAGGACATTGTTCCAAAGCGCGAAGTCTTCTACGTTGGCGGACACTACACGAACATGACGGCAAGTGTCGATTCGCACGAGTTACACGCATATCTAAGACTGGAAAACAGGACAAGGCAACCAATTCCACATCAGTGGCCATGGTAGGGCAAATTTACGTCGAGAAGCTTTCGCCTAACCCATGCCCGGAAAACCCGCCGCTCCCAATTATCTTCATTGCGGGCGCGGCTCAGAGCGGTACCAATTTCCTGGATACTCCAGACGGACGGCCAGGATGGGCATCCTATTTCATCTCCAAAGGTCACACAGTCTATCTCTCAGACCAGCCTGCACGTGGCCGCTCATTCTGGTTTCCTGGACAGGGAAACATCGGGTACATTGGCTCCCCCAATTCTGTCTCTGATATCTTCACCAACGTGGCAAACAACGGCAATCAATGGCCCCAAGCGAAGCTCCACACGCAATGGCCCGGCACCGGTCGCATTGGCGACCCAACTTTCGACGCCTTCTACAGGAGCCAGCTGCAGCTCCAGACGGATCGCTTCATAGGTGAAGAGCAAAATGCGCAGGCATACTCAGCTCTAGTAGACGTCGTAGGCGAGTGTTATATCATCAGTCACTCGCAGGCGGGAGCATACGGTACTTTCAGGCAAACCCTACATGACTCGCTGCATGTACTAACGAGTGAATAGGTTGGAGGGTCGGAGATATGCGGTCAGACCTTGTCAAGGGTATCGTTCAGCTCGAGCCGTCTGGCCCACCATTCACGCTCCGCCCGCCGTTCGGAACTGACCCAGCCTGGGCTTTCGGCCTTACTGACCTTGCAATCGGATATGAACCGTCTGCAGGCAAGAACGCCGAAAACATGCAGACAGTTATCGAGCCAGCCATCGACGCCGATCACAACTACTGCATCATGCAGAAGTCCCCGGCGAAGCAGTTGACGAACCTGGGCAAAATCCCAGAACTTGTGGTTACTGGCGAAGCATCGTACCATGCGCAATACGATTACTGCACCGTCAAGTATCTGAAGCAAGCCGGCGTAGACGTCGAGTTTGCGGATCTAGGCGCGGAGGGTATTCATGGCAACGGACATATGTTCTTTATGGAGAAAAACAATCTTGAGATTGCAGATCGGGTGTACCAGTGGCTGGAAAGGCACTGATCGACGCATAATATGTAGCGTTTCAATGGCCTCATGCATTGATCCATCATGTCTGCAGCTTTAATCTACGCCATTGACCGCTACCTCGCATATCCTTGCAGACTTCCCGTGTCTGACAGCCACTCCACACGCTGATTTGGCGCACGGCACGCGGGTAGAACCCGGGGTTCCGCACCTCAGCTCCCCTATCACTATCACGAAACGAAAATAGCCCCGAAAGCCATGAGTTATAAAGGAAAATAGCCCCGAAACCGCGTGTTGAAGGGAAAATAACACCGAAAACCTGCCGCAATGGCTTGTCAGATCCCAGCCCAACCTGCCAGATAGCAGAAAGAGGTCTGAAGGCTGCGCCGCAGCACTGCAGTGGGATTGTGCGAATGGAGTAACGCATTGCGACTCTGCGCGCCTCTATCATTCACCGTCTTGCGCATCTTCATACATAAAACGGGTTCGTCCGCCCTCACTCACCCCACTAGCCCCACCGCAATTGTACGCAACCTACCTTGCATGTATCAACTCCCGAACGCCTATCCTATCCACCATGGCAGGCTCGAGCGCGCCGTCGCCAGAGTTTCTGGCCGAGAGGAATAATCCGGGTTTGGCACAGCGGGTCTGCATCGCCTTCATCATTATTGATACCTTCTTCTTACTGGTCTTCTTCGTGAGCCGGTACTTTAACCGCAAGGCCGTGGGAATGCCCATGTTGGTGTGTAATACGCTGTGCTATGTACTTTGTATGGGGACCGCGGCGACGGGAATCTGTAAGTCATCTTTTCCTTGTCTTGTCTAGAAGGACCGACTTGCGAATGCGAATGAGATGGAAGGATTAAGCGTTAAGCATTTTCTAATGCTTGAGGAGACGAAGGGCAGACTTGGAGCTGCGATGGCTTACGTTCAAGATGGGAGAACTCGATGAGTCTATCATCATGCATAAATACGGACTGACGCTCGATAGTAATGTACAAGATAGGCGGTGCAGGGCACCACGTCGCCTCCGTCCCAATCACCACCTTTCAGACCTGGCTGAAACTATCCAAAGTCCTCGAATTCACCTACACACCCGCTGTCATGTTCTCTAAGCTGGCTACTCTATTCCTCTACTACCAAGTCTTCGAAGTCCCGAATTATCGCCGCGCCATCATTGGCATCGGCGTGATTATTATCCTTCAAGGTGTGATTTCTATCATCCTGGCCTTTTCGATTTGCCGGCCTTTTAGGTACTTCTGGACCCAGGCGGTCGATGTCCACGACGGGACTTGTGGAGACGTGATGCTCTTTTATAAAACTTATAGCATTCCGAGTCTGGTCACGGACGTGGCTATGCTGGTGCTCCCGTGGCCGTTGCTTCTCAAACTGCGCATGCCTACATCGGAAAAGATTGGCCTTGTACTTACTTTTCTGGCTGCTTCGCTGTAAGTTACACGGATCGCCTAGATGAAGGAGACAGGTTATTGATATGATATAGGGGCATAATAACATGCGCAATTCGCCTCTCCGTCTTCTTCACCACCCCACTCTTCTCGGACCCAACATGGTACGCCTCGGGGGGTACTACAATCTACGCCCTCGTCGAACCCTCTATCTACATGATAGCCAGCATACTGCCCACCACGCGCCATCTCTACCGGCGAATCCACAGAAAAGCGCGAGAAGCTTCGCAGCTGCGCAATTCGAACAGCGACGGTACTCCGAAGAACAGCAGCGGTCGTTCTCAGTCGTCAGAACTCCAGCGTATTGAACACAATGACGCAAATCCCGGCAAAATCACACGACATGTGGATATCTGGCAAGCAAATACCAATTCAAGCCAGGAGGGACTGACGCTGGGGGAGTGGTATCAGAATCAGGAGGAGTGGGATCAATCCAAGACAGCAGACACTTTAGTGACGAAGAAACCACGGTTGAGGCAGTAGATATGCTATACAAATCCGGCATAGCCGTGACGAACCGGGACGAACACAAAGGATCTGGCTATCTTGCAAGCGTGTTGTCGAGGTTTCCGTTTTGGATATGGCTGGCCCCATCCTACAGCTCGTGAACGGGCACTGGCGACTTTCCATGGACGTATGCACCCGAAACAACACCTTCTCAACCACCCAGGTGTCACTGCATCTGTTCAAGGCGGGCAAGACGTACAACATCTTTGACGATTCTCTAACAATGCCCCCGTGAACGAAGCGCGATGTCTGCGAGGAGCTGGTTTACTCCAAACAAGTCGACGCACATATCGTTGCCCAAAGCACCAGTCATCAGCCACATCCTTATGGCTGTCATGAGTGACGGCTAGACATGAGTAGTAGTTCAGCAGCCCCGCGTCAGTGCACTGTTCAGTTATGCAATGCGAGACCTGGTACACTCTTACCATCTTTAGCCCGACTCCCAAATGTCAAATACTCCGCCCGATGCAACTGCTGCAACGGCGTATACCTCGTATGACAGCGCGGTATCTGATTTCCTAGAAGAGAAAGTACTTTCCTTGCTCCACAGACGACTCGACAATCTCAGTTTTCCAAGCACAAGGTATCGCATTTCCCTGTAGTAAAATCTCTCGTAGACTCTAAAGTAGATTCTAGAATACAAGCAAGATCCAGACTATTTTCTCCTCGCACGTTCTGCCGTTTGAATCGCATAGCGTTGAAAAGATTTCCCAAGGAGATGGAGACGCAGATCCTTGGTGCGCACGATAAACCACTCTCCGCACGAGAAGGCAACACGCGCAGTTGGGTGATGGGCGATCTGCGAACGCTTGCGCACTAGCCTCCTGCCTTTACGGGGCAAGGCTTGTATTATAAGTGGGTCCGTATGCTAGGCCACCCACAGCCATGATGTCAGCCAATGAGGACATGCTCGAGTATCTTGATTTGCCTAACGCTGCTTTCGGGGCGTGGGGACAATGGCACAGCATTGGATACACGGTACATAAGGCTTGTCGCTCGCATAGCAAGGGATCGATCGACCTCTGGTACCCCTCGCGCCCCTCTCTTTGGGCGGACTTTTGGTATCTGGAGAGGTGTCGCGTGCAACATCGCACATACCAGTAATCATCGGCAAATTGGAGAGTAGGACGAGGCCGTTACACACGCAAAAATGGAGGAAGCGAATAAACTCCCCGATAAAAAAGTGCAAGAGAAGGACGTGGAGAATCAGCAGCATGCGTACGACGATACGAGCAGTCTGGCCAAGGGCGACATTCTGCAACTCGAGCACACGGATCCGGTGCTCAATGCGAAGATGCACCTCGTCAACAACGCGATAGACGAGATTGGATTTACTCGCTATCAGTGGAGGGTACAACTTACTGAGGCCGAGCAGCTCGCATATTGTGACTGACTTGAAGTAGCTCTTTGTCCTCAACGGCTTCGGCTACGCAGTCGACTCGCTCATTCTGCTCATCCAGTCCGTCATCTCGGCGCAAGCTGTCCTCGAGTTCAACCCCAGCTACCGCAATGGCCTCACCATCGCCGCGTATGTTGGTATGCTGGTCGGTGCCCTCTTCTGGGGACTTACGGCGGATATCATGGGTCGCAAGATTGCGTTCAACTTGAGCTTGCTCATCTGTAGCGTATTCGCCATCGTGGCCGGCGCAAGTCCAAACTGGGAGGTGCTGGGGCTCTTTATCTGCCTGAGTTCGTTTGGAGGTGGTGGCAATCTGGTCCTCGACACGGCTGTGTTCCTCGAGTATCTTCCAAGCTACCGGCAATGGATGTTGACGCTCATGGCCGCGTGGTGGGGTATGTGATCTCTTTTCGCTCTCCTAGGGAAGCTTGACAGCTAATATAGGAACTCAATAGGCATTGGTCAACTGATCGCTGGGTTTTTTGCCTGGGCCTTCCTCCCCAACTACAGCTGCGCAGACCCCGCAACCACCCCCAATGCGCCCCCTTGCACCCGAGCCAACAACCAAGGCTGGCGCTACGTCTGGTACGCCTCGGGCTCCCTCGTCTTCGTCATGTCCATCCTGCGCATCACCGTGATCCGGCTCAAAGAAACGCCCAAGTTCCTCGTCAGCGAAGGCCGCGACGCCGAATGTGTCGAAACGCTCCAGTTCATCGCGAACAAGTACAACCGCCCCTGCAGCCTGACGCTCGACGTTATGCAGGCGTGTGGCACCATCGAGAAGCGCGCAAGGGACGGCAAGAGCAAATGGGGCTTTGGCGAAGTGTGGATCCACCTCAAGGGCCTGTACGCGACGAAGCGCATCGGCATCTCCACTTCGCTCATCTGGCTCTCGTGGACGCTGATTGGACTTGCCTATCCGCTGTACAACGTGTTTCTTCCTGCCTATCTGGCGTCCCGTGGCGCGGCGTTTGGCCAGCCTAGCGCGTACATTACCTGGAGGAACTATACGCTTGTGAATTTCTCGGGCATCTGGGGACCGGTGCTTGCTGGGTGGCTGTGTTCGACTAGGCTGGGCAGGAAGTATACCATGGTTGTGGGGGCGCTGATTACCATGGCTTTCTTCTTTGCGTATACGCAGGTCCGGACTGCGACGCAGGTATGTATATCCATTCCCCGGTGGTTCGACGACGTAGAGTGTGTGCTGACTGAGGGATAGAATGTGGTGTTTACCTGCCTGATCAACTTTTTCCTGAACATCTATTACGGCACGCTGTATGCGTATACGCCAGAAGTGCTGCCGAGCGCGCACAGAGGCACGGGTAATGGAATTGCAATTGGGTGGAACAGGGTCATGGGTATCCTCTCTGCGGTCATTGCTACGGTTGCGGATGTGAGTTTCATATTTCAACCCAACTCTTCTTTTGATGCAGGGGATCTTTGAGAAGATACAAATGACTAACATTGCGATAGACTGGAACCGCCGTGCCGATCTACATTTGTGCGGCGCTGTACATCTTCATGGCTGCCATTGCGATCGCGTTCCCTTTCGAGCCATACGGGAAGCGTAGTTCGTAAGATGTGGGGTAGAGCAAAGAATCGCACAGTTTGGATGTATCAACCATGACTAGGCGATTCAATTCTTAGTCTATTACGTTGGGCGTAATTTGTGCATTTTGATACCCAGACTTCGGTCTCGATGGTCTTGGAATAACTCGGATAGACCTGCTGGGAATGGCAAGACTGGAATGTATGTGGTCCAGTCACTCTGAAGCGTGGTAGCCCCGTCATCGACCCGCAGAGATAGACGAGGTATACATGGCTGACTGTCATAATCTGCTCGTGGCCCTGTCTAGCTACCTACGCTACTACTAAGCTCTAAGAAAGGTACCAGAACCCGAGCTATGGGAATTCAAATAGCTTCCCACCCATCTCACGTGGATGCAGGTGCATAGTGTCTAAGCGCCTCGTGCAGTTGTCTACTGTAGGCGTGGTGGTGTCTGGACTCTAAGACAAAGCCTGAGTCAGCTCAGCACCAGCCTCTACTCCGTGATGATGCATGTGTTGGTGGAGTCGAAACTTCAGCGTGCTCAGTGCCATGCCAGACACGAGCATGAGGTGGTGTGATGGTTCTGGGCTTGCCTGGCGATGCTCCACCCTGCAGAAGAAACGAACAGAGTGGAGTAGTACTTCGTAGGCTTGCCGCGGTGGGCGAGCGGGATGCGGCGGCGGATCGCTTGCGTTGGCAGCTAGTCCCAAAACAGCTAGCGCCTGCCTTGGCCGAGTTCTGGAACTCGCTGGCTTCGGTCGCCTGCCGAACGCTCATGGCAGCTGATAGACGCCCGTCGCCGAGTGATGGCTGATGGGATACTTAATCCACCATCACACCACGCCGGGCGTGCGTGCTGCTGGCGCTGCTGTGTTTGCCGCCTTATCCTCTCCGTTTTCTCCCTCACCTGCCCGAGCAACGTCGTTGCGCTACCCAGTGCGCTCCTTCCGGTGCCATCCTACGCACCGTTCGCGCTACTCATTTCACCGCAAGACGACCCCTGTCCGTCCTGAATCCTCCATCCTCAATCAATACCTGCCAGCCCTCGCTGCGGCTTTGTCAGGGATCCCATCGAGCACATCTCGTTCGTTGTTGGGCCTTTGTTTAAGGGCTCGAAACAAAGACCCGTTACACCATTCATCGTCTGTTCCGCTTTCGGACAAGCAAAGCGAGCCACGACAGCTCCATGCACCGCTTTCGTATCGCCGACCTGGGACAATTACAAGAGCTAGGTCCCGGCCTGCAAACGTCGAGCGATTGATTTACCCAGTTTCGACCTGAAATCTCGACCTGGTTGTCTCGCTCGACTCTTCCTACTCACACCTCTGTCTTCAACATGGACACCACCACACAAGCAACGTCTCCCGGCCGAACGCGGCACCGCTCATCGAATCCCTCGAGCGCGCCAGCCGCTCCACCAACATATGGCTACCACAACACCTTTCACACCCATGCGCAATTGCCCACCGGCTCTCCGCCATCCTTCGCTCGCGCGACCGATCCCAAGGTCCTACAACATCTAGACGCGAGGACGCGGAACGAGCAACAGGTCGTCCGCGACAATGTTCTACCGCCATCATACAACTGTACCGTCGAGATTGGAGGAGTTGTGGGCATAAAACAAGAGCTCTCGTCGCCCTTCCAGGTCTCGGGGCACCGTGAATGGTCCGATGCCTATGTTGTTCTTCGAGGGACGCAGTTGAACATACACCGCGTAAAGCACCCGAGTCTTCTTAGCAAGAATCGACTTCCAAGTGCAGGACGACTCATGAGAACATATACGCTACAGCATGCTGAAGTGGGCGTCGCCTCGGATTTCAAGAAGACGCCGTTAATACTGAAGAATCCGTTTGGGCACCTGGTGCCCAGCTCAGCTCGAGCAAAGCTCTACGAAACCGATCCACACATGTTCGAACCAGTGCGGGAACATGCGATCCGAATGCGTCTGGAACTGGAGCAATTCCTTCTGTGTCCATCGACGGAAGAAGAGATGCTGTCTTGGATCGAAGCCCTTTGCGCCGCAATCGACATCAGCTCCCCACTCGAAGACCGCAGCGAGCCCCGCTACCGAAGTCTCCCGCGGAGAGGCAGACGACAACGCCTGCTGGACAGCGCGCAAGTGGGAGAGAATCTCGACAATCTCCAGAGCCTAGAAGCCGGTCGACGCATCATTGCGCAGCAAGAGCAGATTATCCGCCAGCTTTATCCACATCTCGCCGTTACCCGGGAACCAGGTCCATTAGCGAGCGCCCCTCCCGCTGCAGTTGATCTCGAACTCGAGGAATTTGATCCAGAAGATGTTCGCTTTCCGACAAGATCGGCGAGGAACTCTTTAACGCAGGGTTCACCATCGCACGAGTATGAGAATGGCGATGTTGAGCGCCCCTCGACTAGCAGCTCGGCTGACCCGAAACTCGCGCCGAGACTAAGGCCTACTCCATCACAGGCTCTTCGCTATCGCCGGCGTTGTGCTCCGGTTCTACTTGCTTCGTCGCCACGAGTCAGCGATGTCGTCTTCTGTGCTGGCAAGCGTATGCGTATCAACGTCAAGGACCATGTCTTGATCGAGTACAAATCGCATCCACCGCGCTACGATACACACAAGTTTCCCAAGTCCAAGCGCCCTACGAGGAACCCTGCGAGGATTGCCACCGATCGGGCTTCAACTACACATGTTGTGGAAAAGACAATGCCTGCTACAATTGGACCCTTGCGACCTGGATCGCCTATTCGTGGCGTGACAGATGACTCGATTACTTCCATCTCGTTTGACGAGGATTTAACACGGGCTCGCTCAGAGCAGCATGGCGAGGACACTGGGTCGTCCACTCCACCCTCGCCGACTGCCATGACACACACCAAAGCCGACGCAGCGCGCCAGCTAGAGATCATGGGCAAGAGAAGAAGCGAGGACGGCCGCGAGACTGGCCTCAGTACAGTTTCCCTGGGGGTGACACTGCTCTTTTGAGCTGCTCACCACCAATATTATACCCCTTTGCAAGCATATTTGCATATATTTCCTATGTGTTTTCCTGTGCATCTGAGGGCATCATCTCTCCTTTTATCCAACTGGCGCATCTTGGTTCGGTCGGACTTGTTTGCATTTTCACCCGGCGTGGTGGTTTATAGACTGGACTGCGCGGAAGATACCCAACCCACTGTATGGCAGCGTAGCGATGAACGGAGGGACCTGAATGCGAGGGATATACATATACATATATTTATAGCCAAGTGAACGCAATGACAACTGAATACCCTTCGACCGTTCTTCTTTTCCAATAGTAAGTGCATTTGTCAGCTCGCTACTTGATCAATAGCGAGGATAGTTCTACTTCAACGGTTTGTCAGCCCATGGTATGTTGCCGACGAGGAGGTAGGTAGGTAGGAAAGCACATGCTTCCGGAAACGGAATGGATTGAGTAGAGTGGGGTAAGGGAGAAGAAGTACTAGTATGTTTGGGGGAAGACGACATCCTAGCGTGAGCGTTCACTTTACTCTTCTGAGCGTACCGCGCGGCTTACATAACGAGTACAATGCTGACATGCAGGGCATGCGCTACTTGCAGATCTGATGTATGTTGTAGTTGTAGAAGTGTCCGCTATTTGTCCGCAGCGGGTTGTAAAACATAAGCATGCATGATTACCCATCCAGTTGGACGGAATGAACCCGGTTCTCCTCTATATTGTGTGTCTCGGGTGGAAGACACGATATATAAAGCCAACCTGCTGCTCCTCCCAGGCTATCTTCACTCTATCAATCCATCCATCCAAAGAAAGCCCATCGTCATAACCTAAAACAAACGTCCATTCCTACGCAAAGTCCAAACACCTACAATCTCCAATAATGGCACCACCCACACTCGTAGCCCTGATCCTCGGAGCCGGCCCCAACATCGGCTCATCCGTCGCCTCCAAGTTCGCCAGCGCAGGCTACAAAATCGCCATCGCATCGCGAAGCGGCGGCCAAACCGGTGGCAACAACGGCTACCTCTCGCTGAAAGCCGACTTCAGCAAACCAGACTCCATCCCCGCGCTCTTCGACGCAGTGAAATCCGAATTCAACACCGCGCCCAGCGTCGTCGTGTACAATGCAGCGGGTCTAACGCCTCCTCCGGATAACGACTCTGTGCTCTCGATTCCAGTGGACAATTTCGTGGCGGACCTGAATCTCAACACTGTTAGCCCGTATGTTGCGGCGCAACACGCTGTCAAGGGATGGGAGACACTCCCCAGCGACGTCAAGAAGTCGTTCATCTACACGGGCAACATTCTGAACACGCTCATTCTGCCCGTGCCCATGATGCTCACTCTAGGCGTCGGCAAATCGGCTTCGGCACACTGGATTGGGCTTGCGGACGCAACGTATGCAGCCAAGGGGTTCCGGTGAGTTATCTTCTATCTTTTTCCTCCGTGGGGAAGCTCGAGGACGTAGACTGTTTTCTGACATGCGCTAGATTCTTCTATGTTGATGAGCGTATTGCGGATGGCAAGCAGAAGGGTATAGCTATCGATGGGCCTGCACATGCCGACTTCTTTGCTCAGTTGGCGGAGCATCAAGAGGGTGTGCCGTGGCATGCTACGTTTGTAAAGGACAAGGGTTATGTCAAGTTCGAGTAACGGATCTATGCTGGACGGTGAGTCACTAGAGGTAGTCCGAACTTATAGACTCGAATCAAGTGCTGGGATGAAGTAGATTTCAAAAGCGTGTTTGCCCCAGTTTTACTTGTTGAGCTATCGCTAGTTGCGTGAAGGTTGTTAGAGTCGAGATCGATTCAAATAATCAGGTGACCGCAGGAACTTGCTCTCACCCACGCACGAATTCGCTTTGCATAACATCCCCGACGGTTGGGGTATAGATGGCGGGAGGTATTGGAAACAGCGGCGGTGTGGTGGTGGTTTTGTTTGTTGATACAGTCGTAGGAGATCAAGCCTACGAATGTCCGAAACTTGGGAGTACTAGTATAACATACATGAAAGTTTGTCTTTGTTAAGAGGATTTTCAAAGCGCCTACGCCCTAATTAAGCTATCGCTGGTTCTGTAAAAGTACTTTAAGTGCAGAAATATTTATAATTACATTAATTTTTCTAAAATAAGTTCTATTAAGATAGTCGCTAATTATAGTTTTAAATTTTATTATTATTCTTTTATAGTACTAAATATTAATTTTCTATTTTTTATAATTATTAATAAGTTTAATGCAAGATTTGGTTGTATAAAAAATTACTTGTTTTTTAGGCCTATATAAAGCTGCTTTATAGTTTCTAGCTTCTATTTATATATAATAGTAAAATAAATTTTTTTTTTTTTATTTATTTTAGTATTAACTTTTTAAACCTGCTTTAGCCAGAACTTTAAAAGCTTTTTTTTAATAATTTTATTATAAAAAAAGCCTAGTAGCTTAAAAAAAAAAAAAAAATATAGCTTTAATATAGCTTGCCTTTTTTTATTAAAATTATATAATAACTAAAAAGCTTTTATTTTTTTATACTTATTTATTAATAATAGAAGCTATGCTAAGTATTAAGCCTACTAAAATAATTAAAGTAGCTATTTTTTACTAGCTACTTTAAAAACTAGTTATTAAAATTAAAACTGTAGAAAACTATAGCTATATAAACTTTTTTAAAAACTTTAAAAAAATGCTAAAAGTATAGTTATATAAGCTATATAAGTTATAGGCGCTTAAAAAAGTAAAAAAAATTTAAAATTAGTATTTAATTAAATGCAAGAGCAGAAATTAAGTAACTAAAGCTAGTATTATTTTTATTAAAATAGGCTAGTTAAAAAACTATAGTTAAGAGCTATAAACTACTTTAGGCAGAAGAAATTGAACGCGTACGTTGAGGAGACTTTGAGAACTTTGAGAAGGAAGTTTGTCTTTGTGATATTATAAAGGTGGCTGTTCTAGACAAGATATCCATTGCTTAACCCGCGACGAAGATCGGCTTCCACTGGGGGACGAGACTTCGTCTAAAAGTACCTCCTCTTCATCTGAGTCATATGCATTGAGCCATTCGTGCTTGAACGTCTCCAATTCATGTGGTGCATGTCCGTCGACGCGCAGCCAGCGCAGAATGATGCGTGTTGCATTCTCAGAGATGACCTCGTTCTTGTGATTCAGTTCCTCTGCATTCGGGATTTCGTATGCACAGTCGAAGTCTTGTATACTTGAATGAATACGAGGGAGACCAACATAGTCTCCTGAGACTTGCGATTCTGATTCGCCCTCCGTGCAGTCCCAAGCGAACCCTTTATATTGAAGTTGATGGTCTTTGCACTGTGCATGGATTCGTACTTCGACATCGACATCGTCCGTAGGAGTACTGCCGAAAGGTTTCCATTGACATACCGGAACGCGAGTGTGGTGGTCGGACTGAGAGAGGAAGAGCAAACGGCACTCATCCGCGCGCTGCACGTGCCCATCTGTCACGAGGGGCTTAGATACAGGCTGCTGTATAAATGACTGGACTGTCCTCGACCACACAGCGGAGTGAAGGTCGATTGGTATTTGTCCATAATGGACCCCCTGCAATATGCTCTTTTGCAGGCCTAAAATACTAGCGCCGAGCCAGATGAACGCGACCTCAGGTGTCCGTTCCATACACATACGCCCAAGAACCGACGGATCATTGTCAGTCAAAGACTCAATCGCGGCTAAAGTTCCCTGAAGCCACGGTGTTACAGCGTTGCATTCTACGCTGGGCTCGTAAAAGACACTGAGAAGCATTGGACGTATGCCCCTGATGTTGCAGCTCAGTGTGAGAAATCGATCAAGGTGTTGCCCATCATATATGTCATTGAGCTGCGAACAACCGTCATGAAGGGTGAGCGGGCGCTCGGGTGATTGCTTATGTTGGTCGACTTTATGAAACGGCATTTGCAGAGTTCCACCATTGCCCATAGATGGGAATAAAAGAACTGCAGCCAGTGCAGCGTGACTTTGATCGACGATGTTGTGACGTAAGCAGAACTTGTTCAGAAAGCCGCAGGCATCTAAGCACGACGAGGCAGAACCCATCAAAGGTAAAGCACTCACTTCTGCTGACAAGGAGAACTCCGGGTTTGATTGGAGATTGATCGACCATGGTGAATAATAGGAAGGTTGCATAGTTGCCAGCCAACCCTGACCTTGTGCAAGAATGGCAGCCCACCATCGAGCTTCCTCTGGGTTTGCAGGACCAATGTCTACAACTAGAGAGTTTTGAACGCCTCTGCAGTCCGTGTTCGTGTCGTGATTTGCCTGACTGTCGGTATAGACGAGGGAGCAAGATGGAGACATTACTTCCACCCAGCGAGCTGATAAGATGTACGCCCATGCCAACATGAGGACAGCAAGGTAGTTGTCGTGGGAAGCAAACCAAGATGCGGCATAATAATCGTTTTGAGACTCCGAGATCGATAGCAAAACAGGACGCTTCACTGCGACCTCCAGGTGCACCCGCTGCCGAAAAGAAGGAAAGCTGTGAGCACAATGTGCAGGGGATGATCCCCAGATGGAGTATCCGGAGGCGAGGACATGGTGAGATTCGTGCGTCAGGTTCAGTTTGCGTGGAAAGGCTGGCTGCAGAGGAAATGTGTCTTGTGTCAAGAAGCAGGAGGCGGGAAGCCTACAACTCTTAATGGCGTGAGAGTATAGTCGAGCTCAGGTTTTAAACCCATCCGCGTAAGTGAGGCGATATTTTTCGTTACTTATACAAACGGCATCGTCCATTTCACGAGTGAGGTGGAGAGCACGCACAGCACGTTTAGCCTTTAGATCTTAAGTAGCTATTTAAAAATAAAATAATAGTATTTTTTATTTGAAAGTAAATATTAGGTAATAGCCTGCCTATAGAGATATTTAACTAACCTAAAGTAGGTTAGGTTAAAACTATATAACTAGAGAAGTAGTAATTACTCTAAAAAGTAGACTAATATACTTCTATAACAAGTAGTTGGTTAGGATAAATAGTTAGTTTTTACTAAGTTTTTACTAAAACCTACTATTATTTATAGTATATTGCAACTATAGTATATTATATTATAGTTAATAGTATATAATATTAATTTATAATATTTTTTATATTATTTTTATATATGCGCGCGTTATATTTTATTTTATTATAGTATTTATAGTACTTTTAAAAAAGCTTACTTACTTTAGCATATACTTTTTTTTTTACTTTTTTTTTATTACTACGCGCTTTAAATTTTTTTAAAATTATTAATTAAAAACTATTTTTTATTATAAAAGTTTTTTTTTTTTATATTTGCTTTTTTTTATATAATTTATATTATATAATAGCTTTATTAGCAGCTTAAAACTTAAAGTTTTATTTTTATATTAATACTATTAAATGCGCTATTATTTTTGCATTTTTAATAAATTTTATAAAAATATTTACTATTAAAGTAAAAAATTTATTTAAGTACTTTTAAATTTTTTTTTTTAAAAATATTAATTGCAACTTAAATTTTAAAATATTATTAAATATTTTTAACTTTTAAGTACTATTTTTAATAGTAAGTAATAGTAAAATATATAATTAAATATTAAATTTTAATATTATAGTTTTTAAATTAAGTAGTACTAAGCTAGCACTTTAAAAGTTTTTTAAAATATTACTTTTTATAATAGCAGTATTAAAAGCAGCTTTAAAGCATAGTAAAAATTTAATTTTAATAATATAATTAATATAATTATATATTAAAATTTTAGCTTAGTACTTATATATTTTTTTTAAAAAAATAAAATAATTTATATTAAATAGCTGTAGTAGGTGCGACAAATGCAGAAGTATATAAAAAATAATAATTTTTTTTTTATAGTACTAGTAAAACTTAACTAAATTATAGTTTTTATAGCTATTTATAATTAAAAAATAATATGCGCTAATAGTATGCTTTTTTATATACTTATTAAAGTACTTTATTTATTTAAAATTATACTTATTAGTTGTTTAGCTATTTGCAAAAATAGTAATAGCTTAATTTTAAAATAAATTTTTTTTTTTATACTAGGCAAAAAAGTAGTACTTATTTGTAAAAATAATAAAAAATAAAATTACTTAATTAACTGCGCTAATATTCTAAATTATTATTATTTATTTTTAATTACTCTGCTGTACTATTATTGCCTATTTTTAATAATTAAAACTTATAATAATAGCTTTAGTTAATATTATATTTATTATAAAGCCTGTTTTATTAAAATTATAAATATTTTTATTTATAATACTATATTTTACTTTTATATTTTATACTAGTTAGAACTAGTTTTGTATAGTATTAGAATTTTTATAAAAAAAAATTTTATAATTATATTTTTAATTAAACTTTATTTTAAGCTTAGGCTAGTATTTAATAAATATATTAGTTTACTTTAAATTAATTAAGTTTTAGTAACACTTAATAAGCAAAAAATTAGCTATATTTTTAATTTTAGTAAATTTAGGCGGGTATTTTTTTACAGCAAAATTAAGTATATAATTAATAATTATTTTTTTTTTTACTATAGTAAGCTTTATTAAATTAAGCATATAATTGCGTTAAAAAGTAGTTTTAACAAATTATTTTTTAAGTATTAATTTAAATACGTTATAATATTTTATAGTATAATAAATTAAAAAATTTATATTTTATTTAATAATTTAAATTATATTTTATATTTAATATTTTTTTTAAGCTAGTAATGCGTTATTATGTTAATTTATTATAATATACTATAAATAATAGTAAGTTTTAGTAAGGGCTTGGCAGAGACTAACTACTTGTCCTGACTAACTACTTGTTATGGAAGTACGTTATCAAGGAAGCCGCGCCTTAATTAGTAGCGCACAACTAGACGAGATGGATTAGCGCGGCGCTCAAGCCAGAAACGTACGCGGCTACGTCCTTGACGCGTCTACGAAGCCGACGTTATTCCAGACCAAGCTCCTTCGCGGTTGTCGCGCCTTCGCGTTTCCATCCTCAGCTCCAGCCATCATGCGCCCCCGTATTGCTTCTACAATACCTTGCGACTCCGACGCTTAATGATGAACCGATCAGAAATACTTCATGCCAATCCTATAGGCAGAGGGCTAGACGGCTTTCGCGATGCACACGCTCTGAATCCGCTCGATGACGACAACTGGGGAGGGGATGATGAAGGTATGTTCTTACGATCTCCTACGCAAAAGCTATTCTAATGTTACCAGCGCTGAAAAACACCCTTGTCGAGCTGGTGCTAGCTTTGCAGAGTCTCGCCGCCTCGCGATCGCTCCCCTCGAAGCGCGGCAACAAAGATCTAAGGAGTGATCTATTATCCCTGAGTTCAGCGCTCTACTCTGACAACGCTGATACTGTACGAGCGAAACCTCTACTTGATGCAGTACTCAGCAAACAGCCTGATGAAGTCATCTGGGATGCTGTCTACGACGCCGTCACCGAGTCGACTCCTCCGCCTCGTCCTCTATCGTCGTTCCAGCAGACGCCATGGCTACGCAACACAGGCAGCTTCGCGAACTCAACCGAACACCGCAAATATATAGACAGTGTGCTGAAGGAGGAACTGGGTCAGCTATATGTCGGGGTGCCTGGCTTCTCTGAAGCCTTCTTTGGAGGCGTACCAGATTTAAAGCCGGTATCGCAAGCTGTGTTTAAACAGTGCAAAGGAGTTGCTTCGCTCTACCAAGAGGGGAGCGGCTGGCAGGGCTGGCCTGAAGATGCAAAGGAACGCGACGTCTTAGGCTGGTTTGCGCCTCTAATCGGCCAGCTTGTGGACTTGGCAGCACAAAACGAGCAAAACGAGCACACCTCTAGACCTCGACGGCGACCGCTCGCACAGCCCCACAAGCCCATTCAAGGCTCCATCGCCGACCGAAAGATGGACGTCGGCTTTGTAGACGACCCACACGCCGATGTAGATGCCAGGTACCGCTGGCCGCAGATCCTCATACCGGGAGAACTCAAGAGTAATCCTTTGGATGATAAAGCCTCTAAAGCCTGGCTTGATCTAGGACGATACGCGAGGGAGGTGTTCGCTGCCCAGCCCAGTCGCCGCTTTGTTCTTGGCTTCACACTGTGTGGATCGCGCATGCGGCTGTGGGAGTTTGACCGGCTGGGGGGCATTGCATCCGAATCCTTCGATATAAACGAAGACGGGTTGCAGTTTGTGTCCGCCGTACTTGGGTTCTTGTGGCTGGACGAAGAGCAGCTTGGATATGACCCTACTATCATCACCGAAGGCGATAAGCAATATACCGATATCGAACGAAATGGTTGCACTGAGCGTCTTATTATTACCGGGGTTATGAAACGGACGCGTTGCATCGCTGGCCGAGCAACGACCTGCTGGATAGCCCACCGTGAGGGAGACGAATCAGAAGCGCCCCTTGTCATTAAAGACTCATGGCAATATCCAGAGCGTGACGAAGAGGGAGAGCTTCTGCGAGAGGCAACCGAGAAGGGTGTGGCCAACGTGGCAAGATACTACTACCATGGGACGGTCCATGTGGGGGGCCAAGAGGACGACATCCGCGAGAATGTGCGACGAGGCCTGGATGTAAGCCAGGCGACAAACTACAGATCGGAAAGCGCGATGCCGCCTCCGAGCAGCAATGGACATCGTAGCTCACGAACCGGTCGAAGCAGCACCGCTACTGGAAGGAAGCGGTCGTCGAGCTGCACGGACGCGCCGTTGCCGCCCAGCAAGCGAACATGTTCGAGTTCACCAGTCAAAGGTGGAAAAGCTATAGCAAATCGCAAGCGTCGTCGTGTCATCCTTCGCGATCTTGGGGAACCCATATACAAGGCGAGCTCGCTTACAAAGCTAGTCGCTGGGATGGAAGGCTGCATTGAAGGATACGAGTCGTTGCAAACGAAGGCTGGCTTGTTGCAATGCGACATCTCGCCAAACAACCTCATGATAAACGAAGATGGAGGAAACCCGTCTTGGCACGCGTTTCTGATTGACCTCGATCTAGCTATCAAGGAGCAGCGTGAGAAGTCTTCTGGCGCGCGTGGGAAGACCGGCACAAGAGCATTCATGGCTGTTGGCGTGCTCCATGATGACGAACCCCATTCCTTCATGCACGACCTGGAGTCCTTCTTCTGGGTGCTGTTCTGGATCTGTATCCATTACAGTGGGTCGCAGGGCAGAGTAGTCCCCCAATTCGACAGATGGAATTATGCAGACACGGAGGAGCTGGCCAAGTTAAAGCTGGGGACAGTCTCTGATAAGGACATCTTTCGCAAGACTACCCAAGAACACTTCACGAAGTATTACCAGCCATTAATTCCTTGCATTGACAGATTGCGGCGGAGGGTATTTCCTGGTGGTGGAAGATGGAGGGATCCGAATCCAGAATTGTACACCGAGATGAAAAACATACTTCGGGCAGCTCATGATGAATTGAAGGAATTGGAGTTATCGTCAAATGCCACATGAGCTGCTACTACACGCACCTTTCCCTGCTACACGTCAGGTGAGCTACTGCATAAAGCCCTAGAGACATCGACGGAATGAGGTCCAAAAAGAGTCTCTCCGAGTTGTTCTTTGCTAATGGAGCCACAAAGAAGGCCTCCGTATAGAGGCCCAGATTGGGGCGCTATCTCTTCTACTGTCGCACATATTCTTAGCATAGCTATCCCCACCTTGAGTCCGCCATGAGAAAGAGGATTTTCAAAGCGCCTACGCCCTAGTTAAGCTATTGCTAGTTCTGTGAAAGTACGGAGATGTTTGTGATTACATTGATTCTTCCAGCATAGGTCGAGACGCACACAATGCCTTTTGGGGACTCGCTCTGTTCCGTCATCTTCGCTCACATCCATTGTTTGGGGAGTACCGCTGCTTAATTTTATTGCAAGCTGGTTCGCAAAATATCGCTGCGGTTCGACAGATTGGGTGCTTTAGGGTGGTGAGCAGGCGCGCGAGTTCCGCTTTGCCCTCAAACCCATGACTAGACTGAGCCGCTTTTCCTGACAACATAAAACGCATGCCAGGCTGATTCACTCTCGTCGACAATTATCCTCTGTGTAGAGGCCGCATCGGCGGTCTTTGCTTCATTTAGTGCCTCCCGTGTTTTGTATGGACCACGTTGGAACTTCCGACCGAAGTTTACCAGCGATAGCCAGGCTTTCCACGACCAATTGGCCTCGACTCGCTGCCGGGTCTTTCCCAAATCTCTTTCCAAGATTTGCCCCTTCAATTTATTTTCCCATACTTCTTTCCCAAGTTCGTCTCCCAATTTTTTCGCAAGTCCTTGGCTGAGTTCCCTTTCTAAGGCATCCTTCGTAAATTCCTTCGCATAATTCTGTCCCATTTGCAACATGAAAAAACGATTCCCAGTTTCTATCAGAGATTGGCATATTTAACACCAGGTCCTGGCCAATCTACTGCATTTTCTGCGAATATAAGGACTCTTCTCCTCTCTACACAGGCAATTTAACCATAGAAATAATGCTACTGCCACTGCCGTGCTTTCGTCCTTTACTTCCATTACTAGCTAAAGTCAAAGTCATCATCTCGAGCACTTCTTTCACCAGACCCATCAGCTGTCAATCCTATAGTGATAGTTGAAGACTTCATCTCCTCCGGCTAGGCCATAGCCTGATCTAATTTACTCCGCCCTCACTCTTGTGCAGGTCTATCATTGTGACATCATTGCATTGCAACACAACCGCTCAGTAATAGTCAAAGAGCGAGTACATCATCCCATTCTCACACTTCCAAGGAAGCTCACCTTTCTATCTCAACGGAGATTTAACAAACACCGTCCTCTTTATCTTTTTGTAAAAGCATTGCTAATACTCGCTATCATCACTAGCCTTTTTGATAGATTCTTCACTCCGCTTGAGATACCGTTCGCTTTCAACCGGAGACAAAGCGGCCCCGTCTTTCTAGGAATCTCAAGGTAAGATGGCGCATCCCTGGTTCCTGTAAGATAGAGGAGTTTTCATGCCACCTATTCTGAACTCTCCCTCTATTGATGCATCCAAACTGCAGTGTCTTATACTGCATCATGTCCAACTCAAACCAGATGCTGTGACGATGCTTGGCCCACGTACCTAATTGCAGCTTGCATGTTTCCCATGTCTTACACCTGCTGTTTAGATAAGTAACACCAGATCGCCCTGGCTTCTAAAACACATGGCAAGGTCGCGGCTCGAAGCATCTTCCGAGTCCCGATTGCGCCATACATTCTCCATGATCTCAAGTGCCTTGCGTAGTGTGCCAAAGACACTAGGCGGCTGCAATGCCTCCACCAGGCCGCGAAAGTGAGCTTCATGCGACGGCTCTGCAAGACAGCCAGCCACGCATAAGGGCCAGACCATGGTACGTAGCAACTCTGGCGGCGATATTTGATGTCTAATCAGCTCAACAGCCCGACTGACGTGATAATACACATCGACACTCGCGGGCTGCCATCCAGGCACAACGACAGACAGATAAATGAGCGCTGCATGTGCCCAGACACGCGTGACCAAGTTGCTCTGGGAGGCAAGGCTCCTTGTATGCCGGCCATGATCGAACGCAAAGACATCCAGCAAGCTGTTACTTTCTTTTGAAACACACAATGGATCGGTCTCGAGCCGCGCGAGCTGAGATTCCAACGAGACCTTGATAGACGTGGCGCGGTGGACAAGCTCCATAACATCGAGAACTCCCGCCCTCCTGCACTGCACTTTCCATGCATCAAGCACGACAATCTCGCCGATTTCTAGCAACACCCAGTTTTGACATCCTACAATAGCTTCAAGGTTGATAGCGGGGTCGTTGCCATCGATGTTACTGAGGAGGCTCCGGTGGTACTCATACAGTTTAGGTGGTTCCTGGAGTACCGTGCTTGCAATGATATCATCCAAGACCAACAGTGCTGATGAGAAGCGAAAGGCAGCCTGTTCAGGGCTGGGCATCTCAACACTCGGAGCAAGTGGAATCCACGATGAAGGTCCTAAGCCGGTTAAGACAGCCTTGAAGCTCGAGTTTGGATCCGTAACGCCAGGGCTGTCGAGAAGTTGTTTGAACAGGGCAACAGCAGCATTGAGATGTGCCTGGCAATTGTCAAAGCACAAGATCGCAACTTCAAAACGCTGCACTTGCATAATGCTTGCCAAGATTCGTACAGCACCATGCAGGTGCTCCGCGATACCAGCGCCGTCGATGATCCGCAGCGCCTGTCTCAGCATCTCAAAAGCGTCCCTCGTCTGCGCGAGCAGCGTCTCCCAATGCACATCGCCATCGCCATCCCCCGTCCCCCGCGCGAGAGAAAAGAAATACGAACTCTGACAGAAAGCAGTTTGTCGTATGACTGGGCTCCGCGTCATCATCTCCAGGATCCAGGCTCTACCGCCTTCGAGGACAGAGGGGCGGTAGAATGGGAAGAGCAGGGGAAGTAGGTACTCGAGGTAAAACATGAGGAGGATGGTGTCGGACCCTCCGAGGATCATGCTTTCTTTGGGGTCCTTCTCAAGCAACAGGCAATCAACAGGACGTAAGGGTGATGTAGTAGATGCCTCGGTATACGGCTCCGCCCCATTACTGCGAGTGTCCGTTGTTCTACTTGACGCGCATATCGGATTAGGTAGACACTTGGGTGCTATTGGGAATATCATTTCCACATCGTCTATGGTAGCTTCGGCAGCTGAGACTTGGTCGACAGAGACATGTACCGCACGCTCTTCACGGCGGAGGTAGCCCTTCTCTTTGACCTCGCTCTTGACCCGCTCGGCCATCTCTTCCTGTCTCACGCCGCCATCCATCCATTCTGGTTTGTCCTGGTCGAAATGGCAGACGATATGGAGCGCAGAGCAGGCGTCACATACAGGGCGTGTCTCGTCGCATTTTTTGCGCCGGAGTCGGCAGGTCCAACAGCCGTTGAAGCTCTTTGTGGTGTTACTAGGACGGCGACCAAGCTCCATATCGTAGCACCCGGGTAGTGGCGGAACTATATACTATGTGAGGGCTTCCTCATAGTGAGTAGTACGTGCGGTGTCGTGGGTCTTGAGATGTTCTCCCTCTGTAGCCTGTAAGCTTAATAATCAAACTACTTGGTTTACCACCCAAGTCAATTCAAGCAACTTAACGTTAATTTCCATTTTACCCGCCTGAAGTTGCGAGCTGTTCATCTACGCGGAGTAGGTGGAAGAGGAGTCTTCATATCATATACAGATCATAACCTAGCACTCAAGGCGATTTCCAAACGCCGCCCAATGCTTTCCTTTAGTACATAGTATACACATACTCATAACACCCATCCGTTTACAAATCCGTTTACAAATCTTCCAAAATATCACGGTCGATACTCTTCTTTCTTCCTTTCCTTCCCCCACTCCCCCTAATCTTCCGATCGCTAGTATACCTCCCATCGCGATCTCCTACCAGCATTCTCCCTCCCTTGCCCAACACCCTCGCCTCGCCCTCCTCCACAGCTCTACCGTCCTTCTCGCCAACCCCAAGTTCGATAACAACGTGCTTTGCCTTCTTCACCTTCCTACCCTTCTTATCATACTCGTCCGTTGGGCGGCCGAGTCGTACGTTGCGAGGTATCCGCGTCTTTGCGCCAAGGGCCCATAGGTCGCCCCAGCGCGCTTTTCGGGCGTCGCGGAAGGCTTGCTTGCTGAAGGAGCGTGGGACGGTCCATCGTTCGAGAGTTCCTGCTGGGGTACAGACGTCGAGGATGATGTGACCGCGGCGTTTAAGGGCAGGGAGGATGAGGCGGGGAAATGTCAGAGGATTCACATCCTCTACGGAAGTCAAGGTAGGCTCCTCGGTTTCCAAATCCGCGTCGGGGTTGGAGGAGGCGTGCCATTCGTGGCCTTCAAAAGCAGCGTCGGTGGAGGCTACGGACTGTGAGAAGCCTTTGCCGGTGATGTCGTGTTCTGGGAGGCGCAGGTCGCGGCCGCGTTGGACCGCGAGGTAGCTGAATTGCACATCTTCGTGGTTTTTGTCTTTGGCGTTCAATATGCGTTGGAGGTATGGAGGGCGTATGTAGCGCTGGCTGAAGAAGCAAAAGTCCTTTCTTCGATTGCTGACACCAGGAGATTGATACATGGGGCATGTGTTGTGGTTTGTACACGGGGCAATTATCATGCCCGTTTCCTTTTCTGTAAACCTAGTCTCTTCGTCAGGCCTAGAGACTTGGGACTCTACTGAGGCTTCGATGGTGTCCGAGTCGGGCGAAGCGATGTGCTTGTTCAGAAGGTGCGAGCGAGCGCCAGCAATGACTTCAAAACCACGGGGCAAGCCTTTTTCGATAAGTACGAGCACGCCACCCTTGGGGTTGAGGAGGGACCAGTATTTCTCGACCTGTTCTTTGCGAAGGTATTCTTGTCGAAGAGACCAGAGCGTGTGTGGTGCGATGATAAGATCGTAGAACTTGCGGGGTTGTTGCGTGTTATCCTCTCCATCTGCTATTACAGTTTCTGGTAGTCGAGGAATGAAAGTTGTGTTTTCCAGTAGTTTGCTCGCACGGTGTCGTAACGTGTCAGAGGCTGTCAACACCGTCGCCTTACCCAGCGGGGTGGCATCTTGTGAAAGGTTCCCAGATTTTTCGTGCATTCGCTGCCACTCCGCTTGTAGTATCTCGTGCCACGCAAGTACACCAACGCCACCAGATCCAGCATCCAGTATCGCGCCCCCCTTCTTTTTCCGTAGCATGTGTTCTAACCACGGTGCTCCTAGCCGACGGCGAACTTCGACCAAAGCGCTCATGACGCTCGCGTACGTACCAGGCTGCACAGCTGCCATATACACATCCGCCTCGATATGGCCCATATCTGCTTGCGAAGGGTTCAATGGGATTGGCTTCTGCTCGTTGCCCATGCGCGCTGGTGGTGTGCTAGCAGAGTTTGGAAGGCCCCGGCCGCCGAAAATACGATTTGCGGACTCGGCGAGGTGCTTGTGGTTCGCGCGGGTGAGGAGGAGAGCCGTTGGGTCAACGAAGTTTTCTTTCGGGAGGAAGACCGTCGAAGGAGCAGGCTTGAAGCGACCTGCGACAGTCAAAGGGTGCGCGCGCATGAAGTCTTCATCCTCTTCTATGTCTTCCCAGGTCTCTGTTTCCTCCTGTGCTAGCCGACTCTTTTCATAGACTCCTTCATGATACGTCTGTGCCTTCTGCTCCCTGTATTCCTCCCACTCCTCTGGCGTCCTTGTCTCTTCGTCGAGGTCCCCTTCTTCGCTCTGTATTACATCTTCGGTTTCATCGATGACCTCAATCTCCTCAAGCTCGCCATTCTCGCCCTTTCTCAGCAGGACTATGGATCCATCGGGCAATTCCTCCTCGATGATCTCCTCTTCGGCTACAGTATCCACTTCTTGCAAGTCTTCGACATTATCCACGAATACCGGTGTCCCATACAATCTTTCGTACACCGTGTATTCCTCATCGCTCAAATGATTCCGTGGTAATGCGTCGCCAAATTGCTGTCTCGCTCTCCGCGCATTGACTTCGATGTTCAGTCCTTCAGCAGGCGTTGGTGGTAGTTCTTCGGAGCCGACTGCATGCTCCTGGGTCAATTGTTTCTGTATACTTGTTGTGAATAGCGTTCTTCGTGGTGTTAGGAAATTCGTCGCGCTCGATCGCAAATGTCGTGGTACAAGCTGTGCCTGTACGGGTAATCGCGCATTGCGCGCTCGAGAGATGGCGAGGTTAAGGCGACATGATGCACAAATAGACTGCACACTCCTTGTCTTGAGCATGTTCAGGCTGAATAGACACGATTGACGTTGTAATGCTTGAAGTACGGAGGAGAAAAGTCGCCGCATCTTCTCAGATCGCAGGGTTCCGCACTAAGCGTTATTTGTCGAAGCTCCCGTCCAATCACAAGATAGCTATTGTACTTCAACGCCAAGCTGGTGCACCAACATCGTCGACGTCTCACACTCCTACTATCGTCGCGCGCCGTGGGGACTTTTTCCACGTCCATATTCTATAATTACGGCAGCGATTGCTTTCTGGATCCCCGATTTTCGTATAAGAATGAGAGCCCTCCTCCGTTCCTCCGCCCTCGCCGCTTCTTCCCGTCCCATCACTACTACTGTTATTACTACTGCTGCCACTGCCAACTTTATCGAAAACAGGTTGATTTTGAAGATCCATGTTGTTACCTTAAGATCTCTGAACACCTGGCGGTGAAGTTTGAGTATGAGTATGAGGAGATCCTTACCTCGAAAACATATTCGATAAGTGAGCCTAAGTGCTCAACGAATTGTATGATTAAGCACGAGAATATGTACGATCAACTATCATGTAACAATCGTCTCAAGTACCATGTCCACCGCCCATTCTTTACAATACTCTCCCATTCCTTCAACGGGTAATTAATGGCACCAGTCATCCTCGTCAACAGAAGACATCGTATTGAGGGACTTGACATACTCCCAGTATTCTGGGTAAGCACCCCCCGCCTCCCAGTCGACGATACCCTTTATCTCGACGTGCCCATCGTGAAGTGCAGCTATAATATTCCTCGGATGGAAGTCACCATGGGTCATCACAATTCGATGATGTGAATGTAAACACCTTGTTCGTATGAAATCCTGGTAAGTCTGAGCGATCCTCGGTCGTATTGTGGACAGCAGGAAGTCGTTGAAGTCATCTCCATTATGAATTGGCCCCGAACTGCAGCGAACCGATCTCCTGACGTCTTTGCATCTAGTAGGGACACCCCCACCAAGCTGTATAGATGGTAACGGCAGTTTTCTGAGGTCTAAGAGCATGGTACTGAGTTGATCGCGAACAGCTGCTTTCTGATCCGCTCGCAGCGAAGGCCATAGCTCTTGTAACGAATTCCCCTCAATGAACGTCAGGAAAAGATATGTCATGCCGTTGTGGATCACCGATCCCAGGGGTTGAGGCGAAGGAAAGCTCTTCGAAACCCGGTGAATGTGCTCCAGATTGGTCATTTCGTTGAGATCTAGTCCCTCCCCAGTCTTGACAACAATGTCAGGAGTGATTTGCGTCACAGTTCTTCCGCCAGATGCGGAAAGTCTCTTCCCGCTCTTTATCAATGCGTTGATTTTTGATAACATGATATAGTCGTCACGATTTTCTGCCGATAGTAGTTCGTTGGTTGTTCCATTTCCAATCATTGCTTTCACTTTGCAATCGAGAGGGTAAGTGACGACTACGGGGGTGCAATGCGTCGGTCCTTCATCATGGTTGTTTATTGGTGAGGGTGGCGAGACAGGCGCAAGGTCTGATAATATTAGCTTCATCAACCTGAAAGAGTATTACCGCACACTTTGATTGAGCTGACCCTGTTGATTTTTCCGCAACTTCCTCAAACGTAAGTATCTCGAGCTATAATCCTGAAAGAGAGGTCCAAGGTCGGCAGCAGCATCATGCTCCAACGCCTTTTTACAAGCGATCTGGAATTTGAGCAGGTGCCGATCATTAAGGTTTCGTAGTTCTGCATTACCGCCATGGCTTGCACCGGAAGTGTGCCGCTTTCGTGGGTTTTCAGTGTCTGACAAAGAGCTGACTGTGCTGTGCTTCATTGGTACTGTGTGGTCGCTCATGTAGAGCAGAGTGAAACTTTGCGTTGGGGGATCGTTTGCGGTTTTGGGAAGAGCCAAATTGATAGCTTCATATGGACTATCAAGGCGTTGTGCAAGACTGGGCGTTACAGGTGATATTGTGGCTGAACGCGAGTTTCTTCTTAGAAGTAGTGGCGCTATGATCGTTATCATCGATGTATTATCCGGCCTTGTGAGAACAGAGCTTCGGGCACGCTCGTTCTGCGGGACTGCTGGTATGGTTTTGGAGGTCGTTCCCAAGACGTGCACGAAATTCTAAGGAAATGGTTGGCGCATTTACACGTGGCTTTGCGTTTGCTCGATTTCACCTGACGTAGACTGCCCTGGATGGACCACGGGGCCTCGGATTTCATCGAGAAAGAAGGGTTCCAACGTCACTCAAGATCGCAGTAACGGTATAGGGGTATCGGGAGCATATATGTACGTACTTCAGTGCACTCAACGTACTTCACAGAGCCAGCGGCAGTTCAACTAGAGCGTAGGCGCTTTGGAATTCCTCTTATGGCACTTGGTGAACTCCAGTCCTTCTTCCTTTTCTGATTCTCCACGCCGTGCTAAGCCATATACCAGCCCAACCCACCACCATCCACACTATCAATACACCGAAATTGAGTCCCAAATGGCTTTTCGTGCCGAACTCGATTGTCCTGGTTGCTCGAATCTATGTCGATATAATCAATACTTCATTCAACGCAGATGATGGCGCCTATTACTCACACAGTGATAGAACGGCATAGCGTATCCAAACTTATAGAATTCCGCCATCAATTCAAAACTTGCAAAAGCCCCACTTGCATTCGTAATAAGCCAGATGTTGAGGAAGAAGGGGGCCCATTGTATGCCAATGATTGTAGAGACAGATTCCATGACGAGACCGCATGCGCCCATCATACAGAAGTTCAGCATCCAGAGGGCCATGAAACCAGCGCCAGAGGTAGAATAGTGACCCGTCAATGGGATGGAGAAGGCGAGCATGCCGAGAGTGTACATCAGAGCAAGGAAGAAGTAGGCTGACAACGAGGAAACGGTGCGTAAGATGAGCGTTGTGCGGAGCGTGAAGAGGTGGCCATGGAGTTCAGCGCCAGCGCGGAGGATGGTGAAGATGTTGAATGTGAATGTTAGCAGCTAGACCGTTGAAGTTAGAGAGGGGCCACAAAAGGAGGGAGGAGGAACTCTTACAAACACTAGTCCGATATTGAGAGTCCCAAATGCCACTGGCGGAGAGAACGGGATGAGGTCCACCTGCTTCACAGCGAACGGTGAAGCAAGACATTGCGGGCATCGAAGCGCTGTTGATAATGAGACCTCGCTACCCGCCTTCTCAGTCACCTTCAGGAAGGACGTAGTCGAATTAGCAGCAAGCTCAGACAGCACCTGGCTGACAAGACCCATCGCAGCCGGTACGGTAACCGAGAGTGTAGTGACCTGCTGCCGAGCGGACGCGAAGTAAAGTGTCACTGCGGACAATGGATCGTATGATGAATCTCCCTGCAAAAGAGCATCTCGTAGGCTAGAGGATGCATGGGCAGAGATCTGCAGAACAGCCCAGGTATTCTCTTCCAGTATCATGTTTCTACTCCAAGCATCGCCATGTTCTATACTTTTCTCATCAAAGTACCAATCCAAACTCGGGCCTGGCCTTTCCAAGCTTTCTCTAATGCCGTTGACCAGTCCTTGACCGAAAGACCCATCATCGAGATTGACAGCTGTGACGCTAATTCGGGATATATCGCTGGCTTTAAGTAGAGACCCGAAGAACAGCGAGAGACACGCCCAGAGGAGAATTGAATTGTAGAATATGGGGAGTATGATCGCTGGAACGAGTGATTTTCGTGCGCCGGTGCCTTCTGTGGAGAAGAATGTGTGCCGATATAGTTGAGGGGTAGGAGAAGGAGACTCTCCGTGCAGGACTGGAGTTTTGGTATCTTGAAGCATGTCTGACATTCGAACTCACCGCTGGAAGGGATGTATTGGTAGAATGTTGACAGTTAAACCGGGCATTTTCTTATAAGCATATACGCTACGACATTCTGGTATTGTCCTCTTTCCATATCGGGCGAGTGAGCATCAAGGCCAATCACGTTCAATCAGACCCCCTGGGCGCTGCTGACGGAAGCGTTGCAGGCTTAGATCGGATTATATAACGGTAGATCTCAATCAACGTCTAGGAAAGGGCTGACTCAGTGATACAGCAGATTATAGCTCTTTCTCCCTTCTCCTAGAGTCCTTGTTTAACATAGTAATTCCGGGCGTGTTTTGAAGAAGCCTCAGTGTGGCTCGGCAAATCATAGCGAATGTCTTCTCTGATTCCATCCTTTTCGGACATCGAGGCATAGTGAGATATCACAAGTTGGAGATGGAGATGAAAACAAGAAAAGGGGAACTGGCAGGGTGATGTTGAATTAGAAGCATTATGTAATGGTTAGGCAGCCCTGGAGTGCCCCTCACATTCGGACCTCCGAGACCTTCCCCGCATAAACACACTTTTGACTCGGCGATCTTCTAGCGCCACAAGCAACCCTACCACAACACTCTCGCGTGACTTTTCCACGACGACATACTAAGACAACATGTCTGACGAAGACCTCGAGCAGATTAGGCGCGCACGCCTCCAGCAGCTGCAACAGCAAGGCGGCGGCGGTGGAGGAGGAGGCGGGCAAGGCGGCGAAGGCTCAGAGCAAGAATCGAAACAGTAAGTCCCCAGCACGAAGTCCATGAATATCTACTAAAAGCGTCTCGCAGGCAAAGAGAGGGTACATCTCCCACCTTCCACCCCGCCTTCGAAGCCAATTCATCAAGTTCCCCTAATTATAACAGCAGGAACTAACAACCCCCATAGCAGACCAACGTAACTCCATCCTAGCTCAAATCCTCACACCCGACGCCGCCGACCGTCTCGGCCGCATCCGCCTCGTCAAAGAGTCCCGCGCAACCGATATCGAGAACCGGCTCATCATGCTCGCCCGCACAGGGCAGATACGGCAGAAAGTGTCGGAGGAGCAGTTGAAGGAGATTCTGGGTGCGGTCGCGGAACAGAATGAGAAGGAAGAGAGCAAGATTATAGTGAATAGGAGAGGAGGGGGCTGGGATGACGATGATGAGCTGGAGGAGCTCATGAAGGACGTGTAAAGCGTACAAGAGGGGGCTTGGTGATGCGATGCATTGGGAGGCGTTTAGGGAGTGATCACAACATGCCTACTACGGTCGCATGTTTGCATGCACATTGGGGAACTTTTTGAGCAGTCGATCATATGGAATCTCTCAAGCATGCAGCCTGCACTCTGATCCTGACTACCTGAACACATTTACAGCTTCTTAATCTGCTTCCTCACCCGGCCAATTTCAATCTCCTGGGTCCGCAGGTGGCGAGCTATGGTAGCTAGCTGGGGAATAGGTCCCTCGACGGCTGAAATGAATGTTGATTGCGCAGTACGGAGAGCAGGTGGCACGAGGATTCCAAACCAATGCAGTGGGTCAACCACCTTGCTCGATTCTGCTGTACTCTCTCGGTCCTCTCTTGAATCAGTCCTTGGTGCGGAGGTTTTTTCTGATGTTGATCCGGTCTTGGGGGTCTCTGATGGCTGTTGTTGATCTCCAGATGCATAATCTCGCTTATTCTCGTTCTCATCTTCTTGCTCTTTCGGCGTGCTCTTCTCTGTGCTCTTAACGCCTTTACCGCTTTCGTTGGCCGGGAAGGTAGAAAACCGGATCCGCCCTTCTATTATTTCAGACTCAGGTTCTTTCACGTTACTGATCTTGTTAGCTCAGCATCTAAGCTTGATTGTGGTGTACGTTTGAAGCCAAGTGATAGAAGATGAGCTTTGGAGTAGGGGTAAGTAGTTGTTTGAAATGAACGTACACCTTTCGTATGGCTTGCATGCGCTCATCGTAACAATCTTGTCCGTATCTGATTGCGGACGAAGAGTTGTGGAAGTTCGCTTGAGCAAGAGATAGATAGCCCTTTATATACAGTCAGACCAGAAATAAAAAACTAGAAGCTGTTTAGTTTAAGCACTTACTGAAGATAGCTGCTTCGCAAGCTCCCGTCTGACCTTCTCATACTCATCCAGCGTATGAAGATACCGTTCTAGTAGCTCGTCAAGCTGGGCGATGAGCGCATCTTTCTCCACTCTCTGGATATCGGATTGAGCATTGAAAGTATGAGGCAAGGAATCCTTAATACTAGTCATGGCTAGAAAGCCTGGTGGAGTGTTATTCGAGGGAGCCCTCAAGGTAGAGATGTACTGCGGCGACCATACCACTTTCGGGCCTAGACCGAGTGAGCTCGGCTGTCCGACATCATACGCATGGATCTCGCGAGCAACTTTCGAACAATCGTCGCGAACCCCAATTGCGCACCCGACCGCCCCCAATGTCGAAACCAAATCCCTTCCTCAACCTCTTCCGGCGGTACTACTCGCAAAATGCCTCGACCTTCACGCAATCACGCCCCGCCTTCAACACATCACGCACCGCCCGCCCGCAATGCACCCGCTCACGCTTCGCACCGCAATTCGTCCTCTTCCGCCGCAACGTCGGCGGCGGCCCTGGTCTCGATCCAAACTTCGTCTCGATTCTCGACCGCCCGGCCAAAATGGCGCGCGTGGGCAAAAAACACGGACCGGGGCTGATCATCCTCGCTATTATCCCTCTCACGGCGTTCGTCCTGGGGTGCTGGCAGGTGCAACGGCTGGGCTGGAAGACGGACCTCATAGCGCGGTTTGAGGACCGGTTGACGTTTCCGCCGCTGGAGTTGCCGTTGCGCATCGATCCGCAGGCGGTCAAGGATTTTGATTATAGAAAAGTGTATGCGCGCGGCGTGTTGAGGCATGATCAGGAGATGCTGATTGGGCCGCGCATGTTGGATGGGGAGGAAGGGTATACGGTGGTTACTCCGCTGGAACGGACGGATGCAAAGGGCAATGTGCACAAGATCCTGTGCTGTCGGGGGTGGATCAGAAAGGACGCAAAGCCGCAGTGGTTCAGGAAAAAGAACGGGGCGCTGCCAGAGGGAGAGGTTACGATTGAGGGGTTGCTGAGAATACCGCCACCTGGGAATATGTTCACGCCGAGGAATGAGCCGGAGAAGGGGAAGTGGTTTTTCCCCAGTGTAGAAGAGATGGCGCAACATTCGGGAAGTCAGCCCGTTTGGGTAGAGGAGACAATGAGTGAGTACAAAAATTCTGGGATAAGCATGGGGTATCTAACTATAATCCAGCGCCTGACCTGCTCACAAACTATGAGCGCGAACCCAAGGGCGTACCGATTGGCAGAGCGCCGACCGTGAATCTGCGAAACAACCATACGCAGTACATCTTCACATGGTTCGTAACTTCACCTCCCGCTTTCGGACCAACAACTAACACCGGACAGGTACGCGCTCAGTCTCGCCACCTCAGTGATGTTCTGGATGGTGGTAAAGAAGCCCATATCCGGTACCCAACGGCGGGTGCGACACAGTGTCGACTGGTCATAATACCGACTTCGTGTCTTGCCTTTAGTCTTCCTCTTCCTCTTGTATAGTATTCAACCGCTTCCGCTTTTGCCCCCGCAGCTTGATCGGAGGCTCCATTCGCAGTTGCTGGAGCAGCTCTCTGGGAAGCAGCTTTTGCGCGAGTGAGAATGATGTGGTGTTGCTCGTAGTTTTGCGAGTCCTGCAAGTAGTTAATCAGCCGCGCTGATATCAAAAGTACAATTGTATAACAGGTGGAATGTAACATACCTCTTCATCAGTGCAATAACATCACTTTCGTCAATCATCTTCCGCCCACCATGCTGCGCATACGCTGCAAGGTCAATCCCTATCTGCTCAAAGAAATCATCCGTCGTCTTGACCAAGGCAGCAACCGCATCTTTGCTCAGCTGCCCCTTGCTCCCTTGAGATTTCATGAAACCCAAAGCAAGCTTCTTCACCGGCAGAGCTGGAAACGAAGGATACTCGAGTCCTCGTTGTGAGATCCGGAGCTCTTTGGCTTTTCTGCCCGCTTGTTGTTTCGCAGCGGCAGAGCGTTCGGGTGACTGGGTGTGCAGGCTTCGATCTAGTGCTGATTCTTCTTCGCGGTATGCGGTCAAGTCCGCGTCGTCGTCTGAGCCGTGATCGGACTCCCATCCTACAATACCATCGACATTTGTAGGTTCGTCGCCATGCAGTGCTGCAGTTTCATCGTCCAAGTCGTCTTCTGCTAATACAGGCATACCTTCTTCGGCGTCTAGAGCCCCGTCATCCCAGTCTCGCTCTTCTTCTTCTACTTCTTGTGGCTCTTCCAATACTGGTGCACGTATACGTTCAGGAATGAGGAAGCGAAAAGTTGGTTCATCGGTATCATCATCTGCCTCGCCAAACACACCCAGATCCACGTCGCTCGGGCGTCCATCTCTTCGACCTGTCAATGCTCGCATCTGCGTTGTAGTATCATCCTCATCGAGCGCGTCGTCGATAGTTTGGTCAAGCAACCCATCCGCACGTCGGTTTATGAATGTTCCATCGACTTCATACTCCTCATCGACTGCGCCGAGTTCGCTGAAATCCGCAAATCGCTCACTTTGTCTCCCCCCAAACATGAATCGTGGGTCTTCGCTGATAGCTCGTCGCCCAAACTCCAGCGACTGTACGGTTCCTCCATCTACGTCGTCTGGTAGTTCAGGAAGTAGTGACCGTCGTGGTGGGGCGTCGTGGAAGCTATCCTCGTCGTACATATCATCGAGTGGCATGGAAAGTCGAGGTGCTTGCATATCTGGGCCATCTTCGACGTCTGGGAGGTCGAGCGCCGAATGTCGCACACGCCGTGGTAGAACCTGTGGTGAGGGCTCCGTTGGTCGATTGTCGCGAGCAAGCGCTACACGTCCGATTAGCCTAGGAATGAAGCAATTGGTCTATATCCATACCTCTGCTTAGGTCCCTCAAGATATCTCGCGGGGTCTCCCTTTGTACTCTCCCGCTTCTCCTCCGGTTGTTCCCTGGCGTTCTTGCTGCATTGGCACGCTCCCTCAATGCCCTGATCGCATGCGGTGTAGTCGGCGCTGTTCTTCGTGCTGGAATTGGGCGAGTTGCCGGGCCTCCTCGAGGTGTCCTCCCTGTCCCTGGTGTTCTAAACGTCGGCGTCTTCGAGTCTCCTGGTGTGGGCCCCGCGCTGGTCCCCCGTCGGAACGGTGTGCTAGGCTGTATGCGCGCAGCGGCGTGTGGCGTACCATTCATATTGCGCTCTGGCGAAAGGCGCTGCTTTTTGCGTGCAGACTCGGACATGATTGTGGCAGCTATGGAAGTGTGAAGTGGGCTTGTTGCGGGACGTCAACGAAACGCGTCGGTAGGACGCGACTTCCCCGGCCTGGATCCGGGCTAGGCTTGACAGGGCTAGGTCAGTGCTTATCGATAGCAATAGCTTCTGGAACTTTTTCGTTGCCCAACCCTTGGTGTTGCATATCTTCACTCCAAACACTAGCCACACGATGTCAGATTCCGATTCAGAAGGTGGAGTGCCCCTGATTGAGGCTGCGTTTGATCCCACATCAACCTCGAAGAAGAGAAAGGCCGAGGCTGAGCCCGAGGCAAGCAAAGACAACAAGAAGGCCGCGAAGAAGGCAAAACGGAAGGAAAAGAAAAAGCAGAAAGCAAAAGAGATTGACGAGGACGATTTGGATCAAGAGCTGGGAGTGAATCACTCGTTTGAGCGGATGGATGGTCAGCTGCTTGCAGACTATGTAAATGCGCGAACAAGGCTTTATGGCAAGGACTTGAGTAGTGTTGAGCTCGAAGACAAGTTCATATCTGGTGGGTAAGATCTTTATACGGAAATGTTCGGATATTGACTGGATACAGCACGTACCGTACAAGACAGTACCAGCTGGAGTGAGCCGCGGACTACAGACAATCTTTCCGCGTTTATCAAAAGGCATTCAAGTACGCTGAAGGCCACGCCGTCCAAACCTGCGGGAGCACCACATACTATTGTGGTCACCGCATCCGGAATCCGAGCTGCCGATGTGTGCAGGTCGCTCAAGTCCGGGCTGCCCAAACAGGGTACCAAGGATCTCAATGTCGCCAAGTTGTTCGCAAAGCACTTGAAGCTCGCCGACCAAGTGGCACACTTGAAGAAGAACAAGTACGTTGAGGACGATGATGACGCTAGCTTGGCACTGACTGGGTTGCACAGGATTGACTTTGGCGTGGGAACACCAGACAGACTGTCCGCACTGTTGGACGAGAAGGCGTTGTCGGTAGCCAACCTGAAGCGGGTGCTCGTTGACGTCTCGTACATTGACCAGAAGAAGCGGGGCATTCTCGACATGAAGGACCTGCACGAGGCGCTGCTTAAGTTCCTACTGAGGAAAGAGTTTGTGGGAGAAGAGAGACAGGGTGGCGACGGCCTGTTCCTCTTCTACTGATTCTTTAGTGAAGTGATTGTTATAGAGGCGAACGATACCCCTTGAATAGTTAGAAACGAGGTCAGTCTACAATTGAAACTCCTCGTAACAGATGGTATATCCAACACGATGATTGTCGTGCGTGAACTTGCAGGCATCGTCGACGCAGGTTGGCAAAGAGGGGCATTCTATAAATGGTCCATGGATGTGTCTATCCCTCGAAGTGGATGCATGTCGAAACGTGTTGATGCATGCCGTTAGTCACGCCACACCAGGTAGCGAATGGCGTAGCAAATGGAGTCGAGGCTCGGATTTGCGGGAAACAGTTGTATGCAAGTGCTAATGTACCGTTCACATGTCTGTCGAAGTGGAACGGCTAATTAAGAAGGCTGGCTGGCGAGCAGAAAAAGCGACCTGCAGGCGAATCACGGGCTAGAAACTATAGAATATCCATTATGGGCTGCATGACCCCATGGACGCGGCTAACTTAACCAAGAGGGAGAGAGGCTGCTCTTCTCTACACTACTAGTCGGTCGATAGCATGGGACGCCTGGGGACGGTATGCACGGCGCAGAGCCATCCATCACAGCGCCATGTTTGGTAGGGCAGACAAACAGTGAGACAGACAGAGACCAACCGAAGCTGTCTACAGGGCCCGGGGCCAGGAGAAGTGTGGCCCAAACCGGTGCTTCTGCCACTGCCCACTGCCAACCGTGCGTCCTGCCTATCAGACCTGGCAGAAGCTTTGCTTGCTCTGCTGGTGGGTGTCGCAAATGGGTTTCAAGAAAGAAGCCCACCTCGATACGCGCCTGCCCTTTTGCCAAATAGACCGACCCTCTTCTTGACCTCTCTTCACCAACACCGTCTGGAGACTGACTGACCTGCCGCCTCTTCACCTCACCACACTTTTTGCGCAACCCTCTAGAAGCCCAGAAGCTGCCCTCTCGCTAGTTAATAAGTGAATAAAGCTACCGCCAACCCACGACTCGACCCCCGCCGAACTCCGTGGCCCGCGCGACTCACGCCGCCTCCCATCCACCTCTCAAAGCTCGCTTCTCAACCCGCCGCTGCCAAGCAATAAAACGCCCCCCTACCCTACGCCGCAGATAGCTGGCGCGCCTTCGCAGAAGCTACTTCGGCTTCAGTCCCAACGGTGCGTCTTCCACCTACTTTGCGCATCATCGCTGCATCTCGCATCCCGCATCTGACTCCATCCCCGTGCAGGACATCGCCAGCTCCGCTGTTCGCCTCTTGCTCCCCCGAAGCGCCCCATCGTATCCGCCAAACAGGGCCGCCAAATACCCGTCTTATACAACCCTAATCAGACCACACGTACCACACCAGCGCCATGGCTGCTCCTGCGACCCAATCTCTCAAGGTGCGCTTCCGTGCCATAGACTGCTGTACCGAGACGGGCGGACATGGGAGCTAACTGCTGCACAGTGTGTTGTGACGGGCGACGGTGCTGTGGGCAAAGTGAGACATTGCTCCTCCAGGACTGCCTTGCCCAATGAATGCTAATGTTGCAGACATGTCTTCTCATCTCGTACACAACAAATGCTTTCCCAGGAGAATACATTCCTACAGTGTAGGCGTTTGCCCGAGACACTCCTGACACGAGCTAATCGCGTCCAGGTTTGACAACTACTCCGCAAATGTCATGGTAGATGGAAAGCCGATAAGTCTCGGACTCTGGGATACTGCCGGGCAGGAAGATTACGACCGACTACGGCCACTCTCATACCCGCAGACCGACGTCTTCTTAATCTGCTTCTCCATCGTCAGCCCCCCATCCTTCGATAACGTCAAAGCGAAGGCAAGAACCCATCTCCCACTACTATGGTGACAGATGCTGACAAAGTGTTTAGTGGTACCCCGAGATCGACCATCATGCGCCAGGTGTTCCCATTATCCTTGTCGGCACAAAGCTGGACTTGAGGGACGATGAGGCGACCAAGGAGTCGCTAAGGCAGAAGAAGATGGCACCCATTCAGTACGAGCAGGCCGTCATGGTCGCCAAGGAGATCAAGGCACAAAAGTACCTAGAGTGCTCAGCCCTGACACAGCGCAACCTGAAGAGCGTATTCGACGAGGCGATCCGGTATGTTTGCTCAAATGGCAAGTGAAATCACGCTAATTCAATCTAGCGCTGTCCTCAGCCCCCGTCCTCAGCAACAAGCGAAGAAGGGCAGGAGCAAATGCGCCATCCTATAAAGGCGTCGAAGTGGAGTCGCACAAGGAAGCGGCAGTGTGGCGTAATCGAGAAAGGGCCGAGAGCTTGAATAGGTGTCGACCCTCTCCGACCAATTTCAACCCATCACTGTGAAGGGTTTCGAACGACTGGGCACCAATGGAGTGCAGGTCTGCCTCGGCTCAAACCAGCGCCAGGCGGACGAACAATATCTCAGCATATGGTTCAATTTACCGAACAAATAGCATTTGCTTTGCGGCATCATCTATCTTTCTAATGCAGCTGGCGATTGATTTTCAGGAGTTTAAGCATTGGCTTTATGCAGCATTACTCTCCTTTGGCGTGGTGGATTCATAGGACTTGGACTTAGCATTCCCGATAGATTTGTTCTGCATCCTTCCCTTACTGATTTGACCACCACCGTGTTTGTGAACGCTTGTCACATTGCATCAAGCACAGCAGTGACGTATATAGTTCACTCGCTTGGCCTCGGTAGTGATGCTGCAATGTAATTCCCCGCGGCGGTAGGAGCTCCGTCACGCATCCTGGCTGCAGCGCGTCCCAAGCTACACCCCACATAGTCCACCACTCAACACCCGACCTTTCGTAAATATGTTCCACGAAGGAAGCTTACAGAGCGGAATTGCGCTTGCAATCCAGCAGCAGAAGCTTGTTGCTTGCTTTGTGCGAGGTGAGACGAACCCTATCGGCATGGGGAGAGGGATCTAATAAGCTGGCCAGATGATGGCGCGACGAGCACAGAATGGGAAGAGTGGTTGAAGAGTGGATGGGTATGTGATATACTCGACTATCAGCTTGTAACATTTCAAGTGTACCTGGGCTAATAATCAACACAGATATCGAATCTACTTGCCCAGAAAGCCGTCGTCTTGCGCCTTGAGGCTGCCTCCACCGAGGCTGGATTCCTTGCTGCTTTCTGCGATATCACGGACACACCCACATTCGTAGTCATACAAAATGGCCAGCTACAACTGCAGCTTAAGAGCCATGTCGAGAAAGAGGAGTTTACCAACTCAATACGCAAGGTTCTTGGGGCAGAGGCTATACCAGGCTCCAGTGCAGCGCAAACACCGCCACCACACACAAGTACACCAGGGCCAACTCAGACTAGAACTACTACAGAAGCGGAAGATGATCTATATGGAGCGTCACAACCCTACGAGCCTGCGCGAGCTGCACCACCCACGCCTGCAGCAGCCTCTACACCTTCGGCAATAGCGAAAGGCAAGCAGAAAGCTACCTCGTCCCATGAATCCAAGCCCGTTCCCATGGCTCCCTCTGTAACTTCTGCACAACAAGAGGCCCGCGACGCGCTGCGCAAAAAGAAACGCGATGACGCAGGAGAACTAGCACGTATAAAGGCACGGATCGAGGCAGACAAGGCAGCGCGAAAGGCACAGGCAGAGGTACGGAAAGCAGAGCGGGAGCGGGAACGAGGCACAAATGCGCAAACTGAAACGCAATCAAGGACGACAATAACATCGTCGAGAGGATCACAAGCAAAGACTGTCAATCTGAACGTCAGATTGTTCGACGGACGAACGATACGGTCTATATTTCCCCGCACAGCTACTTTACAAGAAGATGTTCGCAGCTGGGTGGATAAGGAGTTTGCGAATCTCTCCGCCGACGATCCAAACATCAATAACCAGAGACTTCCACCGTACTTCTTCAGGCATATCCTAGCTCCACAACCGAGCCACGAACTTTCCGCTGGAGATGAAAGCCAATCCCTCGGCGACATCGACCTGGCACCGAGTGCCACACTAGTCCTTGTGCCAGTCAAGGGATATACGGACGCATATTCAGGGGCAAGTGGTGGTGTCGTCGGCACCGCTACCGGGCTCCTCAGCGGTGCTTTTGGACTTGTATCTTCGACCGTTGGCTTCGTGGGTAGTACGCTGGGCTCTGTGATTGGGTATGGCTCCGCGCCTGCAGGAGCTCAAGCAGGACAGACAACAGAGTCAAGATCAGGTCAAGGGTCCCAGGTACCTGCGTCCTCAGAGGGGTCGAGCGTCAGAGTGAGGACACTGGCAGATCAAAGGTCGAGGGAGCCGAGAGACCAGCAGTTTTATAATGGTAACCAGGTATGTCGATTCTTTTGATGGGTTGGAAGTCTCTCGTTGAGTACAAAGCTGACATGAATCTTAGCTAGATACCGTCCCTAGGAACGATGACGATGACAAGCGATCATAGTGGCGGGTACGATTATATATTTGCTCTTCTCATGCGAGACGGATCTATCAAGGATAGTTAGTTTTTGTAGCATTGATATCCCAATAATATTCTTTCCACTTCCAACTTCGGTGAGGTGGCCATTAAACGTGTGGCCCCTCTGTAGCGATTATCTGATTTGCCTTTGGAGTCGTATGGGTTGGATCGAATAAGCTCAGTCTCGCGCTTCGCAATGGGACATGTATTCTCTGACCAAAGTTCTATTTTTCGACTATGTAATCCATTCAGTACATGTACGCCTAATTCTTGATTCATAAATAACGCGTTGCAAAATGCGGGTATCACAAACAAAAGCCCTAAAGCCTCTTAACGCCAGCTCCAATTATCCATTATCCCAAACGCCTTTTTGCTCATCCTCGCATATTGGGATGTCGGTGACTTCTCTCTTACGCCATTAATCTCTGCACCAGCCCCCTCAACGGCCCAACAGCCTTCCTGCTACGAGCCACATCGCGACCCCCACCCTTCGTCCGACACACAGCTTTCTCGACCGTGCCATCCTTGTTGATATTTATGACTGCCGTCCGTCTATCGGACCAAGTGATAGTGACCTGTCTAACCGCAGCGTCGGACTCGATATCGAGGATGCGAATGATTCCGTCCTCCTCCTCTTCCGCCTCTTCAGCATCTGAGCTAGCATCGTCGTCGCTAACAAATGCATTCAGAATCCCGGCTGTAGACTCAATTCCAAATGTATCCTGCCCGTCTCCTTTCAACCGCGAATCGGGCAAGCCTGCCTCTTTCCTCAGGTCTTCAACGGCTTGCACGCGCATATGCCATCCGACCAGCTCTTTCCGAAGCGACCGTCCAAAGTGCACGAGATCCTGCTCTGGATGCGTGGCGTCCTCGACGTCTTTACTGCTACTTGGCAACCACCTGTTTGCCAGCTGTTGGAGAGGGATGCACGGCGGAATAGTGTGTTTATGTATCCGCAGCACCTTGTCGCTCTCACTCTCGCGCTCCTGGAAGGCGAGTAGGACGTGGTACGTCTCGACGAACTTGCCGCCGATCGACACATCGATGCGCACGCCGAGTATGTTGCCGTTGTTTACCGCGTGCGGGTCGGGATCTTGCACTTTGTAGGCTGTTACGCCGGCACAGGCACGATGTATGTTTTCGAGGTTGCGTGCGGATTGTTGCTTGATGAGGCGCTGTGCGGTTTCTGTTGGTTTGTCGCGTTGGTTGCCGGGTTGGAGACGCGCTGCGAGGTGGGGTTGCGAGAGGAGGATTGAGGATAGGTTTGCGCGGTGGGCACGCAGGGTTGCGATGCGGGTGTGAAGGTCGCTGATATCAGTGTCTAGTTGCTCGATGGTCTCCATGGTTGAGAGCGCGACGGTGTTGGTCGGCAATTGCTCATGTTGGTGTTGAAACGCGGGCATATTTGGATGCCGCGTCGGCACGTGCGTGGCAGGGATACCGCGGATTTAAAGCTCGCCTCCGTCGATCTGAGAGGACACGGTTCCATCCTGGCCAGGAACCAACTCTTGGGACCCGCGGCAGGCATCATCGCGGCATATTGGTATTGGTGCCCGCATCAAAGTATTTCCGTCGGTCGTATACTCTGTAACACGTTCGTTGTTCTTCGCCAGTCACTCCCTTGCCATATTGACGGTTCCTGACGCCTTCCGCTCCTTCCCATACTCGACGTACCTCCTGCTTGCGAAATCTGACCCCTTATTTCTCTCCGCGAATTTACTACCGAGTACCCCTCCAGCCGCACCGCAAGTCTACCAACACACTCAAATGAGCAAACGAGCCTCTCGTTCCAAGAACCGCGGCTCTGTACTACGCGAGCAGAGCTCCACCGACGCGCTGCAGGAGAAGAAAGGAAACGGACATGCGAATACAAGCGCGACTATGAACGGCGTCATGTTGGAGCATCGGCGCAGACATGCTTCTATCGACAGTACATCGCCGTCGAGTCAGGCTGCGTCGCTGATGGGCAGCTCTTCCTTTACCCTGGACGACGAAGTACCCTCTCTGGGCCAAGAAGAGGAGGGCCCGTCGAAAGGCTTCTTCGAGCTGTCCAAAAAGGACCAGAGCAATTTTCTGCTGCTTGTGTTGCTGTACTTTCTCCAGGGAATCCCCATGGGGCTGGCGCATGGCTCGGTGCCCTTTTTGCTCAAGAACAACGTCTCGTACTCTGCCATTGGAGTCTTCTCGCTCGCGGCATATCCGTACTCCCTCAAGCTTCTCTGGAGCCCCATCGTGGACGCTTGGTGGTCGCCCAAGGTGGGCCGTCGGAAGAGCTGGATCTTGCCCATTCAGACCATCTCTGGGTTTTCGATGATATGGTTGGGCAGGAATATCAATAGGATGATGAAGGAGGCGGGCGAGGTCGATGGTGCTGTTTGGACTTTTACTTGGTGGTGGTTTGCGTTGGTGTTCCTGTGCGCTACGCAGGACATCGCTGTAGATGGTAAGAATTCTGCTCGTAGACTCCAGCACATGAAGCTAACTATACTAGGCTGGGCTCTCACACTGCTTTCAAAGGAGAATCTCGCATACGCTTCGACAGCTCAGACCGTAGGCCTTACAGCCGGCCAGTTCCTCTCCTATACAGTCTTCCTAGCCTTCAACTCGAAGGACTTTGCAAACAAATGGTTCCGCCCACTGAACGCCCCGAGTGAGAGCGGCCTCATGGAACTCGACGGCTATCTGACCTTCTGGGGCTGGGCATACCTTGTCGTCACTCTTGGGCTGGCAGTCATGAAACGGGAGGACCGCGACAAGAATGGCGACGGCATCAAGGAGGTCTATCAGTCGATGTGGGGTATCCTCAAGTTGAAGAACATCCAGAGCTTCATCATCATCCACCTCATCGCCAAGATTGGCTTCCAGGCAAACGATGCGGTTACTAGCCTAAAGTTGCTTGACAAGGGTCTGAGGCAAGAGCAATTGTCTCTGGTCATCCTCATTGATTTCCCCGTCGAAGTCTTCCTGGGCTACTACATTGGGAAATGGTGCCAATCCTACCCACCCATGCACATCTGGTGCTGGTCGTTCATCGGACGCCTGGTCGCTGCGGGCTTCGCACAGTTCGTTGTCTCTGTATTCCCGGCTGGAGGCGCGACGTCTAGTTTCCTGTTGCTGGTGATTGCCGAGCACGTCCTGTCGACATTCATGAACACGGTCATGTTCGTTGCGGTTAGTGCGTTCCATGCGAAGATTTCCGATCCGCTTATTGGGGGAACGTACATGACGCTTCTTGCTACGTAAGTTCACTTATCATCTCAACTGCTGCGAGTTCAAGTTTGCTAACGTTTCTCCAGTGTCTCAAATCTCGGCGGCACATTCCCGCGCTACTTTGTCCTCAAAGCCGTCGACATCTTCACATCCGCTACCTGTCAGCCTCCGGCGACTCCGCTGAAGGCTGAGCTTCTGAAAGGTCCTCTTGTGACTCAACCGTTCTCCTGCTCTTTTGAAGCAGACAAACATCGATGCCGCGACGGTGGAGGCATGTGTAACGTCACTACAGATGGCTATTACATTGTGAATATTCTGTGTATAATAGTTGGAGTTTTGACCTTCTGGGGCTTCATCAAACCAGCGGTCATGAGGATCCAGGCGTTGCCGTTGAAGGCGTGGCGGTTGGCTGGGTGAAAAGATACGCTTGGAGGACATGGTCTAGAAGCTAGACATTACGCATTACACAAATTTTACACACCTACACAGAATAGTGTGCCACCTCCGAGACTCGGTATGGACCATGTGTCACCGCCCTGGGCTTAGAACAGTCCATGTTGTCATCTGCAGCTTTGATTGCTGATCATGCCAGCCGTCAGCACGCTCTCCGACACCGAAGCCTCCTCATGACTCAATTTGCCATCCATGTCGAGAAATCTCTGTCCCATGGTGTGCTCATTGATCAAGTTAGACCACACACCCCGATGACGGTGTATCTCCACCGCCAAGCTGCACGTCCACCGCGCGCTTCCTCGTGACCAGGCGTCTCAGTCGGCCAATAGCGGCAGTGGGTCGGCCTTGGCAAGCCTCTTGGTCTCAAAGAGCGCAGGTGGCATGCAGGTACACGCTTTAGACACATTAGACACTGCTCAAATGTCTTGGGATGCAACTCGGCGTTATTGAAGCGGCTCTGCGATGCAGCAGGCGGCTGTCGGTGTGCCGATGGCTGCCACGTTGTTCGATAAGAGTAGCGTTGATGGATTAGATTAGTCTGGTGGAGTAGCAAAAAAGTCGACCCAGCTCTGAGATCGATCTGATTGTCTGATTGCGTCTGTAAGCAGACCAGCCTCGACCGGCCGCGTTGCCGAACGGCGCCGATGACGGAAATTCTCGCGCCATGCCAGACGACCACGGCCCGGTGAAGGAAGGCTTTTATAGCTTCGAGCGCCTGCGGCTCTCCGAAGGCTTGCCAGACCAGTTCGAACCTCCGAGGCTTATACCAAACGTGCAAGTGTGTCCAAGGTAGGTGCATATTCTGGAACGCTTGTCCACTTTGCCCTTGACGTTTTCTTTGGCTAATCCTAATGCAGACGCGTGTCGCAATTTGTCTGCTGATAACTTGACTCTAAATTCCACTTTGCTACACATTATCTTGATTCTTATTTTACACACACCGTATACTCCACTCGTCCAATCGATTCGTCCCCGTCCGCCTCGTGCGCTGTCTAGACCCCCACGTCACGCCGGACACATACCGCCGTTGTGCAACCTTGATATCGAAGCTCTGCGAACCATATCAAGTCCTACCAGACTTGCGCTTTTGACTGGACCCCCAAACTGCGTGGTATTACCTACCGAAACCTAATCACAAACTTTCGCCATGGCTTTCCCTGCGTACGCACCCAAGGCGCGTGTCCAGAGACCTGCACCACCATTTGCAGGCACCGCAGTCGTCGATGGCACATTTGAAGGTGCGTCCCGATATTAATATTTCCCATCACCCGGTCTTGAAGCTCAACTCAGCTCTCCCATTCATTCTCAAATTCACAACAATTCAAACTAACCCATGCCTCCCCAGACCTCAGCCTAACGGACTACACCTCCAACAAGCAATGGCTGGTCCTAGGCTTCGTCCCCATGGCCTGGACCTTTGTGTGCCCAACGGAAATCATTGCATTCAGCGACCGGGCCGCCGACTTCGCTGCGCGCGGCGCCCGCGTCGTCTTCGCCAGCACGGACAGTGAGTACAGCCTGCTCGCATGGACCAACGCCAGCAAGAAGGACGGTGGCCTGGGTAAAATCAACATTCCGCTGCTGAGCGACAAGAACCACAGTGTCAGCAAGGACTACGGCGTGCTGATTGAGGAGGAGGGTATTGCGCTGCGTGGGCTGTTTTTGATTGATCCCCAGGGAACGATTCGCCAGGTATGTGCATTCATTCTTGACTTGGGAGGGGAAGGATGGGAAAGGGAAAGTCAGTGGTGAGTTTAGGCTAGAGCTGACATGCGAACAGATCACAATCAACGACCTCCCTGTTGGCCGTAGCGTAGACGAAACTCTCCGTCTAATCGACGCTTTCCAGTTCACTGACAAGTACGGCGAGGTACGTCTATCTCCCTAAATCCCACCACGCCCGTTTTATATCACGTGCTAATCAAACTGTTCAGGTCTGCCCTGCAAACTGGAGCCCAGGCGATGACACCATCAAAGCCACGCCCGCGGGCAACAAGGCTTACCTCGACAAGATCCACCCCGACACCAACATGTCGGATGTAGCCAAGACAAACGGTACGCTCTTTTTTTCCCTCTCCCTCTCTCGGCATGCGCGTTGTGTCCACTCCTGGTGGTGCATTGTGTCCGGGACTTGTTGTCACTGTGCTGTGCTGATTTGTGGCTGTTGTAGGAACGTCGTGATCGGGCAATCGCATTCGTGAGGTGGCTGGTTTGATCTTGCCGTGTTAGCATGCATGCTTTTGTCATCGCTGTTGCGGTGGCGGTGGCGCTTGTGGTGGCTTTTGTTTGCATTTTGGCATTGCTTTGGCGCTAGTAAAGACCTGGGTTAATTTTGCTCTTCAACAAGAATCGTCGAGGACCATTTCGAGCAGCGCTGGACATGTTTTGCAACCCTTATCGTCAGCCATTCCTGGCCTTATTGTAGCTTACTACAGTCCATATCATCAAGATTTGCACATTCATGTGAAGTTGATGAAGAACATCGAGTTACCCACAAAAGATGTGATCATCGTCTGCGCCCTAGTTGAGCTGTTGTTAGTCTGTAAGGTTGTACTTTGAGTGCAGAGATATTTGTAATTACGTAGAATCTCTAGGGTAGGCCAAGTTAACAGTTAACTATAATATTAGACCTCAATATCGTTTTCCTAATTAGTACTAACTATCATTAACCTTCGGCTGTCGATAACTACTAATGAGTCTGATGCGATCCGTGGTTAAGAGGATTTTCAAAGCGCTTACGCCCTAGTTGTGTTTAATTGACTTGCATACGATGGACTATGAAAGAGCCAATCTGTTTATTGCGCAAATACTATACAGTAGTCGCACTTTATAAAGCCATTGGCGCCGACATCGTAGGGTAAGCAAAATTTGATTGCCTCCACATCCGTAAGTTGAGAGGCTTTCCAGGCAACAACACCGATCAGAACCTTTCGCGATGTTATTTGAGAAATACATATGGTATCGATACGACTCAGGGATCTATACTTTTAAGAACTCTATTATTCACTCTACATCTATTAGCGCAACGGTGTGTTTGTATCAGTTCTCGGGAGGAGAACCGGATATATCGCTTCACCTGTGCTAGCGTACCTTGGCGGCCTAACATCATCAGCAGGCCGCTAGAAGGACTCCTCGATAACCAGAACCCCAATATAATGGAGCCCCGGATAGCCACGCTATTAGGCATCTCATGCCAGAGGAGAACTTCCCATGATCCGATGTCTCTAGTGGCACCCTCGTCTAGCACACGAGAATCGCGCCCAGCCGAGCCAACGTCTGCTGGCGAAGATGCGCTTATGGTGGCAAGCACCTTCTCCAGCGACTATAATGCAAAACCACAAATTCAAGGTCACATCTCCTTGGCTCGACCAAAACCAGGCGCCCCAATAGCACAAGTCTTGAATAATGAGGCGCCGATGCTACACACTCCACAACCTACGTCACCAACTACACCTTTCGTCGGTAGACATGATCACTTACTAGACGACTCGGAACAGGTGAACAAACGAAGGAAACGGGAACAGCATTGCATTCAGACTGCGCTAGGAGGCTGCGAAAACCCAGTGATCAAGCTCCCGGAGCTACCGCAACTGCCAAGAAGAACAGCGAAAAGGCCCAGGATACCACCGTTGCTACAAGGCTTACACCAGCCACCTCCGCTACCACCCGAAGGCAGACTTTTCCCGCCCATCACCGGTGAAAAGAATGCATTCGTGAGTAATCCCGGAGAAGGGGTTGGTTTGGATATATACGCTGAAGAGACACGAAGCAAAGTGGACGATGAACATGTAGATCCTGGAATTGGTGTAATAGGAATGAGCAGAGAGGCTCGGAAAGAAGAGAGCACCGGGGAACAGCATGCGGCAACTAAACTCATGCCTCCCACATTAGCATTGGACCTGGAAAAGACCAACAAACTAAGAAACAGAGGACCGTTGGCTGAAGCCAGTAGCCAAAGCAAACGTGCCAGAAAGCGGAAATGGTGGTCAGAACAAGAGACCAAAGATTTACTTGTCGGCGTCAGTAGATTTGGAATCGGTAACTGGAAGAAGATATTGCAAGACCCTGAGTTCGAATTTAAAGGGCGAACAGCAGTTGATTGGTATTGCACCCTCTAAACACATATAGCTCAAGAAATCCTCTGCTAACTTTGGATAGTAAGTCTTGCCTTGCTGGTTCCTTTCTCACCCACCTTAGTAGGACATGTACTTGGAAAACGCTCAACTACGTCCAACACTCACACTTGTCTCAAGTTAGGGATTCTGCTAATTGTGCTGCTATCAAAGTGAAGGACCGATTCCGAGTGTGCTGCCCCGGCGAAGGCCTGAAGCTTAGGAAAACAAAGCAAAGCAAAGCAAACCCGGAGAAGCATCCCGATACATCCGCAATGACAATCCAAATACCCAACGACTCAACGACAATCGGTTGTGACGGTGTCTACAGTGATGTTATGATGGCGGGTCAGCGCAGCGCGGATCAACAGCAGGGACTCATCCACGCTAACGCGTTGGCTAAGTTGCCTGAGCTAGGCATACATCTACCTTTCATGAAGAGCACGCGTCGACCACGTCGCAGATTTAGTGCCTATGATGATAAGAATCTATTGAAAGGGTTTGAGAAGTACGGAACTGTTTGGCACTCCATGCGCGATGACACGGAGCTGGGCTTTAGTACGCGTCATCCCACAGACTTACGCGACCGTTTCCGGATCAAATATCCAGAGCAGTACGCAATGGCTGGATACAAATTGAAGCCGGAGCAGGAACGTACTATCAACGAAAGGACAAGTAAGCGCCACGGACAAGAGCATTGGGAGCGTCTACATTCCACGGGCAATGCGGCTTATGTACCCAACGGGGGAGGAATTGAACCACAACCCAACGTGGATTCTAGAAGAGTACCAGGAAAAAGGAATCTCACTTCCACTGCGACATCCTGTTTACAAACGAGTTCGAATCCGAGCCTTAAGTCTTTTGGGCTTGAGCAATACCTCTCCGACCCGCTACCCACTCTATTGGGCGATTGGTCGGTCTCCGAAGATGGTGATGGTGAAGAGAGCCCAATCACGCTGAATCGAAACATCCTACGATGGGCTGACGCAAACCCATCCTCCTTGTTTACCATTCCTCCAACACCAACGACTACTCATGGGGCTAACCATGTGACTGGAGACACGCCAATACATGCTTTTGTTGCCAGTGACGGAATCCACATCAATCCCCTGGCCACACTTAAACTCCCGCCTACGACATTTTACGCCAACACCTTGCCAATAGTAAATGCTCGACCCTGTAATACGAGCTCTAGTCTATTCCATCAGTCTACAATTACCAGTGGGGCCGTGTCCAACGGCCCCGGAGATACGAGAATGGTTCCCACTGCTAGTGCAGCAGCTAACTCAACGAGCTGCCCAGTTTCCCCCGCAATCTTCTCATTCGTCCCGCCCTCGGACGTCGAATCCTCTCACTATCGTTTTCCCTCATGTTCCAGCCGCCAGCGCTAGGACTAATGCACATCATCTGTCTACTCCAGCGAACCTATTGTTAGGCAAAGGCTTGGCAAACCTGGAACCGCAAGCACTTGGTATTAGGTTGGATCATACTCTTGGTCTAGCGATGTGAGCTACCGGCTCTAGATTCGCTAATTTTTTGGGCACTGTTGTCAGACGCCAGTATTAGGCAAAGAGTCGATGAAGACGTCGAACAGTCTTTGCAAGTAGACAGTCAGCCTCACTTCTTGTAACTGGCACATGCAACTACGCCCAAGGAAGCATCTGTGGGGATGATGTGTAGAACATTTGCTTTATTCCTCGCTTTGCAGATCAGTGTGGGATTGACCGATAAGTCCAGGACGTAGAAAGTTAAAAACACTTCCAAACTTCAACTAACTCCAATTCGCAAAGGGAGAGGTAGACGGCTTTCTACCTTACAGCCGATCAACTACTGGCTTGACAAAGAGCAATGCAAAATTCTCTGAAGTCACCTTTTGTAGCCTCTTCTATGTCTTCTTCCACGACACGCCCGTATTTCTCCTCGTACTCAGTCTTGACCCGGATGAGATGAAGACGATCCCAATGCAGTCGTACCAGTCGGGAGATGAGCAATTCGAATCTTTGTTGACGTTCATGCTTGCTGGATGCTGCTGCTTCTCGCGACGATACCCGCGCGGAAGAAGAGCGTGGACCATCCAGGGTTGGTTCGATGAGATCCATAAGCGCGTGATGTAAGAGCATAGCGTCTCTCGCAGGGCGATTGATGACGCCATTCAGAATATGTGCGATGACTTCGCCCTGGTTGTCATTAGTCAACCAGCGTAGACCGAGAAAAAAACAGGTTGCTACTCACCACAAGGTTGTTGCTCTTCCTCAGGGCATCCCGAGCAAAGTTGCCTTGGTATTTCCTCTCATATGTCTTCAAGACTTCTCTCAGGTGAACGTCGCTTCGCATGATAACGACGCCCAGCATGGTGCTTTCGCCACCCTCCCTTGCTTTCATCGCCTTGTACAGAGTGTCGACGTCTCGATTTCTGTACTCCATAGGCCACATGTCACTTTCCTCCTGGCGCTCACCTTCCAGAGCCATCAAAACAGCTTTCCGAAACTTGTCAGCCTTGAGCTCCTTATCCATGCAGCGGGTGAGGGAGTCGCCGTAGCGTTTGTCTCTGAAAGCTTCTTTGATCTCGCGAATCTCGTGGTTCTGACGGCCCATGAGGGCCTCGATTAGAAGCTCGCGACGGGCCGAATTGGATTGGTACCAGTAATTCGCCCAATATCCTTCGCCCTCGTACTTGCCGAGTGCTGTTACATAGGCGATCTTTCCAAAATTGCCAGACGTTTTCAGCTTGATGTGTTTGGCAATGTTAATGCCGCGGCCCTGGACCTTGCAGTGCCGCTTGTATTCTGTTCTTAGTTCGAGCATCTGGTCATGCGACAATGCTGGCAAGATTTCGATTATCGTGTCCACGTCTGGGGTGCGCGCAGCCATGGCATCCACGAGCGCAAGAGCGTCCTCGGTAGCATCGTAGATCCTGACTCTCCGTTTCTCTTTCTCTGGTGCGCCCCGCTCCCCGCGGCCGTACGCCTCCATGGCTAGCTTGTCCTTGACCTTGGACCGCGACATTGGACTTGGCGATCGCCGTGAAGTCGAATGTGCGCGGTGGCGGCCATGGACGGATTGGCTAGAAGCGCGCGGGGAGAGGCTATCAAGGGGTGGCAGATGGTCGAGGTCGTCGTCTAGCATCATAGCCTGGGGCATGGGACTGATTGACTGATAGGTGCCATGGTAAGCTTCTAGCAGGGGACTTGGTGGTGGAAGCCCGCCCCCGGGGAAGGCTCCTGGCACAATGTTTTGGAGATCTGGCCTGTTCTCGCTTACAGACAGTCTATCCATGCGCAGGCCCTCATGTCTGCTTCCACCAGCAGAGAGACCTTGGGGACGCAAGCCAGGCGATGGCGGCGCATTGAACCTGGCTCCTCCGCCCGGCACCATCTCCACCACCCTTCGGTTGTCGCGCGTCTGCGTTGTGCCGGACTGCGAGGGGGTGCGGTCGTGTTCTGGACCGGGGGAATGGAAACCCATTGGCGGCGGCGGATAGGCGGGCTGGGCAGCAGGAGGCGGCGGGGGAGCCTGTGGCATAGCTGTATACTGAGGCTGCACTGGCGGTGGGTATGATGGGCTCGTTGGCTGGGCGGAGCGTCTCACGGCGGGCGGCTGGGCGGTGCCGACGATGGGCTTCGCGGAGAAAGTGATATTCGAGGGCGGATTCGCATACTGAAAGTTCCCCGTGGTGGCCGGCGTCCTTGTGGATGGAGTCCTAGTTGGCGCGGCATGCGAGGCTGGCGCTGCTGTGTAGGCAAACTGCTGCGCGGTCGGCGCATACTGGACGTTTCCCGTCTGCGCGTAGGTGGGCCCTGGGGCTTGTGGTTGGTACCCTGGTCGTTGCTCTGGCGGGAGGTCGCTGTAGTTGCCCATGGTGATGGGCTCGCTCGCTGGTCTGGTCGCCATGGCTCAGCTCTCTATGACGGCCGAAGTTGGATGCTTTCTAGAGTTGTACTCACGTCGCATATAGCTGACCCGGCTGCCTGAATTCGTACTGCGGGGCTGCAGCCCTGCCATCAGCCGCACCGTATGGCTGCTGAGGCTCTGGCACAACATGGCTGCGTGAGCGGGCGCGCTCGCGACCGCGTCCAGGCGATTTGGACCGCGACCGCCCGGCTTTGTCGTCTGGACGCAAGGACATGGGGCTGATCGGTTCGGTGTGGAGGAGATTGAAGTCGGGTTTTTCAGTTTCAGTCCATGTGCGGGTGTGAGGGCTGGACGTCTATTCCGCAGGCTGGGGCGCTCCTTTTAGCCCTCTGCGAGGAAAATGCGATGGCGGGAAGCTGGCGTACCGCAAAGACACTTGTGCAAGTGGGCGTCTGCTGTGGCTCGCTGCTCCATGTTGACGATGGGGGCCGAAACTTGAATAACCCAAGCGCAATTTGCTTCGTGAATCCCCAGAAGCCCGGCGAGAAGTGTGTCGCTTAACGTTTAACGTTGCTTGCTCTACTACATGGCGACAGGGCGTATCTCTATTGCTCAACGCAGCACAAGCCACTGCTCTCATCAGCTTTTTAAAAGCATTCTACAATCACCCAAAACATGACCATTTCGAGCGTCCGTTGTCTCAGAGTGCCTGCCTGTTCCCATCGCAAATATCGCGAATAGTTGTGTTAGGCATGTAGGGGAACGTTGGGTCTTGGCCGCTTTCGGCCCAACTACTCACCACTCCATCATATCTTCAATCATGAAGGGGCCAATAAGTCGGCAACTTATAACTCGAGATAGAAGAACGATGATGAAGAAGAAGAACAATTTCCGAAAAAAAGTTTGATGACTAGCCTTGATCTCTTTCGTCAGATATACGAAGTAGTAGCTAAAACTACAAACTAAGCCGAGCCCACGAATCGTTTGACGAGAGATTCCATTGCACAGTTATCTATTGCGCAGTGTACTCTTCCTCTCCAGCATCTCACCTACTCCATGACTCTTCTAGAAAGCTAACAAAGGCGTCAATCCCAGTGCCGCCGAATGATTGGCCTTGCAGGATCCCAAGGGCCATGGATTTCATTCTTATATTTCTGCAACCCAATAAGCCACCAGCTGCAGAGACCCATGCAGAAGAAGGTGACGATGCCTCCTAGTATCATGCCCACCAAGAATGCGCCTCGACCACTGCCGGTCAATGTGACAAAAACGCCACCCCCTGCAGTCGAAATCAACATGACAGTCAGGATAAGATGACCCCAGGAGGACCTGGCACGAAGCTGTCGACGAAAGATTGGAAACAAGCCAAAAACTTCAATAGAGAACAGAGTCAGAGAGAACACGTGTGTAGTGGAGGGTAGGCGCGATGCAAGGACAGCCGACGCCATCATAGCAGAGTTTGTCGATATAGAGGCCGGTAGACTTTGAACTCGATTAGCGGACACGGAGGATATGGAGGATATGGAATAATTAGGCATACTGTGCTTCCGAACCCCCGCTGTAGTCGAAAAAAGCGACATTGATCATAAGTAGCCAGGTACTAAGAGCCCAAATGGAGTCGCTCGTTGTTGAGCGCGTTAGCGACTTGAGAATTGGACTGAGCCCAAGTAGAGCAGCGTAGATCAATACGGCGGATTTGGCAGTTGCCAATCGCTGCTCGGTGCGTGGCGAGAGAGACGATGTAGAAGTCTCGCCTGCAGTGTGTGGAGGTGTAGGCGCTGGGAGTATGTCCAAGGAGGACGACATCGATTGCCCCATCCAGTGGTCCCAGAGGGCCCACGCCGAAACAGTGCAGAGGCTTGCCCAGCCCACTACCGCTACGGGTGACACTCTACCCTGGATGATGGCTACGAAACAACAACAGAATATGGCAACAGAGGCGAGATGCTGCACAATGACAGACGCATCGGCCATGAGCGACCAGAATTCATAAGGTTGCAGGCGCGGATTCCGCTGGAGATGGTCAAGGAACGTCGTCTCATCTGTGTAGTTGTCGGGAACTGTGCGCATCAGCAGCTCCCTACTATTGACGGTTTTCGTATTGACTAACAGGGCTGCTTGAACCAAAGAAGCTTCCTGTAGTTGCCTCTTGGCTTGCGGCTTTCACTGCGCGCCCGCTCATTCCTCTTCCTACCGACGCCTAGAGAATTGGGAAGGGCATCTGAGGGATCGAGCAGTCGGTCTGAGCCCATGATACGAGTGTTGAACCGAGGTAAGAAGGCCGAGAATGTGTTACCAAGCACATGATGAAGTGTGGAGGAATGGTGGTTGAATTGCACGTGCGGCCAAGCCAATCATCAGGCTTGTTTCCGCCCTTTATTATGTACAGTACGTCCGTGCGCTTGAAACCACACTCCCTGGAAGTGCTTGCGCTGCACCCGTATCTGTTCCAAGCAGATAAAAGTACCCATGCATTGCACGTGGTTATTTACTTGTTTAGTGTCCTCCAAGCAACCATGACCCTCCTCCATCTCGGCACTGTAGCCCGGCCTGCCTTCACCACGTAGCCGTCCTCTCTCAACGTCCTCCCGATCTCCATATAACTCTCCACAGCGACACGTATTGGCCCCCTTGCTTCGGACGGTAGTTTTTGTATTGCTCCCGTGGCCTTTTCATAAAGCGAAAATGCCTTGTCTAACAAACGCATGCGCAAGCTCTCTATTTGCACATGGTCGGGGTGCTTCAATACTGCGTCGTAACTTAAACCTACTTCGGAAAGCCACGTCAAGGGAAGGTACACACGACCAATCTGGGCGTCTACGCATATGTCCCGTGCAATATTGATGTATTGTAGCGCGACACCCATGTGGTTCCCCGCGGCCACGATCTTGCGTTGCTCTTCCGTTGGCAAATTGGTCGGATACAGTTGGAAGATGAGCTGTATGCACATTTGAGCCACCGTACCGGCAACCCGTTCAGAGTATAATCGCAGGTCCTCGTCGGTCTCAATCAGAGGCGCAGTGTTGAACGCCAGGTCCATCTCAAATCCGTGCAGCAGGTCTCGTAACGGCTGAGGAGAAAGCTTGGCAGCCGGAAGTTGTAGGAGGGCAGACTGTGTGTCAGCTGGGAAATGGCTGCGAACGTGCTCAGACACGACAAGGCTGGACCCAGTATCGCTATACACATTGTCTAGGAACTTGTGCAGCTTAGTTATCCACTCCTGAGCTTCTCGAGCTGTAGAAGCATTGTCCACCAAGTCATCGGCGACGCGACAGAAGGAATAGAGCAGGAGCAAGTCGGCGCGTAAGAGGGCTGGAAAGGTAGAAGATGCAAGATAAAAGCTCCGGCTCTTCCGCTTCAAGCGATGCACGGCCTCCTTAAGGCCTGTGAGGCGGGCACCGTCATACTTTGAGCAAGGAGTGAGAAGAGCGCGCATGAGAAGTGCCGGTGAGGGTAGGCGTGGGGGGGTTGCGAACAAGTGGGGAAAGGTGTATAGCACAGCGAGGGCGTTATCAAACGCCAGCTGGCCAAATACAATGAGCGTGTTCGTGATGAAGAAGAAGAGGGCTTCTTCAATCTCAAGTCCGTCCCACAGGTGCACGCCGTATTTTGTGCCTGCGGTGATGACCCACGTTCCTCTACGCAGAGCCAGGGTGTCGACGACCCAAAGGTAAAGCGTTGGAAGCATGATAGGTACTACCGTGTTGGTCCAGGGCAGGCCAAGGATGAACTGATACGCCAGGCTCCTACGCATCGATTAGTGTCACGTTTCCAAGCCGTGGATAGCGATGGACTGCCATACCATAACAACAGCAGAAATGGCCCCGCCCAGACGATGATCAGGCCGGCATAAGTACCGGGTCCTTCCTCTTTGATGCAACGCCACCCCCAAGCAATGGCCACGAGTAAGAGAGTTTGACCGGCGAGTCTCTTGGTCCGCCATTGTCCGCGTGACGCGTCAGGTCCGGCATGCAGATAGACGGGCTGGAAGGTGGGTTTGCTGAGAATGAGGTACAGGAGCGAGGTGTTGTATGTTTGCACGACGAAGAAGAAGACTTCCTCGAGGGGAATCTCCAGCAGCGTGGGACCAACAATGACGTAGCTGGGGTAACTCCAGATGCGGGTGCGGATGAGATACGAGTCCCAGGGAATGGTAGCGACAACAGCGATCTGGTACCATCAGCACAATGCAGGTTCAACCGTGTATCCTCACGCACCGCTACCAGGAAGGCGATCTTGTAGACATCGAGCTTGGTGAAGAGCGGGCGATACAGCAGAGTAAGTAGCGCGGCGGGCGGGATGGTGTACTTGAGGTGACTAGCCGCGGGCTGTCAGTCGCAGTCGTCTCGAGCAGGCAGTCCATGGTGTCACACATACACAAGCGCATAGTCAAAGCCCATAATGATGGCGTTGGCTGGAGTCCGAAGTGACCTGAGAGGACGGGGCAATTCACCTTCTCAACTCTAGGGTCCCAATCAACGCAGGGACGCAGGGTCAGGCACAGCGAGGGCGCGCGCGTACAGCAGCCGATGCAGCAGCCGATATAACAGAGGGGCCATGGCCAGCCAGCGAGGTTATTCGTTAGGTTGTCTTGTGGGCGTCGTTGTTTGGTGGCTGTGAACGGGGGACACGGCATGCTGCGGGCGCGAACCATGTAGTTGCAGCCGCGCCTGCCGCACGAGGCTTAGTGAGGGCACTTGAGCCGTTGGCCTGACATCACCACTGCGCTCCAGCCATCAGCCATCAGCGGCACATGTCAAGGGAACACCCATTCAACCACCCTACAGCCTATCGCCCTGGTAGATTGCATCATGAATGTTGGCAGTAGAACGCGCCTCTTCTACGAGCCCCTTCGGCCCAATGAACCACCAAACACCATCCATTGACTTGAGCACCGCATGGGCTCCTCGCTCTTGATTCTCCAATGAAGCCAACAAGACGAACCCACTCACCATGTCCATTCAGGGCCCCAGCAGCAAGCGAACAGCAAAGCACCCGTAAGGCTCCGCCTCCTGCAGCTTTACATCTTGGTCCGTCCTAACGTCTCTCAGCTACCTCACGGGAAACTTTGCGCCCGTCACCAAGACATGGCCTCCAACACCCGTCACGTGGACCGGTGACATTCCAGAGGAGCTGCATGGCGGCATGTAAGACACTCCGTGCAAACTACACTGACAGCATCTGCTGACTTCCTCTCTTCACCATGTAGGTACGTTCGGAATGGAGGCAATCCAGTGACCAACTCGCATCTGGGCCGCGAGGCCCACTGGTTCGATGGCGACGGCATGCTTTCCGGGGTGTGGTTCCACCGCTCGCACACCGACCCGCGGCAGTCGGTCGTGAACTTCGTCAACCAGTTTGTCCTCACCGACGTCTACCTCTCGGCTGCCGACAATGGTGAATTGCAAACGCCCATTTTACCTAGTATCTCCACGCTCGTCAACCCCGCGTCGAGCTTGTTCTTCATACTCTGGAGAATACTACGCACGCTGCTCATTGTTATATTGTCCCATCTTCCCGGGTCCCGACACGCCATCAAGAGAATAAGCGTTGCGAACACGAATATAATCTTTCACGATTCACGAGCACTGGCAACTTGCGAGAGTGGACCCCCAATTCGCGTTACGCTACCTAGCCTAGAGACTGTTGGCTGGTACGACGGAAACAGGGCCGAAGGCGAGGCGCCCCTCCAAGAAACACGAGACAGTGACGAAGAGCAGCGTCCCGGGTTTGGTGGAGCAGGACCGTTGAGTTGGATGAAAGAATGGACTACGGGACACCCCAAGGTGGATAAGGTGACCGGTGAACTAGTTCTCTTCCATTGCAACTTTGCCCCCCCCTACGTTCACTACTCTCTGGTCCCGACAGAGATTTCACATGCCAACGAGGCGCAATCGCAGCTACCAAGAATCCTCAATGCCCCAGTCCCTGGATGCTCCGGTGGCAAACTCATGCACGATTTTGGCGTCTCTAGACTTCATACTGTCATCCTTGACCTACCACTCACCCTTACGCCTCTCAATCTGGCGAAAAACAAGCCCGTTGTGTCCTATGACCCAAATAGACCCGCTCGATTCGGCGTCTTTCCCCGTCGACATCCCGAACTGGTACGTTGGTATGAAACAAGCGGTTGTTGTATCTTTCACACAGCCAATGCTTGGGACGAGACGGATCTCTACGGCAATGTGACAGCTGTCAATATGTTGGCTTGCCGCCTAACTTCTGCGTCCCTTGTATTTAGTGCTGCTAATATTGTGCCTCCACCGCACCCAGCCCGTAAGGATCTGACGCGCAGCAAGCCCATGTCCTTCTTTGCAAGATATCATCAACAAGAGCAAAACCAAGACGTTGAGAAGCTGTCCATGGATGAAACTTCACCCTTGTTAGTGGCGTCTGTATCCGGCAACAAAAACACAGGACCGTCCAAGACGCCCTCGAGCGTACCCATGTCATACGACGAGCAAGAGCAATGTCGTTTATACTACTACCGCTTCTCCCTATGTCTTTCAACTTCAAATACCATAACACACCAGTTCGCCTTATCATCCATTCCATTTGAATTTCCCACGGTTTCGCCCATTACCGACATGGATCACGCCCGCTACATTTACGGCTGTAGCACCTCAGTCGAATCCTTTGGTGCTGCTTTAGGCAAAGCCACAAAAATCGATGTACTCGTCCGAATGGACGTCAAGGCTCTTCTCGCTCGTGCTCAGAGGTACAGGCCGGAAGCAGTCACCGGCTGCGTTGACAATCGCACCATTGATGAAATCCTTGCTTCAGAGGACCCTAACGATCCCATCAAGGCATTCAAACTTCCGCCTAATCATTATGGTCAAGAAGCTAGGTTCATTCCCCGTGGGAATCAGACCGGCTTAACCGTCAATGACCCGGCTTTTCTCGAAGAAAGCGGTCATCTGCTCTTCTACGTTTTCAACGAGGATCAATTAGACGTGGCAGGGGAATGTACAGCCAACTCAAAGAGCGAGCTGTGGGTTCTAGACGCAAGCACCATGCGAAACGTGACCTGCAAAATTCACTTGCCTACTAGAATTTCGTATGGACTACACGGGAATTGGTTCACTGAAGATCAGATAACAGGTCAACGAGGGGTAGAAACGCTGAGATCATTGTCAGACAACAAAGTTGATAACAAGTGGACACGGATGCAAAGGAATCTAACCAGTCGCTTGGGCTGATTTCGCTCGTGTTTAGTCAATTGGACTCTTGTTAGTGGAAACATGATCAAGGTTCTTTCATTTCCCGAGATACAATATATATGTCTTAGCGCTGTTTATTTACACGACAAATCATTCTCAGAGATCTAAAGTATCCCAAACCTAATGATCACAAAATGTTTATACTGTTCCCATGCCACATGCTCGAAGTAGCCAAAAGACATGCCGACATGATCAAGATCAACAAGGCCCATTGGAGCCAGCTTAGATACTGTTCTTTCTGCAGACGATCCAATGGGCTTATGTTTGATTTCTCTCCCTCTAGAGCCCCTCTAGGCGACGAAATACGCCCCTCTTGTCGTAGTGCACGGAGAACTTGTTCGCTAACTAACTTCGCTCCGGCAAGCACGATAGGCACTCCCGTACCTGGATGAGTGCTCGCGCCTACGAAGTACAGATCCTTGATAGATCGATGCTTGGTTTTCGGTCTAAAGCTAAGCACGTTGAAGAAGGAATGGCTCAGGCCGAGAATGGCACCACGATCAAGGTTGAACACAGACTTCCAAGTCGGTGGCGTGTTGATGACTTCCTCAATGATGTGCGGACCGAGCGAGATGTTGAGCCTTGTCTCGATCGTCCCGAGGACTGTCCTACGCGCTGTGGCAACCATGGTGTCCCAGTCTTGGGTCACCCCTGCAGTCTTCTGAGAACCCTTGTGTGAATTTGTCGTCGAATCATGCAAGTGTCCAACAGGCACTAAGACAACGACGGAATCGCACCCTTCAGGGGCAGCAGAAGGATCAAGGCGAGACGGAACGTTGACATAAAAGCTAGGCTGATCGGGTATCTGGTGTTTCTTAAAAATGCTATCGAAGCTCTCCTTGTAATCTTCGGCTAGGAAGATGTTGTGTGCAGTGAGCTCGGGGAATTTTCTGTCGAGCGCCCAGTAAAAGGATATGCTTGAGCACGAAGCCTGCCGCTTCAGAAGAGATCGTGCAAAGTTTGTCGATGGAAGAAGCTCGTTGTATGCGTAGGCTAAATCTGCGTTGCAGATGACAACATCTGCGGTGAGTGGTTGCCTTGTCTTGTCTTTGAATATAACGCCAGTTGCGCGCGTGCCGTCGCCTGACAGCTGGATCTCGGATATGGGGCTGTCGAACATGTATTCGACATTCAAGCGCGCGCCAACATTGATGAGGGCTTCAATGACCTGGCTAGGTAAGCATGAGCGAGACACACAGATATACAGACGACAGACCTTGTGAAATCCGCCGAGAGGATACCATATGCCCTCAGCCAGCTCCGTATATTGTAGCAAACTATACGTCCCTGGAGCATCGAATGGGCTCATACCCATATACATACTCGCAAACGTGAACACTCTCCGTAATCTCTCCGTCCAGAAGTACTTACTCGCACGACTATAGATACTCTCAAACGGATGCAGTTCGAGCAGATGCCGTAAGAAACCCGGGCGCATCATGCTGAACAACGAATAGAAGTTCTTCTTTAGCACGTGCGTGACCGACAGCTCGTAATGGCGATGTGACTCTTGTAGAAATCCAAGGTACCGCTCAAACCCATCTTTGCCCTCGAAACGCTCCACCTCGCCTTTCATGGCGGCAATGTCTGTCGAGAGCCTGAAAGAGGTGCCATCGTGGAAATGGACCTTGTAATTGGGTTCACATTTGACCAAATTCACACCCTCATCTTCGAGCGAGGTCCCGAGCTCCTGGAACGTCTCACGGAAGAGTTGAGGAAGTAGAAGTAGGCTTGGGCCCTGATCGAATCTCTAAACAGAAGTCAGTCCTACCACTTCAGATATGCAGCGAAGTCAGCTTACGAATCCTCGACGGTGTATTAAGCTACACCTCCCACCAGAAAAGTCATTCTTCTCTACCACGGTAACCGTGCATCCCGCTGCGGCGAGCCGCGCTGCAGTAGCAACGCCTCCAACGCCAGCACCAACAATGATGACCCGAGGGCGCAACTCTTCGTCTGCGACGCGCACCCCCATCATTTGCTAGTTCGTGATTATTGAGGTAGCACGAGTGCGATCCGCTTCGTTACTTCGTACAGAGAGAGGGAACACGTCGGACCGTGCCAGCTCGGCACATAGTCATGACGTGAGCGACCTTGATTGGGTTGGCACGGCTAGCCGAGGACATGCTTCTTCTTTGCGAACACGGAATTGCAATGCGCAGCAGATCATACGTTTTCAACATGGAACCAAAGGCCTGAGCTTCTATGCAATAATTAAAATTATATATTGTTGCTTGGTAAAGCGACTTAGGCATAAAGACTTAGTGTGTCGGTAGAATTGGTGTAGTCAGGCTTGCATCGTTCCGTAAACCCCCCAAAAAGCGAACCCCTCTCTTGCACAAAATTGCGAAATGCCGATACTGAACAGCTCTCTCCAGGCCCATCGGTGCAGGACAGCGGGTGTGATGCCTGATTAACTAGCACTCGAATGTACTCGTCGGTGGTGTATCCATAACTGTCACAGGTCATTTTTTCGATGGCAATGTTCGTAAGAAACGGTAGAATCTGAGAAGACTTCCAAGCGCGTTGGTGGTTCTGCGTGGTAAGGGGCATAGTGGCGTTTATGTCATTGGCTCCTGAGAAGGCTGAGTTGTTGAACAGCCCTAGTGCGACAATCACTGTAGGCGGCAGCTCTCGATGGGTAAACGATACAAAGAGGTCTTGGTCGGCGTCGTTGGATAGCAAAGCCGAAGCCGAAGCGTTCAGCCACGGGAAGCCAAGCACACCCGAGATCTGGTTGCCATAACCGGTGTTGTAGAAGTACATGATATCGTTCATATATTCGAAGGCAAGCCAGTCGTTTTGAGAGAACAGCTCAAGGGAGCAGAAGGGCGAAGACCCGCGGATGACAGTCTCGTATCCGCACAGTTGCTGCATGGCGACTACATCTTGGGCGGTGAAGTTGAAGCTGGGAGCAGAGTCATGTAGGCGAGCGATTATAGGTTTAGTATACGTCTCTCTGAATTGCTGGAGAAGTCAGCTATGAGCGAGCAAATTACTCGTGATACGTACTGATGACTGCTTGCTACCAAAAGAGGAGCTGTATTTGGGGCATCCTTTATAGGGGGTCAAGGAGTCGGCGCCGCGGGCAGCATTCTCGAGCACAGAAACGCGCTCCGTGTTGTTCTTCTTGGTCGCCAATCCTTGGATAAAAGAGTCCGCGCTGAGCTCAGTCCTCTCTGCTGTGGACGTCCAGACCTTCTTTGGGTCTTTGAGGTGTGGGTAGCGCAAGCGGACGTCGACACCCAGTTTATACGACTCCAGCCTGCCTACAGAAGTGAGGTCTTCCAGCTCCTCGTCGGTTATTGGCGTCTTCCAACTTGCAAGGAAGGCTAACGGCCCCGCGCTCCTCCAATCTGCAGTCGCATTCTTCAACTTGTCTGTGAAAGGCTCGATGTACTCCTCGTAGTCGAAATCATTGGCGTAGATCTAGATGTCGGTGTACCAGGTCAGTGTATGTCTCACGTGTAGTTCGTATGGACTTTATTACGTACTGCGGCATGTCGGACTAAATATGCAGCACGGGTGACATTGCAGCCTTGTGGCGGCTTTGGGTCGAGGATAGGATCCTCGAAGTAGGGAGCTATGCCAGCGAGGTGGTGCAAGGGATCAAACGAGGACGCTGCACAAGCGGCATTAGCCAAGGCGAGAGAGAGGAGAGCTGTAGAGTGCATTGCGGACGAGAGCTGGGACGGACCGTACCTGGATAGGCGTGCGGGCCTGTCCGGTTTTAAAGCGACGCGTCAAGGGACACGATGTCATGGGCAAGTAGGCAGAGTTGGCCCAAACGCGTATTCCAACTTCAGGATTGGCTTCAACCGGGGAGTTTGCAGCGCTATATGGATATATGGGTGGGTACCTATAGACGAGATGACGATGCTGAGGCCGAAACAGGGCACTTAGCAAGCTCGGACCAGGCTCAAAACAGGCACAAATCTGCCTAGACTCCCAAACGATATTTTTGACGACATCCTTGCAAATTTAATGATGATGATGATGATGGACTACAGACAGCAGACTAGTCTTCCCTTCGCTTTAGCCGATTGACGAATTAGTTACAGTCTACACGCCTCGTAGAATGATGCTTCGAGTGTTGAGGAATATTGTGATACTTTGGTATAGAAGCTCGGTTTATGCAAGTAGGCTTGAAAGGCATCGTGATTAACAGTTCTCAGCTCTCAATTTCTCGGAAACAGCGAGTACTTGAGCCTATCAAGTAACAACTATGGTCCTGTGGTATACCCTTTGATCCGGAACGCAATTCTGAGATCGCAACGACTACATCTCGGCTTTGCGAACACCATAACTATTTTGCCCAAGTTTACAAGACGCTCGCCCTTCTTTGTAGAATCTGTACCTTGAGCTCCAATGCTTGACACTCGTTCTCTTTGCCGTGTAGGTCTTTCTGTAGCGTTTCTTTCTCTGATCTGAGGGCCTGCAACTTCCCTGCAACTACCTCTCGATAGCCTGCATGCTCTTCGAGTAGTGCTTCTATTCTGTACCAATCCATTGCAATACCCGCCGACGAACTGGGCCGCAATCGCGCCATCTCGGCATCTCTCGCCCTAAGTTTTGTCTCCAAGTCGGCAACCGTGTCTTTCCATGCTTCATGTGCTGTCAATCGGTTCAGATCTTCGACGTTCATTCCGCTTCTTGAGTCTTCAAGTTGCGCAACAAGATCGGAATTTCGCTTCTCTAACTCGAGGGCGCGTTGCTCAAGGGCTGCAACTTTGGCGGCAGTGAAGAGATCTGAAGTGTCCCGGCGTTCGAAAAAGCTGCCCGGTCTTCCTCGGTTCGGGCTTGCACGACCGGTTTGTGCCAGTGATCGCTCAAGCTCTCTCGTCTTTTCTGCAAGCTTGCTTCGTACAATTTGAACGTTGATCAAGTCTTCATTACGGAGAGCTTGGGTCGCCTCCAGTTCACGGCGGCATTTTGCAAGCATACCCTAAAGCAGGCAGACGGAGTAAGCAGCTATACTACGACAAACAGGATTTCGAAATTAGACTTACACGGATCTTGATATTATTTTCTACGTCTTCATCGCGCAATGCCCAGATCGCTTCATGCCGTTTCCACCAGTGTTTCTTCTCTTCCTCCAATGCTTTGAGACGGGCCTGCACCTCTTGATACTCGTCGGGCTTGATGGACACAGTAGGGTTATTGTGTTCGAGATAGATGAGTTTAGTCATCAAGGCAGCAAGCTGAGACTCCAGTGGACCAGGAATATGCGGAGCAGGTCCCGGCGATGCAGGCTCATTGTCTAGAGATTCCTCTTTCGCCACCGAAATTGACCTGATGTTTTTCTCTGTGTAATTCAACTCTTCTCCATCACCGTCCAATGTGGAGCAGCGAGATGTTACATCGTCGTCGATTGGGTAAACTGCCGGGCCTTGCTGGCGCTGGTACTGTTTATTCAGGGAGGCTAGAGTGACTTCGAGGCCGTCGTCCAGTTCGCTTCCCGGTCTCTGATTGATTAGGTTCGTCGCAGGTCCTGGCTGTGGACTCTGCGACAGCCACATCGCTGGCACCCCACTGTCGAGTGCGCCCTGAGAACTTAAACTCTCTTCCTCCAAAGCAGTATCAGAAGACTGGTCCGAGTCGTAATCTCTTGACTGTTTCCAAGATTGAGACGAAGTCATAGATTTCGGTCGGTTTGTTGAGTAAACAGAGGCGACAGAATGGACAGACGGCGTACGTTGGGCTCGGGGATTTGGGCGATTCGGCATCCACATTTCCTCGCGACGGTAATGAAAGAACAAACGTGTTTGCTAAATAGTATTTAACTAATGTTATGCTGGTCTAAGGCTTTCACCAGGGCGGTAGCTTAATGTGAGCGAAGATGGTCCTGTAGGGCAGGTGATATGCGTAGCGAAAATTCAACAAGTTGAGTTATGATTTGTTATGTGAGCCAGCAAGATTTAAATGATTTCGCCCTCCTCTTGTCTGCGCGGCGTTATTGTGTAGATACGTGCTGAAACGATTTTGAGACGCAGGGGTCTCCATGTTTGGAGTCGTGACAGAGACGTATGAAAGACAGCGGCAATCCGATTCTAGAACAATTAACCGATACTATCGAGTTGTGCCAAGTCGTCGGGTGCTCTGCCTGGTTCCAGGTGTGTCTTGGGCATGCAGTGATCTACCACGTACTAGACGTCCCCAAGTAACATATTAACGTCAAAGCCATCACGAAGTGTATTTAGGTCCTTTCGACGACGAATGGATGTAATAAAAGAGATGACGGAGGTACTGGGGCTAAGAACCGAAACCCTTAGCGTCGCAACCCCTTATTTCACCTGACCTATAAGCGATGTCTTGTCAAACTGATACCTTTCTACGCATCACAAATGCCTCAGCCACGTTTCTATGGCCATATTGCATTACTGCATTAATATCGCTCTACACGTGTATACTACCCTGAATACTGACCGCTTGGCTTTGCCGTTGACGATGACCGAAGAGAACAGAACAGAATAGACTCTTTGTTGGCTATAGCGTCTCAATTAAATATCGGAATCAAAGAAGCTTGTTGCTACCAGTTACATCCTCGCCAGGTTGAACTTGCTAAGTTTGTAACGATCCACTATCTTCATGTGTATATTGGACTCGTGAACCTAAACGTCGTAGCGATCTGAGTCGTGTTTGACTGGCCTATATAGGAAGTAATCAAAAAAGGCTTTCTTTTCTGTGCCGTTAAGGTCGGAAGCCGCTATACCTGTGAATGCGCCGGTGAAGCTGCCATGAGCCTGATGCCCACCACATTCGTCGCTTAAAATTGAGGCATCATAAACGGGGCCGATTGCTTTCAGAGATGGCTCTCCCTCTAAAGCGTACCAAAACTGCAGCTCCCTGCCTCGGATCATCAAAGCCAATTTGACCTTCCCCTCGTTGGGAATCTGAACTGGGTCTGCGAGAGGCAGCTTCAGACTGCCCTCAGGCCATGAAGCTTCGGAGGTCAAGATGAGCAGTTCGCGCTGACCTCTGGCGTCTGCCGTTACGGTGAGGTAGAAAAAGTTATAGCGACAATAGTAGGCAGTCAGACCGGCAAAGTGTCGCTCATCCGTTGGACAAAAGCTGATGACGGTTTCGGCATCATACGAGAAATGTGTTTGCCGGCGCGCTACCAGAGCTTGCTCAACCCACGAGCCAATAGATTCGCGTCCAGTCAGTTGGAGACCATTCTTGACAGCAAAAATACGTTCGGGTTCCGGCGTCCGAAGCCACTGAAAGTCCTTATGTAGGCCTTCAGTGCTGTCAAACTTATAGCATCGCTCGGCCCAGTACGAGTTCTCATCGCGCTTTGCTGATAGTTCGACATCAAGAGAGGGAACAGGACCATTCTTGATATACAACCAATCATCATCACCCCAGTATGCTTCTTGTATGGCTGTTTCGCGCCCAAGCACGCAACGACGAGCTTGTGTAATCGGACGACCCGTAAGATGCACAAGATATGTTTTTCCATCGGGGGTGTCGACTAAGTCCCCATGACCCGCTCTTTGCAGAGATGCAAACGGAGAGTCCTTAGATGTGAGAATATATTTCTGTGGGTGGAGTTCGTATGGACCCCAAATATTTCGTGATCGAGCTAAAGTGCACGCATGTTCATAAGCTGTCCCGCCTTCAGCAGTCAGGAGGTAGTACCACCCATTTCGTTTGTACAAATGTGGGCCTTCTACAAGATCCAGGTCGGTCCCGTAGAAGATGGTTTTTGTCTCACCCACCAGTTTCTCTGCCGCCGGATCATATTCTTGTAGCCTGATACCCGCAAAAGCCTTGGGGCGCCGGCGGTGGTCTTGCAGCATGTTCAGGAACCATTTCCTGCCGTCTTCGTCATGAAACAGGGATGGATCAAATCCTGAAGAGTTGACGTAAATTGGGTCGGACCATGGACCTTCAATGCGATCGGCGGTGACGATATAGTTGGGAGTGTCTTTGAAAGAGCCGTCCTTACGCTTGACGTCGGTGTATACCAACCAAAATTTACCACCGTCGTATGTCAAGCAAGGTGCCCAAACACCTAAGGGTGTCATTTAGGAATTAATCAAAAGTTATCACATGGGTCAAGTACCGCAACTGTCGGGATTGCCTCGCATGTCAAGCTGACTTTTCCGGTTCAGAGGCCTGGTCACTAGATCCCAGTTTGCCAGGTCCTTAGAATGATGTATTTGTACACCAGGATACCATTCAAACGTCGATGTAGCAATGTAGTACTGTGTTTGAGGGCGTTAGCTACAGCCTATATCATTATATTCATGGTCTCTGTTGCAGGCGGGATTGTACCAGGAGGCCAAGGATTGCCTCATAGCTCAGGCGAAATCCAGCTTAAGATAGACTTAAGAAGCTTTAATACTCACTGCGAAACGTTAGCGTGCGTTCTAGTAGTGTCCATATGGAGGATTCTTTACCGTCGTCAGCAACGCGGACGATCGACGGGTCCGCGTTGAAACCAGGTAAGATAGGATTGCGAACTAATGGCATGGCAGGCTTATATAAGAGGAACAAGATGATTTCGGAAAGAGAGTTCGTGTGATGAGGATGCGGCTGCGCAAGGCGTGGTTTAAAAGTCAGTCGCATTTAGCCGAGAAGCTTGTTCATTTGCCGGTGCCGTGTCACTTCTTGCGCTATTCATACGAGGAACGAAAGATCTTATTCAACAAAACTACTCATTTCCTTAACAAGACACACAATAGACGACGCAGTCAGCATTTGCTCATATAAGATTCTGTTCCTTCCAATAGCGATCATAAACGGTTGCTCGTCAAGTTTGTCACCACGTACAATGAACGTCTCTGCAAATGATAATGCGGATCGTGCAACGCAACACCAAAAGCTTCGCACGCTTCGAGTAATGAGATGAAACCTCCCAATCAAGTCCCTATGAACCAAGCCGATCGATCCCTAGTCCGGCATATAGAAAAGCTTTGAGAACTTGATCTAAAGTAACCTGCTTTAAGTCCTGTTGGCTTCTCTTGACCTTTTCCCAGACGTTGGGTAGTCTTTCTGCTTTCCATTTCAGCCGCAACTGATCGTATTCATCCTTGTCGTATATCTTCCAAAACTCGCTTTCATGGTAATAGTTGCATGCGTAGAGCCATTTCAACCCTCCGACCTCCGCGACCTTTTCTTCAATCTTCCTGTTGTAATTGATAAACTGATCGAATGTCTCCGCTCGTAAGAAATCCGATCCATAGTTAGGAGAACCCCAAACTCCAATATTGACAAGGTTCCGTGTCGGATCAGTATTTGTTTGGGCCGTGTGCATCGGAGGTCGGGAGTCGTGCTTGATTGGACACAGCCATAGAGGATATATTTTGAAGTCGTCGTGCAAGTATTGTAAGAAGCCCTCGGCGTTCTGTTCCGGTATGGCAAGGTCCTGGATGATGTGCGGTGTGCCACCTACGAGATGCACAACACGATATTGAAATCGCGTATGCCACAAAGGGTCTAAGAAGAAACGAGTGCACCGATTCCAAAGATTTGGTGCCCAACCGTACGCTGCCATCCAGAAAACCCCACGTTCGTAGCGGAACACATAATCCTCCACGGGAACAAGTTCAGTCATGGTTGAGTTATCTTGGCGGTATACACGGGATTTCTTGGTCCAATGACATGTCAGACAGCAATAGTCGTCTGAAGCGGGGGCGCACCGGATCTTCTTGTGCACATGTGTAAAGTACCACGGGTCTCTTGCTCTTGTAAACCTCGTAATAGGGCTTTTGTTGTCCCCTTCTTTCACAAGTTTCCCTTCGACTACCACACCATGGCGGTTTGAGAACATGATTGCGTCTGTGAAGTCCACCTCATTTCCGACTCTCTTAAAGTGTCGCAATGCTTCATCTTGCGAGGCAACTGGACGATAAGTCACCTCGACAAACCTTTCGCACGAAATCAATTGTATCTCCAGCTGCGTTGTGATTCCTAAAGTGCCCATTGCGCCCGCACTACCAAAGAACAAGTCGGAGTTATCACCTGGGGAAGCTCGCACAACCTCCCCATTGCCCAAGATCATTTCAACTTCGGAGACGGTTTGGTCAAAGTAGCCGTACCGAAACGACGAGCTTTCAGCTGCGGTGCCCGCGAAGGCGCCTCCGGCCGTTATCCCGGGAAACTCTGGTACCACCGCCGGCAAAAGTTTATGCGCAAGTAGACTTTTGACAAGCTCGTCCATAGCGATTCCAGGCTCAACTAAGGCGATCTTCCTAGTCGCGTCGATGGCGATCACATGGTTCAGTTTAGAAATATCGATGATGGGTTGCCGAGCCGCCACACGGGTTGAGTTAGAGGACCCATGGAAAATTCGGAATGGGATTTTCTGATCATAGAACGACTTCACAGTTTGAGATATCGTGGCTACTCGATCGGCGTGAGCTTTGGAGGCTGCAGAGTGTTTCGACATGGCAGAGCTCTTTACGTGTAACCTCGATGGCATGGAAATTTGGTGATAAGATAGAATGAGGAAGATCAATCACCTTGAAGAGGCGGAACAAGAATCTTATTCGTGACAAGAATCGTTGAACACAATGTCGCGTTAAGACAATACGAAGCAAAAGAGGTAAGATCATTTTACTTACACTAGTAGAAGCAAGGGGTACGACCTATTAACGCATATAGAAGCGCTAATAGTTCATTCGTGGGATCGCTGCTGCACTCGCTTGAAAACTTCTTTGATCTCAAAGCTTCGATTTGCACAAAGAACAGCGCACGTGCCGGACGAAATCCAACCCCTGTATTAGTTTGTATTAGTAGCGCACCACTTAGAAAGATATTCATAACGAGATGATAATGTAATCCGGTGTATTTTCAAGGTGGTTAAGTTGCTTCAAGATCCTTCGGCCCACTCTTAGATGGTATTTCAGTTGCAAGCTTACACTCGGTTCAGTGATGCGAATCAGGTCCAAAGCCTTGTGCGAGAATTCAATGATTCAAGGAGTAGAACATCCTTCGCTCAGCCCCGAGCCTCGGGCTCGGCTGCATGCCTAGGTTCCGAATCGTCCACATCCTGAATATCCGTATGCTCATTAGCTGATGAATTTGGGTCCACGGTGGGTGACGCCACAACACCGGCTGGCGGAACAAATGTTTCGCCTTCTTCGGTGTCTAGCTGCATAAGAAAGGTTTCCCAGATTTCGATCAGCTAGCATATGTTAGTGGAGCAACTGTAGGGGAAACGGCTTGATATACCTCCTTTTGAGCCTCTACAGCACTCTCCAAGTACGTCTCGACACCAGACTTGAAATCTTCAACTTTTTCCCTCTCAAATCTTTCGAGTTCGCTGCGCATGAGTCGGCCCATATCATCGAACAGCAACCTCGCCTGGTGTACCCTGCGTTCGGCGTCCGCAACATCGGCGCTAAGCTGATTAAGACGATCCTGTTGAGATCTACCCTGTCTGAGAAGCTTGTCTTGAGTTGTTTTTCGCTTCTGAAGCTCTTGTTCGGCAGAATGCCAGGAATGATAAGCCTTCTGTCGCTGTTGGAAGGCCGTCTTGATAGAACCAATCAAGCGGATGTACTCGTCTATAACAATGCCTATGGTCAGCACGTCTTGCTGAGCTTGGCGCTCGTACAGTTCTCGTATGCGGATCTGAATGTCGGACAGGCTGTCGAGCGGACCAGAGAGCGAGGGTGATAGTTCTACGGCGGATAGCGAATGCAAAGAAGCTGAGAAGTCGCCACAAGCCTCGGCAAGCCCTTTCCGTTGGGTAACAACGGTGTCTGTAGTTTTCAGCAGCGCCTTCAGCTGAGCCTCAAGCGCATCAAGATAGATTTTCCGATCATGGAACCACTGTATCACTGTCAGCGAAATGGCAGCTTACGGGCAGGGCGTGGGCGTACATCATCGTGCTCCACGAATTTGCCGCTACTGCCAGAGAGCATAGAGCCGAACATGCCTTTGCTTTCACCTAGGCCAGCATCTTTGCGTTCCTTGTTCTTGATGTCAACGTTGAAGGCGTCGCTTTCAAGAAAGAGCTTCAGATCGCTGTCGTGCTGCAATACGGGGTGTGTGGCGGTTTTATTCAGCATGCGCTCTAAAGCAGCACGCCTAGACTCGACGAAATCGACCTCGAAGCGGCCCACAGCTTGCTTTTCGGGTGGTGGGGGGATGATGATGCCTGGGCTGTTGTTATGCAGCTGTGTGTACAGCCAGAGGAAGTCACGGTAGCGGCGGGAGACGGTAAACTCGGATCTGCGGTAGCCCTTGGACGTCGTTTTCGTCGTGACGGAGTATTCTGTGTGTGAGCTCGTCAGGTCGCCGACCTTGTGTGGGTCGCCCACGTAGATGGAAAAGGAGGGCTTTGCGGCCTGCTCGACGCTTACGCTTGGCTGTGTCTGGCGCTGGGGCACTGCAGTCGTCGGCGCTTGCACGGGCGGCGGAATCCTAGGGCCCTGGGAGCGCGGCTGCTCGGCTTCGTCGTCCTCCAGGCTGACAGAGTCCATCATGCCACGCAGTGATGGCGTGGAGGCGCCGGGTGCCGGGCGAGAGCTACGTGATGCGGCAGACTCTTTCTGGGGCGGCGCTGGAGGAGCAACTTCAGGGCCCGTGGGCGGCGTGGAAGCTCCTAGAGGCCCCAGAGGGTCATCGACGGCCTCGAGTTTTGTCGACGGGACGCCATGTTGGCGTCGCCTGGGGCCGCGGCCTGCGGGCGAGCGCGGTGCCGCTGCAGCACTGGGAGCAGAGCTTGGGGTCGTCTTGGTAGAGGGGGCAAGAGAGTCGGTGTCGCGACTGTCGTCCTGGTCCAGCTTCGGAGCGTTCTGTGTAGGGTGGTTGGACTGTGAGGGTACGTCTAGCACAGCGTCAGCGTCGGCGTCGGCGAAGGGCTGCGGCAGCTCTGAGAATCAGTCATACCTCCCCACGGAGAGCTCCCTTCATCTCCAAGATCCATTGGCGCAGTGGGGCAGATGTGTGCGGGGGGTTGTCGTTGATTAATAGTTCTCGGGCGCTGCGGAAGTCGCATGCTATGTCTTGGCGACGACGGATATCCTTGTCAGCTGCAAGGCGGTTGAAGCTGCGCACCCGCACCACCCACAGCGTTCATGGGAATACATGAACTCTGCTCAGGCTATTTCTAATTCAAAGTAATGTACAGCGGCCTAGAAACAACACTACAGTAGATCCTGCGCCGTTTCGTCCACAGCCGCTTGCTGGTTGCATATTGCTCTGTTGGCCGCTTCGTTGTGAGCACCAACACTACATAACTTGACAGACCTAGACACGCTCACAGGCTCGACGAACCCACTGATGCCTTACCGTGCTCACATGTATAGCAGACTTTGCCGTCTTCCGCGTCCAACCTCATTGTTGCCATTGTGTGTCCCATGCGCTTACCTAAATGCACAACCCAGCTCTCAACAAACTAAGGACGAAGTCAGTGTACGTCTGTCTTACGATAGGTACGGTGGGGTTTCGTACGACTTTTGCCCCTTCGGGTGCCGGTCTTAAATAAGTGCAGTTGACTATTGGTAGCGCCGACGCGATTAGCTTATTCTCTATCCCAGGAGGAATAGGTATGCTCGCGATAGACTCCTACAAGTCAAAGGAGTGCGCTTACTGGTATAGTATTAGCATTGTGCCTGGCATTGTCTCAACACCAGGAGTTCATACCGATTACGGGATACATGGCCTGTGTCCCAAAACCCCGGACGACTACAAGCTGTAATGGCTGTCGATGTTGTGACGTCGAATATCAACGCAACGGCGCCGCCGTGAAGACTGCCGGCCATATCTGTCCAGAATGACGATACCATTAAAACGATGTCTTACAGAGGAGAGTACAACAGCCTCGAGTCAAGTGTTGGGCGGTTTGAGGGGAAATTACTTACTATCAACACGTTAGCCGGCTGCGTTGATAGTACACGTATTGAGCCGTTACCTGCACAAGCGCCGGGGGACAGTGAAACTGAAGACTGTACGGGAATCATGAGGACTGGTGCTCGTTGGCTGACACGTGACCGACTCGAGCTGGAGAATTTTGGACAAAATAGCATCGTGACCCTGGACGGAGTAGCATTAGATTCGTGGCATTGAACATGTAGCGGCACCGACTCGCATCGTAGTCTTCTGAGCTCGTGATATCAAACTGGTCGAGGTCATCAGCGAATGAAGTGCAAGATTGAAGTCAAGGTACTAACCCATTTCCGAGCCTTCTCGAGGGGCGAAACGTTGCCACCCTCGGTGAGCATGGTCGCATGCTTTTGCGCACGGCTGTTCATGTCGAGAAGTGTAGGAGCTTCACTGGATCGAACGGAGAAGCAGTGCAGGTGAGACGTGGGTCGGTCCTCGAGCATCAAGTGGGATCTACCTCGGCATCCATTGATGGGCCCTGGGACTAACCTCTCTTGGCCGTCGCGTCGAAAAGTAATTGGACGTTACCTAGTAGGTACTTTACATGTAGCTGCGCGTTCACTCCAGCTATACCTCCCTCTCGTCTCCGCTACCCCCATTCAGCACAACTGGCAGCCATGGACTCGTCTACCCTCTTCCGCCAGCTGCTCCGCACGCCCGCCTTCTGCCGCTCTGCCCTCGTCCCGCCTGCGCGTCCCCATGGCCGGACCTTCGCCGTGCTTGCGCCATCTCTGGCACATCCACGCTTCATGTCTCTCCCGCGCATCGTCCAGCCCAGCTTCTGGGCTTCCATGGTGCCAAGGCCATTCAAAAATCGCTCTGAACAAGCCAAGCCGAGAGAGTGGAATCCGGCTACGCCCTACATCATCCTTGGACTCCTTGTTGGCAGCCAAGCGATTCAAATATTGTGGTTGAAGCAAGAGAGGGGCCACACCATACGTAAAGCAGAGGCCAAGATCGGGATACTCCGAGAGATCATTGAGCGTGTGCAGAGAGGCGAAAATGTGCCGGTCGAGAAGGTGCTGGGAACAGGGGACGCAGCAAGTGAGCGGGAATGGGCTGAAGGTACGTCGAACTTGGATGAGTCTACGAGGCAGGCCGATATACTAACATGGCCAAGTTTTAAAGGACATCGAGGATGAAAAGGCCCTATTTCAGAGCAAAAAGAAAAGGAAGGCCCTACGGCAAGCTGCAGAGGCCAAGCTGCAGGTCGATGGAGTAAGGAAAGAGATGGACAACGAACCCGCCAAGCTCCAAGTGGAAAACTTTGGCGGTGCAAAGTTCTACTAGACCATAGCAAGACAATACTCTTGCTAAGATGGAAGAGTCTGAACAGTATTTGCGCATGTGCTTGAGAAGACTAGCCTGAAAAGCAACCAACTTTGACCGGATATCAATATCGAAGGCTGTCCGCTGTCCCATGCAGTCAATTTTGGTTCCTTCGTCGCCAACCGCCAACCACCCGACGCCGACCCTCACAAGCCGAAATCAATCCTCGCCACTGTGCTGCTGCTGCTGCTGCTGCCCATTCTGATCTGTCCCCTTCGCAAGCCTCAACCGCTCGCCCCGCTTCTTGTTGCCCGTGTTGTTAGATACCTTGGTGAATCCCCTCGCTTCAGGGTTGTCGCACAGAAGCGCAAGCGTCACACCACCACGGATGGCATCGTCGACCGTTGCCTTTTTCTGCTTCAGACAGAGGCAGATGCGGGCTAGACGTGTTTCCAAGCTCTTCTCGCTCACGTCCGCCAGCTTACCGCGCACCACCTTCTTGTGATAGATTTTTGGTCGGTTCCAACCCCGTTCGTGCACAGCCAAGGCCGAATCGAAGACGTGGTGTGCTACAGCTTCGAGGTCTTGCGGGTCAAACCCGGGGGTTCCTGTGAATCGCAGTCGGTGAATGGACGAGTCTCCGTCGCTGATGGCTGTGACGTCGATCATGGCCTCGTAAATTCGACGCACCCAGTACTGACCTAAAGTACGGTCCGAAGTCAGTATATGCTTCTAATGCATTTCATTCAGGAACACTTACGTCCATACTGTTTTACACGCTCAACATCTGGTGCATGCTCTTTGGGAGTTATGCGTATACGTTTCCGATATGCCTTAGCATCATGGGCGCTCATGAAGTAGCCTGTATAAGCTGGGTAAACGGGACGAGGGGCTTCGGGATCCGGTAAAGGCTCGTTGGAAGTGACCAGTGGCTGGTAGTTTTCTTCGGTGAGATCTCCGTCCTTGGGCGGAAAGGTGCTTGCCGTTGAAGGTTTCTGGATACCATGGGTGGCCATGTATTGTTCGTAAAGGCGATTGAGCATAGGATGAGTACACTTAGTTAGGATAGACATCTTCTGCGCGTTGTCGAGGAACGGGGAATTTATCAAGCTGGGCACAGCTCTGTAATCGTGCTGAAGGCCCCACTCATTGATGTCTTCAGCTCGAATCTCTTTGCTTTCGGGATGTTGCGTGATGTAATCATGATCGGGCGAACAGGAGGGCGGGGATTGACTCAAGTAGTCACACTGAGGCACATCGTTGACGTGCTCGAGATGGTCGTAATGATGTGTGCTGACGTTTTCGTAGGTGTCGTGTAATGAAATACCGATAGTGTTATTCTCAAGATACTGATGTGCATACATGTCTTTCAGTGTGCGGTGCCAGACCGATCAGCACGATTTATAATGACGGCCAGCGTCAACTGAAACGTAGGAATAAGGAAGCCGGGAGGACTTCAAGCAACTAATAGATGGTAGGACTCAGCGTTATTGGGACTTTGTAAATTGCGCTTAGAAGGATTTATATACGTACGGTAGCTAAATGTCCTTGAATGGGTAGCTCTATCATTGTTGTGATCTTGAACAATGACTATTTACGAAGTATGCTCCCTATATTAAATGTAGCGCTAACAGGCGCGACGCGAGCTTATAGTAGCTTGATTTCAGGGTATTATTAACTAGAGCAGCCTCAATTCCGAGACAGCTAGTCCTATTGTTCGAGGTATGTTGCGTTCAAAGTATTGTGCGGTGAGATCAGCGTACCTCTTTCACTTTCACCTTGACCTTACATTAGAGAACGGAAACTTTGATTATTGTTCTGGAGAGTGCTATATCATGAGATGTTAGAATATACAAACTCTACACTTAGTAATATTGGTGACTACTAAGGCGATAATTGGTATGGTAGTAAAGACTGATGAGTGGGATTTGAGAGCGAATATCTGCCAACATACAATGATACTCAAGGATTGTCGAACACCTTATACTTACAACGAATAATTAATTTAGAGCTTAAGATATACGTTATAAAATGTATTCAAACAAATACACGAGACAAGGCTGATCTAAGGTACAGCTATTAGTGTCTGCCACATAGCATACTACTTGTAATCCACAATGAGTAGAAAATTGCAAGGAAATGAACATTTGTGTTGGAACGTGCAATAAAAATCCCGGTAATTGCTACCCCACACAATCGAATAATTTGTTTAAGACATCCAATATAGTACGTAGAGGTCATTATTAGGAGATAGACAGCGCGGCAGGTGAAACTGTAGAGGCATCTGGGCGTGGTGGGGCAATCGCCTCTTTCCTCTCAGCTTCTTTTTGCCCTTCGCTTTCTAAATCTACCCTTGTCCTCCAATGTGACAAAGATTCACTCAAATCGTTCTTGTCACTCGTAGGTGTCCGCTCAAAGTCGAACCGATCACTCAGGCGATACGCCTTGTTTGTTGTTTCCCAATGGCTTCTTAAGGCATCCAGCTCGGAAGCAAGATTATCGAGGGCCATGGAATTTCGAGTTGCAACTGATGTTGGACGGTTGGTAGCTTCCGGGGTGCTAGAGTCGTCGTTGTGGCTGTAGAGAGACTCGGCTGAAGCGACGCTATCATGCGCATGGTGACGCCCTTGAGCTATGTTCATAGCCTCCGCTGGCAACTGTGACTGGCGACGGTAATTGTCGACAGATGTCTCAAATTGGTCAAGAAACATTTGCACTCGGCTCTCCGCTTCACGCGCACGCTCTTCTACCTGCGTGTACTGGCGACGAAGTGATTCAAGGTCAAGGTGAGACTGAGTTGCCATGGATTCGGCCTGCTTTGTTTTATGTGCTGCGACCTCGGCTTGTTCGCGTGCAGAAGCCAGATCGGACTGCAGTTTTGAAAGTTGGCCCTCAAAACGCGTAATGGTCGTTTTCAAATTGTCTTGAGTAGTCGATAATTCCTGGCGAAGAGATAACTTCTCTGCCTCCCAGCCGGCGGTTTGCTCCTTGCTTTGATTACCGGTATCTTGTTTCGCTTGAATGAGCTCTTCCTCGAGTTTAGAATTTGCGGTCTTATAACGATCCAGCTCCTGCTTCATCTTTGCAAGCATTTTCTCTGTACCTCGAAGGTACTTGACGGCTGCCTGGTGATCGTTGTGCAACGCTTGCAGTTTCTCTTCCCATTCTTTGCTGACCTCATGCTCACGTTCTTCGAAGGCAGACCGCAATTCTTCATGAGCCTTGTTCATAGAGTCGACCTGCTGTTCTAGTTCGCGCACTCGATTGAGTTCGGGGGTGCCAAACCTAGAGCTTGGGCTATCCAACACCCTTGAGCGGCGTGCGTCAACGGGATTTACCCCTCGCTCCTCCAGAAGGTTTTTGAGCGTTCTGAGTTGGACTTCGAATGCGTTGCTTTCAAGACGTAGGCGCTCATGCTGCTGGCGAAGATCAGCCTTCTCACCCTCCGAAGTTTGCATATCACGCATAGCCTGTTGCAACTGTTTTCGGATTGTGAGTCCTTCACGACTGGATTGTTCTTGATATGCCTCAAGACCAGCGATCCTTTCTTCTGCGCGACGAAGTTTCTCAGAAGCTTGATCGGCAGCTGTTTGGTTCTTCCGGGTCATTAAGTTTGCAGCCTCAATTTGTTGTTGAAGAACTAGAACGCGTTCATCAACAGAGTCATGATTTTCACCGGATCGATCAGCCATGTTTCCTAGTCCAGAGAGAACCGCTTGACGATGAACGCGTGCTTCTTCGGCGTGCTTCTCAGCTAGCTCCTCGGTGTTGCGAAGTTTTTGCGTTGCCGTTTCCAGTTCCGTTACAAGGGCGTCGTGCTCAGCGCGCAGTTGGGCTAATTTGTGACGAAGACTGTCACCCTGAGTTCGTTCCTCTTCGAGTTTACTCTCCAGTAACGCAGATTTCTCTGAAGACACGAAAACCGCATCACGTAAAGACTGGAGAAGGGTAGAGTGGCCCTTCGACTCTTCCGATATTCGAACAACTTTGGCGCTCAACTCCTGCTTGTCGATTGCCAACAGTTTCGACGACGTCTCGGCTTCTGCGGCGTTGGCGGATACTTCTCTAGCTACACGCTCGGCTTCGTGCAACTCAACACGGAGGCTTTCGAACTCTGCGGCAATTTTCTGTCGTGTAGAATCTAGCTCTTGCACGCGCTTCTGAGCAGCCTCTGCGGTGTCTTCGGCTAACTGCTTGGCTTTTCTCTCGGCGTTAATCTGATGTGTTAATTGTTCCACTTTAGTAGACAGTTCACCTTGAGCTGCTAGTGAGGCAGCCAATCGGCGGTTGATGTCATGAATACGATCCATGTCAGGTGTGCCTGCATTACGAGCCCCATCTGGCTGTGGGGTGCCACTGTGGCTACCGCCACCATGAGCAGCTAGTTTTGTTTTGGCGTATATTGCCTCACTAACAGCTGCATCTCGTTGCCTTTCTACTTCCGCGATCCTCATCGCCGCATCCTCGCCTTGAGACTTGATTGAGCTTTGGACACGCTCAAGCTCAGCCTTCATCTTGAGGAGCGCCTCAAGTAACGGTCTGTCCTCCTCACGAAATGCATCAGCCGAACGCTCATCAAGAACAGGACTCGCAGAAGTGCCCATATTGTAGCCAGCCCTTCGTGCAAGAGCAAGCTCTGAAGCGTACCATGCATTGCGGCTCTTGGCAACCTCAAGCTCTCGAGCTACTTCATCGTTCTGTTGGCCGACTGCAGGCGCTGCACCTAGTCCATTGTCTATGGGTGTATGTTCAGGCTCGCGGCTCAGAGCGTGCTGGTGCTGCGTTTCTAATGATCGCCTCAATGTCGCCTGCTCTACGCTGTCCTGTGAAGGCTGTTGCCGGTGAGATCTAGTTGTATTCCGGGAAACGATGCTTCCCGACCGCGATGTGTCCATTGACTCCTTCGGTGTTCGCTGGCTGACCGCGTCAGAGGCCTTTCGTTGCACTTCGTTCGTGGAGGGGCTGTCGCGGGTCATGGGTGAAAACTCCTCTCGATCCAACGAAGGCGCGACGCCGGTATCCACAGGAGGCCCATATACGCGGTCGCCTTTAGTGGGTGTTCTGCTTCTAGAGTTTGTATTAACTTGTGGATTAGGTCCGTTGGCTCTCGGCTGTGGTGGTTGTTGGAGCGGCGGAGGACCAGGAGGTACTTGTGCAGCTGCGCGGGGCAGTCGCGATCCACCTCCACCTCCACCATTTCCTATGGTCTCTGGACTTCTTGCGAGTTGTGGACCAGGCATCATGCTCTCGCGCGCTGGGGGCGAGCCAGCTTTGCCTTGAGTAATATTGCTCCGCTCACCCCCGCTCATTTTCCGCGGAGTGTTCTGCGTCTGGTGCGAGGGCACGCTCTCGTTGGGCGGATACCTGATTTTCGATGTATCCAGGATGTAAGCAAGGCTTAGTTCATTCCTCTCGCTCGCAGAAGAGCTGGGTTCTCCCGCTAGGACTACGATATGCTTTCCAAATGCAGTCATGCTATGTCCTGATCGAGCTGATGGGGAGTGTCCCATGTTCTGGAACATATACCAGCGGCGAGACGATATCCGGAAGGCGGCAAGGTCACCGAGATCGACTCCCTCCTGAGTGCGCCCGCCGAAAATGTACATGGTGTCGTTGACAAGGGCAGCGGAATGCCCCTCGCGGGCTACTGGGATGTAGCCAATGCAATCAAGCTCAGTCCAGGCATTGGAACGGGGTTCATACGTCCAGACGTCATTAAACCAAGTAACACCATCTGTGCCACCGAAGCTAAATTTTTCCATTAGTAAATATGAACAACTGCGTGCCACGTGGTGAACGTACAGGTAAAGCTTATCGTTCCAAGTTATCACGGAGTGGTTTGTGCGTGCTGGCGGCGACCTGCCTTGTTGCGGAGAAACCTGATCCTTTGTGTTTGGCAGCAGCACCTCCCACCGACTGGCGGAAGATTGCAACGAGTTCAAATCGAAAGCTACCAGGTCGTTGAAGAAGAAGCCTTCTACTTGTCCACCAAAAATGTAGATCTTAGAGCCTAGGATATTCAGAGTATGGCCGTAACGGCCTGTGGGACGTGGACCTTGGGGTAGTGCGCGTGACCAGTGCTTCGTTGCTGCACACTATTAGCAAGGATGAGGTACAAGACAAGGGCGAACAGACATGTATTCAAGAGATATAGTGTATCATCCAGGTCGTCATTGTCGGCTAGTTTGGTGTCACCACCAAATACGATAAATGCATTACCCACGAGCAGACTGGCATGGCCTACGCGGGGCCCGGGGCCATCTCCAGTGGTGGAAATGGGATAACATGCCATGCTCCCGTTGCCCATTTCAGTCAGCCACAAGTCGCCCTTGACTGTTGCGCCGCCCACAAGCCCTCCCATAAGGTAGATGGTTCCATCTTTCGAGGCTGTAGAGTTGATTGCGGCACCGTAGCGAGGAAAGGGATTGCCTGCGGTGAAGTTCAGTCGACGGGACGACCAAGGGTAGGGAGAGTCTGGCGAGTTGCCGGCGATTTTGCCGTTGGTGTTCTATGAGACAGTCAGCATGAAGGCAAGGTCGATTGTTAGATGAGGTACGTGCCTGAGCATTGGGGTCTACCCTCTCTCGCAGCGCCTTAGGCTCGGGTGTTGGGGCGTTTCCGAGCGAGCTGAGTGAGTTGTTCCCACTGCCTCCCGGCGTCGGGGTGTGTGTTTGCGATCCTCCACGGCTCTTGTCGACATCGCGAATGCCTGCTCCATTGATAGCGGCTGGCGGTGGTCCCTGGCCATGCGAGGAGGAGATCTCTCTAGTTGCCGCTGGCAGTGCGCCGGGCTGCTGCTGCTGCTGCTTGTTCTTCTTTCCAAAGAGGAAGGACATGGTGTCAGATTCGTTGCGCTGAGGGCGTTACAATGGCAGCCGGTGCCTGTCACGCACACAGCATTCGGCCTGCGCTCGTCTGGGAAGGGTGCACGAAAGACAGCGCGGGCGGAGGTTGGAGGCTCGAATGTTTGTCGCGAGTGGTTGGCGTGGTATATGCGGGGTTTGAGTTTAGGAGGGCGCGCGCATGTCGTATGGCCGAAGCAGATGTACAGAGGACTTGTTGGAATAAAGCGAGGGTAGAAGTGTAGTGCTGGTCAACTGCGACAAAGTTTGGATGTTATGGATGGGGGTTCAAGAGAGGCTCTTGGCGAAGGAAGGGCAACGAGACAGGAGCTGTGCGACAGCCGTGGAACAGTCGGCTTGCAGAGATGGCGTAGCAGTGTCGAACGCAGCCTCAACACATACAAACGCAGAAGCAAAGGCAGCAATGGTCGATGCTACTCACGACGGCGCAGGTCAAACTTGCTAGTAGGACAGTGTTCATCTGCGCGTCGCCCCTGAGCCCGTGGCGATCAGCGAACGCAGGGCTGCGCTATACGGCGATTGGCTGCGGCAAACGCAGCAGTCCTGCACGAGGATCATTGGGTACCTGGGGGTTTGGGGAGGAGTAGTAATCTTGGAATGATAATAATGATAATAATTATCATATGTGAACATGGATAATAGTCCATGGTCTTTAAGCCTTCGAACGAGCCCTTCGGCTGCGGCGCATCCGACGCATGAGGCTACTACCTCTATTCCGTCTTGTCCCAGCATTACCACACACACACGGCCACCGGTCAGTGTATAGCGCCTAGTAGAGCGATGAGTGGATATATAGACAGATAGCTAGATACATAGACATGCATCGACCCCATCACGTGCCTCACCGCCGGGCCCTATCGGGACTAGCTTCACCTCATCCTCGGAGCTCCAGAGCCTGTACCACTCCAGCTTGTAATCGACGCGACAGCAACTCGGAGCGGGACGCAGGTTGCTATATAACACACACGCCTACCTTCGACGCCTAGAGCTTCGCATGGTCGCGCTCCCCGGCTGCGCGCATAGGAAGCCTCCCGACATGGGCCCTGCCAACGCCGTCACTGCTCGCCCAAGGTCATGATGAGAACCACCAGCGATTTGCCTCTCGCCAGCCGTCACGCACATCCGAATCCTCTTGCCTCGCACGCTCCTGTGCTCGCCGATATGAATGGCGCTGTAGCTTCCCCCCCGCGGCACGAGCCCCAGCTTCCCCAAGGCCCAACGTCCTCGCGTCCCAGCACCGCTGCAGCAGCTGCCAATGCCTCTCCTCCACGCGCCAACAGGGACGAACAAGCCACGCCCGTACGCTCCATGTCAACCAGTGCACAATCCACGCGACCAGGCTTCCTCCGTGCTCGAAGCGATTTTGGACCTCGCCATTCAGTGCTTGCTCCCGAGAGCACCGACGAGGGCAGCACCGATGGACAGTTCAAGATCCGCCATGGCTGGGATGACCAGCTAAACTCGGAAGAGTACAGCAACTTGCTCACCTCGGTACGTTGACTGCGCGATGCTAGCTGATTGGCACGGTGAGACTGACTTGCTCCCCCAGAACTTCTTCATGTACTACACAGATAAGAAGCACGAGACGGGCGGCCACCCCAAAAGGGACGACTGCGCCTTCCCAGTCCAGGAATGGCGGATGCGCGACAGGCTCAAGACCGTCTCTGCTGTCCTCGCTCTGTGCCTCAATATTGGCGTCGATCCACCCGATGTCATCAAGACGAACCCCTGTGCCAAGGAAGAGTGCTGGATTGACCCTACCGTCACCTCTCAGACACCTGGACACACGCCGATGAATCAGATCGGCAAAGCTCTCCAGACGCAGTACGAGCAACTGAGTATGCGCACACGATACAAGCTCCTGCTTGACCCTACTACAGAGGAGACTAGGAAGTACACATCCACCCTACGGCGCAATGCTCGCAACGAACGAGTCCTCTTTCACTACAACGGACACGGGGTTCCGAAACCGACATCTTCTGGCGAAATCTGGGTCTTCAACCGAAACTATACCCAATACATCCCTCTGTCCCTCTACGATTTGCAGAGCTGGATTGGTGCTCCGAGCCTGTTTGTCTACGATTGCTCTGACGCGGGCCTCATCATTAGCAACTTCAATAGATTTGCCGAAAAGCATCAGACCGAGTTTGAGGAGGCGCGACGGAGAGATCCCAGTGTTGAGTACGTCGACTTCAGCGACTGTATCCATCTAGCGGCATGTAGAGAGAAAGAGTCTCTCCCCACAAATCCAGAATTGCCTGCAGACATCTTCACGTCCTGTCTGACAGACCCCATCACTATGGCGGTGCGATTCTTCATCCTACAAAACCCTCTCCCTAGTAAAGTGAGCCTCAGAGACGCTCACAACATTCCTGGCAAGGTTTCTGAGCGTAGAACGCCCATTGGCGAGCTGAACTGGATTTTCACAGCCATCACCGATACGATAGCCTGGAATTCCCTTTCGAAACCCTTGTTCAAGAAGTTGTTCCGCCAGGATCTGATGGTTGCGGCGCTCTTCCGCAATTATCTCCTTGCACAACGCATCATGCGCGCTTATCACTGTCATCCTGTCTCACATCCTGAAATTCCGCAAACACACGACCACCCGCTCTGGCGTAGTTGGGATCTTGCTGTTGAGCTGATCTTGGCCCAACTTCCCGATCTTCAAGCCGAAGCACGTGGCGATAAGGAATATGTTTACAAGCACTCAGAGTTTTTCTCTGAGCAGTTGACGGCCTTCGAAGTCTATCTGACCCAAGGCGCTGTCGAGCAGAAAATACCAGAACAGCTCCCCATTGTGCTGCAAGTTCTTCTCAGTCAGGTTCACCGGCTTCGCGCACTTATTCTTCTCTCGAGCTTCCTGGACCATGGTCCGTGGGCTGTGAACCTAGCGCTTAGTATCGGTATCTTTCCGTATGTGCTGAAGCTGCTGCAGTCCCAGGCAAACGAACTCAAACCCGTCATGGTCTTCATTTGGGCTCGTATACTAGCGGTTGATCAGTCCTGCCAGGCTGATCTCCTCAAGGACAATGGGTATCAGTATTTTATTAATATTTTCAATCCGAATTCTGGTATGTGTTTCGTCCATGGGCTTTGTCTCTCCCTCCATACTAAATTGAACCAGGCATCCCCATCCAAAACGCGAGCGAGCATCGAGCAATGTGTGCCTTCATTGTATCCATGTTTTGCAAAGACTACAACCAAGGACAGCGTGCGTCACTCAGCGCAGAGCTCGTGGAGAGCTGCCTCGATCATTTGAAAGACATGCAGAATCCTTTGCTGAGGCAGTGGTCTTGTCTTTGCCTAAGCAAACTCTGGGTCAATTACGAAGAGGCCAAGTGGATGGGAATCCGCTGCATGGCGCACGAGCGGTTATGCGAGCTCATTGTCGACCCCGTTGCAGAAGTGAGGGCCGCGATGTTGCATGCTTTGACGTCTTTCCTGGGTATCCGCGATGTCACCGCCCAGGTGGCCAACATTGAGGAGTCAATCGCATCTATGATTCTTGTCATGACCATGGATGGTAATAGCATGGTACGGAGAGAACTGCTTATATTCTTCTCCACATTCGTTGCTCGCTACAAGACCCGGTTCATCGTCGCTGCGTTTGAGCATTTCTCAGAAGAGAGAAATAGCCCTATTGTCGCACAGTTGGAGGATCGGAACGCCGAAGGACTTTATATGAAAATGCGAGCAACAGCAAACGGCGCTTCGGCTGGACAGAGCTCGTGCTCCCAAAACACGATATATTCTGCTATATGGAAGGAACTGTTGGTCATGTCAGTTGACCCACATCCGGAAATAGCAAAGGATGGAGGCGTTGTGGTTGATTACATCTTGATCGCCCTCATCGAGTCCTCGCTTGCCAAATTCGTACAGCCACAACTGGATCAAGCACCTCATAACGCTCCGCCTTCTCGGCCCATTCGTCGTGCGCAGGAAGAACCCACCACCCCGCAAAAGGTCTCCACTCCCCCCACGCCGACTAAAGATTCCAGCTACCTGTCGCTTTTTGGAGGGTTACGTAAATCTACGAGTGTCGGTGCCTCACTCAAAAGCCTTTGGGCTGGCTCTGATGGACTCCAGAAGCCCTCAGGGAGAGCGAAAGCTGAGGATCTTGTCTCCACCACAGAGTCGCGTCCTCAAACCCCAGAGAAATATCATGTCGAAGAAGAGCCAAAATCGCGAGGCTTCAAGCCTCGAAGCCTAGTAGAGAAACCCGAGATACCACTCGTAAGCGTGTTTTTCGAGTGGTCTGTGGAATACTTCCGCGAGCCGCAAATGAAGCCGACGGAGGCTGATGAACCGGGTAGCACTGATTATAATGGCCGGCTCTGGCGGAGGAATCGCAACGACAAGATCATTGCCGAAACACAACCCTTGAAGGACATCGCCGTTTCTAATCGCTGGGATGTACCTCGAGGCTACTTTGACAATCTCAGTCAGCCCCAGAAAATGTGTTTCCATCAATTTGAGGACCATCTTGTAGTGACTGACAATCGCGACACTGTCAATATCATCAATTATTCCAAAACTGTCAGCAGAATCAACTGCTTCTCCAACGGAAACCCCTTGGATTCAAAAATCACCGAGGTTCGGTTCATCAACGAAGACGATCAAGCTTTGCTGATGACGGGTTCATCGGACGGAGTGATCAAGATTTTCCGTAATTACGATCGCAAGGGAGAGACGGAGCTGGTAACGGGGTTTCGAGCTTTGACTGATCTTGTTCCAAGCAACAAGAATGCCGGGCTTGTATTTGATTGGCAGCAAGGGAGAGGTCTCGTATTGGTCGCTGGTGATGTCAAAGTCATCCGAGTATGGAACGCTGGAACTGAAGTATGCACGAATGTAAGCTAAACCTTTCACTTGCATCTAGTGCTAAAGCTGACATTACCAGGACCTTCCAGCACGATCGGGCTCTTGCATCACTTCATTGACGTCGGACCAAGTCGAGGGCGATGTCTTTGTCGCTGGCTTCGGTGACGGCGCCATTCGAGTTTACGATCAACGCCAGAAGCCTGCCACTGCTATGGTGAAAGTTTGGAAAGAACACAAACAATGGATCACCAACGTCCACCTACAGCGCGGCGGACAACGCGAGCTTGTGAGTGGCTGCCGCAGCGGAGAGGTCAAGTTATGGGATATTCGCATGGATGGGAGTGTGAAGACTATACAGGCTACGACCGACCACTTGCGGACACTAAGCGTGCATGAGCATGCGCCAGTCTTTGCCACGTAAGTCTGATCAAATCCGAGGAAGCCTAAATCACATGCTGACTCTCACAGGGGAACACAGAAGCATCGTGTGAAGATATTCAATATCAACAACGGCGAACCCGTATCGTACTTCGAGCCCTACTCAGGCTTTCTTCGCGACCGGTCTGCTCCTATCTCTGCAACCGCATTCCACCCCCATCGGCTCATGATCGCCGCTGCGGCGGTCCACGACAATCACGTGAACATATTTTCTTGCCATGAGCCCAAACACTCTGCTATCAAGACGGTGAAGCTCTGGGAGGGTAACACGGCGACTTCTAGCCGGGTATCCACACTCAATTAAAGGCTGTATGAGATGTCACCGGTCTATACTGTGACAGGGGGCGAGAGCCTTGGTGCAACATTCTGGCTGAGCTTGTGGGATGTTCTTCGTTCTTCTTATCGGTATGGTGTCCCTTGGTAGCTGTGTTCTGGTTTTGGTTTACATAGCATAGCGAGAAGGTAATTGGTATGGGGCGCACGGCGATTGCTTATGCTTCAACGCGGGTTGGGAGCAATTAATGAGCTTCATTATACCCAGGTTGAGTAGGCGATGCTGACAGCGATTCGATGTACATGTATCAAGCAATTGAAAGCTTAGAGACTGGAACCAGCGTACTAGCACTTGATCTAAGTGTGTCGCGGGGATGGTGGGGTAGTGATACTTCGTCCGTATTGCTCTCCGTCAGGTTTATTTATCTCCATGAGACCACGCAAAGTGAACATGCTGATTAATACATTTTCCTTGCTAGACTCGTGAGAAGGAGCACAAAAAGCCACAATAGAACCGAAGAGCCCTCAAGTTCCTTCCAGTAAAGACCAGCCTCATTTCACTACATTTTGGCAAATCCTCAAATTATTTGGGGCGAGCGATCAAATGAGAGGGTTTCATCGACCAGTTTTTCTAGTCAAACTTGTAGCTTTCTATTTGATCATGATTGACTAGTATTAGTTGGTCTATTTTTCTAGGTTTGTCAAGCTTCTCATACGGAAGTGACGTCGTGTACCAGTTCGTCACCCATTAGCAGTTCCCACCTAGAACCGGAACCTTAGCTTTCATTGCTATCCTATTTGGATCCGTGACTAGGCGTGGTGGGCCAAGAATGGTGGTGCGGTAACTTGGAGCACATATACGGTCGTGTTGTGACTAGAAGTAAGCCTATGACCAATATCTTGACTGCCTCCAGCGCGGTTTAGGCGCGGTGACACTCGATGGCCGAAGCGGAGACATCTCATTCGATGGACCTGCAGGTTGAATCCTGCACATCTTCCGCCAATTGCTGGTTCTCGCGAATGACCAAGAAGGGAACTCATTGACGCTCTCCAAAACAATGTATAAGCTGAACGTGCTCAAAATTGAGCGCGCGGCCACTGCCTTGCCCTTGCTGAGATCTTCTTCGTCGGTTGTTGACGTAGGGGTCGGGCGATCAGAGGTTTTTCAGGACATCTGCGGCAAGCTTCTTCTGCCTCTCATCGCCGAATGCGCCTTGGTCCACCTCTTGTATAGCCCGGCCAATTGCAAGAGTCGTCTTCACATTTCCTCCGTCTATGTGTACGAGACCATTTCGGCCAACCGTAACTTCGAAGCCTACTTTCGCACCGACAAGGTCCAACAGGGTGATTCCGCCTTTTGCCGCGAGCATCCTACGCGCCATGCCCAAGCTGATATGGAACAACATGCCGCTCTTCAACAAACCAAGGCCCTCGCCTTTCCCGGTCGAGGGGTCTACACAGGTGAGTTCGGGAGGTAGGTCCCTGCCCGCACTAGCAATGCGACAGTAGACCAGCGAATTCGGCGGGAGCTGTGGGCGGGTCTTCTTGGTGGCACCCTCGAAAGCGAGATGGGGAAGGGTTGCAGGAGACGTGTTCGGGGTAAGCAGGCAGTTGAAGTTCTCTGCGGCAGAGCCGTTGACGGTGGCTATGACTAGGTCGCCAACGAAGGGAAGATACTACAACAGGTATTAGCAGGGCCCCATGTGTGGCAGGTTTATGGAGTCAGTTGCTGACCCTCCCGCTGTTGTAATCGACCAGAGCAGCATTCTTCTTGTCGTCGGTCGCCAGTGCGCCCGCAACAGTCGTCGCGACGGTATTTGGCGGAATGTGTCGCAAGCCCGGGCCCAGCGTAAGCGTCTTCTTCTTGCCGGTTCCTTTGGGCAGCGCGCCGTGGGGAATCTCATCGCCCGGCAGAACGAGTGTGGCCAAGGTAGCCATGGCGGTTGGGAGGAGCTGCCGTTGCAAAGAGGATGATGGATGAGCTCATTCTCCAGTGGCGGTGGTCCGTGCATGACGAAGCGGACTTTAAATTTCTTACCTAGGTAGCTTGGGAGAAATTCAAGTCGCAGACCAAACTAACGCCTGTCGATACGCTCCGGTTTTGAATACCACCTCACTCTCTTCAGCCTCTCCAGCCTCTCCAGATCTGTACCTTCCGCACGCGCGCACCACTCCAGACTCGCCTCCGCCCAAGATGAGTGCGCAGACAGACCCCGCGCAGCGGGTCGCGATAGGCATCTCCTTTGGCAATTCCTACAGCTCCATTGCCTATACTACCGGTGTAAGCCCAACACGCAAAACTCTGGCCGTGAACGGAAGAAGTACTGACAACATCTAGGACGGAAAATCAGAGGTCATTGCAAACGAAGACGGAGGTGCGCCGCGGGACCCCACGTAAATGGCACATGAATTCACTGCTGACGCTTTCAAGACCGCCAAATCCCGTCCGCGCTGTCCTATGTTGAAGGCGAAGAACTCCATGGCGGGCAGGCCAAGAGCCAGTTCGTCCGCAACGCAAAGAACACAGCCGCCTACTTTCGCGACTTTCTAGGCCAGCAGTACGCATCTTCACCCTTCGCTCGCGTCACAACTGACCCGCTCCTAGGTTCGAATCAATAGACCCCTCACCGTGCCACCAATCTGCGCATCCCATACAACATGGGGACGGGGTGGCCTTTGGCATCCGCGATACCGACGAGGATAAAGAGAACACCGTCACCGTAGGCGACGTCACCACCCGGCACCTCAAGCGATTACGCAGCTCCGCTTCCGACTACTTGGGAAAAGACGTGAATGCCGCCGTCATCACAGTGCCCACCAACTTCTCTGACGCCCAGAAAGAGGCACTGAAGAAGGCGTCCACAGATGCCGGGATAGAAGTCCTGCAGTTCATAAATGAGCCCACTGCTGCTGTCCTATCATATGATGCCCGCCCTGGCGCGCAAACAGCAGACAAAATTGTTGTCGTCGCTGACCTAGGCGGTACTCGCTCCGATATCGCTGTCGTTGCCTCTCGCGGCGGCATCTACACCATCCTCGCAACGTTGCACGACTACGAAGTCAGCGGCTTCAAACTTGATCAGGTCCTCATTGACTATTTTGCGAAGGAGTTCGTCAAGAAGCACAAGTCAGCTGGTGACCCTCGGGAGAATGATCGATCGCTGGCCAAGTTGAAGCTCGAATGCGAGGCTGTGAAGAAGGCCCTCTCAATAGGTACCACGGCAAACTTCTCCATGGAGAGCTTGGTCGGCGGTGTGGACTTTACAGCAACCATCAACCGCACACGGTACGATCTGTTAGGCAGCAAGCTCTTTGCAGCCTTTACCCGCCTCGTAACACACGCCGTGGAGAAAGCCCACCTTGATCCTTTGGATGTCTCTGAGATCATACTCGCTGGCGGCAATTCGCACACGCCAAAGGTTGCCTCTGCTGTTCGCTCTGCCTTCCCAGATAGCACCACTATCCTCGCGCCATCCACGTCGTCAACCGCTATCAATCCTTCAGAGCTTTCTGTTCGTGGTGCCGCTATCCAAGCTAGCCTCATCCAAGAGTTTGAGCTGGAGGACATTGAACAGAGTACGCACCCTATGGTCACTGTCACTCCGCATCTTTCCACCGCTGTCGGCGTCCTTTGCATCTCCGGTGACGAATCTTCGGGCATCTTTCACCCTATTATTGACGCAGAAACGTCGCTACCCGTTCGACGAACCGCTACAATCGCAACTCCACGAGAAGGTGGTGATGTGCTCATCAAAGTTGCCGAGGGTTCCCGACACATCAAGGTCACAAAACCGGAGTCGAAGCCAAAGTCTGAGAAGGAAGAGGCGGACGATGAGGACAGCGATGAAGACGAGAGCGACGAGGAAGAGGAGTTGAGAGAAAAGACTTGGAAGGTTGGCAAGACGCTAAGTGAGGCTGCTATTCGCGGTGTTAAGAAAGGTGGCAAAGTTGAGGTGCAGATCAACATTGGTGCAGACCTTAGCATAAACGCTATATTCCGCGAGGTGGGCGCCAAGGGGGGCATACGAGGAATAGTCCAAGGACACAAAACGAATGGTAGCACATAGGCCGGGGGTGTCTTGGGTGCCATAATGACTAACGACTGATCCGCTTGGCAAGTCGAACCGGCACGATATCAGTCTGCCAAGATGGGGTCGTGTGCAACATAGATAGGTAGCCAGTCTGCAGTTTCAATAATCTTGTACATCTTCGTTTGTGGACAACCACCAAATTTCGAAGTCCTCAAATCTAACAAAGAGCTACTACAGTCGATGCTCGTGTTTGCAAAGTCATACACTCATCGGTTTCTCAATATTCTCAACCGAGGTCTCATCCTCTGACCCATTCCTGTTTCCGCCGTCCATCGCTCATATGTCATCTCTGCTGTGCCTGGGTATGTCAAACCTTCGTAGTGCCACCGCCTATGCATCCAGTTCTCCTTATCTAACTCTTCTGTAAGCAAATTTTCCAACGCACCAAGTTCTGCCCCTTCATTTTCATTTTCCCAATCGGTACTTTGTGCTATATTTAAATATCGCAAACGACCCAAGAACCGTTCATCCATCAACGAATATAAGTCAATCGCCGTGAAGCTTCGGGACGGATCGCCCGTTTTTCCAGAAGTGACAAGAGTGAGGCTTTGTAATGACTTGGACTCACGCCAGCGCCCAGGACAGAAGTCTGGAGGCATGTTCCCAAATCGTGTGTCTATGTAATCAAGCGCAACAGTCAGAGAAGTTAGATTGGGCAGCCAATCCAATACACGATTGAATCGACCTTGCTTGACGATTGGAAGGTCGCGGAGTTCAACGACGGTGAGACTGTCGGCCAAATTGCACAAGAGTGCCTTGATGCCTTGATGATCGAGCGCAGGACTATGAAGGATACTGAGCGAAGCAAAGGTGGGCGGGAAGTTATCCGGCTGACGTAACATGTCCCAGAGGAATTTTCCAGAAACGGAGCCTGAAAGGGAAAGATGTTGTAGTTTCGGCGGCCATCGAACGTTCATGGACAGCGTGATCCCCTCGTAATTCGACGAGCACCGCGGCAAATACAGTTCCCGCAAGTCGCCTAGCTGACGTACTGTTTGATTTAAACTCTGGAAGCTGATACACTCGGATACGAGGCTCAGGTCGAGAACGCGTAGTCGCACGCATTTACTTAGACTCGCCCAGCAGTTGATGGCAAAGCTGGCTTGTGGCGCTATGAAGATTTGGAGAGATGTCTTGGTGCGTCCAAGTAATCTTGCTGTGGTAGACTTGCTCCCTTGATGCACTATGTGAGACAAGTCTAGAGCCTTTACGAGGCCCGACAGCGCGGTTGGCTTTCACGAAGTCAGTGTCTGTCTTTAATGCAATTTGTACACGAAGCATACCTTTATGTGCGCGAGGACGGAGGGGCATATTGTCCGGACGAAAAGTTCATATGCACGACCGGATAAATAAGGTGCTTCGTAGAGAGGCCGGATTGCTACGTCGTACCATTGTCTGATCTCGTCAGCCTGTGCATTGAAGCCATGGGGGCGGGACCTACCTGTTGACCGCAGAAAAGCGGGCTAGTGCTGTTTGCCTCTCGCGTATCTCCCACCTCTCGAGATGCACCAAAACCTCAAGTAGCAGCTCATCAGGCAGATAGTTTGCATACTGGATCATGGCAACGACTATGGTTCGTTCTGTAAGGTTGCGTTGACCTGCGCGACGTAGTGGGCAAGAATGTGGACGTGCGATCGCAGAGGTGAGAGAGCATGACGCACTAGTGGATGCCATATTTATCTCCGAACAAAGCCGAGCGCCAAACAACTATCACGGCCTCGAACGGAAACGTTGATAAAATACATGATTCTTCAAGAAAGTGATCCTTGTTGATGCCGGCATATGCATACATCGCCCATGCAACCTAATCCCATCGTGGTGCTCTTACCACCGTTTTCCAGGTCCACTGGGTTGCGTACGACAATCAGGACATGCATGATCGCAATTCTCTTAAGATGTATCGTTGATAGTGAGCCCCTTCCAGACTAACTTCTGCATGTCACACCGGCTCCATCGTCTCTCAGAACTCATGAGGGGGTCGAACTCGAGTCGAAACGTCCAAGATCGATTTCCCACCATGTATGACGGGCAACTTTCCAGTTGACAGTGCCTAGTATCGAGGTTGAGCCAATTGAAAAGCAGTAGGTCTGTTGAAGTAACTATTGTTGCCATCCGGGCCTAATTCTCGCAGTTGCGGCGGTGCAGCTTTCCAAGAACGTGTGAAGTAAGACCGACCACTACCATTGCGGTATTCCTCGATGTACTCGGATAGGCCTTCATATAGACGAACAAATGGCGGCGTGTTCTCGTAAGATCCATCCTTTTGTGCATCTAAACATTCACCAATGACCCCGAAACTTCTACCCCTACTGCTTGGCGCTGCAGCGGATATCAAGGTTTTGGCATACTCTTGCTGTCGAGAGGGACGATGTCCATCCCGAAACCAGTTCACCAGCTTCTCTTCTTCGCTAATATGGACGGAAAGCGAAACAGTGGGATCGCTAGTGGTCGGCTTTGAATCCGTGAAGAATGGGCCCTTGAAACACTGCACAGTGGGTGCTTGTTGCCCTAATCCATTCGCTATCTCGTAGTCTTGTGTCTGTCTCAGGCCATCTGGGTCGCTGAATTTAAGTGCTGCAGCAGCCGTGGCGTTGATAGCTGTCGCTTCTGAGCCAGAAGCCTCCGATCCTGTGATTGTCCCTTGTATGTTAGCATAGATGGGAGCAGAGGCATTCAGACTTGAGACGAGTCTATGCGGATTAGCGACCGTAAGTCCCGGAGGAGGGAACAGAGATCGAGCTGTAGGTTGAATATATGCGTAATTTGGAGTTGCAATTCGTCCTTGTTCCAGGGCGCCCGGTCGTATTGCTGAAGCACCAAGCTCGGCCAACCTACTTCGAAGCTTTCGACGATTCCGAATATCTTCTGGGGAAGAGGGAGGAGGGGTCTTTCGTGGGCGAAAGCCGTGTCCAGCTGGTACTACAAGGTTGCTCGCTGCATCTTCCCCAAAATCGATGTCCCGGAGGGCTGGCTGTGATAGGCGACCCGGTAAAATTGTGTCGCCATAGGTTGTGTCGTCATGGCTTCTCCCTCCCTCCACAATAAGCTCTTGAGAAGTAGACTCAATAGCACCATCTGATCCTGGTGTAGCTGAAGTAATCGATCTGAAGGGAAATTCATATTCAAAATCCAGCGAGCCCTTTGGATCAATTTTGTCACCTCGAGATCGAAGACCAGAACTAATTTTCGAGGATGAGGGCCTGACGGGTGCAATGAAAGGATCTTCTAAGCATTCACCTTTGATCGTGGCGTGCAGTGTTATCGGTGTCATTGACTTAGTCTCCTCGAGGGTGAGAAATCCAGAAGGATCACTGCCTTTTGTAAAGACCGGTAACCCTTCGTAGATCAGGCTAGAAGCGGTTGACGGTGACTCCATCCGAGTGACATCGACAGGAGCTGATCGAAGGACTCCAATTGGTACTTCTTTCGGTCGGCCACTCTCCACGATGAGCTTCTCTCGGCTCTCGGCAGCAAGTTTGAAGATTTTCAAGGGACTATAAGATGCGCCATACCCCTTCAAACGATCGGACGCAAGAGATCCTTCAACTTACCCGCGAAAGTGAGCGTAACGTCCAATATTCACCCATTGAAACGATGTGGATGACCATTGGTGTGCCGAGACATCTCTGTTCGGGTGACCGATAAAGACAACCTGCCCATCGAACTCACCCATTTCTTCATGCAGGCGAATCGGATCGGGTAGCTTCCCAAAAAGCTGTTCATAACGGTCGTCACCAAAAGCCTGTAAGACATCGGGACCAACTTCGTTGCCTCTTGCTCGTGAAATTCCAGTCGGGGTTCCCAAGATATTTGTTCGGTTGGTCAGCACTCCCTGGTGCTCTGGTATCGGCGAAGCTTTGGTAGGCCTAATTGACCGGAGGTAGGGCGACTCCATTGGAGAAGCTGTGAATGCACTAGAAGACTGCAAGTTTTCGACAGTGGAAGAGACGTATTTATCATCGCAACCAGTGTGGGAGAACGATGATGAGGTTTGGAACCATGGTTGGCGACCGTCTCGACCTATCGTGGAAGAATCAATGTAATCACAAACATCTCCGCACTTAAAGTACTTTTATAGAACCAGCGATAGCTCAACTAGGGCGTAGGCGCTTTGAAAATCCTCTTAAGCGTGATCATACTCCCCCAGATCACTAGCTCGCATTGGCCGCCAAGGTCCACTTACTTTCTTGCGATTGGGCTGGAGTTTGATGATACCAGCCAAAGAGACGGAGCCGGGCGTCGACTGTTCGCTCTCAACATCGTCATCTTTCGTGTGGAAACGACGCGCCATGTCTGCAAAAGTTCTCGCCTGCGTGGGCGGTTCTGTCGAGAAGTCTTCAGCGGAGCGTGCCTGGGGATCGGACGGGAACTGAAAGTGTAGTGAAGGTGAGCGGAGGATAGGCGTTCTGTCCATATACTCTTTGTTTTTCACGTACGTAGTGTCTCTGTCTGCACGTGGAATGACGCGAATGTGTGAATGCAAATTCCCGTCGCTTTGCCTGAGAGTTCCTAAGGGTAGTCTGCCTTTTGAAGTATGTGCAGCAGCGGGGGCGCGGCGGCTTCACTGTTTAATTGGTGATGTGTGATAGTATAATAAAGCCGTAAAAACGGAGCGCAGGGCCTGCTATTAGAAGAGAACGGTCTCACTGCGTTGCCTGCCGTAGGTTCTCGCCTTACTTGCTAGTTTGTAGATGTCACATCATCTCCTAATCAAGTAATGATAGAACAGAATGTGAATAAAGAAAGAGGGACATTCCAAGACATGGAATTCTGTGCAAAGACTCGGCCTGTAAAGAGTGCGTACGCTATTTTTTGCAGTATTCCAATTCAGTGGCAATTCAGACTTGTTTCCGATACTAGAACCTACACATATGGTGGAAACCAAAAATAAGACGGTAACCGTGGTTTGTAGTTACGCCTTTGTTGTTATCTGTGGTCAGTAGTGCGGAACACCGCGGGCAAAGCAACGTCTGCGTGTTAAATATGAACTTACAAACCGGCGATAGTTCAAGGAATCACACGGGGCCGGAATAGTCCTAACTTCACTTCTGTCAGAGGATCGAAACGCTGAGAACTAACGATTATAATTTGGTTAAACATTCACTCCTTTCGACTTACCGTACCGACATTCACACTGGCTTCTCCCGAGTTCACGCCTTTTTTGTAGGCTGAAAACGGGGTTATATGCAAGTTTAATCAATGGGTAATCAACATTAATATTGATCAAACTACTTCTTCGTTGCTTGAAGTGGGATTGTGAATCCTTCCATGAGACCCCTCCGTCACTCCACCTATAAATTTCGAAACCACTTTTCTTACTCTGCTCTAACCTACACCGATAAAACACTCTCTTGACCTCGCTTAATGTTGAAAAACCTATCACAATATCAAACGAATCGGAGACTTCTAATGGTCAACTGCAACCTCCTCGTTGGGCTGGCCAACTTAGCCTTAGTGGGGGCATATCAGCTTCTCGTAGCTTCCTACAAACCGGATACCAGCGATACTGGAGCCATTCAAACTCTCAAGTTGAGCTTAGGGTTAACCAGCGACAATAGCTCGAATACCCTTAAAATCGTCCACGAAAATCATGATTGTGGTAGCCAACCTACTTGGCTCGACATATCTCTCGGTAACAACCTGGTCGCCTGCTTGGATGAAGCTGCCTCTTCATTACATGATGGCCTGATCATATTTAAAATCAAGCTTGATGGTAGTCTTGAAAAGGTCTCTAGTACTAGTGTATTTGGTGGACCCGTGTCTATGATTACCTACAACAATAAGTCGGCTGTGGCACTGGCCCATGTACGTACCATCATCTCCGTAACTTGTTCTAGACATAGAATGTCTGCTTACCATATCCTTGTACTACCAGTACTCGCCACCATCAATTTCAACGTTTACAGTCAACCCCAACAAATCATACACACCCTTGCAGAACTTCACGTTCAGCCTGCCGCTGGATCCAACTATTGTCTCGTCAACAAAGTCCCTTATCCATCAAGCAGTGCTTGATCCTACAGGACAATATGTAGTCTTTCCAGATCTTGGTGCGGACCTGATTCGTGTCTATTGTATCGATCCCGGAAATGGAATGCTCACTGAACATACACCACTCCAGTCAAAGCGCGGATACGGCCCCAGACATGCAACTTTTTGGTCTTCTGGCGATGCGAGTAGCATATACATGTTCGTAATCCACGAGTTAAGTAACAAGATACTTAGTTACGAAGTGGGCTACCCAGAATTAGGTGGGCTTACATTCTATGAAACCGACGAAGTTAGCACATATGGGGATCGCGAAGTTCCCATCGGGTCGAAAGCCGCCGAGTTACTTCTCTCACCAGACAACAACTATTTGGTCGTGTCTAATCGAAACGGATCTATGTTTGATGCTCCAAACCCAGATCCAAACAACAGCACCACACTCCCGAGTGACTCACTTGCGACGTTCAGGTTATCTGTAGCTGGAAAGTTAACCTTTGTCCAATTAGCACCAACTGGTGGGAGCTTTCCTCGCCACTTTAGCATGAATAATGACGGGTCATTGATTGCAGTCGCCAACCAGAATACATTTAACGTGAATGTATATTCACGAAATGTTGAAACAGGGATAATCGATGATTTGGTTGCTTCATCATCCAATCTTGGGCCAGGCAGCTTAACGTAAGACTTCCTACTCCCAAGGTTTCCAGAAATCGCTAATTTCGATGTCTCAAAATGGGTTAGGTACGTGCAATGGCTATAGTAACGGAGAGTTTCTCAAGTTTCGGTTGTTTACGGCAACGTCCAACTATGAGCACAGTGAATATACCGCAACGAGATATTCACTGGTGTGGGAAGCGGAATGAATGTTAAAAAATTAATCGTCCATCAACATCGTACTGTGTCTGGTAGTGAAAGCTTCGTGACGATAGCAATTGAATACTTTAGCGAAGTCTCTACGTTGTCCACTTCTCCTGTGCTGCGGCCCACATGACAGCGTCCCACACATCGTTTACGATCTTCCGCGGCTGATAAGCCGGTTTGGTGCCCTCCACATAGACACCTGTTTGTACTAGTACACTGGCCCAGTCTGTACCGTATGGACTTTCGTAGTTATTCCCCCCTGCTATGTCGCTAGCGGGATTGTCACCAACCATGTACACACGTTTCAGATTGCCCGGCTCGTCAGAGCGTAGTAGATATTGCCGGTGCGAAATGAGGCGTTTTTCCGCGAACTCGTAGGTAAGCCGATATGGTTTACCCATAATAACCTTTTGCAGCTCGACACCATGTGGCTCGCCGCCTGTGATTGCTGCCCAAACACCTTCTAGCGCCTCACGAAAACCTCCCTGGCCCAGCCTCGGTAGGTGGTATTTCGCAGCCCACAATAGGTCAGGATTCGAAAAATAGAGAGTCGGCTGCCCATCTTGCTGATAGCCATGGTTTGGCAAGGCAGTATCACCGTTCTTCGCGGAAAGAGTACCGAATATGCCCTGTTTGGATAGCAAGACGTCTTTGATAATCTGCAAATCTAAGCCCCAGTCACGGGGGTCGTTATAAACGAATATGGCATCGATACGGAGCGACGTAGACGGGGAGGCGGAGTTAATGGGGGCAGGCAGCGGGCGCGTAAAGCTCTCGTAGTACGGGAGTAGCTGTTGGGAGAATGGCCAGACGTCAGGATATGCTGCTAAGACATCGCCCGGCGTGACCACTGTCTTGAATCCATACGCCTCGGCGACTGTTCTGCACTTATCCGCTTCTCCACCCACGACCATCACTGTCTTGTCCTTGAGATGATCCAAATCGGCAAAGGGCGTGTGGCTCTGAATGAACATGGTGGTATCAATAGGCACGCCTAACTTGTTGCTCAGATCGGCCACTCGATCTGCTTCGTGCTTGCCGCCGCCATTCGTGAGAAGAATGAAGGGGATGCGCTGCGACTGGAGGTACGAGAGGGCCTTGTGTGCGCGAGGTAGCGCATCAGAGCTCCGCAGAAGGACTCCATCGATACTGACAGCCGTCAGCAGTGGTGTTGAGGCTGGGTGCCTGTCTTACTCGAAAGCGAACGCAAACTCAGGGATGCGGGGGGGAATAGCGGCTGCTGTCTGCAGACGGCGTATCAAGGTGTGGTAACCATTGCATCGAGGCAGCCTCGCGATATGCCTCACGGACGCATAAGCTGCCATTTGATGGTGGAATAGTGATCCGTGAAGGAGCTTGATGAGGTATGGCCGAGCTTCAGACCCAATTGAATTCGGGTACCGGTATGCTGAGCTCGGACCCAAAATCTAAACCATGAGCTTTCAATTCATTAAATCAAGGGGTTTCAGGATGCCCTTTCGTTTTTTCTTTTTTTAATGTCTTAGTAGCCGAATCTTCTTTAGTATTTTAATTACAGATGCCTCGAGGATCTTTAGGATCCCTTTTTGGCTTTTGGTAATTCAGAGACTCAAGTGCCTCAAAAGTCGCTTCAACATTGAGCTCCTTAAGAGGATTTTCAAAGCGCCTACGCACTAGTTGAGCTATCCCTGGTTCTGTGATTGAGTGTGAGCTCCTTTAACAAACCAGGACCTACACCGAAATCAGCTTACTCCCAAATAGAAGGGACTTGGAATTCACTACCCGAGAATAATTAAATATTTCTATTTTCTGGAATGCTCCCGATGTCGCATGATACTAATGAAGCAGACAGATGCTTCGAGCAATGGAAATGAGAGGCAGCGTTCTCAGAATCATATTGAACTGTCTACTGTTACCGACTTTGGAAGCTACGCATTCAGTCACACGAGCTGAACAAAGGTATGTGATCAGGCTCCGCCACCAAAAGCTACTTGCTGAACCAGGCATAGACAGCTGAAGCGATTGATAATGGCATCCTTATCAGCAATACTTTCACCCATGTAGAGCTGGCGTCACCCGGTTTAATAAAATTACTGTTGGGCTATCACTTATATTCTCGAATATCCAGTGGGCACGTTCTTGTCCATGGCTAGCGAAACGTGGCTGTTCTGATAAGTCCGCTAGATGCTCTCAGATTGTCACTTGTAAGCTTACTCTACTCTGCTTCAGTAACGAAGTAAAAGTTCGAATTCAAATCCTCTTATTAAAGAAAAGTCACAAAACGATTCTTTATATTGGTGAATACTGGCGTTGCGTAACAAAATATGCAAAATAATTGCTTACATAGCTCACTGGGCATTTGTGCTTTGTATTGATCATACACGCTATTAGCTGAGAGTTCAGCATTTTAACGAAGGGGGTCCCTTGGAAAGGGGGAGAAAGCACGTGGGGCACCGAGCAAGGTACACTTTAAGCACGAGGCTCAGCGCCACCCATTCACAATCATCAAGTCATGTGCCACAACATGTTCCGCAACGCGTTCTAGAGCTTGATTAGACTCTTATAGAAGGGATTGATAGAGTCAAAGAGAGCCTTACACCCAAGACTTTGATTGTCAGGCGTTTTGTACAGGGGCGGACGAACACTTGGCATAAACATCCCTTTGTTGAGTACAATAGTAGCGCACGACGTAGATCATTGACTTCTTTCATACCCTTGCAGTCTTCGCCTTTGAGTACATACAAGCTAAGAAAGCCTCACGGTCATATACCGCCATAGAAAAAGCATAAGAACATATTGATTTCCTCCCAAGTGAATTTCTTCATTCCAACATCAAACAACTTCAAACAGTTTAAACACTCTTTAACCAACCGAATTCCACGAATCAGTTAAAATGGCCGGTATCAACAAGCGTGGCGTCACACCTGGCCCTCAGTGCACCGTTTCGCGGGGCGTTTCACCCGGTCCACAGTGCACTGTTTCCCGTGGCGTTTCACCTGGTCCTCAGTGCACCGTTTCGCGCGGTGTGAGCCCAGGCCCTCAATGCACCGTCCTCTAAACCACCCTCGAGGGTGATTCTGCTCGAGGTTGCACACCTTAGCAACCACGAATTACGCGCGAATTCAGCAAATATATTTCACTTCATATCGAGCACTCTACAATGACAGAGGTAGTCATAACTAGCTCGAATCAATGTTCGAGTACTGCGACATTATCACTCCTCGCGGCCTTTTACCCTCCACCAATTTTCTTCACATTTACAACGCGATCTTGCGACAATTCCGGTGGATGTCGAATTCATGCGGCTTTGAGATTGGTTTTTGTATGAAGAGTATGGAGACAAGGGTCTTTGTTTTTATTTTCTCGTTGCGTGTGCTATTGTATGAGTCTGTTGGTGGTGCTGGTTGGAAGATTTTCGACTTTCGGTTCTCGATTGATAGGAAGAGAATTTCCAAGAGAGCTCAACAGAATTCATATGCTCAACAACTCAATGCACTGGTTCATCACACCGAATGTCCTAATGGGTGATGAAATGTTATAACTAACTGAGATGATTCGAAATTTCTATTTTGTAATTATGCATGATGAGGGATGGCTGCAGTCGAACATGCTCACGAAGTATTTTGTGACTTAGTCTTTTCGCTTTCAAATTGACAAAGACAAGTACGAGGTTCAAGGGCATCCTGGCTGCAGCTATGCTGCTACAAGAAAGAACATCCTAGCATCTGCTGACTAAGAGTAGTTATCACGATTGAGCTAATAGCATTTAGTCACTGATAACGGAAAGTGAGGCCTTATAAGGGATATATTTCTCAGGTCCCTTGAAAACGAATGACAGCAGCACTATGTTACCCCTGGCCTCCATTGGTACGCCAAAGCATTCCTACAAGAGCCATCTACCTTCGACCTTTGGGAATAAACCTTCAGTGCCAATATTAAGTCAGCACGATCTGCTGCAACAGGGTCGTCAAAAGAAAAACGCTCACCTTCCTCGTGCACTTCGAGACCTACTCTGAGCAGGATGATATATCTTCTTCACCCCAGCACCGGTCTTATGTATAGTTCTTGGAGCTGAAGAGAAGTTGCGTTGTTGCAGCTTGGCTCCACGTATAGTGAATGTCCGTACAGCGCGAACCTGCTCTGAACCTGCTCTGGATGATGTCTTCCTCCCCATTCGCCCCTGATTGACAGGACTGAGTTGGTTCAACTTCGCCGATGCGCTTCGAAGAGAGGCAGGCGTTATGTTAGGAGACGTGTCTTCCTCAGAGTCAGACTCCTCCGCGCCGGAACTTTCAATAGGGGTACTTGGTCGCTTGAGAGTTCGGCGCCCCTTTTGGCTGTTGTGCGCTGGGGTGGTGCGCGGGCGAGTAGAGTGCACACTTGTAGGCTTCTTAACCGCCTTCAATGCGCTCGACTTAGGTACTTTACGTTTGAAGCTGACCGTAGTGTGGCGCGTGAACTTGACAGAAGACGACATGTTTGTTCGCATGAAAGCGGCCCGCGAGCGCCTGGACCCGGTTCCCGAAGTAGATCGCTTCATAGCACGATTTTCGCGAGATGTTATTTGACGCGAATGCTCGGTTGCCTCTCTCTCTGCTCGCTCTCGAGCGGCTTGCGTTTCAGCATGGGCTTTCTTTGCTTTCGCTGTGATGGGAGTTCCAAGAGACACCCTTCGCTTCTTTGGAGAGTTAGGAGTACTCTCGGAACCAGCCCTGCTAGAGTCATAGAGATCTTGAACCTTGCGCTTGGTTCCAGTAACGAGTATAGAACTAACAGACTTTTCTTCGATAGGTTTCTTCGGTTTGGGACCAAGCACCCCACGACAGGACTCAGTCCCGCAGCGACATTCTTGAATGTTCTTTTGGGAGAATGGACTACAGGAATAAGCTTTGGCATCGAAGTTTGTAGTTGGGTATATGACTTACTCGAAATTGTAATCATACGTCAGTTCTTCGCCAGTCATGATTCCCCGAGGACCAGCGAACAGTGCCATTCGAGGCTCTCCACCAACCGTCCACTTGATCATCTCGCAATTAGGCTCACAAGAGTGGTTGACGAATCGTGCAATTGTTCCCCGAGTTGCGTCAATGATCATCTTGTTGTCGAAACTCATCAAGTAGTAGCACTGCCATGGGTTAGTTAGGACTATGATGCTAGGTCGACATAGCAACCTACCTTGTCCTTTTTGTAAACCTGCTTCATCCGTCGCTCACACTCGTATTGCGTGATGATCTCGCCAGCATATTCCACGATGATCTGATTAGGTTCAAAAGTTCTCATGGCTCGCACACCATACCCGCGGTCTTCAGTGTGGACAACCTCAACCCCATAGTCGTAGCGATTTCCTTTGGCACGTCGCCTGAGTTCTGCGAAAGGTCGATTGCCGCATCGCTCTGGCGTAAGCCTACAGTTTGTGCTGTCGCACTCGTATGCCATGATGCGATTATGGCATGCCTCACCACAACCATCTTCAGGATCACAGTAGCATTGAGAAGAATCCTGCTTGTCGCGCTTCCACAAGGCGGATGCGTCGCCGATGAATCTATCTACAGTAATATTAGCTCTTATACGATGGACAGGAGAGGAGTATTCACTTTTATTAAGCTTGACCCATCCATCTACCTTGACCTTCCTAGGCAGGGGGTAGTAGGTGTCAAAAGGCAACTTGAAATCGCGGAACACGTGACGTGGGTCCTCATTCAAAAGGCGGTCGCAAGCGAAAATAGGAAGGGGAAGCGTGGTGTTCTCCTTGGAATTCCTGTTCCTCTTTTTCACACGGTTCTGGCTTTCCGACAGGCGAGGATCGAAGTCGCGGTGTTGGCCGACGTAAAGTCCCTGTTTTAGCCAGACTTTCGACTTTGGTTGTAGATACTCTTTCTCCTGCAGTGGACTGTTCTGGTATTTGTCTTCGGCTCCCGTTGCAGTGCGTGGGCGTTTCAACGACACAGGGACTGGTGACAGCTGAGAAGCATTCATACGAGAATCTGGCATGCTTCGTCGAAGGGTCCTTTGAACAAATGTCTTGCCTCCTGAAATTGCGCTTGCAACGGCATCCCCGGCACTAGAAAGGTTGCGGAGGGCCTCCTTACGCAGGTCCGTCACGCGCGAAGAGGTGCGACGCCGTGCCGCCTGAGCAGCTTCCGCGACAAGCTGCTCCTCGACAGGGTCACTGACTTCTGCCGCCTCAGATGTTGGCTTGGGCAACTTCTTCTTCCCGGGCGTTCCCTTCTCTTTCTTGAGCATGCTCTCTAGTGAACCGTGTAGAACGTTCATGTGGTGCTTCTCCAGGTACTTGGTTGGCGTATGGATGGCAGTGCCTGAGAGAATCTGAACGTTGTATGTCGTGACGGACTTGCGCGCGTTTCTTGCGGACCGCCGGCCTTCACTGTTGGCTGTGCCTGGGGTCGTTTGTGCTGCTACATGCGCCTCATCCGAGGTATGCAACGCCGGAGCTTCATCGTCCACTTCTATGGCTTGCTCAAACTTGGTGGTCTCGGACAGGACGCTGGCTCTGTCGTCGAGACTGGTGGGGGGCGTCGAGATGGACGGCGACGCGCTGGACATTGCGCGGACACCAGTCTTCTTATCCGTCTGGACAGTGATGTTGGATAGCGAGGACGATGTCGACGTCGGCGAAGAATCGCGCCTAGCCATGGTAGCGGAGGGCCGGGTTTGTAGGGCGCGTCGCGATGGTAATTGCGAGGGGGCGAGGCACTGACGCGCTGAGTAGGACGACGGTTTGGGCGGGTTTACGGCGCTCCACAGCAACACTGCCAAAGTTTACGCGCGGCAAACAATCAATAACCTTGAAAGATGTAGGGAATCGTCAATCGAGCCTGCAGGAAATCGAAAGCATGCATTGGCAGGCGACAGCGTGCCGTACTGGGAGGTGGATTGAAGGATGGAGGAGGCTCGGGAGGAGGTAAACATATCCAGCTAGTCAGCCAACCAATTAGGCTGTTCCTGATCTGTCCAGTGTCACCACCCTCACATTCCGTCTTGAGAAAACCGCGCAAACCTAGAGATTTGATAACTGTCTTTACAGCCGGAAGATAGTCACGATCTGCGTCACTGTGGTAGACATTGCTTTTCTAATGCGTGTCAGTGAGCCATAGCAAGCGCTGCACCGTACACGTTTTCTGTCTATACATTATGGTGTGATAATAGAGAGCGATTGCTCGAAGCACGTAATTTGGTATCTATCAAACACGTGGGAACACGGCTCCTGAATGTCTACCTACATTGCAGTCGCACTGGTGGCGTCCCGAGCCGTCCTGCCAACAGGCCCCTGAAAACCTTCGGGTGCATGAACGTCTTGCATCTCGACACCGCCACCTTGCTGCTCGGCGGCCAAAGGCGCTGTTCGTTTCCCGTTGCGTGGGCCGAATCTCTGATCTCCCTCCTCGTATCTCCGCTTGAAGTGTAGATAGGTTGGTGGACGCGGTCGCTGCAGTACCGCGAGCCAGTTCTTGAATACTGACCCACGCGTAAAAGGCCGGTGCCTGTCCTTCTTCAGGAACTTGTGCGAGTTGAGATACTCGCGCGTCGTTTCGCCTCGTCCAACTAGAAACAAATGATACACGCCGAGGCTGAGTGGATATGTCCATCCTAAAAGTCCATAAATACACAAGGCAAAAGGAACTCGCCATCGGCCTATTGCCTCGCCAAAAGAGGCATTGCTTCGTGCCCTCCAAACCAAGATATGTGTCAGACTAGCTCCAAGGAGAAACAGTCCCAGCAAAGTAGTAGCGCAAACAAAAACAAAGAAGTAACGGTAATTCCGGCGTCCGACACAGTTGTTAAGCCAGACACAGTGATGGTCCTGAGTTTCGACGCAATTATCGCAGACACGGCAATGGTGAGCACGTGGAGGACGCCAGATATTGCAGCTTTTGCAATATTTTGTTGGGACTTCCATTGCAGCGTTGGTTCCAGTCGCCGATACGACCATGGTCCACTCAGTCGTAGGGGGCCCGAGACTTAGCGGGTCGTCATTAGGATTAGGCGGGGGGAAGGGGTGTAGGTTGCGGGGAAGGATCTGATCAAAATTAGCGTCGAATAAGCTGAATGTGTCATACAACGTACGCCTGGATCTGAAGCAGATGCATGGATAAATGAAGAAACGGATATTAGGAACAAGTAAGCAAAGAAAATGGGTATCGATGGAGAAACATGGAGCCACAGCCAAGGTGCCCTAATTATTGTTAGCCGGTCTATGATATGGGTCGTGAAGGGGGTGCACGAACGAGAAACCGAAGAAGAGACCGGCAGGCAAGATGATCATGACTGCCGTGGCTACGTTGACTGGTCGGTCACGCGTGTTTTGCAGTCGACCACCCCAGCAAAATGCAGTGTTGCCAGAGAAGTACTGGTAGTTTTTGCCTAGTTCTTGCTTGACGACCTCCTTCGTAGCCTCTCTGCGTGTCAGCCTGGGCGATGATTCGGCAGACGTGAGCTTCTCGTGACCCTGGTGGGGCCGTATCTGCGCAGAGCGGCCGTCACGGCTAGACAGCATGAAGCTGGATCTGAAGGAGCGGGGGGATTTGCTGGGCGTTGGAATTTTGCCAGCATCGTGAACGTGCACGTTTGTGAGATGGAGGTGTTGGGGCCTGGGACGCTGCAATGGAGTTATGCTCTCATCGCGACTGCGGACCGTCTCTGCTCCTGTGGGTGTCGTGTTTGCAGTGGTGCGGTCTGGCATGTCTCTGTCGGTAATGTCGGTGCCGCGCGAGGGGGGAGGCTGCTGGTCGAGCTCGTGATGGAGGCCCAGAGTAGGGCCGCCACGGGCTGTTTGCGTTGACCCTGTGCTCTGGCGAAACGGGGTGCCAGCCGTCTCGTGCGTGGCTTCCGAGTAGAGCGAGCCCTGGCCAAGGAGAGAAGTTGGACGCTGGTTGCGCTGCTGCTGGAGGCGTTGGGAGCTCATAGGCCTGAAGAAGCCGTGGGCGGCCAAGGGCACATGTGTTCTGCTTGCGGACGTCGTCGGGCGACTCTGGGGGCCGAAGCTGCCAGACACACTGATGCCACTCTGCACGCCGCCGCCGCCGCCTCGTCGCGACGGGCTAGCGGCCTGTGACCATCGGTTCTGGCTGCCGGACGTCGCAGTCGCAATGGATGAAGGCCTCGAGGGCGGCAGGCCGGGCTCTCCTGGCGGGCCCGTCATGCCCAGCACGCGGCTGCCAGTCGAGCTGTTGGTGGGATCGGCTGTCGTCGTCATGGCCGGAGTGAGGGAGTCGCTGGCGCAGTCGCTCTCTTTACAAACTGCATGACATCGACGAAAGAAGGCGCGGGTCAGCGGAGGGAACCGGAAAGCGGTGGAGTAAAAGGAGTGACTGGGTGTGCAGGAGCGTAAGAGATGCGACGCGACGACGAGGCGACGAGGCCCGGGGATTCAACGGGCGGTGGCTCTGCTTCGCGACGATGCTATCTCAAAAGGGGTCCAAAGTCATGCCCGGTACCGTAGGTGGTTTGCTTGCTGCAAGGTCCACTCGTCCAACGCTAGTCTGACTCCGGCTAGACGGCCTTGGTGACGCATCCGCCGGGCTTGGCGAACCGCGAGATTCAACATCGAACCATCGCACTCTCACACCCCCCCAACGCACCCCTCTCGCAGCATACCCACCTCAATTGCACCCACCATGTCCTCCATCATCGCCCGCTCGGCCTTCCGCGCCGCCCCGCGTCTACAGCCCTCTCCCGCCCTTCGCCGATGGGCCAGCGCTGCTGCCGAGGGCGACAGGGAATCTGGCAAGCAGGCCCTCAAGGCTGGAGCGAAGCGCGACCCCGAGCTCTACGTATGCCGCAGGACAATTGGCTTTTGTGCATGAAGTTAGGAGCTAACGGGCCTGTACAGGTACTTTTGGCTATCATGAGCGGCGTTTTTGGTCTGGCGGGATGGCACTTCTGTAAGCTCTCTGGAGGCGCCATGTGAACGGCTGGCGCCGCACACCGTCAATTGCGAGACTCTGCTGACATCTCCCAGCGCGCTCTCCCACCAGCGCTTCCTCTGAGCTCTCCGTTGCCAAGGCGTCGGATAGTGAGCCCTGGAAGCAGGGTGCATCTGGCTCAAGCCCATACCAGTATCACCCTGGCGGTGATACAAACATCAAGAAGGATGCTCCGTCAGCGCTTAACGTAGTCGTCATCCCCAACGTCACTCTTCCCAAGGCATGTCACATTGAAATGACATCTATGGCTGGGATGTGCTAACTGTGATAGGAACTCCACGATACTTACAACAAGTGGGGCAAGGATGGATACTGAGAGGGTCAAGTCAAATACAGATCTCACCGTCAATGGAGACAAACCACAACGAGCTCTTTTATCTCGCCATCTTCTGTCTTGCCTCTGTACATATGTCAATTTGAGAATGTGCTCTACTGATAGGAAATTTGAGCGTCCCTATTAGTTTGATCCTCATAATCTATGGACAAAACTCCCGCCTGTCTTATCATTATGTTTCGATTACAAAAAAACCCCGTTCCACCTTATAGTTGTACAAGGCTTGAAATCACAAAATCTTTTACCAGCTTCAGAGCCGTGCGTTCCGCCACCAAAGGATATTATACATGACATTCATATGATGATCCCAGCCCCGTAGCGAAGAGAAACTAGTCTATAGGGTATCTCCGTTTTGTTTTCCGTCCCGAGCCCGACCAGTGCGGTCAGGATGTGTTCGGCAACCTCTTTCGGATCTCAGTAACCATATTGTCCCTATTCACCAACACACCGTCCTTCTCCGGATTGCTTTCGTCTTTGATGCCTAAAACCTTGATCTTGACTTTCCCTTCCTTGAGTTCGTCCTCTCCAAGAATAACAGCAAGTGGAATGCCTGCCGACTCCGCCTGCTTGAACTGTTGAGGAAGTTTCGGCTTCAGCTTGTAAGAGAACTCGGCCTTGATCCCGGCCGCCCACAGCTCTTGTGCGACATGCATGCGCTCCGTCAACATGCCCGTAAAGCCTTTGCCGCCAAACGCCATGATATAAGCATCCACGTCTTTAGCACGCTGTGTTGACTGGCCGCGGGCCTTCATGATGCTGATGATTCGATCGATTCCGAACGAGATGCCAACGCATGGAATAGGCTTGCCGCTGAACATGCCCACTAATTCATCATAACGACCACCGGCTGCGACACTCCCTACGCCGATCTCTTGTTGCTTTCCTTGCACGCGAGGTGCAGAGCCTTCTGTGACGACTTCATAGATGACTCCAGTGTAATAGTCTAGGCCTCGGGCAAGTGACAAGTCGAACGATATTCTCTTTCGGGCGCCAAAAGCATCGAGGTAAGCGAATAATAGCTCCATATCCCGGACGCCTTTGATGACGTCTTCAGACTGGGAGAGTACCTCATCCTTCTTGAGGAATTCGATGATGTCGTCGCCGCCCTTGCGCTGTACCCAGTCGCCAATTTTGTCCGCAATGTCTGTCGGCAGTCCTTTGGTTTCCATCTCCTTCTTCACCTCGACCCACGGAAGCTGCAACGCGTCAGTAAACCTGCGGGGGTTGGAACTAGGGGGCACTACCTTGTCAAGCTTGTCTACTGCGGAACTTATAGGCCTTATTAGCTCTTCCTTCACACCGGCGGCCTTGAATATACCGTCCAGAATCTTCCTGTGATTGATTTTGATTGTGTACGACTCCCAGCCGAGGCCGTCGAAAACGTCGGTAGCGATCTTGAGGACTTCAGCGTCGGGGATCATAGCGTCATAGGAGCCTGCAATATCAAAGTCGCATTGGTAGAACTCGCGCATGCGGCCCTTGGTCATGGCGGGCTGGTCGCGGCGGTACACTTTGGCAATCTGGTAGCGCTTGAAGCTCTGCACGCTCGGATTCATGGCAAGCCATCGTGCAAGCGGGACTGTCAAGTCGTAGCGCAGCGAGCACAACTCTCCGCCCTGGTCTTGCAGGTCGTAGATCAACTTCGAGTCTTCTCCATATTTGCCGCTCAGGATCTCCTTGAGCTCGAAGACGGGGGTGTCGAGCGTGGTGGCGCCGTGGCGTTTGAAAATGTCTGTGACGGTATCGAAGAGACGATCGCGGAGTGCGGCGTCTTCGCCGGTCCCTGGTACTATTTAGCGGGCACCCTCGAAGGCTGGACAGCACGCAAAGGAGGAGTGAAGAAGGGAGAGAAGAAAAAAAATAGATAGGGAAGGGAAACGAACAATCGCGCGTGCCCTTTGGCACCTTCAAATTGAAGTTCTTGGACTTGTCTTCCTTGCCCATCTCGTCATCGACGAAGCCCGAAGACTGATGAGCGCAGAACAGGCGACGGGGTGCAGAGAAGCGGGCACGGGTGGACACAGAGGTGTGCTTGCTGCAGGTGAGGGTGTATCGGAGGGCGTTTTGGAGGAGCGCGGGGCGGGTGAAGTGGGGTACAATGAGCCGCATGAGCAGGAAGGTGACTCAACAAGACAGGCAAACGCGCGCCTGCAAAAGTTGTAATGCACTTCGTCGCCTGGCCCGTGCGTTCGACGTCACCAAAGGCATATACATAGTAGAAGGAAGGGAACATTGTAGTATTGGTGTCTGGGTATCTAGAGCTTCTGAGAATTTTGCATCAACGCATGTCGCCTGTGTACAGCCCAGTGCCAGGCCGCGCACTCTCACCACGCCTCCCTAAACTCCACCAAATCTTTCTGCCCGTAGCACTCTACCACCACGGTCAAGATCATGTCAATGGCGACCCTCGTGTTCCACTCAGCGTCGGTGAGCGCAAAGCTTTCAACTTTCGCGTCACGAGGTACGCCACCGTCGGTATGGGCGTGTGCGGTAGTCTCTTTGTGTGACTTGTGTCCTCGCATCTGCTGGCGCTGCCTCTCAGCTTCTACTCGCGACGAAGGGACCCGGGGCTGTACCAATCGATCGCCGAGTTGTGCAAGCAAGCGTTCCCGCGCTTGCTCAAGATCCTTCGTGCCCGCGTCATCGTGACTTTGGTCCTCATTTTCGGACATGGACATCTCCGCCTCGGACTCGCTCGTGTTTCCTTTCAGAGAGCCCCTATGTCGCACTTCGTTTCCCAATTCGGGCAAGAAACAATCGACTCCGTCAACCTCTCCAATCTCCCCGTCCTGCGGCAAGTCTGTGGCCATGCCAGGCTTCGTCTCTTCAGAGTCCTCAATGGCCCCCTCTCCATCGTCACGAGGAGAATCTTCTTCTCTAACCCTCGATTGGCCTGCAACAGCATTCTCATCATCAGAGCGTTGGTGACAGACGCTATTTTCTCGAAGCCGGACACTAAGACGGCCTACTTGAAGACCCAAGTCTCGAATTTTGCTAATACGTTCGTGATCCAGCGTACCAATGTCTCCTGCTGAGGCCAACAAAGACCAGATCCAGCAGCACTTCTCGCGGGAAATCAAAGTAGATTGACTCAAGGACGAAGCGCAAATTTGAAGACCGAAATACAAGTTCCGCTCGTCTATTTGAAGGACTTGAGCTAGAGTAGGATAGTCTCGGTCGATTGTCTGTAGCCATGCGCGCTTGTTTCTCGGGGGTTGTGTATTATGTGATTTTTCAGAAGCTTCCACTGCATTCTGAATAGAGCTACTTGTGTCGGCCTTGAGAATTTGGTGGCGTAGGGATTGGAACCGTTTGAGTAGCTGATTGTAACAGGTTTCTTGTGGATCGGGGTTGCAGTAATCCTCGTCCCACTCATCTTCATCGTGGGTAGTATCGTAATTGTTATCTAGGGCGATCCAAATGCCGTCCTTGTATACTAATCGGTGTCTATCGGACGCGTCGCTATATGCCGAATGGACATCGTTTTCGTCATCACCTCTGTCGCCAGTCGGGGCTACGAGCAATGGTGGGATCATTGATGCTTCAGATCTGGTACACAGGTATCAGCTCCAACTTGAACTTTTCAACATCGTTTCTAGAAAGGAGGGGTATCATGCTGGTATACCCACCTAACGCTGCGAAGATATGCTAATGCCTCACTCGTGGAGTCGTCTGATAGCTGTTCTTCCTCGTTCGCTCCCGGTAGCATCGTTCGCATACCACACTCTCTACCAGTACTCCCACTCTTAGTCTGCGCAAATTTGTCTTCCGCTCTCGCCCGCTTGCCTCCTGGTACATCATCTTGTCCGCGCTTTCGTTTACTCGTGTAAGGCGTGGGGGGAACTGCCGCGGCCAATGGTGGCAGACGAGCTGTTGTCGGTACGAGATAATTGTCTGGTCGCTGGAGCTTGTTGTAGACCCCACCGTCCTTTGTGACAGCAAGATTAACGCCAGGGCTTGCCATGTTGGCGTTGAAGGTGGGAGGCTCAGAGTGCATATGCGGAGATGCTAACGGAGGTCCGCCTCATTAGCCTCGCTTGGCGGGCGAGCGGAGCGGAACCACATGCAGATTGTAGACATTGGCAGGGTGATATAACCCGGGACAACAGAGTCACGATAGCATTTCCGCCGTGCACCACTGTTGGTATACATAACACATTTTATCTGTTCTATATGCCGCATAACGTCGTCACCGCCGCCCGCTCAATCATTGGCCCTTCCTCTCTTTCTCATCGCTCTCCTTGTCTGGTTGGTAAGGGTATTTGATCGTGAGACACCAAATATCTAGGTAGTCACAGATTGTCCAGATGACATCCACGACGAAACTCCCGTGCACGCCTACGCTCAGGCCTAGGCACATGAATACGAAGGCGACCTGGTAAACGTCGTTACCTAGCGCGCTTGGCCAACCCACACCAATACGCTCTTGTAGCCACGGACCAAGGGAGTCGAAGACACCATAGATCAAAGGGTAGATGAGCACATTGCCCCGTGGAAAGCGTGATTTGGTGAGATGCGAGATGATCATGCGACCGACCGAGTATGCGTTCACGAGGCCGGCATAGAAAACAAAGGGTACGAGATGGTGATGCAGTATAATGGGCTGCAGATACAAGTACGCGGGGATAAGAACCCAGGCGGCGGCAAAGGTCAGAAGGCCGAGAAGTGCAACCCGCGTCTTTTGGCCACGGGCACGGCGCGCTTTCATAACATTCCGGGCGCTTCGACATCATCAGTTCAACTCGTTTAGTTGGGCGGATCGAAGCTTACCTCGAGATGGTGTTGAAGACTAGCACAATACCTCCATACACCATGTACCATTCGTTCCATGCCATATTGAACAGGATATCCGGTATGAATGCGTGCTTCGTCACCCCAAGGCTTTCGAGCATAGAGCGCTGCCAAAAGCTGCCCCCACCCAGATACGCTGTCAAGGCGTATACAACGCAGAGCGTTATGATACCTTCTACTGGTCCAGATATGACGCCCAACGTAAGGGTGTGTGTGTGATATTCATCCCAAGTCTGGACATAGAATGTCAGAAGTGCTATATGTTTATTAGCCCTTGACCGTGCGAGTAATAGAAACGCTGATGATTGGACCTTGGGCACTCACAAGCAAACAGCGTAAGAACCGTTTTCCAACCCTGCCCTAGGTTCATGGTTGCGGAGAACAACAAAACCTCCAGTGTCGTGTTGATTGCATCAACTCCATGATCGAACAGCTCACCCAGCGGTCCGCTTTGGTGTGTTCTCCGGGCTTGGCTCCCGTCTACGGCGTCGAATGTTTGGTATAAGAATAGCCCAATGGCCCAGCTGGCATATACCCAGCGCGGGCAGTCTTGGTCGAGAGTCGGCGTGTACCAAAGCAAGGTAAGGAAGTTGATGATAATGAAGCCGAATCCGGAGAGCGTAATCTATGAACGTGGAATAAGCGTCAGGTTTAAAGTAGAGATGTATAGACGGATTCAGATGCGGGGCTCGACAGGTGCGCGGGAAACGATGGGATCTTCGACTCACAAGGTTAGGCCTACGAGCATTAGCATCTTCTGTACAAAGTGAAGTGTTGCAATACTTACGCCATCCACATGGGAAAACACTTGATCACCACATGGGCGTAAAAGGGCTTGAGCACATATTGGGAGAGTAGACTGTGGTCCACGCCCGAATATTTGTACTCCTTGAGCTTGGGCAGCTTGTCCTGCCGGATGTACACCATGTTTACTGACTTTTTCGCTGATGCGGTATCAGCGGGCGCTCGTGTTGTTGTCTGTCTGGTGGGGATGGAAGAATTAAGTCTGTTGCCAACATGTGTTGGAAACTTGGTCAAAGCGTGTGTTGGTCGCAATGACGTGGGCAACACCGCGCGGTTGCCGGTTCTAGCCAAGGAAGATTTGGACTGTCCCCTGTGCTTTGCTTTGGCAAATGTCATCATCCTACTGTGATAACATGTTTGCAGTTAGGAGTGCACGATAGCATTTATGGAGATGGCGCATAATTATCTGTCACTGGTTGTTGCTATCTGAGATGGCGACTGACTGCTTTTTCTTACATACCATGCATGGCATTTATCATTCTCAGCTTCCAATCGTAACACTCCCTCCAATATCTGTGCACAGATATGCATTGTCTTTGAGATCTGAGTGTTCTGTGCAGTAAAAAATTATGTCTCCAGGTGGTGCATGCTTGTTCCTGCTCCAACCAAGCTCATGCGACTGGACTCCAGGAGCATGGAATGAGGATCCTGCTCTTCATAGTCTGGATGAGCGGCACTGTTTTATGTACCGTTTCTCCCCAGCCTTCAACGCTCCAGCTCTGTTCACGACGAACCTTGCGCTCCTCCAGGTTGGCAAATTGCCATAGATGGTGCACCGTGTTCAAATCGCCAATTTGTACGAACCACGCACCAACACCTTCCATGACTTCTCGACGTGCTTTCAAGCCACGTCGCCAGTGTGTCTCCCATTCCAGCAGATTACCCGGATGTAGCGTGTAGGAGCGCAATTCGAACAAGCCGCCGAGCTCGCGCGGCGGGGTTGTTGGCCAGAAGGAAAACTCCTGCATGAGCGACGTGTGCTTGGAGGAAATCAACGCCTTGAGTTTGGCATCGAATGCAGGGAAGTCGGAATGGGACTGGATATTGTGCAACGACTGATGATAGCCTTCATACCGTTGATATTCCCAGATGTGCACTATTCACGGTCTTCGTAAGCACAATGGCACAACAAGGGTTTGTACGGGTGAGCGTCTTACCAAACGTGTTGCAGTCGCCTACCTCGGTCCTCCAGCTCCCCACGAGATGCACTTTATTCTCGGGAATAGATGCCATCTTCGGGTACCAACTGCCCACAAGCTCCGTATATTCGTCAACCTTGTCCGGCTTCACATCGTGGAAGACGATCGAGTGGACATACTTCCCGCGAGCTAGGACCTGGGAAAAGCTACGCTCTATGTCCTTGTCGAGATCGCGGCCCTCGGGCGTGCCATAGATGAGTGAAGATAGTGCTCCGCCTTTCTTCTTACCGCTCTCTTGCTCACGGGCGCGGGCTTCTTCTACACAGATGACGTTAGCGACCCCTAGGGTTTCCCAATGACACTAACACCATGACCAGCTGCAGTACGCAGTGCAGACAGAGCGGTTGGAGTGAGACGTACTCTCTTGCTGTTCTTTCTGCTTCTGAGCTGCTACTAGACCGTCACGGAAGTCCTTCTGTTTCTCACTGAAGCTCAAGGCGCTATCAGGCGTGATGTCGGCGAGCGCAGGACTGCGTGCTGGACCCTGTGTAGCAGCGATAGCAACAAAGGGCCGGGAACGGACAACTGCCGTATGTTGGGCGGGGAAAGCGCTGCGTACGCTGGCACACGCACGACGTGTGAACATGGCGATGGCAGAAAGGAGCCCCAGTATTGCAATTGTCGTTGGGGCGAGCTAAGTAAAGCAATTAATCTCCCTCTCAGTCGTAAGAAGGAAGAGGATGAAGGTTCAGAGAGAGGGTATGGTAAGTGGGCGAAGTGGCTGTCTGTCCGCGTCGTGTATGCCCAGCTGGTGCTTGGTTATGTGCACTGAGCTTCCCCTCATCATCCTGCAGCTCTCCCTGTCAATGTAGCTAGCGCCCCTGCCTAATGCGCAATCTGGGGACTGGGGAAAACTGCGCCCCACTGTCCAACATCACTGGACACCGCTTCTTGCTGGACAACAGTACCTAGGTATGAACTATGCACTATGTTGTTCTCACTACGACGCTAACGGATAATGACATCATTTGGGTCAAAATCCGCATATACTCATATGTCCGCGGCCGCGATTGATGGTGGCTGATAATACGGTCGCTCATTCTTGCTCGCTTATCTTTGTGATTGCTGTACATCTAACAATGATTCCATCAAACAATCGCCGTGTAGTCGCAGTATCACCCAGACGGTGGCTGTTACATCATACTAAGCTTGAAATCGTTCTACCATTTATCTTTAGAAAATGATTTCTGAACTGACAGAATACGCGTTCTACGGTAGTGTGCATCCAACGAATGTATTCCTATAGCTACTTGAACAGAACATGGAAGGTCTGATAGAGCCCTCCCAGTGGCCAAATTTGTAATATTAACTCTTTCCAAGTAGTTTCCCTTACTCCTAACTCGACTTCGCCTTCTTCCGTCCCCCAATCTTGTTTTCTTCGGACTTTGTCGTACATGTCAGGTAAAGCCTCCGCGTGCCATTTTTTCCTGAGTCTTTCATATTCCTTATAGTCGTAAAGATCCCAGAATTCTTGCTCAGTGTAGAAATTGGCGGCATACGGGACCTTCATACCACGCAACTCGCGCAATTTCTGTTCCAAATCTCGGTTTGTCTTGCGAACTACACTTGGGGTAGGATCTGTAGGCCCCCAGACGCCAAAATTAAGTATTAGTTCGCCTCGGATGCTAGGGTCTCCAACAGTCGTTTGTTTTCGGGTTTGGTAGAATGGCCAGCCCCAAACGTTTCCGTCAGCAGCCTTTTTGCGGATGGGGCAAATCCATAACGGCCATATCTTCAGTTCTTCTGCAACATACTCAGTGAATGCGTTAGAAGTATCTACTGGAAGCAGAAGATCCTGAATGATTGCACCATCAGCTGAGTCAGCAGCCAACATGGCCTTGTAGATTGCCCGGGCCGTCATGATCGGATCGAATAGCCAACGGACGAAGCGAGTGTTTGGTAGACCATAGTATTTGAGGAACACTTCTCCACTCCAAAAAGCGCCGCGATTATGTCTGAAGAGGTAACTTTGTATTGGAACGATTTCGATGTGAGAGTCGGTCGTTCCTCTCGCGTGCATGTAGAACCAGGGGTCGATAGCGCGGTCGAACCTCTGGCGTGGAAGATCTTTAACCGTGGCAGCGGTCGCACAAACGTGCTGTCCTAATATAATGACACCTTCGTTTTCATTATACTGTAATCCCTCGATGAAGTCGAAGCCTGTGTTCTCGTGATTACATAGTTCGGCTAAGCGATTGATAGTGTCCTCAGTACTTGAAGTATGTTGGTATGACAACCGGACTGCACCTTGAGCTTGCGTTAACTGAACCTTCAGTAAGGTGACCACACCCATAGTCCCAAGGCTGCATCTTGCGCTGTTGAACAAGTCAGAATTCTCTCCTCCTTTTATGGCGTGCATGATTTTTCCATTGCCCAGAATTATTTCAATCTCCTGTACAGTACAGTCGAAGAGCCCTTCCTTCCAACCAGTACTCTCACCACTTGCACCGGAGAAACCACCACCAACCGTTATGCCAGGAAATTCCATCACAACTAGAGGTACCAACTGCTTTTTGAGGGTTTTGAGGACGAGGGCGTCGAGGGGAACGTTTGGCTCAACGAGCACGGTATTCGCAGTCGTGTCAATGTCGAGAATGTGATTCAGGTGGGCTATGTTTAATTGCGGGACCGAGGGATCACGGCGACGTGTTGAGTTGGTGGATCCGTGGTTTATTCGAAAAGGAATATGTGATGCATGGTATTCGGCCACTTTCTGAGCAAGTTCGCGCACGATGTCATCATGGCGATCAAGAGTGTAAGCTTCCATTAGAGTGATATTGAGAGGCTCCAAAACAAAAATATGTGTAAACTTGACGTACAGCCATAGACATACTTAATGGGGCACAGGAGATGCTGCTAGCAAGATATATTGCAAGTAGACAAAGGGAGACTAGTTTGATGGGCTCAAACCAAGGGATGACCCAACAACAATACTAACCTCTGAAGGACCCAAGAGGGCTTAATGCACGTACCGCACCCCTTGCTGAAAGCCTGCTCATCGCTTGTTTTCATGCCATCTGGGTATTTGTAGACGTCATTAGTCAAACCGTGAGGTACGTTGACAGCTAGAGTGCCTTTGGAAGCGTTTGCAATTGAGTATGATATGGGCTCAAGATGACGGATGCAATTGTGTTTCGCGACATGAGACAGAATGTTACATGGACTAAATGGAATCCAAAGACAGGGTGTGCACTTGAAGTAAAGCCCAAATAAGGTTCAAGATCTTGTTAATAAACCAATTTCGATGTGGCGAGTGGGTGTAGGCATAACACGTATAGATTGGGCTTAACTGACATAAGCAAACAATAACTACATTTGTTAGTGCTAGGTCATACTTAGCTCTCATAAAACCAATAATTTTGGGGGCGGATCCCAATGGCCAGAAATACATCTGATCCCTAACATGTGTGAATGTCGAACACGGAAAGATCCGCCACCGCTTTTGGGAAGACCTGATTGTGATATGCAAAAATGGGACATAGTTATCGTTGACGATAGTGTTAAGGCTTCGGTTTTGCATCTTCGCTTTGAATGGACCTAAACATAGCCTATTGTGTTACGTGTCAAGTTCAGACAGTTGTCATCGATAACGAAAGAGAACTTGTGGCCTTAATCGACTCGAAGTTTTAAATTTAGAGATTTGACGCGCTGCAAGATGTAAGGGCTCGAGATCTTAAGGCCCCCTCGATTCAGGTCTATGGCGGAATAGGAGAAGTCTCATTCTCTAAAGACAGAGCAACGACACTATGGACGTGTTGACTAAACCTAATCCTCGTCAAATATTTGGAGCACATTGTCCAGAATGGTAATGATGACGCGCGCTTGCAGACCAGCGTCTGCCATATTGTTGCCTTTGTGAGGACCCATGATGGATGGTCTGTCGAGTGTTAGATGGAACGTGTACCGAACAGTCCGGGACAAGACTTACGCCCAGCAGATACCCAAATTGGCGGTGCTCATACGATTGACTTCGGAAGCTTGCTGCACACGATGCAAGTGCAGAACCAGGGCGCGGAGAGTGGCATAATTTGGATCGGGCAGTGCATTGATCAGCGCATGCATAGAGTCCCGGCGCATAGTATCGTCGTCGATTCGCGCAGCATCGATGTATTTGCCGTAATATTCCCGAGTCAAGAGTGGGTCAGGCAATTCGCGAAAGAATTGTTTCAATAGCCCGGCGACGCTATTCACATCATGCTGGAATGCTTCTGGGTTTCGAAAGTCGACCTGGGAGGCATCTAAATTATGTCAGTGCCGGATCAACTGATGACCGCCGCAGAGAGACCATACCGCTGTCAAACAAAGCCTTCATTTGTTGGATGTGAGAAGAGGTGCCAGGTATGCGATAGATGCCCTCAACCTCCAATCCATACACATCTACAGCCTGGATACACTGGTAAACGACCATGGGCACTGGCGAGCCATCGCGCCGGAACAAGTCTTCTAGGGTAACGCCAAAGACAGGATTGACAGGAGGCTGAGAGCTGTTGTAAAGGACGCCGCTGGTCTGCTGTGCCGTAGCATGGCCCACTGGTCCCCGTGGGAAATCTGACTGCGGGTAGGGATTTGGGGCAACCGGGGAGTAGGTAGAGTTGTTATATTGCGGCTGCGACGAAGGCGGCTGCTGCGAGTAGGCGGGGAAGCTTGGTTGTTGTGCGGGCTCGGGTTGTGGAGAGACCTGTTGCAGGGATAGCGGGGGGTTCAAGTCTGGCTGCTGTAGGGAGAAGGGGGGCGGCGGTTGGGTTTGCATTTGCATAGAGGCGCGACGGGCGCCACTTGTAGCCGGCGGTGGCGTTGGATATGAGGGCGTAGGCGCCTGCGTTGGATGCTTGACGTACTGTAGCTCGGTTTTGGACACGGGCGCCTTGGACGCGTGCTGGAGGATGTAGTCATCGAAGTCTCTCTCGTTGTTGATCTGGTAGATGAGCTGGTTTACACTGGGCGGTGCTTGGACACTGCTGCCTTTTAGCGGCTGGGGGCTAACAACCTGACCGTTGTTGACGACTAGCTTCTCATTGAACGAGGCTGTCGACGTCAGTGGTGGGCTCTCAAGTACATGGGGCAGTACACGTACCGTACTTCTGCATCTCCATTGTGAGCGCAGCATCCGTCTCCTTGACGAGGTCCAGCAGGGCGGCAATAGCTTGGGGCCGCGTCGTGGCCAACAGCTCTTTGCGGGAGGCCTGCGCCGTGTGCACTTTGGTGGCGTAGTCCTGGTCTGCCGCCTGTGTCTTGCGCTGAAGATCCTCCTCGTGCTGGGCGGCCGACTTGGGGCCCTTGAGGCCGAACTTCCTACCGGCACCCGTGTCGCCCGTCTTGACGCGGTCAAGGTCGTCTGCGAGCTGGTCGTACTTGGCTTTGGCCTTCTCTGCGAGCTTCTCGGCGTCCTGCACCTTGTTCTCGGCGGCCAACCCCTGCTGCTTCCACGTCTTGCGGTTCACGTCCATTTTGTTGGCCAGCTGCAGCAGGTTCTCGTGCATGGCGTGTAGGGCAAGGCCAAACTGAGTGCCATTGTCGGCGATGCGCTCGTTGGCATGGAGCACCTGCTCGAACTGCGTCTGGTAGCTTTCATGACGGACGTCGGGCTTACGCACGCCGTCGAGCGTCAGGCGGCTCAGCTTCTTGAGGCTACCAGCATGTTCCTCCTCGAGGGCTCCCCGGCGCTTGAGGAAGCTGGCGAAGTCCTGCGGTGCATGTTTAGCTGGCGTGGTGTGACTTGGCGTAGGAGTGTACCGACCCTGGCGCTCGCGATGCTGGCCTTCAGGCGGTTCAGCAGCGTGGAGACGCCCACATCTGAGTGTAGGACATCGTGCACGCGTTGGTGTGTCTGCGCGTCCTGGGGCACCGCTCGCTGCTCTGGCGATGCGGGAGCTGCTGCCTCGACGGGCGAAACTATGGCGCCGTCTTCTGCGGGGGTAGAGGCGCTGTGGTTGAAGTCAGGATTGAAGCTGTCGGTGCTCTCCAAGGGCGGAATTGTAGGCGGGGCAGCCATTGCGGGCAGAGTCGCGATGGTAGTCGAGTCGGGTGCATGTATGTCGGTCTCTTTGTCCAGGTGAAGCTCCGGCTGGGGTTGTTGCACGGACAGGGTCAACGTCATCTATCCACCGCTCCCCTCTCGTTCCCACAGCACCCCAGCCCCATCAGCCCTCCTTCACTCTGGCGTTGCAATCGCCTTCGCCTCTCAGCTTTCGCGACAGTAGGATACCCCGTTTGCTCCAGCCATGGCGTCTGCTGCCCCCCACGGCGCATCCACGGTGCCCAATGGACTGCCGGACGAGGTGATAACGTGCCTCCAAAACGCCCGCTTTGTGAGTGTTTTCCATGCTAGCCTCCGAAATACATGCTAGCATTTGGTCACCCCCTGCTTAACCCTTGGTCTTCTCTTCCTCTCGTCGTCGGCGGTGCCGCTGTTTCTCGTCTCATGGCCCTGCGTTGGGAGCACGTGTCATGCTCAATATAATTGCTTCCTCTCGAGTCAAATGATCCTTCTCCTCATCAGTCTCCCTGTCGACTTCAACCTGACCGTTCCAACAGCTCCATCTTGCAACATGCTCAAACAACATTCCTCACGTCTCCTTGATGAACTACACCTATCTCCCCAGCACGCCCTATTGCCCAACACCAATCATTATCATGACAACGCCATCCTCCTCCCGCAAGACACATAACCTAGAGTCCAACTCTCTCGTTTCTCTTCTCGTACACGACTGGATCTCCCACCGTCCGCCCACTCTGAGCCAGTCAGGCCGTTCGCCTTCACCTTCACGTCCAGCTCCGCGCTCTGGCTCGCTTGCCGAGCTTCTTCTCGGTATCAACACTGCTTCTCTTAGCAGGTTCAGCACCACCATCAATGGCCTCGCTGAACTTGTACCCTCTGGCTCCGAAGAGGAAAATTGGTACAAGGCTCAACATCTGGCCAACAATACTTTTGATTCAACCGGAGACGACTTTCACTCAACTTCACCTATTGAAAGAGGCTTATGGGGTGGCGGAGGCTTGGGAACTGGCGCAACAGAGGATGCAGCCCCGAGAGAAGGTGATGGAGGGACAAGATGCTATGTCGAGGGCGAAGAGGTCAGGGTCGTGGTAGTCAAAGTCAGAGATGGTCGGATCGCCGATTGGAAAGGTCAAGTGAGGGACTGGAACCTGCTGCTGGAAGAGAACCGAATATTCGAGGTGAATGGAGCATTGGCTTAGACCTTCCTTTTGACCTTGTTCTGGCATTCACCTGTTAATAAAACTGTACAGCTGTAGTGTTTCTAAAGATGTCATAGTCAAAAACTATTTTGTATGCTTCATTATTCTAAACGTGGGGAGAAGATTACATTCAACGGAGTCAACTAGGCGTTTAAGCCTACAGTATGAGCGGCAAAACTGTGCTATGCGCGCCATCTACCGTACCGAATTCTATGTTCCGCGAGGGTAGTGCTCGTGCGTTAGCTCGTCCTTATCTAAGCGGTCTGTCCCAACCCCAACCATGCCAGCATACTATCCTCAACTGATTTTGCGATCGTACAAGACATCCAACAAGGATATGTAAACATTATAATCTATTCTAAGGGTATTGAAACTTAGTCACAGACTGATACTCGCTGACATAGGTTGGCTGCCTGGAAAAAATCAAGTGAAATTTCGCATTTCGCCACGCTCTTGCATATGTAAGGGGCGATATTTCGATGAAAGGGTATGGGCATCTATTCCTAACGTAAATTATACTATATCAAGTTAAAAGACTTCTCCCAAATCTGTCTCGCGCAGTGGCGCATGTTATTTCCTTTGTCTCAGACTGTCATTTTGAACAAAACCCCATCACTGCCCCTCCAAAACCTACATCTCCTACCTCAACTTTTCTCGAGTTGTCCCTTGAATACAATTTGCTCTAAATCTTCTCTGCTAGAGTGTTACGTTTTGTAGCCCTTGTGGGGACTTCGTTGTGGGGACTTATTCACGCAAAGTAACGCCTTCTGCAATTGGTATTAACTACGAGGTTCATCAGTGCGAACACCACACTGGTCTCAAGCAGTTTAGTCTCAATTGGTGAGAAGCGAAACAGGGTTGTCGAAAGGATCTTGAGTTCCTAAGTATCTCTCACACATTGTGATATAGCTTTCCTGAAGACGAGAAAGAGAATGGCAAATCTAGCATTTCAATAGCTCCTCAAAGTGAAAGAGGCTGAGGCAAAAAACATACGTGAGTGCAAACGTCCAGAAGAGCGCGATGAATGCACTGGCCAGCGGTGAATGCGCTGACTCTCTGCCTGATCAGCCTTGGCGCCGGCCACAAAAAGGTCCCCTCTCTCACTTCCTCCAACGCTTTTCCACCAACCTCAACTACATCTATTCTCTACTTCTCAACAATCACTTTTCAAGTATTACACCCATAGCAACCATACCAATTGCTCACGACAATGAGCGCCGAAACCTACCTCACCTCAACCCCGGTCTGCGAGGGAACCCTCACTAACGTCGACAAAGCTGCAATAGCGCAATTTGAGAACACTCTTGACACCTGCGTCAATGAATGGCGTGGAGGAAAAGATGCTATCCTGCTCCAGGACAACTTTCAAGAGCTCTTCGGCGATTTTGCCCTGCACTTCTTCGAGCGCAGCCTGAGTGAGCGAGTGGGACAGCCTGTCGCCTTAACCTCAGTGGGTAGCGGCAACATTCACCACACACTGGTCCAAATGCCAAAGACCCAGAGGCCGGAGCTCCTCGCTCAGGTGCAGCAGGCCGATATTTCGCAGACAGGTCGTTCTGAGCGCACTCCACTTACCACCGATCCTATCGCTATTGGCGTAAAGAAAGCGCCGCGCCCTATGAACTGCTGGATCATCTTCCGAGACGCGATGCACAAGAAGCTCAAAATTGAGAACCCGCATCTCACTGTGCAACAGATCTGTAAGCATACTATCTTAGTTCAACCTAGACACATTTGAACTGACCATGTCACAGCTACACGTTGCTCTGAGATCTGGCACAGTCTCTCTCCGGCAGAGAAGAAACCCTGGCAAGCAGCCGCGAAGTCAGCGAAAGAAGAGCATCTGCGCCAACACCCTGATTACAAGTACAGTCCCCGAAAGCCGGGTGAGAAAAAGAAGCGACAGTCACGCAAGGCGAAGCGAGCAGCCTCCGTTGCCACGGGAATGGAGGCCTTCAACTTCCAGCTAGCCTCCGACATGACAACCTCGACGACTGACACCAGTCTCATTCCTACTGTTGCAGCAGATACTGTTGCAGCTAATGTCGGTGAGGTTCTTGTGGCTGAGCCGTTCACTCTCGTCGAGATGTCACCCGAGACACCAATGCCTACCGGTTACGTCCATGACTCGGAGTCTCTTCGACACAATCGGCTTGAAGCCGAGTTTGGACTGGACTTCGGTATTGAGATGCCTTTCGAACTCTTCGGCGAGGAAGCATTCGCATTCCGTGCCGGTGCGGACGGTAATGCTACCCTACCGTCGATCTACTCGGATTTCTATTGAGATGCTGGATGCACTTCGCTACAGAGTAATGTCTTCTCACCGGAGAATGTACTGGATCTCTACCACTATCCACAATCCGCCTTTCCAACATTTCAGCTCAAAGCGCTTCCCCCGACCTGTTATTGACCGACGTCACTCACCTACCGCACATCCTACGACAACCCAAACGTTCCCACGTTCCCCATACTTGCGACCTCCACCGTTAATGAAGCAATACTCGCTTCCCGCCCTTGCACATCCTCATTTCGGCAATCCCTTTGCATAGCCTTGGACACCTGCCTTGGCCCAGCTCGGGATCATTACGGCCTTCCCCTCGATCTCCCATAACGGACTACGAGCGAATACCTGTTTTGGCTGGAACACACGGACATGAGACAAGGGTGGGTCTTTGCACATACTGGCGCGTTGGCTTTCTTGCTTTTGATTGATGGCCTTGGACATGGAAATGGCTTTTCACGATGGATATTACACATGGGCTTGGCTGGACTGGACGACAGTCTGGCACTGGCTCTGGCTTTGGCTCGGTGGAGGATATGAGCATGGCATTGGCATTGGCATTGGCACTGGGCCGACATGGATATGGATATGGATATGGATAAGGACATGATAAACTGGCTGGCTGATTGAGTCAGGTCAGACATGTAGCGAGCGGAGGAACATTGCGATAGACTACTGAGGGATTACCACTTCCCCCAAGTACGACTTTAGATACCCCATAGCAGACCTAATAACGGTTGAAAAACAAACGCTTGTGCAAAGGTACATGGTGATGTGTGTGATGAGTAGCCTTTGAAGTTATCTGACATGCTCCGTGTGATGGTGGGACGCACTGTTTGGGAGTTGCCCGTGATGCTTTGGAATCAGGCCTTAGATAAGAGGAGTAAGAGAAGTTCATTGCCGTGATGGAACTACGTAGTAGCTAGGCGTATTCAGTGCGAGCTGTGGGATGGCTGGGGCTTGAAGGTGTTTAGGTTACTGTATGGGGGACATCAGGCAGAGAACGTCTGCGTGATGGCAGAAGAAGGTATCGGTACACTATGTCTCTTAGGCAGGATTCCATTCGAAAAGTACCCGAAGGCCTTTCCTGTCATCTATTCGTCAGTGCGGTAGCAGCTGCAGAAGGGTGAATGTCATGGCAGAGTGATATGTGACTTTGACTTGAGCGGAAATCATGAGGGCAAAGGATGAAGTTGCACTACGTGGTCTCCGTGATATTCATGATAAGAAGCCTTCGAAAATTTCGTGGTCCGAAAAGTACTGATAGCAATTGCAGCTCTATCCGCTCTGGAATGGCAATGTGCCTCTTGAGCTCTTCGACGTCCGGGCCGGCATGCCAGACAGTGAACGAACTACATGACAGCTTTTCTCTCTTTCATACTAAATATGTGAACCGACCACTCAACTTCCCAAAAGTCTTTGAAGATATTCAGGGTGCATGATGCGATGGTCTGGCTAGCCATTCCCTCAACGTCCCATGAATGTGGTGAGCGTGATCTCTGTGTGAGACACACGGCCGTTCGTAGAACGTCGAGCACCTGAAGGATTTCAAGACAGGTTACGGGTCTATGTATGGGTACTCGGGTCGTGGTGTCTGGAACAATGCGATTCGTGGGCGGCGATGGCATCTGAGCCGTGGATGCGCAGACTGACCGGCGTCCCCCTTGTGTGTAGTTTCGACACCATTTTCCTGCGCACCCTGCCGAAGGAGGTTCAAAGACCCCCAGCTGAGAGAATGCATCGCCATTCGAAGGTGTGTGTACTGAAGAGCGTATGATTGTATCGACCGACTGCTAGGTCTCGCAAAAAGTACTTCGAGTAATTTGAGCATAGAATATGCGCCGGGGTGGCCACAATGGCGAAACCACAAGTGTAGGTATTCAAGTACTTGATTGATGTTGGAACAGAGTTTGAAGGCAATTGGGGTAATCTTCGTGGAGATCTGAAGAAGTGTTCGGTCACAACGTCCTGTCCGTGGCCCAAGAATATCTCACACATCATACGCCGGAGGGTGGCCACAATGGGGAGACTCTAGATGTACCTTAACAAGTAAGCGAATAAATATATGGCAGCCTTTGAAGGTCTCAGTGGAAAGGATTGTGGAGATCCAAAGAACTGTCTGGCCCGGCGTCCGGACAGGACCCTACGGACCACCAGCACAACGCACCCGGTATTGTGGCAGGACTGGCGAAATTGAAATGGAGGTTACAACATAGCTCAAAGAAAGCTCTCCCAGAATCTGGCTGTCGTATGAAAGGTGTGCATAGATATATTTCGGGATGTGCTGTGTCACGCCGTAGAAAGGGGCGCCCGACAAGATCGAGTAATCCGAACGTACTATAATGGCAGCACTGGCGAAAATTTAATCCTAGTATCTAGACGACTTATTAAACCTCATGATTGCATATGAAGGTGCTGGCGATAATGAGTGTGGAAATTCGACGATGTCTGGGGCTGTGGTGATTTGGGAACGAGACAAGGAGAACTTCCGCACAACATATGTGCTAGGGTGGCAGCACTGGCGAAACTTTCCTCAGACTAAGTTCTGACTTTGATAAATGCCATATAGCCGTTCTAATACCTCTGCAAGTATGTGTGTGGAGATATGACGGCGCGTGTGGTGCAGTGATACGAAAAGGGCTACGAAGAGACCCGATATAGCACATGTCGTAGGATGGCCACAATGGGAATATTTACACCACAGTAGTATGACTAAATTATTGATCTTGTTTCGGTGTTTGAAGCTTATCTGATGATGTGTGTGGTGGTGCGATGTCCTGGGGGTTTTGACCGGTCTGCTGCGAAGGAGTTGCTATGTTTCAGCACAATACATGCGCTGTTGTGGCAGGACTGGCGAAATCCTAATCTTGGCATCTAAGCAACTCATCCTAGGCCCTGTATCAATTTCAAGGCCTTTTGATAAAGTTAGTTGTGGGATTCGGACATGGACGGACCGGTCGGCCCTTTGTGCAGCAGCAGAGGAACTCGACTGCGACACAAACACTAAGGTGGCAGCGATGGCGAAACTCTCGTAAGAGTAATGGGTAAATAATCCTTCTGGAACTGTTCTCGGGCCTTTTAGTATCGCATGTTGTGTTGTAAGGTCATCCATCGGTAGACTCGCCATGGGCGGAGCAGCGCATCATGTCTAGCAACCACAGACGCGATAGGGTGGCCACAGTGAGAAGACTCCGCATAAAACTATAGGACGGACCAATTGTCCCTGTGTAAAGTATATCGAGGCGTCTCGATCATGTCCGTATTTTCTGATGGCTGCCAGAGGACGCCAACCATAGGTTTGTACATCGACCATCGGACTCCGCGAAACAGCCTGCTAGCAACGGTGCATCAGTTTGTCAACACCATGAGAAGTGTGCAAAGGCTTTCGTAGTGTTGCTTTGATTGCGGCTAATGTCTCCACAAAGATGAGGTGATGTTTGAAAGGAAGGCCGTCGGACAGCGTGTCATTTCTCCCTCTCCCTCGTCGTCCACAATGCAGGTGGAGAGCGACAAAGTTTCCACTCGATGGCTAAGAACATGACTGGCAAGAGACCGAGTAAGAGTCGCAGGTGGTGATCTAATAAGGTGATGTTGTGCGTATAAGTCCGCCGGCCAGCTTGTCTGAGCCCACTCTCTTTCGTACAACATCTACGAGCAACCTTTGTGGCAAGAATGGCGGAATTCACATACATTCTTCTCTTCATCGATACAAACATAGACACCAAGTTTTGTATAAGTTCGAAGTAGCGTTGCGATGTTGGAGGTTCGTCGTTGCGGGACTGTTGGACAGCATGTCCCTTCTCTTACTCGCAGCCTTCAGATTGAAGCATTGCGGCAAGAACAGCAGGCGATGCACTATATTTTCTCTTGTCTACTCGAACCTTTGGATAAGTATCATGTGCGCGAAACGAGCTACGAGTGATTTCGCTATTCGAAGTCTGGGTTGTATGCAGAAGCCTCGAGCTGCGTAACCCTCTCCCTCTCAGTTTTGCACGGAGTGATCGCCATCCAGATGAAAGATGACGGAGACCATCACCTTCTGACTGAGAGGGCCGTATGAAATTGTCCCACCATTAAGCCATGAAGTGAGACTGAGTGCGCGAGATAGTGGTACAGCGGAACAGAAGTGAGTGCGCGAAACCTACTTCTTGGGGGACGAAGAGAGTAAGATTGAAGGGGTATAGAATGAAACAGGGCAATGAGCATATCGAAACCCTTTTCGATTACATTTTCAACGCGCTGTTTTGAACTCGAAAGAAGAGACAAGTAAAGTGATGATAGAAGACTCTTGATTTTCATAGCTATCAAGTTCGAAGCCCTACAGGGTATCATATGCTACCATACATCTTAGTCTGCTAATAATCAGCTCTTGCTTCTTACCACTCGAGCTCGTTGCACTTCCTGGGCCGCTGCTAGAATGATATGTCGTCCAAAATGCTTCCTGATGTGCTCTCTCCGCATACATTCCCTCTCTTCCCGAACCGTCAATATCTTTTCGTCGAACCCACTCCACGCCGTAGTCCTTCGTAATGTATCCATCCACGTCGTACGGCGGAGAAGAGTCGTGGCCCTTATCTAGTTATGTTGATATCCGAACCCATCTACAGCTTCAGCTGCCCTTCCACTCGCTCCCCCATATGAAAGTTCCGCACCGCCACTGCGTCCCAACTTCCTTCTGCCCGCTCGGTCCAGTCGGCCTAGCGCACATCCAAAACTGTCTTCTGAAATTAACGCCAGGCTTCTTTACCGTGAGCAGGATACACAGTTCGCCGTGTTCGCATCGGGGCGCGGGTTTCTTTGAGAAGAGCTTGGTCCAGCTTTCTTTGGACGCCTCTTGTGAGGCAAGAGGGTCGGGGTCGAAGGCTTCCGAGGAATTTGGCGTTTGAGACAATGAAGAAGGTGGAGGGACGCCGGTTGCGTATGATGTAGAAGAAGTCGACGAGGATAAGAGTGGTGGAGCATTGTCTTCGATAGGGTTGGGATCTGCAACTTTAGTACGAGATTGGAAGAATCCTTTCAGCGACTGTTGGCCCTTGGGTGTAGCCGACGTCGTGGCTGAAAGACTAGACTTGCTGCGTTTAATCGGTTTGCTAGGGGATGCGGATGCAGGCGCGCGCCGCTTTTCGGGTGAGTTTAGAGGGCTTGTAGTTAGTGCCGTGTGCCCATTGGCGGCTGACGATGGGGTTGTCAAAGAGATCTTGGGTTCTTTGTCTGTCGCCCTTGTGGACAAAGGCTGAGAACCAGCACTTTCCCCTTGCGGTTGCACACCCGTTTCGATCGGCATCGACAATGTTGTCGATGCAGATTTCGGCAATGCAGGTTTTTTGCTGAACATATCCCTGATGTTCCTCCGCTTCGTGAATTCAGGAAGCAGCTTTCCACTTAACGCTGGTATGTCTTTAGCTGGATTGTACTCCCTTTGTCGCACGCCATCCTCGAACATGCCAGGCGGGTTCATCAAGTCCAGAACATGTATCTCTTCGTCCAACTTAGCCGTCTCCGTCTCTACTCCTGATTGCCAGGATGTTGGCACTTTATCTTTGGTCACTGCATACACCGGACAATGATCTGAGCCCATGAGCCCCTCTTGGATGTTCGCTTCCTTGAACCCGTCCTTGATGGAAATACTGCACAGTATGAAGTCGATTCGTGAGCCAAAGTTACCCGGCCGCGCATTGATCTTCTGCTCCCAGTGTGTGAACATGCCTTCGCGATCGGGATGAAACTCGCGGCACAAGTCGTACAATATCGGCTCTTCCCTACCGTCGTCCCGCTCGCCAGGTACTTTGCCGTTCAACAGCAACTGATTGAAGATTCGGCGGTTTGGCATGTTTAGATACTCATCGTGCGTGATGCCCTCCGACCGCATGTTGTCCTCTGCCTTCGCCGTGTCAATCAGGTCCCTACTCACGTTCAGATCCCCTGTCAAGATAACGTTCTTCCCTATCTTTGTCAAGTTTCTGATCCGTGTATCTAGCGATTGCAAGAAGCCACGTCGAAAGTCATCTCTTAGGCCATTACTGTTCGCTGGGCTGTACACGCCAAAGAGGACGAAGGCCGGGAACTCGAGGACGAGACAGCGCCCTTCTGCATCGAGGGCAGCCGGGTCGACATCTAGGTCAGCAACCTGGGTGGGGGTAGGGTAGCCGCCGATACTGGATGACACAGGGAGCTCGCGATAGGGCGTTGACGAGTTGGGAGGGCATAAAACGCCGAGGAGACCTTCTTCGGCGCGGATGGGTGCACAAACGGACTGACGGGTATAGATGCCCACACCTGAATATCCTATGCATTCATTAGCACGTGATATGTGGGTACTCGAAGGAGTATATACCCTTTTTGTGTTTGGGCAAGCTGAAGTAGCAGTCCCAGCCGGGAACAAGAACCATGTCATCCGTCAGGTCCTTGCGCTGGATCTTGAGCTCCTGCATGATGACAATATCTGCCTCCAGTATGTCGAACATGGTATTGAACGTCCGGCTCGTGCTCCATGGCTTGTAGCCAAACGGGTTGCGGATGCCGTTGACATTCCATGTCGTGATGCGCACCATTATGCGTGTAGGTATAGATGGCGACGAGGAGCGTGGATGAAGAGCATCACCGCTTCTTCGTCTCGGCTACCTTCGACCTTCATGGGGGAGTGTGAGAGACGCGCGCCGCGGCATGCATCATGAGCGCACGTCAGTCACGACGTCACGTGATCTGGGGATCAGGGATCCAAACAGTGCAAACCCGCCAAGTGTGGCCTGATCCAACCACAAGCTCGGTTTGTCAATTCGAGCTCGCTCCGTCACACCTCACCCCATTGACGACCTCCACCCACCCACCGTCCCCGGACACACCCAATTGCACCCCATCTCCACTCTTCGAGCCTCAAGATGTTCGCCCAACGCATTCTCGCCCGCTCGACGCCGCGCATGGCGCTCGCCCGCGCTCCCCTCCGTGCGTCCCGCCGCAACTACAGCTCCGAGACCAAGCAGCAGTTCGTAGGAGCCGAGGACAACGAGTTCAATCGCGAGCGTGCCCGTATTGCCGAGCACGGCGCTGAGTCTGGCGAGTTCTGGCGCAAGTTGTCGCTGTAGTAAGTCTCCGGATACTGCACTCCTGACACAGATGGGGGGAACTGAGAAGCGGACACTCGGCCGATGAGAGGGAAACTGGGACAGCAATGGCATTGGGTTGAATATGCAAAGGTAGAAGCTGACGACAAATTCACAGCGTTGCCGTGCCCTGCCTCATCATTGCCTCCGTCAACGCCAAGTTGAGGTGGGATGCTCATTGGGAGCACGTTGCCCATGATACTCCTCGCGAGGACAAGCCTGAGTATGCGTACCAGAACATCCGTACTAAGAACTTCTGGTGGGGAGATGGTGACAAGGTATGCTATGCCCATGTCCATATCCAGAGCCTCGGTAGCTCTCGGGTCAATGCGACCAATATACTTACGGTTATACAGACGCTCTTCTGGAACGACAAGGTCAACTACCACAAGAAGGACGAGTAAACGACTGTGTAGCACGTCGTTCCCATCTATCATTTTTCAAAGGCCAGGGCAGACAGCCGCATTGGGCGTGTATATAGTACGAGCGCAAGCTGAGAGTAGACCAGCAATTAATTTCCTTTGTCTGTATACGTCGCCGTGCGATTGTCATATCATCGTGCCTCTCGTTCATCAACCACAAACCGTCTGCCATGCCTTTGACTACAGCTACTCTCTTCATATCTCTCCATCAATCCTCCTCATCCCCTCCTCCCACACCCGGTTATGATTCTGCGCCCATTCCTCTGCGAGCTTCTCATCACCCCTCAGCTTCGCAACAATTGCCTTCTTCATAATCTGTTCGCACTCGCCGTCGAGATAACTACTCTTCTTGAAACACACTCTAGCTCTGTCGATGTACAGCTCCGCTTTGGCAATGTTCGCCGACCTTGTTCTCGCCGATGTGGGAGATGACGAGGAAGTTGAAGTCGAAGGCGGAGACGATGTGGAGGCGCCGGATGGGTTGGAGTGAGAACTAGGACTGGCAAGCCCCATGTATGAGTCCGCGAGATGCGAGTACAATGTGCCGCAAAGCATGCTATCCGCACCCTCTAAAGCCTATCACATAGTCGTCAGCATTAGTCCATTCTGTACCTTTTTAACATCAGCAACAAGAGCAGAGATACATACCTGCGGCAATACCCCCTCAACCAACCTTCTCGCACTTCCAAACTCCCCCAACCCATTCAATATATTTCCCAGTAGACCCACAGCAGTCCATAGACTCGGTCCCAATCTCGCCCTAAAGCTCACACTCGCCGCTCTCAACGCAACACTAAAACCCCTCTCCGCCTTACCCACCTTCCTCCACAAATCCGCTTGCATAAGAAGCACCGAGACACGCTGTAAGATGTCTGCATTGTCAGACTTGAGGGACTGGGCGAGCGTGGATATAACGGTAAAGGCTTGAGAGTACTGGCCGCGAGAGGAGAGGTAGTCGATGTAAGCTTCATATTGGAGGAAAGAGAGTTCTGCATCGAGTGGGGAGGATGTGGGATCTGTGGCTGGTTTGAGGGTGGCGAGGAGATGGGTGCAAGTCTGCCAGTCGGAGCTACTGTCTCGTCAGTATGTTGGAGAAGGAAGGAGTTGGGTGCGGGAGGATTTACCGTCGGATGGCTCTCTTGAGCTTTATGTGGCCAATGCATAGGATGAGGTATTGGTGAAACTTGAGCGATTTGTGTACGGAAGTGTCGATGGCCTCTAGAGCTGAGATTGCTTCGTCGTAGCGGCCGCTTTGGCTCATGATGAAAGCTCTTCGTCCGGTCGCTCGGATACTCTCGTCGATAGGGCAAGATTGCTCGTAGCAGTCGAATAGAAGTTCGCAGTGCACATTGGCAAGATGTGGTATTCCGAGGCGTGAGTAGAGAGTCGACGTCAGTAGCATTTGGCTACCGTAACTTTTTATGTTTTCTTTGACGTTGAGGTGTGAGGATTGGTAGATGTGTTCTAGTGCTCGGGGGATGGAGTCGCCCTACCACTAAGCATTAGCATAGCACACGATGAAAATGCATGTGTCCATGTAAGGTTCGATGAACGTACCGTTGCAAGACACAACTTCGCCTCATTGAGTAAACTCGCACTGAGCAAGTGGTACATCTTCGTCTCCTTTGCCTTCGCCTTCAGGAATGTCAATGCATCTCGCTCGCTTCCCAGCATACTCATATACCCTGCGCCCTTCATCTGCTTCGGAAACGCCTTGGCCATATGGTTTAGCCAGCTGAGACTGAAGCTCAAGCATGTCATGTCCTGGTTCTCTCTTGCCGTAGCAATCGTCTCATTTATAGCTGCTATGGCCTCGCCGAAGCAGCCAAAGTCGGCTTGCAGGATGGCCATGTGGAGTAGTGCGTATTGATAGTGGATCTTCTCTCGTGTCTGCATGGCATAATCGTAGTAGCGGTGCAGATTGTCGAAAGCGGATGTATAGTCCCCAGCTTTCCAGGCGTCGAAGAATTGTACCAGATGGGCTTGCCGGTGTACGAGGCCTGAGGAGCTGATCATGGTGCGAAGTTGCGTCTTCATTGACTCCGGGACGCGGTCCCCGAATCGTTGCAGTCGGTCAAGCTGGAAGTCCAGTACCCGATCGAGATCCTCAAGACTCATTCCTTCTCCTTCCTCGTCCTGCTCTTCCAAATGCCCATATGCAACCTCATATACATCATCACCAGGACTCAAACCCATCTCCGACACCACCACGTCCACGCCGCTCGAAGCCAGGCCGGCGAGCCTCTTGGTCCATTGTGCTGTCGGTGCCCTGTACTTGATGAACGATGACCATAGTTTCATCGAGTCGTCAAACTGCAGCCGCGTAAACTCCAGGCGAGCTCTCCGAACGAAGGAACCGAGAGGAGACGTCTTGGATAGATAGATCCGGTCCGGGACTTCTCCTTCTTGAATGCCAGGCGGCGGCGGAGATGTCAGTTCCTGGAGATTGTCGAAGAGGTCGTGCAGCGCATCGAACGAGTTCATCTCCCACATATGCTTCAGGAAGAGGTCCAGAAGCGTTCGTCCGGGCATGCTCGAAGCGTGTCCCTGGAGGACATCTTCAAAGGCATCGATTGAGAAGGAAGCGTCTTGTTGGTTGAATGCTGGAACACGTGCTCGGGCGCTGGATGAGACGGCAGGTATGTTGTTTGACAAGATGAAAGACAGAATGGGAATCGTCGCTGAAGAAGGAAGAGTGGAACTGCAGTAGAGCCGCGTCAAGACCAGAAGGCTGATCTTTTGGGCTGTGAGGTAGCGAGGCGTCGCCATAGTTGCATTCGAGTCGTGTGGTGTACTATTGAATGCAATCCAGCTCCGCTGTGAGGTGTCGGACTTGAAACTACCACAGAGATCTGAGAGGTCTGGTAATAGTATCGCAAGACATTAATATTGCCGCATTAATCGGAGCCCCGGGATGGAGTGGCCTTGACTTCGCGTCTTGCGCGCTGTTTACAGAGAGTGGTGTGGAGGGCAAGAATAACCGAGGCGAAGCGTATCGCGTTCGGTTCGCGTGATCATGCGTCGCTCGTACATAGGCAGACTGCCAGGTGAACAGTGTTCGCTCTAGTGCATAGGGGACTACTTTGATGGTGCTCCAAGATTGACCTGTTGTTGAGTACTATCTCATCAAGCAGACATTTGGCGAAGGAAGTGTAGCACATGGTAACTTCGCAAGACAAAATCCGAACTTGACATTAATTTGCATGTGAATGCCTATGTAATTGTCTCTCGTTGACCTTTTTGAAACGCAGAAGCTTGCCTCTTGAGGTTCTCTTTGTAGTCTACCTGCTGCGGATGCCAAGTAGGTCGACCTCCGACTTCTCCTGTAACGTTCCGCAGGATCTCATCATCCCGTCCTGCATTCGTCGCCCACATCTTGCTGATGCTCAAATCATACGGACCCGGTATCCGATCAATCAACGATATGCCCACTGTCCGCACTTTTTGTGTCAACATCTCCCTCTGCGGCTCAACGACCTGTCCATGATTTGTCCGTACGAACTCGCTCCACTTGATCAGGATCGTCTCCCACTCCCCAGGCGTCTTCGAATGTAATAGGTGCTGGTGAATATCTGTGGGAACAATTGACTCGGTCTGCACGTTGACAAAGTACTTGCGTCCGTCGGACTTGAATTGGATAGCGAGGAAGCCGTACATGCTCACATCCCACAGCGACTTGCCGAAGATAGTAGCCCCCCGGTCAAGTGATCGCCATCCTGCATATCCAGTTCGCTGAATGTGTGGTTGGTTTTGGGGGAGCTGTGTGGATATGGTGCCATGCCATCGGACGTGGGATGGTTCAGTCTGGGTGACGGGATGATGGTCGAACTCGCTGGTCGAAAAGCCGCCGATGTCTCTGTCGCTCATGCGTTTGTATGAGTCAATATCTTCTGGTTTCTCGAATTGAACCAGTGGAAGTGCCTTGGTTGGCGACTTCAAGCCTTCAAGTTTGAGGGCTGCATATGTTAGTAGTGAGCTGCGAAGTATGTAGATGGGGATGCGCAAGCTCACCGAACATGGAGAGACGCTTGAACTCATCCAGGCTGCGCTTGAAGAAGCCCGGCGCCAGGCACTGCGCGGTTGGCCGCATCGTGGCGTAGATTTGTAGTGTCGTGAGGTCTTGATTACTTTTCAAGAGAGCGAGTAGCGCAATCGTAGACCGGCTTCGGTGAGGCTCACACGACGCGATGCAGCAGTGACGAAACGCCGCGGGCTACTTCGCTAGTCGCTAGCCGCATTGGTCGCCATCCCAAATTTTGGCAACTTCATGTGCATGCAACTATAGCATGCACTTGACTATCTCTAGACTTCTCGAATGACCCTAGCATAGCAGACCCTCTACCGACATCTCGAGTAAGACTCTTGCGTGCGCCTTTGCCTACCAGAACTCCCATCATCCGCCACGCGCGTTCCGTACCTCGATGACCTTCGAACACGCCTCCGGACCTCGAAGCATTCGAGACCAACCTACACAACCCTTACAGACACTGCCGCCCTCGTCGCGTGAGCTAGGGGAAGTACTTCCGCCAAAGCAACCAGATGGCGCTCCGGTAACAACCGAGAAAATAAGCCTTGCGAAATCATGGACGCATTTCGTCGCTGGAGGGTAGGACGATTCCAACACCTGCTACGTCGACTTGCGATGGAAGGCTAACACTATCTAGCCTAGGTGGTATGGCCTCTGCTACCTTGACAGCTCCCCTCGATGTACTGAAGACCCGCCTTCAATCGACGTACTACCAACAGCATCTCGCCGCCATGCGGACTGCTCGAGGACTGCCACCCATTGAGACCATGTCCTTTGCCCGCAGCTCGATACTACACATCAGAGAAACGGGCGAGATTTTATGGCAGGTTCCAAAGGCGGAAGGCTGGCGGGCTCTGTTCAAAGGACTAGGACCCAATTTAATCGGTGTCGTTCCCGCGCGCGCAATCAACTTCTACGCATACGGCAACGGCAAGCGGCTGATTAGCACACACTTCAACAACGGCCAAGAGGCAGCATGGGTCCATCTTTGCTCTGCGGCTGCGGCTGGTGTTGTCACCGGTACCGCAACAAATCCCATCTGGCTCGTGAAGACGCGGTTACAGTTGGACAAGAACACACATGCAGATGGCCGAGGTCGCCAGTACAAGAACGCATTGGACTGCACCATGCAAACCATACGGAAAGAGGGGGTGCGTGGACTCTACCGTGGATTGACGGCGAGCTACCTGGGAGTGACCGAGAGCACATTGCAATGGGTGTTGTATGAGCAGATGAAGCTGTCTTTAGCAAGGCGAGAAGAGCGGGTTGCAGCCAGTGGGCGGCCTCCGACGGTCTGGGATCAGACTGTTGAATTGACGGGCAAGGTTTCTGCTGCTGGAGCTGCCAAGTTCGTCGCTGCGCTGATCACATACCCCCACGAGGTATGTCAACTTGGAAATGGCCTATGGGATTACCATGGCTGTTGCATAAACACTTTACTAACTGCATGTAGGTTGTGCGCACTCGTTTACGACAAGCTCCGCAACAAGATGGTCGACAGAAGTACACCGGCCTCGCCCAATGCTTCCGCCTCATTTGGAAGGAGGAAGGCATGGCAGCACTCTACGGCGGTCTCGTTCCCCACATGTTCCGCGTCGTACCGAGTGCTGCTATCATGTTCGGCACATATGAAGGCGTACTGAAGCTTCTTGGCGAAAGTAGCAACATGTGAACGGCCGACGAATTCCTTTGGTATAGATTTTTAATCACTTGTACAACATCTGAACTGCATGGCACGGCGTTGTTGAATACCAGGGTTGGGGACGCATTTATGGCGTCATGTAACAACAAAAGGGCTGAGAGACACATTTGTATGCTAAGGGAAGATCCTGTATGAAGAAGGAAATGACGCTGGGTGGCCTTGAGATATTAGACTTTGGTCCAAGGATGCGTAGTTGGAGGTTGAGCAAGTGTACGGCACTCAAAACTCTTCTCCGGGCAATGCCCCCTATTCCGAAAAATGAACACTATAATACTGCAACCCAAGGTTCCCTCTCCATTGTTGTGACTTGTAATTCTAAGGCCTGGACGGGTGTCTTTCTCCAAGCTTGACATCTCGGAGGTCCGGTCACGTGCTCACGTCCGGAGCCTCAAACTTTCGATAGCTCCGCATTTCCATCGCGAACGCTCACCAAAACGCCTAGGCCAAGCCCACCCGTCACGATGTCGACCCAAGTACCCTTGCGAACGATACGGATCCCCGCGTTCCAGCGGCAATGCCTCTTCCAACGGCAACAATGCGTCAACCGACCCTTTCCATGCTCCGCAACACGGCCGTTCTCCTCGACCGCGGCTCGTCATTATAAGAAGAACACACCTAAGATCCAGGACCATGCGCAGACAAAAGCTGCGGCGGCTGCACATACCGGCCCGTCGCCGAAAGTAAACTATGAGAAGGCGCAGCAAGATTCTAGTGCGATGGCGGAGGACATTGGACTGCTGCAAAATACTATTGTTCGGGCACCTTTCAAGCACCTGCCGAAGGTGACGAGTCGGCAGTTTTGGGGGTACTTTTGGACGCTTGTCAAGGCCAAGGGAACGGCGTTTTATTCGTAAGTCGCTACTTCCAATATGGCTTCGGATGGGTGGTAGAGGGGATGTTTCAACGGAAAAGAAGCGGGTAGGAGTCGGCACTTGGGGGTGGCATTGTGGTATGAGTGACAAGGAAGAAGGGCTAACTTGCATTGCAGGAGATCCTACTACCGGCGATGCATCCAGAAGCAAGGATGGAGCCGATGGCTACCCATGGACATCGGCAACAACGCGCAACTGAAAGACAAAGCGCAGAAGCTGTACGAGCAAATCTATGTAAACTTCGCCAAGTACGTCTCCCCTCCAATATCTACCTACCACATATCCCCATATTCACATACCATACTAACAAATCCCACAACAGAGGCGACGTATCTTCCCTCAAGCAATTCTGCCTTCCCCCTATTGTCAAGAAGTTCGAGAACCGCATCGCCGCCCGCGCCCCGCTGGACATGGACTGGAGACTCCTGAAATGGCGCTCCGCACGCGTAGTCTCGCATCGCGCATCGCCACTCGGTGAAGACAACCCCGACACCGCCTACCGCCAAGCCGTGATCCGCCTCGAATCCGTTCAATCCCTCTCCATCGCCGAGCCATATCAGAGCTCGTCGAGCACGCTTTCCCGCCGCGGCAACAAAGGGCCCAGCGGTCTCGCGTGGGTGCCGGAAGAAGCAAAGGCGAAGAGCGTGCGCGCCGTGCAGCAGGACGAAGGTGGCTTCACGGCGAGAGAGTTTGTGGATAATGGATTGCAGAAGACGGTTGTGGAGTACCTTGTGATGCAGAAGAGGGTGATTAGAGGGAGGGAGGAGGAGTGGAAGGTCTGGGGTTTTGCGGACGAGAGTACACCGCAGAGGCTGGAGGAGGATGACTTGTATTGGCGGAAGACGCTGAATATTCAGGCTGCTGGAGGGGCGTAATGATGCCAGCATGGTGTGGACCTCGGAGTGCTAAGAGTTTGGACGACTAGGGCATCTGTAAAACATACTTGTGTATATGCTGAAAATGGGCATCTGTAGAGGTATTTAGATTTTGTAAGATTGTCTGATTCGCAGCTTTCCGCATGTTCATGGGTCGTGAGAGTTGTTTGTTACGGTTTTTGAATGCTTTTTTAACAATGCAGGTGAATTTCATAGTCGTAGCCCCACTTCACAGAGCGCACGAAAGCAGACGAAAATCACTAATGGACACGGGTGTAAAATATAACACATTCATGTCGATAACACCTCTACTCGCGGTATCACTCCTGTGAGGATCCATAGTTGCGCACCATCTGGCACACAATTTCCTCACTCCTTGCATGTTCGCGCCCCACCTTACGCCCGCCTCGTTCCTTCTTGCTATGATGTGGCCGGACCTCGAAAGCTACCACAGAGTTGTACCAAAGGCGATGGAGGCAAGCGTGTGGAGGAGGGGATGCGTGGTTGCAGAGGACTAGAATCCGTGGACCTGAATTCGTCAGTCAGCCATGATCTCTCGCTTGCATTCGGTTCCCCATCATCTAGTCCGCCCGGGAAAAGTTGAGAAAATTTTGACTCACCTTAATAGTCTTAGCATCAAGTCCCAGTCCCTCTTTCTTGTCGGTCATGAAGTCTTGGACATCCTTGCGCTGATCGCCCTGGAGCTGAATCACGTCGCCCATCTCGTTGTCCGCGACAACGGTGCCATTGCAGGCAAATTTCTTCTTGATCACTTTGAGGATCTTCTTCTGGTCGAATTTCTTGGGTAGGCCTTGCACCGTGGTCAGGGTCTTGCGGCCATTGCGCTCTGTCTTGTGTCAGTTGCCGTATTTGTAATGTGTGCTGTGCGTGCGGGCGAAAAGTGTGTGACTCGGTGGTGGGCGACGATTTCTGCTGGGTGAGGGGAGGGAAGCGGACGTGTATTGTCTGGTAGATGACGTACGTTGGATACGAATGTGAATATAGTCCTGCTGCGACTGCTTGATTTGACCGCTGTCTTCATCCGCTTCCGCGAACGGGTCGTGAGACTTGAGATTCTCGATGGACATACGAGAGCTGGTAGGGCGCGCTGGTGGTGGGGTCTGTTGTTATGGAAGCGTGAGAGGTGACTACGGAGTCGGTATTCAGCTGAGAATAGTTGGTACGTTTGTTGGGTAGCGTGTTTGGGCTTCCGGGTGAGTAGTGTTTGTGGACTCGAGAGAGAGAGGCTTGGGCAGCAGGCTGGGAAAGAAGAGGTGGGGAATGCGGGAAGGCGGCGGTGAACCCCGCCGTCCGTGCGTCGTGAATGGTGCTTGCCGCTTCGAGGGCTGCGTATTCAAATAGGCAAGCGCTACTGGCATCTCCTGGCACGTTTGGAACCATGGCTATGTAATGATTCCTATTGTTTTGCATGCGGATGCTATCCAATTATACAGTTACCGAGTACAGCTGCTACGTCTACGGACCACGGGCCCTTGTGTCTATTACACCAAGCTTGTTTCGCATGACTATAACACTACGACGGAGGTGCCGCAGGAGGGGCCTCTGTGCCAGACGCTTGGAATGGTTGGCCTGGCGGGGGCGGGAGAAACAACGAAGAGTAGCTCTGAGACATGCAATCAGTCATCCAATATACAGTAGTTCGAGGGCCAAGACTTACAACGACGAGTGACATGGCTGTGACGACCTGGTTAGCATTCGTGGTTACATTGAGCAAGACACACGGAGCATACCGGACATGCCTACTTGGAGGTAGGCAGGAGTCGAGGCAGTTCGCTTCTGCTCGGGTGTCTCAGCGAGCCACGACTGAATGGCAAAGACGACCGCGACCCTGCAGCAGCAGCAATCAGTATATAGAAGAAGCGTAACGCAACATGGGAGAAACTTACCAGCCGATCATTCTGTGCGAGGCACGCCATGTCAGTCATGCTCGATTAGCAATTTGCATCGGGGGTAGTGCCGTACTTGTTTCGGGTGAAGATCTGGGGCACCATATCAGCCGTGTAACATGATGAACATGGAGAGGCGACGCGGCACTTACAGCAGCCATGGGCAGTGTGCTTGCCATTGTGCCTGGGGAGAGGCCATGGTCAGTAAAGAGATGGCCATGCACATATAATATCCATGGATGGCCATATGCTTACTCGACATGTCATTCTCATTCTTGTCCTTTGCGGGCTCCGCGTAGGGCACGACTATAGATGCATGTTAGTGGTAGGAGTACGGCACGTGACTGGTATTCTATTCGGCGGATGACGGCGAGGGCGCGCATGATAGATAGGGGGGGCAAAAGTGCTCCACGTACTGAGGTCGGCGCGACGCATATCCTTTTTCGAGGCCATGGCGAGGGGCGGTGGAGGGAGTGCAGAAAGATTGACCACGGTGGAGCCAATGGGGCGAAGAAAAGGGCGTGATGGGGTGATGGTGCTGAGGTCGTGTCAATACGAAGCGTACTGTAGTAGCTGCTAAGCAGCTAAAGGTGGCCGCCCGGGGGGAATTATCCATGCGCCGCTGAGTTACCGGAATATCGGGACCTTTGCCTGCGCGGTCCGCTGTTCGCTCGCTCCTCGGGCAGGGCAAGATAACTAATAACTAATAACTAACCTACCTCAGACCTCACTACCTACTCTGCTTCCCTACCTCTTGCTGAGCAACACATTAGCCCGCCCTGCGACCCTCGTGTGTTGCTCGCACATGCCGTCACCAACCGACTCTCTACGCGCTCCGCCCTAGACACCCTGCCGCCCTCCCTTCCATCGCTCGTCTCCGCATAACACGACAATGAATCCGCTCTCGGTGCGATGACTTCTCGACCTGGCCCGGGGATTCACGAATCTCTGCAGTCTCGTGGCAGCGGACTGCCTCCTCGGACCCAGGCCCGCCGCCCTCCCTCGAAGCCCGCCAGCACTCTCATTCAGCCCGACTGCATAGATCCCACCCTCGAGGACGAACGACCTCCCGTACATAATAATGCCGCAACCGAGCCTGCTACCAGACCACCGCCAAAGGGCAGGCCGCAGGTCTTCTTCACAACTTCCACCAGCAATGCCATCGACCTGCCTATCCACGCCTTCCCTTATCAGCCCACCGCGAATCTACCCGCACCCCCGCGGCCTGGCTCCGTCCACCAAAGGGATGCTTCACAGCAGCCCCGCATAATACCTGGGGGAATAGGTGTCAAAGATGCCCCAAAACTCACCGCGCCTGAGGTGGTACCTCCGCCTGTGCATTTCCCCGGGGGAAAGGCGGCGGATCTTTCCCCGTGGGCGGGCAATAGTTCCGAGGATACGCTGTCGGAAGCATTGGTCAAGGCTGGCATCAGTAACAAGCCACAGATTATGAACGAGACAAACACGGCTCGTCCTTCCCTGTGGTCCAACCTGAAGAACAAGTCGGGCATCTCAACATTGTCGACGCTGTTCGTTGCCGTCTTGGAGAAGAGGCAGCAGAGTGGCCGACTTCAGATTCCGAACACCTTCAAACCTCCCCCACGATTGACACTGCGAGATTCCACCCGAGAGCAGTGGCTGCATGACTTGGCGAACCCTACGATAAGCCTCCGCAGGCTGAGTCGCACCATACCCCACGGCCTTACAGGCAAAGTCCTACTGGACCAATGTCTCAACAAGAACATCCCTCTCCCCAGAGCGTTGTGGCTGGCCAAGTGTGTGGGCATCAACGAACTGCGTGCGCATAAGCGGAAAGGTCAGGCAGGCACGGTCACCTGGGGCAGAGGCTGGACCAGCTCTGTGGAGCAATTCCTAGACGGTGTGATTGGCAGCATAGGACAAGGCGACTGGAAGCCCCGGATCACCTATGCACTTCAACTCGCTACCCATCTGTATAAAGAGCATCTTCTTGATGACGATCATTTCCTTGACTGGATAGTCAATGGCTTGGATACATGTCCGTCTGAGCGACTGTTCGTTTGGCTGTTAGTAGCCTCTGTCCCGCACTTTTGGAAAGACATCACCTGCTGTCGTCGTCGTGGCAAGCGCTTAGCAGAGTCGCTATTGAACCAGCTTGATAAGATATATCGACTCGAAGACCAGGCCCCTTACTCCGCTGTGTTGCAATATTTGGAGAACGTCGTGGTCAAACTCCTAGCGACCCGACCAGCTTGTTTACTCCTCCCTTCAACCTGGACTAGGCAGGGTGCTCTTCTCCAAACCCTTGCAGAAAAACGGAACCATCCCCAGCTTATGCAAGCAGTTAAGAGGCTCGAGGAGAGAAATAGACGGCTACTGGACTCTTCCAAGGACGTTGCTTTTGCCTCGAAAACCCCCGCCGGCCAAATCTATCGCATATTGGACTCCGTAAACTACAACTCCCCTGTTCGTATTGAAGAGCTGTCCTACGAATGCATGGACGTCATTTCGGATGCAACACAACTTATCGCTATTCTTTTACAGTGGGCATGTTCACCATACCGTGGAGGGCCGCATAGAACCTATCTGGCAATCCGGTTACTGCGTAGGTGGAGTCATCTTGGTGCAGACGTGTATGACAGTGTCATTTCGTATCTTCGCGATATGAGTTGGGTTGGGCACAGCGAGCCAAACACTATCTATAAGATCGTCGCTGAGCTGGTACGTTCGAAGACGTTCGCAGCCGGCCGCTATCTCCAGTGGCTTATTGCTACTGGCTCACTGGGACACGACACAGATCTCTCATCGCATACGTCTTGGCCATTACGTCTCATCACCGAGATACCGCTTACCGGACTTCCAGACCAGATACGTACCTTACGAAGCACTCTTCTGCGAGGAACTACGCATTCCGCGGAACTAGAAGAACAGACCCTCCAGCACGCTCAGTATATGATCTCTCAGTCATTACCTTCTTTGTTCGGTCTATACAATACAACAAGAACAGTACCGGAAATCAAGTCTGAGAGGCTCAGTGCAACAGTCAAGTTCGAGCTGGGTATTTGGCTGCGGACACAAGTTGCCCAATTTGCGGAGGTCAACGAGCAGTCAGTCAATCGTCCTCGAGTATCCTATCTTTTAGCTAATATGACGCAGCGTTCCTACTAAAGACCTTTCCGTAGAAGAGACTGCTGCGGTGTCCTTGCTAACACCCCAAGATTTTCATGTCATCCGCTCCTATCTTGAGCGCTTTGGGGATTTGGCCATACTCGCCGACGTCATTGGCATCGCGAGTTCGTCTTTGGACCCCATCCTACTCGCCTCCGCCGCGGATACGATCCATTTTCACATGAAGACTTTTCGTGCTATAGGCGCCTTTGACCCCCTGTTTGGGAGAATTGCAGCAAGATACGCGGCTATCAGGACGATGCGGTTCCCCGACCGAGAGCTGCTCCTCAGCCTCTCCAACCTCGCCCGCGTGGCCCAAGCAGATGGCCAGCTTCAGCATCTTTTGAGCTACGACATCAGCCGACTTGACCAAAGAAATTCAATTGCGGCCTGTTCGCCGGCCTCTGACAACATGGGCGAAGTTTTGCAGCACACGGCGTCATACTCCGACGATGAAATAGAGCGCATATTATCCAGTGGTAATAGCATGGACCAGCAAATGATGGCTAGGGTCCTTCGCAAGATCATCAGCAACCTAGGATCACACGCAGCTAAGGGCCATCTGAATTATGACAGCTACTCAGTCTGGTTCCATCGTCTACGCAGCTTTGACGAGCCAACATTCGAACTCGTTGTAAACCAGTGGCTGGGTACATGCTGTAATGGTCACCAAACAAACGTCTTACGAGTTGCCCTACCCACATTGGTTGGTTCGGGCTGTATGGCTCTTACTTCTTTACTAGATACCTTGCGAGCTTGTGTTGCACAGCTCAAGAGCAGTCCATCTGAGGGTATCTTCCAGACCGCCTTGGATGGTCTACATACTCTGTTGCCTCCTCCAGAGCTAGCCGGGTTTTCTACACCACAAGATGCATATCGATACCGCTTAGAGCAGCATAAACTATGCCAGGAAACAGGTCATCGCATCGCTCACTATATTGGCGAGGTAATCGACTATGGTTCGACAGTTCCTTCGCCAAAAGCTCGGGAACAGCTGTCAAGCTTGATAACCAACAACTCTGTGCTACATATCATGAGGAATTGTGTTGTTTCGGATCCTGGATGCTTGTTCAAATCCAATCGAGAAGCACCAAGCCCATATTTCAAGCATTTACTTGACACCCTCTTGGATCCTGATGGTCGTTTGCGTAAGTACCATCCTCCGCCATATCTTCAGGCATGTTACTAATGGCATGTAGGCCTAGCAGAACAGAGTCCCGAGCAGCAGATACTCACGGTTTTTGGAACTGCTAGCGAACTATCGCTACCAATATGTCAAGCAGTCATCGAATACATCTTCTCGTCAGGCGCAGCAATGTCTGGAGACTCGGCCGATGCACTCTCTGCCGCCCTACTAAGTGCTGTCAAGAAGGCGGTAGAGGAAGGGCAATCGGCAGGTCTTGAGCTTCTTGCCACCCTGGACGCTGGACTCACCGATAAGGTAAGAGTTCGTTGTTAGCACATGAATGGAGGAGGACTGACTTTCACAGATCCGCCAACACGCTGAGCGTGAGATCATCACTGCGTCTGCCTTCTTCGCCTTGCCTCCAGGCGTTAAAGCGGAAGAACTCGAGCCTACCTCGGCAGCATTGGTTCAGAAATACTTGGCGGTCATTGATCTAACCTCAAGTAAGCGTATAGAGACGACTGAACAGTCTGGGATACTTCTCGCATTGATAGAACGGTTCAAGGGTATATCACTAGCCCTCAACGATCACGATTCTTGCGATTATCGTCCTGAGAGAGCGAGCAACTTGTCGGTTCTGGAACTGTATACTTGGTAAGACCTCCATCAGCAATTACAACGCCCATGACTAATAAATGAAGGTTAAACGCACTACTTCGCCTTGCAGTAACTCATTGCCTAGCGATGTTGCGCAATGCCACGCATGCACACCAGACCGCCCTGATGGCTACGATGAACGGTCTCGTTAGCCATCCCACTCTGGAATTCTACACTTCGATCTCGGAACACATATTCGATGTGGCAGTCTCCCTGTCCGATCATATCTCCGACGACGTTCGAAGCCATGTCACTCGCCTCAGCAGTGTCAGGGTGACAGACGATCCACGTTGTCTCTTCATCTTGGGCGCCACAGCCCTTGTCGACGGATGGCTTGTTCTGACGAAACCCGTCAACCCTCCTTTGACCCAACCCACTTCTCAACCACCCACTCCGGGGGCTACTCAGAGTCAGCCATCGCCATATCAGAGTCCGCAATTGTCTGCCACTGGTGCTGCAACACCTCAACAACGATACCAACAACAGCGTCAGCAGCAGATGCAAGCGCAGCAAATGCGAAATTACCCACAATACTCCCCCCAACCCGCTCAACAAAACAAGATGCTGCCCGCGCAACTCCAACGAACCCCTTCAAACCACGCGTCTCCTTCTCCACTTCAACAACTACAGCATATGCAGCAAATGCAAGGTCTTGCACAACAACGTGCAACTCAGCCTTCGCCCGTTTACTCTCAACGTCCCACTCCTGCAGCGAGTCAGGGCCAAGCGAGTGCGTCGACGGGACCTGGCAAGCTGCAGATTAGGCAAGAGAAGGAGATGCGACAGTATCCCTTTGTACAGCCTAGATGGGAGATTCTGGCCGAAAGCTCGGGAAACCCAACTTTGAATGAAACAGCCATTAGCCTGAGCCTCTTCGAAGCTCGGAGAGTCTGAGTGTGAGCGTGAGTGAGTGGGGCCTGCTGCCGCATTCACACGTCGCTCAATTTCAACCCCTTCTCATCCCCTCCTTCCTTTTTTTCTTCTATATCTACCCATTATTGTCATGTCCTGTTGTTGTTTCCACGGGGGCTCCATGCATAAAGCAAGCGGCGGCGTTATTCTCTCTCTCTCTCTCTTATCTTTATCTTTACCTGGGTTTTACTGCTATGATCATGAAACGTGTCAGACATTGCATTACAAACGGTGTTCTTTGGGGTTTTTGGTGCATGCTCGCTTGCATTTGGTAGCACTGTTTTGTTTGTTTCGTTATGTGAGTGGGATTATAGGTAGCGAGCGGGGCTTTCAACATCAGAGGGATATAGTATCGTGTTGCGTTGTGTGTTGTGTATGGGTTGGGGGGTGACTGGGCGGCGTAGTGCATAGTATAACCTTAAGCGTTGAAATATCTAGTAAGTAGTATAGTGGTAAATAAATAAAGTTTGAATCATTCACTTTGGCCTGGCTTGCTGAATGTTGTGCCAAACCCTAACGTATGCTGCAGAACTATGCTGCAGGAATGCTTTTTGACTTGTGAAATGACATGGCTTAGTCTAACAGGATTCAGGTAGAATCATCACACGTCAAAGCACATTACGGATTTGTGTAAGATAAAACGTCAAAGTAGACCTCTGGCTATTATACATGCTTTCGCAAGTCTAAATCAGGTGGCTGGGAAAGTTGGCCCTACAAGCCTCCCTTATCCTGGGATCAATGCAAGCCCCATCAACGGACGTCCTCCCGCGCCAAGTCCAAAATTTGATAGTACAGAAAAGCACCCCTCATCTTCCTCTTGCAAGCCTTCAATCATCGTCGTTGGGATTAGTGTCCGACTCATAATCGAAATCGCCTGGGGTCGAGGCCTCATCCTCACCCTCGTCCACCATGTTGTCGCTGACTGCTGCAGCGTCTGTGACCGATACTCCATCAGGTGCGTGATCGCCCGAGGAGCCTGCTGCGCCTGGCGTCGGAGCAGGTGCTGCTTTCTTGACCTTGAGCTCAAGGAGAGTCTTTGGTTCTGAAGGCCTGGTGTCTGTGAGAAGGATCACACCAAGCGTTGGCTATTGATGCATTAGTTGATGCACTTGAGTAGTTATGTGAGCTGAGTACTGACCTTCTTCACTGGAACATATCGCTCTGAAGGGAAACTGATGTACTTCACTTGAGGTGGAAGTACTCGCGACATGTTCTCCAGCTCGTAGCCAACCTTCTCCTTCTCTGCCTTTTTCTTCGAGGACTCTGTTGATTGCGCGCCATCGCTCTTCTCGGCATCGTCTTTCTTAGCATCCTCGTCGATATCCATCTTATCGTCGTCTGCGCTAGGTTTGGGTGTGGTAGGAGTTTGATCGACGTCCATGCTCTCTCGCCGGCGCTGTCGCTCCTTGACCATCCGTCGCCGCTTGTCCTGGGCTGTTGTTGAAAGCACTGCAGTCTTGATCTTCTCTGGCGCTTCTTCCGTCTTGACTTCTGCTTCTGGCGGGTAGTCAAACATACTAGGGCGAGTGTTGCTGAAGAATTTGAATGAAGGAATCTCCAACTCTTGGTCGACACCAATGACGGCAGTAGGGGTGAAGCTTAGCGACAGGAAGTGGGTCAAGGGGAACCAATACCAATATTGAGTGAAGACAGCCATACCAACGATCGCGGCCATGTTGAGGTTGCCGGTTGGCGTCTGCAATCCAATCGTGCAGTTCCGTCCGCCGGCGTCGATTATACCAAGCGCCAGAGCGCAGCCAAACTTCGCCATAGCATCTTCATGGCGATCACTGATGACTTTGGTAAGCTGCTTCCTAATCGCCACAACCTTGGGGTTCATAGCTTCGTTCTGCTGTGCCATAATCATGGCAAGCGCAATCAAAGCACCTTGTCGGACAAAGTCGGTCGAATCCTTCATCATTGGCTCTAGTAGGTCAACTGCCTCGGGAAGACCAGTGCCTGCGCAGGCAATTCCAAGAGCCATGGTCGCTCCGTATCGGACGTGTGGGTTATAGGATTCCGCAAGAAGCTCAACCATTCGAGGCACGCTGCCTGGCTTCCTGAAAAGGACGAAGCCCAAGCTCATGACCGCTACTCGTCGCACGTCGTCACTTACATCGCTGACAGCGACGTGTAGTAGCCTCCTCACGGCCTTGTTGCTGCCTGTGCCACAGTACGCCAATGCAATGGTCATGATGCCTCCGTAGCGCAGGGTCGGGTCCGCATCATCGAGCAGGCCGTTGATGAGCTCATCAGCAGCTTCTTGTCGGGCATACATGATGAGCGCCATACCCATGGCGAGACCTCGGACAATCTTCTCGTGCTGTGTATCGTGCGCATACTGGATCATGTCTTCGAGGGCCTTGATGTTACCAGTTCCCAGCATGACGAGACCCATTGACAGTCCGACAGCCTCACCATTGATAGCGGAGTCCGTGTACAAGACGCTCTTGAAAGCATCAAAGATCTCCTCGGATCCGGTTGCCATACCAGCAACACCGAGACCGAGCGCACCGCCGTGCTGAATGACCTCCTCGGAAGCGTTTTGGAACTGCTTGAGAAGATAGTCAAGCACATTGCTTCCATGGTTGGCGTAGATCAACCCCAGAGCGTAAAGCGATCCACCTTGCTCATAGTGAGAACCAGACGAGACAGTGTCCTTGGGCAGATATGGCTCAAGCAGCTTCTGCCCCTGCGTGATGTTGCCGCGGTGGATGACACCCAATGCAGCAGTTGCAGTAAACTTGGACCAGTTCACGGCCTTGCCTAACCAGTCCAAGTTCTCTCGAAAGAAAGTGTCGTTAGTCGTGCCGGCATTCATGAAAGCATTCGCGAATGTGACACTGGAATGGAAAATCGAGTTTCTTGCCTCCAGACTGTCACGGATTTTGTTCAAGACGGCCTTGTCGGTGTGGTTGTTCCTGTACAAGAACTCAAGGTTCAGTTCGATGCTCTTCGTTCCTCGGAGAATGTAGCGGACGGAGCTGAAGGCCTTGTGGTGTTCATCCGCCAATGACTTTTCCTTGGAGCGAGATACCACAGTCGATACGTTGCTATTGTCCACATTTGCGAGCAATGAGTCTGACTCGCCCGCATCCTCCTCTCTTGGCTTGTGTGACGCATCTCCATTGGCTGTGGGTTTCGCCTCGTCGTCCTGGTCAGTCTCGGGCAGCTCTTCCATGACCTTGGTAAGGAACTCTTGGGTACCGTTCTCGTAGAGGTCGAATGAAATTTGGTAGGCGACTGCACGCGACTTGTCATCGCCTCGCTCTATAAGCTGTTGGATGAGTTTCGAGGCTAGAGAGTGCTGGTTGAGATAAACCACACACTTGGCGATGGAGAAGTAGTCTGGGTTGGGAATTTCGTTGTCGTTGAGGAGATCTAGAATAAGACGGAGAATCTAGTAGCAGAGTTAGTTGTCTTCACTCTTTTTGCAGTGTTCAAGTGTGAAATAGTATCCTTACCTCATTTCTAAAGCCCCGCTCCTGCACAACATTCATGCAGATATCGAGAACGTACTCTATCAGCTCCTCGCTCTCAGAAGGCGAGTCCGATGCAGGCTTCTTGCCCTTCTTCTTCTCATTCTGGCTCGCGCGAATGATGGAGTCCCTCAGAACGTCTAGATTCCGCGCCTCGATGGCGATTCCGACTACTTGCTTGTAGTTGCCGCTCTCGTAACAGCTCTCGAATATCCGCCGGACGGTGCTCTGGAGACTCTTCTGGACGTTCCTCTGTAGTACCATCGGAGTAGGATGTGCTCCAGGTACACCGGCATTGCCACCTCCAGGCACTGTGGGATCGAATGTTGACGAGTCTTCGCGAGATAGGAGCGACTTTGAGGGCAATGCGGACTGCGAGAAGGGTGTAATCGGCGACGCCAGGCTAGCTGAGGTACTGGCTGCACCGGCTGAGTTTGCGGGGAATGATGTGCTGAGCTGTAGAGGTGCCTGGCTCGCTTTGCTCACGGGGGTCGGCGGGTTGTGCATGGCTGACAGGGCGATGTACGTGTCTAGGCATTTTGCTAGAAGAAGCTGGTTAGCCGTTGATTCATTCAAAGTGATAGATAAGCCCAATTTTGGTCCCTAGTCACAGCCAGATCGCGAGCAAGAACCGCAATCTCGAGTGTTTGTTGTGTCTTACCTAGTATCGTCTCCTCGAACTCGGCGGCCTTGTGGATGTCGAATAGCTTGCCTGCACCCAGCGCAAAGACCATGCTCTCGTTGTACTCTTGCAACTGATAGTACACCTTCGCCGCGACAAGGGCGGCGAGCTCTCGCTGCGGGAACGACTCGTCTTCATAGAGAGCCTCACTATGACGCATCCAGGTCAGCAGCTGAAACTCGCGAATGGCAAGATAGAGAGAGTCTTCAACAGCTCGGAGAAAGTACTTACATCTGACTGACTGAGCCAGCAACCTCTGGCCATAGTAGATCGATCTCCTCGTTTAACCGCTGGAGGGCGAAGGAGCGCAAGGCGGGATCAGGCTCGGAGAGATAGCCAACGACGCCGGCAGCAGAGGTGAGGCCGACCATCGTGGTAGAGGTATCGGGAACTGTGTGTATGCCGGTGCAGCTGAGAGATAGCTCGCGATGGTGGCGGGGAAGGGAGCTGTTGCGGAAGTTGGTGGAAGGATATGGAGCTGTGCTGTGGCGCCTACGGGCTTGTTGCGTTCAAAGGAGGTTTGGGCCCGTGCAGTACGGAATACTACAGTTATAGCCGCAGTGAAAGAAGGACGAGAAGGGGAGGCGGCGTTGGTGATGGAGATGGCGTGGCGCCGGAGTGGTGGTTTCGGGGATGCGTGTACGTGATGCCAAACAGAGCTCGTGAGTTTCGGAAGCGGCGACCCTGGTCGGTTTGGGCATGACATAATACTACGCTACCGCCTATGCATCCCTACACGTTAAGCTCCACAACTTCTGCCTATCACTCTAATAATACCTGAATAATATTATGCTGAGGTATTCGGTAGATATTAGATGAACTGTGCCAGAACTGGCGTCACAATATGATCATGTAATTCTGATTAATGTGCAGCTCAGAGGGGTATCTTCATTTCGAAAGCAGCTAACTCCGCGATATGCTGCTAAGCCCAGTACCGATAGTCCATCCTAATCCTGTTTGAACGCCAAAGATGACAAGACAGTGTAGTAATACAATAATGCAATCACGACTTCCCCCCGCCCTTATTAATCTCTTCAAGTACCCGGTGCCGGTGGAGTAATCTCACGCGACAGAACCCTTAGGTTGTTCATCATGCCCGTGATCAAGCCTTCGAAGCTGTTTCCCGCCTTCTGCCTCACCTTGTCAGCGTTGTCTATCAGCACGCCGGCATCAAGCTCCAGCTCTAGCTCATGGTTCCTATTTTGTCCCTGCGTCACCTGCGTCAAGTCGACTTGGTATGCGCCCAGCCATGAGTATGATATGCGATCTTTGTGACGCTGCATGCTCTCCGGCGTTTTTCCCGGCTCGACAGCGGGTTGCAGATTCTCGATCGGTCCGGGAAAGTCGATTTCAAGATTTATGCCGATGCGGTAGTCCCACTCAGTCTGCGGAGAGCTGATTTCCAAGTTCCCTATGCGGTGCTTGATGATGGCCCGGAGGAGGTTACCAGTCTTTGCGTCCTTGGTTACTCGGATTCGTTGGCGGGTACCCGACTGGTTGATCAGGCGCTGTACGATCGGGTTCAACGACAGGAAGCCTTGTTGGTCAAGCTCGTAGAAGATGTCGACTTCCTTCGTATGCTGGTATTCGACCGAAGCGCGCGAAGCCCCAGGCGCCTTTGCCTTTTGAACTTGGCCGTTGAGGTACATGTTCATGCGCTTGTGCTGCTCAATCGTCATGGTGCTTTCAAACTTGACCTCCATATTGTCCGTCTTGATGACGCACTCGCTGTCGTGGTAGCCACGAAAACGCTGGTCGCTGCGCCTGTCTATGATATGGCCCCAGCGTGCTTCAACCTCCAGTTGTGTCAGGGGGTCCGCGATCGCATTTCGCACAAGCTCGTTGTTGACGGCCGTGACCCATATGAAGTCGCATACTTTGCGCGAGACGTCGTCGTAGACATGTGCATCGTCGGAAATAGGTCGCTCAAAGCCGGCGAGCCCGGTCGCGATAACTGGTTCAGAAGGCCCATCGATCGCACTGGGAGGAGCCCCGTTTCGTTGGACTATTGGCGAGCCATGCGGTTGAGGTTGAGGTTGAGGTTGGGTTGCGGGTGGAGGTGCAAGACGCGGCTGTTGGCGCTGCTCTTCTTGTTGCTTAAGCTCTGGTGGAAGTTCTTCGCCCTCTCGATACGCCCATATAGGCTTCGGGTCGTGGCGCTTGCGTTTGAGTGGTGGCATCGGCTTATGGGTTGGCTTCGGCGGCGTCGAGATGCTCGCTGCGGAAGGAATAGGTGCAGAGAGGGAATGGGGATTTGAGAGCGAGCGGCGCGGTGGCACCGCTGCCTCTGTGTCGTGATTCACTAGCGCCGATATATCCATGTTGGGCGATGGTATGATTGTGTCTCCATCCATAATCATCGTGTACTCTACTCGGTGCTCCAGCAACGCCAAGACGCTAACCATAGGTTGCAGTTGTCAACCGTCTTTGTCCAGAGCGCCTTCGAGTTACCAAGGACTCTTTGGAAAAGATGATGACAAGGAAGTCACCAAGGAAGGCAATGCATATTTCATTATTCGCTTTCATTTCGCTAGTGCATACACCAAATCTCCCAGATGTACGCCAAACAGCCGTTACTATACGAGTCATGCTCGCCGAATTATTTGCAGCGCTTTCTCCACCTAATATCAAAGGATCCGAAGTCTATGCGCTACGTCTCTACGCCAACACTACCTTCAAGCTTCCTGATCCAGACCGAGGTCATCCGTCGCTGGAACAATGCGGAGCGTGTTGGTATGGCCCATTCCTCCTCTCCAGCCCTGCACACAGATCACGGGGTCGCCCTTGGTGAGAACGCCGAGCTTAATTGCGTTCATAATTCCCCACTTCAGACGACGATCGACATCCTCCTGCCATGGCTCGGTCTTGAAGTCTGGCTTCTCTTCGGGGAAGTAGAATGGGTATACGCCGCGGTACAAGTGAGAGTACTGCGACTGTTAGCTGGGGAAATGCAAGAAGTAGTAAGAACTTACGCGAGCGGCCATTTCGTTACGGGTGACCATGATGATTGGGCATACGGGGCGATACTTGGAGACTAGACGGGCGGTAGTACCACTAATGCATGTTAGAATCACAATTACATTGTACAGGACTGTGACAGCTTGAGCTTACCTGGTAGTCAGAACCAAAATGGCACCAGCGTTCTGCTCCAGACTGGCGCTGACGGCTGCCATGGCGCAAGTCTCGGTGGTAGGGCAAGGCACGGGTGCCAGCTTCCTCAGCTCGTCAAAGGCGTTGACATACGGAATAGCAACCTCGGCGAGCAAGCACGTCTCGTGCATCATGGTGACAGCCTCAACGGGATAGTCACCCTTGGCGGTCTCGCCAGACAACATGACGCAGTCGGCGCCATCGAGAACGGCATTACCGACGTCGCTGACTTCGGCACGGGTTGGGCGCGGGTTGTAGGTCATGGACTCGAGCATCTGGGTTGCGCAAATGACGGGCTTGCCGGCAATGTTGCACTTGGTGATCATCATCTTCTGTGCGATGAAGACCTGGCTAGGCGGGATCTCGATACCAAGGTCACCACGAGCGACCATGACACCATCTGTCTCCCTCAGGATCTCGTCAAAGTTGTTCACACCTTGCTGGTTCTCGACCTTGGCAATGATCTGGATATCCTTGCCCTCTTCGCCGAGGACCTCGCGGATTGCAGTGATGTCGCTACCACGGCGGATGAATGAAGCAAAGACCATGTCGACCTTGTTCTTGACGCCGAACCTCAGATCAGCCTTGTCCTTCTCGGATAGCGGGGGGAGATCAATATCCGTCTTGGGGAGGTTGACGCCCTTCTTGGAAGAGATCTTGCCGTTGTTGACGCACTTGCACTTGAGCGTCTTCTCGTCGACGATCTCGAGGACCTCGAATGATAGGACACCGTCATCGACGTAGATTGTGCGGCCAGCCTCGATCACCTTGGTGATGTTCTTGTAGTCGACGTACATGTTCTTGTCGTCGCTCGCAGTAGCATACTGCTCATCCGTGGTGATGTTCATGACAGTGCCGGCCTTGATGGGGATATCCGCATCACCCACTGTGTTACCTGTTCGGATTTCCGGTCCCTTGGTATCGAGGGCAATGGCCAAAGGCCTGCCGGGTTGCGTCCGCTCAGCCTCGCGCGCATGGTCGACAACGGACTGGTGGTACTCGTAGGAGCCGTGGGAGAAGTTCATGCGAACGACGTTCAGACCCACCCTGCGCAGAGCGTTCATCTTCTCAGCAGAGTTTGTCTTGGGGCCGATGGTGCCGATGATGGAGGTTCTGCGGTACTCCTTGGCGGGGTGGTACTCGGTGTTGAGCTGGCTGAGCCATTCGATCCTGGTCCTGCCAGCGTTGAGGTGGTCTAGTCTACAGTTGACTTGTCAGTATGCGCTTGGGTAATGCGGACAATTGATACAGCTGTAGTCGTTGAGAGGCTTTCCGGTGAGTCCGCCCCCAGCCGACTGGCGTAGCTGGTGATGCTGCTGCTATTGATATGGATGCTATACGTACGCATTCGCCATTGTTGCGGATGGCTATTGGATGTGGTGTTGAGGAGGTTGTGAAGTGGGAGCTGGAAGAGCGATGGCGGGTCGCGGGGCCGGTCGCTGGAGTTGTGTGAGAAAGTTCACAATTGCTTTTGGTGGCAACTAAAGCAGGTGAGGGTAATGAGGCGGGCGTGATTCGATTTCTGGGGCGCGCGGGAGGTTTTTGTGCTTCTCTTCGAAGGCGGCAAGTTCTGTTGGCGTGTTGAGAGCTTCGTCGGAGGGGTAGACGCGCTAGTAGGGCTGATTAGTACGTGGGGCTTTTTTTGCACTCTGAGCGGCGGCCGTTTGGATAGAATGATGGAAGAGAAAATCTTTGTACGCAAAGAGAATCTGCAAATTAGTCGTAAGATGTTTTTTGGCATGCGCCGACGGGACAGTGTACTAAGACAGCTGACGGGATGAATGTCGAGGAGAGCCTATGACGGGCGGGTTCATGTTCATGACACCTCCTCATTGCTTCTTTGCTCCTCCCACGTTGTTGCATCATTTGCACCCACCCACCCAAGCATCCTACGCAGATAAGCTTCTACTCCCAAACGCAGCGGGTTTCCTCCCAAACAGTTAGAAAACTCCACCGCCGCAACTCGCCCTGGCGCAGTGGCCTAGCGCGCGTCCTTCTGTTACTGCGCGGCCGGCTGAGGGCGTAGCATGACTTGCAGTGGGTCACTCACCACTACCCGCGCGGAGGTGTCGTGTTCTGGACGGTTTCATGGGGTCAAGGTCATGAGCAAGCCGAATGATCGCAGCGAGGTAGGCCCTCTTATATACCAAGGCACTTAGAAGATCCGCTCCTAAATGACCCGCATCCGCATCCCGCCTGCCCGTGGGTCGAGCTGGTGCCCGAGGATGAAGAAAGGCGTCTAAACTTCGGTCGTGAGGACAGTGCAGCGGCCCGAACTAACCACTGTACAGCTGCTGCGACGACTCGAAATAGTGACAACTACCAGATATCGAACAAGCTTGGTGACTCTCAGAAAGCTTCCTACGAAGAGAAGAAGCCTTTGAATTTTTAATATAGACTCGAAAGGCATCCTGTTACCGACTTTATGCCAACGCAGGAGCCACCATCACATGCATGTTTGACTAAGGAAAAGGCACCAGCCACACGTCTTACCACTACTACCTGCCATCGTACCTTTCGCCCCAACAACAGCTCGAATACCCCCCGTTACTCACAATACCCACAAACCGCGCCGTCAAATCTATCCCTGAAGCTCCAAGTCGTCGGCCACTCGTTTTACAGCAAGAGATACTCCCACCATGGTTGTACGTTTCCCTCACCGCCACGAATAGCTGCAAGGTCGCATGCACAAAGGCTCACACTCTTCACAGCTCGGCAGGGTTGCACACTACGCCTTCGACGCGGTACTACGTACGCCTTGGCCATTCCACTCTTCATCCTAGCTGTCAACTAACAGTAGTCCAGTCTCCGCCTTCCTCGCTGGCGTAAGACGCTCCACGGGCCTCACGTATGTCTCCCACACGCAAATCACACCATGAACATCCCACGACATCGACTCCTCTCTGTTCTTTAGACAGCCTAGGCTAACGTATCCCCGCTCTCCGCGGCAGACCCAGTGTAAAGCCAGATCAGTTCAGCGAAACACCAAACGTCAAGAAATGGATCGATAACTACCTCTGGGTCGGCGAGACCGTCATGGATCAGAGTGTCGCCTTCTTCGCCGCGAGTTCGTACTTTGAGAGGAAGCGGTAGACCCGCGCTCGCAAAGCATACTGGAGCAGGACGGATGCACAAAGGGCATGGCGCACAAGCGTCCGATAGGGCGAGATGGCGACACGATACATGCAGAAAGATTGCGAGGCTTCGGATAGGAAGATGCCATGATGTGTATATTGCGGGGAAAAGTCTGGATACAGCACGACGAGCATGAGTTTCACGGGTTATTGTTTCTTCACACTATTAGCAGAGAGCAGGTGTTGGGGCGCCATGTTAAGCCTCCGGGTCATTAGAATGCATTACGTTAACGTTTGAGAAGCAGAAGTCTACGTGAGTATAGTTTGAGAATAGCTAAATCTGACATGCCATAGTACCATCTGCACAAGAGAGACATGATGCGATAAGTCCCTTATCCCCTTCGCCTGAACCTGAAACCAGTCTCTTCCTCATCACTGTCGTCGTCCCTCTTGCTAACCCTACCACGCTTGCTCGCAGGCTGACTCGCCGCAGTACCGCTAGAGCCTCTCTTCTTTCCCCTCTGCGTCTGCGTTTGCGGATCATCCACCTGCGTCTCCACAACCCTCTGTGTCCTACCACTACTTCTCTGCGTCCTCGCACTTTCGACCGGATCCTCCTCATCGCCAGGTCCACTATCTTCCACATTGATGACCTCCGTCTGTGTCGTCCTCTTACGCCTCGTGAAGCCGGGTTCCGGCTCTGACGAATCGTCGACTTCTTTCCGTCTGCTATCGCGTGACCTCGATGAGGGCTCAACGTCTTCGAGGAAGAAAGCATCGCCAACGCCGAATCCTTTCTTCGGCGGCGCTTCTTCAAGCGTAACGATGACTTTATGCGCTTGGACGCCGTGCTCTGCGCCCCGCCGGCGGAATTTCTTGAAGTTCTTGCGGCCATTCCATTCTGCGTTCCAGCGCTCGCCATGAGCCTGGCTCTGGCCACGTACCATTCCCCTGTCCTCACGTGGAAGGACGTCCATCTCCTCAACTTGCGCCAGGTTCTTCATTTCAGCAATGTCGATACCTTCGACTGCTTCTCGCAAGCTCTGTTCATCTGCTTTCCGACGATCTTCTTCCTCCTTGATGCGGAGGCGTGTGTGCTCGCGGACATTGATATCCTTGTTGTCCGCTATTGCTTTGGCTCGCTGGAGCTTCTCAAATGCTTCTTTACCTCTACTTTTGGGTTTTTGATCATGGCCACCTGCTTCTGGCTCGACAGATACCGAAGGTGCACGGGTCGCTTCTCTTTGACGCTTGAACTTTGCGGCAGTGGGAAAAAGTATGTCTAGTTGCTCTTCTTTCTCTACGCTGTCATGGACTGGCGATGGCGGGGCGAATCGTGTCTGTGTTTGTGTACCTGGTGCATTGCGCGCTTGTGAGGCTGCTACTGATACTACGGACTCCTGCACATCTTCCATTTGTGTGTCTTCGACCTTCTTCTTCTTCGGGGGCGGCTCGTAGTCATCAAATCCAGTAAAACGACTCGTCTTCGGGCGATGTATGCGCTTTCGCGAGTTGATCCTCGCGGGCTCTTCTGCAGGTGGTGCGCTCTCTTCGGGAGCTTGTGAAGGAACTCTAGGTTGAGACATTGGAGTTAAGTCGCGCGCGGAACGTCGAGTTGATACTGGCTGTGGTGCAGAGGATGCAATATCAATCACTTCCGCAGGTGGTCTTTGGAGTGAACCTCGATCTTTCGTGATGATCACATCAAGGAATTCGTTCTGCAGAATCGATCGCTGGTTCAGTGCTTGATCGACACCAGTAACGAAAGCTGCTGCCCATTCTTCCATGGCATCAGGATACGTCGGCAGGCGCACCGTTACGACCGGAAGCTTGCTACTACTGGCACTGCTACGTTTCTTCTTCCCTACCACGCCATGTACAAAGTCAACGTATTCTTGGACGGTGGTTTCACCTGGTCGCACATCGTAGAGCAGTGCTTTGCCGCCTCCACCAGTGATAGGATCAAGCAAGCTACTGTATTGGCCGTCGTTCAAGAAGATAAAGGTCAGGCCTGAGAAAATTTCAGACCGTGATGAGTCTGGTTCCAGCAGCTCTTGTGGTTGCGGAACGGGCTCCGCGCTCATTGCAGGTATATACTCCTTCTCTTTCGGCCACCAAGTATCAAAATCCTCTTCCAGCTGTGAAGGAACATAGTTCTCAGCTTCATCGACCGATGTTGTAGCGACGTTGACGATGGCGTCGAGAAATTCACCAGTCACAATGTGCTTGCCGGCTGTTAAGCCTGAGAGGACTTTCGGAAGATTTCGCTTCTGAGAGACAACATGGGTAGTCTTGTCAAACTGAAAATCGGTTGTAGTCTTGATATCCAAAGCGTGTAGCTGAGCGCTGCGAGCCTTTCCTTCCCTAGTTTCTTTAGAAGCGTATGTGAAGACCACCGGCCGCCACACAATTTTAAACGGCGCATAACCCTGGGCCAGCCTAACTGTATGCTCAACGCCCTGTAAGGTAATTTTGTCATAGGTAATCGTCCCGTCTTCTGCCTTCCGACTCTTCAGTATGTCCTTCTCGTCGATGGTAGTTCCTTGCCGGCAGCTGAGGTCGGTAACCTCGATCTGTGACCTCGTATGAAGCTTCGTGCCTTGTTCTGGTGGTTGTTCGAGGACTCTCAGCATAACATGTTTTCGCGAGACCGCCTTGTTGTCAATCTTCCACGTCTTCCCTTCCGTGCCATCGCCGTCGCCAGACTTTGTTCGGCCGAATAGTTGCTGCGATCCTGGCCGCAGCCATACACGCTTACCTCCGAAGAGGCTCTCGTGCTCCAGGAACCACATGGCGTGTGTGAGGGGCGAGCGTGTATTCGGGTTGGGGGAAGGCTATCGTGTGAAGCGCTGTAGATAATGAGAGGTCAGCATGAAAACGCGCATCATGGCATACGTATGCACTCGAACTTGGTTTGAGTACGCATTAGCTGCTTGCTGCCTTTACACATCTAGGCTGAAGTGGATGGCCCGAGCGTAGGGCTGATCGCGTTATCACGTGCACTAGCCACTTGCCCATCAGCGGTCTTCAATCACTAAAACTACAGCCTCGGTTCACGTTGTTTCAGGTCTCAAGAGGATCTATAAGATCCCAGTCACCGCGAATCATCCTCCACACTGTCTTGTGCAAATAACAGCAGGCATACAATATACAAACCAACTATCAAGTACTACTCCTAAAAATATCAACACATTCAGAAGCCACTCAAAGGATCATAAAAGTTAGTTCTAGACTTAGAGTATGTTCTAGAGGTAAGAGCTTTCAAGTCACGCGATGTAAGTACGCGATGTGGTGAGCTCTAAGAACAACAGTGGCATTCCTGAGGTTCATGTTCTACTACATTTTATTTCGTCTCGCCCTCCGTCCGGTGTTTCGAAACCTTCTATCCCGACCAGACAGCTGGGCCTGGAGGAGTATAGCTGCTTGCACCCTGCGACTCTGTCAGTATGTTGTTTACATCAAATTCGGAACAACAAACGTACAGAGTATATATTAACCTTAATACCCGGATCAGTATTCTTATACGCTCCTGGGAAGGACACTAAAGGCCCAGGTGTTCCGCTCCCACCACCTGTGATTTTGACCTGGGCGCAAGAAATGTAGAATTGCGCTCCATTTGTGTTCGAAGCCTGGTGCAGAGCGATATGTTCGACTCTTAGCAGGTAGTCCCCTGACGGTGTGTTCTTAGGGATGGTAACGCTAACAGTGCCCTTGTCTGCGCCGCATTAGCACTGAATAGTCATAGGCGAGGAACGAGAGGCACATACTCAAACTCGCCCAGCTCAACTGTCCACCACTAACCGTTGCCTTCTCTGCATAAATCTTGAACCACACGTTGCCTGTACCATCCCACGTAGCGGCCGTCTGTCCCTCGGGCACCTTTGCTAGGTAGAATTGAAGTGGTCCTGGATGGAAGATGTTTGGAGAAGCCGTGAAGCCAACACTTGAGCCCGCTGCGACGCTCTTGATTGAAGGAGCTTTGGTCCCCCCGGCGGTGTAGCAGCGTATCTGATCAGAGGTGACATCGCTGAGGCCGGCGTTGCTGTCCTTGTTCACCGTTGTGCGGACATCTTGCCACGCCTGGCTGCCGATCAGGGCGGGAAAGGTGTCTGAGTCTTGTTAGTCTTTTGGTCATTACGATTTGGGGAGTGCGAAGATGTACAATGTCGAGGCTGCAGAGCTGCAGCACTGACTGCTTTAGTAGCCAGTGCGACACCGAAAGCGACCGAAAGCTTCATTGTGCGTATTTGAAGTCAAACCTACGTCTATAACATAGAGCCAGAACACAACCTAAGATATACGAGAGTGGCCCTCCATATCGTCGTTTATATGTGACGACTTTGAAGGCACGCGCCACCTCGAGCGTGCTTTGCCATGCTTTGTGATGATAAATTGATGTTTTTACGCGGTAGTCAAAAGAATGTCTCCGTATTCCGAAAGCGGTAGTCTGATATTGGAAACAATTTGACACCCTGGCGTTCTGCGTCACGCGGAGTCCTAGCTTTCGGCAGTGAGGAACCGCCGGCTTTTCAAGGCTGCCGGTGTCGGTATCGTGCACCCTCGATTAGTTGAAGACCCTATCAAATGAGGCCGAACGTAGTATAGATTCAAACAGCAACAGATGAATGAAGAGAAGCCATGAAGACTGAGTCAGGTTCAATGGTTGGCCTAGCTCTCTTCACTTGAGGCACAAGCTAAAGACATCGAAATCGCAGATAGGTAAGGGAGGTGGCAAACGAAAGGTAGGACGGTAGCATTGTACATGACGCAAGGGACAAGTTGGAGAAGCTGGAGACTGGTGTTAGCATCCCAGGCGCAACTTTTCAGAATTATATGCAAATATGGGCTCCGGACTTCTATCGCAGTGGACGGCAAATGGTACCTCCACACGATCAAGCTATGTCGGTAACAACCGATCGTATTCGTGTCGCGTGGCCCGCTATAGATAGCAATCGACCTAAAGTGCACCGAAACTTCGATCCTAGTCATACGTTGCCTCCTTGCTCGCACAGTCCGCCGCTCTTGCAGGAACTTGCTGTCACCGTAGGATGTGCTCGTTTCTTTCGGCAGGCCTTTGAAGATACCGGGCAGCATGCTCAGCGTTTGCGATGGTCTTCACTGCTCCTTTTTCGAACGCCGTGGACTGTCGGTTTTCCTCCTGTTCTTCAGACTAGTTTGGAGGAAAAGCGGCGTAGCTTGAGCGGACGAGGTATCTACGGTGCTCCGATTTCTTGAACCGTGATAGTTTCAAGACTGATCGTCAGGTCTTTTGTGCTTTGATCCTTCTTTTCGATCTCAAGTCCTCATCTCCGTCTCATAGTCCTTGATTTCCTTGCTCAACCCTTGGACATCATCCTGAGCCATCATTTGCGCGCTGACCTCCAAATCTTGAACGACATTCTCCAATCCTCGTACTAGCGCTTCGATCTCTGCACGCTGTGCGGTGACGGTCGAAAGCAGCTCGGTATTCGACTGCTGTGTGTCAGCCAGCTTGGCGGTCATATCGGTTACTTGTTTTTCCAGGAAGGGCATCAGGTGAGCGAGGTGAATCTCGGACGGTGTGAGAGTGTGGGGTCTGTATACAGTGTATTAGCATCGTAAGTCGCACAAGCTGGCGCATCCGTGATCTACTCACGGCACAGGCGCCTCCACAGGTCCGCCATTGGCGCTTGCCTCAGCGCGCTTCTTCCTGAGCTTCGCATCCTCTATGCACTGATCTAGAGAGTTGAGTAGCCTGACAACGTTTCGCCTTTCCATGATATCCTCGAAGTTGGTCTTCCATGTCCGGTCCAATTGATCAACGATCTGCCCTCTCAAATTGTCTAGCACCTCTGGACTGTATTGCGCTGCTGTAGGAAAGCATGACGCGAAGTTATTGGAAGAGCATTTGTCCAGCGTCGCCTTCGAGGCCTGGTTAAAGACATTGATCAGACCTTGCGCGCGTGGCCCTGGCGTGTCGGCGATGGGCGGGGCAAGTGTGGGCGAAGGCGAGCGCGAAACAGGGTCTGTGGCGGCGGGCATGGTGCAAATCAATGCAATGCGTTCTCGACAATAAGAAGTTGTTAGGACCGAGGTGCCGCCAGATGTTGTGAACAGTCGTCGCATAGCATTCACTGCGTGTTTACGCGAAGAACGCGCTAAAACCACACGTGCCTCGGCAAATAGTCCCACTTCTCCTTCTGATATCCAGAATCGGATTCATGACAACACTCGCTACTATCGGTATTCAGTAGCCTTATCGCCCGCTAACTATGATATCAGAAGAACAGGAGCATGCTGGCGCGCCGTGGCTTCAAACACATTAACGTCCCTCCCTGAGTAGCGACCTGCGTGTTCACAATCAGCTTCGGAGTTGGCGTAGCGAAGTGGGCTTCCCTTCTCCCCTGCTATCCAAGACCATCACCTCACGAATGGATCTTCAGCGGGCACTTACACCTCGCTATCCTGTTCAAGAAGTGAGTAATTAGCTAACGCTGCACATATATTCCCTGTGTCAAAAATAATGAAATAAGGTGCACCTTTATCACTACTATCAAATTTACAGTAGATAACGAGGGCAACCGACGGACACAGCGAGTGCGAGAGCAGCGAGATTGCGAAAGCACTACTTGTCGTACATCTGCGCGATACGTCGCACCGACGAATACCTCAACAAGTTCCTCGGGCTAGCTAGTAGCACACAACAGGGTGGATATGTACTGGGTTATCTGATAAATAAGTAAAATTGAAGAGATGGACCCTGTTTGACTGCAGATATACCCGCGTCTCTATGCTAATGACACTATTTTCTCATGCTATCCTGTCCTTGCGTTTCAAGCCATGCTCGAAGTTTGCCTAGAGCGAATTCATCGTGATCCTGCGCTGAATGAGTGAAATCTTCATCAATCCATCCTGGTGTACCGGCAGTGATAAGCTCGCAGCCAAAAGGTTGGCAGGAACCAAAATCAATGATAAAGGGTGTATCGTGTTCGTCAACCATAATATTCATAGGCGTGAGGTCATTATGGGCTAGCTTTAGCGTGTGAATGTGGCTAACTGCTGAAGTAATCTTGCTCATGCAAGTCTCAACATCAAGAGAACGCATACCGTCCTTAAGCCGCTGCTCCAGGGTCATAGGGTGTCGGTCTAAGACGATACTAACAATGCGACCACGTCTGATTAAGCAGCCGTGATAACGGATGATGTTTGGATGCGGATTATGCTGGAGGAGTTCTAATATCTGAACTTCCTGCAAAATAAGCTTTGGTAATAGTCCTGTACCAATAAAAACTGTGTGTAGCTTTGGACCCTTTAAAAAAACGTTGCCGTTCATGGGTACGTTGCCGTTCATGGGTACGTTGCCGTTCATGGGTATCGTAGAGGTTGTGATATTCCAGGGCGCCTCAGGGTATACGTCTCCGTCAGGAAGAAGCTTTAGGCTTTCCATAATGTCCTTCGAGCTCAGATCGTACTTTCGGAGCTTGGATCGGCCAAAGTAGGCAGTGAAATCATCACTGATAAATCCGAAAGATGAGTATAAGAATATTGGATTGCCCTGTTCGTCGTCTTCCTCGGAGAACGCTTCATAAAGTGGGGATACATCTCGAATGGATTCTATTCGTAGCGCGGCTTTACTTCGACATGGTAGGGCGTAGTAGTAGCGTATGAGAGGTGTAACGAAATCGAACTAGGTAGTACCCATTGTTAACGATGCATTATAAGCTGGATGCGATCATAATACCAGGTTACTTGCAAACATCAGACGTCTCCACAAGGAATGCATCCATTTGCGCAAGCTTAGAAGCATGTGTATCTTACACAGGGGTACAAAATGGTGTCGCTTAGAGGCGCAATGAGCCTGCAGGTTGTAGATGCGCGAGGTCGCTGGTAGGGCCGTATTCGTTGCGCGAACCTGGTGTCGGCTTGTTCCGTGGAGTTGTAGCCAGCTTGCATAGGCTGGGCACAGCCACAGAAATTTTAGCCATAGTTAGTTAATTACAGTACGATGATTACGTGGTGTCCCAGCACGCAAGGAGGGACATTACTCTCTCTTTGCGTTGCCGGCAAATTTATAATCCAACATACCGCTCTCCTACACATATGTAGTATTTAAAGTATGCATGATCACTATACAAAAACAAAGGAGACAGGCTGATTAGATGAAAGACATAATAGCTTGTTGAAAGGTTGCACGCTGAGGCTGACTTAGTCAGAAAAGTAGTGGAAAACGTGGGTAAGAGTAACCGAAGTTGCGCTTAAGACACGTACCTATATTATCCGTGGCCATCACTACTCAACCTAGCGCTCCTTCCTTTCCCGAAGACCCCTCTGCGATCACCACAATACGTTCTTAAGACACTTCTAGTTCACAAGAATAGCCGCATGGTACCCGGTGGTACGTCAAAGTAGGCGACTTAGCTTTGCCAGATGTAGCAGGTTCGGATACTATTCCTCCGATATTCCGCTTGCACTCTAGATACGTAACTCTTTCCACCAATATCTCAAAGCGAGGATGCCTGCCATCCTCCATATCAATGACCTTATGGAAATTCCCCGCGTGAACCCTAGACCTGGTTTGCTAGTCATGCCGCACCGCTGATCTGGAGAAAATGCACGAGCTGCTATTGATGAAGGCCGGAATGCGGCCCAGATACAAGACTAATGATATCCGGTTTGCGGGATCAAGTTGAACTAAATCACGAATTGTAGAATTGATCTGCGTATGATCCGGCTAAAGTCCCATGCTCGGTCGGAACACCTTCGATTCATGACGTGAGGAGAAGTCATTATTTCTATAACCAAGTCTACTGACTAGACCGATGTTTCGGGTAGCTTCATTTAAAAGGCATCCTCGCATCGGATAAGTTCCACGGTGCGTGTGAGATGACCTGAACTTACGCAATGGCAGCTAGGGCGACCCAATTCATTTTACTGTGCTTCCTTCTTATACTCCAGACTCACCCTCCTGGAGCATATGCTGAGAAGGAGCACCCAGCCGGTCGTGAGCGGATCAGCATCAACACCAACTGGCGATTCTGGCGATCTGAAAAGAATCCCGATGGCATTACGTACGATAACCGCACCGATACTCCTCAAGGCAACGTTACATACCTGAGGCCATGGATCCTTCCCAGTGCCAACGAGTTCATCCCCGATGCCTCAAAGCAATATAAAGTTCCCTCGAGTGGTCCTGGCATCAACATTTCATATGTACAAAGTACCTTTGATGACAGCGCCTGGGAAAATGTCGTTCTGCCACATGACTGGGCTATCAAGGGGCCTTTCTATGTGGGTAACCCTACGCCCATAACGGGAGGAATGGGGCGCTTGCCATCTCAGGGAGTAGGATGGTATCGACGGAAGTTGTCTGTGGCCGCCAAAGACGAGGGGAAGGTAACTTACCTAGATATCGACGGCGCCATGTCCTACGCCATAGTCTGGCTCAATGGCCATCTTGTTGGCGGCTGGCCGTTCGGATACAATTCTTTTCGCCTTGACTTGACACCCTACCTGAAATCAGGTGACGATAACCTGCTAGCTATTCGGCTCGACAACCCGATAGATTCCTCACGATGGTATCCTGGCGGCGGTATCTATCGAAATGTCTGGCTTACTAAGGTCGAGCCTGTACATGTTGCTCACTGGGGAACATACATCACAACGAAGGATGTGTCTGAAAAGTCTGCGACTATCGACATCGTAGTGCAGACAGAAAACAAGGGGAATGGTAGCCAACAAGTCGAGATTCTGACGGATGTGCACATCTACGATGCGGAGACTGAAAAGATCGGAGAGAAGGTCGCGGAATTTCCCAGGACGACTATCAAGATACCCGCAGGGAAGCAGTCCGCGAATGCCTCATTAACTATTCAGAATCCTCGACTATGGGGACCACCGCCTACTCAGAAACCCAATCTCTACGTTGCCGTTACGCGTCTTCTCAACAGCAACAGCAAGGCTGTGATCGACATTTACCAGACTCCTTTCGGTGTCCGTTCGTTCACATACAGCGGCGAACAAGGTCTGCTCGTCAACGGAAAACGCATTAGGATTCAAGGCGTGAACCAGCACAACCACGATCTCGGTGCTTTGGGATCCGCGTGGAACAACCGCGCCGCTGAACGTCAGCTTGAAAAACTGCGCGATCTAGGGGTCAATGCAATTCGCATGGCCCATAACCCACCAGCTCCGGAACTTTTGCAGTTGACAGATCGTATGGGCTTCGTTGTTATGGACGAGATTTTTGACAGCTGGGAGCGCAAGAAGACGGACAACGACTTCCACCTCATCTTCCCAGAGTGGCATGAGGCCGACCTTCGCTCCTTTATTCGGCGCGACCGCAACCATGCTTCCATTTATGCTTGGAGTGTTGGAAATGAAGTCGGCGAGCAGACATGCTGTGGAGAGAGAGGCTACGAAATTGGTCGATTACTGAACGACTTGGTTAAAGACGAGGATCCGACACGGCCAGTCACCGCATCCATGAATGTTGCAAAGCCGAATCAGTCCTTTCCCAATGCTATGGATATCCTGAGCATAAACTACCAAGGCGAAGGCATCCGCGACACACCTCAGTACGCATGGACGAACGGAACCCGCACGCCACCCCAGTACAAGGCTTTCCATGACAAATTCCCCAATAAACTTCTCGCAGAAAGCGAGTCTGCGGCCGCTTTGAGCTCACGCGGAACATACCTCTTTCCTGTTACAGAACTCAACAGCGCTCCTGTCAATAATACCAACGGTGGTGGTAATTCGACTCTTTATCACGTCAGTGCTTATGAGCTGCACAGTGCAAACTTTGGCTCGTCAGTTGATAAAGTGTTCGCAGCACAAGACGCGAATCCTTTCGTTGCTGGAGAGTTTGTGTGGTCTGGGTGGGACTACCTGGGCGAGCCGGAACCGTACTACGACACGCGCAGCTCCTACTTTGGAATCATTGATCTAGCTGGGTTTCCAAAAGATCGGTATTACTTATACCAGTCACGATGGCGCCCTGATCTCAAGATTGCGCATATCTTGCCGCATTGGAATTGGCCTGATCGCGTAGGAAAAGTTACGCCTGTTCATGTGTTTACGAATGGCGATGAGGCGGAGTTGTTCCTCAATGGGAAATCGCTAGGGAGACAGAAGTTGGGCAAATCCCAGTACCGCTTCCGCTGGAACGATGTTGTCTACCAGCCAGGCCAACTGCGTGTGGTCACTTACAAGAAGGGCCAAGAGTGGGCGACATCCACTGTGCGTACGACTGGCGCGGCTGCAAAATTACGTCTCACGGCGGACCGAACTCAGATCGCAGCTGATGGCAGTGATCTTTCCTTTATCACCCTGGAGATTGTGGATAGTAATGAAGACTTGGTGCGCGATGCCAACGACGCCATTACCTTTTCGACCTCTGGCCCTGGCGACATCGTGGCGACAGACAACGGGTTCGAGGCAGACTTCACGCCTTTTCCGTCTAGGAAACGAAATGCTTTCAATGGATTGGCGCTAGCCATTGTAAAGGCGAGGAAGGGCAAGTCTGGGTCAATCACAATTACGGCTAGTGCAAAGGGGTTGGCAAAAGGCAGTGTCACAATTACAGCGTAGTGAAAAGGTTAATTAAAGATAGTGACATACTTCCATCCACATGGTATAAGAGATCCCACAATTTCAGGTCCGTTGCATGCCTGTGAAATCATGATTACGTACAAATTCGCTTGTGAGACTTTGTAAGTGACATTCAGGAGCGGCTAGCTAGACCTCCCACCAGTTCTGTTGATCCATCTCGACCCGTTGACATGGCTCACTAAATTCATTGTTGAAAGTTTAATCATACCACCTTCGCACCATCATGCATAGGACTGTTGGGACGACCCCGTGAGGTTGACTCCAGGCGGATTATATGGTGCACTCTCCGTCAGTACGGTTAGCTCGTAAACAAATGAGACGGTGATGTAGCTATCCTCTAAACTCTAAACTAGAACAATAGTATCATTTTGACGATGTAACTTTCGTCAACCCTCCACTTGGCTTGCCTGCTATGGGACATGATCAATCGCAGAAAGAGAGGATGGACAGGTTCGCGAAGGTCTTCACACATTGTTGCGACTAGAACTGAAGCGGAGCAAGCACATATCTTGCAAGTAACAGAAACTTGAAATGCCGCATTCGCCGTGATATGACACTTTTACGTAGCGGAAAGGCAGGGCATCCGCGTCGTTGATATTCGAAAGCGCATTTTACACATACCTCGAACTCATGGCAGACTCGAACACTTACAAGCAAAACTCAATAAACATCCATGGATCACTATGCCGATTTTACACATTCTTTATCGGTTTGAAATGTGAATTACGTTTCTCAATATCCTTAGGCTCGCTATACCTAGCCTGTATCACATGCTTATCAATATTTAAGTTTGGTCTAGGGATCCTTTCGACTGAAAGAGAGAAAAAAGGATCGTGAAGCGCGCCAGCCTTAGTATTACCTGGTATGCTATTAACAGTCGGTGAGTGTACTTTGAAAGCAGCGGATTTAACACTTTCATTGCGACGTCTAGTTGCTCCGCCAAAACAACGGTTCACTAGGCACGGCAAGTGATCTCGTCTGCTGATAGCATCCATGCTCCATCAACAAGGAGGATATTGTTTAATGTCAAACCTTCATACGTAGTACACGGGCGATCAATAGTCTCGAGCAAGGCCTCAGAATATTCTCAATCACAATGCACCAAGGATGCGATGTGGTGGTGTACGGATGCACAGATAGCAGCCGCATATACGCCCACTTTGAATGCATACATGCATGCAAAGCTTGCGTGAGAGCCTAGAACGACTGGAAAAAGGCCTAACGCTGATAGGTCTGTGAGATGAACAGTACGGGAAGACCGCTCACCAGCGTTAGCAGCCAATCCAAATTGGCTGGCTGAATATGCTCAAGCCGGTGGATCACAGATCGCATAGTGAGTGGTATTTACCTCTGGAGAAAAACATGTTTGTTCCATTTGGTGAAGTGTTGATGGCTACGTGTACGCTTGCGAGTCTTCGACAGCGCACAACGAGATCCCGCTCGATCAATGGGCAGCGAAGCAGTATTGCTTGCATTTGCACCCCATGTGATTCCCTCGCTGTCTCCGAGCATCCAGGCATCCAGGTATCCCCGCGCTTCCGCGAACCCGCGGTGGACAGTCCTGCACACCAATCAACAGGTTGCGGGGGGAACAAGAGGAAGGAAGGGAGTCAAATCAAAACGCGTTCAAAACGCAGGAGCGAAGGCACAACAGGCCACTTGTTTCTGGACCCGACTACGACAGCTGGGGAAACTGAGGTTACAACGTCGGGCCTAGCACCTTTCACTATTTCATCACTTATTCACTGTCCAGTCTCGTCCATTCGCAGGAGAAGTCTCGGCTGGCGGAAAATTATCTGTATGGTTAGGAGAAGGCTCCGTCGCTGAACTACTGGGTGGAACCAAACTCTTCCGCCTTCCGGGAGGGTAGCGTGAGCGGAGGCTGACAGCGGAGCGGGCAATATCACACCATTCATGGATGCATAGCGGATTGATTGATCGTCGGGTTGGCGAGTGCAGGGCGGTAATGGCGAGTAACATGGTTGGCGAGAGGAAAATGCCTCCTCCACCCACCCCCCGTGGCGGCTGAAGCGAATGTTACCTCGGACCCGACTTTGTTTAGATTTCGTCCGCGTTAAGAGGACGGCTGAATTAGTGGCTACAGTCTGACCATGCTCACTGATGGTCGACCAGCTCATGCTGCACCACGAGAGGAAGCGAGCTGCATATTTGCATCCTTCGAGGCATAAGTCCGCGGATGTCAGTTCAGCCGCGCATGGAGAGACGGGCATCTGGGTCGATGCTTCTAGCCCCTTTCATCGACGTGTCGAGGCAGTCGATTCAGTGGTGATGATCTGTAATCGCCAGTTGGCCAGCAGGTCGCCCATGAGCGTCAGCCAAGTCATGAACTTCCAGTCCTATCAGGGGACAGAGACCAATGCCGTTCAAGAATAGCCGTCCTTCCCCAGCATCTTCGAGCACAGAGGCTGCGTAACTGTGTGAAGACTCGACAGCTATTCCACCGAGAGAGGCGCCGGTGCAATCTAATGACGGCAAGGGCACGCAACCACGCGAATACGATCAGAGTGCGTGTAATGATGCCTGACAGGCTGCAAGCAGAAGGTGAGTTGCGTTTATCAGGTCTCACCATGGCCCCTTGAAAGGCATAGTGCAGGATGCAGTGACATATGCCTCGTCTCCGTGTCATAGGGAGCACAGAAGCAAGCCAGACTGCCACAGCATCAGGAGGACAAGTTCAGGCGCTGCACGTCTGTCAACCGTGCTCTTCGACTGCAGTGGTACAATGGAAACGAACGTCGTTGCTCCAGTTGATAAGAAGCACTCGCAAAGCGGAAGCTCTATAATCGACTTGGTTAACAACCAGGAAAGATACCGAGGCGCTTGGTGAAGCGGGTAGTGGAGTCGGCCTTTGCAAAAGCAACACACATCCCTGGAGGGAAATGATCTCAGCGCATCAAATCGATACGTGTGTGTATGAACTATATTTTCTTTGAGCAGATCTCTGGATCCCCCAATCCACCATCGATCGGCGGCGTGGAGCCAGAGTTTCAAGACGCCAATGCAGGGCAGTGCTCTTGGAAGGCATTACGACGACGTTGCTCCACTGGTGTTCGATGCCCGTATACAGCAAGGGCACAATGGAGAGTGGCAAACTGCACCTTCTCTCGAATCAAAGAGTGGGTATATCGTCCGCCATTAAGTCTTGATTGGGCTGTTGCATTCCATTCACACTTTGGCACACTACACACAAACACACACATACGCGCGCTAGATAGTAGTGGATAGATCGGTATGATCCGACCGTGCAAACCAGATTCACCGGTGAGGACCCTGAATCTCAGGGACCTCTAGGGAGGGGGGGAAAGGAACCGCCGGTTTAAGCCTCGTTGATCGGAGCCTTTCGCCATCCCAAGTCTGAAACCTAGACGGCATGCGGAGTCGGACCGAAGGTTCAAGTCCTTCTACTAACCCACAGGTCTGGCGAGCGGGCGGGCAGCTTTGTGGGAGAGCGGCAGTTTCGCTAGACACGTCCATGACGCGGGGGGCATCAAGACAGGAAAAGAAAAAAACAGATGCCCAGGCAGCGCGGGAGCTAAGACACGTGAGAAAAACGCCCAGCGGTTTTGGGTTTCTATTTTGGAGAAGAGATAAAGGCGAGGGTACGAAAACGTTTTGGACTGTGTCAAGGCCCACAAACGGTATAGTGCAGCTCTGGGGGGCGTTGACATGGGCACACTACGGCAGCAAAGCCGAAAGTCTCTCGGCGGGGCTTCCGTAAACAACAAAGGTACGCTACAAATGTGTATATCTTGGCGAGGCTGTTAGCTCTATCTAGCTCTGCGGGTTTTTTCTCCTCTCCAAGCTTTGGTAACCAGGACCATCCCAGTCGATGGGAGCTGTCAGTGATCTTCCGCCTCCACATCGGAGTGGAGTGACGCGGACGTGCCAAAATGTCACCCGTAACACTACGGTGCGCCCGATGGAACAACCTTAAATGCTCTTACAATTGCCGGGTCCGCCCCAAAGAGGGCAGGACTGGAAGATGGGGTGAAAGATGGGTCCCTGGTAAAGTTGCAGTGGACATGACTCTCCAACATAGTCATGCGCTGATCGAACTGTTCGGTGTGCATCGTACAGAAATTGTGAATCAAACATACTTGCATTGGGTTCCAGAATCGTATGATGCCTGATGGGCGGTTGTATGCCCAATCATCTGCTCTAGAACATGTTTCAATATTGCTATTTCGCTTCTGAGAAATGGGAATCAAGTCCCATACATGCACTTTTGCACCAGCTCCGTCCCCGTCTGCCCAACAGGCTTGATTTCCTCGCCTTTTTGCTAATCCGGCTGTGTCGTAGACGTAAGTCCTGAGCCTCACTTCCAAGACTTTGGAGCATAATCAACTTGCGGAGCCTCGCGGACTTCGTATATGCACAGCCTTCATCTCCAGTGACGCGTAGAGCCCAAGACATTGCTCTGGCCCTGCCCTAATTTGTCACTCACTGCTGCAATCATGGTTTCATAACCTTGAAGTCGCAGCAGGTGCACGTCCGCGTGGAGGAATGTGCTAACAAGGAGGGCCCCGGCCTTGATGCTCCGTAAAGGAATCCGGATCAGAGGTTCGTCCATGGGAATGGATATCGTCTGTGCGAAATACCCTGTTGGCGATCGTGAGGGTGTCAAAGGTCCCGTTCGTTACATACTTGGAAGTGGATTAACAAATCACGGAACATGCCGTGCGGAGGGATTTTCGTAAGAAATGCTAGCAGTCCCTGACCGGCGTTTGCTCCGGTCGAATCATGCGACCGTTGTAGACAGAACCTTGGCACTTTCAATGAAAGGGCCGACTCTGAAGACCCTTGTCTGTGCTCTTGAAATGACCAAGCAAATGTTGTCCAGAGTTATGGCTACTCGTTCGATATTGGTAAGACTTTATGGCCATGCGCTGAATGTAATTTATGCGGTTCGTGATGTTTGAAGTGTAAACCCTGCTAGTCCATCTCCAAGGGATCCATTTCCAGCTAATGAACCTGACTAAAATGTTCGAATTCGTTAAGATGAGAAGTTGACAGGGCTTCAAGGGCCAATCCTTGGGCTAATGTGCCCATCCACATTTCCATCGACAATGGGCTCGTATGGCCGTCTCGCTAAGTTTCTGATAGTTACTGCCCAGCTCTCACTGCTTGAACATCATATTTGGATCCACGGGATAGTCCTGGATAGTGAACCTGGGATCATATGCCGTGGGGTTCAAACTAGTGTGATGGCTTTGCATATGGTTATGCTGGGGGTGAGAGGTCGGCAGTTGCATAGAAGAATGCCCTAAGATTTGCGAGCGAGATTGTGACATCGGGGGCTCGTACGGTCCAGGGGTTGCGGAGTTGCTCCGATGGCCCGATCCAGAGGATTGGGTCGTGCTATGCGAGGAATCATACAGCGATAAATCCTCGACATGACTTGTCGGGGCAGAGATCATAGACTGCTGAGTCATGAAGGGTAGCTGTGCACCAGTCTGGGCTGCAAGCCGGCGGATCAGCTCGTTCGACGGGTAGGCTGGCGTAGTTGCTGTCGGCATTCCCGAGTAATCATTGTCCACGTGGGAAGGGATTGTTCCTGAGCCAGTGGCAGTAATGCCGATCGTCGATGTAGGGACCGTTTGGGGAAGGTTCAGTGACCGGGGCAGTGGAAGATTTGGCAAGACCTCAGAGAGCTTAGTGAGGAGCAGAGGCAGATACCGGGTCTGCCCTCCGCGAAGAGTGGTGATGAGTGTGATGAATCGGGAGACGTAATCACGGGGTCCGAGAGCGAACGAGTCTGGAGAGTAGGATGTGCAAGCGACCACATCAGTCAGGCAGCAAGCGATGTCGAATAGCTTTTCGATCTGCGGTCTCGTTAGCCCAACGTGCACCTCTAGTGCAAATCTGCCGGAAAAGGCAAAGAGTTCCACCGCTACGTGTACAGGGGTAAAGGGGGGGAAACGTGTGCAATCCCACGCGTCAAAGATAGACGTTATTAGAGTGGGGCTAAGCTCAAGGAAACCGGACAGGGATCAACGGATCGAGGGAGCGTAGAAATTTGGAATCCCCGTGCCTAAAAATTACATGGGGAGTGCAGAGGAGGAATAATGAAGGCCATCGGTACTCACCAGTCCTGCGCCATGAACCTCCATAGCTTGTTGCGAGAATTGGTGGGTCATCGTGATCAGGTCCCTCGAAATCTCGATGGGATACTTGAATGTTAGAGGGCTCTCGCCCGAGACACTGCCCACAAGCCCCTGGCATACACTTAGTTGCCAAGTTTGCGCTCGTAGCCATTGTTGGGTGACGCGAATCATGACTGCCTGGGCTTCCGTACACTCGAGATACGCAGGAACTGCATCTGTGAGCTGTGTCTGTACTTGGGCAATCCAGGCGGGATTCGCGTGCGTGTGCACTCTGTTCCAGAGGTTGATGAATGTATCGTCGATGATTTTGAACATGTTGATCATAAGCTCCAGTCCAATGGCAATAGGCCTGTCCGATGGCACATCGTCTAGGGTAGGCAGATGTATGGTCGGGTAGAGCGAGATCGGACGGTGCTTGTGTAGAGCATAAGTTCTGAAAAGTGTTAATAAAAGCCAGCGAGTCCACGATTCATATTACAGTACCTCTCCGCAATGAAAAGCAGCCAATACAGCGCTCGTTTCCGAGTGATATCCAAAAGGTCATGTTTATATGTTTGCTCTTCGTGCATTCCCAGGAGTTGCGCCTGGGTTGTCGCTTCTCGAAGATAGGCCCATGCCGTGTTCTCTCGCGCCAATCCAAAGTAGCTGCCGCTGTAGAACCAAGATGTGAGAACGGTCAAATGTGTGGGAGCTTCGCGATGGTCGTAGCTTTTGCGGACGCGAACGGATTCTTCCAGAAGAACATGGCCGAGGCCTATATTCGACATCTGAGCCATCTCCGGGCGTTGCAGTAAGCTGGGCGACACTTTCATGTTGGCTTGTATCATGACATAAGCGCATAGGGCAACGATCATGCAATATGCTTCTGTGGAGCGCTCCATATTCACGAGGGCTTCCTGTGCTCTTTGCCGATGTAGTACAGGCTCCAGAGGGTAGACATTGGCGAAGAAATACTCTATGCAGCTGTCGATGAGGCCTGGAGGCAGCAATCCCTGCGTGCGAGCGAACGTCGAAGAGAGGGTCCGTCCATCGAAGCCTCCTATGTCTGCAGGCAATCCTGTTGCGAGATGGGCGATGCGCTGGTTTTCGCGGAGCTCAGATATGACTTTGGCGCGGCTCCCCTTGGGTCCCTTCTTTTGTGGGATGGCATTGTATGTGCAGGCCAGACCGGCCGAGACGCAATTCTTGCATGGGCTGGTACCTTCGTTGATGCATTTGACCTTCCGACGGTGACAGCTATCAAGGACAATGTGAGCGGGAATGTCAGTGGGAAGATGCTGTACAGACAGACGCACCTATCGCAAGCTCGCTTGACGGGAGCAGTGTTGGTGGGATTATTAGAAGACATGAGGAGGCAGTAAGCTAGTAGACGAAGGTCTCGTCATCTGCATGAAGAATATAGCAGGCGCCGAGCGGATCCCTTGGTACTATTAGTACAGCGACCATGTTGCGCCTACGGTATCTTCGACGGCTGCTTGTGTCATTGTAGTGGAATAACGAACTCCCACTCGCACCTGGCCCAAGCTGGGACGACTGGACGACCAAGCGTCAAAGCCGCATATTAGACTCGACTAACTAGTAACCTACCGCTGGCCTACTGCGATGGGGCTGTAAAGATGATAGTCCAATAGCAGGCCATGGAGAAGCCCCCTGCGTCCATGATTCTTCGACTGGGGGCAGCAATCTGCAGGGAAGCGCGCTGGAAGCAGGCCATGCGCTTACCACACGGTTGCCAGGCCATAGAGCTTCGGCGGTCTGGGCTGGCGCAGGCTTGACGACGACGACTGGGCACGAGCAGCGATGGCACGGCCGGTTCCTCCCAGGGTGACGGGAGCTTCATCTTAGGGCAAGCCTTAAAACTAACCGAGAATCTCCCGACCGGCAGGTAGACCGTAAATGGAGGCCGTCCTAAGCCATGTGCTAAGTTTTTTTTTTTTTCCTTTGCTCCCCAAGATCGAACTCGCGGTAGCTGCCGTGGCGGAGGACAAAGCTGAACGGGTTGCATGGGCGTTGCTTGCGCTGGTCCAATGTGGTCCATCAAGGCATCCACACACACAACCGCGCCATGCGGAGCCCTGGGACCGAACCTTCACTGTCCAGCAACGCAATCCGAGTCCTGGCTGACCGCCTTTGCGGTAATGAAGACGGCACTGCTCGGGTAGCTGCACCAAGGTAGTCCACAATGCGGTCAAATGGAGCAATGCGGCCGACAAGCGCTCTATTTTGGCCTTTCTCGTGTCGCTTTGTTAGCGGCAACCTCCGCTGGCCGGCGCAAGTTGTCGTCATACAAAGTGGCAGTTCCCTGAGAACCCATGCAACGTCCAGCGTAAAGAGGTAGGCCGAATCGAAAACTTGGGTTGCTATCTTAACGGTAGGGTGGAATCGGAGATCGCGAGGCGCAGCCGTGGGTGCGTCTGTCGAAGGGTCAGAATCGAAGGGCCTGCATGTAGTGTAGCGAGGGGATTACATCATAGCCCACGGCCTTCGTCACCAGGGCGTCCCAGAGGGGGCTGGCTGGCTCACTGTCGCTCATGTCCAGAAGACGAACAGCAAGTTCAGCAACAGCAAAACTCGAAAAAAACCATCTGGGAAAAGAAGCGACCAACGGCACTGTTTAAATCCTTCCTCACTTGTGGTAAAGGCCCTTTTGCGGACTGATCCATCGGCTCGAGACATCGGATCGCTCCCGAAGTCCAGCCGATAGCGACCGGTATATACGACTCTAAGACTGTCGAGACCGCGAATAAGACATCGTGGCCACGGTTCCTGTACAGACTATGGCACCGTCAGCCATCACTGGTCGTTGTGTGCCGCCACACGCCGTTGCAGAGGGAGCTACCGCGTAACGAGCCACCAAAAGGACCCGAAAGTGTGTCAACAGAATAGATTGACCTTTGATTGCGAACATGGACGAACCGCTGGTTGGTGAGGCTGCACATCCGGAAGTGGGACGCCATCACGATCTGTAACATGCACCGCAAATCAAATGGGGTGAGGCGCAGCGCTAGCTGACATCGCTCCGCGGAGAGTCAACGACAAGTATCCGATGATATTTATACAAGACGGCTTGAAGCTATCTACTTTGACGAATCCACTCTCGTCACCAACGTCTAACCATCCTACCCAAAGAGCGCCCAAAATGCAATGCCAAATGCTGAAATCAAAACATACTCACGCATCCCTTTTGTGTCGTTACCAGTCATTATGAGAACTCAACACGACTTCCTCCCAATCTTGCTTGCTTTGCTTGAGCTCGTTCAGCCCTCCGCCGCCGCCTGTTCGAATCGTAGTTGCTGACATCCGTCTCCGTGCCGTACACTTGAGTGCCCTGTGGGCTGCTTAGGACACTTCCCACGCCCGGGATGGGAGGGGGTGGAGGAAGGGGTATATGCCCTGGCGCCGACGTGCTTCCTGATGGGCGAGCCGTGGGAATAACGGGTTCAGGCATGCGGATGGGACCAGCCTGAGACGGTGGCAGAGGAGATACGGTAGATTGTGCCATCTCTTGCGCCTGCGCTGCTTCCAAAGCTTCAGTTCGACGCCAGCGGTCGCCGTCCAGATTACCGAGCGAACTCTCACTTCCATTGCGAGGTCTTCGTTGTCGATCCTTTCTTCGAGCTTCTCGTTCCGCTGCTGCCTCCTCCTCGTTTAGCCGGCGAAGCGTTACATGCCGTCCGTCATTGTGCATTTTGACCTTGACCGACACGGGAGGTGATGCCACGCTTCCCTCACGACTGCTTCGGCGCTGGCTGTGGTCTCTTTTGGACGGGGAACCCGTTGAGACTCCAGTCGCAGCGGCTCCTGCAGCGAGGGCCGCGCTGTGATGGCGGTGATGCTGGCGACCTCCTGGAGAATTATATGCTTCCGACCCTGAGTCAGATAGTACACCATATGTGTTACCAGGTGGTCGACTGTGGGGTGCCGACGGTCCTACACCAGGGTCCATTGGTGGTGGTGGAGGTATGTTCGGTCGCGCTACAGACTGCGTTACACTCGTCAGATCGCTTTCGGAAAAGATGGTGGAAGGAGGCCTGTTGCTCTTCCGCGGAGGAGCGCCGTCGCCAGTGAATTTGCGGCGTTGACTATTCATTCGAGCCACTCTTTCCTCCTCCAGATCTTGTTGCCTTAGCTCTTCTACATGCGCGTCCTCGCTTTTATTCCTACGTTTGCTGAAGGAGTGCTTGAGGAAACCAACTACACCCAACGTGGCGATGCCTTCTTTGAGTCCATACGAATGATGAGGAGGCCGTGTGTCGCGTTCGTAGCTCAAGCTCGTTCGGCTGTCGAAGGATTCCATAGATACACCACTCCTGGCAGGGCGGTGATCATGTCGCAAGGGACTTCCCGCCATTGCTGCTGCTTGAGCGGCTTCCCGCTCTTCGACGCGGCGCCAATCAGTTCGGTTGTTCGCTGGGGATGCTGGCGCTCGCCCTTCTTCAACTCTGCTAAGATCCGTCTGTGTGACCTCAGATGGGCCCAGCGGACGACTGTAGCTTACATCACTCCCAGTCTCAGTCGGAGCATGTTTCTTGTTACGGCTGAACAGCGATTTAATGGCATAGATGCCCCCAGCAGCCGCCCCGGCACCTAACAGACGGCTCTTCCACGTGCCCCCTTTCTTTTGATTGGTAGCGTACTTTTCGTCACTTAGGTAAGAATCCGTAAAGCGAGACTCATTGATACGCGAGCGCGAGTCGCGTCGAGTACTTAGAACCTCTTGTCTGCTGCCACTGCGTCTACTGCGGCTGCGACTTCGCGATCGTCGTCTCAATGCAGCTAAGCCTGCGCCCGCGGCTCCTGCAGTCGCAAGTGCTCCAAGGCCGTGGCCTCTGCTTCGTCTGCTCCTGGTGCTGCCGGTGCGCTCGGTGATATAGGTCGTACCATCATCGAATCCCATTTCAGGCTGATTTCTGTACGAAAATATAAAGTAGAAGACAATGAGAATGAAGGTCCATATGGCGAAGAGTATGAAGAGCACTTTTGGCGAGCCAAACAAGGTGAGACCCAGAGGGACCTGGATGATGCCTAAAAGTGCGATGAGTCGGCCCATCCATTGGTGGATCTAAGCATGTTAGTTAATGAGGCTCACTTTCTGATTGCAAGCGTACCATGAGTTTGAGAGGGATCTTAAACCGTTCCTTGCCCTTCTCCAATCTGTGTATCACAGAGCCGGTAAGAGCTTGCACCATTACAAGAGTGTAGAGTGCCACACCAATGCCATGATGGGGGTTTGACAATGACCTCTCGCGTCCAACCGCCTGGAACCCGAGTACAAATGCTGCGGTCGAGAGGAGCACAGCCAGGATCTGAAGCCAGATGTGGAATCGCAATGCTGTGCGTGGGTTCCGGTGGTAGAAGCGAGCCATGAAAATAGCAGCGGGAATTACCAGCAGGAAGGTAATGGCGCCCAGAATACCATGTGCGGTGATGATAGCCTTGTACCCGACCATGTTTCGAAAGCGGTTGCCCATGCCTAAGAAGTCAGCGTTGTTCCCTATGAAATCACTAGCGTCAAGTTCATACCATTGTGGCGCATAGTCTCAAAGTTCAAGCCTTGTAAATTCGGTAGTAGGAAGGTGTTGCGCTGTGAGTCCCACGTTCCATCACCCACATACATCGAGTCTGACGAGTACACACTCGTCCCAGGCTCGGAGAGCCCCTGGTTTGACATGATGGCGGTATAGTTGTTGATATTTTTCTTTTATTCTTCGAATGAGGTTGTTGGGTGGTTATGTAACGAATCGAGTCCAGCTGGTCGGACGGAATACTGGAATAATCAAAGCCAAGACGCTCGCGATAAAGAAGCACGCAAAGGATGAACAACAGAAAGTCGTGACGTCGTGACTGGCGATAAAAGAGCGAAGGTTAATCACCCGCTGTCAGGTTGGCGGTGAAGGAGAGCGGGAGTCGCTGAGCATGCCCGACTCAGCGGACAGCTCGGAGGGTAGGGAACGTCAGTCGTATCGCTGCCTGGCTCGATGTCGTCCTAGGGGAAAGGCTTCTGAAGTCTATCGACGTGCGCGGTGGTGATGAAATGTAGTGCAGGTTTCTCCAACGTTGAAGCGGGTCGCTGCGACCGGCCAGCTCAGAAGGATCCACCCGTACTTGTTTACCCACCGTCTGGCCCGGCAACGTAATCGATAAGCTGTGGCGGTCAGTGTGCAGCGGCCCAATCACCGCCCAATATTACTTGCATTCAGCTGACATGTCCTTGTGTCGAGGTGTTTCCTGGTTTTCGGGGCTCCATTTGTCATATGTTGTGCGATGGGACGGACGTGTGCTGTCAGTGAGGCGAACCATCTCCACGTCATCAGCTGTCACCAAGAACTTTAGTTATGCCTCCATGCCGTCGCTACAACACTGGGATGAACTCGTGGGCCACGGCTCTCGTTTATTAATTAGGAGGCATCGTCACGGAGGAGCACGTCGGTTTATAAAGGCTTATTCTCGATTCCGAAATACAGCGTGACGATCCTCGAGTATTTTTGAGAAGCGCCCTGCTTCGATCACATAGTAGCCTGGAGGTGTTCATGACACTATGAAGGTTGTCGTGTGCATTCGCCCGTAGGACATTCAAAGTTTGAAAGTACATAAAGCAGTGGTATCTTAATCCGGACCCATCCCAAAACGCCGTCAAAAAGCAAGCGCTAGTTCCAACATCCTCACCTCAGCAAGACTAGTCAGCCTTCCACCTCCAGCATCTCCCTCAGCGCCTTTTCAGACGCCCTAAGCCATCGCCCTCTCTCCTCCAACTCGTCCCCAATACCGCCAATCTCCTCCTTCCTCCTCCTCGCCTCCTTCGCTGCGGCTACAGTGCCTTGCTTCTGTGTCTCTAGCGGCCTCAAATCACGTTCTAGTTTCTCTAGCTCTCGGGATCGATTCGGTATAGAGGCTTGCAGACTTGCTATTTGCGCATTCAGCGCTGCCAGTTCCGCGTCTCGCTTGTTGAGTACCATGAGCGTCTCTGGCAGCGGAAGCGCAAGCTCTGGGTTGTGGGATGCTGGTGTGTGCTCTTGCTTCAAGTGCTCGATGCTCGCCTCCAGACCTTCAATTTCACTTGGAAGCGCCCCGAGTTGCTGTATCCGCAGTTGCAGTCCCTCGTAACGTGACGCAAGCTCTGTCCCTTTCTCCTCGAGCTGTCTAAGTATCTCGGCGACTTCGAGTTTACGTTCCTTGAGGCTTGCCTTCAATCCTAATATCTCCTTTTCTCTCTCGTCGTTTTCGGGCGCTTCGACCAGGCGCGGCGGGTTTTCGGTTATGTTGCGGAGGAACTTCTCTTTGGTGACTTGCTCGACATAGCTGAAGCGGAGCTTGCTGAACAATTCCTTTGGTGCATGTTAGAATCTCTAGCCATAGTGGCACTGTAGAAGGTAGTCACCTTGTAGTGCAGTAGATCTGCTTCCAACGCTGCAGGATGTGTGTCACCATTCTGCTCGCTATCCTCCGACGCGACCGAACTGCGCTTCTTCGTTGACTGTGGAAGATCCTTTGGTGATAGGGTCTCTGCAATGGCCAAAAGCTTAAGTGTTTGCGATTGCTGAAGTTGTTCAAGAGCGGATGCAGGTGTGGGCGCCGCAGACTTTCTCTTGGGCGCCATCGTGGTCGTATCGCACAGTCGATAGCTTTTCGAAGCGTAGAGTTGTTGTTTGTTTAGAAGATGCGCGTGTCTGCCCGCGTAAGGCTGCGACTGCCCGCCGGCATTGCCTGTCGAGGACTAGCTCCCGCGGCGCGCATCATTTGACTTCTCGACTTCCAACACTCAACATGGGCTCCTCTTTCACGAGATACCTCTGCCATGGCCGGCAAGTTCGATGATGACGAGTACGTTGCGAATCTGCTGAAGCAGGATGCGCAGAGCGCAACCAAGCGGTACGAGCTCGTAGGCATCGATGCTTTCAATCCCAAGAGGTGCGTCGCAAACCTCTCCGATTCCTGCAAATAAACCGTACAAGTACATGTGCACTTTGCGACCATCGTAAATGACTGGAAGTTCCTAGGCCGAAGTCCGGAGCCCCCAAACCCAACAAGGGCTTTCTAAGACACCTCCTCCACCAAACCGACAGCCACAATGCGGCGCTACTCGCAAAGGAAGCCGAGGAATCGAATACGCGGCTCAGGCTAATGAATCGAGAGAAGGAAAGGGAGATACGGAAGGAAGAGAACAGAAAGCTGAAAAAGGCAGAAGGGCGACTCACCCCAGTACGGAGCGAGGACGAAGCCTACCACAGACCCACAAAGCGAAGGAACGATCACAGTGAGGATGACCACCGACGTGATGGACGATATAAGAAGAGGGACCGGGATGACTCAAGGGACGCGCGATCTGGAAAGCACAGGGACGAACACCGGCACAAGCGGCGGCATGACAGCAGCGACGAAGATCGATCTGTGCGGAAGCGGAGACAGCCTAGATCCTACCACGACCAGGATCGCCGACATAGACATAGCAGCAGGGAGGAGGACGACAGATCCCACACGACAGAACGCACAGATCGCAAGCACAGAAGACGCAGGTCATACTCCAGGTCTACGTCACGATCACGATCACAATCAGACAGAGATACGAAACGGCATAGACACCGACACCGCTCACGCAGTCCTCGCCCCAAGCCTCGAAACTCCAGATCAGATCCAACCACCAAGTCGCGACAACGCACTGCGTCTCCCGCGTCAGACTCGGACCCCCTCGAAGCCCTCGTAGGACCCCTCCCACCACCAACGGTACGCGCCCGCGGCCGGGGCGCCCACAAAGCCAACAATGCAACAGGGGGCATCGAATCGCGCTTCTCCTCTACATACGATCCCTCCATCGACGTGCGACCGCACTCCGATGCCGAAGACAATTGGGGAGATGCCCTCGAAGCGTTCCGCGACAGGCAGCGGTGGAAGCAGCAGGGCGCTGACCGGCTCAAGGCTGCTGGCTTCTCGGACGCGCAGGTGAAGAAGTGGGAAAAGGGCGATGAGCAGAATGAGGAGGATGTGGTGTGGACGAGTAGAGGGCAGGCGAGGGAGTGGGATCGAGGGAAGGTTGTTGATGAAGATGGGGATGTGGAGCTGAAAGCGGATTTTGGGCGGTTGAAATGAATATTATGTATTCTGCTTTCAGGTATATAGCTGTAGATACTCGTAAATACGTTATTTCCTCAAGCCATTCACTGGCCTTGCATACACCCACTTTTACTCCGCCCTTAATATCAACATCACTCTATGTATGTATCTATCAGCACACAGCATCACCCAGACACACGTCTATTCGAATCATTGAACATAGAATTCCTCTCTTCAATTCCTCAATCTAAACTAATCAAGTCCAAACGCAACTCGCAATGCATGTTTCGACCAGCAGAACCGTGCTTCAAGGTGACGGCTCACGCAAGGGTCCGCTGAGAATGAAAGGCGCCTCATGAGCGCCAGTAAACATAGAGAAGACAGTGGTAGACGCAGTTTTTCCTAAGCAAGAAAAGGAGATGGTGGTGGTGGTAGCGGCGGAGAGATGGATGGTTGTGTAGTAGCATATCCACCGGAAAGGCGTATTATATAGTATACTGGACCGGCCGCGAAAGATAGTAAACGGGGTAAGAGAGTTGGTGTGGTGGATATGGACAGCGTGATGCTCGTTTGGGTAGCCATGTCGCAGCAGTAGACGTCTAAGCAGGTTTCGCGGGCTTCTGCTCGGTGACCTTCTTGACAACGATGACAATGACGACGATGAGGATGATGATGATGAGAGTAATGAGCAGGCACCACCACTTCTTGCGGTTGCGGCTGCGCGCCTTTTCAATGGCGCCACCGATCTCCGTGTTGGCCTGCACAACATTCTCGTGGATCTCCTCGCCTTTTTGTTCAATGTTGGCAACGAGCGGCTCCTGCTGCTGCACGATTTGGTCGAGGTCTTGGAACAGCTGGGCGAGTTCGACCATCTGGCGCTCGATGTTCTGGATAGCTTCGTGGCGCTCCTTGACGTTGCGGAGGGTCGATGAGGCTTGACCACGGCGGTCTGAGCTGAGGAGCTAGAGAAGGGTAAGCATCAAATATATTCAGAGATTATGGGCAAAACTTACAGCTTGCTGGAAGATGGGCGCGTCAGGATCCGCAACTGCCTCGCGAACCTCCGCATCGGTAGCATCTGGGCGCACAATACGGTATTGGCGCTCAGCGGCCGCCTGCGAGTCTCTCCTAAAGTCGGCCTCGAGCGTCTGGTACCTGTTGATAGTCGCCTTGAGCCTGCGGTCCACCTTGCCAACCTGCGGGGCGTTCCTCGGGCTGCCTGACTCGGGTTTCGACTTGATGTTCTTGACGCGTGAGACGAGGGCGCGGTAGCCTGTCATGATCTGAGAACTGAGGTTTGTGATCTCGCCCGAGGGCATGTCTGGCCGTGCCAGCACCTGCCTGAAGACGCGCTCGAGGTTGTTCAGCTGGTCGTCGAGCTGATCGAGAGCGCGATCGACTTCGCGGCATTCGTTGAGGATTGCGTTGGGGTCAGCGCCGCCGCCGCCACCGTTGTTGTAAGACTGCATTTCTAGTGCGGCTGGAGCATGTTAAAGGTGCGGCATAGGTGTGGACGAGGCAAACGTACGATCGTCATAGGAGCCTTGTGCGTAGTTGTTGTAGCGGTTTCCTCCTGGGTTATCGTCGCGCTGGTCGTAGGGGTTGCTGCCATAGCCTATCTGGCCGTAACCTTTGTTGCCGTACTGTTCGTTGGCGGCCGCCATGGTCAGCAAAAGCAATTATTGAGTGAGGGTGAGAAGTGTAAGTTGGGGAGATGTGCGCGCGAACTGAGGTAAAAGGACAAACAGGGCAACATACACTCATGCTGAAACCGGCCTTGTGTGGTAGGGGTGGGCTGGGCCGTGTGTGCTCTCCTGAGACAGCGGCTTGTGGATGCGCGAAAACAGACCTCGAACAGTCAAGGAATGGGCAATGGCAAGAAACAGTGAAACAGTGAAGTGATGCCAAACGCGCCTAAGCTTGGAATCAATGCAGAAGAAAGAGGTGTCGTCGGAAGATGTAAGATGCAACGATGCCCACACGTTTCCTGGGGCTGAATGTAAGAAATGGACCTCTCCATGAGCTGCTGTCGAGTTGCCGCCAGCGCTAGCCGCATGTGGTCTCGGGTGTGCGATTCGGTGGGCGGAGCGCGTCGTTGAGCCGCTCGTAGTTGCTCACAGCACCCACTCTATATTTATATTTCGCCTCTGCACCTGCTTGCAATATTCTCAAGTGTTCTGATTGGAATCGCCTTCGCCCTCGTTGTGCGCTTGATCATCTACTTTACCCAGCATTCTGCCTCGTATCTGCTGCCACAACCATCTGACACAGCAAACCCACCGCGCTCAATGCCCACCACAGCCGTTGCACTTCAGGGTCCACGCTAGCCTCAGCCTTGCAGAGCGCGCTTCAGCTCAACGCCTCCATACTTGCTAGTACGCCTCCATATCTACTGGTTGGGTATCTGCATCTCTATTACACTCCAGTACATTCACTTGTGTACATTCAAAGTCCACAAACTATACAGCCCGCCTGCACAGTGCATCTACTTTGTAGCTGGCTGGCCTCCGCTTCCCCACCGCGTCTTCTCGTCTCCGCCAGCCCATGTCTTTTCTGTGTAGCCAAGCCGCTGCTTGACTTCTTCAACCGTGGCCTTGTCGCCTGTGTTCTTGCCGATGTTATCGCTGATCTTGACAGCGTAACGACCGGAGGCGGAAGCAATCTTTATTACAATGTTGAGTGGCACCGACTTATTTCCTGTCGTCTCCTCGACGAAATCGTCTGTTGTTGTCAGTTAGAACACGCGACAAGTCTAGGCAGGAAAGTACATACTGGTCAAGAATGTCCCGACACCGAAAGTAGGCTGGAATCCCTGCGCCTCTGCCGCTGCCTTGTATTTGAAGCACAGTTCGAGGTTCAGGGAATCCGAAAAGACAATCACCTTCTTGTCCTTGATTCCCTCTTGGTCGTAGAACTCGCGCATCATCTTGATAAAGTCCAATGGATCTCCCGAATCCTGCCTTACGCCCGTGAACACCTCAGCGTACGTCTTCCGCGGGCTTGATTCTCCGTCGTTGGTGGCTCTGGGACTCTGCTTCTTGAAAGCTTTTAGGAATGCTGGTGTGCCAAAGGTGTCGGTGAGTGCAATGGCTAGCACGCCCTCGCCAAAAGTCTGTGTCCAGTACTCCAGAGCGATCTCGTTCGCGTTCTCGTACTGGTTGGTAATAGCAGCGACACCCATGAACCACTCGTGCGCGACTGTTCCTATTGGCAGGAGGTCGTGCTTCATGGCGAAATGCACATTGCTCGTCCCCGTCAGCTTGCCCTTCCATCCCGACTTTGCCCCCTCGTCCGCGGCACGGCGTAGACCCCGGAGTACCAAATCGTGCGTGTGGTAGTCGCGCCTTCTCCTTGAACCAAATTCAGAGAATATGCAGCCGTTCTCCAGCAGGCTCCGTCCCTTCTGGTATGCCTTGTTAACCTGCCCCGCATGGCTCCAGTCTGTTTCGACAAACTTGAAGTAGGCTTCACTGACGAGCGCGAGCAGTGGTATTTCGTACAGAATCGTGTCTAACCACAGGCCTTCGGTGTGTATGTGGAAGTCGCCGCGGTCATTGTCTGCGCCGGTATCGTTGGTTGGTTTGAAGGATAGTCTGATCTGCTTGGAGGGTTTGAGACGGAACGTGGAGAGGAAGTGTAGGTACTGGTCGTTGAGGTAGGGGCATGTGTTCTTGAGGAATTTGAGCTCGTCGGCGGAGACTTGTATGTTCTCGAGCTCTAGAAGCTGTTAGCGGGCGCAAACTAAAAGTAAGATGATCTTTACTGTCAACTTGGGCCTGGAGCCAGCGAAAAGCGGCCCGATTGAGCTTCTTGTCGGGAGTGCGGTTGGTGAAGCCATAGGTGACGGATACATCGGGGAAGAATCGGAGAATACAACATTGCATAGTCAGTTTGTACAAATCGGTATCCAAGAGGGAGAAAATGCCCTCAGGCAAGTTGGCGCTTTCCAAAGCCATGGCGGTTCCCAGGTAGTCGTGTGTCACGATGGTATGGAGAGTTCAAGGGACCGATCGCGGTGGAAGGAGGGGCCAGGGTGGTGGGGCAGGCGCGACTTTGTGCCTACGCGCGGGAGTGGACCGAGTACGATTGTGGGAGCGTAAAGTCGCAGGTGACTTGCAAAGAAAGGCAGGACAAACAGGTCTGCGCCAACTGGCTATGAATACGAGAGGCTCAAACAAAAAAGCTCCAGCCGGTGACTTGATGCGGCGCGTGAAGTCATCGGTCAATCATGGCTAGCCTAGCGCAATCTGCCTTTTAACGTTCAGCCTTACGGTACAAGATGCGGGCCTGCATGATCATCTAAGCTCGGTGCAACCTGTGCGCCTCAGGGTCCGCCATCCTTCCTGCTCAACACCCAAGAGATGCTCGTTGCGGTTTCTCTCCTTGCTATATCGTTCTCCTTCCTGGTTTACAATCGCCCACCGTCAACATGGCTTGCCTATATTGCGCGCGCCTGGCGGTCTGCAGCCTCTACGACGATTCCCGACCGGTCGCAAATGGACGCCGGCAAACGAGACGCCCCAGCTGAACCACCACAAGTAGAGCTGCAGGCTCGCACAAAGCAAGAGACTGAAAACAATGCTCCGTCCTTCCCGTCGCCACAAACAACGCCCAAGGCTTCCCCACGAGATGCACAGAATGCGCCCGCAGTCCCAACCTTCACGCTCAATGAGCACGAGAACTCAGACGACGAAGAGGATGAAGAAGAGGACAACCTCCCACCGCCCTCGTTTCCAGCACTAAACTCGGCGCAACGAGCTTCAGCACCAACGCCCTCGTTCGCTATGCCACCGCCCACCAAGCCAACCCTCATGGCCCCGCCCCCGAAACCCTCAGCCTCAACCTCCCTCATGCCACCACCACGAGTCGCGCCCTCAAGTCTACGCGCCCTTCCCACCTCCTCACAATCAATGCGCGTACCTACCACTGGCCCTCTGCCAAACCGCGGGCCGTTACCGAACCGGGGCCCTCCCGTTTCAAACGGTAGTCTGGGACTTCCACCCTCGGCAGGCCTCGCTGTCAAGACACCAAACGCACGCGGCAAAGTACTATTATCACCAGGGCACTCTCCACTCGACTGGGCAAATCTCCTGCGCTCCGGCAAGAACCTATCCGGTGTGGACTCGCTGGTTCGCGTCACGCCTTCGATGCTGAAAGAGAAGAACGGGCGCAAGGGCAAGCCAGCGTGGTCGAGTTACCAAGGGAAAGTGTACAACATGACGCCCTATCTGCCATTTCACCCCGGTGGAGAGGGCGAGCTGAGGAGAGCTGCGGGAAAGGACGGGACCAAGCTGTTCATGGAGGTGCATCCGTGGGTCAACTGGGAGAATATGCTGGGCGACTGCATGGTGGGCATTTTGGTCAGTGAGGAGCAAGCCGTGCCAAAGATTGTGGGAGCGACTTTAGATGATATGGATTAGCAATGATACCCCATAGAACGAATGCATTACATGGCGCTTAGCATACCGGAACGCCATTCATTCCCGTTTCCATTATGATTACCTCAACAATCATCATGTATAACGAACTCCAACAATACAATACAGTCCAAGCAAGTCTAAAAAAACAAAACGGCAAATCCAAAGCAACCCTCTCGAGCAACAAGACTGAACGTGTACCCAAACTCCTCCAACCGACAAACAATTCCCATCACACAATGGTACCAGCAACACTATGCAAGTCCACCCAATCACCCCGTCCCCCACACCCCAATCCACGCATTATGAATATACTTGGCCGGCCCCGCCCGCGTCGTACTCGCCTTCGCCTTCGCCTTCGCCCTCGTCGTCGGCGTCAAAGTCGCAACGCCCCCGCTCGTCGTCGTCGTCGACGTGTCCACAGCGACCCCCGACTGCCAAAACACAATGACGAGTTGGCATCCGCCGTCGACACAGGGCCCGTTGCATGTTACGCCGCATGCGCCGCAGTTGTACTGGTTGGTCTTCGTGTTGACGCAGAGGCCTGCGCAGTTATCGGGGCGGGAGGAGGGGCAGATGAGGGGGGTCGGTGTTGGTGTTGGTGGGGATTTTGATGTCGATATTTGGGTTGCTATTAGGAGTGTTGAGGTTGTTGGGGGAGATGGAATGCTGGTTGTAGATGGCGTGGAAGGAAGAGGTAAGGGAGTGTTGGGTGACGGTGGTGCAGGTTGAGGCTTTTGTGTTGACGCTGTTGAAGGAGTACGTGCTGATTCTGTTGAAGAGGTACGTGTTAATCTTGTTGAAGGAGTATGCGTTGACTCTGCTAAGGGCGTATGGGTTGACACAACGGAGGAAGTATGCGTTGACTCCGTTGAAGGACTACGTGTTGATTCAATGCGTCTTGTGGTTGATGCTATTGAAGGAGTACGTGTTGATCTTGTTGAAGAAGTATGTGTTGACTCCGTTGAAGACATACGTGTTGACTCCGTAGGTGTAGGGGTCGGTTTTATTGAGGAACGTGTTGACCTTGTTGAAGGAGCATGCGTTGACTCTGTTGAGGGCATATAGGTTGACACAACTACAGTATTATTCAACAGCGTTGAAGACGTACGTGTTAACTCCGCTGGAAGTTCATATGTTGATTCCACTGGCGGTATCGGTGTTGGTTCAACTAAAGGAGTATGTGTTGACACCACCGAAGGCGTACGCGTTGACTTCGTTGAAGGACTATGTGGCGACTCTGTTGAACGTGTACGTGCTGACTCCGCTAGAAGTGTATATGATGCTTCCACTGTAGATTTAGGTGTTGATTCCACTAAGGGAGTATGTGTTGACGCTGTTGGGGACGTATGTACTGGCTCCACTGGAGATGAAGGGTTTGAATTTACCAGAAGTGTATATGTTGGTTCCACAGAAGGAGTATGTGCTGATTCTTTTAGAGCTGTCTGTGTTGGCTCCACTGGAGGCGTAGACGACGCTGATAGGCTAGCCTCAGATAGAGTCGATGAGCTCGATGGAGATGTGAGGGGAGAACCCGTCCCCCCCTGTGGAACAATCAAGACCGACACTGACGAATCTGTCGAACAAATCCCTCTATTCGGTGGGTCTCCGTATAAACAGACGCACTCCTGTTTTGTGACGTTCCACGTTGAACTATCCGGGCACGACACACAACTCTGATCAGGCCAACTCCAGTTCTTGCCAATCGCACAGCATTGTTTGTAACGTTCATCCATATGCTGGCCTTCAGGGCATGTATCGTTGTTTAGTGGTGGTGGTGACGAGGCGGACGTGCAGTTTCCGTCTGTGCCAGGATAACATGTTGGAGTCGGAATTGGTGGAGGGAGCGTTGTATTAACAACTGGTGAAGGGGTAATTACTGATACGCTAATGCGTATTGGAGTCGAGACCGGTAGAGGGGAAGTTGATATAGAACCTGGTGGTAGACTTCTGACTGACGTGGTACTCTGCGTTGGAGGGGAAGATGAGGATGCCTTAGGCGAAGACGGCTTAGGCGAAGACGACTTAGTCGAGGATATACTGGCCGATGATATACTAGGTAAGGATATACTAGGCAAAGACAGCTTAGGCAAAGACGACTGAGGCGAGGGTATAACAGGCGAGGATATACTGGGCGAGGTTGTCTTGGGCGAAGATGTGCTGGGCGACGATATCCTGGTTAAGGATAGCCTAGGTGAAGATAATAAAAGCGAGGACGATGCTATGGTAGAGGAAGGAGATAGCAAAGGAGGGCTGATAGATGGAATATATGAAATAGATGGAGGGGGCGCTTTTGGAGTGGTAGTGCTTGAGGGAGGGCTGTATACCGGAGGAGTTAGCACAGAGCGACTCTCTGCTGGCGGAGACAGAGTAGGAGGATTATCTGATAGCGAGGATAGAGCAGTAGGGCTCTCTACTAGCGAAGCTGGAGTAGGAGGATTGTCTACTGTCGAAGACAGTGTATCGTGGCTTTTGACTGAGGAAGACATAGTGGGAGGGTCCTCTGCTAGCGCGGCGAATGCAGATGGGTTTCCAACCGGTGGGGATTGAGTAGGACTCTCTGTTGACGGAGACCGAACAGGACTCTCTACTGACGGAGACAGAGTAGAGGGGCCTTCGACTGGAAGAGTAGGATTAGGTAATCCCTCTACTGGAGGAGACGGAGTATCAGGAGCCTCTGCTGCCGAAGTCGGAGTAGGAGGGCTTTCGACCGAAAGAATAGGAGTGATTGGACTTGCTACAGGAGGAGGAGTTGGAGGGCCCTGGGGCGGAAAATTGGGAGTAGAACCACCTTCAGTCGGAGTACTAGGGATAATTCCACTTCCAGTCGGAGTACTAGGAGTAGTATAACTTGTAGTTGGAGTACTAGGGGTTGCAGGACTTTCAGCTGGAGTGCTAGGGATAGGAGGGAGTTCAGTCGGAGAACCAGGGGTAGGAAGATTATCAGCCAGAGAACTAGAGATAAGAACGTTTTCAGTCGGAGGATCAGGAGTGGGTGAACCTCGAATCGGAGGACTGATATTGGGCGAGCTGCGGGTTGGAGGCGTAGCTGGAGGCTCTTCCCTTGATGGAGATGGCGAAGGCTCCTCTGACTTAACTGTACTGGACACAGTACTACTTTCCAGAGGGCTAGGAGAAGGCTCAGGCTCGAAAGTGGGCCTTGTGGTGGATCGTTCGCTGTCACTAGGAATGGGCGTGCGTAATGTAGGATCGAGGATTCTTGAGGATGCTACTGTAGGTGGGGCTAGAGGACCACCACTCAATTGACTCTCGGGTATCAATGGGGACGAAATCGAAGTCGGATTATCAGAAGGTAGGAGGTAAGGTATAGGCGTAAAGGACAAGCTCTTTAGAGCCCCAGAAGTAGACCGCACTGAGTTGGGAGTTGACTCCACTTTGATGGGTAGGGCGGCAGTTGACACTCTACTTACTGAGGAAGCCTCTACTGGAATCGACGCCTGCGCAGACGTGGGCAACAGAGGGGACTGGTTCGAAACCGGATGGTTTGTTAGAAGAGTTATCGCATTGGAGGGTAGTGTATTTGAGAGTGGTGTATTCGACAGTGGAGTATTTGATAGTGGTGCATTCGAGGGCGATGCATTCGAGGGCGATGTATTCGAGGGCGATGTATTCGAGGGCGATGTATTCGAGAGCGGTGTATCCGATGAGGGTGCAATTGATAGTGGTGTATCTAACGGTGGGGTATTCGATGGAAGTGTATTCGACTGAAATATGATTGATGGAAGTATATTCGATGGAAGTGTACTGGGTGACGCTACGTCTGACGTTGGTGCGATTGAAGGCGGTGCACTCGACGATGGAATATTCGACGCGGGAGTATTCGACAGAGGTGTATTTGATAGTGGAGTACTCGACAGAGAGACCTGTGAAGGAGTTTCATTCGATGCTGGTGCATTTGACGATATTGAATTCGACATCGGTGCGTTCGAAGTTGGGGCAATCGACGATGGAACTGCATTTGAAGGTGGTACCTCTGAAGGCGATACATTTGACGGTAGAGCATTTGACGGTAGAGCATTTGACGGTAGAGCATTTGACGGTAGAGCATTTGACGGTAGAGCATTGGACGGTAGAGCATTGGACGGTAGAGCATTGGACGGTAGAGCATTGGACGGTAGAGCATTGGACGGTAGAGCATTGGACGGTAGAGTATTGGACGGTAGAGTGTTTGCCGGTGGGGTATCTGACAGCGGCGTATCCAAAGATACTGCGTTTGATGGTACTGCATTTGACGTTCGTGCGTTTGACGATTGCGCAATCAACGATAGTCCATTCGACGAGGGTGCAATCGATCCTGCTATGTTTGAAGGTACAAGACTTGACGGCAGTGCATTTGACACTTGGTTCGAAGCTGGAGGTATTGATACGGTTGCACCTGATGCCTTGGGCGATATCTTCTTCGCAAGATCCTGCAATCCCTCGCAGCCATCTGGAAGAAACTCCTGTGCGACAGGGTAGGCCTCACTAACCACGTAGTTACACAGCATGCTAGCTCCAAAGACAGCGAAGAACTGTCCAGCGGGCTGTGGAAGTTTTTCCCCGCTATATACGCTCTTGACGCAAGTTTCCACGACGCGTGGTGTGAAGCTTCCTGGATCCTCACCGCTGAAGTAGGAGTCGCATACTGATGAGATGGTATCGGCGACTAGATTTCGTGCAAACACTTCGCCGTTTTGGCCCTGGGCATTAGCCTTCTCCGCGAGGTCGGCGCTGAATTCTTCGGCGAAGGCTTTGACTTTATCGCTCACAGCTCGGACGCGGTGTACGGCTCGTCGACGAAGCTCGTGTTGACGTTCGTTTACGGCGGCTGCTTGTGTGCCCGGTAATAATATTATGAGCCCTAGGAGGAAGGTCATGAATAGCATGTTCTTCGGTGCTCTTCGTTGTGACACTGTATTGCTCGTGGCGTACTCAGGTCGGCTCGTGGCACCTGATTGAGGCCCAGCAATGGAACTCGTCTTCTTTGCCTGTCCAGCACCAGCTGAGGGCGAGGGTGTCTCCTGGACCCTTGGACATTGCTGCTCGTCAGCTTTGCCCCCGTTGTCCACTTTTGTACCCTCCTTCGTGCCATCACTCGTGAGTGAGAACTGAGCACAGCTTGGGAGCATAACATGCTGCTCTTGTTGTATCTGACTGTCTCTTTCGTTCTGGGCAAAAGGGTTCCAAGGATCTCCTTGGTTCTGTGTGAAGGTGAAGTTTGACATGTATGAACTGATACCGGTTGGACATTTCACGTCGTTCGAACATGACATGCTACCCCCATCCGTGTTGCATTTGACATTTTGGAAGCCATTGATGCTGGAGCACGCTGGTCCTTTGCAGTTGTACTGAAGCTCATATGTGTTCTGTGAATAAAGGGATGAGGTTAGCAGAGGGTTTGAACCTAGAAGATTTGCGGGTATTACATACCACACCAGGCCCGCAGTTCGAGAAGATGCCTGCGGCCTGGGTAATACTGTTATCTGCTCTCTCAAACTCCAGCATCGTTGTGTGAGGAAGAACGGTCTGACCAAGTAGACTACTAACAGGCCTGTAGACGAGAAAGGAAATGAAGGTCTCAATATATGAAGCAAGGCACCAAAGATAATATAGAAGAGGCGGAAGCAACTATACATTAGGCAGACTAGAAATAGCAGACCAATGAAAAGGCGAAGATGGCTTTTACTATGACCAAAAGCGAGAGGGACCCGCGAGACAGTAGAGAGGCTCTGGCGGACGGCGGACCAAGGAAAAAGGCTGGAGCAAGCCATGCGTCGCACCGCCCAGAAGAGTGCACCACCATTGCTGGCTGGTTGTGGACGAAGGTGGAACATTGCCCTGGCATTCGCCTTCGCATTTTTAGGCGACTATAGGAGACACGGTCTGGAAGACAGCGTTCCTAAAGCTTGAAATGATTGTTGTTTTAGTTTTTCTGCGCAGCGTGGACCCGGCTTTGGTGCAGCTGCAGGCAAGTAACTCCTGTCGAAAATTCCATGTACAACGTCATTGAGCGTATGTGAACCACATCAAGGGTGTCGGTCTCGCACATTCAAGATCCTCCTTCCGCGCTACACACTATTCTGTTCAACAGTCAGTAAGTCTTACTATTTATTACATGTGCCGGAATTAGTCCAAAAGGCCTCCGTGTAGCCCTCCGCCATCTACTTCGCCCCAGCCGTCTCAACGAACCCGCGACCAATTTCTCTTCTCGTCCTGTTCACAAGACATCCTTCAGTGGGCGACGTCGTAGCATGCTAGAGCGGGAGGAGAAGCTGTGAAACTTGGCATCTTCAGCCGTACTCGGCCACCGAGATCATTGGCGGGGCTGCGTCTGCCATCTCGTAAAGGTGGCAGCTGCAGTGTAAGACGGGGGAACACTGGGGAATGCTGGAGACTGGAGGCTGGAGACCTGCGTCTCGGATGACGGGACGCTGCTGGTTTTGGTAGGAGTTACAGCCGCGCAAGAGACGGTACCGGTACTACCCTGGTTGGGCCTAGTGCCGGCGCGATATCTAGACATCCTATGTCTGCACTACGAAGTATGGAGAACCCAATCCCCTGTATATAGAAGTTTTAATAGAATAGCACTTAAGGTACTTATACTCTAACAAAAATACATAATCTCGCTCTTGAAAATAACATGAGAAAGGACGTGGGTTATGATGACCATAACTGAGGCCAGTGCTAGGTTTCACACATCATAATATTTCAAGCGTCCTGTAATAATCCCAAATAGCACACTGAAATAGACTGTGCCTAGTTCCGACAATGTTATGTTGTCATTTCCAGATTTTGCCATGCATTCCCACCTCCTCTGGCGCCAATGGTTGGAATGCACTCGGATTGTATGAAGCTGGATAACCAGGTAGATCCAGGACCGACGTCGTATCCGCATGTCCATATCGGCCGTATGAGGCTTCGCTATCTAGAGCACTCTTATCGTCGAAGTCAACCGTGAAACTGTGGGTTGGAGTGGTATCGGCATCCAAATTTCCATTGCGCTTGTAGACAGGAGATGGTAGGCGTATCCTGGGTATGTCTTTTGGTACTTGCGCTGGTGTATCGTATTCGAAGTCTTCCCAAGTAGTCTCTAGACTCTCGCTTGAGTAGTTCTTCATTCCCTTGCGACGGCTGCGATTTGAGTACATAGAAGAGCTTCGAGACATGAGCTTGGGCCGAGCTTGAGTTGGCTCGAGTGAAATATGTCCTGCCTGTTGGCTGTTTCCGGGTCCTATTACGGGTCGCTCCTTGTCTACCCCCTGGGTTGCTTCGACCATGTCCTCCATATGACTGCCTTTTTTCTTCTTATTGTTGAATATGAGCGAGACAATGAGGAGGACGAGAAGAGCCAAGGCTGAGCTGATGGCTATGGGTGCTGGCTCGACCTTGATCTTATGACTCGAGGGTAGGAGGCCTTCCGGAGGTGCGAGCCACACAGTCGGAAGTTGATTGCTGGTTGGAGAGGGTGCTGCCATCGGGAAACGGGAGAAAGAAAGAAAGTAGTAGTAGTCGAGCAACAAATTCGCAGCGGGATTGCGAATGCCAAAAGATCGAGCCCCAGAGACCGATCAAATACCCTCCTTAGCGCTTGTAGCTACAAACGGCGAAGTCACGCAACACTTTACGTTATGACGTTTGTATACACCATTCACACATCAAACAGCATTGTGTCCTCGGCGCCTAGCCTCGGAAGATCCAACTTCCTTCTGTAACATGTTGCCCTCCTTCGACGACTGGTTTTTCCCTTTTCTCTTTAACTCTGCCATAGAGATAGGCGGTGGCTCTTTCCTCTTCTTCGCGTCCGGCGAGCTCATCTTGCGCATCTCTGCCTCCAAAGTTGCGCCGAGACGCTCAAGTAGCCATTGAGCCTCGGATTGATTTCCCATTAGTGGACTGCGAATGCCAAGCCAACTCCATGCTACTGTATCACCGTCGTCTGCCGTGCCGATATCTGGGGAGTCGCTCCCGTTTTTCTGTTGCTTAGTCGCAGGTTTCCGATGGCCCGAGGCATCGTTCTCGTCTTGGCCGATCAAGCGGAGGTAGAACTGCCACTCCTGATACTTGTACTGTCGTGCTGGTGATGCATCTACGTCTTTCATCAGTTTTCGGATCTCCTTTGCCAAAACGAAATGATAAAAGTGTATATCGCGTTCGAGGTAGTCCCCGTGTTCGCCTGCCTCTTCCGCTTCGCCGAGCTCTGCCTCTTCAATATGTCCTGCAAGACGATCTAGATTGCGCTGTTCAGATGCACCCGAAGTAGCCTTACGATAGTCCTCTTCTTCCTCATGCATTTTTCCGTGTGTCATCCTCTTTATCCCGACTTTGAGTGATGTCCCGAGCCCTGCCTCGTCAGGGAGGACCGTGAGTGAGCCAATCCAGATCGTAAAGTCCTTGAACTCCTTAATTACTGTATCTCCCATGTTGCTGATTAGGATTGTGAGGGTTGGTACAGCCAGCATAGACCAGAACACGAAGAATGCTTTGCCAGCATTGCTATTGACGGTAAAATCGCCATAGCCAATCGTGAGTAGTGTGGTGTAGGCGAAGTATAGCGAAACAAAGTAGCTGAATCCCTGCGGCTTTTCCGAGAACATGAAGACCAAAGCTCCAAGGAACCACAACAGAAGTGCTGCTGCAGTGGATATAGCGAGCGCTATCCATCTTCTCTTTCTCTGAGATAATTCCTGCACCCGCCGCATCACACGGAATTCCTGCTCTCTTCTTTGAGACTCTGAAAGGCCTTTTTGGGAAAACTTGATCGTTTCGAAAGGTCCGAGTCTGATTGTCCTTGACTCATCATCGATGGACGATAGCACCTTTTCTCTCTTGTTTTCTACGAAGCGAGCAGCCATCTTCTGTTTACCGTGCTCAAGGATCAGAGACCGGATGGAGCCGATTACGAGACCAATCATGACTAGGCCACCAATTGCGTACGGAAATAGTAACCCGCGTCCTGTGTGGCTTTTTGGAACAAATTCTCCGCCGAGTCCAACCGTAAGCAGAGTGAAGTCAGCCCAGAAAACTCCATCTAAGAAGTTCCAATTTTCCACCGTCGAGAAGACCAGCGCGCCTAGCAGTAGGTAGACCATGAAACCAATGGTTTGCAGCATCAGAGTTCTCTGGCTAGGCGTCAATCGGAATTCTTTAGGATAGTGCCCTTGATAGGCTCCAAGCGCCGTGAAGACCATGAGCGACGAGATGATGAAGTAGACTCCAGCTGCCATGATGCCGTAGTAGTACGCTTGGCCTAAAGCATGCTCTTGTAGGGGCTGTATACGAAATACCGATGTCGAGGCTACCGCGACCAAGGCAATGAGGAGGAACGAAGCCAAATAGAACCCGATTATGGTGATGGGCTGTGCGATAGCGAATGATAGCCGTCGTGACATATTCAGAAGTAAGGCTATGTTTGCGACTAGTGCCAAGACAAGGGAAATCGAGTTGACCGCAATAAGCCATTTCGGATCCTCGATCTTGATACCGTGGGCTTCGTCGCTACCAGGAGGTATGTAGACTCTCCATTTCTCTACGAGCGCGCATATACTAAACGCGTTGGCCATGGGCCCGAATGTTCCAGCTAGTAAGGGACTCGCTGTCGACGCAAACCACCACCGACTAAATAAGTTAGCTTTTCTACCTGATAAGCTTTAATATTTGCTCACCTTGGATCAAGGTACTCGTCTTCTTCGTCCTCGGCCTGCTTATCCTCCTTTTTATCGTCATTTTGCACTTTGTCCTCGGCGTCTTGCGCAGCCTCATTGGCTGGCTCATGGAGGCCAGGATCGTTCATCTCTGCGCCGAAGACTGAGAATGTGGGTTTGGATTGTAGGTGGGAAGGGTCGATGCATGTCGTATGCGAGATTTTAGATAGCAGTAGCGCGTGCAATCTCCATATAGAATCAAGGTCCGTCCTAGCGCGAGTCGTGAACGGCAGCTGGGAACAAAGCCACAATGACGCACGCAGATCACGGGCAACATTGCCAGTTCGGGCAAGTCACGGTTGGCTTAGCAACTCCCATTCAACAACACCGGGGAACTAAAATGAGAATCAAATAAATTTAACACCACAGAGTTGCATTTGCGCTGAATGCAAGTTTAGGAATCGATAGTGCCGTCTCTCTAGAGACGCGTAAATGCCTCCGCGAAACCAGCTACAATTGGAGCCGAATACACGTACGTCGAGATGTACTCGAGCATAGTATCGGTTGTCGCGAACTAATCCGTAGTTGTCTATCAATGGAAACCCTAGATGGAGCGTATCCCCCTCCATGGTTTCCCAGACATCGGCAGAACCCCAGTTGGTTTGAGACTTCAGGGGTAGTGACTATTAGTGGCCCATTCTCTGACGCCTCTACATGCGAGACGTAGCGAGCGTTTGGCGACTCTGTTATGTTTCTGCGTCCGAAGGCTTGCACCAAATGACTCCCAACGAGTCGCAATGTTCCGAGTGTGTTTAACATAAGCTCATAGCCCCGCCTAGAGGCTTCAAGCTAGTCACTAAATGCTCGTACTGTGAGCCTATGTGCCTATGTAGGTAGTCCTATGTATGTCAATTCGCGTAGTCTGTAGTGCAATTCAGAAACCCTGTTGTATTACTTCCTTGAAGGCTGACAGGAATTGAGCCCTCCATGAGAAAGTGTTTCGTTACTGTCAATCTGATACTCGAGTCTAGCGGCCTCGGGATACTCTCTAGAAGTCTTGCATCTCCTTCTCGAGAGCTTACTCGGACTCGCTAAGTGTCGGGCTTCGAGCGCCCGTAACAGACCGTCTTTGCTAGGTGTGCTAGGAGCGCGAGTGAACAATGGCTGAGGGAAAGGGAGAAGGCCTGGAAGGCATGTAGGTCGCACCGCTGGGCAGGTGAATTGCTTTGCTCAGCTGTCTCCGTGACCGTTATTCTGAGCGCTTGCGTTGTGTGCTGAGGCCCCTGCTCTTGTTGGCGCGCGCGTTGTCTTAGCAAGTCTGTCTGAGCCTTGCCCTTCAGACTCTATCACCCCCACACCACACACCACACTACAATACTACAAAACCTCCAGCCGCTCGAAACCGTACTTGCTCTGTCGCCCCGACACCGTACTTGATCTGCCACCCTTTGAAACAACCAGTAAGTCTTGAAATGATTCTTATCTTCGCCACACGAGGAACATCCAGGTTGGGGCACCTGAGGACCATCACCCCCGCAGCCACGGCAGCCACTTCGACGCCCGACCAGCTCGTTCGCGTATTCGAACAATCAGGGGCCAGGAGCTTCGCAGCTTAATCCCGAGAGACTGAAGGAGCTCGAGGCATCTCTAACTGGGGTCTCGCGCGTCGGCCGCACCGAAGTAATGGCATCATAACAGTCCGCGTGTTCCACTCTTCGGTCTCCTCACACTCCCACGTCCAGGCCATCAGCTCTGACTGTCCGTTGATGTTTTTGCGCTATTTCAGGCGCTGCCTAAGAGGCACCACATTGACAGGAGTAGACTGACTCATGTTTAGACACTGCACTTCGACAGACCCCGCGAGATCCTCCGTAAGATTTGATCTCGTTAAACCACGGACCTTCACTTACACCAATTAGCAAAATGAATACCAACTCTTCCAAGCCCGTCGGCCCGCCGCCCGCCCCGATTCGTCCGCTCGAGGACAAGGCGAAGGACAAGGCGAACCCATTCGTGGGCCTCGATCTCATGGGCTTTGAGCCGGCCAAGGTCACCGCGGCGAGGAGTTTGGCAGAGGCCATGGGACCGGCCCCTCCGCCGCCTCCGATCGCAGAACATCGCAAGCCGCTTGAGCAGGGAGAGAGCTTGTGGAGCGTCAATCCGAGGCGCCTCCACAACATCCTTGGGGGTTGGGTTTGAGGTGACATGGTGGTGAGGAGCACCATGGAGAGATCGAATAGGTAAGCCTGGTACGCTTCAAGCCATTGATGACATAGACAGCGTCAATCGTGAACACACTGTCGCCCTTCTGGCACGATTATAGAAGGGAAGAGGCTGACACAATTACAGATAGCTGAAGAATACCAGACTGTAACTTCAAGTTAACAACTGATACCTTCGAGCTCTGTGTGTTCTCTAAGTCGTCTAATAGGAAAGCTGATATAGGTCCAGAAGTCCATTGAAGTATGCCACCGGTGTGCTTGGGGTTGACCCAAGATATCGCTATGTGCTCACAGTCAACAACGGTAACAAGCTGTGCGGGTGGGAAACCGGCGAACAAGGTGTTAATGTCCGTGTTGTTGGGACACTGTCCCATCCGTTATGTCCAGCAGCTTTGCAAGTCTCGTTGTGGCGTCTAAGAGCTACGAACGCTTGGGGTTCATCAAGCGCGGCCAACTCGGCGCTCGAGCTACCGGAGCACAGCTCGCTGGAGGCATGAACCTTCGTGGCAAACTTCTACATGCTCCTTCGAAAGTTCGAGATGTGTCCGCTGTAGGCGCCCATCGCGTTGGGCGTGGTGTGTCGATCCTAGAGGTGGTTGTGGGCACGCCACCGTTCGCTCAGTGGAGCGCCCGTTGGACAGAGGGTGTCGACAAAGGTGTGATGCCCACTCCACTCCAAACAGTGTCACCACTGTCTTTGCCTTGCAGCTTCATGCATTCTGCCCGGAGTTCCAAATGCCATGTATAGCGCGAGAAGAAAGCCGCGATTCGAGTCTGTGGGGCTCCGTCGTAACTTCGCTCGCTGTGCTGCGGCGGAAGAGCTTGTCCGAGGGACGGATACCTGCGGAACTGTGAGTTAAGCTCTACCAAGCAAACGTCGTATAGAGGTGGACGTCTACGGCCTGTGGTGGTGTGGAGTTGATTGTGGTTGTGCTGGTCGAAGGGCAGCTCAAATGCTGCGTACGGTAAGCTGTGTCAAAGCGCTTCCCCTCTCAGCTCCTGTCTGTGCAAGCTGAAGAGGCCAACAACAGGACCTTGGGGCTTACGATCCTCCCGCGAGCTGCCCGTGGACATTAGTGTCAGAGAAGCTGACGCCGTGTTAGACGCAGGCTCTCCGGCTGTCATGCATGCCCAGCTATACATTGGCGCACGATTCATGGACGCTACACCATCTGCTTCAGGCATAGTCGCATGCTGCGGACGTGCTTTAAGTTGACCACGACTGGTCTCTGCCTTTTGAAGGTACTTCTTGATTGCCTACATATGGAAAATGAATAACAGACTGTAGAGCGCCCTCTGGAAAACCGGCGAGGCAAGTGACACTGTTCTCTGGAAGCTGGAATATGAGACGGACGACTACCCCGGTTTTGCCCTGATAGCCGACTGTTTCTTCCAAGCGCTGCCAACGCGTTCAACAGAGTCGATTCTGTTCACCATGAGGGGTAACGCTGCTAACCCTAGGCTTTCTAAGCAACCTTTAGACAGATTAGAAATCCGGCCATCACCCCTGGAGCCCTCCGAGAGCCGTCTTCATCTGCCAGTGGCGCGACGGTGCTGTTCAATTCCACATTTTGGAGATATCCGATTTCTGATTTCCATCTTTCGAAGAAGGTGGCATGCTTCACAGGATGAGATACACAGCAAGATATCAAACCACGACGGTGACAAGTGTTGACCAACAAAGAGAAGGATGTGTTGAAAGAGGGTACATGAATGTTAGATTGTGCAACTCTGGCCATCTCATTTATTTCCAAATCCGATGTTTGGGATTGCTGTGGGGAGCGTGCTAGCGGTTCTTCGTACTTCCAACGAGGCGTTGGAAATACTGAATCCCAGTGTAATGTATTGCTGTCTCCATTTGGCTTCATTCTCATCATCTCTATCCCTTCAAGGTTGATCCTTCCTATTCATCAAAGGCGCGTCTTCTCGAATTGTTTGTTCGTTAGTCCATTGATACCTTTCAATTCCTCCACTCTTCTTCTACCGTCATTAATACCCCCCTTCAGCTTACTATACCTCTAGCTCGGCCGGACCCCCAACAAACTGTACACAAACTGTGTCTCCAAATCCACCTTCACTTCGGCTTCTATCACCACAGCTGTAGAACCTTCTCGTAGCATTAAGCCATCTAATTGTCGTCGCCGTCGCCACGGGAACTTCGCCAAGCCACGCTAGTTGCAAACAGCTCCTGCCTTTACGTCTACATAAACAACACCCAGCTGCTCACCTTCCTCACTAAACACTTTACCTGCCTTTCTAACCTCAATCTTGCACGAACAACCACCGTTTGTTGCAACTTCTCTCGCATCATGTCTGATACAGGCGCACCCGATGCTGGCTCCGACGCCGCTGCCCTCGCCCGCAAGGAGCAGCTCACTCAGGACCTTGCTCGAGCAAAAGACGCCGGCTGGAACAACCCGATCCCTTTCAAGTACGAGACTGTTGTCGGTGGTCAGCCTGCCGAAGATGAAACTCGCGACAGCGCCGCTTGGTTGTCTGAGGCAGTCATCTACCAGTGGGACGACGAATTTGGTGATGTTGGTGAGCCCAACCCTGAGCTCGAGCGGATGCTTTTCGAGGGCGACCATCTCCTTCGAGTTGGTGGCCATATCAAGGCGCTCTCCTTCGATGTGAACGTCGATGGCCCTGTCAATGTGAAGCCAGTCCGCAGTGTAAGTCACTCTGTCTTCGCTTTGAGGTACAATGACTAACAGCTTCGCAAAGTTCGAGGATGCTGGCCTACACCCAATCATGCTCGCGAACGTCAAGCTGTGCCAGTACAACGCTCCGACGCCTATCCAGTCTTACTGCATTCCCGCTGTTCTAACCGGAAACGACGTTGTCGCCATCGCCCAGACCGGTAACTTTACCCATGCACCATCAATAGACATTGTCACTTACATTCTACAGGCTCCGGCAAGACGGCTGCCTTCCTGCTCCCGATCTTGTCCAAGCTCATGGGCAAAGCGCGTCAGCTGGCTGCTCCGCGTCCTAACCCCGCCCGTTACAACCCTGCTACTGACCGCGTTCGCGCTGAGCCTCTTGTGCTCGTCGTCTGCCCAACCCGCGAGTTGGCCTGTCAGATATTTGATGAAGCCCGCCGTCTGTGCTACCGAACCATGCTGCGTCCTTGTGTCGTGTACGGTGGCGCTCCTACCAGGAACCAGCGTGAGCAACTTGAGATGGGCTGCGATATTCTCATCGCCACTCCTGGCCGTCTGATGGACTTCATGCAGAACCCGAGTCTGCTCTCCTTTAGGCGCCTCAAGTACGTCAAGCAGATTTTAGCTGCATTACGATGAGTTAGTTGCTAATTGGAGTGCAGGTTCACCGTGATCGATGAGGCTGATGAGCTGCTCTCCAGCGGCTGGGAGGAGGCTATGGAGAAGCTGTTCCAGGGTGCTGGTACGTTTTGCTTCTTCCTTACCGAAGTCTTCAACTAACATTTGACGTAGACATGAACGGAGATGCCGACCATACCTATCTCATGTTCTCCGCAACCTTCCCCAAGTCTGCCCGTAGGCTTGCCAAGGAGTACATGGACACTGACTATGTCCGCATCAAGGTGGGTAGGGTTGGCAGCACGCATGAGAACATCAAGCAGCAGATCGTTTACGTCAACGAGAATGAGAAGAACCAGGCACTATTCGATCTCATCTTCTCAGACGGCCCGCAGCGCACCTTGGTCTTCACCAACTCGAAGATCAAGTGCGACATGGTGGACGACTTCTTGTACAACAAGGGCTTGCCTGTGACTTCCATTCATTCGGACCGTACTCAGCGTGAGCGTGAGGATGCACTGTAGGTCTTCCAGTTCCGATGCTCACCGGCACAATCCACCATTGCTCGAGCATCCACTGACATATTTGCAGGCGCTCGTTCCGCACGGGTCGAAGCCCCATCATGGTCGCTACCGGCGTCACTGCTCGTGGACTTGATGTCGCCAATGTCAAGCATGTCATCAACTACGATTTGCCATCAACTCAGCACGACGGTATCACCGAGTACGTTCATCGCATTGGCCGTACTGCGCGCATTGGCAATGAAGGCAAGGCTACGTCTTTCTTCAATGATCGCAACGAGGATATTGGCGAGGACCTTGTGAAGCTTCTCCTCGAGTCCAAGCAGGAGATCCCCGACTTTCTCGAGCAGCATGCGCCCGAAGACCGCACTACGATCGATTGGCACGATGGCACTGATGATGAGTCCGATGACGGTCTTGGCGGCGGCTTTGGCGGAGATGCTGGTGGCTTCAATGCTGAAGCTAGCTTCGGCGGTGACAGCGGATTTAGCGTAGATAGCGGTGAACCGGTCGGCAACGATGTCAGTTATGGTGGAGGCTTCGCTGCCGATGCCAGCAGCAACAACGACAAGGTCGCTTCTTGGTAAGCAGGCTTGTCCTGGTGCTCTCCTGGGTTTCACTTTTCTCCAAAAGTTCTTCGCAACCCGGCCCTACCGGCTTACGCTCCTCGCCTGCGCCTTTGCAGCTTCAGACGGGGGACACAGATCTTCGGTTCCACGGTTTACGACATGATGATTGACGGCATCTGATGCAAGGTGGTTTGGCTCCGTGCTCTCTGGAACACTGAGGGCACTACTACCAATTCTTCAGCAAAGGAGATTATGGCCAACTAGTGCACATATACAAAATTTCAGAGTGTATCTGAACAGTATGCTTTCTTTCCCAAAACGTGATGTGAATTCTCCCTTGTTCTATAAAACTGACTGGAAGCCTAGAAGTAGTGCTTCAGACTCGCATAAAAACCTCGTGCCCACCTCAAAGTGGAAGAGAGATAAGCTTGAGAGCTGCTTGAGCTTCAAAACGAAGACCTGAGCCGCGGCCGCGGTAGATGTGAGTCAAGCGGGCATAATAAAGATTTCAGAACGTGGATTTGGTATAGCAAACAGTGTAGCTTGAGAATTGATTGATGGTATAACACATAAAGTATGCTTGAGTCTAATGGTATATGAACAGGTTCAAGGACGTCTGCCTAGATGCCCATTGCAGATCTGGGATAGCCCTAGAATCATGCAGTGGCTGAACGATCTCACCCTCTAGAAGAGTGTTAGGCTGGTAGAGGATAACATGATTGCTTTGGCCGGTGGGGGTGAGGAAGGACGTGAGTTAGATGTTTCAAGTGGACTGTGCATTAATCATTAGAACGTGATTTGGTTGTCTCAAGATAGGAGCAACAGATGTCATTCGTTTTATCCTGTTCCCTAGATCCGTTGTATATGTCTATGTCGATCGAGAATCTACGTTTCTGGCTTGCCGATTTCTGATGTGTAACTGCGTCTGTTCCTTACGAGGTGCTGGTTCTGTAACGGGACCGAATTCTTGGCGTGTAAAGCTCAAATGTTCGTTGAATTGGCGATGCTTGATAAATAAGTGCCAAAAGCGACAATGTCCGAGGCAACCCTGCAAGAGTGAATACTAGTTCAACATCATCCTTGTCGCGTTAGCGAGCAGGATTGCGATCGCAAAGTCCAGGGCCCGGTTTCTGAAACACCACAGAGCAAACAATTCCAATTAAACAGGCGCTTGACCCCTGTCGTGCGTCTCCGATGTTGACGTCACACCAATCAACGCGCGGAAGCGCGTTTTCTAATTATTCTGCGTCACGACAACCGCACCACCCGATGCTCACTCAGCACTCAATTCGATCAGCCACCGCACACGAGGAAGCACCATGAGCACCGAGACACCATCTTTCGCGTCATAGTCACGATGAGCAGCTACTGGCATTCTATCGCCTACTTCTTTCGCCTCCCCTACGTAAGATTAAGATCCTTAGAAGACTAGAATACGCTCTAACATATATACCCTCTTTAGCACATTCAGTGGAGAACAGCATTAATACAACTACCTCGCTTTGTCCCATTGTCGATCCTCCATGTCACATCGCCCAAGGGGCCACACCCATTCCTGATATCCCTGCCGAGCAGGAAGCATCATATCATCCATGTGTACGTCTTCGTACCACCGAATCCAGTCGATGTCGAGGACAATGTGGACGCGCAGCAGGCGCGCGAGAGGACAGGAGAATGGAAAGTGCCAGTCGTGCTGGACTTTCACGGCGGCGGATTCATAATGGGCTCTCCGCTAGAGCAGGCACCATACGCTTCGATGATGTCGCGTGAGCTAGGAGCGGTGGTGATCAGCGTCTCGTATCGCATTGGACCGTTCCATCAATTTCCCGCGGCGATACACGATGCGGAGGATGTTCTGTCAGCTATTCTGGATACGGATGGCATTTCAAAAGCTGGAAACGTACTCCGAACCGAGATACAGCGGTACTACGACATGGTACGGTCGACCGTTCTCGAGAAGAAGATGCAAGCAGCTCCGCATATGGAGCACGTCAAGACTATCACTCTTGATCCTACTCATCTCGCGATCTCGGGCTTTTCAGCGGGAGGTAATATCGCTCTGAATATGGCCATCTCGGTCCCACCATGCCCAGATTTGTCACTGTCAATGTCGCCTACCTTCCGTCGTTCTCGCTCCATTTCACGAGGCCCAAACCCTTCCGACACCATTTCGCCTCTCCTCCCACACAACCGCACCGCGACAATACTCGACGATGTGAACCAGCCATGGCCATCGCTCCTTCCTCCTCCACAAGCGCGCCCTGGAATGGTTCCTCTCCTCCTCTTCTACCCTTCGCTAGACGCAAGACTGTTACCGCATGAACGTCCGATGAAGCAATTGCCCAATGCCCTAAATCCTGACGACAAGACGCCACAAAAGCCACGGATGCCTGGCCTTTTCTCGATCATGGGACCGACTTACCTGCCTAAAAAGCTACGCCCTCATCCTAGAGCTAGTCCTGGCTTGGTTGACCCAAGCAACGTGCAGAAGAACGCCGCGGTCCTCCTCGTCCTACCAGAGAAAGACACCCTGGCAGTACAAAGCGATGTATGGGTCGATATAATGAATGAACATGATTGGAACGGCCCTGTGCACTTTGGCGATGGCAGAGAAGGAGACTGGGATGGTCATCAGGGTGGTTCCGCAAGCTCTAAAAAGCCCAGCAGAGAGAATGGCGGTCTCGAAGTTTGGCATGCGCCGAATTGCAGGCACGGCTGGACGCAGTTTCCGGATACATTTGTGCCTAAGCATGAGAGGCGGGAGAGGGAGCTGGTGTTTGCCAGGACATTGGACTTTGTGAAGGATAATTGGAAGAAGGAATTGCCGATACCCGCGGGCCGGCAGGGGAACAAGATTCAGGAGTTGAGGCCGTTGCATATACCCAGTAAATTTAACGGCCTTGCCGAGTGACGAACTTTACATTAGACTCAGCATTGTTTGGACAGCTCCCGGGTTGGAGACGTAGACTTTTTAATATATTACTAGTTATACCAGGAGATGAAGATTCAAACGACGAAGATACGCACAAATCATCTTCTACATCTGCCGTAGATATATCTACAGATCTTGGCTATGACTTTACATCTCCCTAGATAACATCATGGTCTTACCCATAGTACTATCCTCCACGCCAAGCAGCCGAGAATACTCCATGTAATACACAGCCATAGAGCCATTCGCAAGCTTCCTACGAGGCTTCTTACGCAATCACCGCGACTTGGGCAGGCTATGCTACTGCCAAGCAGAGATATCCGCTGCGCTGCACTGCGCTCCACCTGCAATGTACATACACGTCGCAACAAGCCAAACGTCTACTTACCTGAACGAAACACTCTACGCTCCACTATAGCAGATCGGCACTGCAACGGACGGCAACCTCCCGTACCCACACGTAATAAACTCCCAATAAGGCACGATAGTGTACGACTCTTGGCCCGGCCGGCGCGGGCGGCAGTACGCGCGGATGATCGACGTGGGCTGGTGGTGGGTGGGACAGATGAAAGCCGAGAAGCTTGGTATTTGCTTGGCTTGTGGTACGGGAGAGGGAGTGTTTGTGTGTTTGCTTGGGGCGGCTTGGCTAGTATAGAGGTTGTGTCAGGGTGAAGTTCAACGGGGGTGCATGTTGGGCTTGTGGACGGGTGGTGGAATGCTTGGCTGTGCGACGGTGAGGTGACATCCTTTCATGTTTGTATTGGGAAGGGTCGGATATTGGGGATGCTGAGATGCTTTAGAGTGGTGGGAAAGGGGTGGTATGGATGGTCTGGTGACGCTCTCGTGTGGGGGTGTTGGAGAGGTTTGTTTGGCTGCGTGTACAGCGCTTGTGTTGGATTTTGAATGAGGATGACTACCGTTGAAGCAAATGGGGTCTAACGAGTCGTGCTGGATAGACACAGGGTTTAGCAGCTTCGAAGCTTGTGTGAAACGACTCGTGCGGATCAGCTGGAAACGGAGAATATAGTCAGCGATCAAAGTCGAAACGTAAATTGTCACCTGCCAAGTGATGCAAAGGTGCAATCTCTGGATACTTGGTTCTGAATGTTTGAGCGAGAAGAAAGAACAGGGGACTAATCCCGCTTCCAGAGTGACGTCATCGAGAAACAACCGGAGGTTTGAAGGAAGCCGTGTTTCGTTTAGTCAGGCTCGCATCATTACCCGCATTTTACTCGCGCAAGTCTCGCTTTTGAAGGGGCTCTCGGCAATTACTCCATACCCTTCTCAGCATTTGGTACACCATCTCTGTGACAGTCTGCCTGCAGTGCACCTACAGTAGTTACGGTCCAGACTTGCGTGATACTGGCAAAAGGGTCGAGACCAGCCTTCAGACAGTCTGGAGAGCAGGCCTTTCCCCGCATGCACGACACTGGCGGTTGGATCAAGCTTACTGGAAACCGGCTGGGGCGCTTGCTGTTGAAACGTAAGATAGCAGGGATGCTCACAGCCAGCGAAGGAGAAGCTGGAGAGAGTGGAACCATTGCTCGGCGCTGCACGCGACTGCGACGCATGTCAAGTGCCCTACAGATTGGGGTGTGGATGAATTGGGTATCCCGCTGTGGTGTAGTCAGATGACAAAGTCGGATGCAGGCACGGCTACTGCTCGCGGCATCCAGGAAAAGGCATGTGAGAAGAGCGGTGAGGGTGTAGAACGGGAGAAGATGGCGAAGTGCGCTGTGTAGTGCTCCTGAGGTAGGCCATAATAAGGACTGTAGATAGTGGGACATGCAGAGGAGAGCAGAAGAACAGATGTCGGCCATGTTCGCGATCTGGCGAGCGGAAGAGACGTCTGCAGTGCAACAGCGCGTGCATGTGCTCGTCTTGATTTGCAGCGAGATGCAGCACGACGTCGCAGAGGTATGGATGGATTAATAGCAGTGCGTTTGCTAGCGCAGCTGCACGTCTTCCAGTGCATCGTGCATTCTCGCCGGCTTGCAGCGCTTGAAGGGAGCGGCAGACAGGTATTCGCCTGTCCATCAGGGTCTGATGCGACCTCTGCCGTTGCGCCATTCACTCGGCTGTGGGTATTTGGGCGACAAACCTGATTTGGCCCGTACGGAAAGCCTTCTTTGGGTGCTGACAAAGGCGCAGGCTGAGCCGCCGACAAAGAAGGGCTTTGGTGGGTGACGAGGACAAGGAAAGGTCAGCGTGGGCTACGAGGAGTCGGTGTGTGATGAATGCCTAGCGCATCGAGAACAAAGTCTGCACTGTAGCCGCCGCTGAGCAGATTTCATTACTGTACACCCCGACCGAGCCCGTGGCACGGTAAATTGCGAGCTTACATGGGCCATTTCCTGCGCGCTCAAACTTGCTAAAACCAAGTATTGAATTGGTCGACATTTCCCTGGAGCGCCAATTTACTTCCGGCTACCTGCGTTTGCTAACCAGGGCGCTGCCGAAAGCCCGACACGCCAACTGCACATCAAATTCCTCTTCTTCCCTCCTCCTCGTCCAACTACTCGCTCGACGTGCCACTGTCGCAGCAGTTACTGCGGCCATTGTCTGACCAAGGACTGCGCCGCCTTCGATCTACCTAACCGCCTAGCGAGTACCTCACCACACTCACCCTCGCACACCCACCCATCCCGGCGGCCGTTGCCACAGTCGCTGAGGATCCTTTACATCATCTTCACCAGGAAGCTCTTCCAAAACAACACCGCCCAATCGTGCCGCTTCTGACACGTATTCGAGCTTCCACTTCATCCCACTTTGGTCGACCCCTCAGACTTTCCCATCATGTTGATTTCGATATTATAACACACGCCTCCCTCGGGGTCCTACCCTCACCTTTGACACGCTTCAGCAATACCCATATTCGCTACACACCACCACCCCGACCTTACTACGAAACTGTCCTTTGTGTCTAATTTGGATTCCCTGGGTCACCATCAACGACAGCCAGCGACTCGTATTACTTCACGAGCATTTCCTTTCGCATCCCATAATCTGTTTTTACTTACGCGCGAGCATCAAGAAGCACAACACCACCATACTTGCTACGAATCAACATGGCGAACGAACAACATCACATCAGCAGACAAGGCGCACTGGGGGTTGGCACTCAGCGGAACGTTTCAAACACGTCGTTACCAGCTATGACGGCAGAGGAAGAGGCAGTAGCCGACGTGGACGAGCCTCCTGAACCGTCGCGTACTCCACGTCCTGCCCCTTTGCAGCTTCACCAGTCTCCGACAACCTCCTTTACCAAGTTCCCACCCGTCCTTGATCGAAAAGAATCACTCTTGACCAATGCGCTGAAATGGAACTCAAACACAAGCTCGCCCGTCGACGAGCATCCCGACAAAACCCCTCTCCGCGGACTATCGTGCATCTCAACATGGAGCAACGCCAGCGGCACAACGGCCGAGCTGACCAGCGACGGAGGTTTCACAAGCCCGGGTACGCGAACTAGCACGCCGAGCCCGCCGCTTCCTTCGGCTACGTTCCATCGAAATATGCCCATGTTCAGCAAGAAGACGTTTGAGCTGCCAGTTTCAGTTGTCTCGCACGATGACGACATGGTCAGCCCATTGCAGAAGACTGCGACTCCAATGAACGATGAGCAGAATGTGGAAGCCGTGCTGGGAAGGAAGAGACGGATCATGTTTGCATGCGGCCAGAAAGAGGAGAAAAAGCCAGCAGAGCCACCAGCGAAGCCAACACCTGCTCCAGCAGACGAACCTCCAAAGCGTGCTTGCACGATTAAATTCGCTTGCCCTACCAAGATATCCACAGAGGCCATTTCCAAGACGACCAAGCCCCGCGCCCGTGTGCTCAGCCCCGCACCGTTGGCGCGCCGGATACCGTCGTCTCCAAAGCCGTCGTTGAGGGCCCACCGCGATTCCGATTCGACAGTCTGCAACAAATCTCCCGTAAGCGTTCGCAAGGTGCCCATGGTGGATCGTACTCGCCGCCTCAGTGTCAACTCAGATCTTGCTCGGTGCGAGAAATATCGCTTCCATGAGTTCGCAAGCTCAGAAGAGGAGGTCGAAGAATGGACACAAGAGGTCACATGTCACCGTAACCGCCTCACTGTTCAGGACACTCTCAAGGTCGAGAACACGCTACGTCAAATGGGTGAGGAGGCTGAAGAAGAGGCATTAGAGGAAGAGAACGAAGGAGATGACGCTGCAGAGATGGGCGACGATGATGATGACGACGATGATGACGACCTTGATGAGGACGGCAACGCCAGTGATGGGTACAGCGATGTCACCGATGAAGGCTTCCAAACCGATGATGAAGACGGCTTTGCAGTCTCAGACGATGAGAGCGATGCCGGTTCCGATTACAACTGGTGGGCACCTGGAGCCTCCACCGCCGCCACATCGGTTGAACATCTTGAGCATCTTCGCCTGAAGACCCATCGCACCGTGTCTGAGTCTTCGATCGGATCATTGGAGAGCCGGGAAGGCCTCAAAATCTCCGACAAGCCACACTACAAGCGCACAAAGTCAAGACCGGTCAACATCCGCGTCCCAAGTCCTGAGCTGCCTGACAGTACAGATTTTGTCTGCGGAACGCTCGACGAGGACCGACCTGCAGAAGAAGCGTACATGTCGACTTTGAAACGCCGACGCGAAGCTAAGCAGAAGAAGACGCCCCAAGATATCGACCCCACGTTCCCAGCATCCGACCCTGAACTCCCCGATGACGAGGAGGACGAGGTGTCGGAAGTGGAAGAGCCTTCGGAAAGCGATTTCATGCTGCATGGTCGCATGGACCCTGTCGACGGCGATCTACGGGGTCGTCGTAAGGATGCTCCGAAGAAGCGCTCTCCCGCACAATCACCTAGAAGGCTTCGATCACCGCCACCAGCGAAGCGTACCGTGCATCGCTCTCCACCTCCCCGCAAGCTTTTTGGAAACTCGCCCAAGCGTCTCCACTCTCCTCCACCACCTATGCGCCTGCGTCCGCCTCCACCCACCCGCCACAACACGGTCAACCCTCGCACGACGCGGCAGCGTAGCGAGATGGCGATTCGCTTTGGCGGCGGTATTGCTGGGCGCCGTGCGCTCACAGTCTCTGCCTCGGTCCCTCGAACTCCCATCAACATGATGAATCCGTTTGAGCTTGAGGAAGAAGATATGGGCCCTGATGAGATGCCCGTCCGCCGCGCCATCGCTATCCAGGTCGGTCTCGAGAAGAAGAGGCAGCGCCGTAAGGATCAGCTGTACCGGAAGCAGCACCGCAAGGGCGCCAAAGAGAAGCGTCCTGCACCTGGAAAAGGCGCAGAACGCATGCGCGAGATGGGTCTTGCGGCCCATGCTCACAAGGGCAAGACAACCGCGTTTGGACCTTTCCAGATTCCCACCAACAACGATCAAAAGGACATGCACGTGCTGTCGGTGTAGACGACAGTCCATGTGTGAAGTGAAGACCAGCGCCGTCAACGCTAGTTGCATTTTACATGTTCCCACACTCGATGAGTGCGGGACTTGTTGGTCGCTGGTCTCACACCCCCACCATGGGTCAAGCATGGCTCAGCCAGCACCCATTCATTCGCTTCTTAGGACAATCTATTGTCGCAACATATTTTACTTCCCTTCTTTTCAGGCTTCATCATGTACATAGCCTGCCATGGTATATTTCCCGGTTCGATTCTTAGTACCTCTTCATATTAGTCTGATGTTTGTTGGGAGGAATCGGGTTCTTTTGTTATCAACATTGCATTGCATTGTATTGCATTGCACTGGCTGGGTTATCTTGCATTGGGGCCTCCCTTTATTATGACGAGGTTGAGTGCCCTTGGGGAGTCTTTTTGATACGGTGGATATCCCATGATGAATGAACGATTACTACACTACAGTAGACTATATTTGCGCTGTGACCAGTGTTCTCGTACGTGTTTGCAAGCCCATGCACCGAGGGTTTACTAGGTAGTTGCTCAGGGTAAAGGGATCAGCGGTTACACCAACATGTCGTTACCAGGTTTTCTTTGACAGTTGCCATGTGCGATGGCAAAAGCTGCCGCGTGGCTCAACCAAACTTGCGCAGCCTCTCACCATTCAGTCACCACCACTCAGCGTGTCAACCAAAAACCCTCCTCTCGTTGCGACATTATTACCAGCTGTATGCTCCTATCCAAAGTTCGGGTCCAATCTCAACCGGTGGCCCACAACAGGCCCGCGCGACAGAAGCTTGGTTGTGCCCATGTTTGTGTCCTACTAGCCTCGGGGGCGGTCTTTGACAGTCGGGGACGTGTTTTTACAGTTTGCCTCTGGTAGCCGGCGCTAGTTGGGGATTCGAGGCTGCATAAATCTCTAACTAAAGCGGATCCCTCGCCACGAAAAGGGTCTCGACGGCTTTCTAGCTGGAGTAGGGATTGACAAGCGGCGGTAGCAAAAGAGTCTCAAACTGTAGATCTTGTAGAGGTGAGACAGAGGCGTCCAGAAAAAAAATGCAGGTCCTCATCCCCGGTGTGGATGGCGCCTTGCCCGATTGAGCGGGTGGCCACCAGAGGCCGCGCGTGTTTGACAGTCGCGATGGCTAAGCGCTGGGAAACCATTACCAGGCGCTGTAAACATGGCATAAGCAGACAATATAGAGGGGGCGAAGAGTAGAGTTAGAGAAGCACTCAGCCACCCCACCAAGGTTCAGGCCAGAAATATACATGCCTCATGTTGAACTGATGAGCCTCCGCCGGGGGGAAGGAAAGCGCCGTCGCAAATCATATCATTGATAGCGGACCCCCACCCCCCTGTCATTGGGCACCCGCCTCCGACCCCCGTTCTGTTCTGCTTGCACCCTTCGAAGACGGGTCCTGCTCCGCTCCTTTTCTTTCCACCTCCGCAACGCCTCACGTGCGTCTAATAGGGCCAAAAGACCTTTCTTCAACCTACCATCATGCACCTGTTGGGATAGACGGGTCATTCTTACCACTACACTCTCCCTGCCCTCTTCACGCCCTTTTCGCCTCGACACACACATACACACGCCGGCCTGTGGCCTTATCTCGTCCACTACCACTACCGCTACCAATACCACATCGCCCGTCCTTCGCCGTCCCGTCCTTCGTTACCGTGTACATATACGTTTAATCGCCTGTATCCATGTCGCCGTCGTCCTTTGCAACTCCCTTAATAATATAGATACACGCGCCCTCGACGAACCCCAGCGTTCGCGCGTGTCGTCGAGTCTCGCCGCTACCCACGCTTGGAATCAGACGCCCCGGATCCTGCTACCCCCAATGTTGATGAAGAAGATGTGGATCGTGGAAGAGCGCAAGGACAAGACAGTCTACCGCCGACGCTGCCCCGGCGCCTCGGAGATTCTGTCTTTCCTCTTCGTCTCGACGTGCGCCCTCCTGTTCCTGCTCATCTGCTCCATCCTGTACGGCACACGCACCGAGAACCCCTCGTTGCCGCCGCTCGTCAAGGAAGTCCTGCCCGCGGGCCGCTGTCTGTGCGAGTTCAGCACCACCTTTTCGTGCGATACCTGTCTGGACTGCGCGAGCAACCAGGTCATCTTGACGGGCAACTCGACGCTCAAGGAGGAGGAGGACTACTGGACGTTCAAATATACACGGGACAGGAATAATTATGGCCTGGATGAGGCCCAGTGTCAGAGCGCGTTTCCGGGACAGTACGAGGACATTGAACGCGCCGTCAAGGTGCGCAAGAGGTGGGGGAAGGTGACCGAGGCGGATCTGTCGAGTTTTGATCTGACCAAAGGCATGGTTCGGGGCATGATTTATGACAGAGAGGTTCGTCTAACGCTACGCGTGGTGGTTGTGCTTGCATGCTGACGTCGAGGTAACAGCTCTACATTCTCGAAACCTATCTAGTCGACAACGTCAATCGCCAAAAAGCCCTCGCCTCCCTCAGCGCAATGTATCGCGCCGTCCTCGCCGCGCCTGCCAAAGCAGACATTCCCAACATCGAGTTTGTCTTCTCAGTCGAAGATCTCCCCGCACAACCTACGAAGCCCATGTGGTCGCTCGCGCGCCGCGTCCAGGACCACAACCTCTGGCTTATCCCTGACTTTGGCTTCTGGAGTTGGGATATGCCTGCGTTGGGCACGCTCGACGAAGTAGCAAACGAGGCGATAGAGCGGGAAAGCATCGAGACGTGGGACCAGAAGATGGAGAAGCTGGTCTGGCGCGGCAAGATTACGTTTGCGCCGAAGCTGCGGAGAGCGCTGCTGGACGCGGCCAAGGGCAAACCGTGGAGCGATGTTGGGCAGCTGAAGTGGACGGATCCGAACTTCAAGGAGCAGTTTCTGGGCCCTGTGGATCAGTGCAACTACATGTTCATTGCACATGCTGAGGGTATGTCACTCCGAACCCTAAGAATAGTCAGGAGCTAACAATCACCTCAGGAAGGTCCTACTCGGGCTCCCTCAAGTACCGCCAACTTTGCCGCTCCGTCATCGTCTCGCACAAGCTGCAGTGGATCCAGCACTACCACTACCTCTTCCGCTCCAACGGCTCGAACCAAAACTTCGTCGAGGTCGAGCGCGACTTCTCCGACCTCTCCTCTGCCATGGAAGACCTGCTCGACCACCCCGAGAAAGCGAGGCGCATCGCCGACAACTCTGTCCAGGTGTTTAGAGAACGTTACCTGACCCAAGCAGCCGAGGCATGCTACTGGAGACACCTGATCAAGCGATGGAGGGACGTCATGGCATGGGCACCGATGCTGTACAGTGGCGCCGCCGACGGCGACCGTGTCAAGAGGACGCAGAAGAGGGGGGTGAGGTACGAGACGTTTATGTGAGTAATCCCGATACACCTAGTCCAAAAACGAGGCCAAAATATACTAACAAAGAGCGGAACAGGTTATACGAGCCCAAAATACAACTAGAGTGGCCCAAATCCGCTTCATGACTAGTTCGGCCGCCTGTGGAGGAGGAACCACCACCTGTACATGAGCCACTTTGACCGCACCCAACATTTACATATATCGGGGGAAACACACATACAGGCGGAGAAGAACATATATACTCTCGTCTGGCCTGAGGAAAACAGGTCGACGAATTATAGAAAGACGAGATAAAGCGAGAGAAAAGGGTGGAGGCGGAGAGACACAATGGGAAGAAGGCCATCGTCGTCGTCGCTTCGTTGGGTTGGGAAAAAGAGAAAATCGCATCGCGTCGCATGTGAGAGCGTTTATACCCATTAGCATTTTTTATTATTTGTTGTTGTTGTAGTCGTTGTTGCATCATCATCTTCATCATCATCATACAAGGGCACAGGGGCTTCTTTCTTTTCTTTCTTTTCTTTTTAGACCCACCTCATTCGGAAGGGAGGGAGGGAAATCATGGAATGGAGCGCTTTCTCCAACATCAGGGAGGGGTTTTTTTCAAAGAAGAAGCTCGGCGTATATATAACGGAACTATGCATGTGTGTATGTATGTATGTATTGGTTTTTGTACATATCATATCTATCTATAGATGGATCGATGGGTGGATGGGTGGATAATAGAGCTCGTGCGTGGGCTTGGGGCCTGGGCCTGAACTGAATGTTAAGAGTTGAAGTTATGCATTCGCTTATTCAATCATTCATTGTGGTCTTGTGTGTATATGCTTGTTAATCAGCCAGGTAAGAAGGAAAGAAGGAAGGAAGAAATGCTGGGTTCTTTGTAGAATTTTCCCATTGTTTCGACGAGAGAGGATGGTTAATACCTTAATATACATGTATACATCAAAGGCATGATGAAACGACACAAGGTAACATGTGAGTTTTTGCACTGTTTATCCATTGCATTGAGCATCATCTTCATCCTCTTCACCTTGAATAATTACATGATTTAATGTTTTGAACAGCAATGCCATCCATTCCCCTATAACCCCATAACCTCCCGCCAGCCTGTCCGTCTCCCTCAAACTCCTCCTACCCAAATGTCCTCTTGTCAACCCCTCGTGGCGATATCCCGCCTTGACCACAAGAAGACCGAATAGCGTGTTTGTTAGACGCATGTGCTTGCCCGAAATTCAAAAGCACGAAAGTGTGTCAGGATCGGGAGTAGCGTCTTGAACCAAGTCCCCGCGCGATGGAAGGGAAGGGGAAGGTCCGACTCGATCCCGCCCAAAATTGCCCCCCGGAACGCCATCTATACGCCACACGGGGACTGGCCAGCGTAGTGCTGCGATGCGACTCCACGTATTGAAGGCGGCCTTGATCTCCTGGAGCTAAAAGGCAACTAGCAAAACGCCTTCTATAGCGTCTAGCGCCACTGCAATGGCGATGGAAGATCGAGGCCAAGAAAGTCGCCGTCGAAGGCAAGGCCGCTTGCAGTGATGTGAAGTGAAGTGAATTATTCATGTTGATGTGGACAAGTCGTGTTCAGGAGAAGCCGGTGAAGGTGGCGTCGTCGACGTGGTCTTTCTCAGCAGCTGCAGCGGCAGCAGCGGTCAAGGCCTTCTCGTCTCCTTCCAGCTTGATGTTTCCTCCACGGGGGCCAAAGTACCTGCTAGCGTATTAGTCGAAAGTAAAACGCTAATACAAATCGTGATCATGACATACCTCGTCCAAGCGTACTCTCCCAAAAGGTAGGCGCATAGGAACAACATGAACGCCGCAACCACCACACCAACGTAGTGCGCTTCTGAGCCAAGGTCCATGTCGAGACGGCCCATGTACTTGGCCTCTTTGCCGAGTCCGCAAACCATCTTGTGCTCGGTCTGAATCAGACTCGTCGAGTCTGGCGGCCCAGCTGGTCCGTAGCTCAAGACGTGCAGCATACTGCTGGGCAAAGGCTTCCGGATCTCGAGGACCTTGGAAATGGTGTCTTGGCTTGCGAACTGGATTTGCAGATTATTGTCCGACGCGAGCGAGTAGGCCGTGTCCCAGTCCAGTCCGTGTGATTCCAGATAGGTGCAGAGCGTGGGTTTGGCGCTTGTAGAGAAGGAGAGGCAGCGGCATTGGATGTCCTCGAGGCGGTGTTCCATGGGAGCAGCGAGGACGGCTGTGCATCCAAACAGCGCGAGAAGCAGGCTTTTTGGCAACATGCTGGAGTTTGTTGTGAGTTTGTTTTCCGACCAAGGGGTGCAGCTGAGGTTTTGAGGGGTTTGCTGTCGTGATCTAGTGGCTGGCTGCATTTGTGAACCTGAATGTAGTCTGTGTAGGGATCTAGGCCCTCGTTAGCGGGGATCCCGTACCGTAACTGCTGCTACACGACCCACTGGTACTGTACTGTGAATCCTCTAATAATAAAACGCACCAATAATATATAGCCCACGTGCTTACTGAGAACCTGGGCACTTTCGAAAGAAGGGTATACGTAAGGTAGGTAAGGCAGCGTAGTGTTTTTGAATGCTAGAGCGCGCGCAAACTACTTGACATGAATATCCGCAGCCTTCGGGTGTCGGCAAAGTGAGTGGATTTAAATCTCCACAGCCTATCCTTTATCATGGCACAGGACCCTCGCGATATTCCAATAACACCGCGTACAGGAGGCGGCCCAAGCGTTGCACGCCAATTCTTTTGGGTCGGAAATGTTTGCAGATGCACAGGGCTTGGAAAAGCTTGTGCCGACAATTTTGGTTAGCCATGGCCTGTCACGTCGGAATAAGAAGTAGGATTCGTCGATGCGGCCCTAGCGACATTGCTTGACACGCGTAGGAAACGTTCCTGGTGTTAGAAGAATGCATGCGCCTAATCCGCTGATTCGATGCAACTTTCAAGGAATCGTTCGCTGGCCGGAAGGAGGCTGCGGTGCATGGTAGCCTTCGGGGTCCGCGGGTGCCGTCCGTGCGTTTTACTTGGGGCGGCTTAGCCTGAAGCGGTCGAGGGCCAGGAACACAAAGAACGTTGCCCGAAACTCAAGTTTGAACATCGTGCCATTTTCTCCCATTATATCGGGCCGCAACGTCTGAGCCTCCGTCTCTCGCGTGCATTTCAAGACCGGCAATAGCAATACGTTGTCCCCGGGGCACTGGCCTCTGTTCTGGTGCGGTCGGTTTGTATATTGTAGTCGTGTGCAATCGGGCCATTACTGCGCGGTTACTCCGCAAATTGGCAGCGTGTGCGGGAACACGAGAGGCATGGATACTGAGGCCTGTCCATGGTGACTGTTCGTGCTGACGACGCAGACCGGCGCGGCATGCAGGTGAGTATGGGAGAGTCATGAAGCACGCCGGGCGTTGAAGCATGGAGACGACGTAGATCGCGTGGGTCATTCATTCCTTCCAGCAAGGTGCGAGTCAAGAACAGTTGATCCTCTACCTCGAAGCTGCGTACTAAAAGACGGCAGCCGCTGTATAGCATAGGAAAAGAAGAACATTCAGATTGGAAGACTCCAATCTTTACTACTAAGCCTCGACATGCTAAGCAGTAAAGTACAGCAAGAATACAGGAAAGACAAGCGTTGACAACACTGTCCTAAAACGGACAACAGAGAATGCAACTCCATCAAGATCAGCTGTTATCAATCTTCTAGCCAAACCAGGTTCAGGCCAGTGTTGCCCACCATACACAGCTCGCATCACCATTTTCATACATCCCCATAACCTAGGCATTACGCGGCTCGACTCCTCATGTCCCCATCCCTTGTCAAACACGATTACTCATTTCCTCCCTCCATGGTGTCACTGTCGTCAGCCTCCCACTCCGTCCCCAGGTTTTCGAGCCACCACGCCATCTTTCATTTCCCTTCTTCTTCACCATACCCGGTAAGACCCCCAAGCAAGCCACCAACTCCTCTTCCAACGCCTCCGAGCGTACTTCCAACTCCCCCAATCACATCACCCTTGCCGAGCTTTCCCACTCCCTCACCTAAGCCTCCAGTGATGCCCGTTACGGCATTATTCGCGCCCTTTCCAACATTGCCTACGACGCCTCCGAGTGGACCGCCGACAGTAGAGCCTACTCCGCCGACAGCATCGCCGACGGTTTTGCCTGCACCCTTGCCGACACCTGATACTGTGTTGCCTGAGATACCGCGTTAGCTTCTCCAAGCTACGAAGTAGTTGAAGTAGAGGGAAGTGTCGAGATGAACTTACCAACTCCGCTCGTTGCGCCCGCTACAGTGCCTCGCACATCGCCCCTTCCGATAGCACCGGTCGTCTTGCTCACAGTTCCCTGCACTCCCTTGGTTGCCGCTCCAGCAGTGTAGTATGCGTTGTCTACAGCGCCCGTCGCTGTCTTGCCCACGCCGTCGGTTACATGTTTGACGGGCTTGCCCACGCCGCCGGGTAGCTTGTCCAGACCCTTTCCTGCGACCCCAGTAACGCCATCAAGAGTTGCATTTACGCCTGTGGTAGCCGAGTCTGCGACTGTGTTGACCGTACCCGTTGTAACGCCAACAGTCTTGTTCAGGCCGCCTGTCGCGGTGTTGACGCCTCGGCCGACGATGTTGCCCGCGGGCTTCTTTTCTACAGGTGCTTGACCTGGGGCTGGATGAGCTTTTATCACGGACAGAGGGGTGGGATAGGTACCGTCTGCGTTCTTCTTGACTGCAACAGGTGTAGCCTTGGTCGCCGTAGTCGAGGCTGAATTCGGAGTAGCCTTTACCGGTGTCTTCTTGATAGCACTTGCGGGCTTGGATGCTGACGCTGGTGAGGCAGTAGTCTCTTTCTTGACAGCAGTTGGTAATGGCTTCTTCGTGCCAGCCGCAGTAACCGGTGTCTTCTTGACGGAAGGTGTGGTAGTTACGGGTTTGGGAGCGGAAACGCTAGACACTGGTTTCTTGGTAGCTGCTGATGGTGTTACTGTCGGTGTTGCAGTCTTCGCCGGGGTTGTAGTGGATGATGCGCCTGCTGCGTTGAGCTTTCTGGGGACTCTCTTCACAGGCGTTGTAGTCGTGTTTGTGGTAGTAGTAGCAGGGGCAGCTGCCTTTTTGACTGGAGTGGCCTTGGTTGTGGATGGTGTTGCCTTTGCAGGAGTGGCAGTGGTGGGCTTTTTCGCGGTGGATTGAGCTCCTTTTGCAACATTACCAACGCTGGCTAGAAGAGCGTTTTAGTATAAGTTATCCCCTGCCGAAACAGGTAACATACATTGGAGCGCAGCATTCTGCTGCTTGAGTTGATCAACGGCTGACATGTTTAACTCGTAATTACAAGGTTCAAACGGTATAGAAGGGAGATGGAAATTTGAAAAGAATTTAAAAGCGTTGAATGAAGTCTTCAGGTTCCGAAGCTGGGAGTTGTGTTCTAGACATCATGGATGCGCCTTCTCATACGTCATTCGTCGTCTGCATCCCTGCTGTTGTAAAGGTGCAACGCGCCTAGCTGCGGAGATCCGGTTTTCGATGCTGGACCCTGAAATTCATCATCTTCAATCGACACCACTTTTCTAAAAGAGCACGGCTTAAAAGTCCACACAACATGGAAGCGGGGTAGCCAGTCGCCGGACATTCCACTCTCCTTTCCCTCGTCGGCAGTACGTCGAAGGAATCAGCTCAGTGAAAGGTCCAATCAGTTATTCTCCTACAACAACTACGTGATTAGTCATCTGCTCTCCACTTCTCCCGCTACTACTCCGTTTCCCTCTTTCGTCTATAGCTCGGTTCCTAAGCTTTCTGGCATCTTTCGAACATGTCGACCTTTACGGACGCTGAAGAGGAAGAGTACTACGACATTCGCTTCCTACTCCCCCAGGGTGTCGGCGTCGATACGGAAGACATCGAGAAATACAGGCCCGGGGGCTTCCATCCTGTTCACTTGGGCGACAGGTACGATGATGGGCGCTACAGAATTGTGCATAAGCTTGGTGCCGGTGGCTTCTCCACCGTTTGGCTCGCTCGGGACGAGGACAGGAAGAAGTGGGTGGCTCTGAAGATAGTCGACGCTGAGCATTCGGCATCGGCTGCTGAAAAGAGTGTCCTGAGCCACGGCGTCACCTCAAATCTGCAAGCCAGCGGAGCACAGTTTGTGGTGGAGCATCACCGACAATTCACCTTTGACGGACCAAACGGCCACCATCTATGCCTCGTCCTGCCCGTCCTTGGCCCATCGGCGTCTGAGCTGTCCTATCACTTCACTTGCCGACTCACACCACAGCTCGCTCGGACAGTTGCCTATCAAGCCACGAGAGCAATCGCCGATCTTCATTCACAAGGCCTTTGCCACGGGGACGTAACAACGGGGAATTTTTGCCTCAGCCTTTGTGACATCGACCGCTTTGGAGAAGGTGACATCTACCGCTTGTTCGGCCGCCCAACAACGGGAGAGCTGGAGACCGAGTCTGGCGAAATGACCGGTCCTGAGGCGCCACGATACATCGTGGAGGCAATAAATTTCCTTGCTCCTCCATCAAACATCATCAACACCGATATTAAACTCATCGACTTCGACCAATGTTTCCCTATATCGACGCCGCCTGAGGAGCTGCTAGGTACTCCGCTCGAATTCCTGGCGCCCGAAGTCGCGGTCGGCCTGGCTGCTAGTCCCGCGAGCGATATCTGGGCTCTTGGCTGTTGCATCTTCCGACTTAGATCCGGAGAAGGCCCTTTCGAGAGTCCCTTTGATGTCACCTGTCCGGCGGATCTGATAAGCTACATCATCCACACTCTGGGAGACATGCCCCGCAAGTGGCACGATACTACCCTGTGGGACTCTCAGGGGCGGCCGACAAAGGATCCCAGCAAGGGGAAACCACATAAGCAGTGGTGGGAGGGTGACGAACGATCTTTGAAAGATATAGTGTACAATATATGGGATGAACCGAAGAGTCGTGTCGTCCAGACCGGCACGTCGAGGCCGGAGGAGAAAGTTTGGTTCAAACACCAACACCAACCATTCCCATCATGCTTCTCAGACATGGTGTGGAACCCAAAAGCCATCAAGGTAGACAATGTCTATCTATCCGGCTACAACAATGAGTGGGGTAGGCGCCTGAAGGCACTGCCCAAGATACCAGAGCACGAGGCTGCCCTGCTAGACGACCTCTTATCAAAAATCTTTGTTTACGATCCGACAAAACGTCCCACAGCTACGGAGATGCTTAACCACCCCTGGTTTCACCTAGACGGGCCATTAGACGGGCCATGAAAACATGTTGGATCGCTGCTTCGTGTTTTGGCGCTTGAAGTGAACCCTTAGTCTCAGCCTGGCTTTGAGGAGGAGCATAAAGCCTGTCGCGGGCCCCTTCAAAAGAGGACTCTTGGTATTGCGATCGAAACTGATAGTTTCGGAGTCTAGCATCACCCTTGGAACGGTGAGTATCCCGTCCAAACAACTAAACATGTTAAATCGGTTAGTTAAAAGAATGCGTTTGAACCAAGATCCTTGAACCAAGCTCCAATATTTGACAAGGTCAGCACCTCACCCTTATCCCCGGCCCGATAGTGGTCCCAAAGTCTAAGCGTATACAAAAGGCCACTACAAGAAAAGCAAATTCATTGGTGGGAGCATAGTCTCGCATCTGAATGAGTGCCCGTATGCAGTAGTATAAAGGTGATGTAATAGCACCGCATGCAAAATGCAGAAGACATTATGATCAAATATGTTTGTTAATGGCTTATCCTGAAGCGCGACTCCTAACCGCACATAGACTTTCAGGGCGGAATAGGTCGATGGGCTGGTTGAAACTCAGAAAGTATTCGTCAGGGCAGTTTTGGGCGCAACGCGGGTAATTCAGATTTGCAAACTAACGCTCTGCTCAAAGCTTCTGATTTAGGCATCTAACAGTGTCTGCTCTCTCTTACTCTTACTCTCACACACACACTCTCTCTCTTTCTTTCCTTCTCTTGCTCTTGCTCTCTCTCTCTCTCTTACTCTTACTCTTGCTCTCTTACTCTTACTCTTGCTCTCTCTCTCTCTCTCTTGCTCTCTCTCTCTCTCTCTTGCTCTCTCTCTCTCTCTCTCTTGCTCTTACTCTTACTCTTACTCTCTTTCTCTTTCTCTTGCCTTTATTCTCTTACTCTTACTCTTACTCTTACTCTCTGGCTCGCTATAGATATATATATATATATCTATCTCCACTTCTAAGGAGCCCCTCAAAGCATACACCTTCGCAATGTCTGACCGTCTTGATTGGATCTGCAGCACTCCAAACGGTAGCCTTGGAACCGTTATGGAGCAACTTGCCTTGCAGATAGCTGAACAAGGGGAATACGATGAGGTCGATATCTTGTACGTATACGCAATGAGAGATTCATTGCCCTAGCCAAAAGTCTCGACGATTAGCCTAACACCTTCTTAACAGGAGTACCATAAAGACGAAAACAGGCGGAAGAACGGCAGCGCCCCATTTCAAGGTCCTGTTAACCGGCACGGTCAACGGCAGGGAGGTCAAACACAACTACCTCATCAGGGTTGCGCACCGCAGCACCAACGGGCAATTGTCATGATATGTGACCAACATCCAAGCTAGACCTCCAAACTACCCCTATGAGACACTGGTGGCGATAGATGGCCCACCTAGTCACTGCCCAAAAAGACGTCGCCTTCAGAGAGAGGCTGCAGAAGAGGAGGCTGCAGAAGAGGAGGCGGCATAGGAGGCGGCAGCTTCCCGCAGGTAGTGGTGGTGGCGAGACTACGGAGCAGCAGCTTCATACATGCCTTGAGAGAGCGACTGCCTCCTCGCATATACAACCTATTTCTTTGTTCAAAAGTAAAGTTAACGCTAGAAGAGCGGATCATACAAGGCAGCAGGATAAATTAGTATAAAACCATGGTTAAGGTGCTATACGACCTATACAACCACAGGTCGCATCAGACTCATTATAGTACTATAGGAGAACAATAATAATATTTTAACCTATAATCAACAACCGTCTTAACTTCTCCTAGAAAATTCAATATAATTAGAAATATCTCCACGTAAAGTAGCTTTACAGAACTAGCAATAGCTCAACTAGGGCGTAGGTGCTTTAGAAATCCTCTTTTAGTAGCGATGCTAGACTCTAAAACTATCAGTTTCGAATAGAACGAAACTGTGTTGAAGCGGACCTTGAAAGAGCAAGGCTCAAGGCTGAATAACGACATCACGACACGGACAAGCAGGTGAAGGATATTTTTTAACTTTTCATCATTCATGAGTCGGCTGCTGAGATACTCAGAGCCACCCCAAGGTAAATCTACCTAGAGTACATTTCGGGATATCCATTTACTCGTGAAGCATGAAGTAGACACTCTAAGACGCCGCCATAGATTAAGCTCCGTCATGCAAGTGAGGTTGTGAAAGGGAAAGAAAGCCATGACACATGAAAGGGATATCAAAGCGCCGACCAAACTTTTCGAAAGCGAGCAAGAGGCGATACGTTTAGTCGACCTCCTCCATGGCGCTCTCGCCGGTCGCCGCGGCACTCTCCTCGGTAGTGTCAGCCTTGGCCTCCTGCTCGGTCTCGACCTCCTCGTCGACGTTCAGACCAAGAGAGACGAGCTTGTGAATGCGCTCAGCGTACTGGACGGGCTCGTCAATGGTGAAGCCGGAGACGAGGAGCGAGGTCTCGAAGAGAAGCAGGGTGATGGACTTGACGGTACGGTCATCCTCACCGTCAGCCTCGACCTTGCGCCTGAGCTCCTTGATGATAGGAGACTTGGGCGAGATCTCGAAGGTCTTCTTGGAAGACATGTACGAGCTCATGGAGGTGTCGCGAAGAGCCTGGGCCTTCATGATACGCTCCATGTTGGCTGACCAACCGAACTGGCCGGTACGGATGGCGCAGGGTGAGCCGACGAGCTTGTGAGAGACAACGACCTTCTCGACCTTATCGCCAAGGACGTTCTTCAGGCTCTTAGCCAGACCCTCATATTCCTTCTCCTCAGCCTCGCGCTCCTTCTTCTCCTCGTCAGTCTCCTCGAGCTCGAAGTCCTTGGTGATGTCGACAAGCTTCTTGCCGTCAAACTCCTTGAGCTGAGTCATGGCGTACTCGTCAATGGGGTCGACGAGGAAGAGAACCTCGAAACCCTTGTCCTTGAGAGTGTCAAGGAAGGGCGACTTCTGGACAGCCTTGAGCGACTCGCCGGTGATGTAGTACATTTGCTTCTGGTGCTCGGGCATGCGGGTGACGTAGTCGGTGAGGGAGGTGAGCTCCTCGCCAGACTTGGTGGAGTTGAAGCGGAGGAGCTTGGCGAGGGATGCGCGGTTCTGCGAGTCCTCGTGGATACCAAGCTTGATGTTCTTGCCGAAGGCAGCGTAGAACTTGTCGAACTGCTCGCGGTCCTCGGCGATCTCGTTGAAGAGCTCGAGGGTCTTCTTGACGATGTTCTTGCGGATGACCTTCATGATCTTGTTCTGCTGGAGAGTCTCACGGGACAAGTTGAGGGGAAGATCCTCGGAATCGACAACACCCTTGACGAAGCTGAGCCACTCGGGGATGAGGTCGGTAGCATCGTCAGTGATGAAGACACGGCGGACGTAGAGCTTGATGTTGTTCTTGGTCTTCTTGGTCTCGAAGAGGTCGAAGGGGGCGCGCTTGGGCACGAAGAGGATGGCGCGGAACTCGAGCTGACCCTCAACGGAGAAGTGCTTGACGGCAAGGTGGTCCTCCCAGTCGTTGGAGAGGGACTTGTAGAAGGAGGCATACTCCTCGGTGGTGATGTCCTGGGGGTTGCGGGTCCAGATGGGCTTGGTCTTGTTCAGCTCCTCCTCCTCAATCTTGGACTCCTTGACCTTCTTGGTCTTGGGCTTCTTCTCTTCCTCATCATCCTCGACTTCCTCGACCTTGGGCTTCTTCTCGTCACCCTCCTGGACCTCCTCAGCGGCGTCCTCGTCCTCGACCTCGGTCTCAGTCTCCTTGAGAACGTGGAGGTAGATGGGGTATGAGATGAACTCGGAGTGCTTCTTGACGACCTCCTTGATCTTGCTCTCATTCAGGTAGTCCATCTGCTCGTCCTTGAGGTGCAGGATGATCTTGGTACCACGGCCGATGGGCTCGCCCTCGGTGTCTTCGGTGATCTTGAAGGTGCCACCAGCGCTGGACTCCCAGATGTACTGTTCGTCATCGTTGTGCTTGGAGATGACGGTGACACGGTCGGCAACAAGGTATGCGGAGTAGAAACCGACACCGAATTGACCAATCATGGAGATATCAGCACCAGCTGATAGCGCCTCCATGAACTGCTTGGTACCAGAGCGAGCAATGGTACCCAGGTTGTTGATGAGGTCGGCCTTGGTCATGCCAATACCGCTGTCCTGGAGGGTGAGCGTCTTGGCCTCCTTGTTCGGGATGATGTCGATGCGGAGGTCCTTGCCGCTGTCAAGCTTGCTTGGGTCTGAGAGGGCTTCATATCGGATCTTGTCGAGAGCGTCGGAGGCGTTGGAGATGATTTCTCGCAGGAAGATCTCTTTGTTTGAGTAGACGGTGTTGATGATGAGGCCGAGCAGCTGAGAGATCTCAGCCTGGAACTCGAAGGTTTCCGCAGACATGGTGGCGGTTGTGTGTGGAGGGACTGCGCGGAAAAGTCAGAGCAGGCTCGCAATCGTAGCCTCGCCGGTGGGGTAGGCTGCAATGTCGGTGTGGAGGGTAGTACGTACAGATTAGGCGGGGTTGGGTCGACTGCTAGGCTCTACTAAGGTGTGTGTGTATAAGAGCGAGGTGGGAGACAAGTGCGTCTGTGTGGTGAGAAGAGTAAGAGAGCAATTCGATGGAGAGTAGTAAGAGGAGGCAGAGTCGAATTTAGACCTCATATAGGCCGCGGTGGAGCTCGAGAATCTTCTAGACAGAGCGGCAGAAACGCAGAGAAAGCCGCAGCCTGGCCAATCAGCGCGGGGCTGTCCCTCCAACCTCAGCCTCACCGCCAACCGCCCTCCTCCTCCCCCAGCAACCGCCTGTCACCCACAGAAAGGGCGGCGTGTGCACTGCGACTGCAATCCATTGCTGCGCTTGCAACATATTACTATACTATACTTGTTTATTCGAGCAAGATCCACGGGCAGCAGCTGCGTTATGCCTCGATCGCAATCGCCTGCTATCAAGCCAGGACGTGTCTTCCAAGCCTCCTCCTGCAGGGCTTCAGCTTGTCAGCCTTGAGCTGCCTCTCCAGCATGTACAGCCTCATCTATCGCTAACAACTACCTGGAGCACCCACGACACAATTGCTACCGCTTCCTCGCGCAATCACTACGCCGCAGCCCACACTCGTACTACAGTAGCAAACCGCCGAGATGCGGTGGGGACTAATCATGGAAGGCATCTGTCAAACCAGAAATGACCCCTAGGAGGCTGGCGCCCTATTGCCGCTCTTCAGGCTGCCTCGAGAACGTCGCGATGGAATCTACGAATACGCCTTCAGCGCTCCGCCACCCGACCATTGCCGCGCCGCGATTGACCTGCCGCCAGGTTGACAGGGAGGCTAGGGAGATTGCGTTTGCCAACAACATTCATATACTCAATTGGGATCAAGAGGCTCGAGTCGCTCACGTTCGTCCTCGACGTCCCGCGCATAGTTTCGACCGCGGGCTGAACAGGAGAACTCCGTGTGCAACTTGGCGTTTCGTGTCAGATACGTGGACAGGGTCATCGTCCAGAACATTCTACATAGAAATAGGAATACTTTTTATGCAAAAGTCCTGGGGCAGCATAGGGCCGTTCTTGAATTGCATCAATCGTCGATTCGTGTCTATAACATGTCCCTTAGATGAACGTCCTCAAGAACTCTCCCAACGCCATGATAGCCATGGCCTGTCCATACGGCATACTCGTCAACGCAATGTCCTTGTAATGCTTCAGATCGTGGCCCATGGCCGTGCCGAAGCTGACCTCCAACAACTCTCCTTCGGGGTTGATCTTGCCAATCACCGCTTTGATAGCCTTGACCGCCGACTCCAAGTACACATCCCCGCTGATATACCGTTTCCTAACCGCCTTCAACATGCCATAGGCAAACCCAGCTGTGGCAGACGCCTCCTCATACGAGCCGTCGGATACAGGAATGTCCAGCAGCGTGCGCCACATGCCGTTCTCCGCCTGCAGTTTGACGAGCGCTTTGCACTGCGATTCGAGGATGCCGATGAGGAACTGGCGCAGCGGATCCGACTCCTTCAGATCAAGCAGCTCAATGAAGTCCGGGATAGCAATCGTAAGCCACGAGTTTCCCCTTGCCCACCGCGCCTTCGCAAAGTTGTGGCCGACTTCCAGCGACCCCTCTTTGTCCTCCCATTTCCAGCCGTGGTAGAAGAGGCCCGTGGATGTGTCGAACAGGTACTGGCAGTGCAGCAGGAACTGCCTCTTTGCTTCCTCCACGTACTCTGGGCGGTTCAGGGTTAAGCCGATTTTCGCGAGGGGGAGAGCGCTCATCATGAGCGTGTCGTCCCACAACTCGTCCTTGTTGAAGGAATTGTACGTTTCGTGTTGGAAGCCGCCAAACTTTGTCCGGGGCAGTCCATGCATGACCCACTCCGCCCATGTATCTAACCAAGGCAAAAAAGTCTTGTTGCCCGTCTCCTCGTATAGGAACGCGAGCGTCAGAAATGGGCTCATGGTGTTGATGTTCTTGGTCGTTCCCTTGCCTAGCTGCTTCTCAAACCACCCTTTCATGATGTCTAGGGTGGCGGTGGAGCCTGTGAGGGTGTAGTAGTGCCATAGTCCGTACAATCCAATGCCATGCGTCCATTCCCAGCCATCCCAACCTTTGGTGTCGATGATGCGGCCGTCGTCTAGTTTGAGGAGGAACTCGCCGGTTGTGTCGTGGATATTTATGAGGTTGTGGGTTAAGAGGAGAATCTTCTCGTCTATTTGGCCTTTTGTAAGACCGTGGATTGTGAGGGTGGACATTTTTGGGGGGAGGAGGGGAGCTTGACGCGTCTCAGAGATTCGGTGTGAGCTGTACGTGTATGCGGGGTAGGAGGGGAAGAGCAATTGAAGCTCGGTGGGTTGAAGAAGCTGTCAAAATTGAAAGCAATTGCTACAATCTGAAGGAGAGGAGGGGAAGGAGAAAAAGTCTAGGAGCCACACGCGAGATCTGGGGAAGCTGGCTATGAAAAAGGTCACACGTGTAGCATGAAATTGAGCGGGGAACCAAAAGGTTCGGGGGTGTTCAAGGTCCTTGACTGCATTGAAGGCTCTAGAGGTCCGCTCTTTGCCGCTTTCGTGTCCTGCTACACCGATGTCGTCTATTTCTACACCGAATGCTGGCTCCACGTGGAGTCGCTCCAGCAGGTGGGTTCCTGGAAACGCGGCTCTTTCCAATCTTCACTCATCGACACCAAGACAAGCTTGGGAGCGATGCCAATCCCCGCATTCGTCCTGTAATGCACCGATGCTCGTTGACCACTGTCCCGATACGACGAAGGTCCGATGGAATAGTCTCTGGATAACCGGAAGGCGGCGTGGAGGGAAATGCGACGGGCGGGCCTGGGTAAGCTGGCGGCCCGAGTCATGCGAGGCCTTCGAAGCCATCCGCCACCAACCTTACGAGCGGAGGAAATCTTCCACCACCTATCTGAGCCCTGCAGCCGCAGCTTCGCCTGATGCTCGCGCGAGCTTATTTCATCACATGCGCATGCCAACCCGCCAGGCGCGCCAGTCGGGGTGCATTGTGCCGAAAGGATGCTGCTGTTGGTAATATGCCAAGATGGTGGCATCTCCACACTGCTTTGTCTAGCCGTCCGGAGACTCCGCACTCCACACTCTGAATGGACGGCATGGCCCATGGGGTCAGCAGTCTAACGACTAGCGAGTCAGCATGCCAATTGGTGCCTCTTGGAGGTTGATGCGGGATGGACGTTGAGTATTAATCCCAGGATTGCGGAGTAGCCTGCCTGCATGGGGTAAAGAAGCCGGGGTACGGGGACACGGACGGACAATCTAAACCAGGTAGAAATATCTCGTCGAGCACTCCGCTTTCTGCCAGCTCGTTGTGAGTCCTCGAGGTCTTTGTTTCCCGTACCTCCTGCTGTCTTGTTCCGTTGCCAACCACCTGGAAGTCCCACCACTATGGCGACCGATAAACACACCAGCCCTGACGGTGTTCACACCTCGCCCGAGGTGGTTCACGACTCCCGCGACGACAAGGCCGATATCAGCAAGGTCGAGCGCGTCTTGTCCGCCGAGGATGAGAAGGTCGACCATCTCAACTATGACCGTGTCGATTCCGAAGTGGCCAAGTATGCGGATGCCACTGCCATTCCCATCACAGAAGAGGAGAACAAGCGGTTAAAGAGGATGATTGACAGACGTGTGCTGCCTATCATGGTCATCACATACTTTCTGCAATCGCTGGACAAGGGCACCATGTCCGCTACTTCCATTATGGGTATCCGCAACGACATCCCAATTCTGAAGAAAAACTCAGTGGTGAGTAGCAGACAATTCCTCGATTTGCGTGAGACGGCTTGCTAAGTCCTTTGCAGTTCGGATGGCTCACTACCTGTATCTATCTCGCCGTCCTTGTGGTCGAATACCCTACCAACTGGATCCTCCAGCGTGTGCCCGTTGCAAAGTACCTCGGTTTCAACATCCTCGCCTGGAGCGTGGTCCTTGCCTGCCATGCTCTTTGCTTCAGCTTCCCCGCTCTCGTCGCCGTCCGGACCTTGCTCGGTATCTTCGAGGCTGTCTGCCAGCCCGCTTTCCTCATCATGACCTCCATTTGGTATAAGCGAGACGAGCAGGCCCAGATTGTTACCTACTGTAAGTGTTTGCGTACAAACAACATGGCAAACATCCACTGACTGTTTAGGGTACATGATGAACGGAATGCAGCAGATTGTCGGTGGCTTGTTGGCCTACGGTTTCTCCACGATCAAACACCGTACCGCCAAACCGGTTGGTGGAAATGCCCCAATCAGATCGTGGCAGGCCATCTTCATCACTTACGGCATCATCTCATTCGTTTGGGGTGTCTGGGTCATCTTCAGACTGCCCGACAGCCCTATGCGCGCCAAGTGCTGGTCGGAAGAAGACAAGAAGAAGATGGTTGAGCGTGTCCGCTCCAATCAGACTGGTCTCCAGAACAAGAAGTTCCGGTTTTACCAGTTCAAGGAGGCTCTCCTCGACCCGCAGACCTACTGCTACATGGGCATCCAATTCTTCACAACACTCCCCACTTCTGGACTCGGTGCCTTCTACAACATCATTATCAACGGCTTGGGATTTTCTGTTTTGGAGACCCAACTCCTCGCCATGGTCCTTGGTGTGGTTATTATCGGCACACTCCTGGGCTCTGCCTGGATGACTAGGAGGACTGGACAGAACTTGCTCACCATGGCCGTCTTCATGATTCCGTAAGTTGCGTCCTACCATACTGATGACGCTGTACTCACATTTCATCCAGGGCTTTCATTGGCACAATCGTCAACATGACAGTCAAGAACAAGAACAATTCCACAAGAGCCGGACTGCTCATCAGCTACTGGATCATCTTCACCTTCTGGGCCGCGCAAGGTCTCGGCATGAGCATGCTGACCCGCAACGTCGGAGGCCAGACCAAGAAATCCGTCTGCATCACCATGAACTTTTTCGCGTGGTGCGCCGGCAACGCTACCGGACCCAAGGTCTTCTTCGACGGCGATACCCGCTACCTCAAATCCCTCGCCATCCATCTCGGCTGCTACTCGGCCCTGCTGTTTGTCATCGCCTTCTTGCGATTCAACCTGACTCTGCGCAACAAGAAGAAGGACAGGGAGTTTGGCGAGGAGATCAACGCTACGCATGGTTTTGATGATTTGACGGATAAGGAGAACCCCAACTTCCGATACGTATACTAAGCGTCGGGGGGGTTGTAATGTTGCAATGATGGATTGATTAAAGTATGATACCATTCGTGGGGTTGGCTAGTATGTAGCACTTGCTCATCATGAAAGACTCGCGTTCGCGTTGTTGATAAAATGAATGACTTTTTCGCTGCCACCTATAAATCGTCCCGTCTCCGCTTTTCTCGACCCTTGATGTGCCCAAACAATCCCCCACTCCTCTTTCCTGAATATTAACCCCATCTCTACTCCCCGCGCATGTTACAGCAACAAGACCTCACATTGGGTGCATCGACGCTACTTTACTACTATCCCCTACTTTTATTCATGAGAAAACAATCGTACGCGTATCTTCAAGTCAAAAGCCTCAGCGTATAAGGATCTCCGTAAAGATAAGCATGATTCCCGATTACCAACATTACTCATCTTGGGCGGAAGCTATACTCGAACGAGTCTTGCATGTCGTCTTCCTTGCATTACATCACATTCACTGCATTGCATTAGTTAGTTACAAGAGTGGAGAACCATGCGATCTTAGCCCCCCACCTTTCCCGTCCCTCATCCGATTCTTGAAAATACGATTGCGCCGACCAAAACCCAGCAACCCAGCAACCTCACACTGGTCTGTGAAGCGTTACACCTTTGATGGGATACACTTGACGCCAAGAGTAAATACAACCGAATAAGTACCGAGGTTAGGAGTCGGGGAAGTAGACTGGGTGGGTGTGACGTGATAAGAAACCTCACGCGAGGTACTGTCTAAGAGAAGGGCGTGACCAATTCTGAAAATCGCATTCAGAAAATCGAAGCCAGAAACTTGAGAAAGAAATCATGTTTTACCGACCAGGAAAAGACGACCATGGCCTTCCTCACGATCCGTTCAAGGTAAGTAAAGTCTAAGAGCATGAAATCTCGGATCATTTGTGTTGTTGAAAAATGATGCGTATAAAGTACAAGAAAGACCTCAGCAACCTGAACCCAACCCAATCTCCTACACTCCCTAGATAGAATATTGTTATAGTTCTCTCCCGTCAACATCATAATATCCCTACTCCTACATATCTATTAACAACCCACCAAAAGGCCTGCGTGGTACCCCGCCCCATAGGATGGATATCGACCCTCTCCCCCACCGGCCACGCAAACCTAGCCCCCTACTCCCAATTCAACAACCTAACCTTCGACCCGCCTTACGTAATGTTCTCCGCCAACCAAACCCTCTCCCAGCAGCAAAAAGACACAGTCAAAAACGTCGAAGCCACAGGCGTCTTCTGCTGGAACCTGGCTACGTACGAGTTGCGCGAAGCCGTCAACATAAGCGCCGAGCCAGTGCCGTACGGCGTGGATGAGTTTGAGCGCGCGGGGCTGGAGAAGGAAGACAGTACGATGTGTAGTGTGGATGTGAAGACTAGTGGTGGGGGTAAGGGAAAGGTGGAGAAGAGGAGGGTGCCTATGGTGAAAAAGAGTCCTGTGCGGTTTGAGTGCGAGTATTACACTACGCTGCGACTTCCTGGTAATCCGCCCATGGGCACTGTTGACGTCGTTGTCGCCAAAGTCGTCGGCATACATATCGACGAGCGGGTGTTGACGGATGGGAAGGTAGATGTTGCGAAGACGGAGCCTATTGCGCGGTGTGGGTACTACAGCTATGCGGTTGTGAGGGAGACGTTCGATATGCAGGTCCCAGGGGACGACAAGACTGTTCTTGTTGGCTTGGAGGGCAGTACGAAGTTGCACCGGGGTATCCAGGAGGAGTTGGCTGAAGAAGGGTAAGGAGTGCGATAGATATTCCTGAATGCTACCTGCTGCAGAATCTCGTGTAGTCACCTCATCTTCTCCTACAAATACTGCTCAGTCGTTTGCTCAAAAAGCTAAAATAGCTTGTAAAACATATCGCTATTCCCATGTATAACTATAGCAGATGTGCAGCCGGCAATGAATAGCCGGTCTTCTCCGCTCAATATGTCGGTTGTAGTGTCGTCAGTCGTTAGCATTTGCGGTTGATGCTATGAATGTGGGAGGGCAGCATAGTGTCATATCAATGACATGCAACGGAGCGAGAAGGCTCACTGATGCTGAACGCCTTCACCAACTCACATGGCCCGCGGTAACCAAGCAGTGTGCTCATATTCCGAGTGTAATTCGGGCTGTCATACATCGGCAGCTATGCTTCTCTCCTCCTCTTCTACATGATTGCCTGCCACAGTATTCCCCGTCTCTTCTAGCCTCCTGCTCGAGATCTTCTTAGCCATCTCCAACCCTCCCTCAACGCCCTGCACTAAGCCGTCCAGCGCCACAAATATATCGACCTCACTCCGATCTCTTGCTTCACTCAATTTGTCCTGCCCAACTTGGCCCTTGCCTTTGCCCTTACTCTTCTTCGGTAATTCAACGCCTTCTATCCGTAACATATACCCTTGGTCTGGTGAGCTTTCGTCGAAAGAGGGAGCCGTCCGCAAGCCGGTATCCGTTATTTGCCACTCTGGCGAGAGGGACTGTGCGTCTACGATGGTGCGCCCATCCGCGCCAACGTCAACTATGAGGTAGTGTTCCCTGACGCCTGGGATGGGCGGTGGAAGAGGAGACTCGACTGGGGAGTCCTCATCGTCTTCCAGCTGGTCTTCTTGAGCCAGGTGTCTTTCCTCATCATCTGGAGTGTGCTGTGGTAGATATTTCGTATCGTCTAGTCCTAGGCTTCGCATCGATGCAGCGGTTACGATGACCGGGTCGTCGTCGGCAAAGACATAGTGCACGTATGGGTGGTAATGCTCGCCGGATGACGTGTCTTCTATCAACGTGAAGAAGGGTCTGAAGTTTGGAGGTGGTAAGAGCGTTTGTTCAGAGCTGGGCTCTGGATATGGTATCTCGTCCTCATCGGCCGCATCGTCAGGCTGCTGTCGGTCGTACGGCTCGTCTTCCGGGGGATCTTCGAAGTGTGGAAGAGGCGGTGACCGCGGTGAGTGTGTGGGGCGAGGTATTGAAGGCGATCCTGGAAGAGTGGGATTCGTTGACATGTTAGAGGAAGTTACTGGGAGGACTGGTAGGCGCAAGCTAGTGGAGCTATGGGGAGCTCAAGGTAGGTCGTATCGATAAAGGTAACGAGGTCCGTGCACACCTACTACGCGAACACCTGCATGACCAAAACGAATGGAGCGACTGATGCGAGCATTTGTAGTAAACGCGTGTAATATATTCCATAGGGTATCATGCGCGCGCCAGTCGTAATGTCGTGTCAGTATCATCCCCACACCTCCCCGTCGAGCTTCTCGCCTAGAAAGATGCCCATACGTGCCCCTCATGCGTCATACCCAAAATTGTTTCGATAGACATAATGATGGTGTGTATCGAAGAGGGAAATCTCAAATGGGACTGGTATCGGGCGCTTGTGCTGGGGTTTGGTTGTCGGTGGCCGCCGTCGCATCTTGACTCTTTGACTTGAACGCTGCGATCCCATGTCAGTAAGCACGCATGTCACATGGAGAAGATGCTTACGCTGTCTACACATGGGGCACTTCTCTTGGGAGCTCTCTTGTTTCAGCCATGAGAAGATGCAGTGCTGAGACGTTAGCTATATCGTACTAGATGGAGGGGAGATGCAGCATACCATGTGGAAGGAGTGATTGCATACGCCAAGCACTATCTAATATCAGCATATATCCGTTTCATGGGAAGATATTCAGCCTACATAGCGGACACTCGTCGCCAGGAAACTTGCACTTGGAACATGTGCTATCGTAGGGATTCCGGCAAATACCGCACACATCGTCGTCGGGCATGTCCCAGCGCCAGGCAGCGACCGCGTTCCACTCCCGTATCGTGACCTTCATCGCGTCTCTCGTTGTTGGGCGGAGTTGTAGTTGTAGTTGGCGCGTAGGATTGAGGGAAAACAAACAGATGCCGAGCGCGGATGCGGCAGATTCATGGCGGTGAGTAGGGCGGCGACTACCCGTTACGGATACCCCAGGGTCTGAGCTCAAGCTTCAGCCCCCGCATGGAGGATGATGGAATACACGGCTGGTTTGACGGCATCGCGATATCGCACCTGTTACACATATCCGTATGCCATGATTGACCACAAGTAGCGCATGAGTCGCGCTCAACATTCTTAGGCTTTTGCAATTGATAGCAAGGAAGATCGCGAGCCAGTCATGCATACTGTAGCTTCCCGCTCCCGATTGAAGCTTACTGGTGCCCTCATATTGCACGAGAAATACATATCCAGGGAGCTTTAAGCCTCCCATATCTTCTCCACAACGGCACGCTCCACTTCGCTCCCTTCTCTTTTCTTCCATACTAACGATCCGTGACTACCTAGCCCATTCATATCTTCCGCAATGTTCGTCTCACGCTTCCGCTGCTCCTTACGGCCGTTCCCCTCCATTCCCTCTATTCGATTCTCAGCAACCCCGGGCAGACGAGCAATGTCGTCCCACTACACTCTCGATTCATACCTCGTATCACCCTCAGAGCTCAATGCCGCGTTGCAAAAGAACGTCTTCAGCAAGCTCTCCACTGCCCCTCGCGTCATCCCCCTCTGCGCCTCCTGGTTCCTACCAAACGACGGACGAGATGGTTACGAAACGTTCATTGCGCAGCGCATTCCGCACGCACGCTTTTTCGACGTCGACGCCATCAAGGATCCCCACTCGCCATTTCCACACATGCTCCCCTCCCCCTCCGACTTCGCAGACGCAATGCGCCGACTCGGCATACAGCGCGAAGATAGCGTGGTGGTCTATGATAGCAAAGAGCTGGGCATTCTCTCTGCGCCAAGAGTGGGCTGGACACTCAAAGCCTTTGGACATCCGAATGTGCACATCTTGAACAACTTCCGCAAATGGGTGGATGAAGGGTTTCCGACCGAGAGTGGGGAGCCCAAGGAGGTGCCAAAGGTCACGTACGAGGTGCCAGCGCTGGATGAAGGCAAGGTCGTGGCTTTTGAGGAAGTGAGAGATATTGCGAAGGAGCTGGGTAAGGAGGGAGCAGAGGAGGTACAGATCTTGGATGCGAGAAGTCTAGGGCGCTGGAAGGGCGTGGATCCGGAGCCAAGAGAAGGTACGCTCAAATTGTCTCACAATACAACAGCGAGCTCTTCTTCATACTAATTGCAATAGGTCTGTCTTCCGGACATATTCCATACTCCATCTCTGTCCCAATTTCCGACCTCCTCGATCCAAATGACAAGACTCTCCTCCCAGCCGCTGAGCTACAAGCACTCTTCAAGTCCAAGGGCGTTGATCCCTCGAAGCCAATAATATCCAGCTGTGGGTCTGGCGTCACAGCCGCAGTCATCGATGCTGCTTTGACTGAGGCGGGCTTCCCTACCCAGCAGAGGCGGCTATATGACGGGAGCTGGACAGAATGGGCTCAGCGAGTGAAGCCCGGGGACGGTCTAATCCGGAAATCAGAATAAATGAGTGTCCTTATTATTCGGTAATGCGTGTTCTCTCGTCCAAAGATTGATACCCTTCCTCTACGCATAATAGTAATCAACGGCTGCATGTTCATACTACCAGGTAATGTACGTGATTAGTTCACACAGCAAACTTAGGCAGCTGAATGATTACGTTGATGTAGTCTTGAATTCGACGTTACCAACAAATGGACTATGGAACATTTACCAAATACTTTCCGCCCTTTTCAGCTCCCTATTCCACCAACGCCGTAACCAGCCGGGTATCTAGATAAATACAGAAATGGCGCCATATGTTGTTAGATACACATTGTAGGTATACTCGGTTCACCTAATGCCAAGGAATCTCTGGCCGAACTCCGTGACCTCTGCGTTGGCGCCTCCTAGATCTGTTGTAGGAAGGTCATTGACCTTCAGGCCTTTGAGCGATCGTGCTCTACTGACTACAAGGACAATTAGCTATTTTCCGAACACTATACTGCAGAGGAAGCATATGAACATACGCGCGACATATAACTGACTAGGTTCGAATGCTCTTTTAAGATCGACAATAACACGATCGAGCGTCATGCCCTGTGTAACAAGTCAGTGCATACTAACGAGGCGGGAAAGGTGAAGCGTACCTGTGACTTATGCACTGTAATCGCATAGCCCGCCATTAGCGGGATCTGTGTCCGCGATAGCAAACTATATGGTTCTTTGTTTCCAAGTTCGCTCGCCGTGCAGTCTGCATAGATAGTCTGCCGCCGACCAATGTCGAACTGAACGATGGGCCAGGGCTGCCGGTTGTTCCTATCGGCGTATATCTTGATTTGATGTTCATAGTATTTGGCGTGAGCGCCTCTGACGGTTGGAGCACCCGGCATAACACCCCCATCGTCCTTTCGAGGCAATTTCCTGCCGTCGTACGGTTCGAAGCCGACAATGACACCTTGGGAGCCGTTGACGAGGCCTGCGCCAGGGTCTAAGTTCGCCTGCAGCACTACTCGCATGCCTTCCTTTAGCTGTACGAATATCTCATATCTGTGCTCTTTCTGCAGTTTGAAGTCAGCATAGAACGCGATGGAAAAATATATACGTACCAGTGCCTGCAAGGTGCCAGTGCCGTCGTGAGCCTCCCGATTGTACTTCTCTAACGACTTTTCTTCTCTGTGGTGAGACTTCCAGCTGAAGTGGTCCACACACCTGTAGAAAAGAGGTTCTGAGGGGATTTCGCTGATCTTCTTGTTGTTCTCACCGTCAACATCCTCACGTAACGAGAATATCTTAATAGCACCTTCCATATCCCCAAGCTCGTGAACGCGAAGGATTCTGCCGTGATGCCCCGTGATGATCCCATCTAGTAGAGGTTAGCAAATCCTGACCTGGCTGATCGGGTGCCTGGAGTATGCTTTCTAGCGCGCACTGAAGCTGGATTTATGGGCTGTCGTTACTAATACGAAAATTTCCTTACCTTTTCGTATTTTTTGGAGAATACCGATGAACGGCTTATCGTTCTGTCTGTGAATTTCGGTAAGGTTAATATGTCTGAAGTTGCACTCCTAGTTCCATTAGCAATCGCCACACTAAACATGGCAGATGTCCGGGTGATGTTCGTACCTCCCATGCCTTGCTACGAAAGGCCCACTTGTCGATGTCGTAGAAAACGTCTTCCCGGCAGCTTTTGTTCTCGCATTGATACTGTTTTGGCTGCCGTTTGTTGTCGGGAATAAGCTCCCAGCCACATCCGATACAGTGCTTGAAAGGCTTTACGGGTGACAGTTGGCAAAACTAGAACAATGAGCTAGGTAAGGAAGTAAGGACATGAAAGACTCACATCTCCAGTGACGATAAGCTGAATGCCACCAAATGGTCCAACTCTTCCCCTCGACGCTTTCATAATGCGGTGCAGACGCTCAAACATAAGGTTCTCAACCATACTTATCTCGTCAATAACAAGAACGTCCGTGGTGTTAAATCGCGCCCAGACTTCCTTTCCGTGAGCAGCGTTCTCTAACGTTTCCATGGACTTCTTAAAACTATCAGGCGTCCACCCAGCATAGTTCCATGTTGTCTGGCCGTTGACATTGAGTGCAGCAAGATTTGTGGGTGCGACGATCCGGACTTCTTTACCTCGGTGTCGAAGCACCTTGACGAACGCTTTTAGAATAGTAGACTTTCCGCACCCAGCACTACCCGTGTAGAAGACATTGTGTCCTTGCACAATAAGATCTACGACCCTTTGCTGCTCTGCACTGAGCGTGGGCTCAGGATCAGATGCAATGTAGTTTGGCATGATCGGCTGTGATCCGCTTCCAGAGGCCGTATACCCATCATAGAAAGTGTATGGCGGTGGCGAACCAAACGTCTCTGATGTACGCGATAAATCCGAGGCGGAAAACGATGAGAAATCATGCTCACTCCACGGAGACGATTGTGTTGCCTGGTCATACGCAGCGGACCACGTGGATTGAGGCGCGCGAGGGGTGGCTGGCCGTCGGACAGGTTCTCCGGAGCCTTGGGCTTTGCGATCGAACGACATCATAACGATGTCCTGGTGCTCTATTATATAATCCCACGCTTCCGACTGGGTAGCGAACTTCTTCTGTTTCGCACCAGAGAAACGCCGGATTTGCCCCTCCACAGACGCCCAATCTGTATAGATTCCTGGTGTATGGCCACCAGGTACTGCGTAGTACTTGGGCTTCTTCGCGGAAGTGTCGGGGCCCTGGATGTATAGCCCTGCCTCTATAAGGCGAGTACGAAGGTCAAATCCTGAAGTTGTAGGCTGCGCTTGGTCCACTACCTGCCTCCTCGACTTGGGATGTGGTTCTGGCTCTGGACTCGACTCAATTTCAACTGGATTATACTGACTACCTTGAGGCAGGCCGTTGAGATCTTCATAATGCTGCGGAAATGCGACATTGGGTCTCGCGTTCGTTGGCAGCCCGTCCGGTCTCAACCGCTTGTCGTTCGCAGCGTGATGTGCCTCGTCATGCTTTCTCTTCTTTGATTTCGCCCCTCGTCCTCTGTTTGACCTTGGTGCAGCCATGGGTGGTACGTTCTCAATATTCTCGACCGACGAGTAGTTTTGCAAGTTCGGGTACCTAGCAGGTATGTCTAACGAGGGAGCGAATCGTAGAGGGGTGTAGTGCGGGGGAGCAACCGTGGGGAATGCGGCGGCCCTTTCGGGTAGGTATTCGCTGCCTATGAATCCATCTTTGTAAGTATGAGTGAGCTTGAGCCGCGCGGATTGCTCGCTATAAGGAGAGGAAAGTTGATACGCACGTTCGTTGAAAGATGCTGGATTATATGCACCATCGTGATAACTCATGTCGACTGCTTGCGAAGAAGCAAACCAATACACGTTAAAGATACGCGGCCAATGAAAATGCCACTTGGATATAGCCGGGTTGTATTGGTATGGTGGTAGTATGACGATGAAGGGGAGCCCAGTCGCGAAGCGAGATGGGCGCCCAACTCGCGTGGCATACGCGTATTCACGCGCTAAATTAGCTCCCGCACGTGTGGGGAAAGTGACCAACTCAGACTAGCACGTGGAACTTGTGTAGTTTGAGGTTGAGGCGTCTTTACTAATTGCCTACGGTACTATTGCTAGCTAGTCATGCTTCTAGTAAGTTTGAGGTTCGTCGATAGACTCAACCACATCAAGTGGATCTGGACTTTCCTCCTCGCCCATCTTCTGCTTCTTGCTCGCCGTGCTGGCCTTAGACCGCCCATGTCCCAACCAGCCTGGCTTTAAAGTGACAGGGTGTAGAAATCCATCCATATGTACAGCGCCTATCGTCCTTTCCTCATTGTCAGAATCATTCGTCCTAGGATCATAGCCATGCATTCGCTTGCAATGTTCCACCACGCGATATGGCAATGCGAAGTCTTTTTCATGGCCGTAGCAGTCCGTGTGTGGACAGCGTAGGGTGCCGACCTGAAAGAAGGGACGCTTGAACGAAGATGGGCCAGAGATAGGGAGGAGTTCTGGGGCTGGAAGCGTAGACGGTATATAGTACACTGGCTCAGCAATAGGTTTTGATGCAAGGCTCTCGTCAAATGGCAGAAATGACATGCTTTCTCCGAAAACGGCAGCACATCGATGAGCGGTGCGGGCAAGCGCTCCTTTGTCCCAGCCTTTAACGGCTGCAAGCCCAAGAACCTCACTCCAATCCAATAGCCCCGCCCTCCCTGACCAGTCACGATTAGTCGAGGCACTGTTATCGCTGGTGATGCTGGCGGATCTTCGACGCTTTCGCTTATATGAGGTGCTCTTAGCAGCGTCCGAATCAGAAGCACTGCTTGAGGCGAGGTCGTTGTCCAAGAGCTCTGTTGGAGGTTTCGAGGTACTTTTACCCTCCTTCGCCGTACGACTGGCACGTGTCGAAGTTGCACGGTAAGAAGGTTGAGTGCTCTCTTTTCGACTTGTGGCACTTTTTGATCTAGATCTTGTTGATGACCTTGACCCGCCTGACTCTACGCCTGAGGTGAACTCGCTCATAGATGATCTGTCGCTAGATCCCCCATGTCCAAAATGGTTGAGGCGGGTTCGGCGAACTGCCAATGCAATGTCATCCAGGTTGCTCAACACAGAGTTGATGGTGGGTTGTAGAAGTCTTTGTGCTTTCGCGTCGTCGGCTAGAACACTCGGTCTTGCGTAAGTTTCGGTCTGAGACTTCCTGCCACGCTTCTTGCCCACTACCAAGCCCAAGTGCTCTTCATCATCATCATCATCTTGCGCTTCGTCATTATCATTCTCAAGGTTGTCGCCGTCCTTCATTTCGACATCAACTCGTGAAGTAGAGCGGCGCGACTTGGTGGACATGACACTCTTTGACCGCGACCTGCTTGGTGAAATCATTGTACGATCTCTACTGCGCTGATCTACGTCCTCCGTCTCCCTTGATTCCCATCTCTCCTTTGCTAGCCGTAGGAAAACAGCTAGCAGTTCTCCTCGGAGCTCTTCTCCTACATCCTGTGTACGCGCACCTCCGATCATCCATTGTTTGGGATCCCCATCAGCTAATCCTCTTCGAAGTCGATCATGGGCGTGGGGAAGTCTCGCAGGAGGAAGTGGCCATGCTGTCCAGTCTTTTGACGGCACCAGCTCAGTCTGCAATATCCCAGATACATCTGTATACTGCAAGTCGCTCCCTGTCTTTGACCAGTTGTCCCTGCCCTGCCAATTCTCCAGCTGGGCTATCTCCTCTTTAGGCCTCTGTGCTCGGCGCTTCAGAGCATGTGCATTGTATAAGTGAGCGGCGAGATCCGAATCCCGTATCTGATCAAGTGATGCTGCTATCTGGCGATCCACTGCCGTGTAGCCTTTCCATGTTTGTGGCGGTCCGGTGAAGCGGTTCGGCCGCGACGGCCGATCTTGGTCAAACTCGTTGAGCTCTGTCTCGCTGTCGGTGGATAGATCGTTGCGCACTTCAGATTCTAGTGGTGGTTGAACGTTAGGTGCGAACTGGGCGCTCGGTGGGCTGGCAGGTTCAGCTATAGCTGGAAACGACTGTCGGATGGAGGGCTGTGAATTGTCGGGTTCAGATTCTTGTGGTGACTCAGTTGGTGGTGCGCTGCCATCACCACCAAACAACGACATCTTGGTTGATGTAGATGTCGAACACAGGTGGCAATCGGAGGAGGAATGTTGCTGTGCGGGCTCTGCAGTCCATCGCTTGTTGGGGATGTAAAGTCGCGGTGAAAGTTTTGGCGGGGCTCAAAGACTACGCGAAAGCACGTGACGTCGTGCCTTCAGCTCGCCGAGAATCATTTCCAGCATTTCTACCGGATCATACTGGACGGCTTTTTGGCCCATTTGGCGCGTGAGCCATTTGTAGTCTTCAAGATCCGCCGCCTTTTCACCCGGACGGGTCACGGCGTAGGCTCAGGCCTTCATTCGCCAAAGCTCCGGCAGCGAAGCCACGAACGGCATGGCTTCATCGCCGAGCGCAACAAGGTCTATCGATATCACAAAGCCAGCGCCAGCGCCAGCCACGGAAGTATACTGTATAAATGCTACACGACATGGATTTAGCCATGTGAAATAGAGACATATGTAGGGGTAAGGTATGTAAACTCTACCGCCGTCTGCCATCACCGAGAAGCGCTCATCCCCACGCGCACCATCCAAGAATGCCCCGTGGGCGTTTGCTGTGCCTACAATGTCGAGGTCTTCGGCTCGACGCCTGAAGCCATGGTAGAGCATAGCTCCGCTCCCAACCAACACAAATTGTGGGCGGAGGGAGGGCGGCACCAGCAACGACGCAGCCACGAAGGCCTCTTGGAGGGCGGCGAGGAAGGCGTCCGAGATGGGGGCGCGGACGGACGACATGCTAAGTATTTATATTTCTTGATGCTACGTGTATTCGATGTATTGTTAATTCTGGTACCCTGGATGCTTGCACATACCCCTGAGCTCACCTCTCTGCCAGAGCCCATTTCCACCTTCCCTCCAGACGTACTGTCATGGTTCCTTCTCAGAGCATCGCTTACAAAATCAGTAGTAACGCGACAGTCTCGCGTCGCTCTTCCTAATTATAGTATACTACAGCCCGATGAAAGACAAGTGCACGATTAGTACCAAAGAGAATGACCCAAGACGTGCCATTCTATCTCCTGGTCTTAGAGTGAAGGCATCAACATAATGTCCCATTTGTGCAAGACCCCTGTCCTCAAGAAGTCTCGATGAAACGGCACCGATTACGGCTGTACCTCTGTAACCGATTTTCGCACCCATTGTTAACCAGGGAATTACAAACTAGGACCCAGAATGTGTTCAACTACCTCTGCGAGTGCGATTAATAATTGCATAAAAACGCGAAGACCTCCAGGCTGTTGTATTAGGAGTATGTTAATACCTGCCTTAAAATGCGAGGTCCTCCAGGCCACTGTATTAGAATTATGCCGTAGTGATTCGCTAGGACATTATAAGAAGATTTTCAAAGCGCCTACGCCCTAGTTAAGCTATTGCTACTTTTATAAGCGTACTTTAATCACGGGGTTGTTTGTGATTATGTTGAGTTTTCTAGGATAGTTTGACATGCTTGTTCTATGGTTTTAAACTTTATTATGATTCTCCTAGTTGGCACTAACTATTATCAACGTTCTGATGAGTCTGCAGAACCGCCGCCTATGTACCTTCAGACTACTCGGACACTTTCAAATCCAGATCGACAACCCAGGGTGCATTCTCCAGCTGCCCGTCCTCTCCCTCCATAGCTGCATTGATGCATAGCGTTTGGTTCCCCTTGCGAAACACTTCGAGGGAGCCAGGTGGCAAGCTTGCAAACCCTTTCTTCTTAGCCTGATTCTTTCCCACCCATTCCTTCGCTATCGGAATGATTGAACCAGCCTCATCCTTGGACTTTGAGCTTTTATCATACTCGATCCTCTGGGCGCCATAACTTTTATGTATGTGGCCAAAGCAATGCAATTTTGGCTTTACTCTCTCAAGGGCTTTTCGTAAATGTTCGCAACCTGCGCTTCGTCCATCAGAAGTGGAGTCTAGAATGTATTTGGGTGGACCATGAGTCATAACTATATCGATGTTGCTAGGAACTTTTGATTCTTCGGTACCGACGTTATGAGCCCACAGAGGCGTATTTTCGGGAGGATTGAACCGATCTTCGTTGGTAGGGTATTGAAAACCTGACGTTCCGTATTCAGGGGTGTATGGCGAGGCGTAGATGCTGAATGTAGCCCCTGAGGAGATTCTGAATGTATGTGTGCCTTCAGATAGGAAAGTGACTCCGCCCTTGCTGGCCTCTGAGGTGGGATCAGGCGAGATCATTGCCTGTGCTGCTGCTATATCGGCTAACGATCCGCCCTCCGATAGATAATACTGCTTATCTAGGGATATCTCATGGTTTCCAGCTATTACGAGCTTCAGCTCGGCTTTAACCTTGCTAAGTGCTTCAAGTGCTTCAGAGATGGCTCCCGGGGAGCCGTCGTCGGTGAGATCGCCACAGTGAAGCAGAACGTCGCATTCTGGAAGCGTTGAAGGCAGTTCAGCACTATGGGTGTCGGACATGATAAGAAAGCGTACGGGCTTCAGCGAGATAGATGCCTCCATCCGAACTCTTTTCATGGGTGCAGTTGAATCTGGAGTAGAGGGTCGAGATCTCTTCAAGGATAGGGTGGCCATGACGGTGAGTATGTGTGATGTGGTGTATATGTGCAAGAAAAGTTCGGGGAGTGAGGGTCTTCTAAAAAAGACTAAAGCTGACCTATTGCTCCGTGTTCGCATATCGAAAATAGCGCAATTCTTTCTACCTCTGATAATGTACCATGGAGGCATGAGCAGGTTTATAGCGAGCATTATGTAAGTGCTTCGGCTCCTCGAATACACCTAGCTGACCTTTGGAATAGCAGCGTATAGACAAGTCAAGTCACTTTGCTGTATACTAGTAGTTTATTGACAACATAGCTCAACCCAAATGCTCGTATGACAGCGGCTTGTATGTACAACACGATATAATCTATTGCACAAGAGCAAATTGTAGGTAATTAGTAATGCGCATTTTGTTAGTCGTCCTACATTACCTAGGTAGGTGTTACAATATTTGGTGATTGTCTAGCCAGATAATGTCCTAGTGACCACGGATCGCATCAGACTCATGAGAAGGTTGATAGCTAGTACTCAAGGTTTAAAACTATAATTAACAACTGTCTTAATCTATCCTGAAAATTAATATAATTGAAAATTATACGTGAAGTACTTTTATAGAACTACAATAGCCTAGCTAGGGCGTAGGCGCTTTAGAAATCCCTTTAGGCGCCGGTTTGGTGAGAGGAGTATAGCTCTGCTCGCGGTCGGGAGGAACTGCCTCCGATCAGGCGCCCCCTGCAGAGATATGCATACCTGCAGATGCTCATTGGAGCACCGGTGTCATGTCCGCGACTTGACGGAGAGGGAAAACAAGCGAACGTCCGTTATCAACAAGTACATAGGAAGCCGTTCGTGTTCATAAACTAGACCTAGTTCAAGCTCCCCGGGACATTTGAGCTTTCAATTTCGACACCAAATTTCATTCAACGAGACATCACAACGACAATCGCAAGCTCGCAAGCTCGCAACATGGCCGCATCTCAATCTCTCGTCGTGTACCGCCCTGGCGCTTCAACAACCCTGGCGGCCAGACCATTATCTGCATCTTTGATCTCGTCGCGCTTCTTCACCCAACAAACCGGAACGGCAATTGCCACAGAACTCCTCTACCGTATCCTATTCGATATCTTAAACCGTTTGATTTCGTCTTTCCAGCGTCTCGCCTCGAAAGGCATGCAAAAATGCTCTTCCTTCATAGAACAGAAACTACAAGAACAGCGTGACAGATTGGCGGCCGCTAAAGCTGGTGCTGCTGAGGGTCTGAAGATCGTACAGGAGGTAGGCAAGCTGGCCGAGGAGAGGGGATTTATTACGTGCCCGATGACCGGCCACACGATGGATGCAATACTGGAGGGAAAGAGGGCTCCGCCTGGGCCGCCGATGTGGGTCAGAGAAGTGATGGAGGGGATCGACGAGGGGCGGATACACGATAGGGATTTTTGGATCCAGACTCATGAGGGCTGAAGAGGGAACGCCTGCAATATATGCAAGTAAAAACTCGCCAGAGAACCCCGTCACGCTCAGAAGCAGCACGCCTTCCCTAATGACCTGACGCAGCGACGAAGTCGTATCTTACAACTGGTCACACTCCGAGGCGGTGCGGAGTAACTTCTCAATGTGAACGCACTCGAGTACAGTGTGGTCAAAACATAAGGGCTGTTGCCTCAGTTCTCTGGCGTAGCTTGGCTATGATGTCTCGGGCGTGCTACACAGGACTTTGTAGATGTGAGCTTTCAGAAATGGTTACCGGTAAGCTGCTCGGACTTGAATTAGTACACACATACCTACGATCAAGAAGTCGGTTTCGGACTCGAGTATTTCGAAAGGATCGTAAGCATAGCCAAACTTGGAAAGAGTGCAATTCCAAATCGTCCTCCGGTCACTGGGCAATGATGTTTGGCTGTCTTCTAGTTGACGGATGATTCAAAGCTACCTAATTTTCTCTTTGTTCTGCTCTGATTCTCTCGGTTTCGAGTAATTGATAACCTATCTCAATTCGTTGCTATAATGTTTCAGTCTCTCTCAATACCTCTCACTAAACCGATCTCATATATAAGACTACATGTTAGCTCACATATTCTCTTGTTGAACCGAGTTTCTTTGCGGCTCATCATTTCAGTTTCGCTGTAGCTCTCCTGTCGCAGCCCTGCAGACGCAGCATTACTGATCTTAAATACACTAAATCAGTGGCCTCATACCTCCAGCTGCCTATCGCCACACTTATTTGATTGTCTCTCACCTGCTGGGGCCGCTCGGGCCATGTTATGCCTCGCATAACCTTGCTTGGTGTTGAAGATGCTTTCACCTTCACACAACCACGCACCTTCGACCACCTTCGACCACCGACTATTTCCCTCCTTCACCTCGACTAGACCTTCCTGCCGCCGGCAGAATCTCGCACCGAAGATTAGCAGCTACGCGAGCGCTCGGACCCCAGGTTCTCATATATAAAGCTCATCCCCCACCCTCTCCACGACACTCTCACTCCATTTCCACTCCACCACACACTCAACCATGGAACAAAAATCATTTTCGTCATCACTCTTTCATTCAAATCTTCCACTTCAACTCAACTTCAAGTCACATCAGGTATGTCACATGTCTCACTCACTTACATTCACTCACATCTCTTAGTCACACAAGTCTTTATGACATCCTTCAACTACTATGAGCATCACTCAACCTCATCCAACATGACACCATCACCACTCTCGTCGCTGAGCTGGTAACTATCCTCCATCCTAACTGGTTTGTACGCTGACCCCTCCTAGCTCTGCTTGCTTATGGCTTCACCTGTCCACCAATCCTCTCTGAGTCACCAATACCTCTTCAGGTCACCTCCACCAACATCTCTTCCATCATCGCCAGTCTCCACATTCGCAGCAGCAGAGCACGCTCACGGCATCACCTACATCGCATCGAACAGTGTCCTACACGTAGGCACTGGGCATCGGACAGGAGTGAATCATCAGTAGATCTCCTGGGCGTTCCCAATCTGCGGATTGGTGAACGTTGAGCTCGAAACGAAGACATCATGGATCTTGGTACAGGGTGCACACAGGCTGCAGGGTCCCTTGGGCTTGGAGCATGGTTATGGTTGGTGGTGATACTGGTTGGGTGCTTGGCTCTATGGTGAAGATGAGGATCGCTTTGGGGCATGAGGCGGCCTGGCGGTAGTGGTCATGTCAGGGCTCTTCGATGGTGCGGGAGGATAGACGGTCAATGGTGCTTCGGCACTAAACCAGGCCTACCGTCGTCGAGTCCGGAGTCCTAGCTGTGCGTGGTGGTTGTATCCCCAGCTAGTGTACTTCCTTGGCTATTTGCTACTGCCTGCATACAATGCAGCAGCGAAGGTGGGAGAGACTTAGTCGGGTGTCGTTTGGATTCTACTAGCACCCAACCAGTATGAGCTTGGACATGAGGCTTGGACTTGTACGAGTGGTTGGATATCATGGGCATTATCAAGGTTGGACATCAAGGACATCTTCAAGGTTGGACATCAAGGACATCTTCAAGGGTATACATCAAGGACTTCATCAAGGTCCATTGGCATGGACATCTTCAAGGAACAATAGTATGGACATCAAGGACATCGGGTATCAGCTCAGCATCAATAAAACCACTCATGAGCCTCAACATTATACTTTGCTTGCCTCCGTCTTCTCCATATCTTCTTGCATACCTTACTGTGTGATTGACGCTTGAGGAAATGCCTCTGTATCTTCATAGCTCAGCTAGTGCTGTTGTGACTGTTGTGATAACGCGGATATTTGGCTGGATCCGCATGCTACAGGGCGATATGTCCATTAAGCCTGCTGTGGATGATCACGGTGTTTGGAGTTGAAGCAGAATCAATCATGGAGCATTCTTCTCGGGACTTAGAATTTAGATATTAATGTACGAGTATTTAGTTGGGATTTGAAGTTTTCTGGACGCTGGCACGACATTAGTTTACAAAGGTTCTAATAGATATGATCAACCTCCTAGGCCATAACATCTCTCTGCCCAAGTCTGTTTCCGGCCCGCTAACTTTTGTGACCTACGTGGCAGGTTCCGAGCCTACCTCACGCCTCTCCGCCCTATCTTTTTCGCATACATTAGGTTGTCTTTCCAGTGATCTTGTCATACGCCTCTCGATATTTCTCCGCTGTCTTCTTCACCACATCCTCCGGCACCTTCACACCCTCCTTGCCCTTCAACCCCTGTCCCGTCAACCAGTCACGCAAGAACTGCTTGTCGAAGCTCGGCTGCGCTCTTCCCAGATTCTCCTCCCACGTGTCCTTTGGCCAGAAGCGACTGCTGTCCGGTGTCAGAACCTCATCAACCAAGACGACATTATTGTCAGCATCAAGCCCAAACTCGAACTTGGTGTCCGCGAGAACGATACCAACAGCTTCAGCGCGTGCCGCTGCCGCGGTGTAGATGGCGAGGGACAGCTCTTCGACTTTGGCTGCGATAGCTCCGTTACCGATGAGTTCGCGAGCCTTTTCAGGGCTGATGTTCTCATCTTTACCGCCGAGTTCGGCTTTTGTGCTGGGCGTCCAGAGCGGCTGGGGAAGTTTCTGGCCTTCGATCAGTCCGGCGGGGAGCGAGATGCCATTGACGGTGCCAGATTTGGTGTACTCGGACCAACCGGAACCCGTGATGTAGCCCCTGACGATGGATTCAATTGGAATGATGCGCAGGCGGTGGACTTGCATGCTGCGGTCCTTGAGCTCTGGGAGCGAGGAGAGAGCTGGTGGTAGGGAATTGCTGATGTAGTGCGTCTTCAGGCCTGGAACTTGAGTGGGGAGATAGTTGAACCAGTAGATGGACATTGCTGTTAAAAGGGCGCCTTTCCCTGGGATACCCTAAGATTTCATTAGTATTGGAGAAGAGTAAAAAGGGGTTTAAAGGTCTCGGTTCCTTAATTATGCACACTCACGTTGTCCATGATCACATCGTACGCCGATATGCGGTCGCTCGCAACGAACAGCAGTTTATCATCGTCAATTGCGTACAGATCGCGGACTTTGCCCGAGGCAACTTTGGGCAATTTGCCTTGAATATCGATGCTAACAACTGTCTGCGATGCCATTTTGCGTAGCCGGCTGATTTGTCTGACTGTTCCGAACAAGTTGGGCAAATGCAGCTGCCCGCGTTGAGTATTTTACACCCTGCATGACGCATAGTGGGGCTGCTGTGGCTAGTGGCTGCTGTGGCGCAGCTCCATGCATGACCTGCATTGTTGGGTCTAATGATATCAGAACACTGCGAGCCAAGTTGACTTGACGACTTCCTCCTCAGGTGAACTTTAGACGAGGAGATATTCCAAGCTTGTAGTTTCTCGCGAAATACTAAAACCTGCTCAAATCGCTGCTGCTCCAAATGAACGCTGCGTAGATTGGCTCACGCCAGGCTGCACCCAACCATCGCGTATCGAGACAACACCTCCATTGTCCGTCCCTTCATCAATCTCCGTCTTCTCTGGCGCGTCTGATTATTTCGGAATGTCATCTACTCAGTTCACAACCCTCATTCGACTTCCGTTCGCCCGAGGAAACTTCGAAGACCCTCCTCAGGTGAGTCGTTCTAAGCAACGAACGCCCTGAAGAGCCCGCTGACCAGCAAGGCGCAATGGGATGCGGAGAAAGACCGTCAGCTATGGAAAGTCATCTCGAAATCGTCAAAGACGAGTGATCTGAACTGTAGGTGTTTCTAGGATATGCTTATAACTATTACTGACAAATGTAGGGGTCGAGTTGTACGCATCTCATGTTCCTAATCGCCCAGCCTCACTGACCATATCACAGAGCTACCAAGTTTCAAGTCCCACCCACATTTCTTCTTCAACAGGCAGCCTGGCTCTATGAGCGCCATCTTGACCATGTGCGAGACCAGATGAAGAGAGTCAGCATTTCAAATGCGGCTCCGTCTCCAACTCCAACCGGCGGGAGCACTGTAACTGCCATCGGTGGTGTCGCCATGCTACGGACCGGAAGTGGTGGTTCGGGAGGTTCGTCACGCATCCCATGGCTGATCTGTTGCTGACCTGTAGCAGCTCCGAGGACAACATCTGCGTTATCTGGGCGACCAAGAGACAGTCCTGGCTTGCGAGGGGGAGAGACGATAACATCTGGTAAGTACAATCAATCGTGAGACTAGATAAGGACTCATATGCTAACATCTCAAGCTCCTCCGCTCTCTAGGACACCTTCGACAAACACAATTACACAATCTCGGACAAACACTCAGCAAGCGCCCGCCCGGACACAATCTACCCGTTCAAATCAGCGACCAAGTCTGACAAGTCCGAAGCCTGAAGAGCGACAGTCTTCTTCGACCGCACCTCCACCCAACTATCGAAGAGATCAATTGGAGTCTCCGGACATCCCAGCTTCACCATCTTCAAGCTCATCTTCTTTGTCGGATACTGATCACCCAGCTCACCGAAGCCAACTGTTCAAGCGACCACCGCGGTTCAAGCAACAACGACCGCGAGAATTGTCGACTTTCGACGAGGGTGACGGAACGCAGGAGATTGAAGACTCGGGTTCACATGGAGTTCCAAGCTTACCCTTCGCGTCCGCAGCAAGGCGGCAACCAAGTAGTAGCAAGTATGCCCAAGACACTCTCTTTCGCACCAGCTCGAAACCGGAACAGAAAGTCCTCCAGTCAGACCGCACGAGAAATGCGCCGCCTATTAGACAAAAGTCAATTGATCAACAATCGCAGGCGACAATAGAGACGGCATCTTCAATGACAAGCTCTGCGTCTGCCAGTGATGCTCCAACAGGTCCTAGATCAACCGACCAAGCCCCAATGAGTCCATCTTTAAACCATCGTGCTGAACTGGGGAGGCTCGGTAGCCCGAGACAGCAGGGTCCCCGATCAAGGAGGGAGGGTAGCGAGGGGACTCCGAGCATGGGGAGCAGTTTCAGCGACATTGACGGTACGTCTTGGAACTTTTTATAATTTCACAAACTCACGTCGCATAGATGCAGGTATCAGCCAGTCGGCCCTCGAAGAAGCATTGCTCAGCAACATGCAGCATGGGAGGATGAGTACGCTGAGCCGGATGTCTCGATTTATTTAGGCATAAGAACCGATTCAAGACACGATAAGCCCGCTATGCAATAATACACTGGGTCGTTCACTTTGCACTTTGGCTATCAATGGTTGAGTAATACACATCTCGCAAACTTCTTTCACTTGACCCGTTTGCGCAAGGCTGCAGTCTTGGCATTGACTTCACTTACCTCATTTCACCTCTGTATGCTGCTTTTCTTAATACTTCAACATACCACCGCTTGCCTGTACTTTCCCGACGATTACCGCACAGCTTCGTGCACACCCCACCATGAACTTGCCACCCATCTGCGTCGAAGACTACACCTCGCAACCCGCAGTGACCGTAAAGTACCTCCTCGGCGCCAACGAACTCGACTTCAAAACCATCTACACGCAAATCAAAAGCCTACTCACACATCCCGCATGCGACCACCTCCTCGGCGAAAGAAGCTGGCCCTGCCCCGGCTGCGAGCAAGTCTTCCTGCACGCATACTGGTCCTCAGCCGCCCACCTGCTCGACTACTTCGCCGACTTCTTCGCGGCCGATACGCCGCTCATGCAAAGCATATGGTTCCACCTCCTAGACGTGTGGCAGGAAGCCAGCACATGGCTACCGTCCGACACCACAACCGAGACCTTCATGCGGGACCGTCGCATCTACCGCGCGAAGCGCCGGGGCCTGTTCTGGATGCATGTCCACGAGACGATCGCGCTGTTCGAGACGACGATCAGCGGCGCAAAAGTCAAGGTCTTGCCGCGTGATACGTTTATTTACACCCCCTCGGGTCGAGCGGAGAGCCCGGCGGGCGAGTACGAGACGGGGCCGTGGATATCGGGGCTCAAGCCGTGGCAGCAGTTTCTATGTGAAGACTCGCCGGGCGTTGCGGCGCCTTGTGCCTCCCCCGTTTTAGATGGAGTAGAACCGCAGAGCGTAGAGCGGGTCCGCTACATCCCCATGCCGGCTATCGGCATCGTGAAAAAGCACACTGCACGCACCCGCTCCCTCGCTGGCAAACTAGCCGCAGCACAAGGCCCGGACACATCTGTCATCGTAGAGGCACTCAATACCTTTGACCAGCACGCTCTCGGTTTCCCTACTACACAGTGTGTACACGCGTACACGAGTCTCACAGGCCAGGCGGTGAGATACAAGCTTACCAACGGTGCCCCGCTGATTAGTCGGTACCCTGGGCTGGGCGATCCGAGTATGCTGGTGAGTAGTCCGACATGGACGCTGTTGGATGAGTGTGTGGGTGTGTGCAAGGGCGTGGAGGCTTATGAGCCGCAGGCTGGTGGCGATGATGAGGATGAAGATGAGGATGAGGACGAGGACGAGTATGAAGAAGAGGTGTTTGATATGTGGACTGTGTTTGAGAGTGCGCCAGTTGAGGGGGAACGAGGGAGTGAGCTGGTGCTTGGAGAAATGTTTGACGAGTGGTGCGGTGATGATGCGTTCTGAATGCTAGAAAGAGATAATCGGGAGGACAGTATGAATGTATGAGTTTCTGATTTCGATAACTGGGTATTCTCTGGTTACTACGCAACAGCAACACCTTCTCCCAGCTTACTCAACTCCAACTCGCCCTCCCCACCGAGATTATCCAACCCATGGAATCCCTCTTCTACAACCCATCTCTGGTCGTACTTCATAAGCACCTTGCACGCATTCCCCACCACCAGTAGGCCCGGCGGTCTACTCCCTTCCTCCTCCACTGCTGCACAAACGTGTTCCAGCGTCGTTCTAATAACTCTTTGATCAGGACACGACGCTCTTTCCAAAACAGCCACAGGCAGGTCCTTGGGGTATCCTTTCCCATCTAGACTTTCAATCAATGCAGATAGACGATGTAGCGACATGAGTAAAACGAGTGTCCGTGACGCCACGAATTCTGGAGGATCAAGCGGCGCGCCCTTCCGTCCGGTGCCAGTGCAGATCAGCACTTGATCTGCAACACCACGGTGCGTGGCAGGTATAGCGGCAAACAGCGGCGCACTCAACGCGCTGGTGATGCCGGGTAGAACACTGGGTATATATCCATGCGCGCGGAAGAAGTCGTACTCCTCACCACCTCGCCCGTAGATATATGGATCGCCCTGCTTTATCCTCACAACCACCTTGCCCGCCTTCAGTCCCTCCAGACCCAGCTCAAGAAGCTCTTCTTGAGCTTTATCTGCGTTGCCGGGGAACTTGCGTGCGATGTGGACGGTTGCGCGGCGCGGGACGAGGTCGAGGATGGGAGCGGGAACGAGTTTGTCGGCGAGGATGAGGTCGGCGGAGAGAATGGCTTTGTGTGCTGCGCGGGTGAGAAGGTCGGGGTTGCCGGGCCCGGAGCCTGCGAGAATGATGCGGCCTGGTCTTCTTTGTGGTGTTATGGCGGCTGGTCCGACTTTCAATGGACTGCTGCTAGCAAACTCGCGGAACAGAGTATCGACATCTGCGTCCGAAATAGCGGCAAGGCGACGAAGGGGCCAATACTCGCATATTTGCGATAGCCAGCGCATCCGACGACCTCGAGCCGCTTCTTTGCTCTCTTCTACAATCAACTTATTGAATGTTGCTGGTTGGCCACTGTCCTCCTCTTCTGCTTCAAGATCTTGTAACAGCTCAGCGGCGTGATCTTCCTCCCATATACGCCTGCGCAGTGTTCCAAGCCTCTCCACAGCGTCACCCAGTTGTTGTGGCAACGAAGCCGCGATTTCCCTACGGATCCTCGCAGACAGCTTACAGCCTTTGCCTGACGTTGTGACACCAATCTGTAACGGCCCGTCGGAGTGTGTAGAGAGGAGCGTGAACGAACATAGATTCGGTGCATCGGCGACATTGACGGGTATCCGTAACCTTCGACAAAGGCTCGAGATGTGGGTACCTGTAGCAAGTCAGCAGGTACATTCTCAGCTGCTCCTGGGTACTGACTGGATCCCTGTTTGCCGCCTGCGGTGATAAACACTGCATCTACAACACCATCTACCTCGGAGCGACCCAAGGTGGTCAGGTCCTCCTCGTTGAAGCTTCGCTTGAGCCATTGCACTTCGCCGGCCTCAATGCGCTTGACCAGACCATAGTGAAGGGTAGCTTCCTCGGGTGCAAGCAGTATGGGCTTTGCGCCGACCTCGATTGACCGTGAGCATCGAGCACCAGCGAGCGGATTCGATCCGATTATCAGATGGATGTGGGATGTCGCATCGACAGCAGTCAGAAGCGCGGGCGCCATGGTGGGATTTGACGCTGACTTGTGATGCTCTGAACTTGCCCGAAGGAAGAGCAAGAGCAAGGACAGCGAGATTAATACAAATGTTATCAGTCTCGCATACTCATGGCGGCGGCGCTGATAATGCACCCTCATTTTCTTGTTCCGAGCCGACCAACCGACAATGGCGCGATAAGCCGCTAACCACAGGCGGCTAGGACGGGTGTCCCCCGCGGAAAAGCTCGTACATCAAGTGGTTGCTCCGCCCAATGGCTGCACGGGCGATTGTCCGCAGTCAACTTCAGCGGAGTTAGTCAGACTGCTCATCGTGGTCCATGACGATGTCAAGGGCTTTGCGGCTCAGCATTACGCTGTGTTCGAGTGCGTTGAGCTTTGCTGAGGCGGAGATGAGGGCGGGATCCTGGCTTTCGACTCGTATCTTCTCCTTGACGCGGACGTCCTGGCCCCTGTACTTGAATGTGCGGTCCGCCTCGTCGTGAACCGGCGGTCGTGTGCCACCCAGTGCCACTGCCAGGCTGTCGCGGAGGCTGAAGCCGCTGAGCGATGACTTCTCCCCAACATGGTGTGGTTCGAGGGTGCGAATCTCGAGGCCGAGGGCGGCGTCGAAGATGAACATGTGGAAGGAGACGTTGGCTGGTAGTGGAGGGTCGAAAGTCTGTTTCGTGTCAGCGTGAATCATGTCGACTTTGGATCATGCAGCTCACGTTCTCATCCACTGGATTCTCCCACCATGTCATCTGCACGTCCGAGTACCCTCGTAACGCCTGTCGTGCCTCCAGTATATGGTCGTGCAGGAGCTGTAGCTGTCCTGCAACGAAGCTCGCATTGGTCGCATCTCCACCCCAGGTAGCAACGTCGATGACATCTAAACAGCTGTTGATCGATGTCCGTAGGTTCGTAAGCTGGGGTACAACGAGCGTGGGCGCCTGCGGGGCGGACGAGATGGTCAAGTCGTATGTATGAGAGCCCTTTGGCGGAGGGAGGCTTGTTAGGCGTAGCTTGATGTTCTGCAGTCACTTGGTGAGCATGTAAACAACACAACTTGTAGAAGCCTCTAGACGTACACCCTTGGTGATGCGCGTTCCAATCCTGGTGACGAGGCCCTTGAGGCTCTCAGACCGTACTGATGACAGCACCAGAGTGGACCCGTTCTCAGTCGGCGCAAGGAGGGCAGCGCACTCTTCCAGGCCTGCCTTGAGCGACTGCAGCGTCTCGCGGAGCTGCACGAGCAGCCATTCGAGCTCCCGGGCTTGAGACGCCGCCTGCTCATCGGCCAGCCGAGCCTCGTCGATGGGCGGCCACACGGCAGTTGACATGGCGATGTCCAAACAGAGTCAAGTCAAGCTCAAAGGTACTGTAGGTTGGTTGTTTGGTCGTTCATCCGGCGACATAAGGATGCACACGTCTCTCAGCAGTCTCGGTTGTTATCCGCGGAAGCTACAGGGATGCAGCTCCCTGCGAAACATCTTGCTCGCATCGCGCGTCCCATTGCTGCAAGCATCCAGAGGCAAAGACAACGTTATGCCTTTCCTGGCCTTGTTGGCCTAGCCTACCATTGTCTTTTGAGCATCGCACTGAACCAATTCGAGGATGGGATGATGCAAATCCCAGGTCATGTTTCCCAGTGAGGTCATAAGCTAGCCGACTTCCCACGCTTCCCGGCTTTACGTCACCGCTCCCAAGCCCAGCGCTCATAAACAAGGTCGATGCTCTTTGTGAGCATTTTCTGCATGCTTCCCTCCCTGTATCTCAGCATTATCGTGCTGTAGTAATCTTAATACACTCGACCGTTGCGACGAATCGTCTTGACCATACTCACAATGGCCGGCCCTGCTAGTGCGTCCCTTCCTGTGTCAGACATTGGCTTTTGCCCAAAATCTAATTCTTGACGCGCAGGACCCCTTCTCGCCATCGTCTCGCTCATCTTGCTCGCCGGTGGCATACTGCTCCAGTTCTTCACCATCTTGTCCGGCGCCGTCAACAGCAGTCCCATCGATCGCTTCTACTTCCTTCAGGCATCGACAAACAACATTGAAAACGCACGCAACCCTTCGCGATGGACCTTCTTCGCCATCTGTGGCCGCGACCCGACCACTGGATATAATGCCAACTGTGGAAACATCGTGCCTGCGCTGCCATTCGACCCGCCGAGAAACTTTGGCACGCAGGAGAATGTCCCAGAGCAGTTTATTGGCACGCATACGTTCTACTACCTCTCCCGGTTCATGTTTGCCTTCTACCTGGTTGCCCTCTTCTTCGCTGCCATTGCCCTCGTCTCTGGCCTCTTGGCGCTCTGCAGTCGTCTCGGTGGCTACCTCTCCGCCATGACAACAGCTGTGGCCCTTTTTTTCCAGACACTGGCTGCTGCTCTCCTAACGTAAGTCTTTCGCAACTCCAGACAAGCTACACTACGAATAACCTCTAACAATAACCAGCGCTTGGGTTATCAAAGGTCGCAATGCCTTCCGCTCTGGAGGCTTTGAAGCAAACGTCGGCAAATACCTCTTAGCTTTTGCTTGGGCTTCCATGGCTGCCTTCTTCGTGGCAACGATTCTTTTCTGCCTAGGTGGAAAGCTCGGCGGCGACCGCTCATCAGGCGTCAAACGTACCCGATCGACCCGGTCGAACCGTAGCCGGGGGAGCTTTATAGACACCGACTCGTCACGCCGGGTCAAGGACGACTACTCGTAAATGAAAGTTGGGGAAGGATGAGAGAACTACGATTAAGGAGAGATTGGAAGATATATACGATATCCACGCCATATTTGTCAAGTATGAATAATGTTTATAGCGCGAGCGATGGAGCAAGGAGTACCTAAGCGATTGTAGATACGCTCAGCCGAATGATGTGTTAATAATCTTTGAAAGTCATGTTCCTCAGACATCTTGTGAATTCTACCAACTACTCAATGTCCTCATCAATCATCATGCTGATTACGCCTCCACTACTTTGAAAATAAGACAACCAGAAGAGAAAAAGTGTGTGCTATTGAGAATATATTAATAATAAGTAATATTGGCATTCATCCATAGTCCATTTCCCATATACCATGTAGCCGCATAATCACATGGACCTTTCCTTTCCCTTCGCCTCTCATATAAATATTACCCCAAATCTCCACCCCGTATGTCGTCGTCTATGTAAATCATACAAGTACACTCCTGCATCGCGTCGATGAAAAGTCGTGTAGTCTAAGGTGCGTGCGCCGTTTACCCAATGCCATAAGTCCGTAAAGCCGTAAAAAAGTTCGATGCTCGCTGTAAATGCGCCGAAAAAAATCAAATGTATGTCGCCTCTGGTTCGCGAAAGACCGTTGTCTTCGCTCATGTATGTCGCCCGTGAAAGGATGAAGCTTCATACCTGCTCCGTCCAGCTCTTGCGCTTGTTGTTCCGCTGCTCCTCCCAAATCACCAACTCCCTTCCGCTCCTATCACCACCTCGTCGCACCCGGTCGATGCCGAGATGTTCAAGGCCATCACGGCCGACGTGGATGCCAAAGCCGTACCTGATCTTCCCCGGGTCCGTAAGCGAGTCGTGCTTCTCATGCCTCTTCTCTTTTCTCGTCTTCTTCTCGCCCAGCGCGGGATCCGTAGGTGAATCGCCCCTGAGATTGTTCTTCGAAGGCCGGACGAGGGAAACGACGGAGCGTGTCCATGTGCGCTCGAGGTACGTGCTTCCCATCAGTCTAGCGACGAGTTCGGGCTTGGTTTGCGGGCGGGAGAAGGCGCGATCGGCCAGGATGGGCGATTGGTACACCCAGCTTATCATCTCGGCCAACGTGTTGCTACGATGCGGCAGGGCACCTCGGCGACGACCGGGGAGCAAGGCGAGCAAGCTGATGGTGTAAAGAGCGAGGAAGAAGCAGAGCGCGTAGTAGCCTGGGAGATCTGCTGAGACGCGGACCGTGTCTTCGTTGTTCCAGTATTGCGTCCAGAAGCAGCCGCCTGCTAGGACGGGAATAGTCATGGAGACGAGTGAGACCAGCGAGAGGACTGCCGTTTGGAAGTGCCTGTTCTCGATTGCTGAAATCGTAGCCGAGATGGGCAACCGACATGCGTAGTCAACAAGAAGTGAGGTCTCGGCGGTAGCGCCACCTTTCGATGAGAGCGAGATGTAAGGCTGGAGTGTTCGGAGAGAATAATCGAGCGACAGCAGGGCCAAGAAGAGAAAGTTGCCGATCAGCGCTGGGATGAACGAGTACAGGAAGTTGGAGGCAGAGAAGCCACTAGCGTCCGTACGTGCGAAGACCTGAGGTAGAAAGCCGATGCGGACAGCGCGGTTCACGAAGCTGACGGCCAGGAAAGCGACCAGCAGGACACTGGCGATAACGATCCAAGCGACGACCGAGGTGTCTTTGAGATACCACGGCAGGTACCTCAACCGTACGCCTGGACTGCGGATGTCCATGCGAATAGAAAAGTCGCCAGGCTTCTCGTTGCCGTGTGCCGGCTCGGGATATGTGCGCTCGGGTCCCTTCTCCCTAATTCGACCTGCTTCGAGCGAAAATCTCCTATTATCTCCACCCTCTTCACCAATGCCATAGAAGACATCGGTCGGTCGCTTCGTAGTACTCCAGTAGCCGATGCGGTCAGCGCGGTTACTCACCAAGTGCCAATCGCCCTTTTCAAACGTCTCGGAGCCATTGTAATCAGCCATGATGTTTGAGCGTTCGAGAAGTGAAACGACGTCGGCGAGCGATCGAGGATCCCACCTCAACCCTGTCTGGTTTTGTATAAGAAATATCAACAGGACCACCAAAGCGATGATCAATAGAATGTATAGAACGACGACGGTCCAGATGACGCCCTGAACAGCGACCCATCTCCATACGCCTCGTTCTAGATCATATCGTACGTTGAATGAAGATGCAAGAAGGGGTATCGTCCAAGTGAATAGCCAGAAGATAATATAGCAGGCCCCGACACGACGTTGGCCTGCACGAAAGTGCTCGAAATTTGGTAGAAGAAACTGCATGGGATGCAGTTGGAGGAAGACAGCTTCGGAGCGTCGGTGGAATGATTTAGAGGCCATTGATATAAACGGCACGATCCGTTGAAGGGCGGTCTGGATCTGGATGAGCCAGAGGAGAATCAACATTCCGAGCATGGTTGGAAGATACTCGAATACGAAGTAGCGACTATCACCGAAGGAGTTGTAGTCCCAGAGTCCATTACCGTTGCTTCGGTTCGAGTAAATAGCGCAGAAGATTAGTGCCGCGAGGATAGTGAGACACAGGAAGATGAAGAGACCTAGCCAGAGAGGGCGGAGGATAGCAGGGAGGAAGTGGAGCGGCGCATGCGGTTGGGTGCTCGCTACGAATACGTCTTTCTCTACCCGAGAGGGAGGTTGTTGTGGTTGGTGGTGAGGGTATTGAGGTTGAGCCGCCACGGGTAGTTGAGTGTTCGCAGTTGGTGCCGAGGGCTGTCTCTGAGGCTGCGGGGGCAGGTACTGCGACATCCTCTGCTGTGTCCTTTGCTCTTGTGCCATGTATCCCAAGCCATCGTCTGAGACAATTCTCTCGACAGGGTAGTCCTCGTCTTGGACCTGTGGCCTATCTTCAGGGTAGACGCGCGAACCTCTGACCTCTTCATCTCGGGTCAGCTGGTCGATAGCGAACCGTATGTATGGTGTTGTGTCTTGACCTGGTGTCGTTGCCACGGACGCCGAGTCCATGTCGGACCGCACCTGGGACCGCCTTGTGTCTTGTGTTCCTGGTCTCTCCTCCGCGATTGTCGAGACAGCCGGCGATTGAGGGCGTCCGTGTTGCCTCGGGATACCAATGCCGCGTAGCGATGTTATTGGGGTTTCAGTTTCGGACAACAAATGCTCATGACTTGCTGCCGGGGTTCGGTGGTGGGATGGCGGTGTTTGGAAGAGAGGTTTCTTGTCCTCGCTATCGCTGGATGTGTTCTCGGAGACGCTGTAGAATCCTTCAGAGGCAGCTAATGAGGCAGCAACGCTCTGCTGAGAGCCTTGGTGGGAGAGTCGAGGTCGAGATACTATTCTCTGGGTCAGTAGACGCAAGTTTGGATAGCTGAGGAGGCGGACCGTTGGTGTGCTTGAGCTGGAACTCGGGGTCCACACTCATATCTTCTCTGGAACGCTAAGCAAGAGTGGAGTCGTGCAAGAATGTTAGCATTGTGTAGATTTCTAAGAGCTGGCTGCAGGTGAGTTTTCTACTCGGGATGGCTGGTGCATCCTGGAGGCTGGGGAGGTTGGGCAGGGGTCGTCTCATCACAGCTGGGATCACATTGGTGCGGCGCATATATTCAAGGTCCTGATTCAGGTGTAAAAAGAACAAGTTTCTTGTTATTTGTGGTATATCATTCGTGGATCAGCCTGGCGATGCCTGATGTGTTGTTTATGCGTTATATCCCGCTGTGGTGACGCAGGGCCCACTAGTGCTATCTTGAGGTGGCCCGGGCGTCGGACACCAGAATATACATCAAAGACCACCATCTTCACGCCAACACCCACTATGTCGTCTTGAATATCATCTCTGGTTACATAAATCAGTATATGGAAGGCCTGGTATCGGTCGCTTCCTCCACAACAATCCCACTGCTATAGCATATCGATCCGCGACGTAAGGCGCAGTAATCAACTTCATGAGGTATCTACCCTCCTTTCACGCTTGAATGATATATATTCTAACTGTTTGTGGCTCAGGTTGTGATGGAACTTTGCGAACAAGCCCAAGTGTTCCTTGAACATGGAGACGACTGCCATTTTGACCACACAAAAATCATTCTGCGAAGAGCTGACAACGAATACTTCTACGCCAAGACCAGTTTGCGCATCCCCCAATCTTCAAGAATTGATGTGGACCAACTGGAGACAATTCCAATCCCTGCAAATCACATCTGGCCGTTAGCTGATCCCACATTCACTCGAGCTCCTGAACCACTACCTTCTACCTGTTACTTGAAACGACCCAGCTTTCTTTACTACGACGAAACCGCTAATGAACAAGACTACGGTCGTCAAATCCTGACCGAGGTGGAAGCGTGCGAGGTTCTAAAATTACACCCACATCCCAACGTCGCGCAATACATGGGCTGCATCGTAGAAGCTGGTCGAATAAGAGGGCTTTGCTTTCCAAAATATTGCACTACTCTCTCGCAGATGTTGAAAGAGAGGTCATACTTTGACAGGAGCCGGTTTCTGCGTGAAATAGAAGCAGGTGTACGTCATATGCATGACTTGGGACTTGTACACAATGATCTCAACCCATCAAACATCATGATGGATGGAGACAATGCTGTTATCATAGACTTCGACTCATGCAAAAAGGAGGGAGACAAACTGGGTACGAAGATAGGAACACACGGGTGGACACTGGATGATGTAGAGTATGCGAGGCGAGAAAATGACTTTTATAGCCTCTCACTAATAGCTGCAGCCCTAAAGAGAGATAACTCATAATCAAAGACTGTGTGGATGACTACCCCAATCATATGCCTTGTCCCTCAAACACCTCAACCCGTCTTCTTTGAATCCCTCGCCCTGCCTGGTGCCAGCACTACTCAAGGCATCCTGGAATGTCAAAATATACGATACCAAATGTGGGATAAGCATCTCACTTACACGTTTACCGCTGGGGTAGAACATGATTATCCGACTATCTGCAATCGCTATGCCCACAGTCCAATATTTTCGCCTTACATAACGATCCATCCTTACAGTACCTCGTAGCCCATTCACAGGCATTGACAGGTGGCGTGGTTTCACAATAGGCAATGCTGTAAATATGTAAATGGTGGGAGTGGGTTGATTTTCGAATTCGGTGTTTGAGGATCAGGTATTGAATGATAGTGATGAGATTGATAGTATCGATGAGCAGATGCTTGTATTCGAAGCTGCCTTCTTTGTTCTGCGTTCGTTCAGCGTTCACTCACCATCGTCTCTTCTTATATACTCCGCTATGGCGAGTGAGTCTCGCTTGGGTGCCATCGAGATGCTGCTGCTGATCCCGTCACCTTCCACTTTTCGCCCTTCACATGAACATGAACAATATCTCGGCTGAGAAGATGGCAATTAACTTGCTCTTTGTGGCTTGATCCTGAACGTGGTTGATCTGTATACGGCCGCAAGTGGGTGAAGCAAGGTAAACATGCACCTCATAGATAGACATTGTTGCTCCAGACGCAGTGGATGCCTTCATATCGGTGTGAATACGAGTGCACCAGCGCACGTCTTCTGGCATATCATAACAGAGTAAGCTTAGTGCTTGATCCTTCTCGCATGGCAACGCAATCTCTTGGCTTCATAATACCACTTTGTGGCTTGATTTCGCGTTGTTTGGGTTGTAGGTGCAGACGCAGGGATCGTTTGGCTGACGTGGCCCGATCAGGCTCAGCAGCACAAGAAAAATGGTACTATCGCGTATACCTGGGGAAGTAATGTTAGAGTTCAGAACTCAGCTTAACAAAACTGTAGTATGGTAAGATACGGGTCAACACTGAGATGCTGTTCAAAGACAAGCCAAGGAGGCATTATTCGCAATAGACATGTATCCATCAACTATAACATTACAAATTTGCTAAGGGGAAATTCTGGAGGTCTGAAATGCAAAAGTGTCTCGCCTCACAGTGCGTCTCGCGTGGCTGCAACGTATATGGAGTAGCGCGTTCTCCTGCGGGCTTGGCGTCTTCCTTAGCTTTCCTGCGGATCCGTGCTCTGACTAGCAACCCTACACTTCAAAGTTGGCGGCAATGTATAAGCGCTTCGATCCGCGATTCCAGTCAGCATGGCCAGTTGTTCACCAACTCTAGCCGCCCAGAAGAGATGGCGTATGCCACATCAGACGAAGAAAGGTATATCATTGCAACTCTTGTCAATCTGCATAATCATTCTGACTTTCGCAGTGTAGGCTATCAGCAAAGCGACGCGACGCAGCGATCGCATACGAGCAGCGGTTAAGGAAGGCTCCACATCTCGAACCGATACTCTTTACTTAACAAAGCAAGAGGCGTGTGTGTGTTATCTTTGGTCAATGACAACGGTCTAACATGGCGACGGAGCTTTCAAAGCCTCAACAAGTCCAGGCAGAAGCCGTCAAGTCAAAAAAGCGCATTCGAGACCCCGAGAACCCATCAATTGAACAACCTAAGAACAAGCCTCTACGAACTCAAGATTCCCCCCAGACGAAGCCTCGCGCGCAGGTTGAGAAGCAAAAGCGACCTCGAGAAGATGAAGTTATACCCTCCCGCCTTTTGCTCGAGAGGGCCTCAGAACCAACACGAACAGTTTGGAAGACAACCGGCGAAGCTCGAGTTGACTACTGGAGAGAGAATGGAACCTGGCCAAACGCGGAGCAAGAAGAAACCATGGATCGTTTTCGAGAGCTTGTCCAGCCTGCGCTGGCAAGAAAGAAGTCATCGGTTTCCCTACGTCGCAAATGTTCAGATGCGAGCATCAACTCCGAAACAGTCCTAACACGAACACCGAGCGACCAATTGCCGCGGGAACAGAAGAGCGCCCCATACCGACATCCTCGTTATGAAAGCCAGCTCAGTGAACGCGGTAGCTTCATGAATAAATACAAGAATATCAGTGTGGAGAGCAAAGAGCTTTGCCAAAAGCTTCTAAAGTCGCCACAGTCGCCGCCAAAAGATACATCGTTTGAAGATGATCTGTTCGAGGATACTTTGAAATTGATCAAAGGCAGGAACGAGACCAGGGTGATTCGTGACATCGCGCAGCTGATTGTTCCTTCTGCCGAAATTCTAGCAATTCGCGGCTCTAAGCATCTAGAGATTCTCCGAGAGACTACCAACGCCGGCTGGAACAACGCTATCCCATTTTACGGATCAGGACCGCAACCAGACTACAGCCTTGGATTCAAGCGGGAAGCTTTTACTAAGGAACAACTGCAAAAGCTTCAGCCCTTTATTGGAAACGATCTGGAAGATTGCTCCTATTTTGCCGCCACGTACGATATGTACTTTCCATTCCTAACCAGCGAAGTGAAATGCGGAGCATCCGCGCTTGATATCGCCGATCGACAAAACGCTCACAGTCAAACTGTCTTATCACGTGGTCTTTTCGAGCTCTTCCGTCTTGTAGGCCGAGAGAGAGAGCTTCACAACACAATCAACGGCTTTTCATACTCGCATAGTGATGTTGATGTGCGAATTTGGGCACATTTGATTGTCATAAATGGTGACAACCCTGAGTTCTACCGAGAACCAATTGCGAAGTTTGACATCGAAAAGACAGCACAAGCGGACAACAGATGGGTTGCATGGACTGTTGCCATGAACATCCTTGATTTATGGGCCACTGATCACTTTAAACTGATCTGCTCTGCTATCGATATGTTACCCGCTGGCTTGAACTTCGACGTCTCTGAGCTGTCCGAACTTCAATCCGTAGATGCAGACCTAGTCTCGTCACGCTCAGGATTGTCCCAGCAACTTGAAGAGTATACCTTAGCTCATGATCATGTCGTACTGGACAGTCAGCCGAGTGTTCAGCAGATCACCCCAGCCACAACAATCCAAACAAAGTCGGGCAACTCCAAGAAGAAAAAGACGAAGTAACGGGGGCTACCCTCGCCATTTAAACCGGGCCCACATGTGCCTCCTGTGACACTTATCAGGCCACGCTTATCTCGACTACAGCGTACCCACGAGAAGTAACAGAAGTCCGGTATTCGCGGACGTTAACCAATGTATTAGTAAGTTTCGACAGCTCAACGGCAAAGCATGCGACCTTGCTCGCGAGCGCTGTAAGAGAGTTAGGGCACTGATCGATCTTAATCTGAAGAATTAGATGGCGTCCTTGCATTGTATGCGAGGCATCTCCCGCCTACGTCAGTATCTTGAACGTTAAGGGACAAGGCAAGTCTCTTAATTGTCCACTTGGTGGCACATTTAGTTCTTGATCTGGGCAGGCTCGTGCTATGGCACATCGAAGATAGTTCCCTCGTATTTGATGTTGCGGAGTTCAGCGACAGGCGTTAAGTGTCGTAACCTGAATAAAGCACATTTCAAGGGCCCTATGGATATTTGAATAATTGAGGTAGTTGAAATGTGGTATTGCACCTAGTACTATTGCCGGACGAAAAATACATTGGCTGCCTGCTACTACAAATCAGTACACTAGGCAGCAGAGTATTTGATGAACTCACCCATGACGTAAGGGGCCTGTGTGGGGTACGTGATGGATGCATCAAATTGCTTAGCTTAATGCATCAGTTCGCCAATCCCGTCGTGTGATTCTTCACCGGTCGTGGCTGTCCACCCATTGGAAGCCTAGGCTTCCAATGAATAATATAAATTGAAACATGATGCGACCAGATAAAAGCTCGATGTTACCTTCAGGACCAAATCACAAACTTCATCTCAACTTTAACGAAGCCCTACCTCAAAGCAAGTTGAGTAAGTTTCATGCCACTTGAAAGCGAGTTTTTATGCTTAATTTTCGTAGAAATGTGTTTCAAGGCGGCTCCAGGCACAAAATACCGCAAATGCGGTGATAAGGTGGAAGGGCCAGAGAAGGTTTACGATTGCAAGGAGAAGCCAAATGGTCCAAACTGCGCCAACCCTCCATACAACCATTCTATAACAGACAAAGTTGTTAACGACTTTTGTCCGGATTGCAAAGCTGCAGGACGCTCATAGCCGATTTAAGGACAACACACCGAAAATGTCTGTTGGACATGACGGAACTGAAATGTTCATGTTCAGATAGAAGTAGTCATCGATCCTGTGTCAAGGCACGGAATTTACACATGGAAGATAGAACATGTTTTGCGCATATCAATCAACTCCAGATATCATCTGGAATCTCATAGCATTCAGCTTGCCAAGCCGCACGGTAAACCTCTTCGTTCATCCATCGTGAGTCTTCCTCAACCAGCAAACGATCATACTTCGTTTGTTCCTCATGCAGAGAGTCTTTATGTTGAGCTACTGCGTTGTTGCTAATCTCTGCCATGCGCCTTTTTAATGATGATAGAACAGAGACTGCCCCTGTCCAGCCCGCTTGAATGACTTCCTCAAAGTCTTTTGCAGCTTCATCCACAATGCCTTGACCGCCTTTGAGGATACTGATCGTCCTTTGTACTTCTGCATAGCTGTTGGCTTTCGCAACATGATCGATACCAGACGCTAAATAATGTATGCATGTTGCCAGAGTGAATTGATCTTCCGCGACTTGTTCAGAGAAGCCTTCATCGTCGCAATGCCTGACAGACCCAAAATCGAATAGCTTGAGCTGATTGTGGTCATCAATCCCCATATTGCGTTTATTAATATCTCCGTGCGTATATCCAAGGTCCTCGAGCCATACGACAGCACTAACAAGCTGTTTGATCCATGCAATGTGTGTTGCCGTTGTATGGAGTCCCCAAACCTGTTCTACTAACTTATAACGCGGGAGAACTATACCAGTGAGAAGTTTGGTCTGCAGCCTTTGTGCGAGGTTTGGGTGCGGGGATTTAGCTAGAATGGTGTAGAATGTGCTTTCTTTCTTGAATAGGGCAAAACTTTGGAGCGACATGTGCAATTGCTCGTTTGTTTCGTCTGTAGGTGGTGATCTGGCGACCGGATATTGGAAGGGAAGTTTCACCACAGCCTCATCGGAGACCTCGTAGACTATACCCTGCGACGGCCCAAGACTTAGGCATGTCGACGGCGGGAATTTGTAAGGTGTGAACCAGGTGTTGTTAGGCATCGAGTCTCCGGGCGCGGCCAAGCAGGTATATTTGAGCAAGGGTAACTCGATGTCGTGAATGTAATAAGAGGTAGTCGACTCGAGGTTATACTTCAGTTGAAGTGGCAACAGGTTCTGAGCGGAAGCGTCGTCGAGTAGCAACCAAGGAGGCAGCCAATGCGATTGCGTGATGCGTGATAGGAGGGAAAGAGTCGAGTTTATGCTGTTCGAGGCAGACACGGTTGGCAGGCAAAGATTACCGGTACTGTATCGGTACCGATAGATACCGGCTTGGCATCACCGATCTCAACAAACAAGTCCTGCTTCAGTTAGTGCCCCCAATAACACATTTGCCCACAGCAAGTGCGCCTACTCCAAAGTTTACCACATGGGACACGTATCGTGACGCCAGCCTTGTGAGGCGCGAGCAACTTGATATAGCCCACAGTATCGTAATATCTTATAAGAGCGCGTCATTCTTCTCGATTTCGTTGCCGCAGTCTACGCCATAGACTAGTTCCCCTACCTCTTTCTGTCGTCGACGCCCATGCCGGAACACTTGGAGCAATGCACGAGGAGCGACACAGGATAAGGCATTCGACTGAGGGCACCCTGTACGAAATCTCGATACACTTCCAAATAGTTAGTTTGTAGATCAAAAGCACTCTGGAGTTAGCGCTCTCAAGTCGATTGAGATATTGACAGTCAAGTTATAAACATGCAAGGAGAGAGTACACCTTTTTCTCCTCTACTCCTTGCGCACTACTAGAGGGTCTATATCTTTATCACGATCCATCATGTCGGTCTTCTCGCCTAGTAAGTCAACAGGTTGTTGCCAGGAGCCGACGGGCCTTCGGTTCACCAGAGTAGCCTTTGTCAGGTGCAGCGGGCCGTTAGGAGCTTCTTGGCAGACTACTCTTATAAGAGGAAAACATACGAGTTTGACAATACATGAGACTGGTCTGCTGGAACAATCACACCAGTCGACATAGCTTTATGGTCATTCAATCCTTCATTCTAATGGTCAAACAAGCCACTTCCAGCTTCAATTGATCGTTGACGTCCTCCAAGCAAACTGCATTCCCAAATCGAACATCTGAAACACGCGACAAAGCGGCCCGCGCCTTAACAAAGACATTTTGACTGCAGAAACGGATCCGGCATGCAATCATAGAGCTTGAACTGTGACCTTGAGTCAAACCACCTGGATTGCTCTCCCGAATGTCTGGAAGCATTTTCAAATGAGCAGTGTGCCAGACTATCCCGGTTCTTCAGCATCTCTAGTGTCGCACTATAAATGGGGAAAATATGGGTCAAATAAGCGCCTACGCCCTACGCCCAGGACTATGATTGGCGTGCAACTCAAAAGCTCCACTCTAAGAACTCCAACCTCGTACAACAGACGGGTTGATCATTAGACAGCACAATCTGGTGGGGGCCCTTGCGAAATTACGACGCCAACTGGACCGAGCTTTACAGACAAAGGCAATTCGTGACAGACGATGCCACCATTGCAACCGAAGTTGCTTCGCCGTGTGGCTGCATAGAAGTCTATTTGAGACACTCCCCGCGTGGCAGTGCGATGCGGCGATGTGCAACAACGGAAGCATGTTTCATGCATTGCAACTCTTCGATATCTGCGCCGACGAGGTCGGCGCGTAGCTCTCTTCATTCGCCTCGCCTTTCCTTGCTCACAAGGCTGACTTTGTTAACTGCCTGAGGCTCCCAGCCTAGACCGCTATCAGTCACGGGCGGAAGAACGGTGCAGAGGCTCCACCCGGGCGTAATCCTACGCCAAACCCCTTCCAGTCGTCAGACGGAACAACTCTTACGCCAACGCAGTCAAGCTTCTGACACAACACCAAATTTACAACATCACCCCCAGCCGCAGCACGGCAAAGTAGCTGCTAGGCCGTGCTAAGCGAGGCGCAAGCTGCAAGTGGAGTCCGTGGCGCTACGATTACGGCGTGGTCTTTATCAGGCCCACCGTACGGCGTACGGACATTACGCCCATGTGTTGTACCCGTCCTTGTCCTGTGTTGATCTGTGAACTAGATGTAGTGCCCCATCCTTTGTCCCATAAGCTGGCTATCTTTCGTTCAGCTCTCACTCACGTTTCGTTCTTTCCTCTTCCCTACTCGTAGTCGTTCTTTGCTATTCGAGCCATCTCAATTTATATCGGGAAACATAAACCTCAACTCTGGAGCGAAGATTCGTCATGTCGAATTCAAGCTTCTTCGATTTCCACTGCCCAACTGGAGGGAAATGGTACGTATATCGACACGTCGATGCATTCCATGTTTAGAGCTCCCAACCGGTCTCAACTGATCCCACATCCTTCTGTTTGCTTAGTGCAACGCTAACAACGTTAGGTATGCTTGCGCGACCGGGAGCAAGTTCGTAGGATGTTGTACCACCGACCCATGTGGTGCCAACGGGTGTGTACAAGGTAACATTCGTGCGGGTGGGTATAATGTATCGCACCACGGAGGTAATATATTCAGACACGAACTACATGTTATACATACACTAACCTTGTGACAGAATGGCCTGACGCTAGCTGTGGAAGTGCCAGCGATTTCTTCACCTGCAATGCTGCGAGTACGTTCTGGGGCTGTTGCAAGGTCACTGGCGACACGAATCCATGTAATTCGACCCCACCAGCGACATGTCCTCAAGGCAACCTGGTGCCTGCATTCCTGGAGCGACCGGAGCAGTTCCAGGCCTACACGAGCGCAACGTCCTCCTCGAGCGCAACGCCAACCTCAAAGAAAAGCAATACAGGTGCAATCGCTGGTGGCGTAGTCGGAGGAGTAGTTGCTCTTGCCATCATCGGCCTGATTATTTTCTTTATTCTTCGTAAAAAGAGGCGTGCCCAAAATGAGAGCGCAACTGCAATGTTGCCGATGACTAGCGAAAAGCCGGATGGAGCAAGGGGATCGACACAATATGGCGGTCAATCACGTACGACAGCCACAAATCCTACTGAGCTGCCATTTGCTAATGTGTGAACAGCGCCGCCTACATACACCGCTCCCAACCAGGAATACTACCAAGACGCGTCTCCAAACAAAGGCCCCTACCAGCAACGGTACGCCAACATGATGGACGGTCCTCAAGAGCTGCCGGGGGAGGTGCCAGCTTCCAACGAACATAGATACTCAGAACTTCCTGCAGAATCGTCGAGTAGCGCGGGTAACCGTCGGTTCTCAGAACTTCCTGCTGGAGCAACACGGGTGTCAGAACTCGAATCACCGGAAACCTCTCCACGTCCTTTGCAGTCAGAATTCTCGACAGATTTGGCGAAACGAGTAAATCAGGAGCAAGGGTTAGGCCTGACGACAGAAGAGACGCCGAAGAGGAACTAGTTGGCACAGTTTTTGATAAAGGGTTACAAAATAATACTAATTTACCTACTAAATTACTCCCAAGGGGCCCCTTTCGTTGACTTCATGCTCCCTTGTTTTGACATGTTGTAGTTTTGTACTAACTACTGACAGGGTAGATTGAAAGGTTTCGCGATTGCCCCAAAATCCTCCATTATGATTGAACTATTCAGGCAATGACACACTAGCTCAATGGGGACAATGAATCCAACATGCACGCCAGGAGAGTGCCCAGGAATAGCCCCCGCAGCACGCAGTGCTCCGCCACGACATGCAGATCAGCTTCCCAATGCGGCGAACATCCAACATCATCTGAAGTCTTAGCCTACTCCGCCCTTATGTTTCAAACTGCAATGTGTCGGCACACTCGAGAATAGTCGGTAGGCTTCTCAGCCTCGTGGTCTGATGGCGGGCTAGGTACTCGCGCGGCCCCAACGCAAGCACTCGACGTACGCCATGTCGGCGCGGCCCCGCGAATCTGACACCACGAGGTATGTCAGGGTGCGGCGAACAGCTGTAGGGTCATCTTCGTGTTACCAGTCGAAGGCGAGAAGTGAGAAACTAGCCGCGCCTTATGGCTTCATTGCTTGCATGCTTTTTTCTTGCGCTCAGCCTACTCAGACTGGACATGTGGCGTTGCTGCTCGATTACTCACTTCAGCCCAGCTTAGTATCAACACGTTCTGACAGACGGTTCGAATCGCGTTTGACTTGACGACCCTGGAACTTCGTCGTCGCTAATATCTATCTTCTAATCACTACTTACTCAATAGACGAGACCAGAAGTACCTCGACAGAACCGGCGATAGCTCACTAGACGATAAACCAGCTATCACCATGTCATACACGCCGTTCAAACGTCAAGATTTCGCACCTTCATGCCCCTCGGGCGGAACGTGGTGGGCGTGCGGTCACGGCACGTAAGTCCAGTCACCGCACAACCCAAGTTAGACGTCCGTTAAACCCTCGCCCAGATATTTCGTAGGCTGCTGCGCCAGAGATCCATGCGACATCACCTGCGCACAGGGAAATCTGTACCCTGGTGCCTTCAACCCAACATCTTACGGGGACTTTCCAGATGCTACATGTGGAACAGGGAGCAAAGTCCGTCTTCACAGTATACGTCTTTAAGTTTGCTAGTACGCTGACACTGGGATAGTTCTATACCTGTACAGCAGGAGCCACGTTCTGGGGGTGCTGTAAAACCAATGCATGTAGTCAGAGCGGCTGTCCGGATGGAGATCTCGAGCCCGCGATCTTGAATAGAGAGGACCTGCGGAGCGCATATCATGCCTCTGGAGGGACGACGTTGGCTAGTGCGACCAGGACATCGACGGCTTCAGCATCAATAATGTCGACTCCAGCTATAACGAGCGTAGTTCCACCTACTTCGTTTCCGACTCCTGAGGGCAAACAACACGTTGGAGCCATAGCGGGCGGAGCAGCTGGCGGTGCGTTTGGTCTAGCGCTCATCATCGGACTTGTACTATACTACTGCTGCCACGCGAAGAAGTCGAGAAAAGGGCATGCGGATACCGTAGTGCGAAGACTATCCGACCTCCCTGCAAGGACGGCGGAGAAGGACAAAGCAGTTCCTCGGCCACCTGATGGTACGTCTCTCAAATTTACTGCAGGGCATTCTTTGACCAGTCAGTGTACTGACATATCATAGCAGCGCCCCCAGGATACTCGTCGCCAAACCCAGAGGCAGGGTTCTACCCGCAGGTGCCATCGCAATACGGGCAATACGGCACGTCGTATGCCTACACGCAGCAACAGCAACAAGCATACCCCCCGGAGCCGCAGGAACTGCCCATCGGACGGCCTTCACCCGTCCCGTTCGCGCTGAAGCCCGCGGGACGGCACCGCCGCGAGGCCTCGGAGTTGTCGGGGGACACGGCGATTCGATCCGAGCTCGACACGCCGTTGGAGTCGCCCAAGGGACAGCAGAAGCAGTTCGCGCAGCCGAGCCCTTTGACGCCACAGACGCGTTTTGAAGAGCAGAGTCCGAGGAGTGTAGAGGGTAATGATGCGGTGCAGAGTTGGATGGCGCAGCAGAATTTGCAGGCGGAAAGAGGAGGGAGAGATGGGTATGGCCAGGGGCTTGGTGTGCAGGGAGTGAGTGATGGGGATGGGGTGGGGAATGGACGTGAGCAGAGGGGATATGGAAATGCGGCGAATAGTAGCATGTATCATGGTATTTAGACCGTGGGGTATTGACTACGAACGGGAGTTGAGTGTTTCATATGGCTCTTGGATGGGGAGACTAACTGGCTACAGTTTGAAGTACATATTATTGATCCGCACTCAAAGTACTTTCACAGAACCAGCGATAGCTCAACTAGGGCGTAGGCGCTTTGGAAAATCCTCTTACATGTTATTGATGACCCTCAACTCACTTCGACTGGATTCTGTTGAGCAAAAAGCGAGTCATGGTCGCACCTATGTTGTGCTGGCTGAGCTGAGAGCAACTGGCATTCAAGTGACATGTTGACCCAAACGTGTGGATGCGCAATATAAAACCGCACATCAAATCGCACCCTGCAGTCCCCTGTCGAAACCTTGGTCTCATAAAATCATCCTGTTCGCTGGCAGAATGTCGGCGGTTGCGCTGGAAGCGGGAGGATGTGCGACAGAACAGCGGGACAAGCGTTCGTGGAGGCTGGCTCTGCAGCTCCTTGCCCATAGTGGTGGTGAGCCCCGGATTTCAGCTGACCATGGCACAGCGATCAGCAGCCCTGTCGAGGGGGGGAAGCGGTGCCGTATCGCGCAAGCAAGCTAGCGAGGCGGCACTATCTAGCAGGGCGCGACGTGAATGAATAGTGGGCAAAGCATGCGGGCCTTGCCTAGGTAAGCTTTTCGCGTCGGGCTTCTCTTTGCTACTTGCAGTAGATAGTGGGGTGCGGGCGCGCAGGGGCCATTTTCTGCTTACGTGTTGGTGTGCGGCCTGCCCGAGGCTCAGGGCAGGGCGTCGCTGGTGAAGGGTAGCCCTCTCTCGTCGGGTGTGTTGATACCAACTAGCCTTTGCGTTGAAGCAGGCTATCCATCCGACTCTCTCGCTCTCGTCATCGGTATCGCGTTGGGCGATCTTTGCACGCCGCAAGCGGATCGAATCGAAACAGGGGAGCGTGCCCCGCTGCGTTTGGCGAATAGTGGGATCCGGGGAGGGTGAAGGATGATGAGCTGTCTCAAGGTTGGGTCGGGAGGATGACGATGCTGGTGGCAACAACTGCAAAGGGCGTGTGGACGACAACGGCCGCTGGCTTGCGACTACATGGGTAATCTTGACGATGCGTTTCATGACTCAAGACCCGGTGCTGCAGGCTGGCAAGCGGCTCTCTCTTGGGTCTGGCAGCCAGACGCCCATGGACGGGGGAGCTTGTAGTCTACTAGACAGCCGATGCGACTTCAGACGGCGACGAACCTGACATGTTGATGCCGCCAGCCAGACAGCGGCCTCCTGCGTTGAGCAGCGCAGCCGCATTAGATAGACGGACGGCAGCACTGGGCGCCCCGTCACCGGCCCCGCCAATGAGTGAGGCGCGCACAGAGAAAAGCTTCCAGAAGGCTTCGATGCACACTGAGGTTTTCGAGTGGGGAGGCAGAGGGGGCGCTATCGCTCTTTTCGTCTCGAGTAGTCCAATCATGCCAGCCTACGGCCTTTGTGCATCGTTCCTCCACACCACACTACCTACACACTACACACTACATACCCTCTCTCTCTCTCTCTCTCTCGACAGCCTTGGTCCCCGACATCACCCTCTCCATCGACAACCTGAGTGCGCCCGATGCTGCTCGCAGTGCGGCCGATTCTGCGAGTGCGCTGCTTGCGACACTGACGCTCACGTCTCCAACGAACGACCCACCCCTGCGTCTGCGACCTGCCTCTCCGCACCCGCTCGCTCGCTCATTCACTCACTGCTGTGCTCCGTGGCCAGTCGGTCTGCATCTCAAACACCCTGCAGCGCCATCGACGACCGCTGCAAAGCCGTTGCGCTGCTGCTGCTGTCGTCGCTCTCGTTCGCATTGAGACGCAGCTGCCGTCCTGTGCCCTCCCGCCATCGCACCTTCCTCCAAACGTCGCTACCCGCCTTACCTGTCTGGCTGTCGCTTTCGCCGTTCGCGCCTCCCGCATTCCTTGTAAACAGCCTCAGACATTGTGTGCCATTGCCGCCGCATCGCTGCGATTCCTAGACCTGCCTTTGACGTCGCCGTTTCACATTGCATCGCACACTAACGCGCCCACTCCCGCCTCCCATCGCTGTACCTCCCCCACGCTCCCACGCTTCTGCTTTGTTCTGCAGCGCCCCTGCACCACCATCTCGTTGCAGTTGGAACCTGCAATCTGGTCATAGATTGAACTGCGACGACGACGCTCGTCACTTGGCCTCGCAACCACCTCGACCCCCCTCAGACCGCGCATCGCAACCTTGGCTTCCTTCCCGTTCTGCGACAACACCTACACGAAAACCCTCCCCTCTGCGCCCGAGACCACTGCTGTCTGGTCGCCGCAGCACAGGCGGAGACGATGGAACATGGCGCGTGCAATGTCATCTACATTGACCGGCGGGCCAACGACGAGCATGTACGGAAAGAAACCTTGTCCAAGTCGCTAGTTGCAAGGACGGGCACACAGAATGCAGGGCAGAGCTATTTTGTTTTGGGCAAGACGTCACCCCCAGAGGTAACTGACAACGTGGAGGCGATATTGTCCATGTGCAACGAAGGTAAGTCAGGTGCACACGATGCCTAGATGCGTTGCTCACAGGTAGTCCAGTACATATCTGCGGCTCTGGCAGATCATGTCTATCCAAGATTGCCAGTATTCTCGAATCCACAAAAGCCAACGTACCTACCTTTGTCATAATAGACATTCCATACGACCAAGAGCAGCGGTTAAAACGACTGTCCCGTGAGCCTCGCACGCCTTCGCCCACCTCTTCGCTCTTGAGACGGACAGACACAACCGAGCCCGATGACATATATGCCATGCAGCTGCTTACGCACATCTCCTCGGAGATCTCGTCAAGAAACTTCTCAAAACTCGTCGTTCCCGTCGTCATGTTGACAGGGCTCGATCACGATGCCTTTTCGACGACGCTTTCTTCACCCGGCCTCCACCCGTCGCATCCACTCACAGACACGCTTCGCTTGACTCGCTACCTGGATGCCGGTGCCGTTGACGTCCTCGCAAGTCCACTGTCCAAGGAGCGTATACGCGGTTTAATAATACATGCGTACCGGTTACAGAAAGAGTGGACGCGCGAAGAAGCAAGCTTTCTGACCACTAAGAGGAATCGGAAGTTGTCTTGGGTCGGCGTCGACGATACGAAACCCTATGCCTATCTGCGTGAGGCTATGGTGTCCAACCTGATGACTGGCATATGTAACCCGGAAACGGTTGGAGAATCGCTCGAGCCAAGGTATGTAAAAAATCGCAAGTCTAGGAAATCCTGCTGACATAATTAGGGACTTCGACCTCGATGATGACCGAAGAGCTGTTGTGGAGGAACGGGTAGGCACCTGGGCTTTTTCCGCGCACGACTGTACCGACGACGAGCTCGTCTATGGCGCCCTGGTCATGCTCAGACATGCGCTACAGATGCCAGAGTTGGAAAAGTGGGCCATGACCGAAGGTAAGTACATCTCCTGACTACACGTGCCAAGATTTGTTAACGCAGTCCTCAGATGAATTGATCGTGTTCCTCTTGGCTAGCCGTACAGCGTACAACGAGTTCGTCAAGTATCACAATTTCCGCCATGTCGTCGATGTTCTACAAGCCCTCTTCCATTTCTTGGTCCGAATCGGCACGTTGCCTCCGTATCCGTCGAACAGTACCTCCACGTCGACTCCAAAATCCCCAATAGCCGAGCTCCTCAAGCCTTTTGACGCACTCACACTGCTCATTTCCGCCATTGGACACGATGTCGGCCATCCGGGTGTTAACAACGCTTTCTTAGTCGCGCTAAACGCACCGTTAGCCCAACTCTACAACGATCGCTCCGTACTTGAATCGTTCCATTGCGCCGCGTATTCACAAATCCTACGCCGATATTGGCCCGCAGCCTTCGCCGACGCCGCGATGCGGAAGCTGATGATCAACAACATCCTTGCGACCGACATGGGCCTTCACTTCAAGTACATGAGTGACTTGGGAAGCTTGCAGCAAAAGGTGGCTCACGAAAATGGCGTTCTTGATGCCTGGAGTGTCAAGGTGCAGGAAGAGCAAAAAGACTTGACATGTGGTCTTCTCATCAAATGCGCCGACATTTGCAACGTTGTACGTCCTCACCCCTTTATTCAAATGCGACATGCAGTATGCTAACTCCATCTAGGCGAGAAAATTCGAGACCGCTGCTCAATGGGCTAACATTCTCACGGACGAATTCAGTAATCAAGGGCTCATGGAAGAAGAATTGCAAATGCCATCGTGCCTCTTTGGCGGCCCCCCTGTTCGGGACGACATTATCAAGCTCGGGGAGTCTCAGATCGGCTTTATGAACATCTTCGCCCGACCACTTTTTGAAGCCGTTACCGATATCCTACCGGCAATGCGCTTTGCCGTAGACGAGATTTTGGCCAACAAGGCGGTCTGGGAGAAGAAGATCGACGAGGAACGCCAGAAGAACAGAAAGAGACCCGATTTGACTCTTGGCGTATTGGCTCCAAGCTACTCTGTTGACCCGACCCCAAGCCCGCATTCTAGAGGTCCAGCGAAGCCGGGTGCGAGTGTCCCCGCATTACCGACCGTTCAGAAACCAACTCCAACCACCTCTCCAGGGGAAGCCGATCGCCGCGGTTCTACTGGTTCATCGCAGACTGCCTTGTCCGGGTCACAGCGAACATCGATAGTTGTTGATAAAGGCTCGCGGCGGTCTTCGGCTACTGGTGTACCGGGACAACGAGCTTTGGTGTCGCGCGAGAATCAGAGTTCGTCAAGACGAGGAAGTGGGGATCCTAGTTTGACAGCGATTCTTGTCACGCACACCCCAAACGCGTCTGACTCGACCCCAATAGTATCGTCCCCATGCCCTGAGGATCGCTCAAGAGGGGATCGCAAAGACACGCTAACGAGCTCATCTACCAAAAAGAAGGACAAGGACCTTGGCAGACCTGTCACGGCTCCTTCTCAAGCCAGACGTAGTCATGGTAAGCACCAATGTTCATAAGACGCGTCAGTCTCATGATGGATCAAACTAACTGCTAATTTAGTCGTCAATCTCTATCCAGTACCGCAACCATCGTCGCAGAGTCATTCTTCCCAGGTCGATCTCTCCCATCCTACCAACGGCAACTTCGATGGCTCGAAAATGCCACAGTGGGACAACAACAAAATGAGTGGCGACAGCAATGCCACACGATCAGATGCGTCTCGCAATTCTAGTTGGTGGCGACAAATGAGTTCTCGACGCGGGACGCGGGATGTCAGAAATGGCGACGCAGATGGCCGGGCTTCCCATAAGGAGGGTATGCTCGACACTTTCCCCTCAAACACGGATTCAACTACCACATCACCTACCTCTACTAGTCCCGGCAGAAAGACCACGTCAGGCAAGATTAAGAATTTCTTCAAACGAAAACCTAGTGGCAGCCATAAGGAGCATGACAAGCAGCTTTCTAGCTATGGCAGCTCCTCTCAACTTCGAACCCCGCAGACTAGTGACCCTGGGCGTTCACTGAACAGCGACGACTGAAGCAATACAGTCTTTTATTGACCATCTCCTAACTTCTCGTAATGACCGACGCCGCATCCGATTCTACGGATTTCCTTCGTTCTCAGCATACCCATGCAAAAGCTATATGGGGTTCTACAGCACTTGCTGTTGGGTTTCCTTGCCACCAGGCATCTTCTAGGATACGAGACGTCTCACGCATGACATCACGGGTGCAATATGAAAAAAGCTCCAACTACTGTATCTACTACTTGGGTCCCATTCCGGTCAGCCTTCGGGTTCTCTTTGCGCCAAAATGCGCTTGAGCGTGGGCACCGTTTTTTCTCCCTTCCTCAAGCAATGATGCATTTCTTCCTTTTTCTGGCTCATATTTTCCTTTGTCTTCGCTTCCAATTTATCGTGCTTCTGCCATAGCTCTTTTCGGGTTTAACACTATGAGCAAAGGAATATTTTTCTACGCAGTCGTCTCGAGACGCACTATCTGCATTTCGTACTTGGTTGTGTGCCTTTAGGCCCCCACATAGGGAGGGATAGTTGTTTCGTATTTACTTCGTTCCGTTTGTATGCGTTCTAAAAGAGAGCGCCTCTGATTGTACGGGCTTTATGTATTGTCGTCTCGTCTCGTGGAAGAACAAGGAGGGAGGGAGGGAGCAGGAACTCCTACAAGACAGTGGGTGAGCTGGGACCAGGGCAGGCGCAGGCAGGCGTGCATGAGATCTCCAGAGCGCCATGGCATATGGGCCTGTTGGGGCTTTTTTACGAGCGCTGTGGCTTGTTTCGCCGCCTCCCATTATGTAGGACAGGACGCGGTTGGCTTTTATCCTAGTGTAGGATCGGAATGCGCCGCTTAGTGATTAATGAAATTTCTTGTAATGATTGTATCGTCTTGGTATCTGGACTCGGTGTATCCAACGTGGTGAGTAGATTGGCGAGGTTTTAACAAGATCCGAGTGTATAACCATTGGGAGAAGAGGACGATGCTATGTGTACAGAGTAGGGTTACAAGAAACAAGGCCATCCTCCAGCCCAGGAACAACAATAATACAGTTACACTTATTTCGTTGTGTTTACAATTACATTTACCTTTTTCACATCCCCTCCTTACCCTCCTCCAACAATACAGCGTCTTCCTCCCCAACCACTGTCTCACACCGCGCACACAACTCCTCCTTCTCCTCCCTGACAAAGCGCCAGCACCGCGGACACTTGTCCTTGGCGGGCGGATGCACCAGAACGCGCGCACCTTGCAGTGCGCTGTTTTCGCCCACCTGCAAAACCTCCTCCTCGCACCAGGCCCAGCGCTTCTTCATGTCCTCCGGGTCCTCTGTGGGGAAGACGGCGGAGCGTGAGTTCGCGGCGAGCATGCGCAGATTGACGTCGCTGACGACGAGGACGGAAGACAGGATAGACGGGATGTCCCCCGCAGAGTATGTATCTGGGTGCAGGCATGACGAGAAGTCACAGGTGAAGTGTTCTTCAGCAGCGGAGTGGGCCAGGTACAGCGTGACGGCCGTTTCAAGGCTGGAGCCGATTTTCTTGTCGGCGCGGAGGCGTTCCTGCGCTGCTTTTACGGCGGTGTTGAGGTCAGAGAGCATCTGGCTCGTGCCCTCGAGTTCAGCCATGGCAGCGTACGACGGCACGTTGAGGGGCCGCCAGACTGCGCGGGCGGGGTGGACGCTGTGTTCGCGCAGCGCGGGCGGGACGTGGGCCCATACTTCTTCGACGAGCAGTGGCGTAATGGGCGCGAGCATCTGCAGGAGTTCGTAGAAGACGAGGCCGAGGGCGCGTTGCAGGGTCTCGCAATCTGCCTTGTCGCCCGTGTAGATGCGGTCTTTTAGGGTCTCGAAATAGAATGCTGAGAGGTCGTTGGAGATGAACTTGTTGAGCGTGTTTACGCCCTTGAAGAACTCGTACTCTGCGTAGTGCCCGTGTACTTTTGCGCTAACCTGCACGAGCTTGTACACTGCCAGTCGATCCGTTAGTTCGTAAAAGTCATGTGGATCTGGTTCCTCGGTTTCCAGGTCATTGAACGACTTGAATGGCGGCGGACACGTGGGTAGAGAGAAAATGCCGAGGAGCCATTTGAACGTAACGCGGTATTTGTGCAGTGCTTGGTTGACGGAATGGAGAACGGGTTGGCCGATGGTCACGTCGCGGGTGTAGTCGCTGCTTGCGGCCCAGAGGCGGAGGGCGTCAGAGCCCATGGCGTCGTATGCGGGACCAGCGGTGTCAGTTTGCTCTTTCTTCGCGTTTTTGCCTTTCTGTTTCTTCCTCTTGATGGGAGGGAGAAGTTCGCCGGACATGATTTGGGACGGAGAGATGACGTTACCGAGTGATTTGCTCATTTTGCGGCCCTCCGAGTCCATGGTGAAGCCGTGTGTGATGAGTGTCTTGTACGGTGCTTTGACAGGCTCAGTAGCGTACGGCTGGGTAGCGACATGCGTAAGGAGAGAGGACTGGAACCAGCCTCGATGCTGATCGGTGCCTTCGAAGTAGACATCTGCAACAGGCCGGTCCTTCTGCGGTGGGAGGAGTGTCCAGCTGGTACCACTGTCAAACCACACATCCATAGTATCTCTACCGCGCACGTAGGTACCGGTGAGATGCTTAGGCTTCCATGTCGGATCATCTTGAGCATCTGTCCACCAAGCATCGATGCCGCGTTCTTTGATCACATCGATGACATGTTGAATGACTTCAGAGTTCATAGTCGCCTCAAGCTCATCGCCGTTGACCTTGTACAGGGCAGGGATAGGTACACCCCAAGCGCGCTGCCGCGAGATGCACCATTGACTTCGCCCTTGGATGAAGCTTTCTAATCTTGATCGACCAGTCTCTGGGATGAATTTGACGTTGGCAATCGCTTTCATCGAAGCATCCTTGATACTCTCCACGTTCGCGAACCACTGCTCGGTAGCTCTGATGATGACAGGCTGCTTGGTTCTCCAGTCGATGGGGTACTTGTGGCAGTAGTTCTGTTTGCCACGGAGCAGACCTAGTTTCTCGAGATGATTGCACACAGCATTCGACCCCGACTTCTTGACGTCAGCGACGAGCAAGCCTTCAAGCAGCTCAGGCTGTTCAGGGAAGGCGTCCTTTGTAAAGGCGCCGGCGTCATCTACAGGGGCAAATGCTGGGATGTTGAGAGCGCCGCAGACGTTATAGTCGTCCATACCATGACCAGGAGCCATATGAACCAAGCCGGTGCCAGAAGCGTCCGTGACGAAATCCGCGTGTATGACTGGCTGAAGTCCATTCGCCTTCTGGAAAGGATTCTCGTATTGGAGCTGTCCGGCAAGATTTGCTCCTTGCAGTCCAGATAAGACGACGTCAAGTTTACGCTCAAGTACCTTCTCATACTCTGCCACGCGCGAAGCCGCAACGAGAGTCAACTCGCCGGCTTCCTCGTCGTCTCGAACAACGCAGTACTCCATATCGCGATGCACCGCGATAGCCTTGTTCGCAGGCAGTGTCCAAGGCGTCGTAGTCCAGATAACCACATTAATCTCGCCCTCTACGCCCTTCAGCGCCCCACTCTTCAACTCCTCTGAGACGTGCGCCGGAAACCTCACAAAGGCCGCCAGACTCTTATGCCCTTCGTCGTACTCCAACTCGGCCTCCGCCAGCGCCGTCCTCGAACTCGGACTCCAATACACCGGCTTATTCTGCCTATAGATCAAGCCCTTTTCAAACATGCTCTTAAACACTTCCAGCTGCCTAATCTCAAACCCTCTTTCCATAGTCTTGTACGCATTATCCCAGTCGCCCATGACAGCCCACTCCTTGAACCCGCGCTTTTGCTCTTCCACCGTCCGAGTCGCTAGCTCACGCGCCGCTTCCCGTACGCTCACGGCATCCGTGTGCGCAGCATCCTTCTTCTGCGCCTGCAGCGCCTTGATCTCAATGGGCAAGCCATGGCAGTCCCAGCCGGGGATGTAGCTCACTTTCTTGCCCTGCCCAACCTGGAATCTACAAATGATATCCTTGGTGATCTTGTTCAGCGCATGGCCAATGTGCAGCGGCCCGTTCGCATACGGCGGCCCATCATGTAATGCGAATCTCTCCGTCGGCTTTCGCAACTCTCCAATTGCTTGTTTGGGAATGCCTAGATCCCAATCCCATTCTTTATCTCGGTGTGCCTCGTGTAAGACACGCTCGGGACTCTGCTGCCATGCATAGAGGTCATCGGTACATCGGCGGAGGTATTCGGCGTTCGAGGCGGCCAGAGGGCGAGGTGGAAACGCAGATTTGGGCAGTCTAAGCGTAGACGACCATGATGCGCGGAGGATACGCGTCGGGGCTAGCATAATAGCATCATGGGCGGGCTAATGGGCGGATTGGGAGTATGTTGTGGCTTCCAACAATTTTTGGAGCTTCAACATGGCGATGGTTCGGTGATGTTCGGAGATTGGTCGCAATCGCCAAAGCTGGAGTTACTCCGCCTCGTGAAGTGTAGGCTAAGCCATCGAGCTCGGGGCAGTGTAGGCTGAGCCATCGAGCTCGGGGGCAATGTGAGCTCTAAGCCGCCTTATGGTTGATGTAGAGGATCAAGGCTAATATACGTGTTGCTAATCTTCAAAAGTCGCATTGAAAGTAATACAGCCCTCTACTTCCTACAAGAGCACAGCAATCAACGCACAATGGCTGAATCAACTTCTGCCAAAGCAACCTCTTCCTCAGACTCGACTAAGAAGTCTTCCTCTCCACCGCCCACGAATACAGAATCAACCAAACCAGTGAAAAAGTCTTGGCGCGACAAGTTCCGGCCGCAAACTGAAGAGCACGGCAAGGACAGATCGCACGATGCGAGCTTGAGCGACAAGGATAGATGGAAGGACTGGCAGAAGGCGAAGGACAAGGAGCAGGCGAAAGGGTAAGTACCTCCACGGCAAACTGCTTGGTTTGGACGGCTGGTAGGTTCAACGAGATCAAGCGCTAATCAGGTGCGCAGTTCAACTGCTGGATTCTTTACGCAGCAATACAAGAATAAGGGGAGCTGGGGGTATTGGCTGGATCTGGGGTGGTAATGGAGTGGGACAAAGAAGCAGGAAGTCAATCGCCTCTCAAGGCTGGCGTTTAGGGTTATATTTCCTCTTAAAGCTGGTGTTTAGGATTATGGTTCTTCCAAGGCTGGAGTTTGAGGATATGTCTGCTCTCAAAGGGAGGAGTTTAGGGATACGTTTTTCATTATTGCAACATATCATGTTACTGCTCCGGTCCCCAAAAAGCACAGGCAGATAGTGATATCTGGCAAGGCTCTAAACGCCCTAGACGCGGTGAAATCCGCCTTTCCGTCGCAAAGAAGGCGGCAATAGAAGCTGCTCAGATCCTATATTCCGCCATGTGACATCTTCGAAATCTTCATTCTGGTCTTCTCTACTCTCTTCGTCGTCGATTCCAGTGTTACCTTGCTTCAGCTGCTAAATTCCGAGTAAAGCCGAGCCCCGCAACTTCCGCTCAGACGTCATAGGCTCGCGTCTCCAGCTGCTATCGCCAAACATCATCTGCTGCGAGCGTCGAACAATTTGAGCGTGTAGAAGGCCACACCAATTTCTCTACACCCACAAAATAGCTATAGTGGGAGTGTCTTGACCAGTAGACAATTGATACCCACACTCGCCACCATGCGCTCCTTTGCGACAGCCACCCGATCTCTTGCGCGACAACGAGCTTGTAGAAGTTGCGTCCAGGCACGACCGCTACCATGGATTGTTTCACGAGGATACGCAAGTTCGGGTCACTCGATTCCCCCTGTGCGTTCTTCCTCTTCTACCAGACAGCCCCGGGGCCTCTGGGACGAAAGGGCCCACCGCTAACCATCTACCCAGCTCACCGACAAGTCCCTCCTCAAGGACCAAACATATATCAATGGAGAATGGATAGGTGCAAAATCTGGCAAGACCTTCGAGGTCCATGGTACTCCTATCTTGCCTCTTCTAGGAGCTCAACCTGACTCTCTCCAGACCCAGCAACAGGCACCCTCATCGGCACAATGCCCGAAATGGACCGTGCCGACACCGAAGCTGCCATCGCTGCTGCCGCTGCTGCCCTACCATCTTTCCGTAAACTCACCGGTCGCGAGCGCTCGCGCCTGCTGCGCAAATGGTATCAATTGATAATGGACAATGCGGATGATCTGGCGAAACTGATAACCTGGGAGAATGGCAAACCGTTCGCCGATGCGAAGGGAGAGGTCAACTACGCGGCGAGTTTCTGCGAGTGGTTCGCAGAAGAGGCCCCAAGGTTGTATGGCGCAACGATTCCGGCGACGGTAGCGGGCAATAGGGTTTTCACGACCAAGGAGCCCGTGGGGGTTTGTGGGTTGATTACACCGTGAGTGGACATTTCGCCGTGTGCGAGAGGAGACTGACCAAAGTAGGTGGAACTTCCCAGCAGCAATGATTACCAGAAAGATTGGACCAGCCCTCGCAGCCGGCTGCACAGTAGTCGCAAAATCTCCCGGCGAGACACCTTTCACAGCAGCAGCCCTTGCTGAGCTTGCGCATCGAGCAGGCATCCCCAAGGGCGTCCTCAACTTCGTCACAGCACTCAAGAATACACCAGAAGTTGGCGAAACCATCACCACCAGCAAGACGGTCAAAAAGGTGTCGTTTACCGGCTCTACGCCCGTAGGAAAGCTCTTGATGAAGCAGTCAGCAGATACACTTAAGAAGCTCTCTTTCGAACTTGGTGGAAACGCCCCCTTTATCGTCTTCGATGATGCAGATCTCGATCTTGCAGTAACTGGAGCCATCGCTGCAAAGTTCCGGTCGTCAGGCCAAACCTGCGTCTGTGCCAACAGGATCTACGTTCAATCTGGCGTCTACGATGACTTCGCTACCAAATTTACAGAGAAAGTCAAGCAATTCAAGGTAGGAGGCGGCTGGGGCGAAGGCGTAACACACGGTCCCCTCATTCATGACCGCGCCGTTCATAAGGTTGACTCCCATGTTCAAGACGCGGTCAAACACGGAGGCAAAGTCCTCATCGGCGGACAAAAGCTACCTAATCTTGGAGAGAACTTCTACCAGCCCACTGTCATCCGCGATATGACTTCCGATATGCAGCTCTTCAGTGAGGAAACTTTCGGGCCCGTCGCCGGACTGTTCAAGTTTGACACTGAAGCTGATGTCGTTAAGCTTGCCAACGCTGCGGACGTCGGCCTCGCGGGATACTTTTTCAGCAAGGATGTCCAAAGAGTGTATAGAGTAGCTGAAGCGCTAGAGGTGGGGATGGTGGGTGTCAATACGGGACTCATATCGGACGCAGCGGCGCCGTTTGGAGGGGTAAAAGAGAGCGGATTCGGCAGGGAGGGGAGTATGATGGGTATTGACGAGTACGTTGTTACGAAGATGGTTACTGTGGGCGGGAACGGGCAGCCGTTGCAGGGTGCAGCGTAGACGAGGAATTGAAGTGTAATAAATCGAGAGGGTCCGTGACGTTTCGCTATCAGCATAAAACGGGTGTCTGTGATGTGCGTGTTTATTTGGAGACACAAGAATGCGTCTGTACTCGCGCGATCAAGGTATGTTAAAGCCTCCTGATCTATCTTCGTTCGCGAGACTACTTCTTGACACATGTACAGGAAGGGAATCTCACACCAATTCTAAGGGTACTACGTCTTCTCACCAGTCCTTTACTTTGATACTGATCAATCTTTGGAATAGGTTGCTAATAGCTCTGGATCTGTGCACACCATCTGCCCACTACTTTTTCTATAGCAAGAGTCTGAAAGCACGACCCTGACCTGCAGCAAGTGCAACAGTGTGCACCACGCATTAGGACCACATCAGTGAGCTGTATACCCTCCACATCCTTAAAGAAGGCTATTCACCCGATTTCGGCTCGCCTTGCACGTCATGCCTCGTCCGCTAGGGAACGAAGTACGAGTGAGAGGCTGCGGGTAGCCTTCGACTAAAGCAGACTTCGTCGCCGATCTCAGGGCGAGTGAAAGAGGTAGCCCACGCCAATTCCACGCTTTACAAACGCTCCCGTCAAGTAAAAGAACCTCTAAGCTACCTCAACTCACCCATCGCTAGAGTCAAGTTGATATGATATCGAGTACCTCAATTTTCTTGGATTCCACGCACTGCGCTTCTCTTACCTCCGCACAAGCAGCGAATATCCTCTTCGGTCGACATCTTTACCCACGGTACATTGAATGGCAAGCCACGATTAGCGACCCCGATCAAGTTCGCTTCTACGATTCGGCAGAGAGATACGTTCTTATCCGCAACTCAGTGTTCGACACGGCGATTGGAAATTTACCCCACCCCGAGCACTTCAAGGCCTTTATGAACCGGATCAAGCTAGAACTCTACACGAATGATCGACAGATTGGAGATGGAGAGGGGGGAAGAACAGGGGAAGGCACAGAGACAGACATGCCGGTGCTAACCGTAGCGAATATCTGCGGCCATTCAATCCATCCAGGCAACCCAGCTGGCACGGCCCAAGTTTGTCCCGTGTGCATCATACGCGAATGCGTTGCTTCTCTCCTACGGATAGCTTGCCTCTGGCGATGCCTCGGTGGGCCTCACGGGCGGCTGTCGGAAAACTTCTCACGCTCTAAATTATACAATTGTGTGAAGAAGATATGGCATGCGGAGAAGAACCGGTGGTCGAACTTGGTCTTCATGTATAGCAAGTTTGCGGTGCGGGAACGCGAATGGGAGGAACAACACGAGCGGCTGGGATTTGCTACTCCGGACGTGGTCAAGGAAGCTAAGAGCTGTACAATGGCACTTGAAATTGCAACACGGAGTCCGTTTCTAGCGGAGGGATGGGACGATGACTTCGTGCCTGCGGATAGGGGAATAAATTCTCGGACTCGCGCATCTGGAACAAGGGAGCGAGCAACCTCTGAGGGTGCGGAGCTTCTCTGTTCGCCACCTTACTGTCCAGCGTCATCCGATGAAGGACCTTTGTTGAAAAGCCCAGGGCAATGCGAGGAGAAAGTTCTCCCTCTCACGCAACATCCCCACGAGCAACCCCCACAGTTGACTGGGGAGAGAGAAGACACGGTCATTCTGTCCCCCACGAGCAACACCCCGATTCTTCCACCCTCGCCCTGCTCTTCACACCCAAGTGTTTCTTCCGCACAGTCATCATCAGAATACGTCCCGTCGCCTGCCCCTCCTCCATCGCCCTCATCACCAGCCCACACCCCCCCGAAGCAACGCAAACATGTAACCTTCGCAGCAGACGTTAGCGAACTCGCCACGCGCCCGTCGTCCAGCTTCCGGAGGAAATCTGTGACCTACACGCGAGGACGACATGCGAGTCCAGAGGGAACGTCATGGGAGGATACTAGTTTCTACAAGAACGCCATGTTTGACCTTTTTGACAGCGGGGAAGACGAGGCTGATGAGGTCGACGAGGACGAGTTGGAGAGGCTGATCAAAGCTCAATTTACCAGCGAGAATGCACCTGATGTGGAAGAAGAACAAGTGGAGCAGCAACAGCAGCAGGCCCCCAGCGGGGACGAAGATGGCGAGTTTGACCTCGAAGACGATATCGACGCTGCGATGCTGGGTCTTGGTGACGACGAGAATCACACTGCACTACCATCAGCCGATACGAATCTACCCCGAAGCGATAGCCACGACGGCCCAACGCAAACCGCAAATGGTAGTATACTAGCCGAAGTCAACGTCCAAGGGCCCTCACGCCGTCGGAAACGCGAGGAGTTTGAGAGCGATGCTGAAAGGCTTACCGCAGAGAGCGAGGCAAAGAGGCACTGCCCCTGACTTGGATTTACAAGCACACGCTTTTCAGTGTAGGTATTTTTCCCTTTCCCGTTGGATGTGTAGTTGGAGGAGGGCTTTCAACATCTTAGGTATCGGCACGTATTCGTTAGTATTAATTCTCTAATACTATTTTATCTGTCTATATGCGTTTACGCGTGTATGCGATCCATGTGCTATTTGAAACAAGAGATAGTTGCGCGCGGGAGATTGAAGAGGACTGTTGAGCTTGGAGCAGAGAGGTGGAGCGAAAAAGATTTAATAGCATGAGATGCGCTGAGTTTTTGCGTATGGTTGGATTATATAAGGGGTTCACTTTGAGATGAAGGTGCGCATAATGAACATGTTGGTTTAGCGGATATTATCTTTGACTACGGAAAATACGCGCATAACAGGGTGGGGCCTCTCATCCCCTCTAGTGGCTTGCAGCAATATCTTCCTGATCCTCGCGTGCCTCGCCAACTCTGAAGGCTATTTTAAGGTGAACTTGTCGCAGCATGCTCATTAGTTATGTTTATTGATGTTGAAAGTGAGCGTGTTGTATTGAGAGCGCTGGAATTTAGTGCCTGCACGAGCACTGCGTGTTGCGAGTGGACTGCCGCAGTCTGGAAGCTTGTCGTCCCTCAGGTTGACGTTCTCCTTGAGCTGTGCGGCAGACTGATCATCAATATAGGATCGTTCTTTAGAAGGGGTTGAAGTATGGCCACGGTTGAGTAGCTTACGGTTAGCGTGGTATCGAGAAGGCCCGCGTTCGATGCAGACATCTGGACTGAGTGGGCTGAGCTCGAGATCATCGTCTTGCAAGGTTCGAAGTGCAGACGGAGTGCTTCGGTTGTTTTGGTTGTCATGAAGTGGCGGAATGTGAGACAAGGTGCTTAAAGCAGGTCTGTCTACATCGCTATCGAGGGGTGAAGCTCTTGACCAGTTGAAGTCGCGTCGCTTATAGAAATCAGTAACTTGTGCTTGTGGGACATTGCGAGAAGATCGAAGGCACAAGGGCTCTTGGTTTCGTCTTGAGCCGAGCGGCAGACAAGTACCGCTATCATTGTCGTCGCCAATGAACGGGTCAAGGCTCTTCGTCTGGTTATATACAAACAGCTGATACCCTTGAAGGTGCTGGCCCGGGTGTTGAGCAGGCCTTTCTGTATCTATTTTTTCGGGCTTAGTGGTGAACTCTTGTACATCAATTGAGGCCTGCGTTGCATGATGGCTTCCGCGATCTTCGTCACTGTGATCTACAATTGCATCTTCGGTCGCATTCGATCCAACCCTGGAGACCCTCAGAAGCCAATCGTAGATTCGATCCTCGGGTGAAATAGAGGGGGTTAACGCTTGGCCCCGTGAGTTTGCGACGAAGTAGCCAGAATCATCCGACCACGACCCCGAGGTTCTCTCAGACATACTCGAAAGATTGGCCTGTGACTGTTGCGGTTGAGGTACGACTAGAGGTACACCCGTTAAGGGGCACGAAAATGCCGGTGGGCGATCTGGCGAAACACATGGCGCTGCTCGTTGGACTGATCCGTTGTGGAATAGTGGTGGCGAGGCCTTCCTGGATATATTTGGTAGCTGTGGGTATAATCCACCCTGATCATGTCGCGTCGTGCGGCATTCATGGCCAGCGTCTTCGAATATCTGCCTCATACGCGCAGTATGTCCCGCGCGAGCAGGGGACTGTAGAAGCGTCAAGCCATGTTGGGAACGACGAATGCGGGTGTTTGCTATGCTGGAAGGCGAAGCAGGTGGCAGCGTTGGGGCATCTGAAGGTCGTAGTAGAGTAATAGAGCGGTCCGCAACAATGTCAGTGTTGTGGCTATCCAGTATCCGATTGGGTCGACGCCATCTCTGGTCTGGTGTTACAGGCGTACGGGGCTGGACATGCTTCGCTTCTTCTGCGGTACCCTGAATCCGTGGTAGGCGGTCTGTGTTGCGTTACTCCCATTGTGCCTCGATGAAGACTAACGAGACGACGTACAAGTACTGCTTTGAGGGTGTCTGGATATCTCCGCAACGTGAAGGCTGCTTGGCAGTGTAGGAATACCCTAAATTGGCATTGAGCATAACGTCTGAGCGAATCCATGTGCACAGCTCCAACGAACTTGGTGCGAGGAAGCCATATGAGCGCAGAGACTAGCCACCTAGAGCACTTTGCGAAACGTGCTGCACGTTCGGATCCTGCGGATTGCGGATGAAGTATAGCCGATGTTGAGACATGTGCGAGATTGCTCGAGGGCCTGGAGGTGTCGTGCGTTCAGTAGCAGTTCACAGGGGAGCAGCGCAGGAGCCACCACGGGCGCCTCTGCGTGTTGCAGTTCCCTCGTAGGCTGGCATGTGTGCCTTCTCGTCCAGCATGAGCAACCACCGACGCTCCCTCCCCTTGGACGAGGCCGTTGTGCTTCTCACGATTCAACATCAGTATTCGGAAGAGGATGGCGTGGTACGTGGAGGGAGAGGCTGTGGAGCACCCTTCGAACCTTCTGTATTTGGTTCGCCCGCCGCGTCCGTTCTCCTTCACAGTGGACGTCATACAGGTGGACGGCTCGGGTCAACCGAGCAAATCGAGCTCAGCTTCGCTCCAATTTCGCATCGCACACCAGCGATAGTACCAACGACTTCCCGAGAGCTTCCACGCATCTCGGTTGCCGATCGCTATCTGGATCCGCCTCATATTGATTAACTGCCGAGGGCCTTCTCTGGCAACGGCTTTGGGACTGGGCAGCGGTCCCACGACAATGGTTTGGTTCGTACCATGCCATGCGTACCTTAATCTAATCTTAGGATCCTCTTGTCATTTCGCTGTGACTCGTCGTTCTCACGCTCCGATCCACCCTCTCCTCAAAACGCGCCAGTCTGAGGGCGCGCCATTGCGAACGGTTTACGGAAAGCATCCAAGTGCTGCAGACGTCCATCGTAATACTCGCAGCGGCCGCACCGCCTGGACCGAACGAGGCGAGATGCATGCATGCAGACACAGAAGGACGTGTCTCAAACTGGATGCCGTGGCCGACACCACGCCCGTTGCCGACTCGTGGACCTCGTTCGCGTACGCAGGGTTGTATCTAAAACGCGCCATCGCGGGACGCATCTGGAGCTCCCCAGTCCTTGCGGCATCGTGTTATATTGCTGACACAAGCGAACGGCTGATGGAGATAAATGGCTGCTGAGGCTGACTAGCAGAGACCATGGCAAAGATGGGTCGCCTACATCAGTAACATCAGTAGCAGCGACTACAACCGAAGCTCTAGAAGACCACACCGTCTTCGAGCGCGAGCGTATCGATACGGACGGCCTCCTCACCTCGTGCTGAGACGGGAGCATGTGCGCAGCCCGCGACTGTCGCACCATATAGCGGTCCAATTAGCACACATCAGATAACGGGCCCCCTGAGTCGACCGCCTCCGCCGTGGCGTTTTCGCTTCCTGCACTGAAGGTTCCAGTCCGTGCTTCTGACTCTCATCCTTGCGTGTTCCATGACCAGCCCCGGCTGCCCTCCGAAGTTTCTGCTTGCGCGAGGCCATCGTGTCGCTGTTGTCGGGTCGCTGTCTTGTCTGACTGCCTCTCTCCATCCTCGCCCTCTCGATATCGCGCAGGTCGAGTGCTTCTCCAGAGCTCGATGCTCCTCTAACGCAGCCTGCCTGCTCACCTTCTATCTTCTATCCGCTCTTTTTTCCCATTTCTTTTCTTTGCGCAACCGAGCTACCGCGATACGGCTTACATAAATCTTACACACGGCTCAACAGCCAGACTCGCACCTTGACGACCGATTTTATTTTTCAACCACATCTGCATACCGTCCTCAATCGACATTCCTGGATACTAGAGTCAATTCTTCTGACAGCCTTTGTTTGAGCTGTGGCAAGGCCACGCTAATACTGTACGTACATGGCTTTTCTGAAACCCGAATTTGGAAGTTCATTGTACGATGCTGCAACGACCCGCGTCCCAAAGTCCACCTGTTTTCCTTTCGCTTGCGCATCCTTTGCCCGTCCTTCCCTTTCTTCTTGTCCTTGTCCTCAACTATTGGCCTATAGTAGAGGTTGTATACCCAGCATTGCTGTTCCGTCCTAGTGGCCGTGCCCTTGCTGTCCTACTCGGTCTCCACGTATCATGCGAGGGACAAGTCCTGACTTTCGAGACAATAGGGCTCTACAGCACCTAGTACGGTGTATCCTGCGACCCCGCTTATCCTCCTGGCCCGTCTCCGCTGAGACACTAGTACTGCAGCCCTTCCGAAGCAAGGAATCGCAGGGTTCCACTGGCTGCCGATAGCTACCAGATTATACTGCCCCGGTTCTGACCTGTACCTTCTAACCACTCGTTCTTTGCACACAGCTCAGGTACCAACTTCACCATTTCAAATTCTGGTGGAGATCTCGACGGTAGCGTGTCATACAGCCCCGCATTGACTTGGAGTTGTCTTGGAGCCAAGCGCATACTCACCAGCAGTGGCCCCGTCTTTGCCTCCGACTACTCATCGCGTGGACTGTGGTCATTCGAAGGAACACAGGCGACCCGAATCGCCTAAAGCTCTTGAGATTGTCCATCCCATATTGCGCCTTCTCATTGTCCCCACAGACTTGTGTCGGGTCATAGACACGCCCACCGGCATCATTCGTTAAACAAACTCATGAGTTACGATCCAAGACCGAGCGCCCGGGCATACGGTGCGCCAGGCGCAGACGATGCAGGAGCGAAAAAGGGCTCAGTGCGAGCAGCGCGAGAGAGAATGCAAGCCGCGCAAATGCAAACACAGCTGCCGGACACGTCTAGGATCATAGGACTCCCCCAAAGGCCAAACCAATTGGTGTCACAATATTCCACACAGGATAGATCCGAGCAGTCAGAGCGACCAGCATCACCAGAAACCACCAGCTATGCGGAAATGACTTCTCCACTGCCACCATGGCCTCTACCGAACGATGTCGGCAACATCCCATCCACTTCGGTAGTTCCACCTCGCTCCCCAGAGAGACTGCAACCACCAGAACAGGGTATCCGGCCTGTATCTGATGACTATCCCATTCAACAACCGTCCCCCGGATATCCGCCGCCAATGTCTCCGGATTATCTTCGACCACCGTCTTCAGATTACGGTGTGTCATATGCGAGTGACGACTTGTTATTCTCGCCATCTTCTCAGCAATCTTCGCGCCCACTCACCAACTCTTCTGCCATATCAGAAGCATCGTCGCTAGGATCAATACCCGACTTCCCTGTACCTCAAATACCAGCATCAATTCAGCAAGCTCGGCGGACGCCAAGCCTAGGCCCGCCTCCGTCTGCGCGGAGAGGACCTTCTTCATACTACACTCAGATGTCTTACGTATCCCCGATTGCTGAAGAGTCAGAAACGCGGTCCAACACAATACGGTCGCGCCATGGGTCCTATGCTTCCAGCAACGTGTTTCCAACGAACACCAACGACGACTTCTATCCAGATGATGACCTGTTCTCGGATGACGACGAAACGATAACGAGTGACCGTGGTACTATTTCGCCGACTGAGCATGACGACCGGAGCGGTCTGGTGAAACAACAGCCTGCGCTGGTCCGACAAGCAAGTTTGGGGAGAAGAACGAAACCATCGCTGATGACAATAAAATCCGTGGATAGCTTTGGGAGCAAAGGCAATGCCGGGAAAAAGAGGCCAGACGCAGTTGGGGCCGGCACCGGCGCGATTGGAGCTGCAGCTGCGTTAGTAGCAGCAAGAGATGGCGCCTCGCAAGGATCTCAGAGCTCCAGTCTCAGCAACGCCGCCGGACAAATGGACGCCTCTTCGTCTTCCTCGGAGTCAGTAGACACGCTTCAATACCTGAAAAGCCAAAATGGAAACTACGCAGACTCTAAATCACCGACGCATCCTCTGCAACAGGAAACGCGATTCACGAGCCTAGCCGATCGTGTTGGGCTACGACGGCCACCGAAGCTCGACGTGGACGCTGTGCGCGACGCTGAGGCGCGGGGCAGCTTGACAAGCTTGCCAGATTTGATACGTAGGGCAACAAGATTGGCGGCCAACCTAGACCGCGGAAAGACTGCGAGTCGGCTGGGCCTAGATTTCTGGGAAGCTGGAGGGCCTGATAAGAGAGACATTCGTCAATCTGGGCTATCTGACATGCTTGCTGCTTTTCCACCACCAGGCCAGGACACCCCTTTGCGATCGGGTACTCCGAATGTTGGAAACCATGGCATGTCAAAATGGCCATCAACGGGCGTTGAGTCACGAATGGGTATGACCGATTCCGGGTCCAGCAACGAGAAGTCTAGGAAACGCCGCAGGTGCTGCGGTATGCCTATGTGGACATTTGTGACCCTTTTGATTGTGTTGCTCTTTTTCATCGCCGCCGCAGTCATCATCCCAGTCGTGCTCATCGTTCTTCCGAATCAGAACAAAAGTAACAGCAATGCCGCCCAAAATACCCAAGGAAGTAGCCACACAAACATGCCGCAACTACCGGCTCCAACGGCTAAGCCGGACACTGATAAATGCGATGGTATTATTACGTGTCAAAATGGCGGTATTGCGATACTCAACTCGGATCGAACATGCAATTGCGTTTGTATCAACGGCTTCACAGGACGAACATGCACCAACAACGATGCAACTGGATGCACGAGCACTAGCATCAGCGGCGCCGCGAACAATGCCACCATGGGCTCTGGGATCCCTCGTCTGATCGAAAGTGCGACCAACGACTTCAATATTCCTCTGGACGCCACGCGCATCTTGTCGATCTTCTCCAACTTGTCTCTCAGCTGTGCCGCAGAGAATGCGCTGATCACATTCAACGGTCTTGCGTCCCGTTCCGTCTCGCAATACTTCCAATCCGTCAATCTTAAAAATGTTCTGCAGCCTACTCGGACATTCCCTAATCTACACCATCCACATCCGGCGCCAGCGCTACATCAGCCTGAGAAGCGGCAAACGGTTGGCGACACTCCGGTCTCGAAAGATCAGAATGCCCCCGGATCCAGCATCACGAAATCTCAGCCTGTATCTAGCAACGTAACTGCTCTCGATTTTGCGCGCGTTGGCGTTCTCCTGGCGCTCCAGGAGAGCGGTGGACTGGATATTGCAGCTAGTGCCCAGGAGGCGATTCAAAACTTCCTCACTAAGAGCCGAAATGGTAACTCTGTCGGTAACACGGTCAACGTCAACCTTTTCAAATTAGACCTTGTCAATTTCACTATCGAGTTCAAGAACGGGACTACGATCCGCGCAACCCCATCGTCGTCAAAGTCGTCATCCTAAGAGGTCATCTGTATTCGGCATGATTCGCTCGCCTTCTATTGTTTGAATCATTAGCACAGCGATACCCTTTTCTATGCATTCAAAGCATGTTTTCTATTCTTTCTTTTTACAACATCATTCCTTTCTACCCGTGCCAAAACCAATGTACAATACCATATCAGCTCGGAAGCGATGACTGTATAGCAGTAGCACACTTTTCCTTCTATTCTCATAACCCTGTTTGTTGCATTGTTACACGTGTCCTGTGGACGCTCGGTACAAGTTTGGACTGGATCTAATGTTTTTGGTTTGACGGAAAATACCCTTCGGTGGATCTGAATATGATAACGGTCTTCGGTGTGAATGGAGGAGAAGCTGTATAATATGCCACGCTGGCTATTTATGGCAGGGTTATAGGAGAAATAAAGAGTAGCCGCTTAAAACCTACCTGGATGTCTTGTTCGCGTGTCAAGAGTGAGGCTTTTGGTGCAGGTTGACAAATACAGGGACGATGTCACAGTTCAAGGGATTACGTCAAATAGATACCTGGAGACTACACCAGCTTACCACACACCTCATACTGCCCTCCGGTGCTGAAGTTCTGCTAATAGTCACTCAGCCATTCGGTGTTCTCATATGTCGTCGTCGACCTGCGCTGCCCATTGCGCTTCGCAGTTTCCCGGCCCTCGGCACACGAACACCTCTCTTGAGTGAAAGGCTACCACCATACCAACCTACCAACCCATCCCAAACCTCACCAGTTGATCGTGGACCGGCTAATAGTTCTCGACGGCCCGAAAATGTACCGTTGCTGACTTATTTTTCCGCTCCCGCGAGTACACCATTTTCCTCCTTCCATCCAGCAACAGCACGTCTGACCCGATTCAACCCTAAAACTGCCCACTTTCAAACAACCTACCGATTCTCCGTGAGCTGCCGCCGTCGCGCTCACCACCATGCTCTTGTTGGACTGGGGCAAGTGGCTCCTAGGCGCAATTGCGTCTTGGGAGTCGCTTGACCTTGCGACTCTGCCACTTGGAGGGCACCCTCTCGGCCGTCACCTTCCGCCGCACGGCGCTATCGAGCGCGTCAAGATCACCAGCTTCGTGCTGCAAGCGCCTCTCGTGGTGCCAACCGTCACCGTGACCCAGACGAAGACCGTTGGTAGTGAGTTGCCTCATTGTTGTTTTGTTGGGTTTGTTTGTTTACAAACATTGACCTGATATCTTCGCTTTCACTCTTGCATAGTTTTCTAACTTATTCGCTCTAGTCATTGCCACACCCGTCGTCCACACCCCTGCCACCTACCCGGCCATTCCTCGTGCTGCTTTTGACGCGTATCGTTATCGCTCGTCGACGAACGGTTTCGAAGCGTCCCCATCGTCAGCTCTTGTCCAGCAACTCTCTTGGGCTCAATGGCTACTTGAAGAGAAAATCACGCCGCTCCACCTCATACTCGCTTTTCTTTGCACACCCATCCCGTTCTTCTTCGGTCTCTTTGTGAATCGAGTCATGATTCGATTTGCTCACCAAATGATTGCTTATCATGATGATCAAAAGGAGACGCGACGCATCGACCGTTTAACCCTCTCAGCTGGCTTCTTCATAGGCAAATGTCTCTTCCCAGAAACGTTTGGATATGGCCCGCCTGAAGAGCCCCTGTCTCTTCGTCGCATGTGGGAGGCAGTTTGGGCAGAGCTTTTACGTCCTCTTCTCCTAGGTTCCGGTACAGGTTTCCTTCGAATGTCCGTCGCGATGAAAGACAGACTTGGTCCCGGGCTCGTAAGCTCTGGAAAGTTAGTCCTTCGAGGCCTTGGCTGGTGCACTGACCGACTGCCTGGTCGTCTCGAGGCGGTGTTCAGAGCCAACGGTTGCATACGGATAATGGTCATCAGGGGCATCATCGGTCTAGCTTTACGGTTCTTCGACTGGCTCATTCTAAGCGTCTGGTCCGCCACGCGAGAGGTCCGCTTTGAGCGAAGCTACAAAGCTTATTTGGATAGTCACGGCTATGACTTCAACATCGAAAGGCAACGCGCTTACTACGTAGCCAGAACAGAACCTATCGACGATTCTGCGCAGCGGATATTGGATTATGACGATATTGTAAAGCGATATGACGACATGCAGTCGAACCTCGAAAAGGTCACCCAGGACGCCATTGTCAATCTCGCAAATAAGGCTCTCAGCTACCGAACTTCCATCATCGAACTTATCAAGATAGTCAACTGGAATCGCTGCACCATTGCTCAAACGATAAACTACCGCCACAACGAGAAATGCGGTAGACATCCAACAGGTCCTCTTGCTCAATTCCCATATACAACAAGCCAACTCAAGTTTCTACCCTTGGCACAGAATGGCTTGCACTTTGACATTATGGAATATACGACTGCAGAAAACGAGATCCGCGGCGCCGACATCCGATACCCAAGCAACACTTATCTTGAGAACCACACCAAAGACGGAGCCGTCTACATGGCATACGTTATGGAAAATAATCTTGTTGGATTCTACGACCTGTTCAAAGAGAATTCGTACGCGATCCAGAGGAACTATCCTGGCATCCAACTGCCGCCTTATGAGCCGCACGAAGATCCTATCAATATTGCCAACCTATGCCCGAAGCCGATTCTCAAGTCGGAACTGAGGTGGAAAGAGCAGATTGAAGACTTCGCAGCCGATGGAAAGCTGCTGCAGTATGGTCAGGACCAGCCGAAGAAGAAGAAAACGGTCACTTTCGGCACCGATGAAGTACGCCTCATCACCCCAAGGCCTCAACGCCAGGCTCCAGATCCTTGCCCAAGGGGCTAGGTGTCTTGAAATTTCATTCGAAGATGTATAGAGATGACGACAACATCTACATCGCCCGCCCGCAACCCATCTTCCCGACCGATCCTTGGACCCCTTGCTAACCCTCATACAACCTTTCTTCCACCACCCCCTCACCTCCACCTCATACCCCTCCTCCACAACCCCGCAGCAAGCTTCCAATACTGACATGGACTGGCCCTGTGTCCACCTATAGGATGTATCAGCACGTTACGGCGTGCGGCATCGGGTGCAACACCGCTGCCAGTCCTACAAGCCACACGCGTACCATTGCCGCAGTGCGTGAGTGAGCTCAAGTGATCCAGTCTCCCCCGTGGAGCCAGGTCGGTGACCTGAGAGATGCTTGGTAGGCCGCCCGCCCGGTCACCGTCTAGAAGCAAGTATAGTCCATTCTCAGGCGGCGTCATTGGCGCAACCTGAGGAGCGGTGCTTGAGCGATCGGTCTCGATTTATCGGGGCTGTTGACCGTTCTGATGGATGGTGGGTACGCGATGGTTTGTTTGTGTTGGGTCCTTTGTTGTAAGGATTGTGGGTCAAGGGCGTTGAGGCGGATGATGAGGACGGTGTTGCATGGGAGAGATGATGTGAGTAGGGCTGGGAAGGGCAAGAGGGGCTGGGTGGGAAGCTGGGAAGTGAGAGGGTGGTGTGGATGGTCATGTGGATGATATGTATGAAGGTTTTGGTGTTTTGAGGAGTGATGGAGTCTCTTTTGGATTGTGGTTGCTTTATTTTGGTACTTCTGGAGTTTACTGGCTTGGGAGATACCCGTTGCTTCTAGTAGACCTGTCTTGAAAGGAATTTCGTTTTTTTTGAGTTGATTACGATATAACTGTAGACTCTCAGGTTTAACGTGCCTAATGGGTGTACCGGCTATACAGATATGCTAGCTACTCTGCTAAGGCCCTACTAAAGCTATACTTTATTATAGCCTATATTAGTTCCGCGAAGAGGGGACCCTGCTATGTGAGTAAGTTCAACAGCGGGTGGCGACACGCGAAGCTCTATGATGCATGAAGTGATGCGCGACGCTTTGACTTGGACCTGGTGTTTAGGAATCTTATCAACAAAACCGTGCGTTAGCGTGCCCTTCCGAGCAAACGTGCCCGAGTGCCCGCGTCCAAGCATCCTCCCACTCACTACTGCGTGTTCGGGACGGCGGTTTCCTTCTGTACCTGCGGCCTCCATGAAGCCTTCGGCACTCCTTTGCCCAGAAAATCTGATTGATCACTGGTGGCTTGGGAGTCTCGAGGCGCCCAGATGAAGCGTAGCGAGACGAGTGCAACGACGAATCATTAGCCACACACCTCGATACTGCCACGATGAACCCTTTCGAGTTTCGGCCTTGGTATCCTAAGGGAGTCACCCATTTTATCGCTGCTGGTGCTAGCAACTACATCGCTGCCGTCAACAAAGACACTGTCCTCAAATTTCCGCTTGTACCTCCGAAGGAGACGGATATCTATACATCCAAAGGTCTCGACTATCGCAGGAACATCAGAGAAGCCGCGGTAAAAGGTCTCGATGTCGAAGAAAAGATACTCAATACGTTAGGACAGCACCCTAGAATAATACGCCTCATACGTACACACGAAGACGGCCTCGTGCTCGAATACATGCCAAACGGGTCAGTAGAAAGATATCTACGAGACGTTGCTCCCGATACATCTTTGAAGCAAAGGTTGAAATGGACATGTCAAGCTGCAGAGGCTCTTGCTTACGCGCACGGCAAAAATGTCCTTCATTGCGACTTCAGTGTTGGCAACCTTCTTCTCGACCGCGACCTGACAATCAAGCTGTGTGACTTCCAAGGGCGACTCCTGCATTCTGACGGAACAGTCATTCTTGATGGCGGTGCAGCTGAAGGCAGCATGTCATCAATGCCACGACCGGACCGAAACTATTGCGACCGCAAGACGGATATTTTCGCGTTAGGCACAGCTATCTACTTTATGGTAACAGGCCAGACGCCTTATCCTGAACTAGACACCATAGATGATGAGGACGAGATCAGAAAGCGATTCGAAGATGGTGTATTTCCTCCTTTAGCACGGCACCAAGGGGGTGATGTTGTGCGGAGTTGCTGGAAGGGGTGTTACGAGAGTGCTACGGAGGTTATGCTTGATCTGCAAACACTATTTTAACTCTTCCTTTCCACCGACTTGAGTTTGTCTATTTAGGAGAAAGAGGCTCTGTATGACCTCGTAGTACGTGGTACCAACGACAAGCCATGCAGGCAAACAACTGCAAAGAAATAAGGGAGCGCGCAATGAAAGGCTGGTTTCGCATTTACTGCAGGTGATCGACATGAAGACTCCACTACTAGGTAGTCAGATGGAAGCGGGGTTCCAATAGTTTGTCGTCCTCGTCACTGCTGCCTAGTTTGTGGGAAACTGGTACTAAGCTGTAGAATCTCCGTCTAAAAACATAGAAAGCAATGCTCGCAAAAGACTTCTATCGTCTGCAACAACGTGTGAGCGTCAATTCCACAAGCGCAAGTTTCTCAACTGCACAGAAAGCCCAAAACACGTTATTGAATCCACGACTATTATCCCTTGCAAGAATGCGGGCACCTCTTCTTGCCCAGGTTTCAGCGACAATCACTCTTTTGGGACCAGCAACATCCATGGCGGCATCTGTCTAAAATATTGAGACGGACCTGATAGATTCTCTAGCTCGACAGGTCCGTCGCAGAACGAAATACAAAAGAACAAGGCAGCTTACATTCACAGGCCTTATGTACTAAGGACTCGAGATACAGGATGGGAGATCGATAGCTAATTATAGGTAAAAGACAAATTTTGTGAATTAGATGGCATAGCTGGCAGAATAGTGCAGCACGATATAAGGCTAGCTACTACATAGATTATTAGAAATAATGATTGCTATTTGCAGCTCACTATCAATGTTAAATACCTTCAGGGAACACGTTATAGTATAGAATACTAAAGTTCAGTTATAGTGTTCCTCAGCCTTTCAGCTCTAGAAAAAGCTATTGCAGGTGCAGCCGGGACGCGACTACCCCTCCATGCCCCACCTTCAATTACCTCAGCTGTCATGAGGCAAAACAACACCATCACAACGCTCCTCACGACGACACCAAGATGCCCCAAGAATCCTCCAAAATCTCCGTCCCCGATGCGACGGCCGAAGCAGCTGGCGAAGCTGTCGCCGAGTCCAGCAGGCAGCCCGACGCCGAATCCGCTGACGAGAGCGCCGACGAAGCGGTAGAAGGCGCCGAGGACGCGACGGAGAAGAAGAAGAGCAGGAAGCGCAAGATAAAAGACGCACTCAGCGGCAAGGGCAAGGAGACTGCTATCAAGGACACAAACTCGCCTGCAGGAGGAAACCTAAGCAAAGACCAGGTGAGCATGCTGCTCGACGCAAACCCTGCGTTGAAGAATGAGCTGCAAGGCAAGGCCAAGAACAAGGCCGATCTGGAGCAAATGATCAAGAAGCTCAACATCAACGAGTTGTTGACGGGCCTTGCGCCCCAGGGTAGCGCAAAAGACATGGCCAGCCACGCCTTCTGGAAAACACAGCCCGTGCCGAGCTTTGATGAGATGGCGAACAAGGACAAGATCAAAGATGCCCCAATCAAGGAGATCAAAATTGAGGACGTGGACAAGAATCCGAGCCCCATGTACCCGGGCTTTGAGTGGGTAACGATGGATCTTGAGGACGAGAAGCAGTTGGACGAGGTGTATGAATTGCTCACGAACCATTATGTCGAGGACAAGGACGCCACGTTCAGATTCAAGTACTCCCCATCGTTCTTGAACTGGTATGTACCCTCAATATTGCGCTCTCGTGCTTAGTCTGACAATTTCCAGGGCACTAAAAGCACCCGGATGGAAGAAGGAATGGCACGTCGGCGTCCGAGCTACCGCCTCGGGCAAGCTTGTTGCTTTCATATCCGGCATCCCAATACAATTACGAGTCCGCGAAAACGTCCTCAACTGCTCCGAAGTCAATTTCCTCTGCGTCCACAAGAAGCTCCGATCAAAACGCCTTGCACCAGTCCTCATCAAGGAGATAACGCGCCGCTGCTACGTCGAAGGCACATTTCAGGCTGTGTACACCGTCGGATCTCTCCTCCCTACACCCGTCTCAACAGCCCGCTACTTCCACCGCGCGCTAGAGTGGGAAAAACTGTACGATGTCGGTTTCTCTCCCCTCCCGCACGGAAGTACAAAGCAACGCCAGATCATACGGTACAAGCTACCAGATACCACGTCCACCCCCGGACTTCGCGAGATTCAGGCCAAAGACGTTGACGTAACCCTCGACCTCCTAAAAAGATACCTTGAGCGCATGGACATGGCGCAGGTCTTCTCGAAAACTGAGTTCGAACACTGGATCTGCCCTAAGGAGAAGCCAAAGGAGCAAGTGGTGTGGAGTTATGTCGTGGAAGACCCAGAAACGAAGAAGATTACTGACTACTTCTCATTCTACAATCTTGAGAGTACCGTCATTGGGCACAAAAAGCATAGCACTATCAAGGCTGCGTATTTGTTTTATTATGCGACAGAGGTAGCGTTTGAGAAGAAGGGTGATGAGAAGGAGTTGAAGACGAGGTTGAATGCGTTGATGAAGGATGCATTGATTTTGGCGAAGAAGGTGAGCACCCCAACAACCCATCTGAGGTATTTAGACGTGAAAGCAATATACTGACACACTGACAGGCCGACTTCGACGTGTTCAACGCCCTCACACTTCTCGACAACCCGCTTTTCCTCGAAGAGCAACGCTTCGGAGCTGGCGATGGCTCGCTACATTACTACTTCTACAACTACCGCGCAGCGCCCATTCCAGGTGGAATTGACGCAAGAAACCAATCAAGTGCGAAGCATATGGGTGGAATTGGCTTGACGATGCTATAGTCAATCCTTTGTGGGAAATCACATTCCAGTAGGGAGGCTCACCAAAAAGTTGTTTAGGTAGGTGGCATCCTCGCAAACTCAAAGTCCACATGAAGCGACCCATAGTCATCAAACTCCTCACATTTTTAACGTGTACCCGATTCTGTCATAAAAGCTTCTCTACCAACGACCATACTCGTCACTATCTCTCTTCTCTGATTCCCCCTTCGTTCCGTCATCTACTCTCCTCATACACTGCGTCTAAGGGAAACATTGTCCCCACCATACTCCCTCCAGCCTGCATCTATCAGCCGTGAACTTGAGGCTGCTGGTTGGCTACTTGCTCTTGCTAATCTATGGCGCCTAACCGAGTTACACAGCTTCCAAGTATGTGCCATGCTATATAAGAGAAAGGTATGCAAAGAGTGAGTACCCTGGCCTAACGACGAATGATTACGATACTAGCTACTTGGCTACTTTACTGCCGAAGCCAGAAAAGACCTCGCCACAATACGCAGTACGATGCTCGAAATTGACACACTACATCTAACCTCGCTACTCTTCCTACTGCTCGTTGTCGCTGCACCTCTCGACTCACGGTCCTCGAAAGAGAACGTCGTCGCTTCATTGCTAGCTGCGGTAGTGCTAATTTGCACGAGGTCTCGGTGTCGCCGAAGCAACGAGTGTACTCCGCGCTATAGTCAACGTGGTAGAGAGAGACCAACAACGAGCTCGATGTCCGTCGTGCCTGGAGCTAGCGAGATGGTCGTGGTGTCGTGATGGACTGTTGCTTGGCCTGGAAGCAGCGTAATAGTCTGATCTTGTACGATGACGCGACCGTTCGAAGCGATGGTGTACACTTCGCCGCTGATATAGGTGCCTAACCCTGTGGCTGCATTGAACTGGCTAGCCAACGAGGAGCGATCCATCCTGCGTGGATTACTCACCTAAATCGGCGCTGACTAGTCATGCTTTCCACCTCCTATCATACCTCGAGCCGAACGTCTCGGTCCTTCTAACTCCACAGGAGAAGGAAAACTGCGTAGTAGAACGCCATTATGCCATAGCATGCGCAAGTATGTTAGTCGCACGATGAGCAGAATATGGGCTCCTATCTCAGTCTAACCAACTGAAGAGGTGTTCCCAATTCCTTGGAGAATCCTAGATGAGGGACTCTGATCTTGCATGGCCTGATGAGTCTTATCGAGCAAAGGCATGTATGTCGATACTGTTCATAAATTCGATAATGTGATATAAATCAAACGAAACGCGGAGACTGCAACATCTAAGCACTGCGGGCAAAGAGACAAAGTCAATACATGCCTCATGCATATATCGGACATAGAATGAGTACTTGTCACTGCCATTCGACCGATTCGCATGAAGCAGAGCGTTTCAGGTAATGTATGCCCACACCAGTTTTGATGCAGCTAGAAGGACCATCCGCCTGGCTGGTGTTTTTAGCTGCATATATCACGATAGCATCGAGATCACTGACCGAAATTCAGTTCCTCAAGCCGAAGTACTTGCATGATAGTGATGGCGAGTGACGAGATGAGGAGACAGAAATGCAAGGCTTCGATTGCTGTTTGGCGCTATTAGGTACCGGTACCGGTATTGCCTAGCTCATTTTAGGCGTCATGCACGTGCACAGGGGCCCAATGGACATATTACACCACAATCCATCCATCATCATCCAACTTGCTCTTCAATCTATACTTTCAACAGGCCATCCGCGTAATAATTTATGAACCACTCACAGCTCCCTGTGGCTTGTGTTGTTGAGTACACCACTCTCCTGATCTAATTTTGCCTTCTCCACCTTCGCCTCTTGAATCTTCATGGACATCTTGACTGGATGCACTCCTGGCGTCTCGAATACAGCATCAATTTCCTCTAGTGTCAATTTGGACGTTTCTGGGAATATGAAGTATGCCGCTAAGTCAGATTAGTGATCCAGTTGCCAATGTGGGAATTGGTGAGAGATAACTTACCGACCAACTGAAGGCAGTTGTACACTATGTAGACGCACCAGATCTTGTAGCCAATCTTACTAATACCGATGGAGATGCCATATGCTTCGATGGCTCCGCACGCGCCCTGGATGATTCCGTACAACCCCATACCCTTGGCACGAAGCGGCAGCGCTAGAATCTCGACTGGATAGAGATTATGCATTGTGGCGATGAAAGTGGCGCTGATGATCTGGAACAGGAACATCCACATGATAGTAAGGCCCTGTTGACGCATTAGATTGCTTCCTCCCCCCTACGTTGGCCTGCAATTACTTACGGATGTAGCTTTAGATTTTGTTTGACTATACTGCCAAGAGGTTATCGTGGCAGCTGTCTGCATGCAGATTATGCCAATGAGGCCAGCGAAGATTAGTGTACGACGTTTCAGCAAATCAACAAACCAACCACCTATCGCAGTGAAGATGAAGTATGTCGCGGTCAGTCCAAGCGATATGCCAAGCTGTTTAATCTTGTCTGTGACTCCGATTGTCTCAAGCGCGGGTGTGAGATAGTAGGCTGACATTGATTAGCATGCTGTGTGAGAGGGATCTGAAGGGGCTTGTGCCCAGGATCGAAAGGAAAACACACTTACAAACGATACCTCCTCCGTTCCAGGACTGAAAGCAAGAGTACAGAATCAACACCAACAGTCGATATCTGACGACCTTCTGGACAAAAACAGCAAAGTTCCACGACTGTCTGAAGCCCGTCCTTGACGTTTCCAGTGACTCCTCAATCTGTGCAACTACGACATTGACGAGAGGCTCGGAGGTTGACCCGGAAGTTGTCATATACTTCGCAATGACCTCCTTTGCTTCTTCTCGTTTACCCTTCAACATAAGATAACGTGGCGACTCAGGCGTTAGGAAGTAGATGAGCGAGCAAACTACCAACGGGAAGAAGGTCTGCAAGAGCAAAGGGATGCGCCACGACCAGTTGTTGGTATCGGCCATAGTCGCAGTTCCGATCATTCCAGCGTTCATGGCCACGCTACCAATCTGGAAGCAGGCTCCGAACATGCCCACAATGCGTCCTCGGAGATGGACAGGAGCGACTTCGGCGATGTACTGCGGCGAAGACATCAAGGCAGATCCGAATCCCAGGAAAAAGCGGCCAGCCATGAAGCAAGAAACGTTTGGGGCGAGGCCTTGCATTAAAGCAGCTATAATTACGAGAGAATTCCCGAGAAAATTGACCCCCCGACGCCCAATTTTGTCGTTCAAAGCCAGGAATGGAGCACCGCAAACTGTCCCAATCCTCATCAAGGCCGTGATATGCGCGAAAGTCTAAGTGGACAACATTAGCAGAAGTCTCGCTAGCCATCTGAATTTACGTACGGTTCCGCTCGTTGCAAACCCGAAGTAGTTGTGCCAGGACTTGTAGGCGTTGATGTTGCCAATGACTGCCCAGTCGACGCCATAACCTGCCTGATTACAACCCTGAACGAACATGATCAAGCAAAGTCGCATTCCAGTCTTCGTCCAGAACGTTGGCATCGCCTCCTTCGACATTTGCAACAAGTCATCCTCCGTGATGCGCTGCACGACAACCTCTTCTGTTTGGAGTGCACCGGTTTTCTCATCCGTCAAATCATGGTGGAACGACCTGGTGGTGCCTTGTGGAGCCATAGTGGCGACGGGACACTGGGTTCTCACGTATCGAGAACAGCCACAAGCAAGCGTGTGTATAGATGGGAGAGCTGGGAGATCGATATCGATCGCACATGCCCGACAAAGCACACGGAGAGGGAGCCGTTATATTGCTGGAAATGGTTGGAGTTTTATCACCATATTCTCACGCCGCCAAACTCTAATTCACGGGGTCGAGTGCGTGTTGAGCTATTGGTACAGGGCCTAGTGAACGTTCTGTTTTCATGGCACGGTTCACGGAAACCGGGAATGCATAGACATGGGGTCACCTTGTTGTTGATCGATCCTCTGGCAAATATTCTTCCGCCAACCACCCTCTCTAGCGCGCGGCTCATGATAGAAGGCTGCATAAATCCTTCACACAACTGAAAGCTGGAGCAACAGTCAGGATCCCGTCACACCATTATACCCGTCCTTTTTGCCGGCTTATATCGCTTAACAACCAATACATGCTTCCCATCCTCATGTACCCCAAGTTGCGCTACGAACACCCCGCATCTAGTTGGAACGATGCGCTGCCGCTAGGTAACGGTCGGCTAGGAGCAATGGTCTATGGAGGCATTCATACAGAAACGCTACGCCTGAACGAAGAAAGCGTCTGGTACGGCGGCCCTCAACCTCCGAGGACGCCCTTCGGTGCCAAGCACCACCTGGAGGAATTGAGGAAATTGATCCGCGCCGGAAGGCATCGTGATGCCGAAAGCCTGGTTAGGAAACGCTTCCTAGCGACACCGAAGAGTGCGAGACACTACGAACCACTAGGCACCTGCAATATCGCTTTCGAATATGGCAATGGCAATGGCAAAGCTAGTTCTGGAGGCGCAGAAGATATCGTGAAAGAGTACAAGAGAAGTCTCAATCTTGCAAAAGCCGAAGCAGTGGTCAAGTACACCATCAACGGAATTACGGTACGAAGAGAAGCTATCGCGACAAATGCAGGCGACGTCATTGCTATCCGCGTCGTTGCAGCGAGCGAGATCTCCTTCACAGTCAGCCTGACTCGTATGAGTGACGTCGAGTGGGAGGTCAATGAGTTCCTAGATTCCATCGCTATCGTAAACGGCCACATTGTCCTCCATGCAACACCGGGTGGAAAAAATAGCAACAGCCTTTGTCTGGCTGTGGGAGCAAGAGTTGACAGCAACGGAAGTGTCGAAGTCGTCGGGCGTGAGCTAAAAGTGACTGCGAAAGAGGCCTTGGTAGTCATTGCCGCTCACACCCAGTATCGTCACGAAAATGCTCAACAAGCAGCATTGGCTGACATTAGCACTTCATTTGGTCTTTCAACAGCGGAGCTATGGAAACGACATGTTGAAGACTGGGAGGACGCCTACGGCCGCATGAGCATCCAGCTCTACCCAGATGATGCGCATCTCACCACGGATGCCCGTTTGACTAACAATAGAGACCCTGGCCTGGTGTCTTTGTATTTCTCGTATGCCCGCTATCTGCTCTTGTCGTGCAGTCGGCCTTACCCAAAAGCCCTTCCAGCGACATTGCAGGGCATCTGGAACCCAAGCTTTCAACCACCTTGGGGGTCGAAGTATACTATCAATATCAACCTTCAGATGAACTACTGGATTGCAAATACATCCAATCTATCGAAATGTGAGCTACCGCTCTTCGATTTGCTGGAGCGTATGGCCGTTAATGGCCAGCGGACTGCATCAGACGTCTGGAACTGTCGCGGATGGTGTGCGCACCACAGCACAGATATTTTCGCTGATACAGAGACACAGGATCGGTGGATGCCTGCAACTCTGTGGCCTTTGGGTGGAGCTTGGCTGTGCACGCACATAGGAGAGCATTACTTCTTCACTGGCGATAGAGACTTCCTCGCACGGATGGCTCCAGTTCTTGAAGGCTGCGTTGAATTTCTTCTCGACTTCTTAGTCCCCGACTCGAGTGGTAAATATCTTGTGACCAACCCCTCTCTATCACCGGAAAACACTTTCAGGCATAAAGAAAGCGGCGAGCTTGGGGTCTTTTGTGAGGGCTCAACAATGGACATGGTGATCGTACGGCAGGTTTTCTCGCAGTATATCCTTGCTACAGCAGAGCTCGGGGAAGAGATCCTTTCAACATCAATATTCAAGGAGGTCCAAACCGCACTTGGTCGTCTACAACCTATCGCCATTAGCCCCAAGACCGAAACTGTTCAAGAATGGGGCTTAAATGATTACGAAGAAACAGAACTTGGCCATCGACACGTTTCGCACCTCTATGGTCTTCATCCAAGCAACGAAATAACACCCACATCCACGCCGGAACTCGCAGAAGCTGCGCGACAAACGCTATTACGCCGTATCGCCCATGGTGGCGGTCATACGGGCTGGTCTAGAGCCTGGCTTATCAATCTATGGGCAAGACTGCGGCAACATGAGCAATGTATACTTAATGTCGATGCCCTAATGAGGGATAGCACATTGCCAAATATGCTCGACACACATCCACCGTTTCAGATTGATGGAAATTTCGGCGGGGCGGCAGGAATTTTGGAGTGCTTGGTACAGTCGCACGAGATTATGGTCATCGAAGGGGGATCGAAGATCAATGTCATCCGCTTGCTTCCATCTTGCCCTGCTGATTGGGAAAAGGGAGAGGTAAAAGGTGTAAAGTGCCGCGGAGGCTTTGAGCTTGATTTCAAGTGGGATCATGGCGAAATCTGTGAGCCTGTGGTGGTCAAATCGAAGTTGGCCAAAGAATTTGTACTGGTCTTCCATCACGTAGGCTCCGATGCGAAAAACACTGGCACTCGGATATCGATTCCAGCATGCAAAGGGGAATGTCTTGTTTACAAAGATGGAGTCCGGGATACCTGATAGGGCTAGATAAATCTACGGGAACGCTCGATTAATCTGAGTTCAACTTTGCTATCAGTCACTTCCTACGCTCCTGTGGTAACTTCTATAACGCCATTATGACAGTCGAAACACCACATACACTTTCGAGGGCCACTTCTGACGTAGATTTCAACCGTGTTTCTATCTACGATCAATTCATTCTTTTCGGAGACTCTATCACGCAAGGCGACGGCAACCCAGCGCTGGGATATAGCTGTTTTGAAGCCCTCCAGCATGGTAAGAAGGCTCTAATGTTTTGTAGAAATCTAGACGAAACACTTTGGCGCCCATGCACGCTCTAATTATCGACGCAGATTACTCGAGACGAGTCGATATCATTGCTCGCGGCTTTAGGTACCTTTCGTCTTATTCAGCTCCAATTGTAAACTAATGTTATGGAGTGGCTACAACACAGAAAATGCACTCGCCGTCTTACCCAAGATATTTCCCACTCCCAAGCAAGCGCGAGTTCGCCTTGTGGTATTATTCAAGCTCTCTCTTCGCCGTGTCTCAACTTACCGGTAGCAGACTATCTTCTTCGGCGCCAACGATGCCTCGCTTCCTAACACAACGGGCCAGCACTTGCCGCTCCCAACTTTTGCCCAGAACCTCAAAGCGTTGGTACAGAATCCTGCCATCCAGGCACATGCCAACATTAAGCTGCTCTTGATTACGCCTCCGCCAATCGACGAGTGGGCGTTCGATTCATGGGATGAGCCTGGAAAGTCGGCGCGCAAAGCCGAAGTAGCTCGCGCCTATGCCGAGGCAGTTGTGCAAGTAGGAAAGGAGTTGCAAGTCGCAGTCGCGAATTTGTGGAGCGCATGCATGGTGGAAGCGGGGTGGGATGATAAGTGCGGGGGATGGCCATTGTCAGGAGATAGACGGGCAGAGAGAAGTGAGGGATTGGCAAGGTTATTGACTGATGGTGAGTACTGATTTTGGTATTTGGATGAACTGGGCTAACATGGTGGGTTTTCAAGGCTTACATCTGAGTGGTGATGGCTACAAGATATTGTACCAAGAGATGAAGAAGGTTATTGCCGTTTCTTACCCTGAGCTAAAGCCTTCAAGCATACCGGTGGCTATTGAGCCTTTCTTTCCAGAGTGGTTTGAGGACAGTGCGCCATGGTAGCAGATGACACACTTGCACAAAGATTAGCACTCAATCTCGACTAGATCATGCTCCTATAATATCACCTACTGTGACTCTGCTAGCCACGTATGCATGTAGTGGATTCGGACTAGTGTACCCCGGGCGTGAATCGCTCCATTTCCGCCAATCACCGAGCGCTATTTCTATACCTTGCATCTCTGCTCCCGAATTGCTGATGATGTTATGCTCTTCTAATATGTATAAGCTTGAAGCTGAATAAGAGCTGACAGTTTGTTGTCGGGTAGAGGAGTGAGTGTGCGTGCTTCTTTCAAGTGACCCTCTTTCTGTCTGTCCCAAAGTCCACATCCAGCCAGAGCTATCTCACGATGACTTGGACTCATACTTTCCCTTCATCGCCGGATGCGGACCTCGAAGGAATACTAAGAAAAGACTTCCACTGGGGGTTTGCAACTGCAGCTGCTCAGGTTGAAGGAGCCTGGAACAAAGATGGCAAAGGCGAATCCATCTGGGACAACTTGTGTCACACGGCCGGAAAAGTCAAGGATGGAAGCACCAACGAGGATGCGACCCGATCATACGACCTCTATAAAGAAGATGTTGCTCTGATGAAGAGCTATGGGGTGAATTCATACCGGTTCTCCTTGGCGTGGTCAAGGATCATTCCTCTTGGAGGCGCGGATGATCCTATTAATGAACAGGGAGTTCAATACTATAACAATCTTATTGATGAGTTGCTTGCGAACGGCATAACTCCGTTCGTGACCCTATTCCATTGGGACACCCCCCAGGCGCTTGAAGATCGCTATGGCGGGATGCTCGATCAAGAAAAGTACACACCGGACTTCCTCCGTTACGCTCGAGTTTGTTTCGGGCGTTTTGGTGACCGTGTCAAACATTGGATCACATACAATGAGCCTGGAGTGTACACTCTAGCCGGTTACGCAGCTGGAGTCCACGCTCCAGGACGTTCATCCTTCCGCGACAGGAATGAAGAGGGCGATTCATCAACGGAACCTTTCATCGTCGCCCATACTGAGCTTGTCTCCCATGCAGGAGCAGTCAAGATTTATAGGGAAGAATTCAAACCCACTCAAAACGGCGTTATCGGTATCACGCTTCATGGTAACTACTCAGAGCCATGGGATATCAATGATCCAGACGACGTGGAAGCCGCGGAACGTGCGCGCCAGTTCGAGATCGCATGGTTTGCTGACCCGATCTACGGTAGTGGTGACTATCCGCAATGCATGCGAGATCAGCTGGGCGACAGGTTACCGAAGTTCACCGAAGAAGAAAAAGTCCTTGTCAGAGGAAGCTCGGAGTTCTACGGCATGAATACCTACACAACGTTCTTCGTTAAAAACCTCAAAGGGCCCGCCGATATCAACGACCACAAAGGGAACGTTGAAAAGCTCGATACAAATAGCGAAGGCAAGTCGCGAGGTCCAGAGTCCGACACTTACTGGTTGCGCACTGCACCTGAAGGATTCGGGAAGCTGCTCAGATGGGTATGGGATCGTTATCATGTCCCGATATATATGACAGAGAACGGCACCACGGCGAAGGGAGAAACAGCGCCCACGGAGGAAGTGTTGAACGACACGTTTCGCATCGACTTTTACAACGGCTACATACGCGAGCTGGCTCAGGCTGTGCAGGACGGTGTAGACATTCGATCGTACTTTGGGTGGACGTTTACGGACAACTGGGAATGGGCGGCGGGGTATACTGATAGATTTGGTGTTACGTTTGTTGACTTTGATACACCGGAGAAGAAGAGATATCCGAAGAGGTCGGCGTATTTTCTACGCGATTACTTCAAGCATCTGATAGCGAATGAGTGAGCATATTGGAGGACTAAGCTGGGGTTGAAGCGAACAAATACAAAATAGAATATTGTCGGAGTCGTAACTATCTTATGCCTAACAGCTTAGATGGGGGCTACGGTCCTTCGAGACTCGATTATAAAGCGAAACAGCAAGCTTTCCATTCGATGACTTATCTGGTCATCGCTGTAACGTGGCTGGACTCAGTTCCATGGTTCTGCGACCAGATTTTTGAATCGCGGTGCTGTTCTGTTTATTGTGTTGTGACGCTGCTTTTACGATTTGCAGAGAGCTCTCCGAGCTTTACAACATCTTCTCTGACTTATCTGGATTCGGAGAAAGAAACGAAAAGATCCACCTTTAGCAGGCCCTTGACATTCATCGACACTTAGAGAGCTCACCCTAGGCCTTTGTGATTGTCAACCACGTGGTAATTTTGGAGCTCCTAGCTATCTGAAATTCAAATACTAGAAATATACGGTTTGAATTGTCCGAATATCAGGATGTGACAGGCCTTCTAGGACACATGGTATAAAACTGTCTAACCCTTTATCATGATTACGTGGCTCTAAAGTATCTCAGTGACACTCTATTATATGTGCTTGACTTTCTACGTATACACGACACGCTTGTAATATAGAGAAGCACTCGCAGCCAGGGTACATGGCTACATATTTTTGTGAGGATTGGTCTTTCCATGTAGCAAATGGGAGGCTGTCTCAAGGGAAAGGAAACAAGACAGCACTCTAGCACCACATGCGTCTTGTGTCAGCTGTAACCTTGAGAAAGAGCATGAGTTGGGGTAATGGTATAACTTAGTCTAGCTGGGTTATACATGATTGCACGACGGAAGAGGCATTCCGGCAATCCACTTCACCTGGTCCCGATATTCAACGCATTTAGGTGGTGTGCCTTACGTTCCCGATATCATCCCGTAGATGTGGGAAGGTATGGTGAGGAGCACTGCTCGATGGAGCTTGGATTTGGAAGACGAAGGTTGCCCGAGCTCGAAATCCTGGATACTGATCGAAAGGGCAGATTATTGGCTGAAGATTGAAGTACAAACATCCACATCTGGAACTCATGACGACTACGAATGGGTTGGCCTCAAACAAATCTTGGGGATGGCAAACAGAGGGTGCGACGATCAGGAGTCACGAGCACCCTGCGGCCATCACACAGTTGCGGCTCCGAGGATAATTCTGAGTTCAGCCCATGTCAACAGTTAGGACACCGATTGCGAATGAATAGTGACGTCATCTGGGTATCAATCCCGAGTTACCAGCGCCGCGAGGTCGACAGGCCGTTTCAGGTGATGATGATCCATCTGACCGGTCAATCCTATCGAACCCACGTTATTCGGTATGATTTCGGGTGCCTTCGGTCGTATTACGGGCATAAGTGCGACGCTTAAAACGGATTCCACTCATCCGGCACTACCTTGGTGATGCTCCAACTCTCCAAGGATAGCATGTAAAGCTGTGATTCGATAAAACACGCGGTGAGTAAGGTCGATGCAAATGTGATGTATTCATATGCAACCTAGGTTTCTAATTTATACACTCCCGCAATTACCTATGATACAGGGGCAGTTAGGGCGAGGTGAAATAGACCAAAATAGATGTCTGTTGTAATATACGCGTGAGCGCTGGTAATCGCGCATGCACCGTCTTTGTGCTTTGGGAGATCTACCAGCCTTGGTCTTAGTAGTAGTGCACCTTGAGCGGACGTGTCTTTCCTTCTGTCGTGGTTGAATTATAATAATTTTTGGCTGTGTATATCAAAGCCTTCTGCGCGAACTGTCTAGGTTATAGCAGCATTGATTTTATCGCGGATGGCATGTGAAAGGATATAGAGAACCTTGGAAAGCAGAGTGGAGAATGTCCGTCCTAAACGAGTGATTCCTGCATGCCTTCACTTGACTGTGGAAGCTTCGCTGTGCGGCCGCCTATGGAGTGTATTGGATCTACACTTCAAGTGCTCGCTGGTTTATCAATTGAATGCGTCTTTACTACTTATTGAGGCACGCATCCGAGGAGAGAGAGCATCAGATGACGATGGAGTTGACTAAGCGGATGTACACGTTATCACGTGACTTTACACGCTAAGGACGCATGGACGCGTTTGCCGAGCTTGACTCCACCGTCTAACAAGCAACTTCAGCTGTCGCGCCCTCACCGTTATCTACCATTCAACCTCTCCATTCGTCTACCTCGCTCCTATTGAGGCGATCGCAAACATGTGAGCTGCTGGCGTGCATGATCACAGCTACAGTGGCAGGCTAACTTTGAACAGGGAGGCATTCAACGACATTTACCTGAATCTTTCTAGGAAGTCCGGCGCAACTCGATTCTCGGACTCTGGCTTTGGGTGGAAGCCCGCAAATGGCGAAACATACACGTGCGACCAGTCACAGATCATCCAGGCGCAGTGGAGTCGAGCTGCACGCGGCTACGAAGTGAAGATTCTCTCACGAAACGACGGCGTGATACAGCTCGATGGATTCAAACAGGAAGACTATGAGCGAGTAGGAAAGGTTTTCAAGACATGGTACGGCATCAATTTGGATAATCGCGAGCATGCCCTACGCGGTTGGAATTGGGGCAAGGCCGACTTTGGTAAGGCCGAACTCACCTTCAACGTCGCCAACCGCCCCGCCTTCGAGGTGCCCTATACCGAAGTTTCGAACACGAATTTGGCAGGAAAGAACGAAGTCGCTGTTGACTTTTCGCTTCCCGCTGACGGTGATGCCGGCGCAAACGGATCCCTGGGAGGAGCTCGATTCAGAGGCAAGAAGTCTGCAGGAGCTCGAGACCAGCTGGTCGAGATGCGCTTCTACATACCCGGTGTGGCGTCCAAGAAGGAGAAAAATGAAGACGGCGAGGAGGCCTCTGGAGCTGAGGATGGCGAGGAGACGAATGCTGCTAATCTCTTCTACGAAACTCTGATGGACAAGGCCGAGATTGGCGAAGTGGCCGGTGACACATTCGCCACTTTCCTAGACATCTTGCACCTTACTCCTAGGTATGACGCTCATGGACAGCCGATAAGCAGCGCTAATATGAATGCAGGGGTCGTTTCGATATCGACATGTATGAAAGCTCGTTCCGACTGCGCGGCAAGACCTACGACTACAAGATCCAGTTTGACTCAGTCAAGAAATTCATGGTGTTGCCAAAACCCGACGACATGCACACTCTCATCACTATTGGACTCGATCCTCCTCTACGACAGGGCCAGACGCGTTATCCATTCCTGGTTATGCAGTTCAAGCGCGACGAGGAAGTCAACCTAGACCTGAACATGAAGGAAGAGCTTCTGGAGTCCAAGTACAAGGATAAGTTACAGTCCCACTACGAAGCACCCATCGCTGTAGTCGTATCCGACATATTTCGAGGGCTGAGCGGGAAGCGCATTTCCAGGCCGTCTCGCGACTTCATCAGCCACCACGAGCAATCCGGTGTGAAGTGTTCGATCAAGGCCAATGAAGGCCACCTCTTCTGTCTCGACAAAGCCTTCATGTTCATCCCTAAACCAGCAACCTACATTAGCATGGATAATATCGCATCGGTGACCATGTCTCGTGTCGGTGGAGCCATGGCGGCAAGTCGCACGTTTGATATTACCTTTACCATGAAGGGTGGTATGGCAGAGCATCAGTTCTCCAACATCAATAGGTGAGTAGTCGCATGATGAACTTGGAAGTCCCTGCATGGCTAAGACTAGACCACAGAGAGGAGCAACAGCCCCTCGAGAACTTCTTCCGCGCTAAAGGTATCAAAACGAAGAATGAAATGGCGGATGACGTAAGAACCTCCTTTTCCTCTCTAGACTCGATTACGCTAACCCTGCATCCTGCAGTCCGGAGCGATTCTTGCGGCTGCACTCGCAGACGAAGATCTTGCATCCAGTGATGATGGAGGTGTGGCAAATCGCGGAAGCGCGGATGAAGACGACGAGAGCGTTGATGAAGACTTCCATACAGAATCGGAATCTGAAGTCGGTGAAGAGTTTGATTCGGATCACCAGAGCAGTGGCGGTGATAGCGATGCTGAGATGGAAGACGCGGAGAGCGATGCCGCCGAGGCAGCCGTTCCAGAACGCCCCAAGAAGAAACAGAAGACGGACAAATGATAACCTTGCTCGCCACGTGTGACGGTGAGCAGGGGCCTGGTAAAGGGTCCAGGGCGGTGAGGATACAGTTTAACTCATGTTTCCAAGCTTGTTCGTGTTCGGTGCATGAGCGTTGCGCGTTGCTCGTTGTTCTCCGACTGGTCTCAAGCCATGGAGACAAGTCCGATGCTTTGATAGGCAACAGGCGACATGGCGTCTGAATGGTGGCAGAAGGACAGGAATGATAGTTCCGAGGGCATGGGAAATACGCCTCAGATGAAGCCGACCGTCAGGATCAGAGGGGCCGGCTTGGGTTATTAGGCGAATGCATAGCAGCCAGGAGAAGGGTTCCAAAGAGTGGCAACTAGCGGCCATAGCTGCATTAGCTCCACGTACGTGAAAGGCCCCCTGTGAGTGATGTAGGCGTTGTGGCCCGGCCATGACTCGGCTAGACGCGCCCGGCGTGCGCGGACCACGCAGCTGTCATTCCGTGCTAAAGTTTAATTCTTTGCTCTTGTTGCAGCTCCGATGGAGCATACGACTGGGATTCGGGATGATGCAAGCTACGGCAAGGGAAGTGCCTCTCGCCAAATCCACAGGCCCTGCATTGCCTGTAATGGTGGATCCGCACCTGGCGCGAACTACCTATGGACCCCGCATCTACCTTCACGGTTTGACTTCTGTATCGCACCAGCATCCTGATATAGAAAGTCGACAATCCTCTCGACTCATGTGAACGCTCCCTCATACCCACTTCGCTCGCTTCGAGGAGTCCATCGATTACATAGCTCCTTGGACTGACCCACATACCTCGGCCTACTTCGAAGATGCGCTCACGAACCGGGTGGTATGTGAAGCCCCCTTTCCATGTACATCACCGTCTAACCTCTTCTCAAGCCTTACCTGCCGCCAGCGAAAGCTGAAATGTGACGAGAAGAAGCCAGTGTGCGGGCAATGCACAAAGGCCTCCAGAGAATGTGTGCTCAGCTCCGGAATCGTCTTCCGTCATCAGCACAATGCCTCAATGAATGGTGATGACTCAGGAGACGAGAACTCGCTGAAAGGCTTCTACGCGTATAAGAACACATTCGAAGACAATACCATTTGGATGGACATCCCAAAAAATGGTGAGTTCCTACCTAATATCTGTGGTGAGCAGATCATTAACACAACTGTAGTGACCTTCATCAACACCACTAATCCATATCTCGACCCCGGAACACCAGACTTCGACACCATTTCGGCTGCATCAATGGAATCTCCTCCGCCGTTTGAGCGGCGCTCATTCGCCTCATCGCGGACACACAACAACTTTCACCTAGTCACTAGCACACCTTCTAGCATAGGTTCTGAGCTAGGTTCCGCCAGCGTTGCCATGGGCTACAGTCCTGAGCTCGAATATCTGCGACCATTGATGCACTCACCGCCAGGATCTGCAGTAGGGACACCAGTTTCACCACCCGCCTCCCTCTGCAACCTCCGCATCAACCCATTGATGGACTATAGTAGCTCTTCAACACCAACACCTATAGATCCACGCCTCACTTCACCATTCGAATCCTCTACAGACTACACTCCCCGACGATCTACACCTCGTTCGGATACGGAATCAATGACGAAGCAAGATCACGAGATCGCCTTCCTTTTACGGTGGTTCTCTGAAGGCCCTGGGTACTGGATGGATCTCTTCGATCTTGGAACATACTTCGCTTCGTACGTGCCTGTCAAGGCGCGTGAGAACCCTTTGCTCAAGTATGCGGCAGTCGCTTGCGCGGCCAAGGCCCTTGCACGTGTTCAAGGCCGCAAGCCTGTTATGGGAGGAAGTGCAACACGTCAAGCTCGAATGGAACAGTACCCCAACGCGCCTTTAGTTGACTGGAAGCACAAGGCGGCTGTATACTATGACAACGCCGTTTCATTGTTGCTGAAGGCCCTCAAAACGGACACAACCATCACCCCTGATGACTCGGACTGCGAAGTCAGGCTACGCAATGGCAGTCTCCCATATGGTTCTAATGTTCCAGCGCCAAAAAAGCGAAAAGTCTCAGATAGCAGCTCGTTTGTATCTAGCGCTGACGAGCTGTTGGCCGCTTCCGCAATTCTTTGCGTGTATGAGTTCTTAGACACATCCGTCTCGGAGTGGGCCAAACACTTGAACGGAGCAAAGTCTCTCCTTGTCCTTGCGCAGGATCGTGTGATGCCCTTACAGATGCCGACCCCGGGGTCGACGATGTCGTCTAGCTTCAACTTCATTTCCAAGGCCCGGAGAGCAACATTCTGGAACATTGCTAGACAGGACATGCTCGCAGCTTGTAAGTCTAAAACTAAAGTCTTTAAGTTCTGCACTAACAAAAACTACTAGTCATCAACAAAACCCCAACACGGCTCGACACTGAGGACCTCTCCTTATGGAAAGAAGCCGGTCTTCTGATCGACGATCAGGGATTCATCGTTCCCAGCAACACAAGCCAAAGTGGCTATCCAGAAGAAGGCGAGAACATGATGAGGGAAGACCTCATTTGCAATGCTCTGGTGTGGCTCATGGCGAAGCTGGTCAACTTCATGGCTGCTGGCGATGAGAATTCCAGTAGCATAGGAATGTCCTGGGCTGGCGTCCCTCAGCGAACGATTCTGGACTATTGGTGCAATCTGCGAAAACAGTTCCAAGTCTGGCACGATGGTTTACCGATCACTTTTCAGCCTTCTGCTAGGGTGGATGCATCACACTCGCCAGGCCATCTCTCGAAGAATGGCAGCGGATCCATGTTCACTGAGGTTTGGTACAGCATCCCGATGTGTGCCTCTACCCTGCAGACCTATCATATGAGCCAGATTCTCTTGTTCATGAACAAGCCACACGAATCTACTCAGGGCCGGAGTACAGTGTGTGCACGCCTTAGCTCATACGAGTCCGTTTTGGCCACCTGCCAGAAGCACAGCCGTGAGATTGTCGGCATCTCACTCGCCCGCTCAGATGAAGCAGTCAGAATCCATTCAGTCCAGCCCTTGTTCACGGCCGGCCAGTGCCTCCGCGATCCTCGAGAACGCCAGCAGGTCCTACACCTCCTCCGCGATATCGAATTCGACATTGGTTGGGCTACCGACTACCGAGTACGACAGCTCATTGAGCAGTGGCAGTGGGAAGAGCAAGAGACCCTTGTGCCCTGAACGTTACACACGTACAGTCTCGACAACGAACACATGACTCGTTCGACGGCGATCTCTCCTCACTTGAGGATTGACTCAGGGTATCAGCTCTGGGCTTAGTGCAGACGTTCTATCACCAGACCCACTCGCCGACGTACTGTACCGTTCGCCCACTTCAGCACAACACCATGCATGGGTGTTATTGAAGATGGCAAGCTATGCTTTGCCTAGTCAGCGCAGGGCCGCAGAGTGGGTCACCCGAGAGTACTGTGGTAGGACTGAGCTGTGGAACACATAAGAGGGCGTATTGTCTCGAGTTGCTGGGGTCTTGATACTCGAACTAAGCCTTGAGGTTTCGACCTCCAGGGTCTAGAGCCTATGCAAAAGTTACACGATAGCTAGAAGGGATGGATGCGTTTCAAAAAGCGCCACATAGGACTACTTAGACAGGTGCATATTAGACGATAACGATAACGATTTTTCATGAAGCCATCCTTGTAACAGACAAAATTGCATCCTTAAAGCCGACTACATGAACACAGAGTATGCGCAATTGTGTACAACGTCACGTCCGATACTCCGATGCAGGTCGTCCCGCCTCCCCCGTCCCTCCGACATAGTACGACACACCGTCCTTCCAGATTAATAAATCAACAGCCGCGTTTTGCGCAACCATGCATAGAAAAGCCTTTATGCCTTGCTTTCCCCATCGCCCCACCTTACCTAGCCAACCTACTTGCAGATTCGACTTGCAGCACACGCATGCACGTGGTCTAGCACCACAATCAAACGCTTTTCACCAACGGTGTACTAGACAGTTGGCCCTGCATGTTTCCAAAGAGACTGACCAATGAACATGAAAGGGTTACACACACGATCGTAAGCTGAAAACAACGCCAAATTTTCCGACCCATCAAGGCATCAAGCGTGCATTATTGCTCTCCTCGGGTCGTCGGCGACCTGGACTTGTACCAAGCAATATTGCTCTCATCGGGTCGTTGCGACTTTTGCGACATAGACTGGTTTCAAGCCTGACCACCACACGACTCTTCTTGAGTCCACAATAAGGTTGGAATCAGGCCAGAATAGGGCCAAAGTGAGATTTTAGATGAAAAAGTTAGTGGCCATAGAACAAGCCTGTCGATCCATCATACTCTGTGCCGTTCATACCCAGGCGCGATGGTCACATGCACCTAGTGTGGAAACCGCCAAAATCGCGAGATTATATGGTCTTATCCCGCCAATGTGTTCCCCGATCTCTGAAGGACATATTAGAACTTCAACATCGAGTTGTCCTTGTTGGATTAAACCGACTGGAATGCGCGCCACCGTGGTGCGACCCTGCATATAACTAGTAGACGGATGCCTAGTTTTGTCCCACACAATGATAGCGGTGTAAGCCCCCTCGGGACCGAATTATAATAGTCGGTCTGGCGCAATAGACTTTCGCGTATCTTTTGTCAAACGTGGCGGAGAAAAGCGTAATCGAAGGGTGCGTAGCTCCGCATACAGAGCCGGGGATGGGCGGCTCCATTTACGTTTAGGTTGCACAGAATAGGGCCGCGTTGCACCGGCAATCTGCATGACAGTGCAGTGCATTGCAGTGACACCGTTGTTTGAATGAATTGCAAAAAAGCAAGCCTCTGCAACGTCTGTTGGATATGAAGTTGTCTTGAATAGAAAGCTTGACTAGGCTTGATGTTACTGGGGTTTGCAAATACTACTGCAACTATTCATCGAATTGGCAAGGCGCCGTGGGATGAAGTGCGGGACCGCACTCGCTTCTCTGATCCGATGGTAATTTTCATAATAACGGTTTCACATCACGGTCCACTGGCCCAGCCACTCAGATTTCGGTCTACAAGGTAAAAGATTGTCGATTAGCATATACACGTGCGGCTCCGAGGGTGAGCAAGGTTCGGGGAGCCGCACTGATGCGGAGCCTGATTAGTTTGCTGATGTACGCAGGGGATATGACTAGCAGCCTAGGGCTTCCGCACGCCAAGTTGCATCCCCACCCCCCACTCTTACAGACAAATAGACCGTTAATGTCAGAAACATGCAGGCTACACACAGGGCATGCAAGATGTCGTATCGCGACCCTGTACCATCTCAATCTTCGCATCATGCTGCCACAGTGCAAATGATACGTCTTCGAATGATGTCGATACTCTTTCCCCGCACGTCCTCTTCCTGTACCCCCCTACACCACATAGCCTTTGGATGCATCCTTGAGCTCCATGACACGGCCCAAAACGTGCATTGAAGGTCGTTACGATCGCTAACACTAGGCCTCCGCTCCTCCGGTCACTAGTTACGCCATAGACTGCAGCTAATGCATGCACCCTTGACGTGCTGCCCTCGTGGGTAAGCCGAACCCAGCTAGGGGTCGATTAGTCGTGTTTTTGGGGAAAGGGGTGCGTGTGATGGCGGAGCGAGTCGCCGGTAATTCCCTTCACGGAGTCCCACGATGACAGCCACGACATTGATCGTACAGGCATCGGTATCATCCTTCCATCTCATCGTGGCGGTTGCATTCAGCTCGAGAAGTGCAAACTCGACGCGTGTAATGACATAGTGGCGAAGCGAAAGCTGTGCCCAGCCTCGGGCAGTCCGTAGAATGCGCATTTACTGCATGGGAATTACAATTCCTCTAGCAGATCGGGAAGCCCGATGATATACCGATATTTACGCATCAGGTTGGGCAGCTTTTCTACTTGCTAGGCTCTTCCTCAGAAAAGGTCCGAGGCCTTCACCGCCACGACAGCCACTTACGTTCTAGACTAAACATGCGACCAAGGCGAACATTGTTGAGACACACCAACGACACACCGAGGTTTCTAGTCATTCTATGCTCTACGTCACCATTTTTGATTAATCCCCCTGACACAATCAGTCACCGACTGCAACCGAGCTGCATCTCAAGGCGGAGTGACGTGTATTTGTTGGTGTGTTATGTGCTGGTAGGACGTCGGGTCGGGAAGGATCCCGAGTTTACTGGGGGTACAACCAGCAGGCTGGAAAGATGGTTCCAAGGAACGATCGTACCGATGGTCTGTGCTCATCTAGCGGACAACCAATAGCGCCCGCTTTCGTCCTTCAAAATATTTCGCTGTCATGATTTGACCCAGCAAAGCTGAGTTGTGGTTCACAAAGTGATATCCAGCGTTAACTTGTATGTGGACAGTTGCGAAGAAGCGGAGGCTGTACTACAATGATTCGCCCCCGTTTGGATCGCTAGTAACATCACCACAGCATCAGCTCTCCATCCGTAACCCTGGTTAGACTGTTTAAACGTTACTTTGAAATGTATCCAAGAACCAGAAGTTAGAGATGTCACTTTTGCTTTTGATCCGCTTGGACAGCTCTCGCAATGTGCTCAGCCTCACTGAACATCAATTAAGGTCTATTAAACAAGGACTAGAACTTGTCCTGATATGGTCAAATGTCAACCCTTTGTCAAGTCGAGCGAGCTTCGCAGAGACAGATCAACATCTGTCCTAACAATATGTGTAGACTCCCTGTCAAATGCGGACTAGACTCAATGCGGTATATATACATGCAAAGGCCACTTATATTGCAAGACACATATCGATGAATAGATAGCCGCATTACTACAAATAACTAGTAGCTCGCTGGAAGCACCACTTCTGATATCCAACAAAGCCACACTGAATGGTAAAGATAATCACGTTCCCTAGTTGAAAACATCTCCCTCACAATTACAATTCTTAGGCGTGTACCTATAACAAATCAGTATCGTGGAGATGAAAGTATGCAACTTCGGCGTACAATCCGTAACTTATGATGGCCATGGAATTTTCAGGACTACCATCCCACTTCGTGTCTATGAGCTTCATCAAATACACTTTGTGGATCTTCAAAGAATGCTTAGATACCTAGCACCTCTCGAGCCCCAGCGGGTGTAGATCTCATGGACAACGATACGATAGACTGATGCGATAATACAAGTACATCAAAGTGAGAAGTACCATCAGAAGCCCTAGAGTGATCGTCAAGTATCTGTAGTTAGTGTCACGGTGAATGGAATACTGGTACAGGCAGTGCGCAGTCAGCCGCTTCTATGGAGACAATGCTCTATAATTCAGCGGTAAGACATATCCAGGACCAACCATACAATGCACATACTTGCTCAAAGCGTGAAACCTGCGCAGCCAGGGAAATGACCACCAGAAGCGAGGCAATATCTCAGAGGAGAGTGTACTCCGTGCAAGGAAAAGCCCCGTAACGCGGGGAAAGGACCGAGCCTCTGAGAGGGACATAGCCGAGTAGGCGAGAGCTTTTTAGCGCTGCGGATGTCGGCATCCTAGACGCAGTTTGATACATTGGTCCGCACCCACATATAGCAACGAGAAAACGTCTCTGCATGGCGGGTTCTCTCTTCCGCTGCGATCGATCCTACTACTTTGGGGTAAGATGCGGTGCGCTTGATACCATTTCTTTCGAACTCTTTGCTGGTAGGTCATGCCGACGAGGGTGTCTATGCTTGAAGCTGGGCAAAGGTACGTGAAGAACCTTGTTGTGGATCATTCAACCAACTTGAACAATATAGGGCTGGTTCCTCCCAAGAGTAGCCAGAAGCAGCCTCGGCGTCGAATCTCTTTGAGTTAAGCAAAGATCATCGATCAAAGTACAAAGTATAGATCGCTTCCGGGCTACGAGCTGTACTAGTACAATCCTGTCCATGTACGATTTCTCGTACGATATACGGGAACAAGGGTACTTGACAAAGATATCACGCGCTTTGCGCGCTGCACCCGTTTATGCAAGACCCCAGAGTCAACTCCAACACTCATTGGACGTTCGCTCTAATGCGTACCAGCCGCCCCCAGACGGCAAAAGCCGCCTGGGCGTACTACACATTGAAAGTGGGCCTAGTCACACTGGCCATTCCCAGCCTTGCAACTAGGCTGGCCCTTGCTCTCTTCGACATCGTGCGACGATCTGACTCGCAGCACCTCAGCCTTCGATCATCTGACCTTGTAAATCCCCGGCTTGGTCAAATCCTGTGGCTCAAGTTGCATACGCGCCATTGAATGCAGTGGCTGCTTCACAGCACAGCAGATGGTCAGAGCGTGAGGCTTGTCTTTGTTGGTGTAAGAGCTGCTAAGCTGCCTAGGCTGCTCCACTTGCCCCGTCGAAAGCTTGCTTTTCTCTGCCGATCGGTATGTTTCCCTCCTGTGTAGGGGATTGGCGGTGTAGCGGGCCGCTGGAGTCCAATCGTCTAGACTTTTGAGTCTCCCGACGAAGACGAATTCTTTCTTTAAAGTAGCTCTACACCGATTAGGCCGATCGATGGCCATAGTAAGAGCCCCTTATCCTCCTCGCACTTTTCTGCGAACAAGACTCATGATATCATACCCCATCCCCTGTCTGAGTTTGCGAGATGATTTGCAAGCGCCCGCGACAGGACTCACTTGAGCTACTGCAGACGCCCCGATCGAAATATCGTTTATCTCTCTATTAAGCGAATTCCTTAGAGCAGCTACGTCGGGCCCGTTTTCTTTCTCATTGGTATTAAGACTTCAATTCCAAGACCCTACTAAGTGCTTAGAGGTTTGGTCCTCGACGCGCCACGAGGATAAAGTCGAATTATCATAGTCGTGTTAAGTATCTTTTAGTTGACCACTTGGTTTCCCCAACTTGAGCATAAGGGTTTCCAGGCAGATGGCTCTTGAATCTTTTGTCTCTCCCGCCTGCTTTTTGGCAATGTTTTATGTCGTGCTATGTATGATCGGTGGTGGTTCTATCCTGGATGGCTTCCGCCGCCGCTTGAAAAAAGCAATGGTACTAAAAGGTAACAAGTGGAAACAGAAAAGCGTGAAGCAAAGCTCGGACTGACCGTCAAGACTAGTGTGGAGCTGCATAATTGACACATTGCTCGGCAATCGTGATACAGTACCATTAGGTGCCTTGTCGAGTCTTGCACGTCATAGTGCCGCTTGGCGAATGGAAAGGTTAAATCGAGATCTGCATGCAAAGCGGACCGAAACTACAATCAGCACTAAGACACTTCCTACTATCTTTGGGAATATGTTCGAGGAACTGTGAGGATGATGATCCAGTGAGCCATGAAGCACCAACTTTCGCCTACGTTGATGTAAAGAGTCGTCCACTGAAGTCTTGGTTTCAACGAACGCACGATTCAGTGAGCACTGCCTTTCGGTAAAGCAGATCTGAGGGGTGACGGCTAAGGTGATCTCAGCGCCACATTTCCATGGGTGTCACCACTTAGCTCTCGTGTTGTCCTACCCATGACTCCCACAGTGGGTCATGCTACCCTGTACGACGCTAAAGGAGGAATCGATGTATGAAATAATAGTGCATCGCGTATCAGGTCTGACATACAGCACTAAAGAGTGCAGTCACCAATGTCGTTAGTACCGATCAAGCCCCAACCCAACTCCACGGAAATATTGCCCCGAAACATCCATTATGCGCAGGGATGACCGGCTAGGCATCTGTCGAATGCGAACCTAATCGTGTTAGATCCAATCCACTTTAGCGTTCAAGTTGGGTTCCAGACTTCCAAAACCTTATGTAAGCATGGGCCCTTGACTCGCCCTTCCCTAACTCCCCGACCATGTACACTTGCCAGATGTAACCGTGTTGTGGAAGGTAAAGATCTCGGAGAACACGAGGGGGTTTGCTGTTCATCGTCTTGCATTTCGCACTCATAGCATTCGCCTGTAGCGCGCCAATCATGCTGCTCTAGCTAGAAATCCTGACATTTCTTTTCCTGGGAGCTGCTACTCCTTCTTTCCCGGTACACAATCTGGCAATCAAAATACTTTAGCTATCTTTTGACAAGGGATGAACCAGATTAATGGACATACAACGGGCTATAAGCATACTAGGCACCATATTCTCGCCACGGCTAACAAGCAAATTGATCGCAAAGCGAAGTGCATCATCAGGTCACAATGAGTTTGTTGCGCAGCCACCTGCCTTTTCTCAAATGATTGCCATGGATTAACAATCGATCCCCTACGACCTCACTGTACAAAAGCGCCGCGGTCCCCCTCCTAAACTCTATTCCTTCTCCTCATATCCACCTCCATCACATACATCTCACTCTTGGAACAAGCAAACCATCCTCTCCAGTCTCCTTACTTACTTCCGCAGCATCAGCTTTGAAACGATCACCCACTGCAAATATGCCGCCCAAGACATCTGACAGCTCACAATCAAAGTCCCAGATCACCGGCACCGACGCGGCAGCCAAAGACGCGGGCTACGATAGCTTCAAGGCTTTCCTCTTAGCGTATGGTTTGAGTATTGATAACTACGAAGATGTGCAGGAGGGTAGGGCTATCTTGCGGGGCATGGGGTATGGTGTGTAGAGCCTTCGGGACGGGATGCGTGGAGAGAAGCTGAGAAGAGGGGAGACGGGAAGTGGGGAAAAGGGGGGAAAAGGAATGAGTGATTAGCGAGATGAACAAGGGTAGAATGAATTGATTAGTTGTTGAACGCCGATTAGTTACCTCCGATATGGGGCGAGAGCCCAGTAGTCTGAAGTTCCACAAAACCGTCCAAGACCAAGACCAGGACCAAGACGCCATTACTAACCGGGCTATGCAAACAATCACAACGGCAGGCCGGGTACACACTAGCCACTAAAAACGAAAACTGCAGACGGTAACGCCACGGCCTAACTGCTCCCATGACTTCTTAGTCTCCTACCACCCACGAGCCCAGGGCCAACGCTACTCGAAAAGCTCGTAATCGACATGTTTTCGCGATCACCCTTCTCTCCAGCAACCCCATGGACCGTCTTGCGCATCTTCTTCATCGGCAACTTGGTCTCCTCATTACCCCGTTGCTTCTTGTTCGGCGGCATGGCCATAACGGTAGAGTCGGAAGACTGGGAAACGAGCGGAAGCGGCTGAGTGTGAGCCTGAGCTTCCTGCGCTACTATGTTAACATCCAACTCACGGAGGGAGGAGATGGTATGTGCCTGGGGATAGGTCATCGCACTAGCGGAGCGCGAGATGGTGGGTTTGTTGGTGCTGAGTTTAAACATGTCTGTTGGTGATGGTATCGAGTTCGTTGCGTCGTTGAAGATGGGTTGTTTCGACGGGCTGCGTGCACTGTCGGAGGTGGCAGGTCGATCCCGCAGACGAGAGAGAATGTTTTCGTGGGCTTCGGTGCGTGGGAGATTGGAGGGAACGTTGTAAGAGACACGTTGGGGGGTTTCGCCTGTTGGGCTGTACTCGATGAGGTTCTGGCCGCTGACGGCTTCGCGGAGCTCGTGAAGTGGTGCGCGAATGTTGGCATCTGCTCCGAGCGATGGCAAGGTCTCTTTTAGAGACCCTGCTTGTGCCGTCATTTCTGACTCTAAGGACTGCACGCGATCGAAAGATGAGGAGAGATGATCGCCGATGCTGGAGTACGACGTCTGTACTGTCGACGACAAGGCGGCAAGCGATGTCGTGTGAGCAGTGTGGTGAGAGTTGTTCTGCTCACGAATGCGTGACACGATGTCGTCGAGGGACTGGAGCTGCGTATCCAGATGCGCCATCTGTGCCTCCACCGTCTTGACAGTGCTTGCATGAACGGATGTCGTTGTGTCCCTAATCGAAGTCGAATGCTTGGTTGCTACCGCAAAGTCGGATTTGATCTTCGTCTTGACAACATCCCTTGACTTTGACACACCTGCCAGGATGTCCCTAGATCGATTTGACCAGGCGTCCACGCCTTCTGTGTATGCGTCTTGCTTCGCCGCAAAAGCTACATTGGCAGCGCTAATCTCCTCACTCACGCTTGAAAGCTTTCCGTTCAGCCTTTCCTCTTGCGCATCCGCACTGGCATTAATCAATGCACTGATTTGTGATAGTAGCTCTTGTCGGTCCTCGGCTGACTTCTGCTTCTCCTCCTCAACAACTTGCACCAACTGTCCCTGCGAGGCTTTGTTCGCTTCGATCAAAGCTGCGTTTGCCTCGAGAACCTGCTGGTGGAGGTGGTCATTCTTCGTCTGCTGCTCGTTCAAATCTTTGACAAGGTCGTCGAATGTCGTCTTGAAGTCTCGGCCCAACGAAGCGTAAGAGGCATGAACTTGCGTGTGGAAAGCTTCTAGTTCAGTGATGATGTTCGCCGAAATTGTCTCCGCCGCGGCAGAGAGTTCATCCAGGCCCGCGCCGATCTTCTGCTTCACATCTTCCCGTAAGGTCTTGATCTCCTCCAGGACCTCATTCATGTGGTCGCGAGACTGCGCAGTCTGCTCGTTGACCTCCTGCTCAGAAGTCTGGTATGCCTCCATCTTCTCTTGCAGAAAAGACTGAGAGGCGCCAAGCTTGTCAAGCTCATCCTTGACGAAGATTTGCATCCGTTCGGAAAGAGTGCTCATCAGTTGCTCTTGTTGCTGTTGGAATTCCTCTATTCGATCTTCGACGAGGCGAGTTGTGTCTACTACCTGAGTTTGCGACGAATTCCAATTGCGGCGATTCTGAGATTGGAGCTCTGACTTCCGGCGGATCTTCGATCGTAGACCATCGATGTCTAATGTCGTCTTCCCAAGTGTAGAGATCATGCCATATCCAATGTCTGCAAGCTCGCCCTCGGTCTTCTGGTGTGCTTTCCGGAGTTCAGTCTCTTCAGAAAGATTCTGACGAGTGTGTTCTAAGACGATTTCAGTTTTCTCGAGAATTCCCTTAGTACCGTCCAAGGCTAGCTGCGTCTGCTCGTTGTCCTTCTTGAGGGTCTGAAAGCTTGTCGTAAGCTTGAATAACTCTTCCACCTTGTTACGAAGCCTGACCTCCACTGTCTCAAGTCGGTCGCGCTGCTCCTCGCTGAGGATCCGTCTCGACTCGCTGATCGTCGTGATCTCCTCGTAATTTTCCTGTGTAAGATAGACGCCGTTTCGCTGCCGGGTTGCAATTAGTTCACTCTTGAGCTTCTCAATCTCAGCGGTGAACTCCCTCAGGAGAGTCTTCTTATTGATCGCCTGATTAACCTGTGGCTTGTTCCGGATGTTCTTGGCTCGGAAGGCATAGTCCAGTGTCGATATTGTCTCCTCAAGATTGCTCTTCGCTGGCGATACGGTCGCGATAATGCACGTTTTTGTCCGACCGCCTAGGGAGTCTTGGAGTAGTCGAGTCAATTTTGACTCTCGGTAAGGAATATGAGAGCTGCGTTCGACAAGCGCGTTGATAACACGACCTAGTGTAAGCAGACTCTTGTTGATTAGGCCAGCTTCTGCTGCCCGTTTGTTCTCTGCACCGCTGCGCTGGATATTCTCGCTTCCGGCAAGATCAACGAGGTTGAGCTTTCCAGCGCTTAGATATTCTTGCCCATCTTCTGTGACGCGCTTGATATAGACCGTGATGGTGAAGACAGTATGACTTCGAGAACTTAGGTCGTTGCACTTTGTCGCAGCAACCTGGCGCTTGTGACTCCCCTCGCGTAGGAGCGTGATACCGTGGACGGCAGTCTTTAGGTGGCACTCTTCCATGCCTTGCACTAGAGTCGTGCTGTGGCCCTTCTTGCTGTTGTCCTCAAAGATCTTGAGCTTCACTGAGTCGTCCGGTGACAACAGGTCCCGTAGCTCTTCGTTGTACAATTCAATGAAGGAGCACTTGACAGAGTTCTCGGTTTCGGCCGCTTCGAGCCGGGAGAAGAGGTCCTTCAATACACGGGGGATGATACCAGCGGCGTCTGGAAGTGGGAGGACGTTGGAGATGTCGCCGGTCATCGTATATGTTTTCCCTGTGCCGGTCTGACCATAGGCGAAGATGGTGCAGTTGAAGCCACCAAGGACCTGTCAATATATCAGCTATAGTAGCCCCGAGGGTTCCTTTGATCCCACCTCATCTAGTATCGGCGATACGACTTCATCAAAGACCGTGTTCTGGTCGGCAGCTGGCGAAAAGACCTTGTCAAACTGATACGTCTTGTTGCTAAGTGCATTCGGACCCATTGAGAGATCTACTGTCGAGCCCTTGATTCCATTTGTCGAAACGACTACGCCGCTGTTCTCGCGCACTTCGCGATCATTGCGCCCTCGACACCGGACTACAACATTGATGTTCGTCTCTTCGCCTTCGGTTTCGAATTCTCGCTCTTTCCGCTTGAGGGGTGATGAACGCGGCGCTCTCGAAGAAGCTACCGACTCTGCACGCGATGTGCGCCCATCGATTGCAGGCGTTGCTGAGCGGCCGCGCGCCATGTGAAGAGGTGGTCGCGTTGCTGGTGGGCGCATTGTGGATGTGGTTCGCCGTATTTGCGGCGGCCCAGGCCTAGGAAGACCAGACATGTTGAAGCTGTATGTATGTTAAGCGTCGAAAGCTGCTGTTAGTGATGTCGTCTCGGTCTGGTGGTGGTGCCGGCAGAGCAGGAACCACAACAAACAGTCGTGCAGGGACTAGCGTGCAGACATGCAGGGGAGGCGCGCCCGGCCAGGAGCTTGGGCCAATTGCCCAGCAGCTCTCCTCCGCAGCACCTCCGCATCCACTGCCTCTTTACAGTTGTCTACTCTCCATATCCTTATTACTCTTCTTCTCGATACCCACCTTAGATTTGTTGATGATACCCAGTTCGTGATTCTTCGCTCGCCTTTAGACCGTTCCTCTCCAACAGAGCGTGCTGCGCCCGCACCCGTACCCCACCACCCCTCAGTCCTCAATAGAAGCATAGCATACCGCGTCTAGATTTCTCTTACCTATATCAAGGCCCTGATACCGTACAAGCCTGTAGTCGGCCGGATATCCTGAGTGCTGGTGTTCGTTACAGTTTCGCGCAACCTGACTTATCCTGTGCGCGTGGACAAAGCACGAGGGCGGTACCGCTCGCGAGTCTAGGCAGCACATATATACCAGCCAACACTACTCCTGTGCGTAGGAATTCCGCGATAATCAACATGGAAGATGGCAACATGCTATTACAACCAGGACGCAGCGTGGGGTTTATGAGTATGTCGAACGATTGGGTCTCCTCGAAGACTAGGCTAACTGAGTCGCAGCCCTCGGGTGCTCCCTCCACGAAGTGTTGACGACCGTGAAAGCAGAAGTCAAGGCGTATCCACGATTCCAACTCTACCATGACGACCTCCATCCGATATCCACCCCCATCCATATAAGTTTACCCGACAACGGACTGCGGTTACAGTTCGACGGGCCCGACCAGCGGCTACGGCTGATAGAAGTGCTCGATTTTGCGAAAGCTCGGCTGGTGTACAAGGATATCGAGGTGTTCAAGCCTGGTGATAGTGGCATGTTAGGAGGGCCTTCAGGACCCAGATTCAGACACGTCTATGATAAGCTTCTAGGGCCGACATATGGCGGAGAATATGTACCACCCAAGTCGGAAGATCCAAGTGCGAGAGGGACATACAATCTGTCGTACCCTGGCATAGCCTTCAACTTTCCCGTGCAACACTCGGCATATTCTTCCAAGAAAGACTTCATCTCGTTACTATCATCGTCGGCCACCGGACCCGCAACGTCTATGGCAGTCTTCAGCGGAGAGTCTTGGCAGAAGGCGAGAGGATCCCTATTCACAGCGATACCCCCCAATCCAAGATCTTTGGTGCTAGTAGGTGGCAAGGGAAGGGAGGGAGGACCAGATGAGATCGAGTCGGTAAGGGTACACGGCGAGGGTCGTATTGAGCTCATGAGGCGTTCCAGCCCCCCTTTCTGGATCATCCTTAGCGAGACCACCCCGCAGGACTTGATCATGGAGCTCGGTGCACCCGACTCGATCTATCGGAAGAACGACCACCGGCTATCGATTCACAAAGACCGAAGAACTAGTGATGCCTCGGATCTATCACCAGGCGGACTTATACCCGATGATCTCGACTCGGATCATGGCTCAGCTGTTAGGTCAGACAACGAAGACGACTGGGAAGACGATGATGAAGCCGCCCTCGAAGCTCAAGAGCGCGAGGTTGCAGCAGCAGAGCACTTCTACAACTACTACCACCACGGCTTCGACATTCTCATCTCGCAACCAACGCAGATCTCGCCACCCTCACCCACGGCCGAACGTCGAGAATCAGACCTGTACCACGAAGAAGGCGAACTCACTGCCCAGCCCCTAAATCACCTCACAGCCACCAAAATCATCTTGCACGGAAATGTCCCAGGGTCGTACCAGTTCAATCGGCATAGAAGGAGTAGATGGACACTAGAACATGTGCCATCGACCATGTACCGAGAAGCCCTCAATTCTGAAATGCCTTTTAGCGATGTTTCTGGTCGTCTCAAGGAAGTCTTCAAACCGTACTATGACAGCGAAGAACAGGAGCGATTGCAGCAGCGTGGCATGGCGCTGAACCGGGGCTGGGGCGACAGCCCGGGGAGTAGCTGCGAGCTGCTGGGTGGATGGGAAGACAGCTCTGGGAAGAAGAGTAGGTTTGCAAACGCAGGTGGGAGTGTAGTGGTGGAGGGTGCAAGCGATGTAGGGAACGTAGAACTGTTTGGGTTTCCGGGCATGGTGTTTGAGGTGCTTAAGAACGGGGCAGTTAGTGCGTTGACGGTATATTAAACCGTGCTTGTTGTTGCTTTCACACCTACTGACGTTATTGAAAGCATGTAGCCGTACTTTGGTAATGCGATACTTAATTGGTCTACGTAGCCAAATCAACGTCATCTAGATTCTTCCTGACAAACTTGGTCGCCTCATCTAGCCCTTTCTGCACAACATCCGTCTGGTTCACAAATCCAATCCTGACATATCCCTTCCACTCGTCGCCAAACGACTGACTGCCCGGAACAAACAGCACGCCCGTCTTCTCAAGCAGTTTCTTGCAAAAATTCACCGAGTCGACCGGCTTCCCCTCTCTATGAAACTTGATAAAAGCCGTCGTGCCAGCCACGGGCTTCACCCACTCGCACTCGTCCTCATTCTTCAGCACAAACCTCTCCAGCAGCGCGAGATTGGTCTTTGCCAGCTGGATATTGCGGGCCAGCAGGCTGTGGATCGTCGATGGATGGAGCGCGTACGCAGCGACTTGCTCGTCAAAGTGCGAGACGGAGATGGTGGTGTAGTGCCGCGCCTGCGCAATCGTCTCGATGAGCTCGGGGCTGCGCGAGGCGATCCAGCCCACGCGGATCCCGGCGAGCGAATACGCTTTGGACATGGAGCCTGTGACTACGACGTTCTTGTAGCCCATGGAGAGCAGCGAAGGGGGGAAGTCCTTGTCTATCGGGCTGATGGAGTGGAACAAGGGGCGGTAGACTTCATCTGCGAAGACGGTGATGTTGGTCTCTGAGGCGAGGTCGATGATTTGTTGTAGGAGGCTCTTTTTCAGCACGGCGCCTGTGGGGTTGTTGGGGTTGTTGATGACGATGAGTTTGGTGGTGGGCTTGATGAGGGCTTTCAGGTCGTCGATGGTGGGGATCCATTCATTCTCGGGCTTTGCTTTCCACAGATCGACTTCTGCGCCTAGTTGCTTTGGCACTTCGTAGAGTGACTGGTAGGTGGGGTAGTGGCAGATGACATGGTCCCCGGGGCCAACCAGGGCATACGCCGTCAGGTAGTTTGCTTGAATTGCTCCAGCCGTGGTGAGGATGCTGTCTGGCGACAAGGGTGAAGCCACTTTTGCCGAGTACAGTCGTGCAAGATTGTTTCGTAGCTGCTCGGATCCCCTGATGGCACCATAGTCGAGAATTTTCGCAGTGTCGAAGACTTGGCCGTCCTTGTTCTCGGAGAGGTCGCGGAGCTGGTCGATGGAGAGGGAGGCACAGCATGTTTCGGCGAGGTTGTACTTGCACTTCGTCTCGTGTGCGTCCATCCACTTCCCCAGAGTCAGGCTTGCACGTGCATTTTACGAGGATGCGGGGAAGACACTCACTGACTCCACAGCGAAGTCGTTGATTTTGACCATGATGGTGGTGACGACTGGGAAGAAGCTGTAGTCCTGAAGAAGGGAAGAGGTATCTCTCAACGTCTTGCGGCTTGATGGCTAGACTATCGGATCTTTCCAATTGACATGAGGCGCGCCGTTAGACCTCCGCGATTTTGAACCAAGTTCCATTAGAGCGGGTCGACTAGGGCTTGGAGGGGGCACGGCAGAGGCTATGGTAGAGGAACGTGGCCAAGGTGTCTTAAAAACTCCCACATTCTCGTTTACATATGCAGTAGTGAGCTTGAAGTATATAGCACTTAGACACCATTGTATATTTGACTTGTGCTTCTCTATGAGATGGGATGAATCAATGACGAAGGTCATGGCAGGGCTGTGCCTCGGTGCAGCGGTCCGGCATAGCTCTTGGCTGCGGGCGAACCCAGCCCCCACGAATCACGACCATGCAACGCCGATGATAGCAGGACCACAGATAGGCCACACCTCCACTCCAGCTCAACCACCGTTATTAACCGTCTGATACCTTTTGTGGGCTTCTACGCTCCTGCGCCGCTCCTTTGACCGCTGACTGTTGCGCCCTGTGCAGCTGTTGCTCTTAGAGGCAACTGGTTACCCGCCACTTCGTAGCTGTCACAGCTCCCATCGGCGCTCGCTGTAGGCACCCAAGATGCGCCAACGATACTGGACGAGCTCGCTCGTCGTCCTGCTGGGGCTGGCCACAGCATCTACAGCTCGCAAGACCTTCTCCAACTACACCCTCGCCGACTCGCCAAACGCCCTCTTCTCCATCTACGACGACCGACCGGATGGTTGCCCCCCATGCTTCAACTGCAACCTCGAAGACTTCAAGTGCCACCAGTTCGCCGAGTGCAGCAAGGCCAACGGGCGATGTAACTGTGGGCCTGGATTTGGAGGAGAAGACTGCTCAGAACCACTGTGTGGCTCGCTGGCCGATGGCAAAGACAGAGCACCGCGAGGAGGCGAGAAGGAGTGTCAGTGCAAGGATGGCTGGTCTGGCATCAACTGCAACGTGTGCAAGACGAACAACGCCTGCAATGCCATGATGCCAGACGGCGAGGGCGGCGTGTGCTACACAGATGGCCAACTTGTCAAGGAGAACTTCCAGATGTGCGACATCACAAACCGGAAGATCCTCGATACCTTGAAGGACAAGAAGCCGCAGGCGACCTTTTCTTGCAATGCTGAGACAGCAGAGTGCAATTTCCAATGTAAGCATCTGCACCAAACACGTAGCGACTACCTGACTAACCATCGCAGTCTGGGTTGATCAACGCGAATCCTTTTACTGCGCCCTCGACACGTGTTCCACCCAATGGACCGCCGAATCCGATCGCAACCTGACCAAGTACAGATGCGAGAACATCGAATGTGCCTGCGTTCCCAACAGAATGCTCTGCGGAGAAGGCGGCTCGGTGGACATTGGGGACTTCTTGAAGGACGAAATCAAGGGCCCTGCTGAGTTTAGATCGATTGCTGCTACCAACAGCAAGGACAGCGGGAGCTTCTTCTCGGAGCCCGCTATGAACGACCTCATCTCGAGCATCTTCGGCGATGAAAGCATCACTCTCTCCTGCGATACAGGCGAGTGTCTATACCAGACCGAGGTTCCTGGCTACGAACGTCCTGTCAAAAAGATCAACACGCCTTTGATTGCCAGCGTCATTGCTGGCTGCGCATTGTTCATCGTTGCCGTCATATTGGCCATCTGGTACATTACCCATCGAGCGGAGAGCAGGCGATATGGAGCCATCCATCTTTCAGATGATGAGGAGGACGAAAATGCCAAACTACTGGCCGATCACAAGCCGGCTGCCCTGTCTTTCGAAAATGTCGGCTACAACCTCAACGGGAAGCAGATTCTCTCTGGCATAACCGGTGCTGTCCATCCTGGAGAGCTTTTGGCGATTATGGGAGCTTCAGGCGCAGGTAAGACCACGTTCCTGGATATCCTGGCGCGGAAGAACAAGATCGGGACTACCAGTGGCGATTTCTATCTCAACGGCGAGAAGGTCCGTGACGACGAGTTCCGAAACGTCATTGGATTTGTGGACCAAGAAGATACCCTATTGCCAACCTTGACCGTCCATGAGACGATTCTGGACTCAGCGTTGCTTCGTTTACCCAAGGAGATGAGCCGCACATCAAAGGAGCAGAAGGTAGAGGACGTTGAGCGACAGCTCGGCATCTACCACATACGCAACCAGAAGATTGGCTCGGAAGAAAGCGGCCGTGGCATCTCTGGCGGAGAAAAGCGCCGTGTCGGCATTGCTTGTGAGCTCGTGACATCGCCTAGCATTCTTTACCTGGACGAACCTACGAGCGGACTGGATGCCTTCAACGCTTTCAATGTCGTCGAGTGCCTTGTCAACCTCGTCAAGAACTACAACAGAACAGTGGTTGTCACAATCCACCAGCCACGATCGAACATCGTAGCGCTCTTTGATCAGCTCTTATTACTAGCAAAGGGCAGGACCGTCTACTCGGGCCCGTTTGAAAATTGCCAGGCATATTTCGACAACATTGGCTATAGCTGCCCACCTGGCTTCAACATCGCGGATTATCTCATAGACCTCACAATGCATGCGAGCGCAGCCAGCCACACCATTGACGAGGACAGCTCGCTCTTCACTAGGGATGGCCTCCTTACGAGTGCAAGCAGCGCGATTGCCGTCAAGTCAATCCCTAGTATCAACAACTCAGAGCTTGAGAGAGACTTGGCTGGCAGCCCTAGCAACTCAAGCATGCGCCCCAGGAACAAGCGGAGGACTTCGATAAAACAACAACAGGAGCGCGAGCTATTCACTAGGAAGAAGAGCTCTGCTGTTGTAGATGGTACGATGTCCCCCAAGACCGACGATGAAGCTCCCTATGATCGTCGAGGTGCTATCAAGGCCCAGTGGCTGAAGCTTACCCGTCAACAAGGTGGTGTGCCTCCTCAGATCCTGGAGGATCCGGACGAACCTCCTCCTCTAGCCAACGGCAGTACCGGGACCAACTTGGATATCCTGATTACCGCATACGCCTCGTCCGATGTCGCTGCCGGTATCCGTGAAGATATTGCCAGCTCAGTTGCGAGCGCGAACCAAGCCAACGGCACGAACGTAACTCAAGGGGCAAATGGCTTCGTAGCAGCCGGCAAGCTGAAGGGCTTCCGAAAAGTCGGTCTATTGGGCCAATTCACCATCCTATCGAGGCGTACCTGGCGCAACCTGTACCGCAACCCAATGCTCATGCTCACACACTACGCCATCGCCATCGTACTAGCTGTCTTCCTCGGCTTCTTGTTCTACGGCCTTACAGACGACATCAAGGGCTTCCAGAACCGTCTAGGTCTGTTCCTGTTCGTCCTGTCACTTTTCGGTTTCAGCAGCTTGACAATCCTCACCGTGTTTGCTCCTGAACGGCTACTCTTTACCCGCGAGCGCGCGAAGGGCTACTACTCCCCTCCCTCGTACTTCGCCGCCAAGGTCCTGTTCGACATCATTCCCCTGCGCCTACTTCCACCCATGATCCTTGGCATGATTGTGTACCCGATGACTGGCCTGGTTCCCGCCTGGCCGAATTTCCTCAAGTTCACCTTGTTCCTGGTGCTTTTCAACCTTGCCGCCGCGGCCATCTTCTTGTTCATCGGAATCGTGTTCCGCAACTCGGGCGTGGCGAATTTGATCGGTGTGCTTGTCATGCTGTTCAGCCTGTTGTTCTCGGGTTTTTTCCTGAACCAGGAGAGTATCCCTGCGGTGGCCAAGTGGCTACAGTCGGTACGTCCATCTCCCCATACCTTCATTCTGTGCACATTAGAAGATACTAACGAAGGACCAGTTGTCCATTTTCCACTACGCCTTCGAAGGCCTCATCGTCAATGAAGTCAAGTATCTCTCTCTCATCGACCACAAATATGGACTCGACATTGAAGTCCCCGGTTCTGCGATTCTTAGCTCCTTTGGCTTCAACACACAAGCCTTGTGGAAGGACTGCATCGGTCTTGCCGTCTTCGGTGGCTCGTTTGTCCTTCTTGCGTATCTGGCTATGCACCTCCTTCTCGTCGAGAAGCGGTAGTGAACTTGTATAGTGAGCCTGTATATACCCGAGGCTTGGTTTTGCATTTTACTATTCTGCTATCTGTTCTTGTACGTTTATAACGTCCTTGTTGGATTGGACTAGTCGTGGCGTTGAGTCTGTATTGTAACTGCATTTTCGGCGTTTCGAAGGCGCGGCTTTTCTACTGCGTAGGAAATCATTGCATCTTAAAGTATATATGCTGTTGATATATTTAGTCCGTGATGAGACGTGCCAATTTCCTATGTGAGGACGAAGAGAAGCCATTGACATACTTCTCAGCCTCGAAAAGTTTACTATCTGCCATGGTTGCAATACTCGCTTCCTCACAAGACCCAGAACTTATCGATTCAACACCTTATTTCCTATCTACGCATACTCGACTACGTTCCTCAACGTCCCAACCGCAGGACTCAGATTAACCTCGACGACATCTCCCGGCTTCAAAAACTGCGGCGGCTTCATCGCATACCCGACACCCGCACACGTCCCCGTCATGACGACAGTGCCCTTCTTCAACGTCGTGCCCTGACTGCAATAGCTAACCAAATACGGCACTTTGAAGCACAAGTCATCGATGCCCTCGCTCTGCCTCACCTCCCCGTTGACCGTCGTCTTGAGATGCAGCTTACTCGGATCGGGAATGACTTTCGTAGACACAATCTGCGGGCCCAGCGGCGCGTACGTGTCGAATCCCTTGCTGAAGTTCCACTGCGGTACTGTGCCGGCGAGTTGCGGGTCGCGCTGCAGCTTGCGCGATGAGACGTCATTGCCAGACAGGTAGCCGCCGATGTAGTCGTATGCGTCTGCTTCGGACACGTCCTTTGCGTCTTTGGAAATGATGAAGCAGAGTTCGCCTTCGTAGTCGGCTTGGCTGTCTTGTGCGATTTTGGGGATGACGATGGTGCCGTTGTGGTCGTTCAGGGCTGTGTTGGCTTTGATGAATGTCGAGGGGAAGGGGGGCAGGGTGCGGCCTCCTTCTTGGACTGGACGTTGCGTCAGCACAAGATTTCACAATAGTGTGTAGAGAAGAAGTGTAGGGTGAGGTGAACGTACTATGCTTGATAAAGTTCAACCCTATGCAGCGGATGATGGGGACTTCGTCTGTGGTCACAGGACCCAGGAGTTTCTTCACCGTAACAGTCTCGTCTGTCACCTTTGTAGCTGGGCTAAACACATCGCCGTCCGCAACGTCAATGACCTTTGCCTTCAATCCCGTCTCTTCCGTCGTGGTGCCCACGTCGAAATCCGCCGAGGGTAGGATTGGCTCGCCCCGCAGCTCTCGTCCGTCTGTTGCGATGAAACGGATGAGTCTGTCCCAATTTGGCGCCATTGCGATTCTCGTGAAATTGAAATATGCGGAACAATTTCGAGGTTTCCGATTGCTTTTATTTCAGTCTGCGCAACTGTAGACTTGCGATCGTGGGGTTGATGCTGGATATACGTTTTACCGACCAGGTCTGGCGATGTCGGCAAGGTGTGGGGTCTTGCGGAGTTGAGAGGCGGCATGTTCATTTGGGCGATGTGTTATTGGTTCTAGACCACAAAGTTAAGAACACGCGGGGAGCCGGAGCTACATATAGGGCCGTAGCTTAAGAACGATCTAATAGCCTACCGTCTTCACATTGTCCCAACATATCTTGCATGAGAACTTGTACGAAGCGCGTCAATCATATTCCGGCACAGACAAAGTGGGTTGAGCAGAGAAGCAAACGGTGCCATCCACATTCAAAGAAGATCGCTCCGACGGCTACTTGTATTGCGTAAAGTGTTGAATTTCGTTCTAACAAAACTACACTGATCTTATCAATCATCGAATTATTGCATTTCTCTCTGGAGTTTAGGCCAAATTGGGGCTTGAGTTTACCTAGTGTCGTCAAGAAACTCTCTGGGCTATTGGGACACCTATAGTCTCCGTGTCGCTTCCCTATAGGCCTCTCAGTATGACAAGTTCCACTGCTTTCTGTACAACACTCCGTTAAAATCGCTCTACTTTGTCTGCGCTACACTCCTCACTCTAGCTCCAAAGGTACTCGGTATAGCATATAGAAGTTTTCTCTCCTCCTGCGTTATATATCTTGCTCTTGCTATCGTTAATTGTACTTTTGAACAGAGGTCGACTGTTTTCCTTGCTTGTATCAGCCTCCCTTGCAGTAGCTGCTATCCCTCGTTCGTGAAACAGCACCAAACTCCCTCAGCCTACTACGTCCAGCCTCGGAGCCTTCCATTGGTAGAGCTTCCGCTGCCGCTAGTGCGGTGTTCAGAAGGCTAGTATCACATTTCTACGGGGCTGAGTGCAGGCATCTCTTCATGCCTACCTCTCTTATCCGGGTTCATACAGCCTGTCATATAAAGCGCCACAGCCAAGGTTGTGTCTCTTACTAACCTTAACTTCGATTTCCCCGCCATGGAGATGTCACTACTCGACCATGACGGGTCACTACCTCAAGCACAGCGACATCCGTCTGTCCATTCAAGCCAACAGTCTCTGTCAAATCCTCCACAAACGGAAATGAGTGACACATTGGGAACGGCAGCGACCCCTGTACTCCAGCACATGAAGCTAGGAACACCTCAAAACTGGCCGACCATTCCGGAAGCTGTCGAATCTTCTCTATTTACAAAGATTGCAGATGCTACATTTGACATATTCTTAGTCGCTTGCTCCGCCGCATTTCTAGTGTTCGCATTGCTTGTCGCTCACTATGACGGCTCAACTACGTATGATATGGAAACTGGGGAACAGATGAGAGTGGCTACAATGTTACTCAATGCTGCTAAATACGTAAGCACTGAGCTCTTCTACCCCTCCCTAGGTAAAGCAAAATCTCACCGCTTTATAGGGCCCTACCGTCTTCCCTATCATATTCGCTTCAGTAATCGGACGAATGACACATGCCATACTGTGCTGGCGATTAGCCAAAGGGGAACGCATGGGTATCCTAGATTTACTAGCCACCAATACATCATTTACGAGCACCGTCATATCACAAGTACAACTACGAATGTTTACCTACGTCGGCATAACTCTAACTTCTATCTGGGCTCTCTCTCCCTTAGGAGGCCAAGCCAGCATCAGAATAATGTCTATTGGGAGAACTGCAATTTCCGCAGCTTTTCCAGTTCATGACCTTTACATGATGCCCAACGGAAACTTGGAGACATACGCTGGTTCGCATGGCCCTCGGCTCTTCGAGATCGTGAACTCGCTGTTCGCGAGTACTGTTGTTGTAACCCCGACGGAAGAAGATATTTGGGGAAACCTCAAGATTCCTAGGATTGAGCATTACGAAGGCAGCGAGGATTATGGTGATGGCTGGTATCATGCTGGGCTTACCGCCGGATCCTATTCCTCCCTCGTCGGAATCCCTATCAAGCACGTGACAAAAAAACATTCAGGCCTGAATACCGCCACTACTCTAATCCAGACTCAGTACTTGGATGTGAATTGCTCGGTTCGTTCCCTGCCAAATAACAACATAAGCGCGGAGCGTACACCTTCTCCCTATTGGATAAATTCCACGGGAACTGGGGCATATATAGGGTACCAAAATACGTCTCTAATATCGCGACAGAAGGTACCATCACCTATGTTAGAACCTTTCAGCCTTTCCTACTGGCCTACTTATTTGAGAGGCGTAGGTTATGGTGCACTTGTGTGCAATATCAGGAGCTCATACGTTGAGACAGACGTTGACTGCTCAAGGACTCGGTGTCATGCTAATCGAGTGCGCCGTTCCCGATTGGACCACCTACCCAGCGCGTGGACGCATTTAGATATTAACCATGGTTTCTGGCCACTGTTCATCGACAACTTTATCAAAAGTGTTCCGGGCAAAGCCGGTGAACCAACTCTTCTCGATCGATACATGGCAGACCCATACTTTGCGCGTAGGACATTGCCCGCAGCTGAGGTCCAAATCACCTCACCTGAAGATTACTCTGTTCGTTTGGGCCAGCTACTCAACACATACTGGAACCTAATGAATGGCTTTCCGGCGATATTAAACGGCATTTCGAACGATACTGCCTATTTCTGGGACGGGGACAATTCTTTGATACCGCCATATAATACGACCACCGGCCTGTATAGCTTGACATCTGACGGCTTGAAAGCACGATGCTGGAAGACCCAGGAAAAAAAATCATTCGGGATAGCCGATGTCGTTGAAATGCATCGAGGTTGGCTTGCAACACTGGTTATTATATCGTCTTTCCTTATTATAGCTAGCCTTGTAGCTCCAATCATCCGCGTCTTTCTGCCTCACGGCCCAGATGTTATGATGAACGTATCAAGCTTGACTAGGAACGATAAACACTTGCCGGTGAACGGGACCTTCTTAGGTGCCTCGCAACGCGCAAGACTGTTACGAGACGTCAGGGTAAGGTTCGGAGATGTGGAGCCTAAAGAGGAGGTTGGGAGACTAGCGATAGCTTCTGTCCACAATGGGGAGGATTCGAATGTCACCGCTTTCCGCAAGGGGCGCTTGTATGAGTAAATTGCGGCACAACGACAAAGCTTAATAGAGGCACCCTCAGGTGACGATTACGGAAACTCGTTTCTCTACTAAGGGCGGTTAGCAAGCGCATACGGGGGTGGGCTGTATGAATTGTCATGTTTTTTACAACGAAGTGTGTCCAGTGAATCATTCAAGTAGATTGCTGGCGTAGCGGTGCGGTTTGGGATTGTTTAGTAATATTAAATCTGCCACTTTCGAACTACAAGCCGTCATTCAAAGTACCTCCACAAAAGTTTTGATAGCTCAACAGCTATCTTTGGGGCGTAGTTGCTTTTTTCATTCTCGGTTACAAGCTGACGAGACTGCTCCAAGAAGTAAGGCATTTTTTATCTACTTCTGACCCATTGTGCACTTCGCTCAAAAAGGATCACGTAGCGAATTGAGCCGGACGATTTTCGCTCGGAATCTAGTATCAGCCCTCTGCTTAGGCCCAGAAGAAATCTGAAAGAAAACTTCCATTCGATAATAGTCGTCGATGAAATTGGTGGCGTTCGTCCTGGTTCGGATATGCGATTGCGATCACCGAACGCCGCAGCATATCCGATCTTACGCCCTAACAGCATAAGTAGCACAAAGTCGTCTTGGACATTCACTTCCTTCAAATAGAGGCTAGATTTCCATTTGACGCGTATTTTGGGAAGCATTAATCGCTTATCGACTTTCATTGGAACTTTCCTACATCGAAAACTTGTACGCACCACTAACGATAACCATGGCTCAAGCCACGCCGTTCCCTAAGAAGCACATCCTCATACTCGGCGGCTCCTACGGCGGCGTCGCTACCGCACATTATGTTTCCAAGCATATCATCCCTGCTCTACCAAACCCCTCCTCTTACCAGGTAATCCTCGTCAGCGCCTCCACGCAAGCCATGTGCCGCCCCGCATGTCCGCGAGCCCTCATTTCGGACGACATGTTCCCACAGGACAAGCTATTTGTTTCAATAACACAGCAATTGAAACAGTATGGTAGCGAGATGTGTAGGTTTGTACACGGGACGGCGACAATGGTGAATCATGAGAAGAGAAGTGTATCGGTCAAGTTGAGCACTGGCGAGGAAGAGGAGTTTGGATTCCATACACTAGTTATTGCGACGGGTGCTTCGACGCCCTCTCCACTCCTCGGGCTTAATACCGACTCAACGGCGCTACGAGAAGCGTGGGCAACGTTTCGAAAGGCGCTTCCGACGGCAAAGAGCATAGTAATTGCTGGAGGAGGGCCTGCGGGCGTCGAGGTAGCTGGCGAACTAGGCGAATACCTGAATGGTTGTGCGGGATGGTTTGAATCGAAACTTAACAGTCCGAAAGTCGACATCATGCTCATTACGTCCGGCAAGGAGATTCTACCCCATTTGAGACCAACTATCGCCCAGACCGCGGAGGGGTATCTGGCCAAAGTAGGCGTGACCATTATTAAAAATGCCCGAGTTGAGCGCCTAGAGCCGGAGAACACAGGGCTCGCTATCGCATCCCTCGTCACCAAGGCTACTCTCAGCCTCAGCAATGGGACAACACTATCAGCCGACCTATACATCCCAGCGACCGGCGCAAAGCCAAACACTTCATTCATCCCTCCTTCCCTTCTCGAGCTTGATGGACGGATCAAGACAAACAAACAGACCCTTCGTGTCGACGCTGCTTCGCATCCACGAATATACGCAATTGGCGACGCATCGTCTTACGCACGACCAGCAATCCACAACATCATCGCTGCCATCCCTATTCTGGGCGCGAACATAAAGCGCGATCTGCTTCTCGACGCTGGAAAGCCAGAAAGCGAAGTCGGTCCAGAGAGCATATTCGAAGAAGATCTCAGGGAGACGCAGCTTGTGCCTATCGGGAAGAGCAAAGGAGTTGGATCAGCGATGGGGTGGCGGATACCGAGTTGGATAGTGTGGATGATCAAGGGGCGCGACTATTGGCTGTGGACTACAGCCAAGTTGTGGAGTGGGCGGCAGTAGTGACTTGATAACTTTCATTCCAAAGAATTTTTAAGAATTATGGAGACGTAGTCCAAAGCAAGGGAATGTCTTGACTTTCGTGAGCCGTAATAGCATCGGGGTATCATTTCATCATAGTTTTATCCCTACTCTTTCCGTTGCCGCTTCTTCGCTTTTGACAAAGCTTGTGAAATCGCAGCAACCTCCTCTTCCACAGCCTCGTCGTCTTCACTCGCATCCTCGCCTGTAGCTGAAGCATCGAGCAGGGTACCACCTTCTTCATCATCCGAGTCCTCTTCTGCTTCATCCTCATCGACATCACCGTCAACGTCTAGCTGTAGACCGTCATCCTCGCTGAAGCCGCCAAATTCGTCGTCATCTTCGTCAGTAGGCTGTGCGCTAGATGCATCGGTCGCGGCTACTACGCTCGCGGTAGCTTCACTCTCGCCTCCGCGTTTCCGCTTCTTGCTCATTTCTCCTAACTTTCCATCACGACCCTCAACGCCTTGAACAGGGGCTGCCTCTTCGCCTTCTTTATAAGGCGGCGGGGTAAACCAGGGGAGCTTTCCGCGTATCCTGCACGACGTCGTTAGTAACTGGATCCTTCATGTGGAGGAAGAATGCAACCTACCAGTCATTCAAGACCATCTTTGCAGCACCATCGATATCGGCCTCTCCACCCTTGAGCAGACGTCCGCTCTTCCTGCACATTTTCTCGAGGAAAATAACAGCATTACCATCATAATCCTTGATATCGTACGTCCTTTGAAGATGCCTCGGTTGAACACGCTTGAGTACCGTCTCCATGTATTGTGCCGGATTCTCCACGTTCTCGACACGCACACTACCTCTCAGGAGCAAGTCTTCGTCCGTGTCACTTTGGTTCGGCGGAACGATACCAGGGCAATCGATCATGTAAATTCGCTTCATCAGCGTGATATATTGCCAGACCTTAGTCTCTCCGGCGATAGGTGCGACAACGCAGACCTTCTTCTTCCGAAGTGTGTTGATAATGGCCGATTTTCCGGTGTTGGGATATCCAACCATACCGACAGAGATTTGTTTGCGGTCGCTGTGGAGGGAGGAGAATTGGCGGAGGAGTGCAATGAGGGAACCTTTGCCGAAGCTGTTGTTGATATTGGCGTGGAAGGCTACATATTGTTAGTTGGACTCTCATATTCAAAGGATAGTAGAAGACTTACCTAATGTCGGAAATTCTTTGCTCAAATGTCGTACCCAAGCAGCCTATCCAATGTCAGTCTGGTTCAACAATGCTATCATGAAACGACTGCATGAACGGAGGAATGTGCGAAATATTACTAAGAGAACCGCCACGATGCTGCTAAATGCAGAGACGGCCCTCAACTCAAACAAATCACGCGCGACTCTAGTGACGAGCGACCAAAACGGAAGCAAGTCTACCCCCAGCCAAAACGACTTTGGGCAAGCGAGCCGCTTTTGTTATTCCCAGCTTGTAACAGAACCAATTCATGAAGAAAAGGAAAAGGTCCTTGACTTAAGGAGGGGTCATGCAGTATTGCACGGAAAGGGATGTAATGGGGGAGAGATGTGAGGGAGAGGGGGGATGGACTCACTGCTACTCTTGATGGGACTAGGTCAACCTTGTTTAATACAAAGACGAGATGCTTATGCGGTGCCTCTGTGCGAATATACTTCTCGACACTTCTGCAGCGCGTGCCATCAGGATCGCGGGCATCCAAGACGTGTAGAATGACATCGCTGGAATCAATGACCTTGTACAACTCGTTCCAGATGCGCTTGCTGGTGCCCTTCATGAAAATGAATTCCCTCGCTGATGTGAGCTCGCCGTTGGGGTTGTCGGCAAAGGAATTTTCGTTTTCGGCCTCTCCAGAAGTACCCGACAGCAATTTTGCTTGCTCGAGCCGGTCTATGTAAGTGTCGTGCATGGTGTCTGTCCGGCCAGCCAAGTCTGCAAGGGAGCTGAAGTCGAGCTTCGGCCTCTTCCGCTGTGCTTTGGGCCCGAAGGTCTCTGAGAAGGGCTGCGATTCGACCGCAATCTTGGCAGCATGCTCCTTCAGTCCATTGATGTTGCCCTTTTCCTCGATCAAGCTCATGGGCAGTTTGTTGCGCTTCATGAGGAAGGTCGTAGGGTCTGAGGCTTGCGCCTGCACGGCCGAGCGGAACGAGTCGAGGGCATCTTGCGAGATGACTCGAGTGTTGTTGAACCACTTCCGGTTGGGCTCGACGCGGGCGACGGGCGCTTCACGAGACTGGTACGAGGCAGCCTTGGTTACGTCTCCTTTGGCGTTGCGCTGGGCCTTGCCGTCAGTCAGGCGCTTGAGGACCTTGACTTTCTTTGCGGAACTGTGTGGCTGTCAGGACTTGCTCTGCTATCTTCACCATCAAGTGCCATACCGGTAGAAATTTTCGCCCTTGACTTTGACATTGCCCATGCCATCGCCCGTCTTGCCCTGGCGCTCCTTCCGGCTCGCTTCCTTCTTTGCTGTACCCATGTTGGCTGCTTGCTGCTTTCTGCCGAATTATCGAGTGCGTGCAAGAGGGTTGTAAAAATTGGACCGCTCTCTGAGATGGAGAAAAAGTTCGGCGGATGCGCTAGAGGCTTGGCGCCGACATTTTCGAAGCAGGCGCGACCCACGACCGACACGACCGCCGCAGCACCTCCGCAACCCCCCTACCACGCCAGCACTATCGCAATGCCGCCTCGAATACCTGTCCGCTTTCCGTGGACATCGCCGTCAGCTTCGGCACCGGTCAATGGCTGGTCCAGCAGCCTCTGTGCCCGCGCTTTCTCCTCAACGCCCACTTCGCTCGCCCTTGGTCCGCAATCACCAAACTACATCGAGGTACCCAAACCGCTACAGCCCACATTCCCTACCAAGCCGGTAGTAAAAGGCCACCTCCCAATCCCGCGAGATGTCTTCAAAACGAGAAATGCACACCCGAAGGAGTCGGCCACGTTCCTTGACCGAAGCACGCGCACACCCAAGACCGTGAAAGCGCCAGGGCCATACAGCAGAGACGCAGACTACCGGCTATATAAGCAAAGACTGGCAGACAAGCGAAGGGCAGCGCTGCAGGATGGTGTCAAAGAGTTACATGAGCGAAAAGTCACATCGGATGCACAGTACCTCTCCAAGATTCAAGCGATTGGCGCCTTCAGACGAAAGGTCGCCCTAGCACCACCACGCGAAGTCGATGTCTTGACACAAACATCCATCTCCAAGGGCATTCGCGACTTCCTCACCGACGCACTCCCTGCCTCCTCGCGCTTAGACATCACCAACGCTCGCCGTCAAGCCTACAGAGCCCGCGTGGCCAAGGTGCAGGCTGTACGTACTTCGCGCCTACACGATTTATACACCAACGCGCGAGAGTTCATTGTAGATGAGCAACAGCTCGACGAGGCCATTGAGAAGGCATTTGGAACCGAGGAGTCGCCCATTGGCTGGGACGTCAAGGGTAACATGGGCCCAAGGCAAGAGGGCAAGGAAGGTTTGAGCCCGTGGCATGGACCGATGCCCGAGGGCGTGGGCGATATGCTGCAGAAGCTCAAGGGTGGTGAGGGTGTTGGGCTCGCCAAGGAGAGGGTTAAGAAACTTGCTGAGGAGCTTACTGGTGGTAAGATGTAAGATGCATACAGACGATAAGAGCTTGTACAATGATAGCATGTCGTGTATAGTAGGAGGTACTAGGACCATTTTGTTATAAGCATCGCGCGGCGCGCACAAGCGAATCACACGTTATTGCAAAGGCCTTCGTCCATTTTATTGGCTATCGTCTTCAAGCATCATTACTGCCTATTGCATCGATTTCTCTACTATTCAAAATATGCTACTAGCTGACCAAGCCAGATTCTGTGCGCTACCGTTGTAAGTACCAGCCCTCCGTTGACAATGCTATATTGAATCTTACTATATCCTCGCTAGTCTAGCCACCTATATACCTCGCCAAACAATAACAGAGCTTGTATCCTCTAGCGTCGATGGTGGAAATTATAGTAAGCTCCAAGGTCCGACATACCATTTTGGGCGTCGTTAATAAGCATACCGGGGCCAGACCGAGCCATGAAATACGCATAACGATGAATGTCGCTCGACTGGTCCATCCAGGGAATCACTTCGTCCAAGAAACGCTTGACCTGTTCGTCCGTGCCTTCGGCCTTGAACTCGGTGATCCAAATGGGCCGGCCTTGAGCGACCTTGCGGGCGTCCTCGATGTGCTTCTTGAAGTAGCCGACGTTATCAGCTCGATCGTACCTATCTCCAGTCAGTATGAAACACGCTTTGTATATTATAAAGTACACGAGGTGCCACGAAGATATGGGTAAGCAGGTCTATGACATACCAATGGATCGTAATAAAGTCGATAGTGCAACCACTGCAAGCACGAATGAAATTGGCCAACCAACCCAACCCAGTGGAACCAGATGCAGCAGCGTTGGAGACAGAAGGAGACCCAAGATACATCTTATCCTTCAGAGTTTTGAGGGGCTGGACATGCGTCTTCCATCCCGCGACGGCATCGCCTACGCTGATGCAGGAACCACCCGCACCAGGCCTAAAAGCAAAATTAGTTGAGTGACCAAAATACTCATCAAGCATGATAATAGAATCCGGTGAGATAAAACAAGGCGATACTTACTGGCAAATATCAGGCTCATTAAACCCCAGCAAATGCGTCGGCCCGTCACCTGCATCCCGCGCCGCCTGCTCCACACGACCCATCCATGGCCCTGTATGATCAGGTCGTAGTGAGTGTAGCATGGGGATGAATGGGTACCAAGCGTCAGTGCGAGGAGACCATGAGTCCCAGTTGTAGCACCACGTCGCGTGAGTCCCCTCGACGGCAAAGTAGTGAACAAAGTCCGCGTTGTTGAACGCAATCCCTCGACGCTCGTGCGCTGGTACTTGTGGAGGTGAGCGAGGGATGATAGAGGCGTTGTTGGGGACTGGGTTTGCGCCTGTGAGGATGGCGAAAGCTGTAAGTAGAACGAGAGTGAGGATATTCATGGTGGAATCGAGGGCGTAGTAAACTGTAAGAATGTGACTCGTGTTAAGAAGGCCGTGAGTCGTTCGCGCGTGTTTTTTCGAAGTCGATCTAGCTCTCTAAAGGAGTGTGAGGGTGTATAGCAAGTGAGTGGAGTGGAAGTTGCGGGCGCTGGGCTTGGGGCCGTTATATTACGGCTGGAGGTTGAATGTGAAGGAAAACACTCTTTCACTCTTACCATAGCGTCCTATCAGTTGAATTAGCTGAGGCTTCAATTGACAACCTTATCTCTTAGGCACGTGGGGAGGTTGCGAACGCTGGGCAGTCGCGTTAGCCGAAAGAGGATATATACGATTGTACTTGGAGACATGATCGCGCAGTGAAGTTTTGAACATTGCTAATTCTCACGAGTTCTATGAGAATTTTGGGGTGGTCGCCAGCAAGTTCCGCGATGAGTGGCACAAGAAATGATTATATCTTAGGGTCGGCTTCACTAGGAAGACTGAACGGCTATGCTTTACAAACGAACGAGAAGAGAGGGGCTATCTTTCACTATAGAGTGCAACATGGACGGCAGGGAAAGGAGAGAGATTCATAGTAAACTATGCGTCATTGATAGCTGTTTCGATGGGTCTGCAGAGCGGCTCATGCGCAGAACAGACTTGAAGTGAGGCTCTACACAGTGTCATGTCAGATTCTGTCAGTCGAGCCTCTAATCACGCATCTTGAGGACAACTGATGAGCTTCAGAAAACGAAGGGGCATTAAAAACGTGATGAGATCGGGGCGGACTTCTAAGAAACGCGAATGACTGACAATGTTACCCCTGCAGCAAAAATATTCAAAGTGGGAAAATGTGTGCAGAACAACTATTCGTCAATATCATTGATCTATCTATTCACTGTGTATCAAAGTCCTGGACTCCACGGCTGCCCCATCGCCTTCCTCAGGCCACCCTCGAACAAATCGATTGTCTGATTCATGTTCATGCCACTCGCGATGGCTAGCTGCAGCATTATTCTTGCCTGTATCACATGTACAAAGCCCGACTTAGCATATGTGGGGGTCTTGTTTGGACTACTCGGTCCAAATGGACTGCGAGTACCAACTACAACCTGAAGACCACTCTGAAGCGCTTCGGCGATCTCTTCTTGACCAGTAGGTACGCCACCATTTCCTGTACCTGCGATGACCACACCTTTTGCACCGTTGGCTTGAGCGTCGAGCACGAGCTTGCCATCGAACTCACGGGCCGCGTAGAGGATGTCGACTTTAGGTAGAGCGGGATACGAAGGGTAGGCCGACACGCTGGAGATGTCGAAGTAATGCTTGAAGAGCGGTTGAGATGCACTATTGTAAAATATCGGGAGGTTATTCAGAAAAAGGCCCAAGTCTCCAGTCGCAGTAGCACCAAAGGCATTAGGGTTCGTCGAGTGCAATTTTGTCGCCCAGTATCCGGGAATAATTCGGCTGTTGAACGCAACCAGGAGCCCTCTATTGCGTGCTTCTGGACTTGCTGCCAACATGACAGCGTCGAAGAAATTTGCATCACCATCGAAAGACAGGTGCGTCCAAGGTCGCATAGCACCCGCAGCCACGATGGGCTTGCCGCAGTTGACAAGGCTGTCCATGAGGAAAGCCGTCTCTTCAAGAGAATTAGTACCATGGGTATATACAGCTCCGACGATGTCGCTGTCTTCAGAACACAAGGCGTCATGAGCAAAGCGCGTCATGTTCATGACTAAAGCGTCGTTGGTGCCTGTTGAGCCGTCTTCCTCTGTGGTCCAATTAGAAACGGCGAGCTGCGTATTGTTGAGTAGGTAAGGATTGCGAGCGATGATTTGCTCTCCATTAATCTGTAGCTGTCCATACTGAGTGTCATCCAGTGCTCCATAAATTGATCCTGATGCAATAGTGCCACCGGTGTAGAGGATGCTATGCTATCTTAGCATCTGCTGGTCTCATTGGCTTTAAAGATAGCATACAGGATCTTTGGAAGGCTACTGTTGCCCCCTAGCCATGTCAGACCAAGTCGTTCACTCGCTGTAGTCGCTCGACGGATATAGGGTAGAGGCGTGGTTGGTGCCGCACTCACAGCAGCTACTAGAGCTGTAGCTGTTAAGTTTGAAAGTCGCATGATGGCTGACAACCCCAATTTTCAAAAGTTTCAGTAATGAGAAGAAAACGTTGTAAAGCACGGAGAGCTCTCTGCAGATCGTGAAAGCAGTGTTGCGACCCAATTTCAGTAGTGCTGACCTCTTGTCGAGCATCTTATGCTTTAATACATTCTGGCACGATGGGCCTCCCACTCTTGCCCTGTCGTCCATCTTCACCGCCGATTTTCGTAGGCATGCCTTAGTTTGACCACCGACAGCGGCGCAATGTCTGTTGAGTAGCCGATCATGCAGATTGCTTTCTTGGCAGCATGAGTCGTTAAGGAAGGTGAAGAAACGATACTTGAAGGGTACTGGTAGGGTCGTTATCGTGTCTTGCATCATTGATAGCTGGGAGGGACTAAGATGCATGCCCCACGTGGCCAAGAGCGGGGACATCAACAACAGCCGAGAGGTCGGAAGCAGTGAACCGTCGCAATTGTACACAAGTCGATGTCCGCGAAATGTTACAAGTGATTCAAACTGAAATCCCCGTGTCATATACTAATAAGTAGCTAAAATATTTGGCAACACAATCACTGGTTAAAGCTCCGCCTAATAGGTCGGGCACACGCTCATCTGCCATAGCTATCCCTTTCACAAACCGACAGCGAACAGAGATTCATAGGCCACCTTCTAGTAAACGTAAAAGTTCACGGCCTCATTATCCTGAGCCCTGATCTTCCTGTTGTCCCTCTGCATGATGAATCTCAACACCCAAGCACAGAGGACGACACCTGCGGAGAACCCAACGGAAGCCCACATCGCCATGCCGAAGCGCGGTTTGTCAGAATCAGGCCATAAGTACGGAGTATAGACAAATGATAGATTTCCGAGTGTGTTCGAAATGGCGAGAACGACGGCCCTCTTTTCGTCGGTCTGACCCAACACTGCGGCAGCCCACGCCAGGTTGATGTTGTTGACGCCGTACGTTGCGCCTACGAAAAGGACCATGGCGAAGTAGCGCGCACCCACGTTGAGGGTTAGGGTACCAATCATGAAACCAATTATTGCGACGAGTTTCGAGATGGAGATATGCCAGGTACGCTCGTTAAGTTTTCCTGAGGACCAAGATACAAGGACGGACATGACGCCGGCAAAAAGATAGGGCTACAGTCAAGTCAGCTAACTCGGTATGGGCTTACCTAGAAGGTAGATTACTTACCGGACAAGTCAAGACTAAAGTAATGGTGTCGTTGAAGCCGAGAGTCTTTACGACTGTGGGGAGAAAGTTCTTGAAGCCGTTTGCCGACAAGTGGAAGTTCTGCATGAGTGCAAAGATCCATGTTCGATAATCGAAACAGGCTTCGCGAAGACCTTTCCACACATCGACTTTATCTCGTTTTCCGGTAGTATCAGCAGCGATTCTATTATGCGCCAGTTGTCGCTCCTCGGGAGACAGCCACCTGGTGTTGAGGGGCGCGTTTGGGAGTAGAAAAAAGGCCGCAACAGCAACTCCAACTACTGGTGTGTTAGCAGCAGCGACGGCAGAAGGCAGTACGAGATTAAGGCAATACCCACCTGTGATGAGACCTTGAATAAGGAAAAGCCACCTCCAGCCCTCCCAACCATTCCGGCCGTCGAGGCCTGAGAAAACTCCAGCGGCGATAAGACCGGAGAAGGAACTCGCAAGCAGGTTCCCGGTGTAGAATATAGAGAGTCGAGCAGCAGTCTCCTTACGCTTATAGAACAGACTAATCAAGTATAGTCCGCCTGGATAAAATGGGGCTTCCACAATACCGAGCATGAATCTGTTGAGCGTGAGTGACATCCCTAGCGTTGCATAGTACATGAGGGCTCACCTAGCTGCCAACATCCCATGGTAACCCTTGACAATGGCCATGAGGGTACTCACGATCGCCCATGCCATCATCCAGCCGGACATATACCACGCGGGTTTGACACGGGTCAAAATCATGTTCGAAGGAACCTGGCCAACGAGATAGCTGGAAGCGCATATCAGCAAATGTACTTGTTATCTCCAGCGGAGTAGGCCATACCCAACAAAAAAGATGCTGACACAAGTGTTGTACTCCGTCCCTTTCATTCCAAGATCTTTGTCAAGGCCGTTGATTTTGCCGTTGACAATCGCATTTCTATCGAGGAAGTTGAAGACTACATTGGAATCAAAGGGTCAATAATTGTTACACGCGTATTTGTCTGGTATACTTACAGTACATGAGCCACAGGATTGGGAGCATGTAGAGATCAATCTTCCTCACGAGGGCAATCTCAGCAGGGTCGGACTTCTCGGCCGCACCAAACTTGTCAAGCTCGACATGGTGTTGAGGCTTATCAAGCTGGTCTTTGACACTAATGTTATCAATCAGCTCGAAAGAAGATTTCGTAACTATCGGGTTGGATGGAGTTGTGGTAGCCATAATGAAAACCCTGAGAAGCGAGTGATTTTCAAATCGTCTTTGCAACTCAAGCGACTTATATACCCAAGGAGTACACTCCTCGCTTCGATTCTGGTGTTTTTATTACCCTCAACTCGTGTAGCTGAGGGGGTTGCCCCATGGGGGTGCACATGCAGGATTACTTTCCACAAACAGAAGTAAGGATTTGCTCCCCAGGCGTAGGATTTTAAACGTCGACTCGCGTTGTAGTTTTCCCTCCAACCAAGGGCCCTCATAATCTGGGGTTGAAACTTTGATTTGCCTTTCAAGAATCCGGGGTGGACTTGGCGGTGTGAACACCCCATATTTTGCGGGATTAGTTTGTGGTAAATCTGGGGTGTGACTTGGCACCCCGTAGTTTGCGGGGATCTTTGGGGTAATCCGGGATCAATTGGTGGTAAACCGGGCACGACGGAACATGCTAAGTCCTTTTGGTGATCTAAGACGGGATGATTGGTGCGGGAAGCGCCCAACTGGGTTATCCGGTCTCGTATTCGGACATGTTTTCCGACATAATCGAGGATGGGGTATGGTGGTGTAAAAATGTACCCAAACCGGTGAAGGCGAATTAGTGGGTACGGATAAAACTCCGACGGAATGATCCCCCTCATTATAAACGGACCATAAGCGAGGAGAAATGAGAGTCGGTTTTCTCTTGCTGTGTCACTAGCCCTTTCCCCAATTCAAGTCTATCAAACGTCAATATCATGTCTCATACTAAGACCACGACGGGCCCGCGGACAACGCAAACTCTCTCCCAGAACAGCGACGAAATCTGGACAATCGATGAGTTGATCAAGCGCCGTGCATCAGAACTAAAAGACGCTACCCTCCTCGCATATCCAAAGGCAGGTCTCACAGATTACGAGGAGCATTCAGCATTCGCGATAGACAGATATGTCGATGCTGCCGCGGAGGCGCTGCAACGGAGAGGGCTGCAGGTTGTTGTAAGTGCGACTTCTGCTTTAAGTCGAGCATGACTAATCACACCACAGGATCCCAACCTCGACCAGGCCCCTGTCGTTGGCATCGTCGCCCATTCCAGCTTGCAGTTCATCATCACACTCTTGGCTCTAAGTAGATTGGGCTATGCGGTCCTACTGCTCTCAACGAGGTTGGCAAGTCCGGCTCTCGGCCGCTTGTTAGGTCTTACCGAATGCTCCGTGGTTCTCACAACCTCACATTTTCATCAGCTCCTGGCAGAGGTGCAAAATGAGAGGGAGCTAACACTGATTGAGATGCTCAAGCATGAAGACTACTACGGAGTTGATGCACCCGTCTTCAAGCGAGCCTACGACGCACATAGAGAGAACCCCAAGCAGGCGGTTATCATACACTCCTCTGGCTCAACCGGACTACCGAAACCAATTTATCTCACCCATCGTAGTTGCATTGCAGCCTTTTCAACGCACCTGGATAGAAGAGCGCTGATGTCGCAGCCGCTTTTTCACAGCTTCGGATTCTACGAAACTTTTCGGTCCATCTACTCGGGGAAACCCATGTACTACTTCAACTATTCTCTACCTATCACTTCCAATAATCTCACGGACACTATCGAATATGTCAAACCAGAACTTCTGTTCTGTGTTCCGTATATATTGAAGCTTCTAGGCGAAACCGAGAAGGGCATACGATCTCTTGCCGCCGTTAATCTTGTTATGTACGGTGGAAGTGCTTGCCCCGATGACCTTGGCGATACCCTTGTGAGGAACGGCGTCAATCTTGTCGCAAATTATGGGGCGACTGAGACGAGTAGGCTCATGACTTCTGTGCGACCTCCTGGAGACAAGGCTTGGAACTACCTTCGTATCCTTCCGCAAGTGCAACAGTGGGTTCTCATGGACGAAATTGCTCCTGGAATTCATGAGTGCGTCGCGCTCGACGGTCTGCGCTCCAAGAGCACCATCAATTCCCAAAATCCTCCAAATTCTTTCCGAACAAAAGACCTGTTCACCCCTCACCCGGTTCATCGACACTGGTGGAAGTTCGTTTCACGACTCGATGATAGACTGACCTTGGTCAATGGCGAAAAGGTCCTCCCAATTCCTATTGAGGGTCGCATTCGCCAGGAAGGTCTTGTCAAGGAGGCCGTTGTTTTCGGAGACGGCAAGACGTTCCCTGGCATATTGATTGTCAGGTCTGACACTGCTTCGCAACTGACCCACGCCGACTACTTGGACAAGATCTGGCCAGCTATAGAGGATGCGAACTCTCGCGCCGAGAGCTTCTCCCGCATTCCAAAGGAGCTGGTTGTGCTGCTTCCTTCAGAAACCACCTATGCGAGAACCGACAAGGGCACCTTCATCCGCGCTCAAATATACGCGCAATTTAAAGATGAGATAGATGCTGCATATGCAAATTTCGAAAGCGATACAGATACTGGTGGCTCGATAGCATTACCGCTGACGGAGCTTGAAAAGTATCTACTCAAGCGATTCCGCGAGCACCTGAATATCGACCTACCATCGACTGAGACGGACTTCTTTGCTTACGGTGTCGACAGTCTACAGTGCATGAATATGTGGAGCGTAATGAAGAAGGAACTTGACTTGGGAGGCAAACAATCACAGTTGGGCCAGAACATTCTTTACGAAACTGGGAACATTGCAAACCTTGCACGGCACTTGCATGGACTACGTACAGGAGACTCCGAGTCCGCAGATGACCACGAGAATGTAATGAAGGACCTCATCACCAAGTACTCGTCGATTAGAAAGTTTGGCGAGAAAGATCCTTCTCGCAAAGAAGTCGTGGTAAGAAATACCTGCTCGTGGTGTTTACAAGGCTAACAACTGCAGGTTCTCACGGGTGTGACTGGAGGTCTGGGTGCCCACATTCTCGCCCAATTAGTCCAGAAGCCCAATGTGTCCGAGGTATGGTGTCTCGTCCGGGCTTCATCAGACCACTCCGCGCTGGAGCGAACTTTAAAGAGCCTCTCGTCTCGTGCCATTCAGTTCACCCTCCCAGAAATTCGCAAGATTGTAGCTGTGCCCGCTGATCTCAGCAAGCCTGATTTTGGATTAGGACCGGGAAGACTCGAAGAGCTGCGCTCAAAACTCACTTTGGTAATCCACAGCGCTTGGGCAGTCAACTTCAACATTTCAGTACAAAGTTTCGAGGATCAACACATCAGAGCTGTTCAGGGATTCCTCGACTTCTGCCAATCAACAACACACGGATCACCTGGACGGTTCCTATTCTGCTCATCTGTCTCGTCAGCTGGCGCAACTCCCCGTCCAGGAAAAGTTCTTGAAAAGCAAGTCGACAACATTGCGCATGTTCAGGGAACTGGATACGCGCGATCGAAGTTTGTCGCTGAACATATCGTCAACAACGCTGCAAGAGGTGCTGGTGCGGACGCCCGAGTGTTACGGATTGGACAATTGGTTGGCGATACTATGGTCGGCGAGTGGAACGTTACGGAAGGCATTCCTCTCATGATACAGACCGCACTTACTCTAGGCGCACTCCCGCAATTAGATGAGGAGATGAGTTGGCTCCCTGTCGACACTGCTGCAAGGATCATTCTCGATTTAGCGTTGGGTAAGGCCGATCGCTCTGCTGATCCAGATCTTGTCTACCACGTTCTCAACCCGAATCGCTTCCATTGGACTAGGGACATGCTTCCTGCTTTGGCTGCGGCAGGCCTCAAATTCGAGGCGTTGCCCACTGATCAATGGATGGAGAAGCTGCGAAACTCGGAGCGCGATCCGCTGAAGAATCCTCCCATTAAACTATTAGATTGGTTCGAGAGCAAATATGGACGCAAGGCTTCCACCGCTCCAAAAGGTGTCTTGGAGTACTTGACTGATGAGACCAAGAAGGACAGCGAGACTTTGAGCAAGGTTTCTGATGTTACGGATGAAGTGTATATTGCCAAAGTCATTCAGAGACTGCGAAAGCACTGGGAGTCTTGAGAATTCTGTTGGGGTAGAGCCGCATATTGGTAACTTGCGTCTCTTTGCTTATTGGAATGTCAGTAAAGATACTATCAAACTAGATATATAACTTAGATCAAGAGATTCGCGATTCAAGTTTCGGAGGTAACAAGGTGTGATCCGTTGATTGTCCCTATGTCCAGCTTCGCAGCCAGGATGCCTGAACACGTGTCTACACACGAACACACACGGTTTGGCCGTTTGCAACCGCTCCGGACTGTGACGTCGTTTATATTGAGCTGGTATTGTTGTAGCTCCTCGATACCATGGCACAGGGACATCTGATCGTTCTGTACCAAGATCTCCTTCACATGTAGTGTCGGTAGCAAACACAAATCCAAACAGCCCGAATATACATTGCGCCATGGAAAACCAACAGAAAATGCTTAATGCTAAAGAGAAACATTAATTACCCTCGCAATCTCAGTTCCATCCGATGATTCCTTCAGCCACTATCAAGGGACCTTGAGTTGATCCAGTCATGACTGAAATCCTTCTTCCAATTATGCCAGTATCGCCGACACCGAGATCCAAGTGTTGCGACAACTGCACTGTAGAATTCAGGGCCGAGTTCAAAGGAAAAGTGTACAATGGACTTGTTCGTGTGGATTGCGAGGACGTAGAAATATCGCCGTCTCGACTGTCACAAGGTTAGCAATCTGGCCGGCCATAATATCAGATTTAGATCTTACTGGATGACTACCCAATGTCTCTCTTGCTGGAAATCCTCGTCTAAACCCTGAAACTCAACTCTTGTTCCTGGATAGGCGAGCTGGTTGCTGAATACGAGAAGCATATCCTCTTCTGACTGTGTTCGTACAAGGTGCGAGGTCGGACGAAGCACTGCTATTGAGCCTCCTTGGGCGACACGCGTGGAATTACCGTTGCACATGATTGAAAGATACACCGATATGTAGAGTCTCAATAGAAAATCAAATCGGGCTATTAGAAATTGCAGCTGTGCAGTTTCGCGCAGGTGATCTGGTCTCGGAATTGGAAGAAATGTCGGAAAATCGAGTTAAATATGTAGCAATTTCTACGACATACACAATTGAAGTCTTTTGAGTGATTGTGATGTTCGTTGTGCTTTGTTTGCTAGCGTTTGAGCGGTGAGGGCTAATGAGCCTCTTTGAGCAAGTTTCAGGGAAGTACCCGATTAACCCTGCACGTGCCACACAAACACCGATCACTCAGAATGTGGACTAGAATGGATGTGACATACGACTCTTATACGATGTAAGTACTTTCTATCTAATTGCGACACTCAAATAGAAGCCTTGAGAATCTTGAATGCATCCGCGCGAGATCCAACATAGCGATCCTCAGCAGTCTTCCAATTAATGACATTCCAGATGTTCTGGATGTAGGCTGCCTTGCCGTTCAAATACTATACCAGGTTAGTTATCAACCTTGAGCAAGAGAAGTGTCCCGTCCAACTTACCTGGAGGTAATAGGCATGCTCCCAAAGATCAACACCGATGAGAGGGACCTCGTTCTTACCAACTACTGGATCTTGGTCTTTCGTTGTTACAATAGCCAGTCTCTGCTCCTTTCCTGTTTCGACCTTGATGAGCCAGCCCCAGCCACTTCCCTGAATGCTGAGTAGAGCTGCGGTGAAAGCCTCGCGGAACTTCTCTTCATCGCCCCATGTGGCTTTGATTTGCTTAACAAGCCCCGGAGCTGCAGAACTCTTCGCTTCCGGCGAGCTCGCTGGCGCAAGATTCTGCCAGAAGAGGGAGTGGTTTATATGCCCACCAGCGTTGAACTTAATGCCTTGTTGTAGAGCGACCTGAGATGTGATATCGGAAGTATGAACAGCTTCGGCTTGTGACTTGAGCGCAGCGTTCAGGTTCGTAATGTATGTTTGATGGTGCTTGCTGTGATGCAGCTCCATGATCTGGGCTGAGATGTAGGGTTCCAGCGCCTGTCGAAGTGTGAGTATGGCGCACGTGGGGTAGAGGTGAGCAGGGGCGAACTGACATTGTATGCATAGGGAAGAGGGGGTAGAGAGTACTGAGGTGCTGTCATATCTCCAAACTCGAAGGGCTGTTGTTCCAAAGCAAAGACTGTGAACGTGAAGAGGGAGAAGAGAGAGATCCATCTGCCCAAGGTGCCCCTCATCGTACTCATCACGAACCGAATAGTATGGATGGCGGAATTGTTCTCAGATTCGTCACCAACAGGGTGCTCTGGAGCTGGACTTCTCAATCCGGTATAGAGGCTAGAAACTGCCTCAATTCCTCTCAAGCGAGTCGTAACGTCTTATATTTGGCCCCTGAAGCCCACTGTCTTACAGACGCACTTAGATAGGTAGTATAAGAATCGAAGAGTGTGTTACGATACTCACGCGAGTGCTCAGGGGACTTTGAAGGTTCTCGAGGAACTCTACGCTCGTAAGCTGAAGCCCTGGAGCGGTCTGCGGAAAAGTACGCTAACCCGGATCAGCTTACGGTCAAAGCGCAGGCAGCTCCCGCTTAATCAGCATCATCATCGAACAAACCCCAATATTGATGCTCACCCTTTAGTTCACGATCGTGGCTAACGGAAAATTTCCGATTTCTCATCGTTACCTACTTGGGAAAAAAAAATCAAGACCGGAACTGCTGATCGAGAAACTCGATGAAGTCAGCGACGACAATTAAGCTATACGACGGACATCCTCTGTTACCTCGAGTCTTATCCAGCAATAGCATGAATGGTTCAGTAGAACTTACTGAGCCGTTAAGGGGCCATAGGTAATCAGTCTCGCATCTAAGGGACCCTCCACTGACCTTCGCAAATTCGTCATATATCGGTCAAGCTAATCTCCAACTTCCTTGTCCTCAAAATTGTCGGAAGAACTCTAGAAAGCTATAACTATAGCGCTACTAAATTGGCCTTGTGGAGGGATTGATTTGGGGAAACAATAGCACAAGGGCGCCACCCTTTTCCGTACGAAACCTAGCTTGTTTGATTAACATGAATCCAACTCTACGATTCCAGTTCGATCCGTTCAACTCGAAACAAACATAGCAAAATTTCGGAAAGCTCAGCCTTTTCGACAAGATCCTGGCACAGATTGTGTTCCTAATGTCTTAAGCAGAGTTTCCCAACGTCTGACCGTTTGTCAGGCGTCATATGTTGCATTTAGGCGGAATATGCAGATCAACTTAGCGCCCGCTCCCCACACCCTAAAATACCATTAGGAAGCGGGGGCTTACGGCAGAAAAGCTTCGCCAACGGCAATTGCATTTCCTCAATTTCGACGAAGCTAGAAAATGGCCGCTTCATCCTCGTCGTGCAACCGGACGCTGGGCGTGTCGATACCGACTCCAGGGTCGTAATCGTAAACATTCCGTTACATCTCTGAATACATGAGATATCGGTCTCATAGTCTTTCTTTATATGCTTCGTCCACCTGACCACACGTCAGTCAATTCTACCGGGGTAATCAGCAAGGTCACGCATCCTTACGCAAACCCCACTAGCATACCCATGCAAAAGCTCGCAACTGGATTCACGCCCGCACACTAGTACACTGTATTGAGGCTTGACCGTTGATGTTGCACAAGATCAACGTGGAGCCATCGAGATTAGCCATCAATTTATCCGCCACGAGAGCTGTCCGATAACGACCATTCAGCACGCCCTCCTGTTACCCGAGACCAGGTCTCTTAGTGGTTCCTAGGGGGGCTGGCAGGGCTTAAATTAAGTGCATATGTAGGGACCTTCATAAGGCATTTGCTGGGAATGATCTGAACGGTCAAGGGACATACAAAGAGCTAGCCCTGCGCTTACTGCTTCGCCCTTTTGTTCTCTCAACCCTCCACCTCAAACTTCGACGCCGAGAAAGTGATCATCAAAATGGCTCCTGTCGGTGGCGCGTCTGGATTCGAGGCAGCCGCTTTGGCTCGCCGAAAAGCCCTTTCTGGCGCATCGGGACCTATGGCTTTACTCAAGAATCTGAGGGTTTTTGGTATCGCGTGTTTCGCATGCTTGGGTGGGCTTTTGTATGGCTACAATCAGGGTGTCTTCTCTGGTGTTCTTACCATGACTTCCTTTAAAGAGCGTAAGCCGCCCAAACTACTAAGCCTGTAATCACTGTCTTGGAGATACTGATGGTACTAGACATGGGCGACTATATCAAGGACCCAGAAACTCTTGAATGGAACTCGTCCAAGCAAGGCTGGCTCGTCGCTATCCTCGAATTGGGCGCCTGGTTCGGAACCATGTACTCTGGATTTCTCGCCGAGATCCTTTCCCGAAAATACGCCATCCTCGTTAACGTCGGCATCTTTATCATCGGCGTCATTGTACAGTGCACTGCGGTATGTGACCTCCTGATACCTGTGCCCCGGAGATACACACTAACTTCGTGTCGCGCCTAGGTTGTAGGAGTTGGCCACAATGCAATCCTCGGCGGTCGATTCGTCACTGGTATGGGAGTCGGTTCTCTCTCCATGATCGTCCCCATGTACAACGCCGAGATCGCTCCACCAGAAGTCCGCGGCGCGCTTGTCGGTCTACAACAGCTATCAATTACACTCGGCATCATGATCAGTTTTTGGATCGACTACGGCACAAACTTCATTGGCGGCACAGGTCGCTCGCAAAAGGAAGCGGCATGGCTTGTACCGCTGTCTCTGCAACTCGCCCCCGCGCTTCTCCTCGGCGTCGGTATGATCTTCATGCCATTTTCTCCACGTTGGCTCGTCCACCATGATCGAGAACTAGATGCGCTCCGTGTGTTAGCTCGGTTGAGAAATCTCCCGCAAGAGCACGAGTTGATTGAACTTGAGTTCGCAGAGATCAAGGCGCAGTCTCTCTTCGAGAAGAAGTCGCTCCGCGAGAACTTCCCGCATTTACAAGATATGAGCGCTTGGTCAACTTTCAAGCTTCAGTTTGTTGCTATTGGTAGCTTATTTACCACGAGAGGCATGTTCAAGCGCGTCATCATTGCGACCCTGACAATGTTTTTCCAGCAGTGGACGGGAATTAACGCAATTCTGTACTATGCGCCAACGATTTTCAAGGGACTAGGTCTGTCGTCGACTTCGGTCAGCTTATTGGCGACGGGTGTAGTCGGTATCGTAATGTTCATCGCAACAAGTGAGTCACGCTCCTTCTCCAGCTCCGGTATTACGTGCTAACATCCTGTAAGTCCCCGCAGTCATGTATGTGGATAGCTGGGGCAGAAAGCCGACACTTATTGTTGGCGCGATTGGTATGGCGCTATGCCATATCATTGTCGTAAGTCGAGTCGCGTCCTTCGGATTTTTATCCTGCTGACACTAGTAGGCTGCTATTGTCGGCAGTTTCTCCGACGACTGGGAGAACCACCGAGGCGCAGGTTGGGCCGCAGTTGTCATGGTCTGGTTGTTTGTCATTCACTTTGGTTACTCTTGGGGTCCTTGCGCCTGGATTGTCATCGCTGAGATCTGGCCATTGTCTAATCGTCCGTATGGCATTGCTCTTGGAGCTTCATCTAACTGGTAAGCTCTCGGTATTCTTTCCCTTGCGGATTCAAGCTTACATTACGTTAGGATGAACAACTTCATCGTTGGTCAGGTTACCCCAGACATGCTTGAGCACATGAAATACGGCACCTACATATTTTTCGGCCTATTGACCTTTCTTGGCGCAGCATTTATATACTTCTACTTCCCCGAGACCAAAGGCCTGTCGCTCGAAGAGATGGATGTCTTATTCGGATCGGTCGGGACTGCAGAGCGTGAAAAGGAGCGCTGGCGGGAAGTGCATGCCGAAGTCGGCCTCGCAGAGCTTCTTGCGAGGGCTGGCGTGTATCATGACAGTGGTGAGCATGTTAGTGAAATAGAGAAGGACAAGCCAATTGTTGCGGAGACGAAACACGAGGAGAGGAAGCCGGTGTTGTAAAAGAGAAGGATGAAAGGAGATTGCAGTGGGCGTAAGTGGTGGCTCTCGCATTTGGGTGTGAACTAGCGGTGGTACAAGGTTTGCATAATACACTCTTCCTTCAGTAGAGATAAAGCTAGTAGTTGGAGCTCCTCCGGCTAACGAATATAATACATTATAATGCTACATATGGCTTTAGTGACCTAGATATATAGTTTCACCCCGACTCTTGAGCCTCATCTACGCACCGCCCTTGAAGTTTGCCTCTTAATCCTCTCGTTACCCACCTCAGGTCTCGTAATCTTTCTGACCACAACGGGCCTCCTCGCACCAATCTTAAGTTTCTCCGCCGCCTCTTTCTCGGAAACAGTCTGTTCTTGAATACGTTTAGCTACCTCTTCCCATACGCCCGGCACACCCGTCTTCATCGTGTACATACGCCCCTCTTTGACATAGAACTTGAACCTCGGCTCCTTCACCACCTCGGCCATCCTCTTGAAGATCCCTTTCGCGCGCTGTCTCTTCGCCCATTCTTCAGTCTTAGGCAACTCAATGTTGGCTAAACGCATTTTCATGGGAGGTAGAGCGCGCAGCTCATGCAGAAAGGCGGTAGTATGCTTTCGGAATGGGAAGATACGTAGTGTTACGAACTCTATTTTCGTGTTTGCAGTGCCTTTTGGATTGAGGTTAAGTGTGCGTGCGAAATGCATCAAGTCCTGTCTGCTGCGTCTTGCGTACTCGGGTATTTGGAGGAAGACCTGGTGCGCGAAGGGTGCAGTCACGTAGGCCAGTGTCAGCGTTGGAATGGTTCCGAGGACACCGACTATTGGTTGGTTAGATTCTGAAAAAAAATCGAGAACGCTGCAAGTGAAGCGAGAACTGAACTCAACGTTGGGACGAACGGTGCTATCGGATGCAGTATAGTGCTAACCCCTGTTCGAAGGTAGAGATAATGGAAATTCTTGAGATTACCAAGCTCTTTAAGACAAGGATTTCGGAGCAGAGACTAGCGATTGCAGGAAGGGATTGGGGGGGATACAGATAAAAAGTTTGAGGAAAAGGGTTAAGGTGAACGATGAGCGAGAAGATTTCATACCTATCACAGCCTGAAACTTCCTCAGATTCGGATCTGGCTGGTTCTCGTTATTCCAAAGTGGCGGTACACCGAACACAAGCGTTGTCCCGAATTGTAACAGAGCCATGGCTTTCCAGAAGGAGATCCAGGTTGTACGCGCATCGCCTGCATCGTAGATCAATAGACGTGATTTGTATCCTATCACGAAGCATCAATAATCGAACTCCAACATCGAGTGAATCATGCATACTCCTGTCCTTCTCGCTGTTCTTCGCGGCATTCTTAGTTGCTGTCTTCGATGACTGTCCGAACCAGCGGAGTGTTGGAGAGGTCGAAAAATTCTTTTGGCAAGTTCTGCACACAAACTTGGTGGCTCGAAAATTAACGACCGGTCGAAGTGAGGGCCTTGATGTGCCTGAGCACCTAAAGGCCCTCGCCGTGAAAGAATAAAAGCGCTGCTGCATATCGATTGATGTTGTTGGTGCAAAAGGTCGAACGACGCGCTTGCTCGTCAGCTCCTGCTCGGTTAAAGTTGCTACCCCTAATTGCTGGCTTGGCATTCGCGTTCGATCAAAGTAGATAAGCGGAACACCCAGCGTAGCGGAACAAAATTCTCTACTCAAGCAATTTGAAACTACTCCTACACGCTTATAATCCGTCAAATTTAGTCTCACTATTATATAGCTCGTAATTTCACTTAAATCTAGTTGGTCTAGGAAGAGATATGTTTTAAGCATGCTGTCGATCATTTTGTTTATAACAGCTTTTTGCCTTTTAACTTTGACCCTAATAGCAGCAGTACAAACGAAAGACGAAGGCCCAAAGCCAGCAATACAGAAGTGCAGACGATCGGGAGAGGAGCTATGGAGAAAGGCAGGTTGGCGTAATCATCAACATGTATCTCACCCTCAAGTATGATGAAGATGGCCACAATTCGGCTTGAAGTTTTGGCGCCAGAAAGGAATTTCTTGCTTCTCGTGCTCATGCCTTATGATAAGCGCAGACATTCTGCGATCATACATATATTTAACGCAATCATAACGTTCGCCATTCAAGCCGCGGCATAATTGCGCTTCGAGAAAGGGAGCCAATCAATTAGAATCGAAATAATTTAACGTAAACCACCTTGAACAATGTATAGAAAAACCACTAGGACTAGGAAAATGCTCGCTCGGAATGTAGTCGAGCTTGGAAGCGGACTCAAGTTGCCGACCATGGATAATAAATCAAGGAGTTCGTGGTCATTCCGCACGCGTGCAATTTCTAGAGCAGTAGGTGGTGCTCGTCGACCTGCTTCCAGAGACATACGGTGAGGATCGGCGCCGTATCGAAGAAGAACTCGTGCAACAGGTATATTCTTCCTAGAGCAAGCCACATGGAGAGGTGTATAAAGCTTAGACATACCTCGCAATGGACGTGCAACATCATTATCGTGGCGATAAGCGTTCACATCAGCTCCTTTCCTCGCCAGGATTTCCGCGAGCTCCGCACCTTCAGATTGGTTTTCCCTCTCTGCTACACAATGCAACAGATTACCATGCGTGATGTCTGTCCCTAGTGAAAGCAGAAGGTGTGCCACGTCTATGCTGCCACTAGTAATCGCTACCGCAAGCGGCGGCTCGTCAAGGGTCGACCTCGCGTTTACGTCCGCCCCATTGTCAACCAACCACCGCGTGAGTTTCTCGTCGTCAGATACAAGGCTAAGATTGTTCAGTTCGTGAATAAGCGCCATGTAACTAGACTAACCAAAGAAGAGAAGCAGCCGAATGTATAGGCCTGTTGATATCCCATCCGAAGTCGAGGAGCGTGCGGAGACTATCCTTATCTTTTCGCTGACAAGCAATAGCCACAAGGTCCTCTGTTATAGTGTTGTCTCTCTCTAGGAGTAGCTTGAGGAATCCCGCCTTTCCTCGATTGATGGCTTCTCGCTTCGGGCTTATTGTTGATAAGTCTCGCAGTTTAAGGCTAGTTTCGCGGAGCTTTTGCTCGTCGTCGTTACGAATGGCTTCACAGGTCGATTCTGCTGGGTCTGGTCCAAGCAAGTGTGATAGGATCTCGACTGCGGTCTGGTCAAACGGAGCCATGGGATCGGAAACACAGATAGGTAGCCAATTAAATGTACATCACGGGCAAAGGTGTAGTTATGAGCTCGCGCTATCACGTGCCAATGCGTTGATGGGGAAGATTAACCGAGCGCGGCAGTTCATCGCTCAGACCACGACTCACTCCCACCACAGCTCAGTCACATTGTGGTGCCAGCATGCTCGCTTCTGGGCCATAACACTATCTTGCACACCCAAGTCCTCCTAATGTAAACGATTTGGCACCATGTTATTCGCTTTCGCACTATTATCGCTCGTTTCCGTCTTCTCCCTTGGGTCCGCTTATACTGATCTCAGCGACGACACCCTTAAGAACCTGCCAGGTCCTGGCGATGATTTCGATATCAAGACAGGCTCCATATTAGCGCCAATATTGCGCCCTAGAGTATCGGGAACAAAGGGCAACAGGGCGGTGCGCCAGCACTTCGTCGACTTTTTTAAGTCGCAACTACCGGAATGGCGGATCGAAATGCATAACTCGACTTCAACAACGCCTGTGAGCGGGGGAAAGCAAGTGCCCTTTGTCAACTTCATCGCTACACGCGACCCACCGGGTAGCCTTCAGGGCGATGTCTCGAGACTAGCACTAGTCGCACATTACGACAGCAAGTACACGCCAAAGGGCTTCATAGGAGCGATCGATAGCGCGGCACCATGCGCTATGATCATGCATGTTGCGCGCAGCATCGACGCAGCTTTGACTAAGAAATGGGCTGCTCACGGCGGGGACGACTTTGATGTAGAACACAAGGGTGTACAAATACTATTGCTGGACGGCGAGGAGGCCTTCAAAGTCTGGACTGATGCTGACAGTCTCTACGGTGCTCGGTATGCTCTAGAATCATCATAAACCCATGACGAAAAACGAAATGCTGATCCGTGACAATCAGTGCACTTGCTGAAGATTGGGAGTCGACCTTCCACACCGCCGCATCGATATACCGTACCCCTCTCGACTCGATCGAGCTCTTCCTCCTACTTGACCTTTTGGGCTCTGCCCGGCCGCGCGTACCGTCCTACTTCAAAACTACCCATTGGGCGTACAAACACATGGCGCGTGCAGAGGATCGCTTACGGAAGCTGGGCCTGATGAAGTCTTCTCCCAACCACGCCGCTAAGATGGCCAAGCGTGAGAATAAGAAGCCGCGCCGCGAGCCACACTTCTTGCCTGAAGGCAACAAGGCCGACGATGCTTTCATGGGCGGCTTCGTGCAGGACGATCATGTTCCCTTCATGGCTCGGGGGGTGGATATTCTGCACATCATACCTACTCCTTTCCCATCAGTATGGCACGAAATAATAGATGATGGAGAGCATTTGGATATGGACACTGTGGAGGATTGGACGAGGCTGGTCATGGCGTTTACGGCCGAGTGGATGGACTTGGAAGGTTTCCTGAACTTCAACTCAGAAGAACGGAGAGATACCTCGAAGTCGGAATTGTAAGTAACATTCGTCAAACTCGATTGTGTGTGAGTTGACCTTGTGTAGTGAGATACCCTAGTATTCGAATGCAACTACCTGTTTCATTGTTAGGGTAGCGTGAGACAATGCCCGGTGTCTGACTTTTGTTCTGCGCATGTGTTACTAACTATGAGACAAAGAATTACGAAATCATGCGGCAGCCGCAACTGGCATTGATCATTCATGTGAAAATAACAAAGACGTAAGCCTTGGCCAGTACAAGTAGTCTGAGACACCGGGACCACGGCTGTGCATTCTAGAGTCCGCAACAATAGCATTGCGACACCACGTTGATTTTCAGTTGGTACTCGTATGCGATCGTATCTCTTGAGACTGATTCGCTTTCGACCATCACGCTTTAGCTTTTACACAAGACTCCCCGCAACAAACAACAAATATGCCAAAAGGTAAACCGAAAAAACGCAATCCTAATATGTACCACGGCTCCACGATACCACAACCGCGCAGCATGGCTCCCCAAGCTGTTGCACACAAGCGCGGCGGCACGCACCGTGTCAAAGATAGTGATCGAACAGACTCCATATATGACAACTATAACTACAAGGAACTCCTTGACGCGACCAAGGAGCGGGCCCTGTATCGCAAAGACATGAAGAAGGTTGAAATGGCAAAGGCGCTGAAAGATGACGACACTGAGAGGCGAAGGGCCGAGCGCCACGCAATCGTTGAGCGGGAAAAAAAGCAACAAGAAGAGAAGAAGGCCCAGCAGAAACGAGATGCTGAGCGCCAGGCAGCAAGCAAAGCGTATCACGAACGCAGGATTAAGAGAGAAGAGAGAAGAGCACGCTGCGAGATGGTCAGTGATGATAGTTTGAGTGACGCCGAACCGGGAGAAGAGCATGCAGGATTAGATGTCGTAAATGAGTATACGTCCGAAAAGATTGGTTACGTGGTCAGCGACGAATCTTGGGATAGCACATCCTCCGAATCAACCGTCAGATCCGTGAACCAGCCTATCATCCCTGACTGCAAGCTTCGCCTCTTCGAGTGGCCGTACTCACACATGCCGGTAACGAATCCACTTCCCATGCTGCCAACCTCTCCAGATCGACATAGACAAAATGTCCTCCTAGAACGCCTACCGTGGACGGTTCCCTATGCGCCACTAAAGGTTATTACGACCGAGACTAAGCAGAAATTATTTCTCCCTGGTCAGAAGTATCCTGCGGGCGTCAACCCTGACTACGTCCCCGTACTGTCTCTGCAGACGAGAAGTGCGGCCCGCAACGGCATATTGGAGGGCGTTCTGCGCAAAGCAACCATTGAAAAAGCTGCTCATTGGGCCGAGCGCACGCAAGTTCAAGGGTGGAATGCGCGAATGTACTTCAATCTCCCCGCGCGGAACGAGTTTAAGGACCTCGCGGAGACATACGTCAAATGGAACTTGGAGAATCGAAAGTTGCTCAGGGTCAAGGGGCGCGGTGATGGCGTACCGGCTGATCGAGAAAGGCGCCATGCACAAAGGTACATAAACAAAGAGAAGAAAACGATGGAAGTGTATGAGGCCTCCCAATATCGCCCACTAGCTGTGTGTTATATTCCCTCGTACCTGGACTTCGACTCTAATCCACGAAGAGGAGATCATAAACACCCCGGGAAATACTGCTCCTTGGAGAATTTGTTTTTCATTCGTTTCCCGGGCTGTGATTTACCCCACTACTATTTCTGGACACGAGTGGGAGAGTGGGAGGATCCGACAGTACCCAATGCGGGGTGGGATCGTACGAAGGTACAAGAAAAGCCATTCGTTGAAGTATCCACGTCTGAAGATTCAGATACCCAAAAGAACACACGACGACCTGCCCGGAAACAACCATACAACCCTTGGAAGGCTCCCTTTAAACGCTGGATCAGAGTGAAGAAGCCAGATGCTATACAGGGTAGCTCCGTTACATCGGAGCAAACTAAATTCGCCACTACGTTGACAAAAGTCGAGCATGAGCTCTACTCCCACGGCCTCGCAGCAACACTAGGCAAATACAGGACAAAATGGGCTGCGAATAGAAAATTACACACCTGGAAAATCTTCGCTCACGCTTTACCGGGGTTATACCCGAGCGGTCAGATTCCAGATGCGCCTCCTGTGGAAACACATGCTGGAACCAACGTGGCCATCAAACTGGCTATGATTGATTCCTTGGGCGAAGATGGCAAGACGCCATTAAGTCCACTGAAGGGTCATGAACCGTGGACACGGGACGATGATAAGTTCTGGGACGTTGTGGAAGTTGATGTGGAGGAGACAGAGATGATGGCAGAAGAAGACATACCGGAAGAGCTCGAGTGCTCTGAAGACGCTCTGTATCGCCGATTTAGTATTACATCTCACGAGAGCCATGAGCAGATGGCCAATTGGCTGCACCAAATCAGTCCTTCGTATGTCCCGCCGACGCCGACGAGCCTTCCTACGACACCATCAGCAGAAGACGTGAACTTTAAAGAGAGGCATGAATGGGAAGATAGATTCCTTAGGCTTCCTGACAACGATACGAGTGCTACATGCCCATTCTGCTGTATAGCGTGGGAAACCATGAGTTCTGAGGTATAACCCCATGATGCACTGCTACATCGAGAGCGCAAGCTAACCAAGGAGCAGGCGAAAGCAGACCACATGTTGTCCCATTCTGACAAGACGGACGTTCGTGCTCGACGCTCCCCGGCAGAACAGACTCTGCTCTTCTCCCTGCCTCACGCAGGCCGAAAACTGAACCGTCGAACGTTGGCAACCAATAACAGCTTCTTTGATGCTAGCATGGACGGAGACATCGATACTCCCATCACCTCGAAACCTCCCAAGCGCGCTTCTCGCCCCAGCACTAGTAAATTCAAAGTTCGCCGTCCGTCAGCTGAGATCTATACACCCGTGTCGCCGTCGACCCACGACCCATTCCTTACTGATCACGACAAGGAACTATCGAATCTAAAGGGACGCACGAAATTTTCTTATTCAAATTATCGTATTCGGCCGGTAGCCTTGTCGACGTCTTCGGTTGGTCTCACACCTATGCAGAGGAGAAGGAGGAAAACTAAAGGGTCTGCTGATGTTGATGCATCTACGGTAGTTCAAGAGAAGATACACAATATGAGTGTTGTAAAACCTGAGGCTTCATTAGTAGATGACAACAGGAAGAGGAAAGCCAGAGGAGATGATCTAGGCATCGAGCGGGATGCCAAACGGCCGAGAAGTAGGTTGGTGCAAAGTAGTAGCGTAAGCGGATGGTGCGCTGTTATGTAGAGAAGGTATCAGGAATTTGGGAGCACCGTGTCTGGTTTTTCTTGATCTATCGATGAATCCTCTTTCGGTACTCTGCCGGTAATATTATCTGTAGACAGTGGAAGACGCTTTAGAGCTTGCTAGACTCTTAGTCAATCGTAGAGGCGGTGTTGCAATCTGATCCACTGGAACTTCACCACGGTTACAATGAAGTAATAGCCCCCACTACGTAGCGATAACCACATTGTAACGAGATCATCACCAGTTCAAAAAAAAAAACGAGGCATTTCTTCGCGCCCCGGCCTGCAACAACAATATTATCTACTACCTTCGCAATATAGGGCTGTCAACTGTGACCGGTCGGCTGCCAATCGGGCGGAAGAACTTTGGAATAGAGCACCTATCGGTGGCTTTGCAGCCCGGTGATCGCGTCGTTTAGCAGAGGCAAGGTGGTATCATAAACTAATGCGCGATGGTCCTTTGCAGCCGCTGTAGGATGGCTTGTTTTACTGCCTCTCTGGTTGTGTGGCGCGGTTGCTGAACCAACCAGAGCGCACAGGTCTTTGGCGCTTCGCGAGAGAGCAGCGACTGATCAACGACCAACATCACAATGCAGCACAGCGTACGGCTATGTCGACATCGCAAGGAGGTGTAGCGCAGCACCAGCATGTCACGCAGCCCCCGAGTACAACTGACCAGCCTTTGACGCCTCTGCTAACCGACAAGAAGCCATTTGCGGGAGCGCTTCGCGTTATTGCACTTTTTAGAGACATCCAAGCAGGAAGAATTACCAAGCGAGACACGCAGGTAGAATTCCAGCTTGCAGAAGGAGAGTACGGTCACATAGAGAGGACACTCCGACGAGACGATGTGCTTTCGGGTTACGTGCAAGATAAAATACGGTTAGTGGACCGTAGACACCGCGAAGACCACAGCTGACGGTAGTCATTGGCAGGTATGACTACGACGAAGATCAATGCAGACTGTTTGTTCGCGTGTCTACCGAGACACACGAACGCTTCATTGACGCAGTAGAGGATGACATTCGGAGCCAGCTGAAAAAGATCCGGAACGGATTAGGGAGGAAGGCTGAATTCGCGCAGAAAGTGCATCCAGTCCGATTAACTGAGATACGTTTCGACGCCAGCGCTTTGTCTAGCAAATCGAAGTACGAGCCAGACGCGTCATTTAGGCATGAAGATGCACAATATCCGGGCGTCATTATCGAAGTCGCGTACTCGCAACAACAGGGGCGCTTAGGCCAGTTGTCTGAGAACTATATTCTAGATTCGGATGCCAACATACGGGTGGTTGTCGGCCTAGACATTGCGTACGGCAAGGAGTCGCGCAAAGCAACGTTGTCAATATGGCGGTCCCAACTGTTCGATACTACTGACGGGCCTGAATTACGAGCGGTGGATGTGGTCATGGATGAGGTAGGTCCAGTTATCGTGATAATAACTTGTTCTCGATGTTCTGACGTTCCTACCAGGCTTTCCGCGACGATGAAGGAAATCCCGTCGATCATCCAGGCTTGCGGCTCCACCTCAGCGACTTCACTTGCGAGGGACTTGCCCGGGAAGAACTGGGAGATGAGGATGCAGATATTTGCATCTCTGGGATACAACTCTGCCGATATATTGATGCGGCAGAGGGCAAAGTGGGGCGAGCACTGCGCACGGAATCTTTGGGTAATAATGTCAAGAAGCGGAAACGGTCGGAAACACCTGCAGAAATTCAGTCCAGTGATGAAGCTAAGTACGCTAAACAAGAGGAGAGAGCTGCGAAGCGTGCAGATTATGACGTGGATTACCAGGACAAACGATCGACCAAAAGTCGTTCAGACTAAAATACCAATTATGTTTTATCACGCCATCCCTTCACAGTTCTCTGCTCGCCATCTTGCTGCACAAAATGCTGCCTCATCGCAACACATTAGCAAGAATGCGACTGCACTTTCTCTATTTCCTGCGTTTCCCTGAATAGTGGTACCCTGTGCATTTCCATTTGCTTCAGCCTGCCGCGCCCTTACCAACTTCCCAGTGTTATCTCTGAAATTGTAGTCTTAGAAGACCCATCGCACTTATCTCAGGTATTGTTATATAGGTATAAAGGTAAGAAAAGGTATTCTACTGTTTGATACTTTAAGGACCTGTGGCTTTTCTCTTAATAAAGTGGTTCTTGTCACATAGTAGGGGATATCAGTAGTCTTAAAAGTGACTTGAAGAGCACGAGGAGCAAGTGAATGTCTCATGAGTTTTTGAAATTTACATGCTCGATGCCGCAGTTCTAAAAAGTATAGAAGAAGAATATACAAGAAGCTATCCATAGTCCTCTGTTAACGTTCCGTCGCCAACATCTCTCACGCCAGCTCTTGCTCAGCATTTGAACTAAGTGTGAAGTCAGTATATGTCTCATACGCAGTCCGCAAATCGGAAATTTACATACCACACTTGGTCCTGGCGCAGTATACGTCTTCTGGCCATTGTACAGGTTGTACAAGATGCCCGGGTCAGTAGCCGCGTAAGCCCCAGGCAAGGACACAGTAGCAGGCGTCTTATCTGCAGATGCGCCAACAATGTTGATCTGCGCACACTCCATGTAGAACTGCGCACCCTTCTGGCTCGACGCAGCATGCAATGCGATCAACTCGCCGCGGAGAAGATACTGCCCAGGCGCGATGCACTTGGGAATCGTAATGGTCTGCACGCCTTGGTTGGCGATCAAGCGGTCTACGCCCCATTTGGTGCCGTCGAAACTGTCTTCTGCAATCTTTACATTTGCGCATGTTGGTTAGAAATAGACCCCTGGCTCATATGAGGGGGTCTATAACGTACCTTGAACCACCCACCCCCGATACCCGAGTCCGTCTTTGCATCACTGACTTTCTTGAGATACGCCATAACGGGACCTTTGTGACTTGCGTCGATGACGTCGCCCGGTCCGGAAGTGAGGGTGTGACGCCATGTGAGAGTAGCCTGTGAGCCGGCCTGTACGGTAATGACGGTGTTGGTTTTTTGCGTGGGGTTGGGGCCGCCGTTGCAGACTATGTCGTTGGAAGTCACATCTTGGATAGGCTGTTGAATGTTAGATCGTTTTCCGAGGAGATTATACATGAACGGGACGTACGCCATCGTAAGAAGGGACGCGGACACCGTCACCAACTGCGCCACCGTTCAGGGAGAGGAAGATGGTGTGTGCAGAGGCGGATGAGGCAGCAGCAGCAACGGCGAGAGTGGATGAGAACTTCATATCGATGGATTTCTTGTGGTCCTGAGAAGGTTCGATGTCTTTTCCTGCGTGGTGGAGTTGATGTACAGGTCTTCATCAGCTTATGAAGAAATCCGTTAGTGCATTTCCCTATCCCATGGACCCAACCCCAAGGCCTTGAATCTAGGAAACGTGCAATGATGCTACGGATTGACCGCCACGAGAGCTTGGTTGTTCATCTGCACCCCAGATAAGCGGAGCATTTGCCTCGTATCCACCAATCCCATTTTATGCCAATTACTCCACAGCCTTACTGTTATTCTACCAAGTGCAGCTATACTTTGCCGAACCCGGAGATTGAGGTTCCGTGTTCTTGTAGCTGCGACGATGTTAGATTAAACAATCTAGAAGAGCTTCAGAAGGGTCTAAGGTGCTAAGCGAGTGCGCTTTTAGCCAATGGCTTAGCCGTAGGTAGATTGCAGGGCAGTTGAACATCAAGATTCCGGAACAGAAGTATGCCTCCATATGAGAAGGCTTGCGTGTGACCTGGTAGAAACCTTGCTACTAGATTGGGTTATCTTGTCTAGAACTTGTCGGGCATAGTCGCGCGGTTTACAAACAGCTGATGAAGATTCATGGCAAGCTCACAATGCGCTTACACGAGCGTCACATCCTCGAGCTTCACATCGTCCATCGCCATAACCTCACCCTTCATAATACCATGCACATACGCTTCTCCCAACATCTTGTATCCCACAGTGTTCCCAGCATCGTCTAGTGTCTTTCTCACCACGAAGGGTACACATGCCCTATCAAAAACTACGACCTCATCGCCATCTTTAGCACCCCGCGGAACAAGCGCAAAGTAACCTCGTCTGGTAATGACAAAACGCCGCATCTTCAGCGCAGCCCGAAGTGCAGTCCTCAGATCTTCTAATGTTTTGGCCGGCTTTCTTGACCTAAGGCTGTTCAAAGTGAAGAACCCTTTCTGGCGTCGTGGGCTGTATATTTGACCAGGCAAGGAGTGCATGTGTCCCGTAGTAGAGTCGAGAATCAGGCTGAAGACTTCGCTATGGTCTTGCGAAGGTAGAGCAACACCAGAACCATCGCGTCCAGCTAAAAGAGTATACAAGAAAGCGCCGTAGATTGAGGTCTCAGATGAATGATAGGTCTGGGCGTCAATTGCCTCGCGGACAATATTGACGTATGAAGCCAGTTCGCGGTTCCCAGATTGCGGATTATCGATGTCGAGCTTCGGATCCTGACTTACGCAACCAAGCGTTACAATGGTATCGAACATCTTACCGGCGAGGGTGACCTGCTTCTTGTCTTTGCTTAAGGCCATCTTAGGGAACTGCCCAGCTACAGGCCTTCCGCCGGCGCAATACAACGTCCACGCCTTCGTCGAGTACCCTAGGGCTTCGGTGACCCGAGGAGAACCCCAGTCAGGGATCCACGATGGTTGGAGTGGCTGATCATGGTCGACGCAACTCAGCAGCTCGTAGATAAGAAGAGGCAATTGTGTGAGGCAGGCTTCGTGGAAAACTTCTCTATCGGTAACCGCAGGTGAGTAATCTGCAACTATGTTCGACTCTGCCATACCTAGCACGCCATAGATCTTGTCTTTCGGTTGCGTTGCCTGAGCGTACCGCGTGGAGACGAGGATGTTAAGCAGATATTCCCTCTGGACGAGAGTCAAGCCTTGTATACGATCTGCTTGAATTGAATTGACTACTGTGGCACCTTGAGGTAATGGGGCGGCTGTTGGATCACCTTTGGAATATTCGCGATCGAGAGCATCGTTCGTTGTTAGCCATTGGAGCAGTCTGGACTCGTGTAGTAAATAGCACCATGCCGCGAAATCATCCCAACAGGCTATGGCTCGACCACACTCAATGAACAAGTCGCGGGAAAGGAATGCTTCCTGTATTGTCCACAACCGGGTAAACCAGGGCCGCCTGAGAAGCTGTTTGACAGCCCACCAAGATCGGTCCGTAGCTGGAGGGAAATGTAGTCTTCCAAAATCTTCTGGGGTTACTTGCGCATCGCTTCCCTGTAGTCTTGCATGTACATTCTCCATCGTCTCAAATGCAAGGACTGAACTGGAGTCTTCATCATCGCCTAGCCATATGAGGGTATTGGTCGCATTCGTGTAGATCTTTCCCATCAGTGGGATTTGCTGTACCTTCTCTGCAATGTCCGGTTGATTCATGCAGATCTGATCAATCCACAGGATGACGCTATTTTCGATCGATCTCAGATGGCGCAACGCGCTTGCCAGACTGCTTGTGATCTTTATAAAACCCGGTTCAATCGATATTGCCTGATCGAAGATAGGTGCTCCCCATACATAACTGAGTGCCGTGTACCACACAGGTTTCTCAGTGGCAAGCGACACAGCGTGGTTCGTGTGTCTTGTGTACCTTTCGCCTTTGTAGCTCATGTCCTCCATCAATGGATATGAGAAGTCAATGCTGACAATATGAAGAGTTCCTTTGAACGGGTCATCGGGCTCACCCGGATAAAGCTCGAGGACCCGGACCTCGCCGTCAAGAAGGGGTTGGTATAATTTGGAGCATTCGGCTCTCTGCACGAGTTGCTCACTATGCTTGGCTTTTTTGCTGGCGATGAAATCACTCAATGCAGCTTGTGCATGCTCGTCCAGTTGCCCATGCACTCCCACAGGGCCATCGGCGGTGGCGGTCTGGAAAACAGAGGTTTTGGCGAGTGTCTCCGCGTCGACCGATAGGAAGCAGTTGCAATCGTCTGCTCTCTATGGGTCAATTGGCTCGCTACATTGTAATGTGGGGAGGAGAAACACCTTTCGGGTCTATAGTGTGAGCACAATCCCGCGCATGCTCAACGAAACGTGACTCTGTCTGAAGGCTCGTCATACTGCCTTGCGCAGTTCCTGGATTTATGCGAGGATGAAGGTCGCAGTCAGGCTATCTTCGTGGCTTGCTGACGTGTTAAGCTAGATTTGGCTTAGGCTCTCTCCGAAAAGAGAACGCACATATTAATGGAACACGATAAGACAAGAAGGGTGTGGATCGCTCTGAATTGAAAATTGGGACACGATCTATTCTGGTTAAGTAGGTAACTTGGTGCAACGAGTCAGGCTTTTTGCATACCTGCCTAAACCGAGCTATTGAGAACATAGTAGGCTTGCATATCGCATCCACTGGCTTTCTCCTTGACCACGTAGGAGTGCGCAAGCACTTCAACTGTGTCGACTTGAGCGGCAGTGATTTTCATGACTAACAGCTGTCAATGGCTCGGGACGTGTTCCTCAATCCAAACCCGAGAACTGCAAAATACCATGCCCGCTCTGCTGCTTGCCCTTGTTCCGCTTCCTCTTCTTGCGTTTTTGCTTGGGCTCATCCTCTTCGCTGCTGTCTTCCATATCCTCATCGCTATCCTGGTTTGAATCGCTGTCGTGTTCGCGCTTTCCAATTGCTGTGCTGTCTTCTATTTCTTTGTCCTCGTCTTCATCGACATCTTGCCAGGTCTTCTCACCCCACACCTTTACAGTCTTGCCACCACCACTGATCATCCTGCCAGAGACATCAAAGCCAAGGGCGATGACGCCTTCGTGTGACAGCTCATCGTGTTTGAGCTCTGCGACAATCTTGTTGGGTCCAATCTTGGCAAAGCGTATGTCGCCGTTGCCCATGCCTACTGCGACGATCTTTCCACCAGGTCCGACGCCGTCGGGCAGTAGCGCCATGGAGTCCAGGCTTTCTCCACCTCCCTTGGAGCGGTCGACAACGATGCGCTCATCTTGATCGTCCCAGACTCCGCGCTCCCACAAAGTGAGAACGCCATTGCCTGCACCCACGATGACCTTCTCGCCGACGTTGGTGCCCTTGGTAGAGAGGCCGGTCACAATGAGCGAGGTGAGCAGCTCTTCATCTTGGTCCTCGCTGCGAACCATGACGCCTCTCCGCAGATCAGTGACTGCCAGTGTGCTCCCGCCTGTTGTGACCCATTGCTTGCTGAAGCCACTGGTGCTCGCTTGCGTCGCCGGGAGAGGTGTGAGGGAGGAAATGTAGTCGTCGTGAGGGTGGTGCGTGTCTTGGGGCTTCAGTGCTGATTTGCCGCCCAGCTGTCGGATATCGTAGATATGGAGAGCGGACGAGTCGGTGGTGACGATCAGCGATTGCGGGGAGAGGGCGTGGACGAGTGTCGGGGCATCGATGCCATTGTTTGCACTGGACAAGGTCAATACTCGATGGTATGTCTCAGAGTAAATATAAGAGGCTTACGGGTCCAGCGGAATAGCTATCTTTGCAGTGACTTGGCCCGTTGCAGAATCGGCGACCTTTACGATGCCATCTGTGCCAGCAGAGTACAACTGCGCACCATCCAGGCTATACGCAAGAGTCCTGCAGCTTCCCTTGTGCCGCCGCGTCTTCCATGCCGTTTCTATGTGCCCGAATCCATTCTCCGAGGCCAATGTCGCGTCATTGTCGCTGTCGTCGCTTGCACCCGGGGGCAGCCTGTATGTCTGAACATGGCCGGAGGCGAGTCCTACCGCGACAATTGGTTCCTCGGGATGGATCGCCTGCGCGAACAGATCGTGGTCGAGCGGGATAGCGCACACATTCTCAAACATTTTGGGCGTGACGGTGTGGTCGCAAAAGATGGACATTTGGCGATAGCTTCAACTTTTTTGTGGAGCTAGTAGCCGACCGCATGGCAGCTGCAGCCGACATGCTTGGCGTTCTCCCAAACCTACGGAACCCTTCATGCTTCCACCTGGGCGTTCCACCTCCAGGCCTTTCTTCGGTGCCTGAGGTAAAATGGTCAGCATCAACTAGTCAGGCACAATCCTTCATGGCCCTACAAGATGGCTGACCATGTTCTAGCTTGACGATTATCCAGATCTGAATCGTGCGGGTACCAACAGCGAACGCGTCGTCGTCCCAATCATCGTCTCTGCACCGAACACGCAGCCTCGCCATCGATATCTCTCTCTTTGCCACCCCATAGTAGTAACCTGCTAGCTAACGACAACACGGGAAGGTCGACGCATGTTCGTTGACTTATGCCTGATGCAGGAACACGCCTGCGTCACGTTTCCTAGTGATTGGCTGTCATCATCGCACCATGCATCCTGCCATCGTCGTCAGTTGTAGAGATGAGATACGAAAAATCAAGCTCCAGGAAGCTCATAAAGAAGTCCAAATAGCTGGAATCTTATCCTCTCCGTCGGGTCCTACCTCTTCTTCTGTGGTATTCCAGTCTGTGCCCTGTCAAGATGATTGCTTCGTCGCTGTTGTACGGCTTGCTAGCGGCAGCCTCTACCGCCACTGCCTACTCGCCCGCGAAGTACACCAACTACACAGTCGTTAAAGGAATCTTCCAACAAGACGATGATGCTACGAATCCTTCCACCTTCAACTTCACCGCTTCAAACTTCGGGTTGATTCCGCGCTCCTACCCCAGTGACGACTCTTACCCGGACAGCAAGCAGTCCACTCAATGGCAGCGCCTTGCTCACTACATCGACACCTTGAACAAGAAGACGAAACGCAAGGAGCGCTACACTCTCTTCTTCATGGGACGTCATGGCGAAGGGTACCACAACGCTGCGGAGACTTATTTTGGCACCCCAGCATGGAACTGTTACTGGTCTGAATTGGATGGAAATTCTACTGTCACGTGGGCAGATGCTCACCTCACCGAGCAAGGCGTGGTACAAGCAAAGCGTGTAAACACCTTCTGGAAACACCTTATCAAAGACGAGAAGATTTCTCCGCCGGAGAAGTACTACAGCAGCCCGCTCTACCGCTGCCTTGACACTGCGAGGCTTACCTTTGCTGATCTGGATCTTCCGCACAAAAATCGATTCCAGCCGATCATCAAGGAGAATCTCCGTGAGGGCGTTAGTGCGCATACCTGCGATCGCCGCAGCAGCAAGACATACATCAAGAAGAACTTCCCGGAATTCAAGTTTGAATCCGGCTTTGCCAAGGAAGATCCGTATTGGCAAGAACTGCACTCTGAGCCACGTGCCAACCAAGATGCGAGGTCCAAGGAGGTAATTGATGAGATCTTCTCACAGGATGATGAATCTTACATCTCTATTTCTTCCCATTCTGGAGAAATCGCTAGTCTACTACGAGGTAAGCATCGGAGATTGCACCTACACGCAGGCGTAATCATGCTAATCATGCGATAGTCCTTGGCCATCGCGTCTTTAGCCTGAGCACTGGGTCTGTCATCCCTGTTCTAGTCAAGGCTGACCTGGTCATCGGCGATGCTCCTGCCACCACCACGTTGCCCTATGCAGCCCAAAAGACGTGCACGGCACCGCCTACGATCCGTGACTCGAGCTGCAATGACTGCTCTTGCTGTCTTTAGAAGCGTAGCAAGATTCAGGGTTCTAGGGAGGTTTCCTGATAGCCATGTCGCTGTGCTCGTCCTGTGCGACTCTGACACGGGCTGGGGGTAACGGATTTCAGTACCACTTGTACGAACATGCACGCGCATATGCGATTTACTGTTGTGAAATTGTATTATAAATATCAAGGGATTAGATTTGGGTATATTGCTGCAAAACAGAACTCATCGATAAGGAACACCATGCGGGCCCGGTGACCCGCGCTCTTCGTCCATGATATGGAACGTCCTCGACACCATAATATGCATCCCATCTTCCTCGCTGTTTCTCGGGCTCTTGTTTTTCAAATTTTGCTCGCTCTCGTTATCGGGTTCCTTCCTCTCCACCGTCGTAAACCACTGCGGCGACTTGGAGAACTCATCGTGCTGGAGGACTCCCTTCTCGTCCGACCCTTGTGTTGTTTGTACGGTGGTGCCCGGCTTATATGTGTCTGGACGGAGTTTGTCGTATGGGCGCTGGCTACTGCTTGGTATGGCATTGGGGGTAAGTGGTACGGACATGCCGTAGGCTGAGGGGCGTTTTCCAGTAGGGCGGGTGTTGAGACCAAGTCTCTGCATGGCGATAAAGACTATAAGTCGAGGTACAATATTAGTATATGCCTCATATGCACTCCGTGAACCAGGGGTACTCACACAGGGGACGTAGTGTTGCGAGGCTGCCCGCCGTAATGGCCAGACCCTGCTCAACTGTGGACCAGATGGCGATATCGATTGTAGCCCCTAACCATGTTAGAATATGCCCAAAATTCTCGATCGCGAAATGGGAAACTTACAAAGAAAGTCTGGTGAGTTGAAATCTTTTAGGAAGGGCAGGCGTGCAACGACTGCAGCACTTGCGACGCAACCCATGGTGATGAGTGGGATAAGAGCGACCTTGGCCCTCCTTTTCAGTTGCAAATGCCAGACGAGGAAAGCCGGGATGATCGCAAAGGTGAAGTCCGAAACGATGCTGAACGCACTGTATATGTAGGCGAGGACGGCGATGAGCGTATCGTTGACGCAGCGTCCAGACTGAGAGGTCCTGTCCCACATGTACGAGACAGGGGAGCACTGGAAGAGGCAGACGAAGAAGAAGACTCCGCCGGCAACCACGGAGATGAGCATGGCCAGGTAGAGAATCCAGGTGTGAATCTTGGTAACGCTAATCCGCAGGAGTAGGAAGCCGATTGAGAGTTTCGAGCACATCATTGAGGCTGCGTACAAAAGGTAACAAAAGAACCAGCAATGCCTGCCGTTCTGGTAACCTTCGGTAGTCAAATCAGCCCGATGGCGGCCAGTTCCGTATTTGACTCCCAGGTTGGACGAGGTAGCGTACATGATGAAGAAGATCTGACATAGTTAGTATTGCGTGTCTTGACCTGGTGTAGAGAACCTACTGTTGCAAACACCATTAGCCAGTCGTCTCGCCCAAACGCCTTCACCATGTGAATGCGGACCCAACATCTCAACGCGCATGCAAAAACAGCTGTAATCACAAACGCAATGTTGACTCCAAGGAGCTCCGGCCCTCGGTTTTCAATTGCCATGTTGGTTGGCTCAGGCAGTTGCTACACACGGAAAAGAAGAGAGATCCCAACAGCAGGTCCAAGTCCTCTCCGGGGGATCATTCTTTTCATATCTCACGAGAAAAGCAGGCGGCCGAAGCCGCCATACCCACCCTGGAGGATCGTCGGTTCTCACCACCAAGGGGCTAGCGGGCCCTGGGCCGTTTCAGGGAAGAAGTGTCAACCACGAAAAACGTCTGCCCCGCCAAACTAGAGTTGCCGACCATAAGAACTAGGCGGAGTCATGTCGACTAGGGATAAATCAGGATATCAACGTTGTTCGTGGATTCACAAAATGCCATGCGCATGCCTGAAACGCTGTGTTGGAGGCGACCATTCACGCCATGCGGAATCAGGTACGAGCATTGATCGTCACTCAGCAGTTGCTGCAGGGTACCGAGTAAGGATATGCAGTAGCAGGACTGGAAAAAGACAATTGCGTTTATAGGTCCGCCCAGTATAGACATGGGCCAGAAAGGACCTTCCCAAATGTTTCACGGATCTTACCGCCTCACCATGCACTAGCCCACTACGCAGTTGATCGTGCGGCATCCTTGCCGTAAAGAACCTTAATACACAACGGCACAGGGCTGGCTCCTTTTCTCCGACATGCTAAAACTTCTTAGCCCCTGGAACAGTTTGTCGGCGTTTATCCCCCGAAAGGGGCACTTTACAGGGTCGCAACGTGCCGACTCGCAAGCATGTTATGCTTAACCTTAAAAGTCCTAGATAGTCTAAGCATAAAGCTCTAAGCTGCCCTTTGAAGATTAGGGTACGACTTGGCGTGTTGTAATTCAGAGAATAGATCGTTTCAGCCACCTACCGGTGCATCCGCCTTGCAGCTCTTATCCTCAGAACCCCCTCCTCTTGACGCAATAGCTCATATGGCCAACGGCCACTTGCCACTCTTGAAACTTTATCTAGATGATCTTATCAGGGCACATCTAGAAGTACAGGATGTTTGAACGTTTGTTTCGCACCCTCGTCTGTGAACGGCAGATCAGAGCTTCACGAATAAACACTTTAAGGCTTCTGGTTGGAGTGATAATTCAGGGGTACGAGCCGACATCCAAGCACCCTGTATGTCAGACGTTCTTTCAACCTAGGTACACCGTACCGTGGGCAGAGAGACACGTGAAAAGTACGTCTACCGAGGAACGCTCGGGCTGTTGAGGTTAGTCAGATGGCATGCGTTCAGGGAGCACAACTTGTTCCTTGAGGTGGATCTACGCTCCACTACCGTACCCAGTCGGCACGGCTAAATGCGACTATGTCAGGACTAGTAGCGTTAGACTATGTCCATCACGGAGGGCGTTCCGCGCTCCCCAAGTGTAGCCGATACGAGAGACAATAGTTGCACCCCTTTCGGGTAGAGTGTCAACCTTTGGAGCTGTCCCAGTTTTTCCCCTGGCTATTGCGTGAAACCCGCGTTCCTCCTACCAATCAGCAGTGGTCCACCACCCACTGGGGCGAACCTGATCGTCTCGTTAGTCAATATGTTCACGTGGAAAGTGAGCTACTTATTACGACTTATTACGAAGGTGTTATTGAGTTCAAATGTCGCATAAGTTATGCACCCATCCTATCAACCATCATACAACGCGTCACCATACCCCACTAAATCGCGCAACACTAATTTTTGAAAAACAATAAAGAATCCAACAACTCGCCAACACTGATTCATCACTGATTTTCTCACCGCTGCGGCGGCGGATACAAGCTTTTGTGCGGCCAAATGCACAAGCCGCCACAGTCCGCACCCCCGTTCTTCGGATCACAATCATCCCTCGGGTCGTCATGGCAAACCTGGCCCTTCTCACCGCATGCAAATCCTGCAAACCCACCGCACATCTTGTCCTTGACACAGATACCAAGACCGTCACATGCAGGTCCGCAGCCAGGCGTGTACGGATCCGTAATGCAAATGTCGTCTCCGTCGCAGGTCTGGAAGTTAGCTCGACCGCCGCCGCAGACTTTGTGCGTGTTTGTCGGTTTGGGCGGGCTTGACTTGGTTGGCGATGGGCGGGCAGTCCTGGTCTTGGTACGTAGCGTCTTGCTCGTTTGGGGCGGGCACTTCTTTACACAAGTCAGTTCAGCCATCATGTGACTTTATGATCTGGAAGGGGAAATGAGCAGTACCTGAGTGTTTGGTTTGGGGCCGCCGCACTTCTTATGGCATTGGTTTGCCGCAGCATTCGCGCAATAGCAGGAATCGGGCCACACCTGGGCACAGAAGATGTCCTCGCACTCGCAATCTTTTGCAGCTTCACGCTCGTGGGCAAGACTAGGCTCAGGTTCGGGTGCGCGAGTGGAGATATCCTGGCATTTCTGAGCTACCGGAGGGTCGCCACCACACTTCTCGTAGCATTGTTGCGCTACGTCGTTGGCGCAATGGCAAGACATAGGCCAGATCTGTGGACAATAGACTTGCTCGCATACACATGTGGTTGGCTTAGGTGCTGGCTGTTGTGTCGGGGCTGGCTTGCTGGGACAAAACTATTGCGTTAGGTTAGTTGGAGTACAAGAGGGTGATACAGATAGAGTGACTGACTGTGTAGGTAGGCTCATACTTGGGACATTTCTCTTTGCATCGACGTTCTCGGCCGTTGATGCATCGGCAAAGTGCCTTTTGGTGCGTCAGTCAAGGTCAAAGATAAGTGTTCGAGGACGGAGCCAACTACGTACCGCAGCATCATCACTTCTGCACTTGACCTGCGGGCACTGGCAATCATCCTCTTGGAGGTCCTGTGCCAGAGTGAGAGCGCCCAGCAAAGGCAAGAGGAGGAAAATCGCCTTCATCGTCGGGAACAAAGAACGATGATGTTGAGCTGGATGGTCGTGTCCTAGAAAATATTGTTGCCCTCAACTACAAGCCAAAGTCTGGTATGTAGAGAAGTCACGACAGCCACAACGCACAACTAGTTCTTGCCTGACATCACCAACAAGCATGCACCCGACTCTTTATACCTTTCGCCAAGCACCCATCAGAAACAGCCATATTAGGTTCATACTCTTCTGCACGCTAGGTGGCCTGAGCAACCAGTGTGGGTGTGGTATCACAACACGAGCTGAAGATCTGAATGCCGGGGAAAGGGCCGGCCGGATACAGCGGAGCGCACAGGGTAGAAAAGAAGCGAATCCAGTACTGACGTCTTGTCGTGGCCTTTGTGATCCAAATTCCTCGGATCACGAGAGCCGAAGGGAGACTGACTGATCGTGACAGCAATTTCCTGTCGTACAGAAAAGGATCAGAATGCTGACACTGTGTTGGCAAGGGAGAGACTTCAAAAAGTGTAAAGAGAAAGCTAATTATAGCCGCAAAACAAGCCTTTTGCACTACCCGGCTGAGCTGCTGTTCGCTTCTTGCTGTGGGACATGCGTGCATGTAAAACTATCTGGGGCTTGGAATCGAGACGATCACGTAGTTCGGGAACTGTGATTGTAAGAAGGGGCGAATCCGATTCGCCCACTGGTGGCTCAAGGTATTTCAGCAGATTGTTTTTCTTTCTATTACTGCTGGCTAAGCGAGCGGAAATTACCTAGTAGTGTATTCATATAGGCGGGCTTAATAGGCAGTATGGGCCGCATCGTGATCTGGAGATATATTCTCCTTGGGGGCATAAAAGCGATAAGGAACCAGTTATTCCCTTGCAGCAGCCATGATCTCAAGTCCATGATGTCGCAAAGAAAGGAGTGGAGAGACCGGAACTGACCTGAGTGATAAAGTGTGTGCGACCGGAATTGCAGAGGAATGCTTGGCGTTTTGCGGAAAGTGTGGCGGCGGCGGATAGATCCAATCACGCGCACATTTAACTTTTAATGCTGTCGCTCGTATCGCATGTCGTGCAATATACCAAGGCTTCTATGTTGTACACACCTTGCGTAGTAGGCACTTTATATGAGTTGGTGGAAGGAACGACGCGAGGGGTTGTTCTAGAAGATTAGTTTTTGCCTAAACTACACAGGATAAACCCAACCCAGTCCCTCAGGGGCTGGAGCGGGAAAAGGTTGAAACGCTGGTAGTGTGAGCTGGGAAGATATACTTCCCAAATAAAGATTGAGTTGATTCACGCCTGAGTGCGCTCCAATTGCCTTCCAAAATACGAAAGCCCGTAATCGCCAATGCCGACGATCAAATGCAACGCCGTCATGTTCCTACTCCAGGGTATATACCTCCCAATGCAATTAAAAAGCTTCGCGATGAACCGTAAATCCTATTCAGCCAATTATCGATCCCTATCGACATCTTCTGGTAGCGGGCGCCGTTGTAGACCAGTAGAGCTTCTCACGGCCTCAAGGCCTCGCCATATGACTGTGGAGACCGTGGAGCTTAAATCTCGCAAAGAGGTGCTAAGTTCAACTGGCCTAGTGTCTGGAATGTCTCTTCCACTTTGTTGCCTGTCTTCTCCAGACCAGTTTGCTTCAACATCGCCCGTTGGCGGCGAATATTCGACTGGCGGAGACAAGGCGATAGGCATAGGCCGTGACGCCGAAGCAGATTCGTTGCGGGTCTCTGCTACTTCCGTCTGTACTTCGTCTACATTGTCTAAAAATCGAGCCGAGCGTGTCGGTGATGGCGATTGGAGGCGGTCGTGATAGGACTGCGACAAGGAGCGTACAACATCACCTTTGCAGATAGGACATGTCCGGCGACGTGTGACGAGCCAAGGAGTTCTACAAGTGTTAGCAATATACCTGGCGACATCGACGAATGTTTACTCACATGCAATCCGCGTGGAACTCGTGACCACACGGTAGGCTCATGACCTGGCTGACCCCATCCACATACTCTTCGAGACACACGACACATTCTTTCTGCCGACCACCGTATCGACGCCTCCATGCCGCTAATCCCGATTCGCCCTTCTCTTCTTCGCGGCCCCGAGACCCATGTTGAACAGAGGACGAAGTAGCTGGTGTCTCCGAATCAGACCTGGAGCGTGATTGTGGTGCAGATGATGTGGGCTGGGATGGAGAGTGCTGTAGTAGAGGCGTTGTAGGAGAAGATGCATGAGGAGTTGCGGATGAAGAAGTCTCGCTGATGGTCTGGTAGGTTCTGACAGGAAGACGCTCTACTACAGACTTGGGTGCTCTCCAGCGTCGGCGTCTGATACGCGATCGAAGAAGGAGTAAGGCGTACACGACTGTTAGAGTGACTAACGGACTGACGACAAGAACGAGAAGAGTATCGAAAAATGGACTAGTTGACACATTCGTAGGCGTGAGAGTCACCCAGAGGCCTTGGTGAGAAGCTGGCTCGATGGATGTTGTTTGAACCTTTTTAAGATCCGGGCTGGTGATGGATGTGACGCTTCTTATCTTTGCAGGTTTTGTCCTAGCTTTTGGTGGTGTCTCTGTACCCGAACCAGACCATCTGCTCCACCATGTTCTGTGCTTGAAATCCGCCCCGGTGGTTCGAGTGTACTCGCCACTTCCGGGCAACACATTATCCCCTCTCTTGACGACTGCTGGACTTGAGCTAGTTGCTTTTCTGGGTTCATTTGTCGACGATGGAAGAGGTAAAAGATCGGGATCCCGCCAATCCTGTTCACCAATGATGAATGCATCTAGCCCCAGTGTGGAGGCTGGGCTAGGTAGTGCAGATTTAGTTTTGATGGGTTCCTGGTCGTCATCCCAGTCTCCGACTTGGACCCAGTCGTGATCACCGCTGTTGGGGATTCTTCGGCTGCCTGCTTTTGGAAGCGTGTCCTCCCCGCCACCGAAACCTATCGAAGACAAGAACGAATGTAGCCATCCTGTCTCTTTTGGAGCAGTCTCCTTTGCCGAAGCTAATTCGTTTTGCCCTCCGCGACTCGCGGGTTGTGTGGACTTTCGGTTACCTTTGGTCAATGTGGACCAGGCTTTGCTGTTTTGCTTGTTACCAGTTTCCTGATCCATGCCTTTCCCACTCTCAGCATGACCCGCCTTGGCTTTGTCACCCAACTTGGACTCGTCAATCAGGCGCTCGGATGGAAGAAGAGAAGATAGCAAATGCGCCGTCGTATGTGATGTGAAGAGGGACGGAATGGTAATGTTGGAGGTATCCCCTTTAGCGTACATGCGAACCAAGGCTCCACCGCGCACATCGTCGCCTACAATGACGGCGGTCGCGCCACGCCTCTGTGCCCACTGGACTTTGGCCAAGAACCCACAGCCCCCTCTTTTGAGGAGCGCCACTTTCCCCGCCATTTCAGCGCTCTCTTGTATGGACTGGATATCGGCATGGTCAATGTTTGGTGGTGTGTATGTCTTCAAGGTGTCGGGCCACAAATGGTCGTCGGTGCCGTCGTTCACGGCCGCTTCTTGCAAGGTGTCGACCTTCTTGTCTCGGTATATTCCCTCACTCGGCGCAACGTCCTTATCTAGTGAAGTGCCTTTGGTCTTAGTCTTGATGTCAGTAGTGGGCTTGACAGTGCTGAGAAGACCATCGCTGCCGTCATGCCACCCAGCGACGTCGCCACAGCCCAGCTCGCCCTTGCCCATTGTATCGTCGCCAAAGCCACTGCCAATCCACAGTGGGCCACTCAAGCCATTATTGGGTAGAGCAGGCCCGAAGGCGGCAGGGCGTGCGAGGAAGAAGGTCGAGTTGTCATCGGTAAGGCTGATAATGGCCGACGGCGGGAACAGCGAGCCGGGCGATGTGAAGGAAAAGAAGGACTTGAAGTTGCCTTCAGCTGGAGAGACGGATGTCCTTTCGAACTCCTCATCTTGTGGTGCCGCGAAGGCGATATATACGAGCAGCGTGACGGCTACTAAGCTCGTAGATAGCGAGAGAAGTAGTCGAAGCGGGCGCATGCTGGCGGGCGTCTTGGACAGCGGTCGGGCGGGGAGGTGGAGGTGGAATGCAGCAGGAGATGCTGGAGCCCTATTGTAGTCAAGGCATTCAGCAGTTGGTCAGGAGAAGCTGTGCGTGACCTGTGGGCTCAGATTGAGTGCGGTGGATGATAGGGTAATCCAACGGCAGCAGGAAGCGTCACGACTACTTGGGTGGCGCACGGCGCAACACACACGGCGAAGATGCAAAAAAAGAACGCGGACGAGGGGAAAAAAGCAGTGTAAGACGCGCAAGCAAACTAGGAGCCAGGAAGAGACGCTTCGTAGAGTATGGCAATGTGCATTCACAGCCTAGGGATGGCCCGGGCCGGCCGTGTGATGATGCCCTCGCCCCCGCACGCGACGGTTTCGTCAACGGCCAGAGACACCACGTGACCTTCTCTTCCCTGGCTGAGCTCAACGCCACACATGATTTCCTTTTGACATCTACTTCGAAAGGACGCGACCTGGTCTGATGGAACTATACGAACTTTACGTAGGTCCTAACGTTGGTACACGGCATCATCCGGCTTCACGCACCGCTCAACGTCGTAATCCAGTCAAATCGCATGTCAATTTCATCAGAGTGAAACTGGCTTCACCATGCGCCGCTGCAAGCAGGTTGCGGGCTCACTTGCGCCCCAGTCAACGCAGTTTTGGTGGCGGCTTCAGACCAAAAGACTACTTTATGCCCATCTTCCAGGACACGGCTCCGCCCATGGCCTCCGCATCGAGAGAGGGTGCACAAGGAGAAGCCATCGACTTCACCGTTACATTGGGAAAGCAGGCCATGGCTCTAGCATACCCACGTCACAACTGATAGCCATTCCTGCACGCGTTTGACTCCGGGTGGCCCAACCAGCCAACTACAGTCCATGGGTGACTACGAGGATGGCGCTCCCTTGGGCCCTTAGCACCTCCGTACTGCATCTGTCGCCTCAGTTCTGCATCACTTCACCCATATTCCACACCGGAAGTTGAGAAAAGTTCCCGATGATTCTGGTCAAGTGGGTGTTGGATACCTTTAGACGCTTCAACTAACCATTGCCATATTGGGGTCGTCTACCTCGTATGGAGCAGCTCTCTAGGCCAGTAGCACATTCCCCACATCTTACACCTAGCATTGGCATTGGCTGCGACCGCCGCTTCCAAGCGCAACTCTACGCTTTACTATCAGCGTAGCAAGCACTACTACTGCATTGTATCACATCGTGCCTTCAACGTTGCCAGCCGTCGCTTCCCCTATCTTCGCTGTCATGTCGTCACATTCCTTCCTACCTTTTTTTTCCCTTTGGACGGCTTCACCCCTCTTGAACCCCTCATCTCCTATCCTCTCGCAACGCGCACTCATTACCATCTCCTATACCATACCTCAGTTGTCCCTATACGCACAATTTCTAGCCCTCCGTACCTAGCTACCGAGTCTAGCCCGTCTTTGTATCACACAGCCTGCACATCTTGACGACTCGCACTTATCTTGACTCACCTGAAAGAGTACCTGTCTCTCACGCATCCGTCGACAGCAACCTTATCAACTCTCATTATTAACGCCGCGACAGCCGCAGTTACAAACGTCCCCGGCCTACCTACAATCCAGCGGAAAGCCTCATGGTCCTACCAGGTATGAAGCCAAAGTACACTGAGGATCCAAAGCGTCCTAGCGAGACGCGCCTGCCTGGCTTCGGATGGCTGCCCAACAGGATCCGTCATCTATTCATTGCCTGCCTGGGAGAGTTTGTTGGCACCTTTCTCTTTCTCTTCTTCGCATTCGCAGCCACTCAAGTCGCCAACAACCTCCTCAATGGCAAGCGTATGGACATTGAGTCGCTCATGTACATCTCACTGGCCTTCGGTTTCTCACTAGCAGTCAATGTCTGGATTTTCTTCCGCATCAGTGGAGGACTTTTCAATCCTGCTGTAAGCCACTCCTTGTTGAGTCCAATACACGAATGGCCTACACAACACCTGTTGAAGGCCTTCATCTATATTCACGTCTATCGTAAATCTTCCCTGACTGACAATGCTTAGGTTACCATCGCCATGGGTCTAATCGGAGCCGTCCCTTGGTTGAATGCCGCTGTGCTCGTCGTTTCGCAGATACTTGCAGGTATTGCTGCGGCTGGCATGGTATCAGCCCTTTTCCCTGGGCCACTTTCCGTTCGCACGACTCTTAGCCGAGAGACATCCGTTGTGCGGGGCCTGTTCATTGAGATGTTCTTGACTGCCCAGCTCGTCTTTTGTATCTTTATGCTGGCGGCCGAGAAGCACCGATCGACATTCATTGCCCCTATCGGCATTGGACTTGCTCTGTTTGTGGCTGAGATGGCTGGTGAGTGGATTACAAGAGAGAGAAGAGGTTGCAATGTGCTAAACTGAGCAGGTGTGTACTTTACTGGAGGGTCTTTGAATCCTGCTCGATCCTTCGGTCCTGCTGTCGTCCTGCGTAGCTTCCCTAGCTACCACTGGATATACTGGCTCGGACCTCTGCTCGGTGCGATAGTCGCGGTCTTCTTCTATCGTCTAATCAAGGCACTCGAGTACGAGACAGCCAATCCCGGTGCCGAAGGTAATGGCCATGAAGCATACCATATGAATTCGAAAGGGCAAGCTGTACATGATGATGGCCGCCCGTCAAGTAAGTTTTTGACAGGTATTTCCAACACAGGTTGATCATGAAATCTGACAGCTGTGTAGCCCGCCATGGGACTGATGGGGCCAACGAACACGACTTTGCATCCCAATTACAATCAGGCAAGAGACAGCCGTCGAGAATCCAACGACAAGTGAAGCCATCGAGCAACACAGCCACTATGGAGCATATCGAGAAGCCCACACACCCAGAGGCAGTATTTGCCCAAGGTATGGACGGCCATCGATCGGACAACGCAGTCAATCATCCCGATGATCGTCCTCGTGCCCAACACAAGCGTGCCTCTTCGAACTACGAGATAGCCTCCGACAGAAGCTATCGCAGCGGCCCGGACGCAGAGTCTGGCAGTTCAATGTCGTAGACTGGCTCTTCTTCCAACTCAAGCTCCACTTCGGCCCCCAGTGCCTGACATGAGAAGCCGTCGACTGAACCCGGGTGTATCGACGGTGCTCTGTATTGGCCTTGCTGCTTTCTGCCAGGCTTTATACTCCGGGCTTTCTTTTGTCCTAGTTGATAGATCAACGTTACGAGATTGATGAGAATGGGGACTGTGCGTTGCCTGACCAAAAGTTCACAATGTATATAATTAGGGCTGTGTTTCTCAGCGCAGGTCTTCTAGTAGCTCGAAGTCATTTATCCTCTTCTTTTCTCAGCACTAGTGCGTCAAAATCACGACATTGTATTCTGCTACCTTCAACTTGCCATCGTGCAGCCAATTGTCTTGAACTGTTTTTTGTGTTCATGGGTCACTCTGTTACAGTCCCACGAGGAAGATGCATCCATTGATGATGGCAGGGGACTACTCAGCGTCAACGAGTCACACCTTCAATTTGAGCAATGTGAAGCCTTGCACATCTGGAAAAAAGGCTCGTCTTCTCGACCCCCATCTCTCCCAGACCCATATCAAACCTCCACTCACACTATAAGTAGCAAAATCCCCGAAAACAGGCTACACCCGACCACTTTGCCAGACAGAAATGCCTTTCCGTACCTCACTCCCGATCAGCAATTCACTCAAGTACATACGAAACCCCACGCTCGAAGCTACCCACTACTATAGAACCCTAGTTTGCTAGACTAAGCCGTGCTCATCCAAATTTCAATCGTTATCATCAACCTCCACTTCCACTTCCGCTTCCGCTTCCGCTTCCACTAAAGCCGCGCGAATCCACATACAAAACACACTATACGGCGCAGCAAAGAGGCCCTTGCCAACGTGGGAGTACTAGATAATTCCTACTTCTACTGTTTGCCACAATGCAAGCTGGTCAGTATGAAAATCCGAAAACTCGAACATCCCAATCCTCTCAAAATTACTAGTGCCTTGCTCAGCTGGCGTGTCGAGCTTTCTTAAAATTAGTCCCTGCGCACATGTTCTCGACCCCACGTCCACGTCTTCAACCTCATCAACACGTACTATGAGTGCAATGTACTTTTTTGACGAGAATAAACTAGGGTCAATCCTTATCTCTTCCTCGTCTGCAATCGTCCGCTCGCCGATCTGGATTTCTATTTCTTGAGCCCGTGGATCACCGGAGAGACTGGCGGCGATAGACAGAAGATACGGAGGCTCTACATCATTGACGAGTTGAATGTAGTTTGAAGTCCAGGAGAGATTCCAAAACTCTGTGAGTCCCACAGATGATTCGTTGTTGACATTGCTTAGCGCTTCATCGTAACACGCGATTCCAACACCATCGCTCCAGTGATTTCCCTGCACGATCTGACTACTGCGCTGAAGCGGCAACGTTGGACCCCGCACCACGATAATCCCAGAGACAATCTCGCCATAAGGATTGCTGTGATCGCGGTACTCGATATGCTCGCGCACAAGGTCGAGCGAGAGATTGTTGTGTAGTACTCGATTTCTCTTCGGCCTGAATTCTATTGGCTCATCTGTGCTTGCCCACGACCAAGAAGGCGCACGGTACGTGTTCACGTGAACGCAGCTTTCCAGTCGGGCGTACCAGAGAAGACCGGAGGCGATGTCGCACGTCCACAGACCAGCTACGTAGTCTCCTGGTAAGGCTTCGTGAACGCGCTGACTGATACCAGAGAAAGCTGGCAACTTGTCAGACCCATAGGTTAGACTGCGATGAGAATAGCGCTCAACCAGCCTATAATATTCTTCAAGAACACTGGGAGTATTCGCGATTGCTGAAGTCTCCATGAAGCTTGGTTGCGCCAATACTGCCGAATGCATTACGGCAGATAGATTCGGAAAGCGATTCTCGGGAACTTGATTACCATGTACCGATCCGTCTGCAGCATCATAAACTGCTGGGCAACGCCAGTAGATTTGTCGCTCGCCGTAGTAGAGCTGGCGCGGCGGAAGAATGGACTCTTGTAGACACCAGCCTCGACTGCCGAGCGGGCCATAAGAATCCAAACGAAACAAGGTCTCTTCGTTTATGATAGCACGTTCGATCTTGACGGTGTTCCCATGTTCCTTGTTGTCGGGATACACTGGTAGATTGATTGGTACCGGAGAAGCCGCGTTGAGCTGAGGTTCATTAGCAAGTATGCCGTGCTTGCTGCCCTTGGACGCCATGGCCGAGAGGGTCACCGTGGAGTCTCGGTAGACAAGTCCCATCTTCTTCGACTCAATCTCCCAGTCACGCTTCGAATCCTGTATGATACATAGCGAATCGATCCACAAATATTGGATCCCTAGAACGCGAGTAATTGTGATAGCATCTTGAAAGTTAGGAGCTAAATCGTCATATGGAAGCATTTTTTCAAACGATCCCACTTTATCAGTAGTCAAAACGGTATCAATTTGACCACCCCAACAGTGACTAAGTGCAACATAATGGGCGCGTCGTTGGTTCGAGCATACCATCCGAATCGGAATTGTACCATCAGTACTCCCTACGTCGATAACGCGAGTAGGGAGCTCAGGTATGTCATTGCGCAAGCAGTTTCTATGCTTATTTTGACAATCACTAAGCCATTTCCTCGCTAGGTAACGGTTTGGTTCTGAGTTCAGGTCTGGGTCGACTTGCAAGTTCCCAATCCGGTACCCATCAACAACAACGTTTTGATCTACGAAATACCAGTCATTAGACGTCAGGCTGCATTGTACAAAACGAACACACTAGACGTACTTGGGGGAACGCTGATCTTCAATAGCAGGATGGGAAGCTCGTCTGGAATGTTACTACTCGCATCTTCATCAGAGACCTCGGATTCATCGTCTGGTTGATGCCCGATAATCGAGCCAATATGTACGCAGAGTGTGTCTAGGGCTAATGCACCTTGTAGCGAGTCGAGATGCGTTGATCCTCGGGGAAGAATTCGAATCTTAATGTCAGATGACGGGGAGCGTATTGCGGCGGCGAATATCGACTCGCTAGGCTCGCACGATGATCCAATCCATGTCTCTGCATATATGTCGTGCGGGTCAGAATATCCTTTGAGACACTTTACCAAAAAATCGCAAATGTCACATCCTTGCTCAGCTGAGGTTTGCAGATCTTTGACAGACCCGTGGTGTTGGTAAAAAGCGTGCTGGGGAAAATAGCCTTCTGTCGATTGGGCTTTCACTGTCGACTCAGCCTTTACAAGACTTACTAAGCGAGAGATGGAAAGGTTGGCGCAAAAGTCGCATCTTTTGAACATTGCATGGATTGTTGGAATGAAGTGAAGTAAGAGATAGGAAAGCGGGGTTCGTTGCCTCTAAAGATGATACCGCCTTATGCACGTCAGCGAACCAGGAATAGCTGCGGAAAATCGCGGCTGAGACTAAGCAGGAAACATCCTCTGAATCAATGAATCGCTCATCCAAAAACACCGTGTCTCCAAAGTTCAAAATGCGAACCCTCTCACTCGTGCTCGTTTCAGCGTTGCGCTGGTGCCTTGCCGAAGCCACGCCATGGCAATGCCGCCCCGGCTCCGTCGACCTCAACAACATTTACCCCGAGCTCGTCAGTGAGAGAAACCACACCGTCGATATTGGCGAAGGCACAGATGGCCAGATCTTCATGTCCGAGTCCTCGGAACAAATAGCGATCAAGCGGTTTTTCTCCGACACGTCGTCCGACCAGATTCATGATGAGTACTGGATCGGCCAATCGCTCTCACATCCGAATATTGCGAAGACACATTCGCTCACCCGGCATCGAAATGATACTGATGATAATGATGATGATGATGACGGATATTGGCAGATGGAAATGGAATTCGTCCAATTTCCTCTGCTCGATCTACTCGACCACGATGTCTGGGCTGAGCGCGCGTGGAGTTTTTCCGCTACAAGCTGCGTCTTCGCCCAACTCGTGGAGGCTGTTGCATTCATGCATGAATCTGGCATCGCACACCGTGATCTGAAGGTTGAGAACGTCATGGTGGCTAGAAATGGTGTCGTCAAGCTCATCGATTTTGGCAGCGCTGCGGCGTCGCGGAGTGCACTTGCTGGAACAAGATTGAACAGTACAGAGAATTGGGTAGGTACACCGATTACGATGGCGCCTGAAGTGCATGGAGAGAGGTTCTTTGACATGGAGAAGGCCGATGTGTGGTCACTTGGCGTCATCCTGCTAAGGTTGTCGTTGGGGGTGTATCTGTGGGAGCCTGAAGGCGTCCTTGGTGCATTGGCCGACAATGAAGCCTTCCGAGCCTTTTTGGCTGAAAGAGAAGATCAAACGCCGGATACGAAGAATGGAGAGGATGTTTGCACGCTGTGTCAACTACCACAAGTAGCAAGAGATATCGTCGCGGGCATGCTTGAAGTAGACCCTCGGAAGAGATTGAATTTGCGGACCGTCGTGGAGAGTCAATGGTTCAGAGACACCGCAATAGCTGTATCGGAAGGTCTTGCGAACCCTGAGCATCACTAGGTCCTGGATTTCATGCGCTAGAGTGCACCACGCCATCGCATTTGATAGCCGTCAATGCCAAACCCGCGTCACAAGCTGGGCCACCGCCGCGTCAGAATCACATGGGGGTTGTAAGTTGAGTCAGGCCGCACATCAACACATTCGAAGTATAAACCACTTGCGCGACTCCTGCCTCCTGGCGCTTGCAGTGGGTAGCTTCAAGAATCTAAAATGTATAAGTACCGGGTGAGGTGTTTACAATCCTAGCTGCACTTCATGTTTTCCGTAGTGTTCATCCTCTGTTAAGAGATGTAACATGTCACGAGTTGTGTTAGCAGACAGGGTTAAGTTTCTATTGCAAGGGTCTATTCTTTGACCAGTAGTGTCACCTAGCTGCTGACTTTAATACAGATCACACGACCGCATTGAAGCTGCTAGATTTCGCGAACTCTGCAATCTCACCGCTATAATCGAAAGCCATTCAGTGCACCCGTTTTCCCAGCTTGATTCACTGTAAAGTCAAGACATGGGCATAGTCACTGGAAACTAATGCAAGGTTGTTCATCATCTAAAGTTCGTGGATTCTACTGATAATGCATATCCACCCCTGTCCAAATCGTCACCACTACCTTGCGTAACCTTTGCCAATTTCGATCCTACTCCACCATACCGCCATTTCGATGATCCTCTCAACGCGGGTTCTTCGACTGCTTAGATGGTCTTGTGGGGAGGAGAAGCCTCACGCTTAATCGTCTTGTGAGGAGGAGACGCCTCGCGCTTGATCGTCTTATGAGGAGGACTGCGAACAGCGAGATTGGCCTCGACGGGGGCGGCGGGGATGATAGCCGCAGAGACGGCAGTAGCGAGGAGGGGAATGGAGAAGATAGTAGAGAGCTTCATTGTGAATATGAGGTTTGTAAAGAGCTGCTGAGCTTTGTTCGAAGAGGTATGCGATTGTGGTTGAGATGTCTGAGCAAGTCTTCGCACTGCTGCCGCCCTTTATATACAATTGAACCCCCCCTGGAGCTGACTAGTCTCGTCGTCGTCGTCGTCGTGCTTGGACTTGCATATTGCAATGCACCTACCTGAGGCTATACTCTCGCTAGAAGGCGTTAAGAGGATTTCCAAAGCGCCTACGCCCTGATTGAGCTATCGCTGGTTCTGTGAAAGTACTATCCTGCGAGTTTGCCTCAAACGTCAGGCTTTCGCTTGCCTTGGTTGCGCGGCACGCCTTACTATAATCTAATCTACCCACCCCCGGCTTAGGAGCATACACGAATCTTAGCATTGTTTTCTCCGTTATCGTAGGCGCTTTATTTGCTATGACTGTTCTTTAGTATCTACGCACAGCTCTTGTGATCATAGGAGAAGGATTTCCTGGGGTTTACAAAGCTTTATCCTTATATGAGGCTTCTTGAACCCTTACCGATTGGAAGAAAATGGGAAGAAGAGAGCACGCTACGCGCCTGAGCTGGGGGCGGGAGTTGTACAACTTAAAGGAGTAATACTAATGCATCTCTAAACCTGGCAATTGATGCTTTGCGGATTGAAGTGTACGCATCAACCGTCACTGACGTTCCTTGTGCAAAGTGGCTACTGCTGCTTCTTCGTTCATTTCCCGCTTACGAAAACTTCTCTTTGCGTCCAGAGAGTCCTAGCTACCACCACAAGACACACGATGTCCAGCAAGATTTCAGAATAATACTTGTGCATGATTGTGAAACCGATGCTGACGCAGAATATAGCTGAGTAACGAGCCCGAATCTCGAACCAGGCTAAACCAGCCTCTTATATTGCACCTATTTGGGATAGCTGAGCCAGCCAGCCAGCCAGCCTATACGAGCGCCCGGTCTACACATCGTAGGAATCCTGTTGAGGAGCAGCAGCATAGCTATCGTGTGTGCAACTTCCTAATCAGGCCAAGAACGGGGGACGCCTTAGGCAGGATAAGCTTTCGTGGCGCGGCCACTTGGGGCTCCGAACGGGGCATCCCGCAGCGGGTTTTACCCCATTGTTGACCGCTCCTCGCACGCAACATCCAAGGACAGGGCTAAGGGCAGAAGTTTAATATTTCCTTGCCCCTAGATTAACGTGCATTAGGTGAGGGTTACGGAAGCCGAATGATCAATCGTGGGCCCTAGAGTACGAGGAACTAGTTGAAAGTTCTAAAAGCTGCTTCATGTTGTGGTTTATTCCTTGCTAGCGTCAATACTAGTATTTCGACGTTCCGTGCTCTATCTTGCCATGGGAGATTCTCCTGCCATGTTTGGTCTTCGGCGTCACTAAAGTCTATATTTAGTAGCTTATATGGTTCTCAGAGATGTGCGTGCGCCGAGGAGGAGTCCGATCTCACAAGTCATAGTTCAGGATCGCACGTTACTGGGCCCACTTCGCGCTATCATTCATCCAACCGGGAAAAGTCAACACCATAATAACAATGATGAATGAAAAGACATTCATGTGTTCCAAATATCTTTTTGGTATCTCGGGCTATTATTGTACAAAGTTCATCATCATCAAGGGGCTCTCCAGGTCAGCTTGCCCACTGCCCTACCCATATGCCCTGCTTTAAATGCCGTAAACTCCAGCTTTCAGCCCCAGATCACCCGCCGAAGCCAAAAAAATATGCTAGCAAAGCCGCCCATCATGAGATACCGATATGGCCCCTGATAGATCGTCATCCAGGTGGATAACCAGAGCCAATGCGAGCGCCCATAACCGCCATTGAATATGCCGAGTTCCATGAAAATGCCCCCCCAAAAAAGAATAATATCGTGGTATCAGAGCCGCAGCATGTAAGAAACGCCCGAGGCACCCGCCCATGCTCATAAGGAAATACTGATCGTGGCCATCCACGTCGGGAAAAGTCGCTAGTCGGAAGAAGAATGCAAACGGACTGAGGTGTGACTCTGGCAGTAACTACATCGACAACGAGCTGCGCATCTACACAGACACGTTAGTGATATGAAAAGGCAGACAAACGAGTCTGCCTGCACTGCACTGCACGCCGAGCCAGCCGGATTTCAGTCCTATAATACAAAGTCAGAAGAGGAAGCGCAAGCACATGGAACAGCTAGCGAATAACACCCCAGCTGTCCATGCTGCTGAGGCCACCCGTCCGTTCCTTCTTCTTGAAAGCGTTCCAGAAACGAAGGGTTTCGTCGCCGGCGCCAGTGACGATGACTTGGCCGTCTGGACTCATGGCAAGGTAGAGTACTCGGTACGTGTGGCCAGTCAACGAAACAACTTGCTGCATGCTGGGGTACTTCCAGACGATGATTTGATTTTGGCTGTACCCGTGCGTTGAGACAATCTCGTTGCTGTTCTTTGACCAGGCAAGGTTGCATACTTGGCTGCCAGTGTCGAGGCTGTTGATGAGGTTGGCTGGCGCGGTAGGTGAGATGGGTACGTTGGCGGAACTCGATGCAGACGCGGCAGCCGACGCGGCAGCAAGGGAGGAAGCCGAAGGGCCGTTGGAGGAAATGAGAGTGTTCCAGAATTTGATGGTTCGGTCTGCCGTACCACCGCCGCTAGCGAGAAGGCCTCGCTGGTGTGGACTCCAAGCAATGGCTTTTACGGCAGCTTGGTGTTCACTCCACTTGAAGGTAGGCTCGGCGTTGAGCTTCTCCCAAACCATGAGCTTGTTGTCGTTGCCTCCAGAAGCGAGCTGCTGGTCCTCGTGGTTCCACTTGAGACCACAAATCTCCTGCTTGTGTCCTACCAGCTTACGAAGCCACTGGTCTGGTTGTCGAACATCGCGATGATAGATGGTGCGATCCCTTGAGCCTGAAGTCAGGATGTGCTCGTTCCAAGCAAGGGCACCAACACGAGCCGTGTGGCCCATCATGGTACGAAGACGGCGCTGCGTCTGCGCGTCCCAGATCTGTACTTGACCTCGATTGGTACCAATTGCAATGTGCGAACCCTACATTGCGTTAGCACGTTAGGTTGTAAATGACGTGCAGCAACTTACGCGTTGTATCCAGTTGACACTTGTGACAGAGTCATCAGCCAATTCGCATAGCTTAGTCACGCGGCCGCTGCTCGAGTTCCACATGTAGACACACGATCCAAGCCCGACGCCGAGCGTGTTTTGACTGCCCCAGTCGACGAGGTTGAGGTAGAAGTCGTCGGCAAGATCTGGCGCATCGAGGACCTTGTAGGGTACTTTGGATACAGCTCGAGGTGCGCGCTGAGGGCTGAGCAGCATGCGCTGACTACTGTACTTGATTGGCGAAAGGCTGTAGAGATCTGAGCGGGTATTGAGGTTGAGTATGCCCTGCCGGCTTGAGGGCGTCCGCGATGGTGTTGGCTGGCCTGCGTATGAGAACAGATTCTTGTGTGGGGTTGAAGGCGTCAGAGACGGAGGAGGCAATGAGCCAGTGGTTCTAGCTGGAGGAGTATGTGAGCGGCCTGCACCCCGCATATTGGCACTGTCAGTTGGTGACAAACTCTGCGGAAAGGCCTGTGGAACTGAGCGTTCGAACATCTCCTGGCGGAGCACGGCGGAATACGTCCGGTTTGCTTCTTCGGCTGGGACAATGTTAGTCGGGGTTTCATTTGATTGGTATTGATACCGACTGACTCTTCTGGAAGTGTAGCTCATTGTGGGGTGTGCGCCTAGCCTTGGAGGGGGTAGCTGGCGAGCCATCGTCATGGAGGAGGTTGAAGCTCGCCTGGAGATCTTGACCCGCGCGATTCGGGATGAACCTGTCGCACTGGTTAGCTTTCTTCGCTCGCTCTGACTGCGCAGTGCAGCTCTGCTCACCTATCGCCATATATCCGCGGGCGCTTTCGGCTTGGGCTCGCTGTTGGTGTCCGCTCGCGCACGCGGCCGGCCTGCTCAAACTGCTCAAGCGCCTTTGACAGGGCAGACGCATCGACTGGCTCCGAGTTCCGGTCGTGTGCGTTGTTTTCGAAGACAGCCTGATTGCGCTTGTGGGTAGCCGTGGGCGGCGTTTTGGACTCTGGCGGGGATATCAATGTTGGCGTGGCGATGCCCTGTTCTATGTGGGCCGTCGCAGTAGCTGCGTCGGCTGCGTCGTCTCGCGCCATGGTGGTGACTGCGCTGTACTGCGATGGGCAGTTTGGTGGGTTGTTGTGGAAGAGGTGTTGCAGTCGGCTGGCGGGGGAGCTGTCCAGGGTGAGTTTGCGACGTATTGAAGTTGGAGGGCCAACAATGGCCTAGAAGCAGAGGTGAAGGCGGCGCGGAAGATGCGGTGAATGCGTTGGTGAGGTTGAGTTATGTGATTGCGACGGATGGTTGGTATTGGGGGAGCCCCTTGGTCGTTTGTCCCACCTCCTGCCCGATTGTAGCTGTGCGCGAGGTGCAGCAAGACAAAAGGATATATCCTATTTTACTCGAACGTGGTGGGCATGACAGGACTGCCGTGGTTGTGGCTGTTTTGGCGGGTGCGCGTCGGCGGGGGCGGTCGGCGGTGACTTTGTTGTTGTGAGGTCGGAGCTTGAGGCGCAAAGAGCCGCAAGCAGCTGGGGAGCAACGAAGACAGGCGTGGGCGGCGCAGGCAAGGAGCGACGGATGCAGCTGGGAGGGGGGCACGGGACGCAGGGCGAGATGCTCGAGCTGGAGAGACAGACGAGGGCCGAGTGAGGGCGGCGGGGAGGACGAGTTCGTGATCGCGGTCGTGTTAGTGCGCGAGGGCTGGTCCTGGTTCTCGTCTCGTCTCGTCTTGTCCTTTTGGGTCGTCTCGTCGCGCTGTGCCTGGGGCTGGCCGCTGTTTGGCTTGTCGCTGTTTTGATGCCGCCTACGCGTGTTGCAGCCAATCACCGCCCCTGCCTGTCCCCCCCAACCCAACCGTCCCGCTGCTTACCCTGCAACCGACTCTCTGCCCAGCATCCCCCACATCCAAGCGGCCATCCTGTAGACCTCGTCATCCAATCCCTATGCGAGTCGCCTGCAAGCTGCGAGCAACAATACTGCACCTCAGGCCAGCAATCTCACAGACACAACGCACTCTTCTCATCCCACCCCGCTTGATCCTGTCGTGTGCATTCAGAACCATGGCCACCACCAAGCCATCCCTCAAAGCGGCCGACGACTTCCTCTCCTTCGTCAATGCCTCGCCTACACGTACGTGGCCCGCTGCGCATGAACATGTGGCCCCTCGTTGACCTGTCAATTAGCCTTCCATGCCGTCAAATCAGCCAAAGAGCGGCTAGAGAAGGTGGGCTTCAAGCAGATCAAGGTAGGTAGTGAGTGCTGTTGCTTCATAGAACCCCAAGACAGCGGGCCATCGAATGCTACCAAGCCCGAGTGCTAACAAACACCACAGGAGCGCGACTCGTGGGCGTCAACCATCCACCCCGGGGGCAAGTACTACCTTACCCGTAACGGATCCTCTATCGTTGCCTTCGCTGTCGGCAAAAAATGGAAGGCGGGCAACCCGATTGCCATGATCGGAGCCCATACAGACTCGCCGTGTCTGCGCATCAAGCCTGTCTCGAAGCGCCAGGGCGATGGTTTCCTGCAAGTGGCCTGTGAGACGTACGGTGGCGGTCTGTGGCATACCTGGTTCGACCGTGACTTGAGCATCGCAGGGCGCGCAATGGTGCGGACAAAGGACGGAAACATCGAGCAGCGTCTCGTCAAGGTGGAACGACCCATCTTGAGAATCCCAACACTCGCGATACACCTTGACCGCCAGGAAAACTTTCAGTTCAACAAGGAGACCCAGCTGTTCCCCATTGCTGGTATGGTAGCAGCGGAGTTGAACAGGCAGGGCAAGACAGAGGAACCCAAGGACGCGGAGAGGGAGACGAAAGATAGCAGTCAGATCGAGCCATTGGCCGCTCCCACCTCGAGGCATCATTCGTATCTAGTCGAGATCATTGCAGAGGAAGCAGGTGCGGAGCCGGACCAGGTCCTGGATTTTGAAATAGTGCTCTACGATACCCAAAAGTCGGCCATTGGCGGTCTCAATAACGAGCTCATCTTCTCGCCGCGCCTGGACAACCTGATGATGACCTTCTGCAGTGTCGAGGGCTTGATCAAGAGTCTCTCTTCGTCCACAGCCTTGGACAATGACTCCACCATTCGCCTCATCGCTTGCTTCGACCATGAGGAAATCGGATCCAAGACAGCACAAGGAGCGGATTCGAATCTCCTACCCGCCGTGCTCCGCCGCCTTTCTGTCTTGCCAGCGTCCGAGAGCGATTCCGACAAGTCTTACGACAAGGTCGATGCTGACACTGCCACCGCCTACGAGCAGACCTTGTCCACCTCGTTTCTCATCTCTGCCGACATGGCCCACTCTGTGCATCCAAACTACCCTGCAAAATACGAGTCGCAGCACAGGCCTGAGATGAACAAGGGCACCGTCATCAAGATCAACGCCAACGCCCGATATGCCACAAGTACTCCGGGCATCGTCCTGCTACAGGAGGCAGCGCGTCGCGCAAAACCAGCTTCGACTAGTCCATCGTCGACCAAGGCAGGCGTTCCGCTACAGCTCTTTGTTGTCCGCAATGACTCGTCATGTGGCAGCACTATTGGCCCTATGTTGTCGGCTGCACTGGGTGCTCGCACACTCGACTTGGGCAATCCTCAACTGAGCATGCACAGTATCCGCGAGACTGGCGGAGCTCATGATGTTGAACATGCCATCAATCTGTTTGACAGCTTCTTCGAAAACTTTGAAGAACTAGAAAGGAAGATTGTTGTGGACTGATTGGACGGACCGAAGCTATGAAGGTTAGTGTCAGCAAAAATCTGTAGATACTCAAGTAAATAACATAAGAATGGGTTGAAACTTTGAGCACCCTGCACCTCTGGGAATCGGAATCTGTCGGATTTCATTCCGAGCCGCTTCAGGGTCCATGCCAAGAACCCCACCAGAGTCATCTTTCAGCGTCATTGTGATTTGTTCCATTATCTCTACAAAACCTCAAACCATGTCGAAACCCCAGTTCTTGACTGGCGACAAAGCCGCCATTGATGAGTTCCTCGCCAAATTTGATGTGAGTTCTGCATTGCCGCACTAGAACTGCCCTGACAAGCTGCGAAGGTCTTCCTGTTCGATTGCGATGGTATGCGCCAACTCCCCTAACAGTTGACAAGGCGCCCAGACGTCATCTACCTTGCAGCAGTTCACTGATTGTGAAGAAGGATAGGCGTTCTCTGGTCTGGCGATCACCTCTACGAGAAAGTCCCGGAAACGCTCGAGATGCTGAGGAGTAAAGGTACGATCTTTGCATAGAATTGGACGATCGCAGAAACTGATACCAACGACAGGCAAGCAGCTTGTGTTTGTCACCAACAACAGCACAAAGTCGCGAGCCGATTACAAGAAGAAGTTCGACAAGCTTGGAATACCCGCAGAAGTGGTCAGTAGGCGTCGCGTTCTGAATACGTCCTCTAGTTGACACGAGTCCAGGACGAAGTCTTCGGTTCCTCCTACAGCGCCGCCATATACATCGCTCGTATCCTCAAACTGCCGGCACCCAAGAACAAAGTGTTTGTGCTAGGAGAAACTGGCGTGGAACAGGAGCTTCAATCCGAAGGCGTTCCATTCATTGGGGGCACGGATCCCGCTTTTCGCCGCGACATTCAACCGGAGGACTTTGAGAACATTGCCAACGGCAGCATGCTAGATCCAGACGTCGGCATCGTGCTCACCGGGCTCGACTTCCACACCAACTACCTGAAGACGGCGATTGCTTTCCAATACTTACAACGTGGCGCAAAGTACCTGGCCACGAACATCGACAGCTCACTGCCAATGGCGCATACTCTTTTCCCTGGGGCCGGCTCGTCTGGTGCGGGTCTAGCAAAGGCTATCGGGAGGGAACCACTATCCCTGGGCAAGCCTAGTCAAGCGATGATGGATGCTGTCGAGGGCAAGTTCCAGTTTGATCGCAGCAGGACCTGCATGGTGGGAGACAGGATGAACACGGATATTCAGTTTGGCATCGACGGCAAGCTGGGAGGCACACTGGCCGTCTTGACGGGTGTGAGTAAGAAGGAGGAGTTCCTCGCTGAGGGAGCGCCGACTGTGCCCATGGCCTATGTAAATGCTCTGGGCGACTTGCTGGGTTGAGAGGCTCTAGAGCTGTCTGCGTAGAGCCAGTAGTGGGTTAGAAAATAGATAAACGGAGAGCCAATGATAGACATACCAAGCCTAGCACTTGTAATCACAACCTTGTGAGCCGTACATCAGCAACAAGGGTGCTTGGAGCGCGTCCTCTAGAAGAGGATTAGCGCCAACTGACGCGTGCCGACGCGCGACGCGCCTGCCACTTTAGAACTCCGCATCATCAGAAGCCAACAACACAGCAGTACACCATCAAAACATCATGATCCGCCACGATTACTCTCGAGTTGACCCCAAGCGACGCGCCAATCTCGACTACAAGAAGCGGCAATGGGCAAATGCAGAGTTTCAGCAGCAGAACTATGAGCACCGGCTCAACCTTTACGTCGTGCCGCCCACCGCAGAGATCACGCTTGAGGAATTCGAAACCTGGGCGATTAACCGATTGAAAGGTATGGAGCGCAGACAAACCATGTTGTAGCGAAGTCGTGTTGCTAAGTGCCTGTATTGCAGTCCTCTCCGAGCTCGAAGCATGTAGTTTCCGGAACCGCAGCCCGGAAGAAACCGCCGAGTTCATGAAGGGCATACTAGACAAATATCTGCCGCTGCGATCGGCCTCGTCAAAGAGCCAGAAACTTCAAGATGAGCGGAGGAAGGATCACTATTCACATTTCATTCTGCGCCTCGCGTTCTCCTCGACCGAGGACCTTCGACGGCGGTTTTCGAGGTTAGAGACGATGCTCTTTAGGCTCAGGTTCAAGGATGATGATCTGCGGGAGCGGCAAGAGTTTGTGAGGAGTCTCAATCTGGAGTGGGATGAAGTCAAGGAGGATGAGAAGAGAGAGTTGAGAGAGGAGCTGCTGGCGGCGAGCGGGCAGAAGAAGGGAGAGGAGCAGGAGTGGTTTAAAGTGGACTGGGAGAGAGTGCCAGAGTTGGTAGAGCAGAGGAAGGTTCTCTTGAAGAGGGGAAAGGCATATGTGCCGCAAAGAGAGCAGATGAGTCTTGTGGTTGCCGAGTTCACGAAGAAGCTAGACGATGCGCTCGAGGTATGTCGCTTCTCATCTATCTCACGTGGAGGACATTACTGACTTTGTCGACAGCTAACAGCCCGCGCACTACCCCGTCTAGACGAAGACGACCGCCTCGCCCCCATCCTCGCCCATCTCTCACAGTCGTTCACAGCCCCCGACGCCGCATACTCCTCTTCAGACGCCAACATCGACGGCCTCTCCACCATATCCGCAAACAGCATCGACACGCTCTCGCAAAACTTCCCCCTCTGCATGCGAAACCTACACACAACACTGCGTGAAAACTCCCATCTAAAGCACTACGGACGTCTACAATACACGCTCTTCCTCAAGGGCATCGGCCTCAGCCTAGACGAATGCCTAGTCTTCTGGCGCCGCTCCTTCAAACTCATGACCGACGACAAGTTCCAAAAAGAATACAAATACAACGTTCGCCACGCCTACGGCGACGTAGGCGGCGACGCGAACCGCCGCGGAAGAGGCTACACGCCCTATTCCTGCCAAAAGCTCCTCACCGAGCCGCTCCCCGGGCCCGGTCAAGCCCACGGCTGCCCTTACCGTACCTTCACGCCAGACAACCTCACGTCCATTTTACAACGCGTGGGCGTCAATGACCGCGATGTGCTTAAAAGCGTCAAAGAGGATGTCGGCAAGCAGAGATATCATGTTGCGTGTAACCGCGTGTTTGAATGGAGTCATAAGAGGGAGATTAAGAAGGTCAAGGATGATGGCAGTTGGGGCGCGAATGATTTGGATACCATTACGCATCCGAATACGTACTTTAAGAGGAGTTGGCTACTTAAGCATTTGGGTGAGGGGAATGCTGGGCTCGTTAATGGAAGTGGGGGTGGGGAGAAGATGGAGGAGTAGAGTGGTTGTCATGGTATATATGGACTGAGCTATTTTTCTTCGAATGTGTTTTTTGTATTGGGATGAGGATATGGCGTAGGGAGTCTTCTTGCTTGAAGCATAGGACGGGATGGGGGCTCTTTGGCATATGAACAGGAGGCATAATTTTCGTATGCATTCGCCTTTCAAGCTTGACTAAACCTCTATCTTCCTAATTTGTGGTCCTTTGTCCTTTCCTTTCTCCATAGCTGGTCACTGCTCGCATGCGGGCTATCTGTATAGGAATGGCAATTGCAGGTCTTGTAGCTTTACATCGGCTGATGTTGGGGTACGGGGCTTTGATTTGAGCCAGTAGAATTTAGGGTGTTGTCATCTTGATTCATGGCAATGTACGTGATGCTGGCACAGTGCCGGGCAAATCTAAGAACATTACTACTCTCCACACTATGTCCCTCTGGTGTAGCCATTGATTGCATTTAGCCGGCAGTTGCACCGACCGTCGGTGTTCTCGCCGCTGCAGCCTCCAAAGCAGTAACCCGATGCCCCGCAAAACAGCTGCGCTCTCGGAAAGTCGGAATATGGGCCGGAAAAGGAGGGGCCCCTCCACCATCGCCATCACCAACCGCCGATAGCCTTTTGTCTTTCTACCTGCGCATCGTCCCAAGCTCAATTGATTCCACCCAGACGACTCCAAACACAAAATGGCACCCGATCTCTCGCAGAACAAGGCAGTCAAGCTTGTCAAGCACGCCGCAGCAAACAACTATGCCATCTGCGCCACATGCTGCTACAACGTCGAAGGCATACTCGCTTCCGTCCGAGCAGCAGAAGCGAAACGCGCTCCTCTGATCATCCAACTCTTCCCCTGGGCGATACAATACGCCGATGGCGTTTTACTCCATGCCGCACGTGAAGCCGCCGATAACGCATCCGTGCCCGTAGCCCTACACATGGACCACGCGCAAACGCCCGAGATTGTCAAAAGAGCAGCGAATTTCGAGCGAGGATTCGACGGCATCATGGTCGATATGAGCCATTACGACGATAATCTGGAAAAGACTGCTGAACTTGTCAAGTACTGCAATGAGCGCGGTATTGTCACCGAGGCAGAACCAGGTCGTATAGATGGTGGAGAGGACGGTGTGGGCGATCTGAGCGAATTGGGCTTGGAAGCTATCCTCACTACGCCAGAGCAAGCGGAGGAATTCGTCGCAACGGGCATCAACTGGCTTGCCCCTGCTTTCGGAAATGTACACGGGAACTATGGGCCCAAGGGGCCACAGCTGGACTACGAGCGTTTGAAGCGCGTACACAGCAAGGTGGGAGATCGAGTGAGTCTCGTACTGCACGGCGCGGGTGGAGAATGGTTCAAGGAAAAGCTGTTGAAGGAATGCATTGAGTGTGGTGTTGCCAAGGTCAACATCAATGATGCGTTTAATAACGACTACATCAAAGTCCTGAAAGAGGAGGCTGGAAAGACGCCGCTTACGGGCTTGATCGAGAAGGCTACGGATGCGATGCAAAGGAGCATTGAGCAGTATATAGAATGGATGGGAGGCGCGGGCATGGCGGATAAGATATAGACATGTAGTCAAAATGCTTCAAAACCATATTATCGTCAACACATCGTGAAGCCGGAAAAATAATACTTGGACTGTATAGTCTAGCTACTCGCACATTAACTTTGAGTGGTAAGGCTTGCGAGGTAGTACCGAGTCGACAATTGGTGACTTCTAGTGCACGGTACCGAGGTAGGACAGCCGATGAACCGCGGCAGCCGATGAACCACTTTTTACTAGTAAAAAAGCTAAAAATCTAATTTTTATTTATTTAATAACTAATTATATAGTAAAGCTATATAAAAACTTTATATATAAAAAATATAGAAAAAAGTATTTCTTATAATTTTAGAATTTAAAAATAGTTTAATATTTTATATTAATAAAGTTATATTAAAAGTAAAAATAGAAAAAAGCAATTTTTAATAATTAATAATTTTATAATTATTATATATTAAACTATTTTAAAATTCTAGATTTATAGAACTAAGTT